GGCCGTTGAGAAGAGAACTGGCGACTCCAAATTTTGACGCCAGTATGATGCATTCAACTCAGATGCCTCACTGACTTTCTTTCCGGACACACTCGAGTACAGGTCCAGCATGGATCCTTGTGAATGGAGATATGGGGTGATCGCCCCCTCATACATTTGACCTAGATCGCGCATGTGATCTATATCAGGTCAGTGTTTGTTCGGTCTTCGCACCATTTCATAGATAGAACATGTGAAAGGAGGGAATGGAAAAGGCCTCACCGGAGTGATAGGCAACGTTGACCTTGAGTTGTCGACAAAATATATCAGGGTAATCGGCATGAATTCGCTCAATAGCATGCTCAATTCCGTCAGGGTCTCCTGAAAGCGTGATACTTTGCTGACTGTTTTCACAAGCCACAACAACATTCTCTTTCAGGTACTTTTGGATATCTTTTGGCGACATCCCAACAGCTGCCATTGCGCCCGGTCGACTTCTCTTCGTAACTTGTCCACGATAGTACGCTAGTATGATTGCCGTGTCGGCACTGATGGCCCCTGCGGCGTATGCTGCGGCTGCGGCCATTGTCAGCACCACAATAACAGGATATAATGTTCTCAATGGGTCGTACCAATTTCTCCACTGGAATGACCGACTACAGTCGTCGCCTCGACCCCCATTGAAGAAAGCAGATTCACGATACCAATCTGGACTGCTGTGCAGAGCGGCTGGGACAGCTCTGCTTCATTGATCCTCGAGATATTCCCGACACGTGATAGCTCCTCTGCCTAGGTTAGCACATATTTTGAAGAATAAAAGTTTTGGCTAACTCACCTTGAATGGTCCACTGCGGAGAATCGGGCAACTTTTGAAGGATCTCATCCATTGCTTTGATATCAGCCAAGAAATCTTCGTATGTCTCAAGAAGGTCTCTGCCCATGCCCGCCCATTGTGCTCCTTGGCCAGTGAAAACGAAGTGTAACTTCGGGTCTTTTGAGGAAGCTTGAAATTGTTGGATATCCAATCCCTCAACCATGTTATCGTTTCTTCCAATCAGGACTGTCCGGTAGGGTAGCATTTCCCGTCGAACTGCAAGATTGTAAGCGAGGTCTTGCATGGATGAACAGCCTTCCATATATCCTTTAACATCCTTAACTCTCTGGCGTAACGCCTCTGGGCTAGCAGCTGATAGTATCATAGGCATAGGCACGCTTTTGCTTAGAATGTACTGTTCATGTCCCTGATCGCGTGCAAAAGACGCAGCTGAGTCGAGAATAACCTAGTCAAACTTCAGCCATTTGTTCTTTCTTCAGTCAGTGGTAGTTTGAATAGCTCACATGAGCATTGGATCCTCCAATTCCAAAACAATTAACACTGATTCTCTTCTTTCGGTCAGTTGGCCAAGGGGTTTGCTCAACCGGCACTACCAATTGAGCATCTTTGAATGGGACTGTATATATTTGTCAGAATGGAATGAACAAGGGTCAATGTAACAACTCTTACTTTTTGGGTTCGGCTCATTGAAGTGTACATTGGGTGGAATGATGCTGTGTTCAAGAGCAAGAACACTTTTGATGATACTCGAGATGCCGGAGGCACCTTCACCGTGACCAATGTTTGGTTTTACCTGTACAGAATATCAGTGATTGATGTCAATGTGGTTCCCTGATTACTGACAGATCCAATGAAAGTTTGGTGATCTCCGAACAGCTCCGCGACAACAGAAACCTCCGCTGTATCTCCCACCGTAGTACCTGTGCCGTGACATTCAAAGAAAGGCGTGTCTGTGATCTTGTTGATTCTCGCAATCTCGTACGCCTTCTGAATCAGACTCTTTTGGGTTGCTGATCCTGGCGTGGTAATACTGGGCGTTCGACCATCACAATTTGTTGCGGTGGACCGGATGACCGCGCGGATAGGATCACTATCGCGCAAAGCTGATTTGAGGGTTTTGATATAGATAGCATTGATTGCTTCACCTCGACCATATCCATCTGCTGCGGCATCAAATGTCTTGCAAATTCCATCCGGTGCAAGAACCATGTTATCAGACATATTAGTGGTCATCGTTGGCGTCAGGATCAGGTTTGTACCTGCCACAAGCGCAGAGGAGCAGTCTCCCACTTGAAGCGCCGTGCAGGCTTCGTGTAGCCCTACCAAAGAGGATGAGCATCCTGTAGACAAGGTCATGCTAGGCATTGTGGATTAGTTGTCGCAATTTACATGTTAATCGCCTTTTCTAGCTCACCTTGGCCCAGTCAAATCAAACTCGTAGGAGACTCGGTTTGACAAGGCAAAGTTTCCAGTTCCCAAAACATGAGCACGGTCTATATTATGGCTGTCTTTGCTCTTCAAGTCAAGCCAGTCTTCACCAAAAACGCCAACGTAGCAACCGATATCTGTTCCACGCCATCCGACCTAGCATCTGTTAGGCATTATATCATAGTTGAACTAGGATTTGATTACCTGGCCAGCACCTTCCATACACTCCCAGATTACTTCTAGCAGCAGACGCTGTTGGGGATCCAGCCGACTTGCTTCGGTGGTGCCGATATCAAAGAAGCTGGCATCAAAGTGTGCCGGGTCATCTTGTAAGAAATACCCATGTTTTGTCTTGACAGTATGAGGCATTGTTTCGTGATAAAAGCTATCCACATTATAGCGGGTTTCTGGGACACGGCATAACCCATCCTTCTTGTTCAGAAGAAATTCCCAGAATTCTCTATCTGACTTGACCCCGCCTGGAAGTCTCATTGCCATACCCACAATCGCAATCGGTTCGAACTCTTTGTAGTCAAGTTTCTCTTCTGACGATAATGAGTTCCCCATATCGTCGTCGTGCGTAAAATCGATACTAACGGTCTCGGGTTCTTGGATCACCTTTTTTAAGATGTGAATTTGACTTCTGGGAATTTGCCCGGGATCAAACATGAAGACTCAGGCCTATGGCGGACTCACCTTTTCTTCGAGTACCTCGCTGGGAGTGATTTGAGGCTCTAAGGCGGCTGATGGCATTTTAACGATTTCCTAACGTGAATGTGGACTAGACAGATAATTTCAAAGCCTACCGCTGCAGCATCAGTTCCAGTTCCCTTGCAGGTCTTATATCTTCGACAACAGGCTAGCGCTATGGATTAAAGGAGCTACATTGTTGCCGGCTGATACATCCATTTCAAAAAGACTATCTGAGTAATAAATCAAAACGAAAAATACAAAGAGTTGTCTATCTCGTATTCGGGCCCATACACACCACCCCTCGGCTTGCATTACACGAACTCCTGCATCCGAGCAAAACTTTACTTTTTCCGAACACCACAATGATAGGGCGTTGTTTTTATTTGCTGCACGTCGTAAGTATGCACTGCAAAGTGATGAGCGCTTGCAGACTGCAGTTGCTGCATCACACGCATGTCAGACGACTCCCCGTCAGCTAAATCCTCGATTGTATTGTTTTCATTCCTCTTGCATCGGTCAGAGGTTGGATGTCGGCCATGAACCGCTCGTATTTAATCCTCGAGGTCGACCGTTGTCGCCAGTTCAAACCAAGAAATAATCTAAGGCGTCAGTCTCACAGCGAATTTCTCAATGCCTGTTCATAGTATCCTCAGAACTTTTATTCTGGTGGCGTCGTTGGCATCTCTGACCCCAGCGGCATCTTTTGACCACACACAAACGTTCAAGGACTTGCAAGACCTCCGGACTCGCATAGATTCTATCAACAGCTGCCTAGAAACATATGATGGAGGCACTCTAAAATCTCTCACATGCGCAAAAGATCTGTATGGTCTCATGGTGACTAGTACAAGTACACGATCTTATTATGAAAGTTCTGGTCCTTTCTCCGATGAGCAGCTCCCTGAATTTTTTGACAACTACCACGCCATGCGGACCAGTATTCAGAAGACTCTCAGAGCTGCCACTTCCAAGGTATGTTCGCCCTATATCTTTCCTGTCTTCCAAAAGTTGGGTATTAACGTGCGGCCACAGAGCTCTCAACTTGATTCCGCAGGATTCAACCTGTTTGCTCACAGCATCATTCAGACCTTCTCGATCCAGCGGGGCGTGTTCGAAAAATTGACTAAGATAAAGGTTCCACTGGCCAACCATTCCATGATTGCTGGGCCTGTTGACAGCCTTGATGCTGAGTTTCAAAACGCTCTTTCTGGGTTTGCTCGTGGTATTGGAAGTATCCTTGGATCTATCTAATCGATACTCTGGCAGCTCAAGCTCTATTGATGATGCTTTGTTCCGATACCCAGGGGCTTTATATCCTTAAAGCTACGAGTTATTCTCGCTGTTCCTGTTTTTCCACTATCAGCGCTCGTGGGATCTGGGTTAACTAATTCATCTTTTCGTATGATCTTGTTGAATTATAGTGCATTCTGCATTTGTATCAGATACAGTTATATAAGATTGAAAGATCTTTGCGTGCGATTTGTTCCCACCAGTATGGGACATACTCTTTGATTCTGACACAAAGAAACGATCAGGTCGATTAACTGTCATATCTAATCTAGTCACATATTTGCAGCTAAGCTCTGTAGATTGGGTCAATGCTAACCGGGTACAAATTAAAAAAAAACTCAAGTCTTCCCATTCATAGTGGTGTAAAGGAGGTAAAGGAAAGTCCTCTTACATTACGAAATCTATTTTACAGTAATTAATACAATACTAGCTTTTGGATCCTCTAATAGCACATGCTGCATCTTTAGGCGGCTGCATGATGCAGCCGGGTTGCAATTTGAAGCCCAGATCGATAAATTAATAGATCAATGCGAACTGCCCCAAGTATGAATTAGTATCGGTATTTGCGTTGCATGAGCTTATCGTGAAGCAGGCCAATGTTCCAGTTGGACCTTCCCTTGGTAATCCGTGTTGTATTATTGTTTCTGTTATTCATCAAGCTTACGCACCCCAGCAGCACCTAATATCGACATTACTATTACTGTTGGACAACTTGTACGTTTATTCTCATTGAAAAAATTCCCGTCTTACTAGTCTACTCTTGGATCATGGGAAGATGTCTAGGGAATCTGATCACGCATTCAAGGCTGATGGGGAGATTGCCTCCTATCCAATACTCATAATTGGGGCTGGGATATCCGGCATTGCAGCAGGTTGTCAAGTGAAACGCACACTTGGGGTTAAAGACTTTGTGATCTTTGAAAAAAACAATGACATCGGCGTAAGTATTCTTTTATCTAAAGATATTCCTTAGATTCATTACTGACTATGAAAGGGAACTTGGTTTACGCATCGCTACCCTGGTGTTGCCTGCGATGTGTGAGTAGGCGCCACGTATTCCCAGATCACCCGACAAATCCCCAAACATGCTAACTCCGCCCGCTAGTCCTGCAATCCTTTATTCATTTTCGTTTGCCCCAAATTATAATTGGTCGACATTGAGGCCGTCAGGAAGGGAAATCTGGAAGTATCTCGCGGACGTCTGTGAGCAATACCACCTTTCAGATAACATTCACCTGAACACGGAAGTCACCGAACTTCATTGGGACGAAGAAACACTAGAGTGGGAGGTAAAATTTCAACGTCATCCAAGCCTTAGGAAGGGTACCATTCGAGCCAAAATTGTCTTGACTGCTGTCGGAAAACTGGTCAACCCAAAGACATCTGAAGATATTTTGCAGGACGTCCATGGCGTTGAAACCTTCCAAGGAAATGTCATCCACACATCACAATGGAATGAATCACTGGATATCCGCAAAAAGAATGTTTTGGTCCTTGGCACGGGCTGCTCCGCGGCACAGATCGTACCTCAACTGTTGGGAACAGACTTGGGAGCTGATTCTGTGACCCAATTGATGCGATCTCCTCCCTGGGTTGTTCCAAACCATCTCTCTAAGAAGCACATTGGCTGGTGGGAGAGATTCATGCCCTCCCTCACGCGCAATATTCCTGGATTCGCACAACTTGTTCGAGCAACTATTTTCGTTATAACGGAAACCAACTATTTTCGTTTCATAAGACCAGGCGTTAACGCCCGGATTCGTCGAGCACAGAAAGCGAAAGCACTTCTCTCTCATATGAAACGAGAGGTTCCATCCCAATATCACCAGATTCTCACGCCTCATTATGAAATGGGTTGCAAGCGACTCGTTCATGATGATGGGTGGTTTCACTGTCTTCATGATTCAAGGGTAGAACTTTCCACGCTATCACTCAAGAGCCTGGGCCCCAAAGTGGGTGTTTTAGGGGACGAGGATGAACAAATCACAATACCACTCGACGCAATTATTCTCGCGACAGGCTACGATACATCGACATTGCTGCAGCCTATGCGCATTATTGGACGAAATAGGATAGACCTCCATGAGCTTTGGAAGAGGCGAGGAGGACCACAGGCCTACATGGGGGTGGCACTTGACAACTTTCCTAATTTCTTCTTCCTTTTTGGCCCAAATTCTTCGAGTGGACACACCAGTGTGCTTGTCGGGATTGAAAACGCTGTCAACTATACTCTTCGGGTTATCGGACCAATCGTAAAAGGTTGGGCAGAGGCATACGAGGTAAAAGAGGCAGCGTGTACGAACTGGACAGATATTGTTCAGCAGTCTTCGAGAGAGCGTATTTGGGTCAATGGTGGATGCGGGAGTTGGTGGGTTGATGAAACAAAATGGAATGGCATGGTATATCCGTGAGTGACTGTGCTTTCATGAACGAGTGCAACTCAATATCCCGGTGCTAACTTGGCACTTCTACAGTTTCTCCATGCTTTACGCTACTTATGCCGCGACATTTCCCATTTGGGATGATTGGGTCCCTACTTACACCCCTGAGGGTGTTCTCCAGAGAAACAAACGCTCAAGCACTACATTGGTGACTTCAGTGAGCCTCGCTATTCTCATGATGTGCTTATATCATGTTTCATGGCATGAAATGACAACTGTTGGTTTGAAAGCTTAACAAGTTTTCTCAATGAAATTTATTTCGTAAATGATGATCCCGCCGCGTTAGAATACATAAATGTATTTACAGACAAATTGAGCCAGCAGAAAGCCTGACCGTTTTGACCTCAAGTCAGATTCTTTCATGCGAAGCGCTCTTTTATTGGCACTTAGATCGGGTAGTTTCACTATAAATGCACATCCTGTACTCAAGATGCCGAAAACGCGGGGCTTGTATTATTCCTTGCTTTTTTTATTTCTTCCTCATTTGAGAACGGGCATATGCAGGCGCATTGTTACCATAATAATCCCTCTCGCTCTTCGTTCATCCACCGGCTTACTATCCAATCAATTATTGACACATATAGTCTGAATCTGTCAGATTCAGGTCTAAGTTTGCGTGCCGTATGTGATACGCGCTATAGGCACTTGAAAATTCTTTACGCACCCTGCGTAAAATTTGAGGATTGAATTGTTGATTGCTGCTTCCTTATAAGTGAACATAACAAATCTCACGAATATCTTATTCTTCTCGTAGGCTTCAGACCCTCTGTCCTCGAGTGATAACAGATTTTGTCAGAAATGTTTCACCAGGTCCTTCTCGTGTCAGATTATGAAGCCCTGAAACCTCTTATCGGTGACATGGGTAACTTATGGTTAAACCTAGCTCAATCTCATTCACCGGCAAATATTGAATTCTATGGCACACTTTCTGTCCAAGTTTGCTCATTCTGGGCGGGAGTTATCATCCTCACTTCAGCAGATGTGATGGGACCATCGTTTCTTAAAAGTTATAAACTACAGTCTCCCTCCAAACAACCCACCGTTGGTTTCATCTGGAATTGCATTCCTACCCTTATACGAAACCAGCTTCTCACGACAACTCTCCACTTCTTGCAACTGAAACTGCTTCCTCAATTGACAGGAAAGTCTACGGTCTACCGATTTGAAACTCATCTTCCCTCTATTTGGGAAATTGTCGTCGGATTGGTGCTTTGCTCCATCGCTCGAGAGGCTCTGTTTTACTACAGCCACCGGGTCTTTCATTGGCCTATCCTCTACCGACATATCCATAAAGTACATCATGAATTTAGTGCTCCCACGGCTCTTGCAATGCAATACGCACACCCAGTTGAACATATTGTATCGAACATTATTCCAATAGCGGCCCCAGCGAGAATCTTCAAGGTGCATATCATCACTTTTTGGATATTTATCATTGGATCCATGGTGCAGGGATTGCTTGCTCACTCCGGATATGACATACGGACCATCATTGGGACCAAATCCAGCACTCATGATATGCATCATGAGTTGGGAAATGTCAATTTTGGGATCATTGGCTTTTTAGACAAGATCCATGGGACAGATCCGAGTGGCAGAAGGAAGAAAAGGCCACACAGAGTGCCTGCAGACCGTTTCAAGTCTGAATAAATGTACATTCTGACACTACTGAGCGCTTTTATTGGAAATACAGTGTGAAATAGCAGCAATGGGATAATACATATGCAACTGTAATTGAAGTATGTCGACAAATGAGAATATAGACGCGATTCAAATATGTGGAGGGGTTTCAACTTATGATACTGGACCAGTCTCTAGTGCTTTTGGATAATAACGCACAGCTAAACTGGTTAAGTATGTCGAAGATATGTAGAAGAAAGGAGAATCTAAGAAGAACCTTATGCACACTCTTAAGAGAAGATGAATGACTCTATGACTTATTGGAAAGTAACGGCGTAATACAACAAGGGTCATAAATGTGTATACAGTGCCACTGATGAAGTATTGGACAGTCTCGACACGAGACCCAGCTTCAAAGCCAGTATACCGTTTCAGCCATTGTTTTTGTCGTATTTTGGTCTCTCTGTTTACGCCTCTTTTTTACGCATTTTCGAGTGCCTCGGATTGTAGTTGTTTAAAATTGGGTGATTAATCATATTTGAAATGGGCACCGCTAAGTCTCACTACGTTACGTTGTTCAATTATCACTCATTATGATCGCTGTCAAACATGCAAGATACAATAGGTTGCAAAGTGAAGACTATTTCCTATCTCTACAGTTAGCGGAGCTTTTCGATGCGGGCCTTCCGATTGACGGGGTTTAATCTGGACTTACTTTGGGTCCAACGATGACCTTGACTATATCAAATTGACGGCTGTTTCTACTCAAGTTCCTAGACATACGCTGCAGAGGGCAATTAGGTCTCGTTTCAAAGAAAGGGTGCGCGGGAAGGTGGGTGGATGGGATACTAGGATACTAGGAAATGTATATATATACGGAGCAACGAGAAATCCTGGTTGCACTGCGCTTTAATAGGAATTTTTGAAAGTGCTATTACAAAAGCAAATAGCCCATTAACGGAGGAGTTATCATTTCAAATCCAGGAAAGAATCGATACTTGTGCTTGTAGAAGTTGAGAGATAACTTACGTACACGCATTCAAAAATCTTGTATTTCCAGGTTTACATTTATGTAGCTTATTAACACAGAAATCATAATATAAATACTATTCAAGTGTAATTAAGCATAGATGTCTGATCTTGAAAGGGATCATGTGACGCGCAATGTCACCGCGTTAAGTAGTTTCGTGACGCGTCGGTCACTTTGGGATCCAGACTTCGACCCCGATCTTATTCTCAGTATGCGATAATGGCAGACAATGTTCTAAATTCTAGTGCAGAGGTCGCTGCTCAAGCTGTCAATATTCGTGCCGATTTAAAAACATGGGAGAAAGCTTTCGCGTCAGCAAATGGGGGCAAGAAAGCCGGACGCGATGATATCAAAAAGAACCCGGATATCGGTAGGTCGAGTCTTTCGCGCCGCAGCAAGGACCTCAATGGAATCAATAACTGATATTCAATCCTTTTGGGTACATTAGCGGCGAAATACAAAGAATACAGTCGACTAAAGGCCCTCGAGGCCTCCCTGACTCGACGCGAAAACCGCCGACAGGAAACAATAGAAAGCCACTCTAAAAAGCGGAAACACGCATCACCCACCGGTCCGGATGACGCATATTCCCAAACTACCCCGCGCAAGTCCTCTAAAGGCCTGTTTGCGACTCCGTCCAATAACCGCACCTCCAAAATCCACCCTGCGCAACTCGATCCGTACGATTCACCATCAACCCTTCGCAGACTCTTCAGTCCTAGCACACATCAGACAGCGCAGTCACCATTGAAAGCTGCAATCGGCCCAACTCCCCAGCGCGATGGGAAAACACTGGGTCTTTTCGATATGCTATCCGAGTCGGGAGGGAGTGGAGGAACGCCCTCCGTAAAGCGGCAGACGAGTAACCTAGCTGCGGGATTCAGAACACCATCCAAACGAAGGCCGGTTGAGACGATTCCAGAGGATCCAGAGGAAGAGCCACAGCAGGAAACACCAAGACTGGCACGCACCCCGGCTTCTTCGACTAAGCAGTTCTATCTTGCGAATCTGTTTGCGACACCGACGACAATGCGCTATGCTGCTATGGTGGAAGCGGAAGATAATGAAGAGGCACAGAACAACGAAGCCTCACACCCGACTGATATATCACCACAGGCTGCTCACTCTGGGACACCCACCTTTCTTCGTCGTTCGAATTCCGGTCGGTATCCGTTACCCAGCGCAAGCAATGGTGGCCAAGGACTCAGTCCTATTGTCTCGCGAAAGCCACAGCAATTCGCCAGTAAAGGATTGTCACATTTGGTCCAGGGACTGCGGGACATGGAAGAGGACCGCATGGAGGACGATTGGGAAGTGATGCGTGAGATGGAGGAAGAGGCAGAAGCAGAAGAAGCGGCCAAGAACCAGGTCGAGGACAGTCAGAATCCGGATGTCAACCGGAAGTACAAGAAGAAGGGCCAGAAGCGGACGACACGGAGAGTGGTCATGAGGCCGGTGGTCAACCAGCCTAAGCCTAAGCAGCAGCCCGCTCCTGCCGAGGAGGATCTTTTCTCGGGAAGTGACGATGAGTTGGCAGCCATTCCAGAGACGCAACAGGCGACTGGTACCAATGATGCCAATGACGGCTGGGATGATGTCCCCAGTGATATTGAGCGTGCGGAAGAAGATGCTGCAGCTCCAAACATGTTAGAGCCTGAACTGGACACAGAAGCAGAGTTTAATCCAGACTCGGATGATGACCCTGAATTCGGCGAGAGGCCTAAGCCTGTATCTAGGACGAAGAGTTTCTCGGAGAGGATCAAGGAGGCTGTATCCTCTTCTGCGGCGAAACCGAAGGAGCAAGCGTGCCTGGGTAAACCTTCCAAGACTGCTGCTGCGCCTGAAGAGAAGAGACCTCATGCTCGAAAGGTTAACCCTCAAGCTCATGCGAACTATCGATCATTGAAAATTGGGAACAGGGGAAGTTCACGGGGTAGAGGGGGACGCTTCCGCCGGAGATAGGCGTTCATCAGCCTTGGTTTGGCTTTCATGATGTGACGAATGCATTCATATTCAGCATAGGTACTAACTATTCATTCGGAGTCATTCATAGCATGCATATATCCCTGTCATTTTGGACTAAGCGATTTAGTTACCTCCAGACGCTTAGGTATCGAGATCATAATATTCATATTGGCTAAACTCGCTGAGGTATCTAATTGCATTCCAAACTTCGTAGATGTTTATTTGCTACGCCCAGATGGCCATTCTATCAAAAAATGAGATGAATGGAAGACATGCTGAGGCGATTCCGAGGCAGCCCGTTACCACACCCAAGCTCCGCTTTGGAATCAGATAGACTTCCCCGTCAATACGGGTGATATCGTTGCTGAGCATGTTGCAGCCGCCTAGACCGATCAAGCGCCTCTTGAGACCGTGATCTGTATGGCCGTCGTCGAAACGATTGAGCCCTGCCCCGATTGCTCACAGAACGCGGACTGCGATCAAACTCATGAGATTCCCCTTCTCCTCTGTCGGAAGTACCTCGCGCAGTATTCGGATACTGCACATGGCGGTCCCAGTCCTCCAAGGATGTGTAGGGACTTCTCAGCCACGCCTGCAATTCATGGATGAACAAACGAGCATTCTCACGTCCGATGAAATCGCGCAACAGCTCCTCCGCTTGTCCAGTACTACCTTTGAGATCGACCGTTCGCAAAATGGCGATGACATACTCAAGAAGAAACTCGGCATTGTTCGCTCTGCGATTCTCCAGCCGTTGGTGTCCCGGACGTGACACTTGCTGAGGCGTCCGCTCTTCCTCTTCCGCCTCGGGGTTCAAGAAGCTGAATACTTTCAATTCACGGCGGATCCACTTCCGAGCTCGTCTCACGAGCTCTTCATCGCGATTGAAGAGATCCGGTGTCATTTCTCGGTATTGCGATAGGCGATTGGTCCCGACACGCATGGAGTATGTTTGATTGCGATACACATTGCGCCGGCGTTGGAGCGGATCATCGGGCTGTGGACGCGGCGGTTGTGTAAAGTTGCGCCCTCCTCGCGGGCCATGACGAGCTCCTGGACGCGATCGAGGTGCCGTTGAGGTGGGAGGCTTCGTGGTCCGCGGTGGGACCTTGTACAGCTTCGGGCCTTGCGGGGTTTGGACTTCGTATTTCACGGCTGTCAGCTCGCTCTTACCTGTTGTACTGTCCGTCAGCTCCAGTCAGAAGACACGCGCAGTGTGTCCTTACATAGTGGACAGGTAGGCTGTTCCTCCAGCCAACTGACGAGGCACAGGAAGTCGAAGTTTTCATGATGACATGGCTGTGCCACGCAGGGTTCGGTGATTTTGTCTAGACAAATGACACAGGGATTGGCGACATCAGCCTCCTCCACCTCCTGTAGAGTTCGTTGGAGAATTTCCTGTCGTACATCATCGTCCATACAGAAGGTTGGTGGAGTCACGTTCAGCGGGCGGCAAAACCTCCCCGGCGCTTTTCTTCCGCGAACTCAGCTCTTTCCTTGTGTCGTCGCCTCGTCGCTTCATCGCTTCGTCGTTTTTTTTTTCGCGATTCAACTTTTTCTTCGAAATGCGCTAAGACTATCTTTTTCTGACTTTACAAGGCCATAGCATGCGGTCTGCCAAAGCCGTCGTTTCTGAGAAGCTTGCGCGCCTTGGAGCTCCGAACATGTCTCACAGCACCACCAGCGGAATGCACGCCTCTAATAGGCCGCACACCATTACCTCGCTGCGGCGCTGGTCTATTGTGAATAAGGAACTTCCGGGTAAGAACCCAAGCCTAATCAACCAGCCTTGGGAAGTACTGACAAACGCGATTATCACTACAGCTATGCGCAAGATCCGCGCAATTCACGTTTACGACTTCGACAATACCCGTGAGAACCCCTGAAATTGATTTCGATTTCACCATTCTCAAACCGTCGCTAATAGCTGTACCTTCCAGTATTTCTAAGTCCCTTGCCAAACCCGCAGATCTGGCATGGATCATCTATCGGATTCCTTCAATCAGTCGACCACTTTGCCAATGGAGGATGGTGGCACGACCCAAACATCCTTGGTGCGACAGGCAAGGGCATGGAGGTTGAAGAGCCCCGTGCATGGGAAAAATGGTGGAATGAACAAATCGTGTGACTTCCGATATACCTTGCACCCCAGGAACAGATCAACTAACTTCCAAAAGCTTCGCTTGGTGCGCATGAGTATGGAACAGAAGGATGCTCTCACAGTACTGTTGACCGGCCGCAGCGAGGCTGGCTTTGCCGATATCATCAAGCGGATGGTTGCAAGTCAAAAACTCGAATTCGATCTCATCGGTCTCAAGCCGGAGGTTGGTCCGCACGGACAGCGATTTTCGTCGACCATTGAGTTTAAACGGACGTTCCTTGAAGATCTGGTTTTCACTTACGAGCAGGCTGAAGAGATCCGCGTTTATGAGGACCGCGTCAAGCAGTGAGTCATGAGAGGATACTTCGAGTGTCTTTAGGTGCTAACAAGCTGCTAGTGTGAAAGCATTCCGGGAATTCTTCGAGGACACGAACAAAAAACTTCAGATTGGGGCCCTTGCCACCACCACACGTGTGCCCATCCTCGCTGAAGTCATCCAGGTATCTGAAGGCTGCACATACCTCGATCCTGTAACCGAAACAGCTGAGGTGCAGCGCATGATTAATTCTCACAACCTTGCATTGCGCGAGCCTTCTCTATCCACGAAGAACATACGCAATGGGCGTTTAAGCATCAAACGGGTTGTGTTCTACACTGGATATCTTCTTTCCCAAGAAGACTCAAACAGCATGACTGAAAAATTGCTGGTTCCAGCACTACCCCCCGGTCTCGCTGACTCAAATGACCTCAAATACATGGCTAACAGCATTCTAATCACCCCACGCCCAGCTCCTCGCTCCATCCTGGAGAAGGTTGGAGGCATGGGCAAGACAATCAAGTGGAAGGTTACCGGTACCGGAACCTTTGAAAATAAGATCTGGGCTGCCCGCGTGGCACCCGTTTCGGCAACAGAGCCGTGGTATACGGATAACCCACTGCCGCTTGTAGTACTAGCTGTGCGCAAAGGTGCTCGCCTCGTTGACGCAGGGAGAATTCAGAATTGGCACCCTGCTTCGGCCGACATGGCCATGACATTCGACACTGTTGTCGGAGAAAAGGTTGTCTTGAAGATCGAGACCGAAGACCAACACACGATGAACAAAAGCCATAAGCGACGTTTCCAGGATCGCGATGACAGTACCTTGGCTCACACCACCCATGCCAGCTACGAAGGGCAATTATCTCACGCCCGTGGCAATCACAGCTCCCACCAGCGTGGTGGCGGTCATTACTTCGACGAAAGTCATCGAAGAGGAGCCTATCGTGGCCGTGCCCGAGGTAACGCACGTGGACGTGCCAACAGAGGTTCCCGTGGACGAGGTCGTGGCCGTGGTGACCATGCAGCATACCACTACAGGTCGCTAGATGATTATGGCGATGCTTCCCATGGTGACAGGGGAGGTCATGGCGGTGATGCCGGACGAGGAGGATATGCTATGGACTATTGATTTTCAAAAGCTCACCAAGACTATTGGACACCATTTTCTGTAGCTTTCCGGGATTTCCTCGCGTCGGGGTTCGGCGTGCATTTGCAATGGGTTGGCGCAGAGTACGTCATACCCTCCTATCCATATTTTATGATCACAATTCAGCACTAAGGTGCTCGCCTGCTCAGGTAGAACTGTTCTTATCTTGTACGCATAGCTTATGGATATCTTCTTTATTTGTGGGACTGGAAAACTCAAATCTAACAACAAGGTCGAATCCACATGAAACTAGCATTTCGGTATCTCGCATAGTTTCCATGAGGGCTGTTTACTTGTCTGACACTGAAAGCCCGTCTCGGCTTTTGCTGATTACTGTTTTGTAGAATAATCACAACATCATTGGCAAGAGACCATCCTTCGTTCGCTCTCTGATCGCGTCGGCAGTGTTTGGATCATTATATTCAAACGCGATATCGGCACCAAACTCTTTCACCTCTTTAATGTTGCGAGGGGAGTTGTGGTAAGAACTTCATAGCCAGACAGCTTGGCAAATTGAACTGCCAGAGTTCCAGTGGCTGTCGAACCTCCGTAAATCAAGGACACCCGCTCATGAACTGAAATTGGGGAGACAGGCAGAGCAAGTTTGAGACTTTGATAAAGTCCTAGGGCAGCGCTAGTAACACCAAGCCCCAGCGTCACAGCATCTTGGAAGCTCATTCCGTCGGGAATCCTATATATTCGGCGAAGGTTCCGTCCTCAGGCTGTGTGGTGCCGGATCCGTGTTCGAAACGACAGATATAGTCGCCCTTTTTGGAATGGCATCTTGTACTGGCTCTGTGTGTGTGAGATTGAAATTGGATTTCAGGTCGGCTGAGAAATTTCATGCCACGGCAGGTAATCGCTGGGATATATATGGGCTTATGTATCAGTCATTTAAGGTATAAGTTATAAGTTGGTATAGTTAACGGTTGATAGGGTACAGTCGACCAATAAAACCTTTCCAATGTTCCCGGGCTGGGCGAATCGGGTCTGCGCCGTATCTTCAATACGTGATGAGCGAGGCATGGAGATTATTTCCCTCGGTGCCAGTCAATGCCCGACAGGCGACAAAGAATACATCTACCCGCGAGGTGGTGGAGTGGACGGACGGTTTATCGTCAGTGTACATCATAAAAGGCTGAGAAGTATGTTACTTTGCCTGTCTTACACCGCCGTAAAGACATCTGGGGAGCGGATGCGGAACCAATACAATACAGATCATTGGGAAGGAAGAAAATCTGGATGGGAGTATATCCCCTTCAACGGTGGACTTCGTATATGCTTGGGCCAGCAATTTGCTCTTATTGAGGCAGGAGATGTGGTTGCTCGAATGGCCCAAAGGTTTGATGAACTGGATAGTTATGACTCCCAACACACAAAGCTAAATCAATACAGCATCACTACAGCTTCGATAAACGTATTCGTCCGATTTCACGAGGCTGGAAAATGAACAGTGGTTGTTTATATTCATGTATCACCAGTTAGCTTCTGATTTTTTTTACTCAAAGCAGCCATTTTCAATGAATAATAACAAGGCAATGTTCGGATCTGGGTCATAGTATGACTAGTACAGATATTGGGTCAATTGCTTGGCGCTGTACAATAAATCACTCAGATCATGTCATTCCGCAAAGACAGGACAGGCTGCTCGCGTGCTCCTTTAGAAAGAAACGAGCTGCAGGGCTAAAAGGAGGCTCACTGGTACTTTAATGTATTTGATTGAATCCACGGACCATGCCGGAATCTTCAAGATTCCAAGGGTGTCTGTAAGGTCCTAACCTAGCACAATGACGGGGGACTTTCTAACCAGTATCTCCGCTTATCCATACTGGACGGCTCCAAGGCGTCGCGGTAAAGTCTCAAGGTCAGTCCAGGCTGAGATAGAATGAATCATGTCAGAAGATGTGAGTATTCCTTATGCTAGGAATAGGTAAAGATTCCGGAATTGACGTAAAATTTTCATTATACCGTATGTAGAACTAAGAAAAGCAGTCGGAATTGATGGCCGTTCAAATTCACTGCTGAGTTCTCCGGCTGGAGACACGATTGAGTCCAGTCATTAGATTCGGCAATCCAATAATCCTTAAGAAAAGGTCGTAGACCTGGATGGTCAATTACATTGTAACATCGAGCCCCACTTCTTTCAGAACCCAGATCGCTGATGGTCTCCAGTACCCGTCAAGAAGATTCCAAATAGAACGTGCAAGATGTAAGCTCCAACCCTCCATCCACCACTGGTGTCTGGAATGATGAAGTATGAGACAATAATGCGCTAGGATAACGAGTGCCATTGGGTCATGTCCCCTCAACAAGTCCAAATACTTGTCTGTGAGTTCAAATGGCCATCTCAAAGCCAGTTCAACCCTACGGGGTTTGTCCTGGAATATTTCCATCAAGTCTGTCAGATAGTCAATAGCAGAGGCATAGCAACCTGTGTCGTGAGTGCTGATTTCCTTTCCACGATTCTCATTGAAACGCTTTAAGGTCGAAAAAGCTTCCTGAATTACATCAGAAAGGGGCCATCTTATCTTGTCATCCACGCGTAGCAACACGTCTGAAATTCTCCCTTCTTTGACCCAGTGCCATGAGAGGCCTATCACTTCGCGGAGCCCTCTGCATAGATCGAACCCTTGAAGAAGATCACGGATGGGGTCATAAGTCTCTGCGAATGGAGAACAGGGCGACATCGCGAACGCTAGTTGAAAGAGTATGCCGGAAAAAACAAACACGATATGGCTGTTCTCGCGGTCGAGCGAAAGGACTTTAGGCCGGAATAAAGCGAGTGCACGATTCTGGTGCTCTAAAGCAATAGAGAAATAACTCGAGCTGTTACTTCGGCTCTCTGTTCGTGCGATGTGAAGCGCAGACAATGCTAGCACACCGTGAAGCACGAAGGGATATGTCAGGCCCTCTGTGGGCAAGAGAAATTGGAATACATCTTCAGCCTCTTTGGTATGTGCCATCGTCACGTAAGTCGAGGAGCACCAGTGGAGAAGAAGCTCCATGTCGCGAATATTAAGGTCTGAGGTTTGTGGAAGGTTTCCTGCACCCTCCGCCTGTTTGTTCGGTATACATGTATGATCCTCTGTAATAGATGTGGAGTGTGTCTGAGCGGATGCAAGAAAAGGATGGATCGGCAATGAGCAAGGAGAAGACTCTTCGGTATTCGAGCGGGGTGACATCACGGAAGCTTCTGAGGCGTACCGGCAGGTAGTACTTCGGTTCATGCAATTCGTACATTCAGGGCGACGCTCATCGCACTGTATGCCGTCAGTGATTGGATAAGATACTACATGCATAGCTGATGTACGAAGTAAAAAGGTTCGCGTACCTTGACTCGTCGGCGTTTGCAAAGAATGCACCCGTCGCGAGATTTGCGATGAGACCGTCGTGACGGCATGGCAGAATCGTGTCAAAATTAAGAAGCTATCGGGAGTGACAAAAACGAGTCAAGTGGGATTATTTGAGGTGTGGCTGTGCAAGCTTGAAAATGTAAGGAAGGTATCATCCAGTGGGCCCGCCCTAAAAGTATGTTAACGTTAAATGAGATCTAGATATATTACCTAAGTCATTCCACCTGCACATCCAGGCATCAAGATTACCCCATTCAGCCGCGATTTCCATGGTTCGGGTTTTCTAGTTTCTGCTTGAACTAATTTCTAGGCTCTGAAAACTACACAAGGGTTCAGACTTTTTCATATAACTACCGAATAGGAGCAAATAGGGGTTTGCAATGCAAGAAGTAATGTTTATTGCAGACCAATGGATACCAAAAGTGGTTATTTTGTCTAGTTCAGTGGTCAGCCTTAAACGCGTGCTCCACTACCAGTAGTGCCTCAATAGCTTGAACAGAATACCTAGCATTTTATAGCAGTGCTTTACATGGATCACTTGGATCAACTAAGATCGATTTGCCCTTATAGGTGACATGAAATAGGTTCAAATGATAGGCGGTGCATTGGCACAGCTAAACGCTCCTGACTTTGCAAATATGCTCAAATTATGTCTCATTTCATTACACGTAAACCCCTTGTACCCAAACCTGAACAGATGAAAGGAAAAAAAAAAAGAAAAAAAAAAAAAGGCAACGACCCAACAAATAACGAATAATCAATAATGCCACATTTATATAAACTCATGAGTGCTTACCCCGCGAAAAGGCGAGAAGTTCACTGGGGTGGATGAAGTTGAACAGTAGCATAACCGAGAACATCAGCAATCCATCGAAAACATACAGGAATACCTCGTGGCGGAGCAGGTATCCATTGTTCCCCATGGCGTACTCGACTGTGCGAAATATGGAACGAACCATGATGAGAATGTTGGCAACGTAGAGAACCATGACGTGCTTATGCCATATACCCGAGAGCGCGAGTGACTGTTCACTTGGTGATTTGCGAAGGCGAATATGGAAAATAGCACTTGTGATAATGAAGAAGCCGAAGAAGAGAACCTGGATAATCAGGCCTGCGACGACGATCTTTTCACCCAAGTGAAGGGCACCCCACGAGCCACCAGCCATAATTCCTCCACCTATAGTCCCGCATATGCCGGTTAGCCTGCTCCATTGCTAAAACAATAAAACCTTGGGAAAATTCTCTGCTTACCGGCTGCTTGCACTGAAAAAGATAAGATGTCCCCAGCGACGAAGAATTTGGTCAACCATTTTTTCTTAAAGATACAGAGCTTCTCTGAATCAAGACGGAGGATCATTCGGCCCAGTATCATGTAAATTGAAGCGGCAAAGAGTGCTGGAGCAAGCAGAAGGAGCAAACTTTGCTGGATATAAGGGCCCATGGTCCAATTGGGACTCTCTTGGCTAGATAGGATGCGTCCAACATATCCAACCCATTCAACTACATTAGGAAATTCATTATGTCAGTTGGGTTTCCGATTCACGATTCAGAGATGAAGGGAACAAATAGATGCACTTACAGAATCCGCCTATGACAAATGGAATGAAAAACCATGTGCGATGTCTGGCTAGTTGATAAAGATGTGCAAACGTTGTCAGACCGAACAGTACAGTGAAAATGATAGCCGCAACCAGAGATGGGGAGTATCGGTAATAAGCCCATGCTGCAGTTTCGTTGCCAGACTGAGTCGACATCTTCCCTTCAACAAGATAGCTGCCTTATTATAATTGTAAAAGGACAAACAGGGCAGAGGATATGAGAGATGGAATTAATGAAAGTAAACCTTACGGCCCTGTTTGTTCTTATAGTCTTCCCTTCAGTTTATTTTGTTGGTTCATTTTCGTATGCTTTCGTACACTAACGGTGCTATGGGCGCCTGGAAACCTATTACTCCTTATGGCGGCTACTCCGTATAGTAACCGTACTGTTCTTATACGGAAACTATACAGTGGAATTTACCGATGCCAATAGTCTGGCTTTCAGCGAACCCAAATATTACCGTATCGTATTCGTATCTTCTTGCATCTGTAATGTGTAGAGGATTCTCCGAGACTGTTCCGTCATTTGCCCCATCAAGAAAATTATAGCAGTGGCCCTGCAACCGCATGCCCCACCAATGGACCCTTGGCGTAGGATGTGGGGATAGGAATCAGGCAAAGGCTAAAAATTTCTTATTCGGCCTCTCCGTTAACAGTAGAAAGTGGTATACATGCGGCGGTACTCCGTACTAGTAGCAATGCTTTCGTATTCGTACTCTAAATTTAACATCTTCTGTGGGAATACTAGATGGAAAATATCCTCTTAACCCACTAGTGGCAGCTATCAAGCTAGGTGTTAACTTGGGTTCGGCTATTTTATCTGGGAAACAACTGTTTATCTGTTGGGTCTTCAATGCTGTAAATATATATAGTCCGGATTGCCAATCTTGAACCCGGTTCTGTGAATTTCATTCCCTCATCTTCTCCTGGATCCAAACTAACTCATTTGACGTTGGCTCCGTTTACTTCATTGTAAAACAACCAACAAGCAGCGGCCCCAAGCTAGAGTTGTTCTTCCTTTATCCATCGCCCACGTCGGCGGCTCGTTCTCTTATACGCAGCTCAGCAATGGCAAATGATGATGGGTTTGCCCTTTATAACTATGATCCAAGTATCGCTGCCAGTGTGATATTTGCACTAGTCTTTGCCACAAGCGCAGCACTTCATATTTGGCACGCTTTTTTCAAGGCCAGAGCCTGGTTTTTTACCGCATTTATAATTGGCTCCATCAGTCAGTATCCTTTTCATTCTGCGATGTGCTACACTCGCCTTCTTCTCGAAGCCTGCTAACACAAATTAGTGATGGCTGCGGGATATATCTGCCGCGCTATTTCTGCCAAAAGTCCAGAAAGCCTGGCTCCGTACATTAGTCAATCACTTTTGATCCTCCTTCCTCCTTCACTTTACGCAGCGACGATCTACATGCTATACGGACGCATTGTACAATGTACGAAGCGGCCCGAATTATCTATCATTGCTCCCACAAAAGTCACCAGAATCTTTGTTATCGGCGACGTTATTGCATTCCTCTTACAATGCAGTGGAGGGGGCCTCATGGCTATATCTGGACTGTCTAGCATTGGCCAGAAAGTGATTGTTTTCGGCCTCATTTTCCAGCTACTCTTTTTTGGGTTTTTCCTCTTCGTGTCAGTGAAGTTCGCACTGCGAATTCGTCAAAGCCAAGGAGGCTTCTTAGGAGCCCCTTGGGGAACTCTTCTACACATCCTTTTCCTGATGGCTGTCCTGATCATCTTTCGGTGTGTATACCGGGTGATAGAGTTTTTACAGGGACACGATGGATATCTCGTTTCACATGAGGTCTATATGTATCTCTTTGATACCCTTCCTATGTTTCTTGTACAGGTGCTTTTCCATCATTGGAAACCGTACAAAATGCTGGATGATAGCGCTACGCTTGGGAAAACTCCAACCTATGTTAACCTTCATGATATGAGTTGATTGGATATACCATTGAGGAGTTCGTGGACCAAAGCGTTTGTGTACTTTGTTTGTCCGGTCTGTATCATGCACGTTATGGAAAATGATATACACCGTGGAGTATTGTCAACTGCGACAGGGAGGAACAGTCCTAAGGCATGGACACACCGAAAAAAGCACTGTGCGAGTGAACGGGAATGCTTTTATAGTGAACACAGCTCGTCCTATTTGTATAGTGATGCTTATAACCCATACGACCAAATGTTCTGCACGAAGTACACACATTCAGCTCTCTAGTTAATTCCGTCTCCGAAAGGCGTGAAAATGTTTGTGACATTTTATTGCATACATACCTAGGCAATTCTTATAACGTGCAATGCTTTACCAAACACATTACAGATACTTGGACGCCGGTACGGTCCGCGATCGTTGTCAGCGCTGATTTACGGCTTTTTTGGTTTACTCTTCACCCTTTGATATCGAATATAAATTCTGTATCCGTTGTTGACTGTCGAGAACATGGCCACCTAGGATATACTTGAGATTTTCGATATTTAAGACGAGATTAATCCCAAATGCCTGATAGAGGCGAGTGTCCGACAACGAGGTGGGATCTTTTACACAGGGGGAAGATGAAAAGTGAACTTGAGTTGATGGAATGTATCTGAAAATATCCCTGCGGCACAAAGACAGGCCCTCATAGCATCAAGATAAGCTATAATGGGCCATTTAGCTGCGCAGTTGCGTCTCTCGAACAAGCCAATGGATAATTGCACTGCCTACATAGTCCCTGTTCTTACTGACGGGGATCCCCGGTCGTGGGCTCAGCTAGTTTCGGAAAAAAGACAGGGAACCGAGATTTACTTCGTTTCCATATGTGAAGACCAACAATTGATGGACAATTGGATGAAAACTCAAGTTGACAATATGAGACAAAACAGCGAAAAATCCCCGAGTTCAACGCCACTTGACTACATAAAAATTGAGCATCAGTCCAGTACCAGCCTCACGTGAATCTGGAACTGGTCGACCGTTTCATCTTAGTGTACGATTACGAATAAGATAGACTTTTAAGGTTTGCCCCTTTAATTGGTCGAACGCTCAGAGTTGATAGGGCCATTCAAAATTTCTTAGAGTGGACCTCGGGAGCCACCCGACTCGTAATCGTACACTAATGCACTTGGGTCCACCCAACATCGGCGTGATCAACCGCTAAAATTTCAATCATGCCAAACTTTGGAAGCTGCCTAGTAGGTACCATTTCGACAATATGCTTGAGGTATCACTTGCATTCATTGATCGTATGAATTCGATTTAGAGGTATTATGAAAGCTTTAGAAGTATCCCACCATTAAAGATGAAACGAATACGAGCAGACCCAGACGGGATTTAAGTATCGACATAAAACCCCTCAAGCATTCATTGACGAGGCAACAGAAGAAGCATTCACTTTCAGAATTTTCTCTTTCACTCGAATCAATCAGTACTGTTTCTGTGCGACTTGAGCCCAATACCGCATTCATGGACACTGAAAGCGATGCAACAAGTGACGAGCTGTAAGCGGACCATCAAAGCTGTTTCTCCAAAGTTGCATGTCTAAGCTAGGAATTTAGGCCAACACCACAGCCCACACGAAGCAAGATACAAGCGAGCTTCCTGATCGCACGACCACCGCCGAAATCGTCACTTTGCCTGACACCTAAGCTCTTACTCCAATTCCAACAACTCACAAGCAACGGCCGGTCCCGCCCAGTCATGGAACTATGGCATCCATCAATTCGCAAACCGAAATTGACGCCTGACTTCCACCAGCGCCCCAAAATGAGGTCTGGTGACATCTATGCAACCTGCGATGAGCCCTATATCATCAATTCGCATAATGTGCGCAAGCAAGCTGGGAGATCTCCAAAGCAACGGGATGAGAATTGTATCAGTCCACATAAGAAAGATGTCGTGACCGTAATGTGCCGTTCACGCGATACGACACAAGTATCGACGATAAACTTTCGCAATGAGCAATGCACATGGCAGGCCAGTGCACACCCAGCAGGTCCTGCAAACCACAAACTGCGTTATCGATTTACTCTCAATGATGAGCACAGCGATGGAAGGTTTAGTAGCCGAAGTATGAGCATGCAATGGGAGAAACGACAATCTGATGGTGGGGATAACGAGTCGACAGGGGAATGTGAGTCAGAATATTTTGTCCTCTGCTTCATTGATCACAAAGCACGGCGGAAAGGTCGCATTGCTACCATGACTCAAAGTCGGTTGGATGTCCGTGTTCGTAAGACCTCTATCATAGAGCATCTTCAGGCGTGTTTGGATTTGACAAGGTCAACTGTTAGCGACAGCGAATCTTCTGAGAGGTTGGAAATCTGGTTATACACGCACGTTCTTCCAATGGGGACATGGGTTGCCGAGGAGGAAGGATGGCTCAATCATCCACGATATAAATGAAATCAATGATATGCGGCTTACTTGGATAAGATATACAGTGTGGATTTTAAGAATTAAGTTTGGAGTCTAGTTAGCACCCACTGATCCCGAGGTCCATCACATGGTGCCACTTGCAGCCAAGTCTGAGCCCGGACTAAAATTTACTCGAAGAGCCCGACTCTAAGCACGCTCGTAAAAGCGGTGCCAGGTAAGATAAGCGACGTGACCAAAGACAATTCTGGGATAAGCAGTTGAGGGAATAGCAAACCTTGTCATCGTCAAGTGAACTAAAGCCCTTTCCATTTCCCTTGGGAAGTGGCTCATTGCTCTCATTTCACTCTGCAGCTTCCGTGTACTCTTGATTGGTTCTCCGTGCATCCCATTGTTCTTCACGAACTACATTGGTTTTAGGTTTCTGTTTCCCACCTCTTTGTCCTAGTTAGAACGAGATCGGATGGCCGGGGCCAAATAAGGCTATCAACCTAACGGAAGAAGATGCATAAGTAGGAGATCTTCCTGTGAGGAGACAGGCGGGTAAATGGATTATGATCTGTTACTGACCGAACCACGTCCATCAAAATTCAATTGAGTGTGGTGTGAGCGGCAAAGAAAGTTTGGAATACCCTACCACAAGTATCAACTTCCAAGACATGCATCCCATATCATTTGGCCTTTTTGAAAGAAAAAAAGTTAGCATCAAACTACACACATCAAAGATCTCTTCTACCAACCGGCTGCCACTAGGCGATCATGAAGTCTACATGCTCTACTGCGAGCGCAAGGGGCTTGGTGTAATATATATGGGAGAAGCGGGGGTCGATGGGTCAGAGCTGAAACACAAGCTCAAGAATCAGTGTTGTCTCTGATAAAAACTAGCGCAGTTCAATGGCCTGACTTGTTCCAGGCTTGAAAAGATTCGATAGAATACCGGGTTGTTTTCATCATATGGCGGAAGGAACCTGTGATATGTCGTTGCAGCAGACTTGGTATGAAAGCGACCTTTCACTCACACAGCAGCTTGTAAAAGGAATGTCCCGCTAAAAGCCTCCTGTTTGGAAATACCACTGACACCCATTAGAATCCAATCCTGCAGCGTACCGAATCCCTGCGCCACACGCAAACCACGCGTCTTGTTGTTTCTATCCGGGTAGCAAGTGGTACCCTATCAAATAATGCAGTAGAAATAAAGGTCGATTTGGTAACAATGAAATGTATGAAGATACTCAAAGGCCGACTTCTTATTCAACATGGATAGTGAGACTCCACAACTCGCCAATAGACACAGACTTCTGCTCATACTGTCAGGTCATACTAGTCATCCACTCTGCCCGATGCTGCAACCGCCATTTTAACATACGGCACGATTTTTACAGTGCCCACCAGTCCATTCTGGACCAACCCAGGTAAAGGGTCAGGGCCCGCGATGGTGATCAAGGGGGGCAACGCTGACATCTTAATCTGATCAAAGATGCTTCTGAGATAGTTCCACATAGTGGTTGGCACAATGGCCAAAATCTCATTCTGGCCTTGCTTTATATATGGACTGATGTTAATCCTGGGTGCGTTGTAGTCAAGTGGCGGTAGTTCCTTCCCGTTGATGCGGAGGCGAAGCGCGTGTGGGATCCTTGGAAGGATGATGTATGCCCCATCAGCCGAGCCCGTACATGGTGGCCAACTGAAGCTAGCGCTATAGTAACCGACTCCTGAGGCGTTGACTAAGCCAGGGATTTTTGTCCAAGATGTGAGCGATGACAAATGATGCGTCGTGTTGTACTTTGACGCAACCAGTGAAGCATCAGAGATATTAGACGGGGCTGCCCAGTGCTCTGCAGTCAAAGACCAGTTGGAAATTGGAAAGCTGGACGCGGCTGTTGGGCCCCGAAAATCACTGTAATTCCTGCCTGTAGACAGAACAAGAGGCATTTCGAGTCCTCCAGCAGCGATGTGGAGGTCGATCAATCGTGGAGAAGTTGCACTGTAATTGTACCCGAGAACTGCAGAAGGCACCTGAATGGCGTGAGAAATTGGGTTGAACGACTTTCGGATTTCCTCCTTGAATCCGATAAGGGCTGTCTGATTTGATTCCAGGTGGAGAGGAATAACCATTTTGCCGTTGGCCTCGTGGTAATTGATGACCGGATTGACGTCCCCAGTCCACATGTTAAAAAAATACGGCGTTCTCCCGCTGGATACTTCGATGTGTCCTATGCTAGCCTCCCCATCATTAAAGATGAATGCAAAGTGCATATTCTCATGCATAGACTCACGCCAGGTTGTGTACCATGTACCACTGGATTGTACTCTGAGTCGAGGATCCAGACTCAGTGAGGAGAGCTTATCAGCAATTTCTCCATTGGCGACACTGTAGACGTTTTCTGTTCCTTTCAACGAGTAAATCGCCCTTGTAAAGTTTGTCTTGTCGCTTGCCTCGCCAGTCATATAGTAGGATGGATCTCCACCGCTCAAAATGACCGGTAGTCCAGCCTCTGCAAATCTTCGAACCTTGTTGATTGTGGCAAGTGTAACGCGTGTAGTACTGGGGATGACAAGAGCCTTGTAGGCAGGGCCGTCCGGAGCAAGGATCCCTTTTCGAACATATGCTTGAGGAATGTCGAAATTATCAGGAGAGATATAGCTGTAGCTGTACCCTGTAAATCAGTAGTTCCCTTCAGTATTGTGTAACCTGTAGAATTTTCATGTCATACTTACCATCGTGAATAATGTCCGTAAGATTCGCCAGGCTAGATGCAAATGTGAAGTCTGTCGCAGACTGCTTATTATAAACAGCAACGTCCGTTTTTAATTTGCCTGTCTGTTGGCTGTATTGGAGTCTGCCAATATACCCCAGAGCATCCGAGAGACCGTGGGTCCATGCAGGCTGTTTATCTGACCACATTTCGGAATAGAAATATGAGAAAGCGGTGTAAGCTGGCCATGTTGTTGACCAGTAATTGCCACTGTAAGGTTGACCGTGGATCACAAATTGATTGACTCCCCCGACAACAGCGCGGTTGATAGACCACAGCAGACGGGAGATCAAATACTGGAATGCCTCCATAGATACTGCACCTATCTCGTTGGAAATGACTCTTTTGCCAGCCAGTACGGCAGGCCCAGAAAACTGTCTGTAGGCATCGATGTTGTCCATGAAACCAAGGCTTTCACACTCGGGCGCATTCACAAACGGAATACTGGCCTCCATGTCCATGGGAAGATTATAGGACACCTGCGCAGACATCTGTAGGTTTAGAGATGACTGCACCCATGCTGTTAGGGTCTTCAGGTACTGCCTGTATCCTTCCACCAACGCGGCTCGGTAATCATTGACAAAGCCAACACCTTGGTCAGGGGTGTCAAGAAGACACTCAATGGCCCCAGGCTCAGATGCTTGCATTGCAACGTTGTTGTTCCCAAAGATGATCAGAGGTAAGTACTTGATCAGGCTATATCCGAACTTCTCTTTAAACACACTGGGAAGCGATGGTGTCCATGAGATGTTGGATTTAATTTCCACACTGTCTTCCCAAGCTGCAAAAAAAAAAAAAAAAAAAAAAATCATTTAGCACTGACCCAACATGACAGAAAGCCTAAACATACCATAATTTCCGACCTGTGTGAGAAGAGATTTGACGTTTTCATTCAAGATATGTTCTTCCCAAAACCTGATCACGGTCTCTGCACCCCGGGCGCTGAAGTGGTCAACGTTGTAGGATCCATTATCGAAAACTGTTTTTGACCCGTTTTTCGATACCTCCAGATTCTTTGAGTGGGTCAGGTGTTGGTAGAATGCAAATAACCGATACCGGGAGCTGTGTAGACTTGGTGGAAAGGCAAGAGATACGTGACCGCCTGCTGACACCTCGGATGTCCGGTCTGCAAGCGTATCATCTTTCAGAATAAGTCTGGAATAGGAAGCAACTCGGGTGCCTGAAGGAAGAGAAGCATTCTGTATGTTTTCTGAGGAGACCATCTCCGCCGATACCAACGCGAGGAAGTCTCCACTTCCCCAACCAGGGATGTTTCCTCGAAAAGAGCCGTCCGCAGCAACTGCCTCTGACGCAGGGACCTGTGAGCGTAAAACAAGATTAGCTTTCGCTCTAGTTCATACACACTCACCCGTACTTAATTCGGCTCTTACCAGATCCCACTGTAGCCCTTCATCTTCGGGATTGGCCGGTACGCCTTGTCCTTGGTTAGGGCCAATAGCAAAGTCCATCACCAAACCAGCATCTCGATGAGCTTCCAATGCGGTTTGAAAGATTCTGTTGAATGCTGGTGTACCAAAGCCATATTTAGACCAATCATCCCCCGGAGGAGCACCCCCAAGGACACCACCAGAGTTATAGAATGGCAGAAATTCCACGCCTCCTACGCCAATAGCTGCTCCCGACATGATATCACGTCTCACTGTCGTCTCTTCGACACTAGAGTCGGGGACCCAGTATCGAAACCGAGGACGGAGAAGTGCGGACGGATTTTGGAAAGTCCCAGGATTAATTTCGGCAGTAACTTGATCATTCGTATCTGCTTGTACCAAATGCACAGCCAAGGCTGATAAAAGGGCTGCGCGAGGCAGATATTGTGATATAAACATCATGCCGCCAATTCCAAGTAATGAAAATCTCTACTAGTAATCAAAATCCGTGGACGGGGTATATCGGGATTTAAGTAGTGAACCCGACAAGGCGCAGTGAATCAAGTAGCCAGGGTTTGATCAGTACTTTGTTGCGCTATGTATCCTTAGGTCTATCCCGGATCCATTGTTTCCGGTCGAACAATAAGAGACTATTTCGGGGAGATCGACACCGCACGTAACCACGGATTTATTACGTGTTCCATATTTCGACATTCATTCCTTCCTATGAATTCATGTTGACCTCACCAATAAGCAAATGAAGATTGTCTTCATAATGGGACCGAATATTGCAAATTTAAGGATTCTAGCAGCAGGAACATGTAGCTTGCTTCCCAAGAGGAAATCCGAGAAAGTGCTTTGATGTGCATTATGCAAGGCACTATAGAATACATATATCAATAGTGAAACCACGCTTCAGCGCACTATGGCCAAGCCGTCAATCTGGGTTGGAGGCGAAAGGTAACAGGCAATAATGGACAAGCAGAACGACTTGCGACATTACATGGCTCCGCTCGAATAACCACCGACACGTTAGGATGGGATTATGACGAAATGCCAATCAGAAAAGCCGCTAGAGAACGAATACGACAAGGAACCCCAGTGAACCTATCTACACGTCTCAGTATGGCCATGAATGCGGAGTTAATATAGTCCTTAAAAGTCGGCGGCGCTGGTGGAATTTCGCAAACTGAAACAAACTTTCGACACCGTTAGTGTACGATTACGATGGATCCGCTTTTCAGCCTGGCGGTCCCGAACAGCGATTAGTATGACTCGGACGACAGCAAGAAAACTTTCACTAAATCCATCGAATATATTTGTTTTTCTGTGGTAGAGTTGTAGTCGCCCTTTCGTATTGTACTTGAATCTTAACCCTTTCCGTGAGTTACGATGATGGGACTGTACAGAGTTTATTTATCACCCGCTAGTGTCAGGTACTAAACTAGGTCCGTGCCTCTGGATCGCTGCCCCGTCCATTGTTCAATTACACTGGCATATCTAGATCCGAGTTAGGTATTTAGATCCCTGCTTGAAAAAGAAGGAGTGTTTTAGGACCATTCACTGCTCGCTCAAAAATAAAAGCCCCAAGACTGTAGACTTCCCACGGGGAAGGAATGGTGTTTGGTATAGAACGCATATCCGAGTGATCTATCCATCTATTTGTCCTATTAGACAGAGAAATCCAGACTTGACGAGTCACCGCAATTTTCCTTCCGGAGGTGATTCTGAACGAAAGCAGGCGCCGTCTCAATGTGTGACAATTAATGCATAGTATTAAGGATCTACTTGTCAGCGTAGAAGGCCCATGGACGAAGTGAAGGGACAATAGCGATTAGGGCTAGAAACGCGGCCTGCATCTTGGGGACGGGAACTAGGTACATCTGGGTGTGCGATCCTTTGGCCTCACCTCTCTCCGAGGGTTTGATATGCTAACTAATGGGATCAGGAATCCAATCGATCGTGAAATGCTTGATAGTCCAATCCCTTGCACCTATTCTGATGAGGAGCGGAAATATTCATGTAACAATGCCTGCCTTTTACCAGCGATGTGAACAAGTACCTTTTTCCGATCCCTTGGCTGCTACGAACTGAAAATTTACTGGATCTTCCGGCCATGAACGTAAATCCTGTCATCACGCTATGTTTATATGGAACGTAAGTCAACATCTTGTTTAGTACTGTTGGAGTAATCCCGAATGATGTGCTTTAATGACTTGTTTAAGCAGCCGAGCTGGATGAGTGGTGCCATAGGCATGCTTATTATTTTACCACATTTGCTAATTCAGTTATATCTTCAGCGTCCCTGCCACTTGACAAATAAGCAGCAAGGTCATGGCATACTAGTCTCATTTATCAAGACCCTGCATAGCTCCTAGATGAGGACGGGGACTCGAAAACCCTGTCTAGGTGGAAATCGCTGCAGCAGGCTCCACTATCTTCACAACCCGCGCGGGGATCCCTACGGCGACACTGAATGGGGGGATATTCTTCGTGACGATTGCACCGGCTCCAATTGTGCACCCTTCTCCAATTGTTATGCCTGCCAGTATAGTGACTCCACCCCCGATCCAGCAATCATTGGCAATCAAGACCTCACGAGCAAATTCCAGTCCGTCCCGACGCGATTGAACGCTCGTTTCGTGTGTGGCGCCGAGGATACTCACATTCGGCCCGAAAGAAACCCTATCGCCTATGATGATGAGGGAGCAGTCGAGCATTGTGGTGCTTCAGACCCAGCCGAGTCAGTATATCTGGACTATAGGTCGTGTTACTTCCGCAGTGGGCTTACTGGAAATTTGCATAGAAGTTATTCCCGACACTTATATTGCAACCGTAATCGACAAAGATCGGTGGCTCAAGGTGGATATTGGATCCAACAGAACCAAGAAGTTGGTCTAGGATGGCCTCTCGGTCGGCTCTAAGTTCATCTGGGGCCGTTTCATCTGGTATGGGGGTGCTATTGTACTTTGATAGAAGTCTTCGGGCACGAAAGCGAGCTTCCGTCAGCTCGTGGATAAAGGGGTTGTACCTAAACATACCCATATCAGAAAGAAGCATTAAGACGCATGGAATATGCGAATCTGCCCATCGCTTGTTCAAACACCAATTGATATGGGAACACATACAGCATTCCAGATATCATTCGCTCATATTGGTCACACCAAGGAGTGTTCTTGAGACCCTTTGCCTGTTCAATCAATGACAATGACCTTTCTTCTCGTGGACTCATCTTCAGAGATAGTTGACGTGTTGACTTTTGACACTTTCAAATTTCACCTTAGCTCCACGGAAGACAGTGTATATAAGTGCACGGAGTTGAAGGATGCTTCAAGGATGGCTGAGATCAGATCTGGAAGTTGCCCGACCCTATTTGGAATTCAAACTTGCTTAGGTCTTCTACAACATATTTATACATGCTTCCTGCTCAATCGGGAGATGGGTGCCTAGTATTCGGGGTGGGTTATGATAGTACGCAGTAGAATGCACGTCAGTGGGATCCACTGTGCGCAGCCAGTGGCTCCTATCCATTGACACAGTGCAGACAACCTAAATGGTGCAATAGGAGGAGTGGAGAAATCATACTTTTCCTAGTTTATTCGTCAACTCCGGGTGTTGACTATTGCAAACCATTGCTGAAGGCAACCGGACCAGGTATCACACGGGGATTAACAAGTTGAAGTCGAGGTCCAGACTCAGCTAAGAAGTAAGGTATTCGTTCAGAATTCTCGGTTCATAAGTATATCGGAGTAACCTCGGAAGGCCCCGCGGTAAGCCAGATACGAACACGATACATTGAAATTCCGAACGGTCGTAACAAGGTTCACTCGATCGACAGGTAGTGTCACCATTATACGGTATCAGCCTGTATTAACAGGACCAACCAGATCAAGTTTACGGGAGTTGATTTATGATATTAACAACTATTGAAGTGGGAATATGGCAGTTCATTGCCAAGAACTGAGGTTTCACAGGCCTCAACCCAGCCATGCTTCTGTAGTCGAGCATACATATGTATCGGCTTAAAAAGAATAAGAAGGCGTCGGATTACTGATAGACCATTTCATGGACAACAGGGGCAGCATGTGCAGCACTCGATACAGAAAAGCCCGGTGCAACTACGGTGTTTAATTAGCAAAAGTGGCTCAAAGAGAGTTTGTAACAAATGTTCACTTACACCCCGCAGCAGACGTCTGCTCCATCACCACCACCACGTAGTTGCACCTGTTGCATCTGGTCGGGGGGAATCTAGGCAAGTTTAGTAAGTACCTCAAGTAAGAGAATGGGTGTTGTGGAGCTTACGGGCTGCTGATCGACGACTCCGTTTGTCACAGGGGAACCTGGGCTGGAAAATTTCTGCGTGATCATGCCATTGACATGGTGCTGTTGCGCTGTTGCCCCTTGGTTGGAGGCCTTGAGAATGCTGAACAGGCTTTCAAACATGTTGCTGGAGATTGTGGTATTATTGGGTGTGACTGGTTGTAACTCGGTGGAAGAGGTTGTGAGACTGTAGATAATTCCTGCTGGAGAACGAAGATTGACAGAGGCAGACGAAAGGAAAAACAGACTTCTCTATGTACAGATTCATCACCACAACTGCGGTCCAAACCCTGGTTATGCTACTACCCTTTATGTGGTATGGCTGCTAGATGGACGACTTGGTTCTTCTACAAGAATAACCGCTCTCCCAACATCTCGTGGTGACACAGGCGAGTTTGTTTCCACAATCCAGCACCAACGGGACCTATTTACCTCGTGGTTTGGGTCCGGAATTCATCGTTAGTGTACGAATACGGATGATATAGGCAGCTTGGTTGGTCGTTGGCTTTGTTAAAGCCAAGGAAGCGTGGAAAGAGACGCCCGCTTAGTCCAGTCGTGATAATGACCTCATTTGAAGCCCCGCGTAAAATATCTCAATTGAAGAGACTGGTTCGATTTGCAAAGAACGAGTCATGTGATCTGAGATCGAGACAATCTCTGCCTCTCTACTTGATCACAATCTCGAATAACATAATCAATGACCGAGCCGGACGAATTATTGTAATTGATCAGAGCCCCAAGCTTCAAGTTACGGTCCAGCCGAAGGTCAAGCTATTCCGATTAGCCCTCGCCAGAACCCACCCAGGAACCCTACCCCAGGCCCGGGGGTTGGGTTGGGTCCTAGTCAGAAGACCCGTGGGTAGGTTGTCGTTTAGCAAACCCAACCCATCTTCCCCATCACTGATTAGCGCAGCATCCTCTTCATCTTACTTTCAGCCCTTCATCCAATGAACGGCCACTGTACTTTAGCAAAATATTGAGCTTTGGAGCATCACATGTTACCGATCCATTCGACACCCATACCCGATTTAATCCTACTTAAGCCCTTGCATTCCTTGAGACAGGAGTGTAGTCTCCCGAGGAACCTGATAAACTGGGACACAAAGAAGGGGCTGTAATGTTCTGCTGGTGGGCTTTGTCGACCCCTAACGTATTTCCCGGTCGAACTGCGCACCCGGCTGAGCTGCGCACCCCAAAATACCATATTAAATGCGATATTTTCAAATCAGATATCTCCACCAGAGCAAGTTCCCTCTGTCTGTTATCTAGTATATTGAGTATTTAGTATACAATAAGCTCTATATGAAAGTTCAAGGTCGATTCAATAATCATTTTGCTCTGTTTCATAAATTACATTGTAATTCAAGGATTTAAGCTAGAAATATATATTAGATAGCAATCATGCCCCTAAAATTTGGTAGGGCTCTAGAGTCGTGCTAGATATGCTATAAAGAGTTTGGAATCATGGAAAGACATTATAATAGCCTATGTTAAGATATTGAGGTGTAATTTATCCATTTAATATGGTGTTTTAGGGTGCGCAGCTCATCCGGGTGCGCAGTTCGACCGGGAAATACGTTATGCACTTTCTCGCACATTGATTTTGCATTTTCTACGGATGCCCCAACCTTACGGATCCGCATACGCCCATGGAACAGATGACGTGGTGGCTATGATTATCACTTATTTATATGCTAGATAATCACTTGTTATTAGTAGGCATGGTGGGTAAGGATTCTTTGTGCAGCCCCGTTAAGAAAGTACCCTTATTTAGCGCAAGTTATATTTCTACGTACATTGTCTATTGGCGCTTAACTCTAGTAATACCTTGCTCACGGATAGTCGTGCTACATTTTGCTAATATAAATTGCCTAACCGCCCTCTCTTGTGCACTCCGCCTAACTCCTTCGGTCCTTGCTATCCTCTTCCTTTCATGGAGTATCGTAATTCCACTTGCTTCTGAGACTGCACATACGAGTGCAACATATGATCCTGTGGTCTAGCTGAGTCGATTATACCGATTTAGCCCCCATATGCATCCCGCCAGACATGCCTGAAAGATAGTATTCTATAGGCTGCTCTATACCACGAAGTTGAGTTTCCACGAGGAGGTAGGCGGGGTGCGAAGTGTATAATGAGTAGAGCTTTGAGAAATTAGAGTGGTGCTTCTTGGAGAGCCCGGCGGCTTTTATAGACCGTCGTAATGGACCAAGGGACGTTGGTCAAGGCCCTTCACTAAATTTTTGGATCTATGAAGCGCTGTCTTACAACCCTCACTATTCCTAGGCGTCAAGGGTGTTGATGGATATGACACTCAGATCTCCCCTGTATACCACGACGCGAAAAAGGTGATCATTTGAGGAAGCAATATACTTAGTTGGGAATATCAACGATCCTCGCCTGTCGATTTACAAGATCCTTTCAGATCAAGAAAAGTAATGCATCATATCTACCCCAAATTAGAGCTACTAAAACCCTTTTAAAGTCGCTTAAGTTCTGATGTGTAAATCTTGAAGCAAAAGCAAAGTAAACTTCAATTGTTTGCACTATGAGATTTCGGAAAAAGGGAAAGATTCTCGAAAGATGTGAGGCAGGAGATCGCCAACAAAATTCGGTATCTATTTACTGGTACTCCGGGAACTCTTCAGCAGTCCACACCTTCCAGACGAGTCTTTCCCCACTGACGGTGCCACTTCTCATAATATCCAGAGCAGTGCTAGCTCGCTCTAATAAGGTGTTACCTTCAATGACTCGTTGTTTGTTTGGTTCAATTGCCCCTTGAGAAAGGAGAGTTGGCAAAATATCCGGCATGAGATTGTCCTTCAGAAAGGCATTCTGGAGAGACTTTAATAAATAATTTGAAATATTGTGCACGAAAAGAACATTACTTACCGCTTCATAGGTGTAGCTGACAATGCTATGGACTTCAACACCTGGTACCCAATCTGCCTCCTTAGAGACATCAGCAGATAGCTGCAGTCCGTTCTCATCAGACGGACCATTGATTACAACTGGTAGAACAGCTGCAACCTTGGAGCCTGCTTGGTTCGCAATCTGTGAGATAGGAAGCAAGGAGCCGAACTTAGAGTCAACGCAATCAAAAACACGAATAGCCTTGGAAGGTTTGTTTGCGTTCAAAAGATCCACGATAGAATCCACAACATCAGGGCTGCGATAATCAATGACATGGGCTGCACCATATCTTTTGAGCTTCCCTTCATGCTTGGGGGATGCAGTGACGATGACATTCTTGTATCCCCAGTACTTCAGAATCTGGACCGCAAACTGACCAACTGAGCTACCACCACCCCAGATCAGGATCGGAATTTCGTGGTTGTGAGACACAAAGCCTTGAGGGCAGGGCCATGGCAGCTGAATCTCAAACTTTTCTGACAGAGCATGGAAAGCGGTCACAAAATTCGTGGGAATGGTAACTGCAGCGGCAAGGGAGACTTCGTCTGGAATCTGTCCAACAATTTAGTCTTCTGAAAACTAGAGATATATATGCATGGAATGTGCAACCAACCTTTCCAAAGAGATGTTCGGGTGCAGTCACATAAATCTGTTGACCCTTTTCCTCTTGGGTGTGGAAGACGAATCCAAATACTCGGTCGCCGACCTTGAGGCGGTGGACGCTGGAACCGACTGCGACTACAGTTCCGGCAACACTGTCACCGAGACGTAAAGGAAACTGAGCCATCAAGCCGGCATCAACCTGGAAAACATCCAGTGGTGCAGATGGTATCCATTCTGCTCGAACTTGAATGTCATGCTGCTTTGGGGTAGCAGTAGAAACTTGCTGGAGCGTCAATGGCTCTTTGATGCCGGTAGCGATGATTGCGTGATGAGTAGACATTGTTAACTAAACGGAATTCTGATACTTTTAAAGTGATGTTTAAAAACCAGGGTCAACTAGTTGTGCTTTATATATTGCCGGTACGAAGAAGAACTTACTACTGTGGGTCGATGAACAATACGCTTACATTTACTAATCGAGATGCAACCCTGGAAATTGCTTTCTACCTGCTACTATTACTTAAACTCATATAATTTCTATACAAGTGGGTCGGTTACCGATTTTGATAACTGAGGTGGCCAGAACAGCCTCGAAATAAACCATCAACCTGTTCCTATTACTAACATAGAATTTGACGCCAGTGAAGTACTCTCTCACCCCTCTTCACTCTCCACCTATTAGTTGAAACAAGAATTTCAGGCGATCCTCGCAAAACCCATCCCCACTTCTTAGCAAATCCCTCTGTGACCTCCCAATTTCGAGGATCCCAAGGTGTCCCCCAAACAAGCAACGTCGCGTCACTACGACGAGTATCCCAGAAAGCAGTAAGGTCATGACACAACTCATCATCATCAAGAGAATCCCCAGCCAGAATTAGGTTGTCCCTCATTCGCGGGAAAGGGAAAGCATCAAGCCATGGATGATGCGGGACTTGCTGTTGCAGAGATGTTGCTCGTAGACTGAGAGGAATAGCATGATGGGACAAAGCCGGACCTGCGAGACTGAGGATCGAAACTGCATCATCGCGGCACATCCACTCTGCACTCATGCCTAGAGCAAGGACATTATCATAGGCTGCACGCAGGATATTCATTCTGCTTAGATTGATAAGCTGATCTGTTTTCGGTGAGCTTTCTGTGAAATTCTTCATGGCCATCCCTTCAAACTCATGCATAAGCTCATGTACAGTTGGAGGTGCGAATGTGCATTGGGTATGTTGCTCTACAGATAAGCTGCATGCGATGACGGCGAGGTGTGCAGATGTTTCAGCATGACCCGGGCTAGTGTCGATATCCCTGATCCCATTGCTCCCATTGATTTTACTTTCATGTAATCTTTCAGCTTTTTCTTTTGCCTCCTGGCGCAAACCTGTGTTCCAGAGCATTAGTGGAAAGGTGCGTACCCACGATAAAAAGATTTATGACATACGGTATGCTCTCTGATTCAGGCGGTTTTGCAGTCTCCGCCGTGTAGCTGAATTGGAGACGCCGGACCAATCGTCAATTGGTGAAAGGGCTTCTGATTGCGGTAGTCTCCGCTGTGACTTGGGTGGCGCAAGTGGTATCCGAGACATGAAGAGCGTTAGGTCGGCCGTGTGATATCTCAGAATTCACAATGTGCGCGTTGACGATTCGAAGATTGACAAGACGTGTATAGCGCTGAAGTGCAAGGTGCTGACGGATCAAGCAGCATTGGTCAGTAATTTAGCGGTCCGAAGCTTAAGGTGAGGCGATTTGCCCCACATTTTAAGTTGCTTACACCCCACTCTACTTATTTAAGCCAATGGGACAATCCTAACCGTGGAGTATCAGAGTCTAATGTCCGTAAATTCCGTCCGTATGTCCGAACGCCTGTAGCAGGAGAACCAGTACCGTTGCCGCTTCATAACCTGTTCAATCTCAGTTGGACGTCACTGTCAACGTGCAAGTCCCCAAGCAGGGAAGTAGAGACAACCAAGTCGTTCTTATAAATTGACAAAAAAGCGCATCCAAAGCCCCGCTGGAATGCAGGGCACCGATAATATTTTCATCTCCTTGGGCTGTATGATTACATGTGGAGAGGAGCAAAAGCATCTGGAGTAGAAGTCCCCTGTGCTCCCATCCAACACAAGTTGGACAGGAAGGAAATTGACGAGGATCGAGACTTGAGGGTTGAAGTTCTCTAGCCGAATGCTTAGGGGGCAGTGTTTAGAGATACTGTCATAATACTTCAACAGGGACTATCAATTTGCGCAACAAGTCTGAATGGGAACGAGTTGCCTCCCTCTCTTAACCACTATTAGGTAGAGGGTAGGCAAAGGTGCCTAGCGGTATTACGATGAAACTTCTTGGAAAATTTCGACATTGAAGATTTGATTTAGGATTCTGACATTTTGTCAAAGAACTAACTAATGTTTGCAAGACTGGAACAAGAAAAAGGCAGCATAAGAGTAAAGACCAAAAGCTGTTTTATACATCAGGTAAATTGAACGCCGAGTGCTTAACATGAAAATAAAATTCCACACAACAAAATTGGATCAAACACCAGCAGAGAAAGAAAACTGTACAAAAGCGTAACTCAATGGCATTGTATTCTATGTCAGAAAAACAGCGTATTCCGATAGTTCGGCAGAAAAGCCAGGGTGATGACTCTCAAGATTGACAGTTTGTCTCGTGTCAAATCATAGGCAGAGAAATTGCGTGAGGATTTAGATCCTCAAATATGTTCGTGAAAATTCAAAGTTGTCCAAATCCCATATTTCCCATTGGAAATCCAAATGTCCCAAGTATCGTGTCCCGTTTCCATCCATTCCGTGAATTGTGAGCTTTGTCGTGAGCTCATAGGTATTATTCATTTCCCATTTGTGTCGTCCCGCTATAAGGTGGGTATGTCGCAGGTGAAGAAGAAGTAGGAGTAAAAGCAAAAACAAAAAGGAAGTCGTGTTGCTTGACAATTCGGGTCGATCAACCGATCATTCATCGTCGGTCAGTTTCCGAATCAGGCTGATGCTCAATATCATGACCAGGAGGCCAACTGTCACTATTACTAGTAAGACAAAGCCGAACCAACCTAACACCATGGCAGAAGATCCGACGCCACTCTTGACACTGCCGTTCCCCATATCTTGGGCGATGGTGCTTGCTGCGACAGACGCTGTATGCTGCCATAATACAGACACGAGAACAAACACAGAGGAGACAAAGATCAGTGCGAGCGCAGCCTGAGACACAGGTCGCGAAGGGAAAGGCTTGACCTCACGCTCCGATCCAGAGTCATCGACCTCCTCGTGCCAGCCGGGAAAGGTAGCGAGAAGGATGAAGCAGAAGAATGCAAGAATGACCGCGACAATGCTGTGTGATGATTAGCAAATGGCAATAATTCGTATTTTGATCGACTCACAGGAGGTATGGGAACACAACAGCATCCTTGAATGTTGATGCAACCCAGATCAAGTTGAGTGGGTCTTGGTCCACAGTGACAATCTCGGCCAGGGCTGTCGCATTGGCATTGCAGATGAATGAGCCTCCATCGGGCTGGACACAGATACCAAAGTATCCAACTCGAACTTCCAATTCTGCGCCGCCAACAATGTTCGAGATGGCGGTTGCAACATCTGGCTGCACTTGTGCGAGATCTCTGATAGGATTGTACTTTTCATAGTATAGTGAGATTAGGAAGATGTTGGGGATCTGTGGAGATGATGAAGAGCATCCAGCCAACAACAGTGCTAGAGGGTGTTAGTGATATTCCAAAGAAGCATAGCAAAGAATTTTGGCAGGAACACTCACATAATAGGATGATTGCGACTGCGATAATGATCATGAGAACGTGGTGGTACCCGATCATAGGAATGAAGCCTGTGTCATATTTAGCTATAATGTCTTCGTGCTTTAAAATAAACAAAAGATTGTCACTTACGGGCCCATTTTTGAGCGAAGGGGGTTGCCATTGTGCCCAACGATTATCAACACCAGGTTGACCGTTCACTTGTCTTGACTCACTTCTCGGATCCCCGAGAAGGAGTGTCTGGAACCGAATGCGATTTCAGAACTCAACCTTTCGCCTAATAGACCACTTGTTGAGTTGTGTGATTGGCGTCGATGACAATTCCTTCGGTTATCAAGATTGTTGGAATGTGGAGGAAGAATGCAGAGAATAGAATAGATATCGGATCGTTCAGGTTGTGTTCAAGGTTAGAACACACAGGAGAATGCTCAAACGTGTTGATTCTCTGTGGTATCCGGTTCACACCTGTGGATTTTTGAGATAGGTCAGAGATCTGTCTAGACGCCTGTACGGTATACAACGGAACAGGTGAAAAGTGTATGAAAGAGAGGAATGTGTAGAAGGAATGGAAGGAATAGGAAAGAAGGGACCGTAGCTGGCACAAAATTCCACGTCACACTGAGAGTCTCTCAAGAATCTGGAGGCTGGGGATGAGGCAAGTGTATAGGAATATGGGAGGCTGGGCCAACCACCTTTGTTTACTCACCCGCTTCCCTAGCAACCTAGGACGACCGCCTTCCTCTCTCGGTAGTTCTGCCCTCAGACACGGGCTAGAGGGTCTGTGCTAGGCCCGATCTTGACTAGCGCAGATCCCGATAAAGTTGGGCCCACCTGAAGGCGCCACGCGATTCACCCAACCTCGTAGATATTCAATGTTGGGCTTACAATCTGATTACTCTTATGTCAAACTTCCAATATGCTGATATTTCAAAGCACTATCCAATGCTGTAACAATATACCTAACAATATCAACACAGTTGCGCCAAATAGAACCGAAAAAAAGACCAGTGGCCCAATGCACTCCGGCTCCCAACATGTTATCCCAATGCTCCCTAACCCAATAGTGTAGATGCTATGCCTAATTTGCTGTAAAAGAAAAGCGCTTGAGATCCAAAGGAGTGGCGGAGAGCCCAATGCTGGACTCTTCCTCATCATCCTCGCTGTCAGGGACGATCTGATCCTCGCTGCCTTGGGTACCAATGGTTCCAGTAAAAGAGGACTCTTTCGAGACTGGGGAAGATTGTTCGGCCCAAGACCCCGCAGCGGCAGCATCCCGAAGTTTGGTAGGGAGGTTGATAGATTTAGAACGAGCAAGAGCAGCGTGTCCCATGCGCTGGAGAGGCGTCAGGCGCCGTTGAGCCGTATTTCCGCGTGAAATGCTGCCTGTCTTAGGCGTCGACGGTGGTGGGGGCCGGTGAGACTGGATCACGGGGATCTTCGTCATGGGGGAGCGAGGTGTGGCAGCCTCCAGCGTTGGTCCAGACTGAAATGTGAACTTAGACAGAAGAGTCGAGTTCTGTCGGTCAACGTGATACTCAAGAGCCTCATTGAAAATTGGAGAGTTGGTGGGGTCATCTCCAGGTGAATTGTGGGGTTTCTCCATATCTGTGCTTGTCGATGCCCCACTGTCTGTAGATTGGGAAGTAGGTATTTTGGCTTCACTCTGCTTGGTAGGGGTTTCGGTATTGCTCTCAGGTTTTGAGTCACCCAGCCCAGGAGTGGCACTCGGGTCTGGAATGCTGGACATGATATCTTCTGCGACATCGTCAGAGAAGACATCCATCACGGATTTCCGTGGCTTTTTAGATCTAAAGAGCTTTTGTCCACTGGGGCTAGTTTGTTCATTGCTGGGGGCAAAGAACCGGCTGCGCGCGGTGGGGCATGCGGGCAAAGAGTCTCCTTCAGTCTCGGAGCACAGTCTTTGTCTCTTGGTCGGTTGCAAAGTCGACGAGCTTGCGCTTTGCGCGAGGAAAGAGGACCGCTCGACACTCCGGATCATAGGGCTAAGACCTTGATCGGAGAATGCCCGGAGAGGGGTGGACCTAACAGAGTTTGAACGGAGGGGCGCCGGGTTCGCCTGCCAGGAATGGTTAAAATTGCGGTCCAACAGTCGCTGCTGGCTGGGCGACGGTGTCAAGCTGTTGGGATCCAGTTCGGCCAAAGGGGTCCGCTTCGGGGTAAAGAACGAATTGATAGGCTTTCTCGGCTTCAATTCGGAGGAAGTCCCCAATGTCTGGCGACGATTGATGCCAAGAGACCCTTTATTGGTAGACAGTGGCTTTATGCAAATGCGCTCCTTGGTAGTCGGATCCAAGTCACCCCGAGAGACACCAATAGCAATTTCGGGTTCCATATCTCCACCAATGTATGGCAGCTCATCCAAATTAATACCCTCTTCCGGCGGTGACAAAGTAACCAGCTTTTCAGCCTTGTGACAGAAGACCCGCTGGTAAAGGAAAGTTAGCTCGGCCTGATTGAAGTTGGCCTGGTAGTCGGCCGGGACTCGGAATTGGCCCTCGAACTGGAGCATGCGTAGAGCTTTTTCAACAGTCTTGTGCTTGCGAATGACTCGGTATGCAGTCTTCAGTCCCATCTTCGGAATATTTGCCAAGTAATCACAACCACTCAAAATGCACATGCGTCTGAAATCCGCATCACTCCAGCCAACCAGGCTAACCTCACGACAAGCAGTGAAGTCAGCCCGGTTTATCTCAATGCATTCTCCATGCTGGTCCAGTTTGGAAAGCAACCGCTTGGCTCCAAAGACAAGCAAATCGGAGTCCTCTGATATGATCCCATGGATAACGCCCTGCTGCTCGAGATACACCAACTGCGCATCTGCCTCGTATGGTGCCACCACATATTCCACGTTCATTTGCTTCAGTTCCTCAATCAGTTGGCGGGCCATGTAGGGCGTCACGTCAACAGCCTTTTGAAATTCTTGGTATGCCTCCGGCATCCTCCCTTTCCGTTGCAGTTCGAGTCCTAGAGCCTTGCTTTCCTGACGCCGCCGGTGCCGATCCTGCTCCGTGCCTGACTTGCTGGGCAAATTGTCGCCGTCGAAGACGAGATAGGGCTTTACTCCGAAAAAGAGAAGCATGCGGACTCGGTTGAGGACGAAATCGAGGTGCCTGTCATAAAATGAGCATCTTGATCAACGGTGTGTTTTGTGGAGCAGTCAAAAAGCCATACTTCCTAGTGGGATTGTCCAGGACTAGATCCACGGAACAAGCAACGGTACCACGGTGCAGCCATCCATATGCATCAACTCCAATGGTTTGCCCACTAAATTTCTTGATGTGACATGGCTTCTGAATGGACTTGAGAAGCCCGTGAAGTCCTAGTCTCCATGTTAGGATTGTCCATGTGCCCTTGGTAAATGCCTAGCAACGTACCTTTAATACCCATGGTGGACACCGTTCGAGGCACAGGCGGGTCCTCGTATTCAGGCAATAAATGGTAACATAGGCTTCCAATTTCGCAAGCAGCCAAAATGTAACAAATATAGTGTCAGACCCAAGTTGAAGATGAGTTAAACAGACGAGGGAGTAAATAACTCCACAGGAATGTTCGTTCCCATCTCGACGCGCAGGACGCGCTTTTGGCGAGTGGGGAAGGCGGTGATTTCGGGTCACCGCCCAATTCTGCAGGTGCATCCCAAGAAAATTATCATCGCGGATTATGGAGTGATTTTCTCACCAGAACCACAATCATGCCTGTTACTCTTTCGAAAGTGCATAAGCAGATTTCCAAGAAGCGTGGTGTTGTCAATGCGCTTCATGAAAACAGCCGCGATGCCCAGCGACTCCGTAAGGCCGGTGCTCGAGATGATCGATTGTCCCGCCATTCCGCCACTGTGCTGAGAGCCCGCCAGCCATACAGTGAGACATATTCACACATTATCTACGGGCCACTCAACTGACTTGACTAGTGGATCGCATTGATCATATCTATGAGGCAGTGCAAGATATGTCTGACGCCCTTTCGGACGAAGAACTGGCTGAATTTGTCAAGAAGTATGTACTGCTCGCAATTACTACACTGTACTTGATGCTTACATCTATCAGTTACATCAACCGTGATACCCCCGAGATTGAGCAACTTCAATCCGAGCGACGGAAAGGACGCCCCCCAAGCAAGCGGGAAGAGGCCTTGAAAGAGCGTGTGCAGGCCGAAGATAGGGAATTCACCACCGGTCTCTGGATGCCCGACCTCAGTGATTCATATGTTATGACAACCTTGAAGGCCTGGAACAGAGATTGGTCAGGTCTCAGTGCTATGAAGTTCATCCGATTCAAGAAGAACGGAGAGAAGCTGGCATCAAGCTTCCCTCCCAATCGCATGTCATGATCACGATTGCTTTGATTTTTATCTTTATTTTATATTGTTTGGTTTCCAAAAAGAACTGGGTTGGCGCATGATGGGTACATTGATTCTTTTAGATTCTGTACCGCCGAATATTCAAATATACCTCAATTCAACTGCATTAACTAGATGTTTGAGTAGACGTAAAGCCGAACCGGAGAAGTCTTGGCATTGGCAACATCATCGGGTTAGCTCCTCCATCTTTTCCTAAGCTCTCATTTTCCTTCACCATCCCATAATTTCATCCACGTTCACAATGTTGTCCCTTCGCACTATCTCCCGCTCTGTCCCGCGCACCTTTTCGCGCTCCATTGCGTCTTCGGCTCTGCGCCCATCAACACTCGTCAAGCCCGCTCTGCGCCAGCCCTTGAAGCAGGCTGTCAAGCCCGCCTACGCTGCTTTCTCAACCGCTTCCGTCTTCAAGGCCCCTGCATCTGAAGGTAAGATGAATTCTTTAGCTTTGGATTGAGTCCGTGGGATTCCGGTGTTGCTTGATCGCAGACTCGACGTATGGCCTGAGGCTAACTTTCGATTGTTATTTTTCTTCAGGCGATATCGACCTTCTCGCCAAGCTCCAGGATGAGCTGAAGCATGAGAAGTCTTCTGACATCCCCGAGTTCGAGGAGCAGCAGGAGAACATCGACGCTATTATCAAGAATGGCGAGTGGACCGTTAAGGACGTTGAGGGTGAGCAGGAGGTTATTCTGTCCAAGAAGTTTGGCAACGAGACGTACGATCTCCACACCTGATTCATTTACATTTCGGCATCATGGCCTTTTCGATGCCGATAACAATGCTGACACAAATGATCGTTTAGCATCCGCGTCAGCTTCACCGTCGCCGACATCCAGAACATCAGCGAGCAGGATGAATTCGACGATGCTGCCCTCAGCGATGAGCTGGACTTCCAGAACCAAAACCAGGGTGCTGAGGAGCTCGAGCAGCCCGAGCCTAGCTTCCCCGCCCGCGTTAACGTCACCATCGAGAAGGCCAGCAACGGGGCCCTCTTGATCCAGACCGTCGTTCAGGACGGTGTCTTCCAGATCGAAGAGGTTTCCCACTTCGCCAAGGCCGAGCTCGCCCAGGCCCAGACCGCTGAGAAGGACTGGGCTCGTCAGAGCCTCTACGCCGGCCCTCCATTCGAGAACCTCGATGAGGACCTCCAGGGTCTCTGGGAGCGCTACCTCGAGGAGCGTGGCCTCAACGCCGAGTTTGCCAACATGGTCCCCGACTATATTTCCGTCAAGGAGCAGAAGGAGTACCTTCGCTGGTTGGATGGTATGTTCTCTGTCCTAGGTCGGTCGTGATTTCGAGACCTGCTTGCTAACTTTCTTTCAGCTGTCAAGAACTTCATTGGCGCTTAAATCATTTTTTCCCCTTACCCTATCCGACTCTCCCCTTTATTCTTCAGGAAAAGTCTTTTGATCAAGGCAACCCTGTTTGTCTCGAAGAAGGCCTTGTCCGATCTCCATATCCTGGGTCCGCTTTAGTGCTACTACTTCTGCGACTTGATTTGTACCAATATCTCTCAATATACAACCACTTCGATTGGAATATGACTGAATTAGTCTCTACCTTTTCATACAAAGTAAATCCCGATCCCGTACAGCCAAATATTACTACTTTGTCTTTTGCGACAATATTTGCCATGACATGATACTTTCCAGGTCCCCCAGTCCCAACTATAGAAGATATGTTATGGTATAGAAGTCATAGGCCAGCTTGCATGTCTTCATGCCATCTGTATGCAGCATTGATCAATTTGCTTCGCTATTTAAGAGTAGTATCGGCAACTCAAGGCGGGAAATACCATATTCAAAGTATAACTGAGACAGCTTGTTTCTATACTAAGACGTACAGGAGAACAGCCATTGATTGAATAGCGCCATATATTCTATCAAATGGGAGGTAATTAATGCATACTCTGAATTCAGTGGTCAAACATTCACTTCCATGCAAAAGAAACGCCCAACTCCCGTCGAGAACACAGAATCACCATCAAGGTCCAGAAGACGATGATTGAAGAAAATTAACAGAGCATAACGTCATAATCCTAGGAGATACCACCATGCTAAAAAGCACATGAACATACCTACATCCACTAGAATTCCATTGGATCCGCCTTGATGCCGGGTCCACTCTCGTCGCGCTCACGCTTGCCTGCCCGCTCTTCTTTCACAAGCCCTGCGATGAATGAACGGAAGAATTCGATATATGGCTTGAGACTAGTCTTCTCGTAGTCCTGCAGCTTGCGACTACCCTTCATGTCAGAGCCGTTCACCGCACTGCCTTCGTCAGGAACTTCAGCTTCCGCTGTACCAGCAGGGTGCTTCGCATCATATTCGTCAATCTCCGCGAGCAGGTTCATCACTGTTGGAACGGACAAAGGATCGAAGTCTTCGGCCTTGCGGGGGTCGATTGGTACACAAATACGACCAGTACCGGGGTGGATGACGAATGGACTCTTCAGCAAGTGAATCATCTTCTTACTGACTTCAGCATCCAGACGTGGGTAGGTATATTCCAAGACAATGTCTTGCTTGGCGTCTCGAAGGGTGGCTGGGTTTAGCGTGCTGCTCTTACCAGTCTTGGCGAGTGAATCAATGTCAGCCCACTTGCTGGTGCTGGCACGGCCTGGTGACGAGTCCCATTTCTTCCGCAGTGAATCGTTCAAGGTCTTATCGGGCAACAAGGCCAGAAGACGCTCGGCCTGCTCGGCACTCTCGAATGTGTCTTGGTCGCCGAGCGTGGTTCGAGCAAAGTCATTTTTGAGCAATTCAAGACTTCGGACAACATGCGGATGCAATGGTCGTTTGATGTTCACGCGTTTGCCGCTCTGCGAGCCACCACGGAGGATTTCAAGATATCCAGCAATGGCCCGTCGTCGATCATCTGGTAGATTGCGTGCACGCGGGTCGCAAACCCAGGCGTGAGCACCACGACGACCTGAGTATACCCACAGAATGTGTTCAAATCCAAAATCCTCCCGGAGGGCGGTGTCAATGACCTTGATTGCCATTGTTACGAATGACCAGCACTTGGCACAAATATTCGCCTTCACACAGCAAGTACGTATGTCGTCATAATCAGTCAAATCAATATCGAAAACCAATTCCTTCGACACGGGCTTCATTTGGCCGCCTCGTAGCGTTTTGCGGTCGCGGGGATTGGTACTATAGACAGGTCCGATTTCGAAACGAGAAGGGTTCATTTTCAGGATGTCCTTACGGAACCTTATCAAATCCATGTCAGTTCGGACGAAACATGATAATCATGAGGGTTGCAATTGAGCCTTACAGGTCTGCAGTGGGGTATGATTGGTATCGGAGATAGGCGTCATTTTGGAGGGTGAGAGCAAACTCGCGATTTCCGAAGTCTTTAGTGGGTACAATTCCGTGGTTTAGCCACTGAAAAAGGTATCTAAAGGGGAACAGTCGTTGGTAGAAAGCAAGCATGATATCCTGGTCCACACCAGAGGGCACAGGAGCCGGCCTGTTGAGGGTAGTCGATCAGCTACAAGGTCGTTTCTGCGCAAGACATCACTCACTCCTCCTGAGCTGCTGGGGATTTCATGTTCGCGTCAGGAGCGCTGGAAGCAGGAAACTCATCATCGTCATCGTCGTCGAACATGTCCGCCAGCTTGACACCGCTGTTTTCGGTCGAGGTTTCAACCGGAGGAGCGTCCGGCATCTCATCATCAGGTTGCGCTGCACCGGTAGGCGATACAGAGTGAGGCATTGTGGGGGAAATGGCGATTGCAGATGGACTGAGTTGCCAATTAAACACCCCAAACGGGAAAGAGCGACGCGCGACGCGTGAGAGACCGTGCACGCGTCTGCCCTATGCCCTAGGTCACGTGTTGACCCAAAAGGGCAATTTCCTATCTATGGCTGCATTCGGACGTCTCTCCTGCCTGCCTCGAGGCAGTTTCACGTTGAAGTGACTGGCCAAGCAGAAAGAGCCGCGAAAAGATTCTGACTACCACCGTTTGCGGATAAAATCCTCGCTGTACCTATCGCCCATCGCTAGGAACCTTGGATGACATTTAGACTTCCCAGGTAACCCGATGGTTACCGAGTGTACAGCAATGGTACGACACAGGTCAGAACCTCTCCTGAGTTCAGTTCCTGGAAGAACCCCATTATCTGTTTCCGGCGACAGGTCCATCAACATGTTCTAGTGAAGACTTGACCACATCTGGTGCGAAAGCGAGAGCGACATCTCGTCGTCGATGACAACCAACGACGCCACAATCGGTGATCCTCGATGAACTGCTTCCATCTAGAGACATTGTGAACTTTTCGGGATCGCCTTGCTCGGGCCATGTCCAAGCTCTGTACATTCTTTCAAGGTGGCACCCGCCAATAGGACGATTCTGCACCCAGTCGGATGCCATTCCCACATTCCAATGTACCCCAGACGACGCTCTCATTCGCGAATGGCCCTCTGCTGCTCTTGCTCGACGGTCTTGGGGACTTTTCGACGGGAATGGACCTGCGTTTCCAGGAGCTTTACCCCAATCAAAGGATTCTCTACCTGTCAATTGTGGTTCCCATCCCAATATGATGTCCGTGCCACACCAGGCCCCAGCCACTAGACTATTGACGGCCTCCGTGTCCGGAATATGTGTCCTTGGCTATGATAATTTCATAGCCAAAGCTCTCCTTTCGGACAGTTTTTGGTTGAGTATTGAAGTATTGAATCAACATACTCGAATCAGATCTTCTTCAGCTAACATTGAGGTAATTTGCAATCTAAATGAAGCAACATCCAATCGGCTAACCATTTTCTTGACAGATCTTGCAGATCCGGAACGGGTGCTGTCGATCTTCGATCTCTTTTGCTTTAAGTTTCCGCATTTGGCCACTGTATGGAGACCTTCTGCGCTACTTACCGAAATGATACTGCAGATTGTCACGTTTGCATCTGAGTCCACCATATCAAGGTATCATTGCTGAAAATTTTCATCCAATGACCTTGCATTCGGACCTTGGTCATCCGCTGTTGAGCTGTCACTGTTCCTGCATTCAGCCTTAGATGGTGACATTGTGGATCAGGTCTGCCTTTTTACTCCTGGGCACGACCGTGGCACGTACGCCCATCATGACTGATCGCAAAGGGCATATAAACTCGCGTCTCTCCTGTCGAACTTTCTTTCTCTTCATCCATTCCATCTTCACTCGTTATCTTCAAGTTCGTTAGGCAAGACCTTAATTTCTCGAAATGATCAACTCCGTTGCTCTTCTGGCCCTTGTTGCCAGCCCGGCCTTTGCCGGTGTCATGCAGGCTCGTGGCGAGGACTTCATCCGTCCCGCTGCTGAGACCTCTGCCGTCGTTGCTTCCCACCACGCTGAGGGCTGGGGTGAGACCTGGTCCAAGTCCGCTCACGAGACCTGGACCCGTCCCACCGACAAGCATGAGTCGACGACCACCCCGTGCACCACCTCGACCACCTCGACTCGCACTCACACCACCCCGACTCACACCTCGACCACCCCGGTGCACACCCACACCACGTCTCACACCCCTGTGAACCCGGGCACCACCAAGACCCTCACCATTGTGACCACCACCTGCCCTGGTAAGCTTTTCTCAACCGCCTTGACTCCTAATCCACCTGCTAACAAAGGTCCAGTCACCACCTCTACCCACACCTCGGGCTCCAAGACTTTCACCGTCCCTGTCACTGGAACAAGCACCATCACCATCACCAGGACCACCGTCTGCACCCTGTGTGAGGAGAAGCCTTTGACCTTCCACAACGCTACTCAGCCAGCCACTGCTGGCCCCACCGCCCCTGTCCAGACCACCAGCGCCGTTGTGATTCCTTCCGTGAAGCCCGCTCCTTCTCAGCCTGCTTCCTCCATTCCCGTTGTGCCTGCCCAGAGCCAGCCCGCTCCTTCCCAGCCCGCTGCCACTCGGCCCGCTGTCCCTGCTGCCTCCCAGCCCGCTGCCTCCAGGCCCGCTGTCCCTGCTGCCTCCCAGCCCGCTGCCTCCAGGCCCGCTGTCCCTGCTGCCTCCCAGCCCGCTGCCTCCGTGCCTGCTGTCTCCCAGCCCGCTGTCTCCAGGCCCGCTGAGACCCAGCCCGCTGCCGTCCAGCCCACCCCCGAGCAGCCCTCCGCCCCTCAGCAGCCCGAGCAGCCCGCTGCCTCGCCCAGCACCTTCGTTGGTGCTGCCTCCAACGTCCAGCCCGCTGCCGGTCTCCTTGCCGGTATCGTCGGCCTCATGGCTCTCCTGTAAACCAGTTGAGTAGCTACTGATGGCCGATCCGCCCTTCGGGTGTGATCTGGTTGGGGTTGAGCAAAACCCCCAACTTCTCAGTTCCTGGCCTCTTCTGGTCTTCGTGGTGCAGATCAGAGAGTCCTCGTGGGATCTTGAGTATCACTTTGTGTCTGTCTTGTTGTATGCTCCGCTTGGTCTTCTCCTCTCCTGTTCTTGACAGGGCCGGGAGGTGGGAAACAAGAGTTGCTTGGTCATTTCGAGATTTTTGTCTTTCTAATTTGTTGGACCTATAATAAATACGCTAATAGTAATATATAGAGTCTTATGCTGGATTCTTTTCTCATTTGATGTTCTTCATTGACACTAGTATACACTTAAAAGTATTTACATTCAAATGGATTTGCTTGAGTGGTTTATTTCTGTATCAATAGTTCCTATCAACTTCAGTGTTCAGTTGAAAACTTTATCGACACCCTGGCTGCCGCACTATTCGTAGTGAAACACCACTATGTATGGCTCTACCTTGATTTTCCTACCTCCTACGGGGATCCAAGTCGAATCCTGTTAACGGATATCCGGATTGGTAGCAAATTCCACGACGATACCGCAACCGGCACAATTCCCCTAAGTTGATACCAAACACTGCCTGTAGAACAGGGCTAAATATGACGTCGTGTTGTGGCATTGGCCTGTATGAGAGAAATACCATTGTTTATATGTGCTCTGGCTTAATACATCCAGCGATACAAAACGAAACATCCTGCCACAATTTCTCCAGATCTCCTACCCATTCTGACCAAATCCAAACCGAGCAAGGTCATAGTACTGACTTTTGATACCGATAGGAGCGCAGCTTCCTGTAATGGCGATGGCACCAAGTCGAATCCCATCTGCACTGTAGACATATTCCTCATGGGACTGAGTAACCCAGTAGTTGAACAAAGCACGTCTTGGAAGCAGTGGTGCAAGTGAGTAGACCGGCAACCTCAGCGTCATGGTGACTGACTTTGTCGCTCTTGGAGAACACAGCAGATCCCGCACCACCCTTTCCGGCGACAAAGGCACTCGCGCAATTATTGAATAGGTTAGCCGGCTCAAGGCCAAGACGTCCCTCTCCGAGTGGTCGCAATGAATATCGAACAATTTAATAGCACGGAACGTTACCCGTTTTCGACCAGCTTGTTACAGATATCCTCGAGTGCATGATTGCTAAACTCAAGAAGTACACTGGCAGTCCTATATCGGTTCTGGACTGATAACATCGAGCTATGTCCCTCTTCGATGTTATTAACACTATTAACACCATTGTGGTCAACGCGACTGCAGAGCTATTCTAAGCGATGCATTCCCTGCCAAAGCAGTATCCACAGTCCCTACGACCCTGGCCAAGGCTGGTATCTAGGCCACTGGTGCTGTCTCGATACTTTGCACAACATTCTCCACCACGTTTTGCACTGAGAAGGGCTAGCATTGCCACTACCTTAGGAAGAAGGTAGATCTTAGCAGCCGTCAAAGGATCTATTAGTACCGAAACTTGTACCAAAGCAAACATCGGCAGCAACTCTTTCACAAATGCAAGTGCTCCGTTTTTCAAGAGTCAGTGATCATAGAGTAGAGGTATCTTGTTTCGCTTTATCAGTGTTCGGACAATGCCAAAAATCTCCATATACTAGCTATTCTCCTCAGAGATAGCTGTAAATATTTACTCTGCTGGCGTAATGTTGAGAACTCTGAAAAGTAAGTTCATTTCGTGAGGCTCTGCGCTCTTCCGGTTTATTGTTCAGCCTTACTATCCTTCCCTCAGTGTACACCCGCGGCCCTGAGAGAGGGAGGTGCCCGAGGTGTCCGAATGGCTGGTTTACGTAGACTGACCGGTCCAAAATGATCAATGGAATCAACGATGTAGAAAGAAGACAGGGGGGAAAAAAGAGGAGAAAAGAAGGAACAAGCAAGATCTGTGGGATCGGCGGAAGGGTTGATGGGATAGGAGAAGGGGTAATATCGACTTAACTATGTATGATGCACGATCTATCAATGATACATGTTGGTGTCTGTCTTCTAGCAAATCAAAATTGTATATTTTTAAGAATTTAAAACCAAGATTGTTACTTATGCACTGCACATATATACGTCTAAAACAGAATCAACTCTCAACGCAGACCCTGCAGCTCCTGCTCAACCTCAGCCTTAACAATCTCCTTCACACCCTGCCAACCAGCCTCACGGCCAACATCCGTAACACGGCTCTCCCGCTGCTCAATGCCAATGAACTCCTGAGGCAAGATCTCAGTGAAGTCATAACCATTCTCAGAGCGCAGAGCGAGGTCAACAGCGCTAGCGAACTTAGCCGGGTGAGCAGTTGATAGAGAGATATGGGCAGCGCCGGGGTTACGGGCGATAGAGCGGCGGGAGGCAGCAACACCAACAGCGGAGTGTGGGTCCAAAATGTAACCACCGGTCTTGGAGCTCTTAGCGCTGCCGGCGGTGAGACCCTTGGGGAATGATGTGGAGTAGATATCGCGGATAGTAGCGATGGTCTCGTCGTTGCTGACGCGCTCGCTCTCGAAGTCGACCTTGGCGCCTTCGAGGACGGCGCCGGGGACTTGGAAGCCGCCGTTGGTCTTGAGATCGTTGAGCCAGCCACTGACGCTGTCGCAGGCGTGCTTGCGGCGTTCTTCGGCTGAGCCGGTGGGGGCGGACTGGTAGGAGAGGAACCAGAGGAGACGCTCGAAGTTGCTGCTGACGAGGATATCCATGGCGGGACTGTGGGTTTCCTTGACTCCATGGTCTGCAGGGGCGTCGAGGGCCTTCTTTGTGTAGTGGCCGCCGCTGCGGAAGAAGCGGTCGAGGATGTCGTTCTCGTTGGTGGCGATGACGAGCTTGTCGGCGGGGAGACCCATCTTCTTGGCGAACCAGCCGGCCAGGATGTCGCCGAAGTTACCGGAGGGAACGACTACGCGGACCTTAGAGCCCTTGTTGTAGGCGGGCGACTTGATCAGGGAGAAGTAGGAGTGGAAGTAGTAGGTCATCTGGGCGAGGATTCTGCACCAGTTGATGCTGTTGACGGCGGCGATGTTGTGGGTGGTGTTGAAATCCTTATCGGCGAAGAGGGCCTTGACGATGTCCTGGCAGTCATCGAAGGAGCCCTCCACTCTGAGGTTGTGCACGTTGGGGTCGAGGACGGATGTCATCTGGGCCTCTTGGATCTTGGAGACCTTGCCGTTGGGATATAAGATGCTCACGGAGATATCTTTCTTGCCTCGGAGACCGTAGATAGCGGCCGAGCCAGTATCACCCGAGGTAGCACTTCGAAGAGTCAGTCAAATGCTCTAGTATAGGAAAAAGGAACAGTAGTACTCACCCGACAACGGTCAGATGGTGTCTGTCCTTGCCAGTCTTGCCAGCGTTCATGCGGGTCAGAAAGTATTCAAAGGTGTTTCCAAGGAGTTGAAGGGCGACATCTAAAGAATATTAGAACAATTCAATAAGGGAGAGAAGGGAACGAACCCTTGAAGGCAAAGGTAGGGCCGTGGAAGAGCTCAAGCAGGTGTAAGTCCTTCTCCAACTCAACCAAAGGAGTACGCTCGGTGTGACGGAAAGTCGAGTAGGACCTTTGAATGATATCCTTGAGATCATCGGCGGGAATCTCGTCTCGAGAGACGTAAAGCGACATAATCTCGAATGCCAGCTCCTCGAATGTCAAGTCGCGCCACTCGGTCTCCCATGAGGCGGGGAGGGCAGGAATCTCCTCAGGAATGAACAGACCACCGTCCGAAGACAGGCCCTTGAGAACAACATCCTCGAAAGACAACTAGAAACAAAACTGGTGAGTTAGTAGCCGTTGCGACAGATCTTCTTTTTTTTTTGTATCGGGGTCAACTCACTCCGTACTCCGCACCCCGGGTGCTCAAGTATTTTTGTGATAGTGTTGGAGACATGATGGGCCAGTAATAGAGTCAATTGGCATAAAAGTAAATGATTCACAGGGAGAGAGAGGCACAAAGAAGAGGAATGATTCATCCCACCGCGGGGGCACTGTATCCCAATGAGGACTAGCGTCTCCGAGAGCGGCGCCGCTCACGTGTGCGGCCTGATTGGCGAAGAAGATGCGGATGAAGAAGTTGAGGCGAAAGTGAAGAGATGCACGGAAATTTATGGAATACTACTGTATTAGATGCTATTAAACAGCACTGTGCAGGGAGATGTCAAGTACAACCCCCAAATCTATTGTCAAAACACCGTTCTCTTCATGGTCTCATCTCTATATCATCTCTATATCTATACCTTTTTACTGGTCATTGACAAGCACGTAGCGGTAGCGTGCCTTGCCATCCTCCATATCAACAATGGTCTTGTTGGCATCCTTCATAGGAATCTCCTCAATCCAAGGGCGAATCCCCTTCTCTGAAACAAGCTGGAACATCTCGCGGATCTCGTTAGGGCTACCAACGAGCGAGCTCTCAAGCTTGATACGGCGCATCAAGTTGCGAACAGGGGCGAACAGACCACCATCCTCAGGAAGGCCAACCTGAACAAAAGTACCACCGGTCTTCAAAAGACCCAGATACTCGACCATGGGCATCTATCCAGAATTAGCCCTATGCCCACCTCAACACAGTCGACGTAGAGAAAGAACTCACCTTAGTAGAAGAAACAGTAGAAACAATCAAATCCAAAGACCGAGCATTGGCAGTAGCCCAGTCCGGCTCGTCATCAGTAGCAATGTACAAATCAGCACCCATCTTCAGCGAATCCTCCTTCTTGTTCATCTTGCGCGAAATAGCAACAACCTTATCAGCCCCCATAGCCTTAGCAAAAAGCACACCAAAGTGACCGAGACCACCAACACCAATGATACCAACACGCTTGCCGGGACCACAATTGTTGTGCTTGAGAGGACTGTAAAGAGTCACACCACCGCAGAGCATAGGCGCCGCATCAGCAGAAGTGATAGCATCAGGGATCTTAATAGCGAAGTGGCCAGGCACACGGTTGTACAGCGCATATCCGCCGTAAGACTTGTCGCCGTTGTAGAAGTTGCTGTTGTAGGTGCCGATAACCTTCTTGCTGCAGTACTGCTCCAATCCCATGGCGCATTCTTCGCAGTCACCCTGGCGGCCGAGACAGGACTCGCTCTGCGCGCCGACACCGACGCGGTCGCCGATCTTGATGTCGGATACTTGGCTTCCTACGCGCACGGCGGTGCCTACGATCTCGTGGCCGACACAGCAGGGGTAGTCGGATGCTCTCTGATTAAGATGGTTAGTATACTAGCCCTAACCTGGTAATTGCGCATGAATTGGGTTTTGATTTTTGATTAAGGGCCGTTAGACTCACCCAGCCACTGCGCAGAGTGTGCAGGTCAGAACCGCAGACTCCGCAGTGCGAGATCTTGATATCGATGTCGGTCTCTTCCCACTTCTTGGGAGTGAATTCCTGCCAGACCATGTTGCCCTCGCTGGCAGTGGAATCAAGGCCCATCCAGCCTTCGAACTTGTAGTCTGTCGCCATGTTGGAGATGTTCTATGTAGATTTGACGGTGAAAATACTAAGCCCTGTCTCCGGGGCCTCTGCCCCATTTATATCCGCGGCAGTGGGACTGACCCAAAGTCCACATTTTTCGGAGCTGGAAACTTCGGTGTCCATTGGAAATTGGTAAGCAGTTTTACCCCGACGGGATATCGTGAAGTTGGAGTCGAATGGAGACTCGGAAGGCCTTCGGGAAAGAGACTCGGCGTGTCTGATAAGGGCATAAATTGGGCACATGGAAAGAACCGCAGTTGCTAATTATTTCCTACTGCTGATTGGCGCACGTTGTGATCGGTTTGGCTTCTGTCTCTCTTCCCGCTCTTTTTTCTTTTTTTTTTTTGTTTTTACTTTCCCTTTATCTTTTTGCCCCTCGGTGGAGCCGTCCACAGGTGTATGAGGGTGGATATTCGCTACTGTACACGATGTACATCACCTCATCACCGCTATTCATTGTTCTATCGTCATGTTTCTACATGCAAGTAAAGGTGTTGTTGATACGTCATACATATGCAGGTGCTCTATAGGGCTTAGCCAAGCTTTACCACGCTTATCTGCATGCAGCCACAGCAAAAAATCGATATTTGAAAAGGCAAAGAAATGTACATGCGAGCCTTTTGAATTCCGTTGGAGAGATGCAATCAAAATTAAACACATAAAGACACAATCTATTCGTTCTGGCCAGATCCTCGCTTGCGAAACACCTGGACATAACACAACCTAGCCCGTAGAGTGGACTAGACCTAACTATACCACTCTAAAAGAGCGACAAAATATCCTCGTTAGACTTTTTGGTCTGATTGTTTTCTGAAGGAGGCGCAGGCGTGTTCCCTGAGAGATCCAGGCCAGAGAATCCGTTCATAAGATCAACACTAGGGCCGCCGCCGTTCCCGCCGCTCGATGAGGGTTGGGAGGGACCTGAGTCGCCAAACACGCCCAATAGGTCATCTAGGTTGTTGCTGGATTGTGGTGCCGGGGCACCAACTGCGGGGGACTCGACGCGCACGGGGGTTCCGCCTAGACCCTCGAGACCGGACATGCCGCTAGACGGCTCGTTTCGCGCCGAGGCAGGGGCACCGCCGTCGAAATCGATGTCCAGCAGGTTCTCGACGTTGTTTTGCGCCTGCGCAGGTGCGGAAGAGCCAGAGACGGCTGCGGCGGCTGCCGCTGCAGCCAATGGGTTCTCGCGCGCGTTCTGGATTTGTTCCCTGCAGATGGATTAGCAAGGTGTTTAGTAAAAGTAAGAGGACGGGTACATACTCGATAGCAGCGCGCTGGACAGCATCGGCACCGAACCGGCCAGCACCGACAAACTGCTCCGGGGGCTTGTGGTAGACGGAAGAGAGGGTGGACAGCTCAGTAAGGAGCTGGTCGAGGAGTGCCGGTGGTAGTGAGTGGATGGTGGTGACAATTGGAGGCTTCTCCGAGAGCACAATGTTCTTGGTCGCATTCGAATCGCTGGTGTTGGACAGAAGACGCCAGTAGATGTAGGCGCGGTCACGGACATCCGGGTTGTCGTTCTCGGCAGTGGCTGCCTGAAGCACACGCTGCACCAGACCTTGAGCCTTCTCGGGCCGCTTGAGGAAGAGTTTCACGACCGCGGTAAGAATCTGCAATTGGGTCGAAGAGAATTCTTCATTGAATCCGTCAACAAAGCCTCCCAAGATATCACCCGCATTGCTGATCTTCTCGGCATACTCTCCAACAATCCAGATAAGAGCGGCTCTGGCATTTGGCTCATCCAGCTCATCAATGCACTGGCACAGAGTGGGAATGATACCCTCGTAGCCAGGGTATTTCCGGAAGATGTCCTTGATGACAACAATCGCTTCCTGAACGACGTAGTTCACCTTCGTGTTGATAAGGTCCAGCAATGTGTTGACGCAACGCTCGCTAGCGCTCTCAATCTTGATCGCGACCTGTCCAATGGCTCGGACGGCTCGGCGGACGAAGTCCATATCAACTTCGAGGGCATATTCCTTCAATTCAGCCAGGAGCTGGTCTACATTGCGGTCATTTGCTATGCGCACCATAATCTCAAGCTTCTGGAACTTGACATATGGCGGGTCATTGTATTTGCAGAAAAAGACACGGAGCTCCTTTTGGAGAATATCGGGCTGCTTCTGCAGCAAAAGGTCAATATTTCTCAATGCCACATATTGCACTTCGGGAGCCGACGAAACCAGGGTGACTATCCAAGATTAGCAAAGGAAATGAACCTACTCCAGCGGGAATACATACCCAATGGTGGTGCCATCTTCTTAAGGTAGTTCTTCGCCAGTTCAGGGTTAACGTTCTTCATGTGTAAGAACACAGCCTTGACTGCCGCAAGAACCACACTAGAATTGACATGCTGGAACTGAGGCGCAACTCGCTCGCAGATATGCTCCGACTCCTTAACATCAGCCGTCTTGTATTCAGCCAGAGTGGAGAGAATAGTGACGCGTCCCCATTCTGTGCACTCATTCAATGCCATGAGCATTTTCCGTAGAGTGTTATTCGTAATTTGTAGGGCCTGTGTCTCAGGTGCCGTATGGTGAATCTCAGACAGCGCAGTCACCGAATTCGCCACGACCATTGGGTTGGGGTCACCGATCATCTCCTGGAGCATTTCCAAGAATCCGTTCTCGAGGGCCAGTGCCGGGTTTAGATCGAAAAGCTTGGCCACGCAAATCGCAGCGGTTTTGCGGACATACGGCGACTCGTCTCGAAGGGTCTTGCGGAGGGGCTCTTCCATGTAGTCCACCATCTTTTCCACTCGAATACATCCCATTGTTCGGATTGCCAGCGCACGAATCAACGGGTTGGGGTCTTCAGAGTCTTGTACGAAGGTGTTCACGGCGAGAATACATAGGTCAGGGTGGGATTTGGCGTAGTTCCTGCGAGTGGGATTCCACCGGTCAGCACACGTAGCCATGTTGGGGCGCGCCATGAAACCCACATGAGATAAAGGTAGACCAATTTCTTCTGCTCAAGGTCTGCCGTAGCAATGTTCTTGAGCACGTCCGGGAATAGAGCTGAGACATCCTTGCCCAGAGTCATGGCCATAATCGTCTTCTGAATGGATTCCTTCCTATTGTGCTGTCAGTCACCCATCCTCGCCCTAGACCCAAAGGTGCATAAAGGTGGTCAAATGCTTTGCTGCTGGACATACCGTTCATAGGCATACTGGGAGCTGTGACAATGGTCAGTATCATTGTTATTTCATCATGCCGAAGTGGACAGCGCATTGTGGAGGGGGCCGCATACACAAGGCCAGCTCGCAATTCAAAGGTCTCTCCCTTGCGGGGCACCGCAAAGGCGCCGCGAATCTTGTTCATCGCCATGACGAAGTTGTAACAGCTTCAGCCACGACTAGGTCGTGCCTCCGCCTACTCGGGGATGGAAGTTGAGGGTTGGGCGACTGCGGGCGGGATAGAGCTTCACGGTCGCGCGGGTTCGAGGAATATGGAGGCTGTTGGAATATCCCTCTGAACAATCGAGGAATAAAAGAATGGTGGGGGAGTTTCAGGAGGGATGGGAAGGGAGAGAAAGGATGATCCAAAAGTTGTCCACAAATGGCTTCTGGACCTCCCGCTCTTCTCCTTTTTGGAACCTCCGACTCTACCCCAGATCTTGTCTACGTCTCAATGGTGAGCTCAACTCACACTTGCTAATGTGCCAAGACTAACATGTATGCAGGCTAATCTCCCTAACTTGCGACGTCTCTTTGTTGAGGCCAGAACAGAGGCCGAGGAGAACGAGTACTCGCGGACAGCTGTATGTCACCCTTGAAAAAGGCCCACGGGCACATACTCATACTCTCTACTAGTTTTACAATCTCGTCCTCTTCATTTCTTCTGTCGCTGTCTTCAGTCTAGTAGCACAGCGCATGAGCGGACCAAAGGCCGGACGTTGATGGAATGCAATCCCTATTAACCCTATATTTCGATTATGAAGTACAAGTGAGATGAAAGCATAACCCAGTCATCGGCATTCAAGCAGCCCAGCTGCTGAACGTGGGAAGTCCACCTATTACAAACTATGTGATATCATCAATCGGTCTCCTCGCCATCGCTCTCCAAGAACGCAAGCGCCTGCCGTCCTCGAGCGAGCCTGCGTCGGGGCTTCGCATCGCCATCTCCTTCCTCTTCGTCGCTCTTCGCACCCCATTGTTTCGCACCCTGTTGGATCTGCTCCAAATCCGCTTTCAATTCCCGCTCTTCACGGATCTGGTTGGCTTTTTCCTGAGATGGCCGGCCCTTCATCCCGGCATCGTCCAGCATCCCCCTAAGATGCTTGATCTTCGCCTTCGGGGTATCATACGGAGCCAGCTCTTTTCCCCATAATTTGCGGATACCGCACTTGATCAGCCATCCCTGTAGCCGTTTGATTTCGGCCTGGTCTGGGTCAAGGTCCGCGTCTTTTGCTTTGGGCGCTTTTGGTGCTTTTTTCGCTTTAGTGGCAGCTCCATCTGCACTCTTCCGTTTCTGCGCGGGCTTGGGTTGGGGCTCTTCGTCAAGAACCACCGACATCTCGCTTCCAGAATCATCTTTCGCAGCTAGGGGCGGCTTGGCAGGATCAGATTCGTTCTCAGACATATCGGAGACGTCAGACGCGACCTTCTTGGGCTTTGGTGCCGCTTCCTTCTTGGCTAGTGCTTTGGTTCGTTTCTTGGGCTTGACCTCTTCACTTTCGTCAGATGCGACAGACGCATCGTCTTGCTTGTCTTCCTCGTCTGACTCCGGTGTCTTCGTCTTCTGGCGCTTCCTGGGCTTAGGCGCACTCTCGCCCTTTGCCCGTTTGGGAAGGGAGGTCTTCTTGGGCTTTGGAGAAGGAGATGGTGATGCTTCCGCAGGTTGCGATTCGGGATTATTCGCGGCGTTGTCTTGTGTTTCCTGTATAAGATCGCAAATCAGTATCGGTCCTAATATCGAAGCTCCACTCGCAATTGATGTATTTCCTCACCACTTCATCCCGAATAATTTCTTCGCTCCGCGCTTTCCAGTCATCCGTAGATTTGAAGTATCCCTCTGTAAGCCCTAGCTTCTTCTCAACTGCAAGGCGCACGCGCTTCACGGTCAACTCCTCCATGTTTCCAGCCTTGTAAACCGCAGCAACACCATCACGAAGACCCTTCTCAAGAGCCTGGTCAGAGGGAGCTGTGGGCGCGACGTCCACTTCCTCCTCGGAGTCGGACATGGTATACTTCGGTGCCATTTTTATATCGTCCAGTGGCAGTGAGAGGGTTACTGGCGGGGTTTCGAGTACAGAAATATGTAGCTCAGTATCAAATTTGGACAGTAAGAGAATATATGAAGGAAATTAGATGCGAGTTAGCCTGAATGAGAGCAATCCGTGAGTAACTCCAATGCGCGTCGGAGAGCGCGCATAGGATGACAAAGCGGGATCGAGATTGATCGGCGAGACATTTCACCTGGAATCATTTACAACTGCCCAAAAGCTCGCCAGTATCTATTGCTGTTCCTTTTTTATTTTGTTGACCTCTTCCGAAGACTCTTACGGTCATCTTACCCTTCATTTGTCAACTCTCGCGCCGACGTTCCGGCACTATTGCCTCTATTCGCCTCCGCCGTTCTCCGCATCTATTAGAAATCAGCCCTGACATACATACACCACCATCAATACCCAATTCCCCGATTACCTCAAGCATATACGGAATCAATGATGGCTGAAGTACAACCGGAGCGAGTGGATGCCCAATATAAAGGCACAGGGAACGTGTTCAACCAGCAACCATCAGCAGCCGCAAGCTCATCCAAGCAAGCCCGAGACGATGACTCGAAAGCCCCATTGCCCAAGGGTGTCGTGCTAGGCAAGGACGGCAAGCCGTAAGTAACACCCACATTCACACAGACTCAGCCAGCACCGACCTATCAATCAAGTATATACTAACCCGGTCAACCAGCTGCCGCACCTGCACATCCGTCGCCTCATGGCGAGCCCTAACAAAACAAGCCAAAGCCGAAACCCCAACAAGCACAAATCAAACGACAACCTCAAAAGCAGCCCTAGCGACAGCAGCAACCCCCTCCACAAGCGAAACACCCGCAGAGTGCCCACCAGACGTCGAACAACTAGGCCGCTCAACCTGGACACTCCTGCACTCGATGGCAGCGACATACCCTGAAAAAGCAAACACGGAACACCAGGATAACATGCGGGGGTTCTTGAAGTTCTTCTCGAAGCTTTACCCGTGCTGGGTTTGCGCGGATGATTTCCAGACTTGGATGGCGCATCCCAGTGGACGGAATCAGCCACGGTTGGAGAGTCGGAAGGAGTTTGGGTGGTGGATGTGTGAGGCGCATAATGAGGTTAATCGGAAGCTTGGGAAGAAGGAGTTTGATTGTCGGTTTTGGGAGGAGAGGTGGCGGACTGGGTGGAAGGATGGGAGGTGTGATTAAGTGTAGGGTGTTGAGGATGTTTAATATGTTGTATGCTTATGGTTGGTGTTGGTTTGTTCTTCTCTCTACTCATCTTGTTGGACATTTTGTACATTAGATATGCATATTCTAGCGAATTGATATAGATTGGACTTCTATAGAGATATATCCTGCTATACCTTGAGCTTCGACTTACTACGTATGCAGGGCTCTTATGAGTTAATATAGAAAGACATAGGACTAAACATGTTCGCATACAAACTAGATCGCTAAGAAATTATAATCTTGGATACAAAAAGACATCTAGACAGGGGACTGTGCAGGAAGTTTTGTCTTTCTCCCAGCCAATAAAAAAAAGCGCCACCAAACACAACTTCTCTTCGTGCAGATGAAAAGGAACCCGTTTTGTAACTTCATATCAAGAAGAAGAGAGGGGAAAAGGTAAAAAACCGTGAAGCTTCGTCATGCTGCAATTAAAATTGACTGGGGACGAACAGGCGCAGACCGCTGGCCGGCGCGCCGATCTCCGTGACATCCGATATCCGGCAGACGCTGCCCTTGTACTGGGGGTGGTACTTGGCGCCGGTGAAGGGATCTGACACGCTGGGGGAGCCGCTGTAGATCGGGGTGAAGGAGGCGGCACAGATGTCGAACTCGGCGAAGGAGTCGAAGTCAATGTCGATCTGGTCTTGCGGGTTGCGTTCGCATTGGGCTTTGATCTTCTTGGCCTGTTTTGCATAGTTAGCATGGGTATCAAGATGGCTGAGCCGGGGGATCTTACCTGATCCAAAAGCTTAGCCGAGCCGCCATTGGCCAGCATCCGGTTGGCAAAGCTCAAGGCGGAGGAGTAGTTGCGGTTGGCGAAGGCGAGCTTCATGGCAGCCATCAATGCCAGCTGTCGGTGAGCAACCTCAAGCTTAGGGATAGTGAAGTAAGCGGACAGCTCAAGGCTGCGCTTGAGGTTCTCAGGGGTGTCGGTAGAGAGAGTACGACGCTCAAGCTCAATAGACATGGCGAGGATGTATTCCCGGGCAGTGGCAATGATCTTCTTTGCCTGCTCTACTTCAGCCTCAGATGAGACAGTGTTGACCAGTACAGTGTGAAGAACGTTCTTGAAGATTGTCACACCATCCTCAAGCTTGTTGGAGCGCATAGCGGCGTAGCCCTCCTGCAAGTCAACATTGGCGACAGTTTCGAGGTCCCGAGGAATGATTGGGAGCATCTTGCGGGCATCAGTTTCCTCGACAGTCCTGCGAACATAGTTGACCAGAGGGGGAAGGCCAGGAGTCGCGGGAAGATAGGTCTTGGATGCCTTATAGATATCAAGGAAACGGCTCTTCAGAGGGGCAAATTGGACAGCACCGACTTGACGGTTCAGGAGCTGCATGGCAGTCTCGAAGGAGCCGGCAGCAACATGGTCAGCAGCGAGTGGGGAGTTACGAGCCCATAGGTCGGCCTCGGAGCTGCCTGCGCCAGCTTCGGCGCTTTCCACGTTGACAAAGTCGACATCCTCCTCGACATTGACATCATCTCCCATATCCCAGCCAGAAGCATCTTCTTCGTCATCATCCAGAGTTTCCCGAGCAAGAGTGGCTTCTTGCTCCTCCTCCTCGATTTCGAAACCATCTGCACCAGCCTCGTCATCTGCAGCACCCACTTCTCCAAGGAGCGCCTTTTCGAAGGAGGAGTGACCAGCTGCCTTAACAGGCCAGTTGGACTTGAAGGTAGGCACAATGGGGTGTGCAACCTTCAGGGGTGTTCGAGCGTAGGCAGGCCGATTTGATCTTCGGTGAGACCACATGCCTCCAAAATTGACTCAGCTTCTTCGGTCAAACCGTGTGATTTGGCAGTGAGGTAGGCAAGAGGATACAAGTCCACTTCCTTGAACATGTGGATTCGGTCCTCAACATCCCCACGGTAAATGGCGTTTTGGAAGCGGGAAGTGAAGTCGCCACGGTGTTCAGCGATCTTGGCCATACGAGAGAGCTTCTCCTGGTCACCTGTGGCTAGGTAGAGGAAAGAGAGCTTGTCGAAATTACGCTGCTTTTGGTAGGTCATTTCGACGGTCTGGTGGTTACCGTGAGCCAATGCCTCGGTTCCCAGTCTGGTCCAGAAGTTGGGGCGGTCCAACTCCCGAGCCATCTCGATGGCAACTTCGAGGTTACCACACTCAAGGGCCAGGTCAAAGCGGGTCTGCGGGTCCTGAACGAACTGCAGAGCAATCTCGGGGTAGCCTTTCTTCTGCAGATAAGAGATGATGCTCTGGCCAACCAAACTGGAGGTCTTAATGATCTGCAGCATCTCATCGTAGTTCCGCTTGACCAGGGAAAGTTTGAATCGGTACTCAGTCGGGTCAATCTCCAAGACGCGGGGCTGGGCGTTACGGTCCAGGGCGTAGACATTGCGTCCCTTCACGCGTACAAGGTACACGGTCTGGTCGAGGGTGCGGATGATACCGTTATCACCGTTAAGGAGCGAGTACTTGATGTGGTTGAGGGTAGAGTAGAGCAAAACACCGGCATCATCCCAGGTGGCACTCTTGATACGAATAGTCTCGTGCAGAGTGCTCACCTGCTCGAGAGACTTGGTAACGATGGTGACATTGTGCTTGCTGAGCAAAGCGCAGTACAGACCATCGTTAGACCAGACAACATACTTCACACCGCTAACAGCAAGCTCCGCAAGCTGCTTCTTTTGTTGGATATCGAAGAGAGAGACATGCGTAGGGGTAATGAAAAGCAGGCATCCGGTGCCACCAAAGTAAATGTCAGTCGTGCCAGCAGGAGCCTTGATAGTCTTGGTCGTGGAGTTGCTGAGATCCTTGATGTCGACCTGCTGGGTCGAGGGGTTGAAGACAGCAAACCGATTGCGGGCCACAAAGACTGCGGATGTAGCCTGGCCACGCTTCACGTCTGTAGGCTCGACCGCACCGGTAGCATCCCGGGGGAGGTGAATCAACTCATATGTTCCATTGTCGGCGGGTGAGGTAACCAGAATGGCACGTTCAGCGGGGTTGTAAGAGACGGTACGGGGAGGGACCCAAGGGGAGCCCAGCTTGCGTAGTGAGAGCATTGGCGGCGACTCAACATTCTTGGCGAAATCATACGACTTGACGTGCTTCTCCTTCGTGATGTAGAAGAGCTGGTTCTGGTAAATGGCGGACGCAGGACGCTCCCGCTCGAGCTTGAAGACCATAACACCTGTGTCATGGCCTGCGGCAAACAGGTTCATCTCAGGGTGGGCAGCGATAACCCAGAATCGATCGAGGTCGCGCTTGAAAGATTGGACGGAAGTACGCTTGTTGAGATCCCACACACGGATAGTCTTGTCTTCGCCAACGGAAAGGATGAGGTCCTGGTGGGGGTGGAACAGAGCAGCAGAGGCATTCTGGAAGTGACCGCGGCAAGTATCAACCTCCCAGGCCTTGGTATCACTCATCCGCCAGAGCTTGATCAATCGGTCGTCACCAGCCGATACGATCAGAGGAAGTGTGGGGTGGAACGACACCCAGTTCACACCACGGTCGTGACCTTCCAACACAAACTTAACAACCGCGTCGGTGTTCCCAAACATGTCGGCTTGGTTGGGGTTGGCTCGTGCCATCTGGTCTTCGAACGAAATCGAGGTTGGGGCCGAGTGCTTCTTTCGCAGGCCGGAGATGTCCCAAATGCGAACGGACTGATCCAATGAGGCGGAGGCGATGAGGTCCTCGGTGGGATGGAACTGGGCGCACATAACATAGTGGTTGTGACCGGTCATCGTACAGACTAGAGAAAAAGAGAAAGCGTTAGTCAATGTCAGCACAGGGGATTCCGGGGCCTCGTACTGAGTGACCGATTTTGCCAGTTCCAGATTCTAATTGTCTGATCATCGGAGGCAGACAAGATCCAAGGGAGCTCGGGGTGGAAAAACACTGTGCGCACATAATCCAAATGACCATTCAATGTGAACAGGCATCTCCGAGTCTGGTAGTTCCAGACCTTAATCTTGTAATCATCACCTCCGGACACAAACAGGGGCTGGGTCGGGTGGAAATCAATGCCTCGGACTGGGCCATCGTGTTCTTCGAATCGGTCAATGAGAGTTCCCATGCGGTAGTCCCACAGCTGGATAGTGGAAGAGTGGAGAGAAACGAGAATCCATGGCCTGTTTCAAGGTCAGTTCAGATGCTTCGACGTGTAGGTGTCCCTCCGCGGAACACTGACCGTTTGGGATGGAATGCGATTCCCTTGGCTCTGGAGGATTTCGACTCAAACTGGGCGAGAGATGATGGTTAGAATCTCCAATTGACTGTGCAGACACCTATTGATGGCGCGAAGATGGCTCCGAGGCCATTGGGAGGGGCGTACCTTTGTGAGCATGTTTGGGGAGGACTGCATCTTGACGACTTGGCCGGAGCCGCACTTTGAAGTAGCAAGCTCCGCACACTAGATAGTAAAGAAGAGCAGGGGTGACCACCGCATCCACTGCCAAAAGAAAGAAGGTAGAGCAAAGGTAAACACGTTGGACGGTTGGTGAAGCAGTAAACTAAACGTGGACTCTACTCAAGCGAATGCCACGGCCAATCATGCCGCCGGGCGGTGAGCGATCAGGGGGGAGCTCGATCCTACGGGGATTACATAGTTGACTTATTATTAGATCGTGAGATCGGGAATTATTCGATATTTAGTTAATTATATAGTAAAACAGAAGTGTCTTAAGTATATTTAACCCAACTTTGTGGAGTTGCTCCCCATGTACTCCCCATACTCCCCGCGGAAGCATCTGGAAGGCCATGATGTTTTGACGGGGACCATAACTTTCTTACGAGTTCCATCTCTGGCCTTCCTATATTTGTGTTTAGAAACTTATTTACTTTGACACTTCTACTCCGTACTCTTGTCTCTATTTATAAATCTCATTATGTACCTCGCAACACATCCTGCGCATAACTCCATTTAACCACTTGGACGAGAAACGATCTACAATGGAGGGTCTCTACATGACCGATCCCACCCTCGGTTTATCTGAAAAGGATCACAAGACACTCTTTGAGCAAACCCCAGGACTGAGTCCTTTCGATCCCGCGGGGCATTTGACAGACGAGAGTGGCCACAGCGTCAACGACTCGGGTCCTTCAACGCCTACACACGACATCGACTCATTTGAAGGTAATGGAAATCATGACAGCGATGATAGCCAAGTCATCAGGCCATATGCCATTGAGGAGCCGGACGACGAACCAGATGCCACATTGCCAAGGCACGATCTACCATGTCTTCCAGACTATTTTGAACGCTGGCAGCGAGACTTGAGAGAATATATGAACGGTCTGAATCTTCAACCTGACAACAGCAATATAACCAAACAGCTCACCCTGGGAAAGAGGGGACAGAAGAGAAAGCCAGTCTCTACTGCGAGCTCTACACATTCTCATTGTGGCTCTCATTCCTTCAGGCGAAGATCTACATTGGCAGAGCCCCAACGTGAAGTACATGATGATAACCGCAAAAGACGAAGAGGATACAGCGGAGAGTCTTGGGATCACCATGACACCGATTCGTTCCACGCTTTCAGGGAGCCCAAAACGAATGAAAGTTCAAGTTCCGAGGCCCAAACGCCCGACCTGAGCGGTACCGAGACCATGGATGATTCTGCAGCCGACGAGATGGACATTGATTGATCTATGATACCTGATTTTCTCTGCATCATCAGTAAAGCATGACGCGTGACGATTATCAAACGCGGTATAAATGACGTCATATTCATCTCATGGTACGCTGTAGAGTTCCACATCAGTGGCTTCTCAACTTCATTCTTCTCATTATCCATTTTGTTAGAGATCAGTATTGCGACTTCTATCAGACATCATGGTTACACGAACATCATCGCGCCGTGCGGCTCAGAAGGCCAAGGATGCCATTGCGACTTCCGCTGAGCCATCTGGAAGACCTTCCCAAGGCACGAAGCGGAAGGCTGCAACCGAGAAGGCTCCGCAGCCCAAGAAGGAAAAGACCGAGGACGTCAAATCTGACGACATCAAACCGGGACAAAAACCAGAAGATGTGGCACCGAGCGCAACGGAAATTGGGCCCCCAACGCCAGAGTCAGTCAAAGCACCAGCCGAAATGGACAAACCATCTGGACCGCAGCCCGATGAGAAGCCCCCGAAGCAACCTGAAAGTATCGAGGCGGGCATCCATAAGTCCGAGGCGAGGGAAGATGTAGTACCCTCCAACATCCTCGAGAAGGGCTTCATATACTTCTTCTTCCGACCACGCGTCAACATAGAAGAGCCCCACAGCATTGGAGACATTTCCCGAAGCTTCTTCGTGCTGCGTCCAGCCCCATTAGGCGCCGAATTCGACCGCGGCCAAGGCCCGGTAGCCAAAGACGCCCGATGTCGCTTGATGATGCTCCCGAAGAAGAAGTTCCCAACCTCCGGCAAGGAGAGAGACATGGGATTCGTTGAAAAGGCTGGCCAATCCATGCAAGCACTCCATGAAAACTTCATTGCTGGAAAGACATACCAGACCAAGACCGCGGGTGAACGTCACATCGAGGAAGCCAGACCTTATGCGGAAGGTGTCTATGCGCTTACCTCCACACCGCGAGCCTCCCATCTCGCATATATTCTGACTATCCCTGCTGAATTGGGTTCTGTTCAAGAAGAGTTTGGCCTCCGTGAACGCGGCAGTTGGATTGTTCAATCGAAGAATCCTAAGTTCCCGGGTCCGCCGGCTGGGCAGCTACCAAAGAATCCAGAGTATCCACCGCAGTAAGCATGGCCCTCAGTTATGAGGAGAAGGACATTGTTGTTAACTCATTCTTCGTTAGGGTACTCGAGAAGTTCGGAGACCTCCGATGGGTGCCTCTCAAACCGGAGTTCCTGGACTATCCGAATTCCCAATTTCTTATGATCGGCGAGGCGCAGAATAACCTTGGCAAAGCTGCGACTTCCCAGGGCGAGAAGTTGCCTCACGAAGAAGAGCCCGGCGAAGAGTTGGAGAAGTTGGAAGGTGAAAATGAAGATCGAATCGATGCTCTACAGGGTATGTTCCTGCGTTGATTTTCTACTGATCCTACTAGTTACTGACATACATACGTACATGCAGGAGATGCAACTGTCTATCAGGACCTGGGATTCGACGCGAAAAGTTACCCGAAACTGCCAACAACCTGGAACACTTGATTCTAAAGATCTCCAAAATTGGCACGAGTCGATTCGTGATCTAGTAAATCACTTGGAAGTAATCTAATAATAATTTAAAAAGTTGACTACCAAATCAGCTAAAACTTGAGCACAAATCATTACCAAACGTGGCACCGGAGCCTCCGCACACCAGGATCACATAGTGCGTTAGGCTCCGCATACCCACCAGGGCAATGATTGACGTAGATTGAGATTAAAGCGGACTCGGACAATATCTCAATGTGCAATAATCCCTGGAGGTCCGATCAGCGAATGGCGCACGGCACCACCCGCACGTTGTGTTTGTTTAGTTCGTTGCACTAACAAGGAATAGTTGCCAATGCGATGTCGGATGAGGGGGGAAAGATCTACAATGTATGGAACAACATAAATATGAAGGAAACCGCAAGTCAACATGATCACGGATCAACTTGAATCATTTTCGCCATGAAGTGGACTTTCTTAATTTCTCTTCTGTCTGCGACAGCACATGCTGCTGAACATATTGTCAACCAGACGACTTGCGCTGGGACGACATATAAATACACCGGTTTTGCTGGCTATGGATTCGTTCCTTCGAATGCTACGGACAAATATGGTGATACAATCGGAGGAATTGGCAGTTCAATTGCCATTGACCAATCATCCTGGCACAAGACAGGGCTGGATAGGTACTCAGGAGTTGTCTATACACTCCCAGACCGAGGCTGGCAAGATACATATCCCAAGATAACACAAGACCTCCAACTAACAATATCCAGGAACACAAACGGCACCCTAAACTTCCAATCACGCATCCACAAATTCACCATAACCCTAAAACTAGCACCCAACGCAACCTCCAAACACCCATCTCCCCCAAATATCAACCTAAAATACCTCGACACAATCCTCCTAACAGACCCAACCGGCGCCCCAACAACAGGCCTAGACGCCGACATAACCGGACACGCAAGCTTCCCCGGCTTCCCCCCACTCCCAGCATCAACCTACTCGGGCAACGGCTACGGCGGCCCTGGCCCGGGGGCAGACGAGTATCTATCGATACAGAAGGTCTAGCCCTGGACACGCACGATGGCGGGTTCTGGATCTCTGATGAGTACGGACCGTACATCTACAAATTCAACGCAGCGGGACGCATGCAACACGCCATCCAGCCTCCGCAGGCATACCTACCACGCCGAAACGGTACGGTCAGCTTCAATGCTGATTCGCCGCCGCTTTATAACCCGGATGCGGTGCCTGAGCCTGTGAATACGGAGTCCGGGAGGAATAATAACCAGGGACTTGAGGGGTTGACTGTTTCGGCTGATGGGCGGATGTTGTATGCTCTTATGCAGAGTGCGCTTGATCAGGAGGGTGGGCCTGGGAAGAGCTCGAGGCGGCCGGCGAGGTTGCTTGTTTATGATATTGGTGGGCATGGGCGTGAGCCTGTGTTGGTGGGTGAGCATGTGGTTTTGCTGCCTACGTATTCGGATTATATGGAAAAGGATCCTGCGAAGGCGGTTCGTGTTGCTGGACAATCTGAGATTCATCAGTTGCCGACTGGAGATTTCTTGGTTTTGGCTAGGGATTCTGGATTTGGGAGGGGGCAGGAGGAGACAAGGTCTGTTTATCGACATGCGGATGTTTTCTCGTTAAATGGGAGTCCGGTTGTTACTGATTTGAAGGGGAAGAAGAACTATGACGATGCGACAGGGGCGATTGCTTCGTCTGAGGGTGTTTTGTTTGACGGGGTTGTTCCGGTTGAGTATTGCTCGTTTTTGGATTATAATGTGAATTCGGAGCTGGGGAAATTCCGTCTTCATAATGGTGGTCCTGTGGATGAGTTCCTTCTTAATGAAAAGTGGGAAAGTCTTTCGGTTGTGCCGGTGAATTCTGCACATGCTGGGGCTCGAGAGACGGAGTACTTCTTGTTCAGTTTCAGTGACAATGACTTCATAACTCAGGATGGTACGATTATCACTTCTTGGGACCAAGTGGGTTGATGGCTAATAGTTTCCTAGGACACATGAACTTTGGAAAGTTTGATTACAAGGACGAGTCGGGCTACGATCTTGACACTCAAATTCTGGCATTCAAGTTGAAGTTTTAGAGCTTGCCGGCTACTGCTTCACTTTGATCACTCATTTCGAGAAGCACAGGAAAGGCCTCCACTGGCAGTGATGTGACTAGCAGTCATATACAAGGTCCCAATGTACGAGCAGATATCCTCCTTCAATGTTGTCTTGATTTGTGTCCAAAGTTACAAATACATAGCAGAACGTAGCGCAGATGGAAATCCTCATCAGTCTTCACCATACATAGACCGCACAACTTCATAGGTGAACATAAAGACAGAAACAAGAATGAGTGGAACTTGGTGTTTGACGTAAACATGGAGACCGTAGGGTGTCGTGAAAAGAGTACCGAGATCGAAGGCTTTGGCCAGATAGGAAACTAATATTTGATAAAACTTTCGAAGAGAGACGAGATGTCAATCAGGTGAATCTCGTGAAACTATCATTTGATGAGGTTGATAGCGTGCAAAATGTCCTCAAGAGACCATCCCGGCCCGCCAGGAACAATCTCTGCCCAGACTTCTTCCGGGACTGCATCGTTGGAGTCAAGTAGGCTCCAGTTAGGACTCGGCTCTGGCTTAATCCATTTGAAATCTTCGACCTGGCTCCAGCGGTCTTCGTTATCAGGGCGGTCATGGTTCAATGCCTACAGTAACGAGTTAGTATGGCTGGTAAGAAAAGCAAGAGCACCAGATAGAATACTGACATAAGCCTTGGGGATCCGACCAAATCGGACATTGGAACAGTCTTCAATAATGGGATTGCTAGAGCAACTGAGGTAGACATCAACGTCTTTGCAGTTATGCATCCGGAACTGACGGCATGAAACGACCATGACAGTATTCTCAACACCGGTTATATGGGCAGGACCATTCACCTGACCGCATACCAGCAAGCTTTCTTTAATATCCTTGGCGGTAAGACTGGCATACGGTTTTCCATTGGCCGTGGGAATGGACATGTCAACAATGCAGTGTTCCAAGGAGGTGATCGAGGCGGGGACTGTGGAGCTCGATCCGGAGGACGGAAGCATGATATGCAGTCCATAATGGTCATCGACAGATACAGAGGAGACACCCGTGGCGGCAAATGGACCACTGGCCTTGTCAATGTGAGACTTTGTAGCGAAATCATCAACTGCAGTGATCGGGAATGAGGTAGGTGCACATTCTGGTCGTTCATGGTGCTGGTGCTGCCTATCCGGTTCGTTGAGCGGAGTGGAAGGGTAGTTGGGTGTCTGGTTTGCAGAGGAATCGGCGGAGGAGGCGCCAGGGGAACGGTAACCAGGGACACTGAGCCGACCTGCGGCTGCAAGTGTTGCGGCGTCAGACAAAGAGATGGCAGAGGCGTTCTTCTTGGTCTTGAAGCTGAACTTTGAACGGGGTTGGAAGGTGGCACGTGTCTCGCTCAGTCGGTCCTGCAAAGCTTTGATGGCCTGTGGGGAGATCAGTTATGCCCACAAGGAACAAGACTCTCAGTGTGGCATACCTCCGCATACACCCTTTGGTCGTAAGTAGGGATATAGCTTGCTGCATCTTTGACTTCATTCGATAAGCGCACAATTCCAGCCAGACAGTGGTCTGTTGCGTCTACACGTTCACCACCCACAAGTGAAGTATCCGCGAGGTGGTCCATCTTTTGCTGGAGGTCTAGAATTCAATTTACTTTAGTGAGAAGCTTCTTTGCCGCGAGTGGGGGACACAATGGAGCATAATAGAGCATACCGGTAATCTCATGCTGGAAGTAGCGGAAGAACCGCTCCTTCAAGGAAATCTCGGATTTAGAGACCGTCTGGTTGTCCGCCGACAACCGACGGGTGTATTGTAATTCGGCTTCGGCCATGGTGGATAGAGAGGGAGATCAGGTAAAGGAAGAAAGTCGGGGGTCAAGTCTTGTATTACGTGAAATGTAGCAATGACGTCGATTCAGCGAATCATGCCACCCCGCACAGTGAGGCCGGATGGATTTTGATAACTTCCTTGTAGCTCTGCCTGTAGCTCTGAGAGGGAATGAGGTCAATTAATACCCCCGCATTCCAACAGTTCAAGCCACAAACGCAACACCTGAAAGTACAACGTGCTTGCCGGTTGAGTAGGGCTGAATTAGAATATATCCAGTTCTCTGCAGGATCACTGATAGGTCTCGGATTGACGCGAGAATCATTTCCATTTCTCCATCGTGACGTCGATCATCCCGCATTTCTTCGGAGCCTCAATAATCCGATCAGGCAATAAGGCACCAACCCTGTTTCACGACCGGTAACTGTATCCGACCAATTGGAGATATCAATGACTCCTTTTCCTGCTATTTCTAATTACATAAGGGTCCTCGGATAACGTGATTCCCGCCCGAGCTGCGCACCCGGTCGAGCTGCGCACCCCAAAACAGATAGTTAATGCAATAAATTACTACTTCATATCTCAACAACCATAGGTTATTTTTACTTAGATATTAGGGTATAAGCTTTTCTTAGCATGTGAAATAATATACCTTAGTTTTAAGCAATTTAGATGATTATGTCGATGCTTTACCATAAAATACGGCGTAATTTTGACATGGGGGGCATAAATATATATATCTCCATTAATGCTTCTAGTAATTTTTCTATACTTCCCCAGTAGGTTAGAAATACTATCTATATTATATACTTTTAATATCTTATCATACATAGATAAGATTGTTGAGATATAAAGTGGTAATTTATCGCATTTACTATCTGTTTTGGGGTGCGCAGCTCGACCGGGTGCGCAGCTCGGGCGGGAATCACGTTAGTAAAACCTGTTGTGTCCGTAACAATTCCCAACCTGCTCAGTCAGTTAGGCATCACCTCATTGTCTGGAAGAAGGGAAGAATGATCCATTCACTACTAGCTGGCGGGCCAGGAAAAGGAAGGTACCATGTCAGGTGATCACCTCATGATAGTTAATTTGGATAGATGGTAACTGCCTTTCCTCGATACAATCCCATCCTGTTATGCAATTGTTGCTTGATAACCACACTACGTACGAGACCAGTGTGACCAGGTGTGTATTTGTCTCTTCAATTTCGACCATGCATAGCTTACTTGAGAATTTTAAGTTTAAGTTGAGGGGCTTGTCGTCAAGGCCTCGTCCAATCAGGTGGCACAATTACCGGGTATTACCCTGCCGCCTATATACATCCATCATCCATCACCATGTCGTCCGTCTCTATTGATCACACTGATTCCGAAATTACCCTCCCACCTCACAAAATGTCCCAGAGTGACAGATCTTCCGCTTCCCTTATGTGCGCCCTTCCCCCGGAGCATGTTGTACGAACATTTTCCCGCCTCAAGAATCTCCAGATCGAAGCAGAGAAGCTATTGGAGTCCCTAAAAAAGAACGGAAATGGTAACCAGTGGATTGTTGTCCTCAATTTGTCTACACGAACGATCCAAAAGCTCGATGAAGAGCACGACAGCAGCCTTGGGGGCATTCAATACCGCTTCCAGTGGGAAGGAACCACTGGTCTTATCAAGGTGGTCCCGTCAAAAGCCCACGATGCAACTACAGACAAGGTTACCAGGGTGATCGATAGAAAGCTTGATGCAATGGGACTCGACTGGTCGGACGCAGCCTGGGTTGCAACAGCGACCTATAAGCCCACCACTAGCAAAGGCAAACAAGCAGATCAAGCATTTTTGCCACCAGCTCGCTGCCCTGTCGGGCTTCCAAGGTCAGGATGGCCGACTTTTGTTATCGAGACAGGGGTTTCAGAATCCCTAAATCGACTTCGTGAAGACGCCAAGAGATGGTTCGTGGATTCGCAGGGTGAGGTACGCATTGTTATGGTCATCTCCATCAAGCCGGCCGAGGTCACATTTGAAAAGTGGCAATTAGCTCCCAACAATGCTCCACGCCCACTCACCCGTGTTTACCTCGATTCACTCCGCGCGCAATCTCCAAACATCCCTCCTCTTATTCCCCAACCAACCCCTATCCAGCAGCCTTACTCGGCGCAGGAGGTCTACGTGGAGCCCAACAGAGTTATCGGGGCCCCTTTGAACATCCCATTTGTTGCGCTTTACGACCGATCCCCAGGACAAGGGGAAGGTGACATCCTTATTCAAATGCAAGATTTTCGAAACATCACCAAGTTACTGTTCTAATATATTCTGGCTCGCTGTCGAGCTCATATGCCCGCCTTCCCAAATGCTTACATGCAAACGGCGATCTTGATAGCTTGTCACTCATATTACCAAATCGCAGACCGTTCAATATGTAATAGCTCGTTGTAGGTTTCGCATAAGCCCTTTTGTTACAAAGCTCATAAACTATCTAAAGTCGAGAACCAAGCGACTGTACTTCCAAAACGAAGTCTTCTACGAAATGAACCATATAGAGTATTTCAGTTTGCAAGCAAGGATAACGGATTTGATGAAAAGCGAGCTAGCGAAGGTACATCTTCACCTATGAAAGGGTACATATTCCTTATCAGTTGAATCTATATAGGCCAGTATCTTTGTGAAACTCAGTTCACTAGGCTTCTTAAAATAACATTTTCCAAGAAAGGATGTCGATCGCCGACTTCATAAAATGGCTGCACGTTCATTTTGCTTTGAATTCATCTGCGAATATAGAAGCACAAACTTATGTTCCATCATAATATTCCTAGCCACCTGATCATAGTTGAATCTCAATTGCTGCAGCGAAGCCCTGCATACTTGTATATTATGCCACGGCGCAGGTAAGTCACGGTCAAGAATGAGCTTTATCGTGACTGAGTGATAGTCATGATTCTCTGCTTCGATATCAGCACCATGTCGGCGGAGAACTTGAATCGCCCATTCAGAATGGTTCTCTGCGGCGAACACATATGCAGCGTGGGCCAGAAAACCCCGAGTCTCTCGTCATGATGAGCAAGGCCAGTCTCCTAGTTAGACTTAAAAGTCCTAATGAGGCTATCATCAGCTTCAGCAACGGTCAAGTTAAATATGAATGCTGATGGGACTGACCACCTACATATCTTCTTCCTGATCACCCGAGGACGGCGTCTATACTATGAGTCTGAAAGTAAAACTCCTCGAGGTGTTCGTGTAAGACAGTTATTTGTCATGTTTACGTAGGCCAACGTCGTGAGAGGGAAAGAACATTCTGCCAGATTTAGGGTTTCCAACTATAGGGAAAGTCTACTTCCAAATGACTCACTTCATCTCTCATTCATTTTCAAGACACTGCATTCTCACGCTTCCACAAAACCTTACACACTCTCTCTTATACCACACAATACATCCTTCAGCAACAATGTCAATTTTTACACCTCCCGAATCGCCAAGGAAGCGACGAAAACATCAACGCGAGTCTAGAGAAACGGATGGTGATATGAAAATCGGCCAATACATCTACCGATCTGATCCCTATCGAACGACGAGTGTTGAGAATCCCTCTCCATACCCGTTTTCCGTGGTCCCTCTTGCTCCTCAAGAAGAGGACAGAACACTCCCACTCCACCCAGTCATCCCCCAGATCCTACAGTCCCACGGGTTCTCAACAGTATCGTTCGCGTGTATGCACGGTTCAACCTTTGATAATGCTGGAGCCCAGGTCACGACAGATCTTCTACGTGTTGTTTTGACTACGGAGGACTCCATGCCAGATAGCATCGGGGCTGTCAAGGACCACCTTGTCAGACTCCTACAGCAGCATCGGATTCAGAACGTTCACGTCGAGATTCTGAATATCGATTTGTGTCATAAACCTTCGCTGGCCTACTTACCACTTGACAACCCACTTGCAATGGCCTACGAAAAGACAAAAGTGACAGTCGCCAATCTTCTGCGCAGAGAGATTCCAGGCCGGTGGCATTTGGTTTGTGCATTTGATATAAGCAGTCGAGCCGAAAAGCAGCGGCCTGCTGTGGTGGTTATCGTATCGCCAAATACCTCAGCGAACTGGTTTGGGCTCCGGGGGAATATTGCTGCGATCCTTGCGCCTCACGTTAGCGAAATTGAAATCGAGTTTCTGCCTGGGGACATCCAGCCATTGGCTTATAAAGAAGTCTCTGTGCTGGATCGCATGAAAGTCGAGGGTGACCCAGGGATAGGGTCCTCCATAGGGATTCATGGCGATAACAATTCAGGAACTCTGGGGGCTTCGTTGTATTGACCGCGAATGGAACCAGCCACAAAGGATTCCTGACAAATTACCATGTCGTGAGGCCTAAAACGCCGAAAGACTTTGTGACAGACCTTGACCGGCTTGGCTGCTCACTTGGTTCAAAGCAAGGGCAGCATATTCAGATGGAATATCCCTCTCACGTCGATCACAACTATACACTGGGAGATCTACATCGGAGATTGTCCAATTTGCGATCCCAGCAATGGAGACAAGGTTCTATGTCGCCCGTTGTGGCTCAGCAGTTCGTCGCCCAAGCCCAGCGCTCCGAGGCTACTTTGACACAGAAGGGCCAGATTTTGCACCGTTTGCCTGCTGTTTTAGGTGATGTTTTCATCACGTCCGGAAAGGCAATCGAAAATAGGCATGTGCAAGACTGGGCTTTTGTGAAGATGCCACCTGAAAGTTCTTTCTTTGGCCTGAACCTGATGTTCAAGATACCTCCACATCTTACACCGGACAAATATTTACCACACGCCACATCCACAACGATTGAAGAAGACACCGTGCTATCGTCAATCAACAAATTGATCCCTGGAGCATTCTGCACAAAGATTGGTCGCACAACTGGCGTCACAGCCGGGGTGTGCAATGGCGCTAAGGCAATATGTCAATGGGCCAAAGGTGACGAGATACGCTGGGATCTGTCCGGAAACACAGCAAAGGTTACTTCTTCTTCTGCCGATGAATTTGTGGTCGTGAATGGAAAGCTACGTGGGTCTGACAGTCAACAGTCAACCTTTTGTGACGCAGGTGACTCTGGTTCGTTCGTACTCGATGAGTATGGCAACTTGAACGGATTACTCTACGGTGGAGTCTTCCTTTATGTAGGGACTAATGCACAAGAATGTTTCGGTGGGTTGACGACGTCTATGGATGACGTTATAGAGTCTATTCGGCGAAGAAACGGGGATCAGGTTACCTTGAGTCTTTCCGCATAATATCAGTGTCCCTCCCCTGCTTGCTAGGCTATTGTTATTGCTCTGTCTGGAGATGCCATTGTTACCACATTCCTGCTTTGCTTGAACTTGCTTCATAATTCACTTAGGGGCACTGAATCACAGAATAAAACCACCAGTTTCTACTAAATCGTTAGACCCATCTGTCTGCTTGAAGTGAGCGACTTTGAAAGGTCTGTAAAGCCATGGCAATTGCTATACACATACCTGCGTTGCCAGTTGCTGTGCACGAAAGGTACTCAATATATGGCTTTGATATTTCAGTAAGATCGCGGAGTCCTCAACCTGTCGGGGTCCATTTTATTGGTACATGAATAACACATTACGCATACACTATCGATGCCTGGCCTTGTGACTTATTTTCTCTGCTCTTACAATATCATATTCGCCATAGCCATCCAGACACACGATCCCGGCGAGGCTCAAGATTATTCCGCTGGCTTTTCTATGCCATCGTATGGTCCTGAAGCCCGCCTTCCCTGACCCCACGTCAGTTCACTGGTTGCACGCCTTTGAAAGTGAGCTTTGCTCAGCTACTGAGCGGCAGTCTTTCCACAACTCGAGGCCTGACGTTTGATTCTCTCTCCTTGCAGGTCTTCCGAGGCTAGTTGTTCCACCTCTATCACCAGTTTCGAGCCAAATATCTTACACGCTCCGACGCGCGAGGGTTGATCAATTGCCTCGCAGATTCTTCTAATCACCTTGACCAAGGGCATTGGAATCCACGGTTCGTCCTCCCAATCTCATACATAATACCCTCCCATGAATGTGCATCTGATGCTTTCTTCTACTTTTCGAAGCTTGAAGTCTTCTATTCCGACAATCATCTGCTTGAGCCTCAAGTGGAAACCCTCTTCCTTCGTGGGAGATCTTCAGTGCGTTTCTCATACATTACAGTCCTATATTCCCTTTTCCAGCTACTCACTTCGCACTCTTGGTATCCCCTGCACAATATCACTCCGATCCTCCTAGTTTCACGTTCTCATCTGATATCCCATTATCATCGAAAGTGAGCATTGCTTTCTTCCCCCGTGGGTCATCTTGCAGTGCACTTCCCATACATTACCGCTCTATCCTCTCCTGCCTGGCTGCTTAAATCAGATTTTAAGTTACTATCAGAACTGAGAGGCACTTCCTTCATTCCTGTGGCATCCTCCAGTACATTCCATGCATGATCGGAGCACTTTCTTCATACGATACTCATTCTGATCTGATTGAGATTCCAAGTGAAAATGGTTTCTATTCCCCATTGCTCATCTTACAGTGCGTTCCCCATACATTACTGTTCTATTTTCTTCTTTCCAGCTGCTCAATCCAGTCTCTGGTTTTTCTCAGAACTGAGAAGCATTTCTTTCACTCCTGTGACGTTCTCGAGTGTGTTCCATACACAACCGGAGCACTTTCTTCAAGGAACACTCATTCTGATCTGATATCTGATTGAGATTCCAAGTGAACATCTTCTTCCTTCTGATTAGGACATGCTTCAGTGCATTTTGCATACATTGCGTTCCCAAATACCCCTGCGCAGCTTCTCACACCAGAATCATCCTTGAATTCCAGCCCCATCCCCCTTTTTTTTCGCATTGATATACTGACCCATCTCCGATTTCAACCAGTTTCATTTCCTTGCTTATCCAACCGTGCTTTCGAGACCGTCATCGGTTTACCCTTTCCTAGCGCTGAACCACCAGGATGGATTCCACCAAAGTGAGTTACCATTCATCTTCATGATACATTGTGCAATGCGATACTGATATGGACCTCTCAGGATCCCGGTGGCCCGAGTGCTGGCGACGCAGGAAAGCGCAAAGGAGATGTGGATGAGGCTGATACAGTGGGTCCCAAACCATGCTTTCCAGACGGGCCTCCTTTTGCTAATTACTTATCTAGTCTAACAAAAGACCCAAGAAAACCGGCAAATCCACTCCTCGGAAGCCTTCCTACCGCAAGACCAAAGAGATTCAGGGTGGGCCAATCGATACCTCCAACAAAAGCGCGGCCATCATCAACCTGAACGGAGTCGAAGCCGCTGTTGCTGGATATATCGGATTCCAGAGTGCCAGCCAACTGCGGTATCTCGTGTGCACATGGCCGGTACTTCAGATATGGTCGATCTGGCACAAGGAAATTGGCATAGGTTACAAGAAAGACCAATTCATTCTGATCGACCGCCACCTTGATGAACTAAAGGCATCCTTCGACCCACACAAAACTTGGCCCTGCAATGGGGATGATGACCGTCAACGCAAGGCTTCGAACCTTAAAATGCGTATGGCGTGGTGCCTAGTGCAGCTGAAACTCTGCCTCGACGACTATGCCAGCTTCTCTAAGGAAACAAACCAATACATGAGCTCTCTGCAGTGGAATGAGATTGAAGCAGAGACTGACATCAAGTTCCCTACAGATGAGCCCCTAACATACCCTGTTCCTGTGATGGGCCCTTTGCAGGGCGAAGGGCCTATGGAGCCATTTGGCCGAGCCTGGGAAATACTGAAGTACTTCAATTCAGTCCAAGGCTCGATATGGAGCACCCGCTTTACAACAGTGGCGACTATGCGCAAAGCACCGATCGTGGACGACAGCAATCTTCCAGTATGGATGCAGCAGACAGAGAGAATTGACCATAACACAATGGACACCCCCGCACAAGAACCGGAGTTCTCTCACGAAATCAAAGTCAAGCTTGTCTGGGATGCCTCGGTTCCGTTCAAAGGGCAACAGGCTTTGAAAAATGCTCTAGAGAAGGCCGAGGAAGAAGAGATCTGGATACCAGCATATTCTTCTATCATGAGCCATGATCCAAGAATATGCACTTCTGCTGGTATGTTTCGGGACTTATTACGAGTATCCCTTAACTGTCAAAATCTTGGTTTAGATCTACGCAAAGTGGACGTCACGTACACCACAGCAGGTTCTGAGAAGGGTCGAGTGTTCCATATGGACCCATGGAAGACCAAATGGGATGAGATGAAAGCTGAATTCAATGACCCGGACAACACAAACTTCATCGTGGATGTGAGACTGCGTGCACGAAGTGAAGATCAGATAGACGATTCTATCCTGGAGTCTGACGATTTGCTTCCAGGACTGCTCCCGCCCATTTTGACACCTAGTATTCCTGGTACCCCCGAACCTTCCTCGGCAAGACCAGCTACCAAGCACAGCAACGAAGAGAGTGAAAAAGAAGATGCGGGCCTTGAAGCATCTTTGCTTTTCATGAAGAAGACTTCCAAAGACTCCAAAGTGCAGGCTAGACCCAAGACCTTCCCTACGAAAGCTGAGCAGGTGGCTTATTATGGTGGCTACGACGTGGAGACTGAGTACGGCCGAAGAAAATGGCAGATCACGACCATCGAAAGCATGCTGTCAGTCATCCGACCTGTAAGTCGAAAGGACGGTGTGGATGAGGCGCAATTCATCTCACCGGAGGCTGCCAAGAACCTCCACCAAGCCCACCAAGCCGCTCATCACACCGCTGAGAGCCAGCTCGAATCTTCATCGGTACCGTTCCCCTAAGACTGTCAGTTGTTGATCAACATTCTGCTAACTTAAGATATAGGTCACAAAAGAACACCTCATCTTACAGAATGCATTCGGTGGAACGCCGGCACGATCAGGGCCCCCTGTTGAAATCTGCCTTGACCTGTTGCTTTGTGAGCACGTGTCTGGAACCAACCGATACAGATCCAAGGTTCTAGGGACTTCTACAAAGTGCGACTTCTTTGCTTATCAGATCAACGGTGCAGTTGGCCTTTTGATAAAGTTACTCGGCAACATCGATCCTGTTGTGCTCTTGAAGTGGGCCAGGATCTCCAGGAAGGATTCAGAGGACAAACGGGTCATCCAGGCGGCTGGCAGATTGAAGCATTTGAGGTTGCATGCCGCAATTTGCGCGGATCTGACCGGCTTCGGAAAGACGAAGCTTATTCTACTTGCCACCATTCTTTACAGTGTTCTCGCGAGAACGAACAAGCCTACTCTGTTGCTAGTGCCATCCACTCTTATTTCGCAGTGGGTATCCGAGATTGAAACGAATTGGCCATATCTTCGCCCGATCATGTCATATGGCGAAGCTGACCAGGGATCCATTCTTGGTCGTGACTACATCAAATCCAGAGCTATGCAATCCAAAGACTGGCCTGCCCCTCTCGCCGGGACCATGAATGGAACGGATGAAAAAGCCAGATCAGCAGTTATCATCACCTCGTATAACACCCATCTTAACCGGACTGCGTGGTAGGTGAAGACCAAGAAACCAGGAGAGCACTACCCTATCCCCAGGTTCTTGGCTGATGGCAGCCCAGATTGGAAAGTACGACCTCGAGTTGAGACTGTCTGGAAGACTGATCATCAAGATGTGTTCGGCCTACTTCTAGCAGATGAGGCGCAGAAAGCCAAGAACACAAGGAGTGCGATCTGGACTGTCTTGAACAAACAGAAGTTCCCCGAAATCCTATTTGCAACGGCAACTCCGATGTACAACTCGGTCATGGTAAGTATCCACCCCAAACCATGGTTCTGGACCGGCTTGAATCTAACTATATCTATAGGACTTAGTGGGGCTGCTCCAGCTGCTAGGGGCCAGAGGCCGCGAGGATCTCAACCAGTTAACAGAAAGCTCGAAAGCAGAAGCTGAGATCAAGAAGTCGCTTGCATCATTGGCACCACGTCAACTGGTTTCTGCGCTGAAGGAAATGCCTCAGGACTCACCCCATATTCTTATGCTCCTGGAGTCGACTACTATGACCGATATCCTGAAGGACAAAGGCGAGCTGCACGTTCAAATCTCATCATACTTCAGCGCGGTACTGAATTTGATCGCCATCCAACGAGATACTGCTTCAGTGCTCGAGATGTCCAATGGGGAAAAATCGCTGCCACTGGAATCGCTGTTCAAAAAGCTTTACCAACGAACGTCCTTTTCCCAGCGTGCTGGTGTGGAGCACATCGAATATCAGTTGAAACATTTAGATGCAGCAAAGTGAGTGTTGTAGCCGCATTTGAGTTGAGCTCAGCACTGACCAGGACTTGTTTAGAGAATTTGTCCAGGTCACAAACATTGAATCCGTGGACTCAAAAACAAAGGTAATTGCCGGCGCAAAGGCATTGCGCGAAATGGCCTTGAGCAATTGCTCCACCATGTTGGCTAGACTGGACAAAGAACTGCAATCTGTCAACCAAAATACCTTTGTCAGCACTCTAGAAAGTTGGAGAGCCCGGGGTGCGACAGGGGACTTCATTCATCGCACCACTCGGAAAGAGGGTGAGTTGTTCTGTCCAGCGGAAACCGGAGAGGAGCTCTTGGAATACCTTGGATACGGATCCCCGTGTCTACGGGTGGTGCTGGATGAAATCCTGGGACGCAAAGTTGTGCATCCGCTCAACCCCGACAAGTATAACCACCACCAGAAACTAATCTTGGTCGACTTACAACCTGCCAATGCTTGGTTCATTGAAGTTGTTCTACGAAGCCTTTTGGTTGGTGTTCGAGGTTTTCATTCCCATCTGTCTGCAGTGGAGCGGGATAAGCTGATCGCAATGTTCAACGACCCCAAATCCGATTTGCGTGTATTGGTGATGACTTATGATGTCGGTACGGTGGGCTTGAATCTACATGTGGCCTGTGACCGTGTGATCCTCTTGAGTCCGGGAAGGAGCTGGGGACAAGAATCCCAAGCAATTGGCCGATGCCTCCGGGTGAGCTTTCCCAGATCCGTGGTTTGGGAACCAGTGACTAATCCCCCCTTTTTTCCCTCTATAGGTAACTTCACTCTACCCTGTCACAGCCGTTCGATGCTTTGTTCCAAACTCCCATGATCGATATAGGTTCGTGAAACAGGCAGCCAAGGCTAGCCTGCAACTGGCTGTCAATTCAAGCGAACCATCTCTTCAAGGAATTATCATCAAGTTGTTGAACAACATCCAAATTCAAGTGAATGCTTGCTACGCAAGCGAATATGGACGGAGTCTTATCAAAGAGAAGGCAAAAGTCGACGAAATCCGAAAGGCCGCACTCAACGAGTACCTCGTTCAACAGCCCGCCGAGTGGGCCAAGGCTGCAAAGACCAAGCTTGACTCGGACGATGGAGGCGCCACTGGGCCAGAAATTGAGCTTCCCAAGGGAGTTCGTCGAACGGTATTGAAAATAATCAAGTACCAGGAGAGCTCGCGATCCAAAGAGGATGATCTGGATTCAACGTATATTCCGAATACGGCATCAGAGGAAGGAGACACAGACTCTGGGCCTGATGATGATGAAGAACTCGGAGACTCCGATGATGACCTATTCGACACAATTGACTTGGGTCGCTCCTTAGAGAAGATTCTCACCCTAAATTTCAACACAAGGGAATCATGGAAAGAGTTTGCGGACCGTCATCAGCCGGACGACAATGTCCGATACCTTATGGCATTGCTTGACTTTCCTGACCAGAAGTCGTGGTCTGTCGAGGACTTAGAGGACTCCGGCTATCTTCGTTTAGGTCTTCTGCTTCTTTACAACCATATCCGCGGCATTCCAACAATACATGTGGGCAGTTCTATCCACATCCAGTACCCAAACATCCCGGAGGAAGTTGTGGGTGCCAACAAGACGATGGAGACACTCAAGGGGCCGAAGAGAAAGCAAATGAAGGAGTTCCTGCAACTAACCCAGGGCGACCGGGAGTAGGGGGCACATCAAATTGAATAGCTGGGAGGCGAGGTGGGGGTACAGGGGAATAGTTTGTGCTGAAAGGCCGCAACGGAGATTCTATATTCTTAATTTCATTGAGTTTGTGTTTTATATTTATTCCAGTGAAGTATGGGGGAGTCCCTAGCCTGCCATACAGTAAACCCTGCAGATGCCAAGATGCCGAGCGTTTTAGAGGGAACGGTGCGATCTAATGACATTCTGTTATTGTTTAGGGTCAATGCAGTGGTCGCGCGACTTAGGTGATTCTCACCCTGATTCTCACCCGAGTGACACCCACCCGACTACTGGCCGCACATAAGACACCTACCATATAGAGTAGTGAGGCCTGGTCTAAGGCCTTTGTGAGTTTAATTACTATATAATCCCCTTCAATGCAAGAACTAGTACATACGGCCATAGGGTGTGGAGAACAGGGCTTCCTGTCCGCTCAGCCGTACTTAAGCCCATTACTATACGCGGCCAATGCTTAATGTGCCCTAAGCTCTAAAGCGGTATTGGTTTAAACTTTAGAGCGAGTGTGGGTGATAATAGGTGAGAATCCTGGAGACTAGGGTGAGAGAGGTGAGAATGGGTGAGAATTCTCACCTTAAGGTAAATACTTTGACTTTTATCCGACTAAGTCTAGGTAATAAATACTAGCTGCAGGGCATACCTATAGAATCTACTATTCTTCTGTAATTCCTAGACTGCGGCAGCATCCTCAATATCCATGGATATCCACATATCCTCTCCGCAAATTGCGGATATAGTATAGCTTCTAGTATCCTTAATCCTCAATTTTGCGGATATAGTATGCTACCTAGTATCCTCTGGATATTTGAGGATATCCAGTGGATATCAAACAAGACAAACATACCAAGATTATTACCTATTTAAGTAATTATTTCGGATATAAAGAGATTTAGATGGATAAAACTGCATAAAAGTGACGTAATATACTAAAAATTAGTTATAGTTATCATAACTTATGTCCGGAGCCATGGGGATCATCTATAGACCCGGTTTTCATGCAGTATTTCTAAGGTAATGCCGACACCCCGTACCTCTCTTTCTTTATATTCGCCTCAATCCTCCGTATCCCCAAATCTTCATTTGAATATGGAATGGTATAGTGCTAATTTATAGTATGTTACAGCTCCCTTGGTCGTGTTAAGCACTACACAGACCTTCCCCGGCTTAGACATGGGCTTTGTTCTCAGAGATATAACCTGCTTCTTCCACTGCCAACCTCTCCTCTTCGCTCTAACAAAGGAAGCTAGGTACTTTTATCGACATCGCCTTCGTTGACTAAATGGGCTGTATAGATCCATAGATAAGCACGGAGGGCATAGAAAACCTCCTTGTTCAAGTCGCTGGGGTAAATTATAGCTCGGTTGTACGGTAGTAGGCTGGCTGACCCCCAGTCTCCCAAAAAAAGGGGGAAAAGGGAAAAAAATCACTTCTCCCTAGCAAGTGACCTATGAGTCACTTCGTGAACATCCCTCCGGCGATTAAACATATGACGCGGGACCCTGTGTTCGATATCAAGCTACGAGGTAGTACGACTGGGACCGGCCCACTTCAGACCTTGTTATGCTTGGTCAACGTGAGTTTAAGGTTGCTGTTAAGGTTAAATTGCGCATCTGGCTGAAGGTGAAGCTAAATAGAACATTCCACTGAGTCTGTGTTGTATTCTCGCTGTAAAACACTCTTACGCTTATTAAGTAGACTCCGGCCCCAGGCCTTTCCCCACGATCATTTCGCGGAGATTATTCACCTATAGCCAAGGATTGTCTTACAAAGAGACTTCTACGCTGACTTTATAGGGGATGTGATGCAGGTGACCATGGAATTAGCGTGCAACGTTGTATTTCTGCACTCAACCTCCTTGGTCACTATACCCATGTTTGGAAGGGTAGTCCCCTGATTGAACTTTAAGCAAGAAGATGGAGGGACCTGTAGCAGGTGAAGATATTTCACATCTTATAAAGCATGCATACTGGGCCCAAAAACCAGATTGCAACTTCTCAGCATCGAAGTACATGTCACTTGGTCAAGCGTTGCATGACACAATGAGGCCTTCTTCTTTAGCTTTCCATATCTTAAATCTTGCACTATGCTGCTCCTCGCTGATGCAAGCTGCTTATTCAAACTATGAGCGCGTTGAGCAATTGGAGAATGTACCGGAGGGCTGGTCGAGAGGAAGCAGGCCTTCAGTCTCAATGCTAATGACATTCAATCTGGCAATCATCCAAAGTAACGCTGCAGAATTTGAACAAAAAGTGGTTGGCCTGTCAACTCCGGGACATGCAACATACGGTCAACATATGACAAGGGAAGAAGTGAACGAGTTTCTGCGTCCACACCCATCTGTTTTAGATCGAGTTCTCGCATGGCTGAAATCAGAAAATGTCCCTGCCAGCTTCATCGAAGAAGAAGGCAACTGGATAAAATTCACAGTTCCAATTGTCCAAGCTGAGCAAATGATGAAAACACAATTTTTCTACTTCCATCAATATGCCCAGAAAAATACCGCCATCCGCACCCTTGGTTATTCAGTGCCTAGTAATATCCATCCTTATGTCCAGTTGATTCAACCAACAACTCGGTTCAGCAACCTCGGGTCTCTGAAAATGTCACGCTTAATCCAACCAAAAGTTGCAAGTCCTGAAGACCTGGCCGCTGGATGTCGCAGTGTGATCACACCAGCCTGCATTCGAGACCTGTATGGAATTGGGAACATGACTACCAGACCAAGCCGGCAAAATATCCTTGGGATATCTGGTTACTTAGACCAATACGCTCGATACCGGGATTTTGACCATTTCATGGCTCATTACGCCGCGGAAAATACAAATAACTTCACCGTGGTTTCAATTCATGATGGACAGAATGACCAGAACTCTTCACTTGACAGCACTGAAGCAAGCTTAGATGTGCAGTACGCTATCTCCCTTGCAGATGCAGTGAGAGCGGCCTTCTACACCACCGGTGGAAGAGCTCCTATAATCCCAGAGGTTGGCCGGACAAATGGCACTGAGTCCACAAATGAGCCCTACCTCGACCAACTACATTATCTGCTCAGTCTCTCGGACCATGAACTTCCAGCGGTACTTTCAAACTCATATGGAGAAGACGAGCAGAGTGTTCCAGAGTCATATGCAAATGCAACTTGCAGTCTGTTCGCCCAGCTCGGCGCGCGCGGTGTTACAGTGCTGTTCAGCAGTGGGGATTCAGGGCCTGGTGGTTCTTGCCTAAGTAATGACGGGCAGAACCGAACCAAATTCCTACCTGAATTTCCATCTTCTTGTCCGTTCGTCACTTCCGTTGGAGGAACGCACAACACCGACCCCGAAAGTGCAATTTCCTTCTCTGGGGGTGGATTCTCGGATCTTTTCCCACGTCCAACGTACCAGGACACCGCAGTAGATGGCTACCTCAGTAAACTGGGAAGTCAATGGAGTGGATTATACAATCCCCAGGGAAGAGGCATTCCCGGCGTAGCAGCCCAGGCGAGTAACTTCATGGTTCGAGACCATGGAAGTTGGGCGTTGGTCGGTGGTACAAGGTTTGTACTTCCCGATCTTGAAGAAAAGAGACAGACTAAATATGTATAGTGCATCGGCGCCAGTACTTGCAGCTGTAGTTTCTCAGCTAAATGCTGCCCGTTTAGGACAGAATATGCCTAGAATGGGCTTTTTGAATCCATGGCTTTATAGCATCGGACAACCTGGGTTCACGGACATTATTCACGGTGGCTCCACTGGCTGTGTCGGGAAAATTACTGGCGGAATTAAAACACCTCTGGTGTCAGGTGCGAGCTGGAATGCCACCGAAGGGTGGGACCCTGTGACAGGACTGGGGACGCCTCTCTTTCAGACCCTTGTCCCGTTAGCATTGTCTTAAGCTGCTCAAAACGGCCTCAATTGAACACATGTCGGGTTTGCTGGGCAATGGCGCAATTCTGAAAGCTCGATGCAAATCAATAGTCAAGTTAAAAATCGAAGAATATCGAAAAAGTAGTAGACGATCTCCGATTATAAACAAGGTCACGTGCGACCACAAGCTGACCGCCCACCACAGCTCCGTCATGAGCGCCGGATTGTCACCAACGATCATCAACTTATCCTCAAGCTCTCTATCTCCTCCGTTGCAGCCATTGCCTACGTTAGATTGCGTTTCGGCTCTGTTACCGTCTTTCAACATTATCCTGAATTCACCTCACACGCACCATGTCCGATCTACAGTCCCTTGTCTCAGAGCTCCACGGTGCTCTCGAGCGCAAGCAGCTGGACACCGCCAACGACCTCCTTAGCCGCGCCAAGCGGGCTCTTCTTATGCAAAATGCATTAATCCCAACCTCATCCACACCTCCCCAGCTTGTCGTCCTCGCTCGTCAAGTCCTCGAGCTCGGAGCCCTTGCCTCAATTCGCCAGACCGACGCGCAGCTATTCACAAGATACTACCAGCAGCTCCAGCCATTCTACGATCTTGAGAGACACGCCGGTCTTCCAGGCCAGAACTCGTCAAATGTTGATTTCAGCACTAGCCAGCGGAGCAAGATCACAGGACTGTACCTGCTTCTTCTTTTGAGCATGGGCGACAGTGCCAACTTCCACACAGTGCTAGAAGGATTGGTTGAAGAGGCAAGCTTGCAGGGTGGCCGTGTTGAAGATGATGCATACATCAAATACCCCGTTGAGCTGGAGCGCAACTTGATGGAAGGCAGCTATGATAAGGTCTGGAGAGAGACGAAGTCTGAGCGTGTGCCATCCGAAGACTTTGGCCTGTTCTCGAATGTAAGTTGCACCAGACTCGATTGTATGTCGAACAAAAGTACTGACCCGCCCATCTTTCATAGGTTCTCATTGGTACCATCCGCAGTGAAATCGCAGACTGCTCGGAGAAGGCCTATCCTTCCCTCCCCATCTCTAACGCCAAAAACCTCCTCTTCCTCGAGTCTGAAGGTGCCGTTATCGAGTTTGCCCAGCAGCGTGGTTGGATCCTCCGCGACGGCCGGATACACTTCCCTGTCGAGCCTGAGGCGGCTGCCAGGTCCGAGAAGGACATCCTGGTGGCTAGCGGTACCGTTATTGAGAACGCGTTGGGCTACGCCCGGGAACTGGAGACCATTGTTTAATTACACTCATCAATGGGAATGATATGCTGTATTCAGGTATGAATGATTTATTTGGGCGCGGATGTACTTGTATACCTGTCGCTTCTGCATTGTGATTTGTCTAGCGTGCTCATGATAACAATCATGTTAGAGTCCATCCCGCTTCCCTATTTCCAGTAACATTCTAGACGGCATAGCCAGTCTGTAAAGAGCAGATGATTTAGTCTATAATTCGACTAAACATCTACAGTCCACACACACAACCTCCGGTCATAGAAACTGCTCGAGACACATAGAAGCTCCCCAGACCCAGACTCCCCTCGTCCAACCTTCGTCCCCTCCCATACACCACTGGCATAATTCATACTCTCATGCTCCGTAAACTTCGCCAGCACTTCAATTACCCATTCCGGAGTACCATCCTGCTGCGTGCAAGTGACCCGAACGAGCCTAGTGCCTGCATGCATACAGCTTGCCAGCACCAAGAAGCTCCATTCCGTAACATTCAAGGGGTCTGCAGACTCAGGCACTTGCGTCGTGTTCAACAACTGCAACCGCCAGACTCCACCGTCGAGACATTGTTCAGCAAGAACCTCCCCTCTGCGTGTAGCATAATATACCCGTAAACCCTCATCATAACTTCCCGTCAGCAAAACAGGAGCATCATCAAACAGCGGAACACCAAGCGGTAAAATGGCAGTAACACCAGCTGTATGATGACGTGCCCGATCGTCATGCTCAATAAGCATAGGCGAGATATGCTCGTCAGGATCGTCCAACGCGGCAGTATTATCTAACCGACGTGTATGTAATGAGCCGAAATCATTACCGGTGAACATGAAGGGAATTTTGGATGGATTTTGCTCCTCGGAGGCTGTGGAAGCTGTGGACAAGGCCACGAACCAGACTTCAATCATTTGCTTCGCTTCGAAGGTTCCCCATTCAACTAGACAATCTTCGTCGCGGAGATCACCCTCGGTCCCGAAGACAGCTGTCCGGCTATCAGAGAATGTGACGGCAAATCCGTCTGCTGGAGACCTGGGGAACCAGTTCTCCGGTGCCCACGCTAGGAACAGGGCTGGGATGGATGGATCTTCGTGGACTTGCTTCGTCCATAGTTGGGTGATGCTGGGACTTGTAGTAGATGCATCATCTCCCGCTGATATGTTGGCAGAGACTTCAAATAGAGACACTGAGCCCACACTACTTGCGATTGCGAATAGATTCTTGTGTTTTGGGTGGAAGTGGAGGTCAAAGACGGCGTATGGCACTGCGACTTTCTGGACTTGGGAACTATACAACATTAGTTGTGGTTCCGATGAACAAATTCACACAATGGGCAGACTCATGCATTCCTGACTTACAGTGCTTTGTTGACAGGATCTAGCTTCCATAGCTGGATACTTCCGGTTTTGGATTGTTGTATCTCTCCATCTTCAGTTTTGTTCTCTGATAGAAGGTATGTGCCCACAATGAAATGGTCTTGTGCCTCAGGGCAGAATTCTAGACAGCTCGGTGGCTGGTCTAGGAATACTGTTGTTGCAGACTTGGGGTGCTGAATAGTTGCAGCCATTGTGATTTGATCTGATCTCAACCGCGTCACGGGGTGCATACAACGTGGTGATGCGGCTGTAGAGGAAATGCACTCAAATTCAATTCTGCAAAGTCACTTTCACAATGACCGTATCTAGGCGAAGATATAAGACAGATCTTTTTCCACTTGGCCTCTGTTCTCGGGAAGTTGAGATTTGAACCAAAACCTCATAGTGGGGCGGTGAGTATCCACTCCGAAGCAAAGAAGTATACAACCTTTCAGCAACTGCAAACGCAGAAGCAACAAAGATATACGCGGAACACTAGATCCAATCTACCTATTGGCTACTCACCTATTACCGACAGGTCACGTACGTAGCCAGTTCTTACAACCGCAATTTCTGCGTCACTTGTTCTAGATCTATAGATAACTTTATATCATATATACATAGAGAGTGAGAGAGACAGATATTCCAAAAGTCCATACAGGCGCGTCCGAATCAGCTGATCTGAGGGATTTCCGATGGTTATCAGGTCTAACCCCACTCGAGAGATCCAAGTTGTTTCATGCCCATACTTACCCACATATATACAGGTATGTACACTCTAGATTAATATTGATGCTTAATACTACAACTTGCAACAACTAGAGTAGCAAAAGGCAAACAAGAAACATACAAAATGGTGCAAGCAAAACAATCAAACGAAAGCTCGGTGCTTCTTCGCAAAAGCATTTGATAGGAAGACTATCTAGCGATGAGGCTTTTGATGAGCGATCCTCCTTGACTGTCGCCATTGTGCAAGGAAATAGGACTGGATCGAGTGGTTATGATATATATGATTTACCAGTGACTGGCTTTCATAACGGTGTTAGGAGAATCAAGACTAAAAATTCAATACCCAATACAAAGGTTGAAGAATGTCCTGAGATCATTACGTGTGCTTCGGGCTCATCTCAATCCCGTACTGAATCAGAGCGGGATCCAACCTTAGAGATTATAATCTTTGATAAAGTTTCGAAGCTGGTTTTATACACACTAACGACCTCTATACAGGTGACTTATTATCATTATCGAGTTAAGAATCTCTAACCATCTTAACGTCATGGAATGTAGAAGAATTTTGAGAGTTGGTCATTTATCGGGGTTGATATTAAGCCCGAATCCCCACTGTTAGTCCAACATTAATAATTGCTAAATATCGGGCCCCGATCAACAGCGAGATCAATAATATGCAAAACAGAATGATTAACCATGTCGCTCTGCTTATAGAATAGACTTACCGCGGTTCTTCGGTGAGAAAGGATCACCGAATCCCCGAACTTGCGAGCCACTTAGGGTTTGATGTCTATTAAGATCGAGGTTATGGTATGATCACTAGTACAGCACACATATTGGTATAAAGATCGAATACTTCCCCGGTCCAGGTCAAGTCACTAAGTATCAAACCCATCAGCTCAACATTTACATTATCTCTCAAGGCCCCAGCCATGTCAAAACTTATCACGGTTTTCGGTGCTACAGGACAGCAGGGTGGTTCTGTCATTCGCACCATCTTGCAGGATGCCAGCTTGTCTCAGGACTTTAAAATCGTGGCATCACCCGCGATATCTCGAAGCCCGCAGCTCAAGCTCTTGCCCAACAGGGAGTCGAGATCAAGGCTGTAAGTCCTCATCATCTCTTCAAAATATAGGTGTCCAATATTGACAGATTCTTCCAAGGCCGACATGAGCTCCAAAGAGTCATTGGCTCAGGCATTGAAAGGCAGCCACTCGGTGTTTCTTGTTACCACACCGGACTGGGGCAATGCCGGTTCTGACGCTGAGCTAGTGCACGGCAAGAATGTCGCCGATGCAGCCAAAGAGACTGGCGTCCAGCACCTCATTTTCTCTTCTCTACTCAATGTCACCGAGACATCGGGCGGTAAACTCACTCATGTCCCTCACTTTGACCACAAGGCCAAGGTCGAGCAGTACATCCGGTCGATCGGAATGCCCGCCACATTTGTGCTCCCTGGTTATTTCATGACCAACTATACCGTTTCTGGAATGCTGCGAAAGGGTGATGACGGCGTCTATAACCTGGCATACCCCGTCGGCAGAGATGCCCAATTCCCGCTCGTTGACATTGCCAGTGATATGGGTATGATATATCCATGCTTCTAGTATAAAAGTGGGAAAGCTGACAAAGTGATTTCTGTAGGCAAATATGTCGCAGCAGCCCTGAAGAGTCGCTCAGACGTTCTGGGTTCTCAAATCCTGGCCGCAGCTGACTATTATTCTCCCTCGCGCATCCTTGCTGAGTTCGAGGAGGTTACTGGAAAGAAGACCCAGTTCATCCAAGTGGACTCTGATACCTACAAGAGCTCCATTCCCGGCCCTATGGGCGAAGAGATGCTGGGGAATCACTTGTTTATTGAGAACTACGGTTACTACAACGGCAAGAGCCTGAAGGAGAGCAATGATCTGCTCAAGAAGCACGGCTATCAGCCTACCAGCTGGAAAGAGTTTTTAGAGAAGAGCAAGGCCTCGTTTTAGGGACCTGGAGGATTCTAAATCGTGTCCACCAATTGTCAGTTTATATAGAGATGGCAGCCGAATGGAAGATTGTTGATGAAAATTAAAGGAGAGGCATATCTACGAATTGTAATGGCACTACCATTTTCTCCTCTCAGTCTCTGGTAACCAATATGACACAGAATCCTCTTATACGCAAAGACTTAAGCGTATTCTGAACAGTTCCAACATCTCAATCATTACTTCCAGATTTTGCCATCGGAGGCTGTTTTCACAGATTCCAGCACTTGCTCGATTGCTACCGCTAAAAACGAACCATTCTTATGCCATTCAGTCCTTGGAAATGGGATATATTTTAGTAAATGCTAATTTTCTTTTCCTCATGGTCAATCGCCCCTATATCGCTACTTGCTTTCCTTAAGTAGTGGAATAGAGTTACCTGTTACCGCTGTCAATTAACGTGTTTCAAAAGAGCATCGTACTAGATTTAGCTGTATAGGGGTCGCCTTAGATATACCTAGTAGAAACATCGTCCATTCTCTGAGTCTACATACAGTAATTTGCATCTATTGTATATCCTAATGTTCTTTCGACGTAGGCAAAAGACAAACTTTTACTTCTACGGTTAAGACATATACATATGGGGGCACAACGCTCCCGGCGTAACGCACCTTGAATACCATTCTTTTAAATCATAATATTTACTTCTTTCGATTCTATAGCCCCCGTCGTGTGATTCACTGATGGCAATTATAAAGGAACTGGGGTGGTAGAGTGGGCCTGACCTCCCAGGCAAAAACACAAGTCAAGTTAGTTACGTTCGGAGAAACGATCGCGCAATCTCACTATCCACATTGCTACATCTCTATCATTTCACTTGCAGATGAAAAGATGTCTCGTCGACGAATCCGAACATTTGTGCGGGTCCTGCCATTCGTTACGCGAGTAGTAATGGCTCGAGCTTTTCCAAGTTTCTTTCACTGCATTGCATTGCATGAACCCACACAATATTTTCATTCTGACCGAGTCAACCTATTGAGTCATGCATAATGCTTACTGAGATAACTTGAGGTCTAGATACATCGATTACATTCTTGCTTCGCCTAGGAGTCATACTAAAAGTCATACTTGATGCTCCGACGGTTGCCGATGGGCGGCCTATATCTAGTTACAGACAGTCATAGGAACCTTGGAGGGTACCATCTCCTTGTGGATTCAAGCGTAGCCATGCTCTATGTAACATTACCATCAACACATCCAAATGTCCAAACTTGGATGATTACGAACACCTCGCATATTGCTTTTTCCTCCGGGCTACCCCTTCGGCCCACTTGCAGTGTACATGCATTGGTTCTTAGACTCGAGAACCAGAGCGAAGGGCGTGAACTCTAACTATGTCACATCCCTTGCACTGTAGCTGACCTCGTGCAAGTACAGGTGCATAGAAGTGCATATGAACGCGTTGATGGGTCAAACACAATGTTCGGTCCCCAGTCCATAGATGTGAGGGCGATCCAGATTGAGTGAAAATTCTGTGAAGGGCGCTAGAATCAGAGCTAATCGTGCAGTTTAAAAGAAACCAATTGTTATCTAAAACATTCTTACTGCAACTCGCATCTGTAAATGTTAGGGTAGCGCCGCCAGAAAAAATACTTATTTGTTCGTGGCCCCCACTCTTTTCATTTCCTACACCTGTCCTATCTATCGCGATGCTGGATAAAAAGCCTTTAGGATACCGATGGCGGTCGTCTCGACTTCTGGTGGTTTCCTCAATTACTGTCGCTTTATTCGCAGGTGCGTGTTGCTGGTGTCTCACATTTCATGGGTGTTTTGAGTCATCCTAACAATTCAACAGAAACCTTTCTCTACGGGTTCCTCACGCCGATTCTGAGCTATATGCTTGAAGAACGTTTACATATCGACCCATCTCTAACTCAGAGCTATACTACCGCATTACTCACCGCACATGGATTCTTCGGTCTAGTTTCTGCGCCGATAATCGCGCATCTCGCCGAGAAGACACCGAGCCAAAAGACACCGCTCTTGATTGCTCTGGCAGGATGTTTCGTGGGTACTCTTATGATTGCGCTCACTACTTCAGGTATTTAGCTCTCAGAGCCATTAAAAATACTGTCCTGAGCTGATTATAGTGAACAGTGTGGGCTCTCTTCCTTGGTCGCAGCTTGCAAAGTATAGCCGGGGCCGGCACTTGGGTAGTTGGATTTTCCCTATTAGCTAATAATGTGGACAAGGAACATCTTGGGAAGTCAATAGGCCTCGCAATGGCATTTGTCACTGCGGGAATGGTCGGAGGACCAACCGTGAGTGGTACACTGCTTCAGCTGTTTGGATACTGGGCCGCATGGTCACTCCCCATGGTTGTGCTTGTCTTGGATATTATTGCGCGACTGGTTATGATTGAACCTCATCCTACGCATTCGTCCGATACTTCAGGCAAACCAAGCGGTGCCCCATCCTCCGAGAACACGGTGACATCGGAAGAAACAACTGCTTTGCTATCCGAAACGCGCGACAATGGCAAGACAACTCATTGTGAATTGGAGGGCAAACAAGGAACAAAGCAAGATTATTACAAGATTATGCTCACCGACGCACGAGTTCTGACTGCATTGTCCAATGTTGTGGTTGTCTCTTCTCTTATCGCCGGAATCAACAATACCCTTCCTGTTCACCTGAAAGACGCATTTGGCTGGAAAAGCTTGCTTATAAGTATGATGTTTTTCTGCTTGCAGGTTCCAAATATCGCTTTAAGTGGACCAGCTGGATGGCTTCGTGACCGAGCCGGTTTGCGGGGACCTACCACCCTGGGCTGGAGTGCTCTGGTCCCTCTGATATTGCTTCTGGGTGTCCCTGGGGACCCCCATTTCCCTTGGGCCAGTGGTAACGCAGCTGGTAAATCTATCTTTACTAGCTCGTTGATTGCCTTGGGTACTGTTTTACCCCTTGTGCGTGGCGTGGGAGCTGTGCAATTGGCATGTGAGTGATCCTTAACATCTCTGATGTGATAATTTGACTGGCATACTGATTCAGTATTCTCCTTAGACGTCGTCAAGGACATGGAAGCAAAAGATCCGCATATGTTTGAGGCCAATAGAAGCAACTTGCGGGTCTTTTCTATGACTGAAGTTGGATATAGCGTCGGAATGATGGTTGGGCCTCTGTTGAGCGGCTCACTGGTCGAAGGAGTCGGTTTCTTCTTCATGGCAGTAGCACTAGGTAAGCACGTCGATTGGTCCAGTATTTCTATTCAAGTACTTACCTTTTCTAGCTGCCATTTGCCTTGTTCAAGCTTGCGTTTCGTGGCGCTGGCTCGACGCTAAGTCTCCGACACAAGTTTCTGACCATTCTGCATAAACGACCCCGGTAATAGAGTCGATAATTTGAATGAAACTGCTTTATGAAAGAGCTTATCTCTGACTCAGAGGGGCCCAAAAAGCTGGAAAAAGGTACCTTTGTAGCATATCCAAATTGAATGTACAGAATTTGATACAAAATGACTGAAATGATTTGTGGGACCGCGTGTAACTTATCTACAGCTTCAGTATCTGTTTGTGTCAGATGTAAAGCAAATGGCTAAGATTTGCACTAATAGCCATCGGTGGTTGGTGAGTGATAGTGGCGGGGACTTACCCCGCGATGAGGTAGCAGTGCCTTCTTCATAGATACCTGCAATGTTTAAATGATCATTTCCTCGAAAAAGCATCGCTTTTGAAATCACGATGGCTGAACAGCAGGGTGAAAGCTCGCAGTTCGCTAACTGTGACCATATCCCTATCATCGATCTTTCAACTTTAGATAGTCCTCATCTTGAAGAACGACAGCAGCTGGCTCAATCAATCTATGAAGCGTGCACCCAAGTTGGCTTCTTCTATATAAAAGTAAGACCATTCTATTACCACCTGGGATATAGCAGCAGCTAAATCCTTCATATCAGAGCCATGGAATTCCAGAGGACATGATAAGAGAAATCCATGATGCCGCAGAACGCTTCTTCAGCCTCTCTGACGAGCAGAAGATGAAGTTCTATATCGGAAACTCACCGGTATGTCTGAATACACGGCTAGAATCAAGATTGGCACACTGAAGTCTCTCAGAAATTCCGTGGATACAGTCCTCTCGGTGGCGAGAAATCCACAGGAACGGATGATGATCCCGTCGCCGCAGAAGATGCAGTCAGTGCTCTCTCTGAAGCATTTGATATTGGGTATGAAACTGCAATGGATGTTCAAAAGTCGAAGGATGACCCTCTTCCTCGTGATCCCTATGGTTTGTATGGAGACAATCAATGGCCTGACCAGGATACGCTGCCGGGATTCTCCAGGACCTACATTGAGTATTGCTCCTTGATTCTAGGACTCTGTCGAAAGATGATGAGAATCTTTGCTCTTGCTCTCGATTTACCTGAAGGATACTTTGACTCTATGGTTCAGAATCCGGGTGTTACGTCTAGGATGATGCATTATCCGCCTCAGCCAGTGAAAGAGGAGGTCCTTGAGGGGCTTGGGGCTCACACGGTAAGCTGGAGCGGCGGTAACATTAGAAGAACTAGCTTTTGACATTCCTTAAGGACTTTGAATGCTTCACTATCCTTTCCCAGGGTAGCGTGCCGGGTCTGCAGGTCCTGAACTACAGCGGCGAATGGATACTGGCACCTCCATTGTCAGGTACACTGGTTGTTAACATAGCGGATTGCTTGTCAATTTGGTAAGAGCAGTGCCACAGTTTCCTGTCTTCCACTCTAATTCCTCCAGGACGAACAAGAAGTTCAAATCAACTATCCACCGGGTGACAAACTTAACGGGACAAGAGCGCTATTCGATTCCTTTTTTCTTTGGTGTCGATTATGATGCAACAGTGTCGGTTTTACCGAATCATATCTTGGACGACAGACCAGCATGCAAAGAGCCTTTCAAAGCAGGCGAGGTGAGTGATAGAACTGCATGATTTCCAGGTTATAAGGTGAACTAACGAAAACAAAGTGGGTTCGCGAAAAGCTGTCAAAGGCATACGTGGGCTATGAGGGCTAATTGCTTACACTGGGAGAACTAAACGGTAGGATAGCCGTTCCTACTTTTGTTCAGGGGGTTTTATTGCTTATTTGCAAAGTCTCAACGCTATATATGTATATATATACAAGTCTCCACCAAGGACTGACCAATGTCCCCAATAGGAAAGCAACATAGCGATTTATGCCTCAAGTCAATGCATAAATAACAATCACTATACGAAATCTCCGTATATCTCCCATGACCAATAAAGAAACATCGGAGTTTGTAAGCATCAAGCCGATCCAAGGAACCCCGCACCCGATAACGTGACCGCTGAGCGCTGAGTATAAGAGACACAAGCTCTCCCGGAAATATCATATCAAGCAACTTCACATCGCAATGTCTTTGCCATTTAGCATTCCGCCCCCCACGGCGGCGACCTCTATCACACCATTTAAAATTGCTGTCCCCCAGACGAAGCTTGTCGAGCTCGAAACGCTATTGAAGATAGCTAAATTCGCCCCGCATACATACGAGAATTCCCAAATAGACCGTCGCTATGGTGTTGGCACCGATTGGCTAGTGACCATGCGGGATCTGTGGCTGCGGTCTTATAGCTGGTAGTTACTACTTACTCCACATCTTTATGCATCATGCACTGAACTGCCGAAATAGGAGAGCTACCGAGGATCGTATTAATAGCTTCCCTCATTTCACTACTGATATAAATGGGGTCGATATCCACTTTGTGGGTCTGTTTTCGCTGAGGAAGGATGCTGTTCCTGTTCTGTTGATTCACGGGTGGCCTGGTAGGTTTTATTCTTTGAATGTACGCGAGCCATTTTAGATTCTAAAGATTAATGACTTGATCACAGGGAGCTTTTTGGAATTTTTGCCCATCTTGCAAAAGTTCAAAGAGGAATATACCCCGGAGACGCTGCCTTATCACTTGATTGTACCTTCACTGCCGGGTTACGCCTTTTCCTCTGGTCCTCCATTGGATAGGGATTTTGGCACGGGTGAAGTTGCTCTTCTTTTAGATCAATTGATGAAAGACCTTGGATTTGAGAGCGGTTATGTGGCCCAGGGAGGTGATATTGGCAGTCGCATTGCCAGGCATTTGGGCGCAGACCATGAAAGCTGCAAAGGTATGTAGTTCTATACATCCATTCACGAGACAGGCTCAGTTTGATCTAACATATTCTGGTACAGCTGTACACGGTGAGTGATATCTCTCCAAATGCTGCAATGATTCAATACCAATGGGAAGTCAGTCAACGTGGTTTTTATGAGACGCCCAGACAACATGACAGACGACCATCTCAACGCCTTTGAAATACAAGGCATAGAGAATTTGCAAAAGTTCACAGCGTTCGGCAGCGGATATGCGATTGAGCACGGCACTCGACCCAGCACCATCGGTCACGTTGTATCCTCAAGTCCTATGGCTCTTCTGGCGTGGTGAGTTCCATGAGACGTAAGGCAACACCGAGAAACTTGGGATACTAATACTCGCAGGGTGGGTGAGAAATTCCTGGAATGGGTTGATGACCCGCTCCCTCCATACGATATCTTGGAGTCTGTCACTCTGTATTGGTTGACAGAGACGTTCCCTCGGGCTATTTATGCCTATAGACAGGTGTGTTGTTTTTCCAATGTTGATGGACACCGAAGCAGGTGTCTCTGACCAACAATAATATAGAACTATCCGCCTCCCCCTATTCCGGCTTCCAATGACCCTCGCTGGTATATCCATAAACCATTTGGGTATTCTTCTTTCCCTATGGAGATTGCTCGGCTACCGCGCTCCTGGGTTGAGACGACTGGTGATTTGGTTTTCTATGAACAGCACCAGAAGGTATGCAATTAGGCAGGATGACAAATTATACAGTACATGCTGACGTTGATGCGCTAAAGGGTGGTCATTTTGCAGCGCTAGAAAGACCAGACGAACTCAAGACCGACTTGACCAAGTTCATTGACCAGGTATGGCCAGGTATTGTAGGTGCCAAGTGAGCTGAATCCTTCTGTGGCAATAGACTTGCCAGAGAACCATATCGAAAAAGACTTGAATACTGAAAGAAGAATCGAAAGGCGACTAGAAAGATAGTAAGAAGATGAATACGAATGACTTTGTCACCAATTAGTTCCAAATGTGTATATCCCTATTAAGTAAGACATAACTCAAGTAAGGGAATTGATAGGGACACTCCCACTTTTGTTCCGGACACTCCTAATTATGTAATATCCATGATTAGGTAATTGAAAACGTCATGTGATTGTATTGGTATTCATTCTCCGTATTATTTACATGACCTTCGTGTATGCCCAACTTTACCACATGCAGTGCATTTAAAGGGTGCCCTCTTCCGTTTATTCATAGTCTGGCTGTTGTCTTTCTGCTCCAATTGATCCCACTTCCGCTTTTTAGGCTTTGGAAAAGGAATCAAAGGCTCTAAGAGAGGAAGGTATTCTGATTCCATTTCAGAAAGCCCAGTTCGCCAGAATGGGTGGATATCTGTCAATGGGATAGCTTTATTGCTCTCCAATAAACTAGTAATCCGATGGGCACAAGGAAGACCCATTGTCCTTGTGAACGTATTAGTACAAGGGGGTAAAGGAGCAAGATTTGTAGCTCTTCTAGCCTTTGTAACTTGCTCGCCAATTAGTCGTATCGAATAGCGGGAGGTCCTGATCACAATATTAGTATAAAGTTGATGTAAGGTTACTACTGGCCTCTCAATCTGATCTCGTCTAAAATCATATTCAAGCGTAGCATGCCGGGTTTGTAAAGCCTGTGAAATCCTTTCAAATACGATCAACATATCCCCTGTCGAAGCACCGATGTGCTTTTTTAAAAGGCATGTGAGCCTTCAACTCGAGAGGTCGCAGAATTACCGAGGTGTAGGCATTGTTGTGTCCATGCAACTATAAATTTTTCTTTATGAATTAGCCATGTCTCCTTAACATATCGAAGAGAAGGGGAGGTCTGATATCGCTTCTCGAACTCTGATAGCCTCGAATTGTAGTCGTTCTCTGTAGTAGAATAAATTAGCTGATTCCATGATTTTTGAAATGTTTGATATTCGGCGTTCGTCGTAAAATGCTGCTTCGTATTAGACGTTACGTTCTTGTTAATATGCCAGATGCAAAGAAGATGGGGATAATCTGGACAGACGACCTTGACAGCACCTAATAATGCAAGGTCTCTATCTGTACAAAGAACTGGATAGAAAGAGAGGGGGTCGAGAAATGAGAAAAAAGTCTTTAAAGCCCAAATATAGCTCTCTTCCTGTTCATCCTGCATAAAGCAAAATGCAACGCTAAAGGTTGAATTTGATGGCGAGACACCAATAATATGCAATAGAGGCATACGATATCGGTTTGTCTTATAGGTGCAGTCTAGGACGAATACCCTGTTGTATAGGTTAGCATACTTGATTGACTCTGGGTGTGCAAACATAAAAAAGAGGACATGTCCTTCGCTATCCTGCTTAATAGCATATTTCCAGTGATTTTCCTTCAAAGTCTTCAGTAGAAACTCAAGGGGAGTACTATTACCGAGCTTTTGCCTTCGTAAAGCACTTCGCGCATTGTAGATGTCTCGAGGGGTAACTAAAACATTAGGATGCTCTCGTTTGATTAGAGCTAGGATGCCACGAGGGGGAGATCCAATTTCCGATAGATGTAGGACCTTTTGAAGCTGCTCCTCTGTGAGCCGACGGGCAGCTGAATGTCCGATCATATTATCATCAGCTGTGTGATTATGATTCCGGTTTTGGACCTGTAGCTCCCACTTATCATCAAAAAGCATTTTCCCGTATAGCTTAAATGGACAGCCAATCCGCCGTGTAGTTGTCGTTCTTCGTTTCGCTCCATCAGGAGCATTCACTCGGTCACGATACGTGCCACCACGGTCACAACCAAGATAGATGTACTTATCTGTGATTGATCGTATAGTAGTGACAGCGTAACCTTGCGAGAGAGCATGCTGACGGACAGAGGCAATTAATAAATCTCTGCTATCAAAAATTTGCTCAGTAGGGGGCTCCATTTCTGAAAAATCCGAGAGGCAGAGATTTGAGGAGCTAAGAAAAGAGGGAGGCGAGAGCTGGGGATTTATACGTTTAATATACTATACTATGGTATGACATTTAGAATGATGTTGCTGTGGTAATTCCAATACAATCACATGACGTTTTCAATTACCTAATCATGGATATTACATAATTAGGAGTGTCCGGAACAAAAGTGGGAGTGTCCCTATCAATTCCCCTCAAGTAAGGCTAAAAGGTAGGGAAGAAGAAATGCAAAGGTTGTAGAACCGCGTATACTGGAACGAGAATTGATGCAGTAAAACACAATTAGTTTTGAAGAGCTGTGATTTACATTGATATATTCAGATTCGTTGCCCAATCGCAAAATGGAAGTATACAGACAGATGCGTGCATGCAAGAGAGAGGAGGTGGCAGAAACAAAACACGGGTTTCCCATACATCTTCGCTCTCCCACACCACTCAACATATTACCAGACACAGAAATGTCCTCCCACGACGAGATATTCTCCGACGAATCAAGCTTCTACGGCAAGCTCTCGCCATGGCAGCCTAACAAAACCCCCTAAGCTAATCTCCATCTAGGCGACGAAGACACAAAGATCCAGCTAGAAAAAGCATGTGCAGCATTTGACCCAGAACCATTCTGGGCGCACATCCATCAAAACCTCCCGTCAACGCGACAGCATAATGCACGCGCACCAACTCAGCCTGCAAAGGCTTCCTCATCTGATGTCAGCATGAAAGATGCATCGCCATCACCCACCACACTACCGCAAGACCGTCGCGGCAAAACAGAGCCAGTAGAGTCATTCCTGTCCCGTCTTCCGCCGTCAAAGTTGAGTGCACATGATGCAGACTTTATCTGGACGTGGAACCCAGCAGGATCGCGCAAGAATGGCGGGGATGTTGCTTCTTTCACCAGGAAAGGGTATGAGCTTCTCAATGCGTACGAAGAGGAAAGTACACGACTCCGGCAGCTTCATGATGCTTCAGGTGCGAGAACTACTGCTGGCTTGACTCGTAAGCTGAATCCTCTGCGTCAGGAACTGGAGAAGGCGATCCTCGCTCTGGCGCGGGAGACTGATGTTACTATGGGGAAGTGGATGCTGTTCCCGTCGGTTGATCATGTCGATGAAATCTGGGGTGCAGTGGTTAGGGCCACGGAGCAGGGGCAGCTGGGTGATGCGGCCAAAGTTGCTACGGATGATGGTTCTGGACAGACGCGTCTTGTTTGCATTTATACGGCTGACTTTGCGGACGAGAAGGATGTTAAGCGCGTGTTGTGCAAATTGGTTGATATGGATCTTGTTGGGAAGGGGAATCGGGGCATTTATTACAAGTCCGACGCCTACACTCATCTCAATATCAATTCGAAAAATGAGTATGGGCTGAAGGCGAGCATGTACTCGAGCCGGGATGTTCTTGCTTGGAAGTAGGTGAACGGAATTGGCTGGAAATTATGTATGACTTAATGAGATTATGCTTTATGATTGATATTTTGAATGCAGTGGGTATCTTTGAACAATGCGTCTTTATGTAACGCCCGATGGATCGGTGGTCTCTGCCACCGGAAAGTAGGCTATGCGCCAAAGCGATCCCGAGGCCGGGGCAGTAGCCATTTCTGTAAACGCAGGCCTCAAAGCGGGTATCCTTTGGCCATATCATGAGAAGATGAAATCATCAGTAATCATGCAGGTTCCAAGGATGAGCGGGCTCATTCGGTAAACTCCAAACCCGCATCGGTGGGAGTGGGAAGAGCGCCAACCGCTTGAATGGTGTTGATGAAAGGCACAAAGAGGCTTTCAATCGTCATTGCCTTCCTGGCTCATCACTTTTTTACACGATTCCCGGACCTCAGCAACGCCCTTAACCTCACCCCAAGCGTCAAGCAAGTGCTGAATCTCCTTCCAGTCTTTCTCCGCATCCTCCCGCCTATCCTCCGCCACGAGCTTCTCCAGTCTCAGGGGTGCAGCAAGCACCCATCGGACAGTATCCTTCTCATTCTTCAATCCAGAAGCTCCGTCTTCCGTCTTGGCCTCTTTCATTCGCCGCCGCTGCTCCTCCCCTTCCTTGATAAGTCCGCCAGCGGTCTCAGCAACGAACGCAATTGCCGGACCCAAGGTCTTTGTCATAGTCAAGGGAGCACCACGTTCATCCATACTGCGTCGCATCTTGCCAATGGTCTCCACAGCACGGATTAACTTCGAATAATTATCGTAGACGAGTGCTTTCCGTTCTCCGTCGAGAGTCCGGATATCTCCAACAAGCGTATTCTCCGCCTTGAGCACCGTAGATAGAGTCGACGTAGAAAGGAGATGCTCGACATAGCGATGCGGGTCGAAGTCCGCACTGTCAAGCTCAGTCCCCGAAGCCAAAGCGGACGGGTTGGATATATTCCCGGCATCGGTGGTTCGGGGAACGCTGCGCGAGCGAGACGCATCCCTAGAGGCAGATTGATCCGCACCGGGCGGTTTGAGGTTATAGTAATCACGGAGGGCACTGCGATTCCGCCGAGGGTTGAATGAGGGGGAGAGAGCTCGTGCAGTGGACGGGGTAAAAGCGGCGCTGAGCCCGCCGCTGACGTTGGTATTCAAGCCATCGAGAGAGGGGCGGGACGACGGCGGCCCTGGAGAAGGGGCTCGTGAAGAGGCAATCGATGGGCGCGGAGAGGATAGAGTCGACATGGTGTTTGAGGAGGAAAGAGAGCGACGGGCCACCGGCCACCTCGACGGCTTTAAGCGGTGGTCTGTGCTGTTGTCGCGTTGAAGAGCTTCCCCGAACTTTTGTTTCTCTTTCCACATTGTGCAACATCCATGCTCATGGAGACTTCCACTCCATCATGGCTAGTTCCGATCAGATCGCCGCTCAGATATTGAGCACCAAGTCACTCTCTGTGTCTCCAACCTGGCTCAATGCCTTCCTATCCTCCGGCACCGCACCACGCAATGTTCCCGCCTCGGCTCTCGCGAAGACAGCTACTTTCCGTCTTCTAGCTTCTGATATCAGAGAGTCGCTCTCTAAGCACCGGTCTTGTGTTCTACCCACCAACGTCACCAACCCAAATGTCCAAGAACTACGCCTCCACGGCCCTATCCCGGTACAGGTCCTAGACATCGAAGACATCGGCACGAGTCTGTGGAGCCAGATCGAAGCTATTGAGCGTGTCGAGCGAGGAGAGGCTATCCGTGGCCGTGAGATTGTGCGCACTATCGCTGTTGGCGAGGACCCGGAGGTGTCGGAGAACAATCGCTCGAATAACAACAATGCTGTTGCATCAGGCAATAGTGGTTCTGGCCCACACCGTTTGATGATTCAGGACGCAGCTGGAACTGTGGCTATCGGAGTTGAGATGCAGCGGATTGAGGGGATCGCTCTGGAAAAGCTTGCTATTGGGGCGAAGCTATTACTTCGGAATCCTACTGTTGCTCGCGGTATGGTGCTGCTCACTCCTGGGTCTGTTACTGTGCTCGGCGGCAAGATCGAGGCTTTGGATAAGTCCTGGAGAGAAGGGAGGAAGGCAAGGCTATTGGAGAAGACTTCTTGTCTGGAAGGATGAGGATTTACGAATGGAGCATTAGGCGCAAAGTGGTGATACCCTCATTGGTTTAATAATGGTTATCTGTTTTTTCCTTTCTTTTTTATTCTTTGTGTTCGTACTATTCATCCGTACACCCCTGCCCATGGCAGCATCCTGATATCAGGATAATCTCTGATACCTAACTAGGCAGTCAAGTTAGATACACTGTGGTTCAACTCCTCCCATCCATTGCACTTCCACGGCGCAACCATGATAGCACGGAGAGCGTCACTGGTCTTACCAGTCTGTGCATATGCATCACTGAGATCTGCAGCTTCGAGGTTGCTGTAAGGGGGTACGTTCTTCAGCGCACGATCGAGAGCCATGTCTGCTGGATAGGCAGATTGCGATGCTGAAGACAGCTCCATCCATCCTGCAGGCTGGCTTGGGGATATCATAACTGCAGCAGTAGCCTCTCCAATACGTCTCGTATCTTCCGGAAGTGCAGCAGTATCCGTGAATCCCATCGCTGAGATTGCGGCGAGGAGTTTGATCAGTTTAGCTTGGTCATGAATATCGACGCCGTCGCGTGTGATCATGCTGTGAAGATCTGACTCCACGGCCTCGATTGCGTCCCTATCCGCGTCTAGAAGAGCAACCGTACCAAGAAGACTGACTGCTCCGATGTGATCGGGGTACTTCTCAACACAGTCAAATAGCTGCTCCCGGGCAACAGCTCGGTCCTCTTCGCCACCCTTGGCCCACAGGACCTGGGCAAGAAGGCAGACCACATCTGGGGCATTGTCTGCCTCCTCGAGAGCGTCGCGGAACATATCAATGGCATGGTCCATGGAGTTTGTGTAGTAGAATGCGAGACCAGCGGTCAGATGGGCGGATAGACGGAGCTTCTTGCACGCTTCGGGATCAAAGTTCTCTGCATCTTCCTCTCCGGAGAGAGTAATGGCAAGCTCGGCCTTTTCGGCAGCTTCCTTGTATGAGTGGCTTGCGAGCAGAACACGTGCCAGGTCTGCATTTGCCTGGGCGAACTTAGAAAGAGAGGCGGGGGACTCGGTCTCTTCAAATTCGGTCTCCATGCCTGAGCAAACAGCTTGCAGGCTGATCTCAGCATCTGTGACCTCGCCCATTCTCTCTGCAAGCAGAGCAGATAGGTGAACAAATGGCAGGTCAGTCGGATTCTGGATGCAGAGCTGGTGTAGAGCAAAAAATGGCTGGATGAGATGAGACACCTCGTTGGATGCGGAGGGGTCAGAAAGAAGATGATCGAAAAGGTTCAAGGTGTATTGGCGCTTGGGAATAGTAGTCGACGAGTTTGAAATATCAAAAGCATGCTCGAAAAGGCCTCTGGCCTCCTTGGTTTCACCAACGAGCATTGCAAGCAACCCTTGGCCAACCCAAGCCTGTGCATAGTCTGGGTCGGTAGATTGTGCCCGCGTAAAGACGTCATTGGCAAGTTGGACATCATTTTGTAGGAGATAGAGCGCTCCTAAGTTGGTCCAGACTTGAGCGTTGCGATCGTTCAGATGTAAGCTTCTGACAAACGCATGCTGCGCTACCTTTGGGCTCATGCTTGTGGTGACAACACCCAGGGCATTCCAGAATTCAGCATTGCCGGCCTCCAGTTCAATTGCTCTCTTGAAGCATCGCATGGCAGCTTTCAAGAACTTGCGTGGCTTCTTGCCCTTCTTGCTAGAATCCGACTGCACGCTGCGGTATGCAAGATACTCGGCCCAGCCAAGATTGTACCATCCGACTGCCTGGGCATGCAAATCATTCACAGAAACGTGAAGTGCACGCTTGTATGCAAGAATGGACATGTTAATATAGAAATCAAATGTGGTCGGGTCTTGATTTACACTGGACTCGAGCCAATCCTTACCCACGCCATCAATGTCAGTCATGAGGTCAAGGGCCATAGAGTCAAGATTGACGGCAAGTAAAGCCTTGCAGTCAGAGGGCGACAATTTCTCGAGCTTGGATTTCATGTAGAAGAAGTTGGAGCAGGCATCGCCGACGGCCTTCCAAAGGTTGAAAATATCACTCTGAATTGGTGCAAGCGAGCTAGCCACTTGGATGGCTTTGCATGAAAGCTCGGCGGCGTCATTGAATATACCCAAGCCCAAACTTTTCAGGGAACTCTCTGTGAGGGTCTGAAGCAGCGCGATGGTTACACCGACGTCACCAGGCCGGGAGATAAGGACGTGTTCGTAGCTAGCAATTGCATCATCAAACTCGCCGAGCTCCCGTTTAACATTTGCAAGCATGTATCGCGCAAACCAGACATGCTCCTTATCTTCGTCTGAAAGATCTGCCTCCAATGTCTTCGCATGCTCGAACGCTTTGGTAGCGGCAACATACCGACCAGAGTGGTGGTAGCTCTCTGCGAGTCCAACCCAACAATGGTAATCATTTGGTGACAGTCGAAGCGCTGCCTGGAATGAAGGAATACTTTTGGCATACTGCTGTTTGTTGATCTGCACCGATCCCAGAGCCGCGTATGGCCAGCTGTATCCCCGGCGCTTTGATCCAGGGGCAGGCTTGGCCTTGCCGGAGTCATCCACGCGTTGTGCGACCGCTTCAACAAGATCCCACTCTTTCGAGTCAGCAAAGCCCTTTGCAAGCCGCTCGGCGGCTTCGATCTCAGATGTGGACAATTCAAACGCTTTGTGGAAGCACCGACGTGCTCGGTTCTTGTCCTTCTTGTAGTCGGCATAGTAGAAACCTAGCAGGGTGTAGGCAGGTGCGAAATTCATGTTCGCTTGAATAGAGGCAAAGAGGTTGGCGTAGGCACCTGTACGGTCCTTTCGTGCAGCTGGAGATGGGTCGAGTTCCCACTGACAATATCCAATGCGGTATAAGAGATCGGATGCAAACTCTCTGTTCCCGGGCTGAGCTTCCCTCAAATCTTCAAGAGTAGCCGACAGACTTTCCAGCCCAGACTGGAGGTCACCGTTCAGAGCCATGCACCATGCAAGCTCTCCGCGAATCTTGATGTTGGATGTGTCTCGTGCAAGCGCACGCTGCAAGAAGCTAACCGCCGCTCCATAGTCCTGGTCTTCTTTCAGAATCAGACCAATGCCAAGTAGGCAGATGGAGGAGGTTGGCTTTCTTTGTAGTATTTCCTCGAAAATGGCCTTTGCTTCGGGGTGGTGTCGGGGTGATTGATAGTGGATCAAAGAATTGGCAAGTGCAATGTTCAAGAAATCAGTGATGTTGGGGAGTTTGATCCCACTGTACCGGATCAAGTCCTTGACATTTAACAAACCCTTGCGAGCGACATCAACAACACTCTCGTATTCCTCCAGGGTGAGGTACAAATTGGCCAGGATACGGTGAGCAAGGATGGAAGATCGAGCAGATTCCAAACCACCGGCCATAAGAATGAGACGCTCTTGTTCGCTGGATATAGTTTCGCCATCTTCGCCATCTAGCGAAGAGACCATCTTCTCTTCGGTCTCAGCATCCGCCGAGGGATCTTTGGGGAAGGGAGAAAGTTCGCTGGCCAGGAATCCCTTCAAAACCTTGGAAAGTCCAGAGTCGGGGAAGAACTCCACGAATTCGCGTAGGTGTCCGACATCGTACTGAGAGAACTCAATGTCCTGCCACTCCAGGAAGACTTTCCATGCCGGTTCGAATGGGTGTTTGATGATCACCATGTCATGTGCCGCCTTGAAGACTGCTTTTCTTTTCGCATCTTTCGCCTTCGGCGGGAGGAAACCAAGTTCATCACACGCACGCATAAAGAGCTTCTCCTCGTATTCACGTCGGACGGCGTCATCATTGGTCCAGTCAATCAAACCTTGATAAAGTTGTTCCAACCCGCTCTTTTTGTATGCCTCCCGCTTGACTTCTTGAGTCACTTCGTCAACCCGAGCTCCGAGACGTGTTCTGCGTTCTCCAATCTCACGATTGATGAATTCCTTCTCATCGCTCTCAGTTACTTCGATTAAGCGCTTATAGGTGTGTGACGGATGCGGCAATCGGCCTTCGAGGAAGTCGTACAACGGCGAGCTTGGCAATTGCAGCTCCAATGCATCTCTTACTTGAGATTTCGAGCCCTGGTTCTTGGCCACTCTCAAGTATTTGTTGACCAGATCCTGGCAGCGTTCCTTCTCGTCACTGGGATTCATCAGCGACATATCTCTCATATCGCATCAGCCAATGGGTCCACAAGCATACCTGTCTTCCAATATCTTTCCTAGTCGAATGACCACATCGCGAAATGAGTCAAGTTGGCTGGCGCCCAGTCTACCGTACAGAGAGACCAATCCCTGCCACGCGGTTCGGTCGTCGCTCTTGATGCGAGCCGCAGCATAATATGCGCCTTCAGATTCCTCGATTTTGTTCAATTTGTCGTTTGCGAGTCCGAGAAAGACGAATCTGCAGAGGAAAACACAGCCAGTCAGTCGAGTTCCATGGAAGATGTGGTGGATCATACGCGTGGTAATTCTTGGGGTCCCGCTTGACAAGATCATTTGCCTTATCCGCAGCATCTTGGAAGTCCTTTGCATCCAAAGCTGTTCGCACAGCTTTCAGCGCCGCTTTGCTCGACATGGCTGTATGTGCATGAGCGGGGAGAAACTGGTGTGGTGGAGAAAGGCGGTCGATCGGTTAGCTTCGATACGTCACTTATCGTTATCGGGCTCTCACCTCTTCTCCCGAGACACAACTGCTTTGATCTCTGAGACTCGTATTTTGTTATTCCTTGAGCAGATTGCTCATCTGAAACGCAGTGGTATTGCTCTGAATATCTCGGGCAGCTGATCGGCACCCGTGGTCGTGGCAGAGAGCTATTGCGCTGCTATCAGGCTTCTGGGGAAAGCTAAGCTGTCGGGGGAAATCAAGGGCAACGACAGAGTCAAAGTCTCCGTGAGATTTTTAGGGTGCTAGCGTTGGGAGCCGCGGTCTTGAGAGGTCCTCCTCTTTACCATCTATCCTGACTCGTCGACACATGTCGATATCGCTGCCTAAAACTCACCCCGAAACGAACATGGCACCCCTAAGCCTCCGTGTCGATGGCCAGACTTTCCGAGACACTCAGAACCGAGAAATTACCCTGAGAGGAATAAACGTTGCGGGTGATGCCAAATATCCCAAAACACCCGACATTCCTACATACATCTCTGACAAGTTCTTTGACGCGGACGATGTCTCATTTGTCGGACGTCCATTCCCACTGGAAGATGCCCACGTCCACTTCAAGAGACTGCGGAAATGGGGCTACAATACTATAAGATACATCTTTACCTGGGAGGCTATTGAGCATGCTGGACCGGGCATTTACGACCAAGAGTGGGTTGCTTTCACTATTGAGGTGCTGCGCATAGCCAAAGAATATGAGTTCTTTGTCTTTATGGACCCTCATCAGGATGTAGTAAGTTGTAATGTCTGAAAAGGCACGCATTTATACTGAAATCTTTTAGTGGTCTCGTTTCTCAGGAGGGTCTGGAGCACCGATGTGGACGCTCTATGCTGCAGGACTAAATCCTAAGGCTTTCAAAGCCACAGAAGCGGCGTTAGTCCAAAACACCTACGATGTTCCAGCAGAGTTTCCAAAGATGATTTGGAGCACAAATTACACTCGATTGGTTTGCCAGACCATGTTCACCTTGTTTTGGGCAGGCCGAGACTTTGCGCCCAAAGCCATCATTGATGGAATGAATATTCAAGATTATCTACAAAGTCATTTTATTCATGCATGCGCATACTTGGCCCAAAAAATTCATGAAGCGGGTGATCTTGAGGGTGAGGTGATCATCGGATGGGAAAGCCTGAATGAACCTCATCGCGGTATTATTGGAGTGCAGGACATTTCAGTCATCCCAGCCGAGCAGCAACTTCAGCTGGGAACATCACCAACACCATTCCAGGCAATCCTCACCGGCTCAGGTCGTGCGTGTGAGCAGGCAACATGGGCCTTTGGAGGCTTCGGTCCACATAAGACTGGCACAGAACTCGTGGACCCGGCAGGTGAAATTGCCTGGTTACCAGCTGACCACAATGATAGCAAATATGGCTGGCAACGAGACCCGGGATGGAAACTCGGGCAATGTATCTGGGCTCAACATGGAGTTTGGGACCCATCAACCGACACACTCTTGCAGAAGGACTATTTCTCAAAGAACCCTCAGACTGGTGAACACCTTGATTATGAGAAGTTTACGAACTCATACTTCCTGAATCATTATCGGAACTACAAGAATGCCATTCGAGGTATCTGGTCTGACGCGATCATGTTTTGCCAACCGCCTGTTATGGAGGTGCCGCCTGATGTGAAGGGCACTGCTGACGACGACCCTAACATGGTCCACGCCGTCCATTACTATGATGGACTAACTCTTCTGACAAAACATTGGTGAGAGCTTGCCAATTGATTGAACAACATATCAGTTTCACTGACTGTAGCAGGAACCGGCTTTACAATGTGGATGTCATTGGCGTACTTCGAGGCAAATATTATACCCCGGCCTTTGCAGTTAAGATTGGCGAGACAGCCATCCGAAACTGTCTCCGTGACCAGCTGAAGTTCCTCCGCGATGAAAGTCTGAATTACATGGGTATCCATCCACTGGTATTCACAGAAATCGGAATTCCCTATGATATGGACGACAAATATGCATACAAAACTGGTGACTACAGTAGCCAGAGCAGTGCCATGGATGCAAATCATTTTGCGCTCGAGGGCAGTGCCTCTAACGGTTTTACTTTGTGGGTATACGTCACACAGGTAACGTATCTCGGCCCCGGTTGAACGAAGATGCATGACGCTCACACAATATAGAATGACCATGAATGGGGTGATCAATGGAACGGGGAGGATCTCTCTATCTTTTCCCGCGACGACTTGGAATTGCCCGCAGGAACCACTTCTCGGTCTCTCGATCCCCATTCTCCAGCCTACTCTGAAAGCCATAACAATGGAGAAGATCGGGAGGTCGGGCCTCGTAATTTGAAAGGCGCTCTAGCAACACCTTCAATCACCAGCGACGTGTCTCAGCCTTCCGTACGGGAAGTTAAAGGTTATCGAGCCGCAGAGGCCTACCTCCGCCCTAGTCCAACCTACGTGAGCGGACGATTGGATGCTCATGTCTTTGACTTGAAGAATTGCACGTTCACTATGTCATTAACAGCCAAGGGGCCTACCACAGCCCATGCTCCCACGGAGATATATCTCCCCGAGTTCCATTTCCCAGAGACCAATCTTGCGGTTACCGTGAGTGGTGGCAAGTGGGACATTGATGTGCAAGAGATTCAATCAGTCAAACTCCAGCGTCTCCGGTGGTGGCATGCAGAAGGGGAACAAGATATCATGATTAAAGGTATCAAGCGGAAGCCGGGGAGTTCGCTAACCCGGGTGAAGATGTTACCTATCTGGAGCAATGCCAGAAGGGAGACTGCGTAATTATGTGATGTTGCTATTTTGGAATTGAGCTTTTCTATCTGATACTTCGCCTCTTTGCGTGCCATATGGAATTTGATTGCTTAAATTGTTCGCTCTCGGAGAGTAGCTCCCGTATATCGTTCCGTATAGTAGATAAGATAAACAACGTAATGAGGGGCAAAACAACATAATAAATGTTTATGAGGCTTATCTAAATTTCAATTCTTTCTTCAAAAATTTCATGACCGCGAAGAACCGTGAAAGGAAAGACAACGCGTGGAGCATAGGTGAGCGGTGTGACATTGTTGACCAGGGAAAATTCTCAACCCGACAAGTCCCCCGATTACTTCCTGCACTTGCTATTTAGCCTCCACCAACCCCCCGTGCATTACTACAAAAGTACCGATCCATACAAGATCCGACATCCCCAACTTCCAACCCGGTCCCTTCCCGGAAAGAGCGAGTGGCGTGTTTAGATGGCCGTTGCGGTGTCCGACTGCTAACATAGGAACGGCCATCCATTGTGACCTTAACATGAGTGTTGGACTGTGACACGAGATTGAAACGTATTGACACCTTCTTCTTCACCGAAACCTTCCGCGGCGCGTCAACAAAATGGCTGCGGAGGAGTTGTCGGAGGGCGGCATGACCGACATCATCCGTGCCCTGCAGCTCATTCACAACCCCACGTCGTCAAACGAACTCCGGAAAGAGGCCTCGCAATTTGTCGAAGCACTGAAGGAGACCGACGCCGCCGCGCGTAATGGCTTCCTGCTGGCCTCCCGCACCGAACACGAGCCTGTGGTCCGGTACTTCGGCCTCACCCTCCTGGACCATGTCCTTCGCCATATGTCCTTCACCACCTCCGACGAGGCTACGAGCTTGCGATCGATGATCCTACAACTCGCCGAACACGTCCGACCCGAAGACCCTGCCTACTTCCGCAACAAAATCCCCCAGCTGTGGGCCGAGGCTGCTAAGAAGAGCTGGGGCCTGGATTGGATAGACATGGATGCCGCGCTGGTTCAGTTCTGGGGTGCTTCTCTTGTGCACAAGGAGCTGGTACTCTCCGTTCTTGAGACTCTGTCTGAGGACGTCTTCTTCCGTGAGGACATTGTGTCGTCGCTGCGGGGTGGTGAGCTCAACCGGGCACTCGTTGAGATCTTCACCCCTGCGGGTATTGTCGATCAAATCACCTCGGACAAAGTCGCTCCTACAGTTCAGCGATGTGGAGAGGAAGGCTGGTTGGTCCGGATCTGCGAGTTCCTCGACAATTGCGTTCAAAATGTGTCGAGTTCGGAACAGGCCCGGGATGCGGCTGTGAAAGCGCTGGCAACTTTGAGATCTGCATTGTCATGGTCCATCTACAAAGCTGTTATCGCTTCTGGGGCCGTCTCTAGCATTTTCCGAGCTTTACCTTGTCAAGATGACCAAGTGCTTTTGGGAGCCATTGAAGCGCTCCATGCGCTGTACGGACGGAACAATATCGGCTGTGAGGAATCCCATGGCTTAATCTGTCTCATCTTTGAAACCGACTATCTTGTTGTTTTACAGAGACTGTATGAGTGGTCTGTTGTGGGCCCAGACGAGGTCGATGAGCCTAAATACCTGATCTCCAAGAAGCTCTCCGAGATGGTTTCTTACGTCGCTGGGTGCTTGGAAGACCAAAGATTCCTCAGAGATACCATGAACCGTTTGAATCTTCCTCCGTTCTTGCAATTCATGATCAACATCATGCAGCATCAAAGCTTGACAGTGTCCATACCTTGTCTCCATTTGTGGTCTAAGCTGTTATTGATTTCCAAGATCAGCAACATGGAATTTGTGCAGGAGCAGACACCCCAGTTTCTCAACATTTGTACCTCAAGACTGATCCGCTGGGAGTCTCTTCCTACCGATGCTGATGATCCCACGGTGCAGTTCCTGGTTGAGGACATTGACACGACACCAGAGAGGCATGCATTTGTTGGAAATTACCGACGCTATTGTTCTTCGATTATTGAGACGATTGCCTTGAAGAGACCCCAAGAGGCAGTGCGCGAAATTTTGGGCCGTGTGGATGGTAATTTGGACAACTTGTATAGTGGTGTCCAACCATTCAGCAGTGAGATTTTTCCATCCAGGGTACCGTCTCAGAGACTAACATTTATCTTGCAGTGGAAACTTTCAGCAAATCCTCTATTCCTCTCATGCGAGCCGATGCCCAATTCGCAGTTGTGGAGGCCGTTATCAAGGGCTACAACAAGTGGGTTTCAGCCCACGGAAAGGCGCCTCAACATGATGTAAGACAACGTGACTATGCTTCTTATACCCAGCCGCTAATACCATGAACAGGAGTCTCAGCGGATTGAATTGGAACATGCCGTGGAAAACTGGGCATCAAGCATGATGCAGAGATCTTATGAGGTATGTGACTCGGCAATACAAGGAATCGCGTCATGTATTTACGTTTACATTGTAGGATCCGGTGATGAAACAGAAAGTCATCAAATTGGTTGTCGATATTTCTTCAAAGGCTTTGGACAGTCATCCAGGCTTTGCCCTCAAGGTCCTGGAGCACATCCTTTTGACCCGTCTGCCAGATCGACCTGAGTATCCATTATACTCAGAGGCAATCAAGGAACTTCATGGACTTGCAAGCCATGAGCTTCGCCGCTTAGCTATGCGTTATTCCGACTACTTCGCTGTAAGCTAGGATCTATACCCTCAACTGTACAGGATTCATTCTAACAGTGCTCCTTACAGTCATTCTATGACTTGCTTGAGCCGAAGATCAGAGAAATCACGTTGGCCAACCGCGTGGATGATAAGTTGCAGATGGAACTTACATCCATTTTGCTCATCATCATGTAAGGATCTTTTCACCGCCCAGAGATGTTTCATGCTGACTTTCTAGGCAACGTGCAAACAATGTCGATGGTTACTTGCGTCAGAGCCGGCTTGCGTCTTTCCTGCAACCTATCAGGGAGGCATGGCAAGACGAGCAATTCCGTCAAAGCAGCTCATCATTTCCGGGATTTTGTAACATGCTTGGTCTGGAGAATGTTGGCCCATACATGCAATCCAAACAAGCACAAAAATTGGAAGATTGGTCATTGGTCGAATTGGATAACGAGGGAAAGGCCGTCCAAGAGGAGATGACCCGAAAGTTCCAGGTATGAGACGGATCCCTTCCTATGTTGGATCAGACTGACTCGTGCTATCTTAGTTGTTGCCATTGCGTGGCACCAAGACTATGCTTGCTGTTTCAACTGACCGACTGAAGAAAACTGCTCAAGCTTATGTGGTTGCTTGTGAGATGTGGCACGAACTGATTCCTCTGATCCTTCCGACTTTGCTTCAGCTCGTCAGGTAATTATAGGTGCAGCTAAATCCCTGTTTCCAAAGCTAACTTTATACATCTAGCCATGCTCACGCTTTCCACAATCCCGTCAATTGGAATATGGTCGAAGGCATGCAACCAGTTGTGGAACGTATCCTGACTGACCGATTTTGGCAAGCTGGTATCTCTAGCGGCAGTCGTGATGAGTTCTATGCCCGAATCACCTCATCCAAGTCCACATTGGAAGGATTTGCATCATCAGTTCGAGGCAAAGTTAGAGCGGTCCGCGAAGCATGCTACTCCATGCTGTTCAGCATGAGTAGGATGCGAGAGCACTTCTACGGATTCGCAGAACTCCCTGGCCCTCTAGCCGAGGCCTTGTTTGTTGACTCACCACATCTATCCTCTCATCAGTTTTCTGTTCTTCTGAACATCTCACGCTGTCTGATCGATGATTGCCCCGTGCGATTCCGCAGTCAATTCTTGCCTCCGATGCTTTCTACTCTATTCACCAACATCGACCGCAAAGTCACCACCGAATGGGAAATCATTGAACAGCGCAGGGACGGAATTTCGGACGGAGATCTCACCACCGAGATGAAGTCAGAAAGCGTCCTGCGCCAGTTAACATACTCTGCTGTGATCATGGTAGCCAGCCTATTCGATCCGCAAAGAGGCGGTAGGAAACCCCACGTTTTTCAAGGCTCGCAGTCATCAGTACACACAAAACTGACCGAATATGAACCATCAGATCCTGATGGGACTGAAACAGACCCCAGTGCACCTCAGCCTACCCCGGAGCTCTCTGACTCCATTCGCCATTTTGTACTCTCTTCCCCTGAGATATTTGAGCCCGTCATGCTCTTCTGTACCCACGCTCTTCGCATGCGCGATACTCGTTGCTGCAGTATCATTACTCGTGTCATCCGATCCATTCTTCAAGACTTTGCACCCCCAAACAACACACCTACTACCGCAACCATTCGTGAGTTCATTTGTACCGAGGTTCTCAAGGCTTGTATTACATCTGTACATGAATCCTACTTTGTCGACATGCAAAAAGACCTTGCTCAACTGATTGCATCCATCTGGGTCCTCTACGGCTTCTGCAGCGAGACCCCTCGCGCCGTTTTCTTGAGCTTGCCAGGAATCACCGAAGAGAAGGTTGCCCACACCGAAGCTACGCTCCACCGGTGCACTTCTCCACGTCAGCAGCGTGCATTGATTCTTGAGCTTCTCGAGCCACTGCGTGGTATCAGTGTCGCTGAACAAGGCAAGATTTTGGGCTCCCGCGAGGAGCGCCGTAAGGCTCGTTCGGCCTTGCAAGAGAGATACATGACCAATGAGATGGAGACTCAGCAGCAGAATCACCGTGTCGATATCAATGATGGTCCCGATCTTGGTGGCGTTGCTGACCTCTTTGGGTGAGCTCGACATTACTCGCTTTCAAATATGATGACGTCCACAATATCCAGTTCCAATAGACACCCTTGCAGCCGGTTTACAATCTCAAAGCCCAGCAGCCCTTCCCTTGTCCATCATTTGCTTTTTATTTGTTCATTTGCGTCGGTGCTTACCAAATATCCCCATCGTGAGCGAGCAGTGGCGCTTTGAGAAAGTAATATTATAGAAAAAAGAAATCCAGCCACGCTTCATCTATATTTCCCTTCCCCATTTCCAACTTGCTCACACTGCAGGGGATTCTGAAGTGCGATTTAGAATTGAACGAGTAAAAAACAACATATTGCAAAAGACTGAACTAAACCCTTCACTAGGCAAGTAATATCTACAATGTTTTCCCGAAAGAGACGGTTCACCCTCACTGCCATGAAGCTTGTCTATCACGACTAAAGAGGCCTAGTTCAGTCCGTATACCATGAAAGGTAAGGGGTCACCCAATCAAGCATTTCAAAACACCAGCATCATACAGAGTCAAAAGAAGATAGAGGGAAAGGAGCTTGGAGATCACTAAAAACCAATGACATTGTCAAACAGTCTATTGAGTGACACTGGCGGGGGTATAGGCGAAAGTAGGGCGGACAAAGCTGCAAAAAAGCAAAACAATATTAGCAAGAATCCGAGCAGCTGCATAGCACGCAGTAGAACTCCAATGGGAGCAACATACCGGTCAGAGTTGTAGACCTTGGCATCAGAGCCGAGGAGCTCGTTGGCGCGAGCCTGGTCGGCAAAGTGACGACGGACCTGGTCGCGGTCCTCCTCGGCCTGAAGGAGAGGAGTGATGTGCAGACGAGACCACATTTTCTCACGGGCGAGCTCACTACAATTCGAAAACAAGTCAGTCATGTGTTTCACGGGGTCGGGTTCCTGTCGGGGGGACAGCCTCGTTCCAATTGCGATTTCTCGGCACGATCGGAGCATGGGCAGGAGCCGGCACTTGGGGCTGAAACATACCGCTGCTCACGGGCACCGTGGAAGTACTTGTAGAATCCGTAGGCCATGATCATGTGCATGCCAATCATGTAGTAGACGGGCTTGAAGCCGCGGGCAGGGAGGTTCCGCTATAGAGGGAGAAGACGAATCTCATTAGTCCTGGTTTGCTTGTGCGCGCGCTGGGCCATTGAGATCCTGGGAGTGGGTTTGGATCGCATACCTTGTACTGGACTTGAGCGTAGCCCCCCGTTGGGGGCATATCCTGAGGCATGGTGGCGGGAATGAGCTGGTGGAGGGCTTGGAGGTGTCCGTTGAAGCCGCCGTGACAATTGAGGTTGGATTGGTAGCGTCACGTGACTGGTAACAGTAATGAGGGCTGTGGTGCACGTCATTGGCTGGCGGGTTCCGCGCTGCCTTTTTTCGCGATCTACTACTGACAGCCCACCTTTCGATTGTGATTGACTTGCGATTTGCACTTCCTGCGCGCTATGGAAGATCAAGATCGTCCTCGGAAACTACAAAAGCTCGGCCACAACGGTGATTCGACTCAGGCTGTCGGTCCTGCCATGACTGGAGCTGCAGAGGTGGCCGGCAAAGAGCCCAAGCCGGCGATTGAGAATGAACCCAACGATCTATCCGAGTTTATTGTTGGGAAATACGCCAATTCCGATGAGTCTTCACCCAAGGAGGGACTCAAGGTGGGCGCCGATAGTGCCCCTCCCAAGCTGTCAAAGAACCAAATGAAGAAGCTCCGCCGGCATGAAAATTATTTGGCAAAGCGCGACCTGCGCAAAGACCAAAGGAAAGAGAAAATTGCACAAAAGAAAGAACGCCGCCAAGCTCTGTTCGATGAGGCACGCGCGACAGGTGGCGAGGAAGCTGTCGAAAAACTACGCGAGACATTCCGATCTACGAAAGCCAAGCACACCAAATCCACGCTGATACCCTTGACATTCGTGATGGACTGCGGTTACGACGATCTGATGCTGCCAAAGGAGCGCATTTCTCTCGCATCCCAACTCACACGATCATACTCCGATAACAGCCGTGCACAATACCACGCACACTTGATGTGCTCATCATTCGACAAGCTACTCAAAGAACGATTCGACACCGTGCTATGGGCCCACAAGAACTGGAAGCGCATTCGTTTTATGCCTGAGGACTTTACACATGCCGCCGAGCTCGCCAAGGCACAGATGACGGGTCCGCGAGGAGGCAGCATTGTCGGTCCGTTCGCTGAACAACCCGATGCGAAGCCTGAGGACGGCGAGGTCATCTATCTCAGTAGTGATAGTGATAATACCTTGACTGAACTGAAGCCGTACAGCACATATATCATTGGCGCTCTGGTTGATAAGAACCGACACAAGGCCGTCTGCTACAAACAGGCTGTTGCGAAGGGCATCAAAACAGCCAAGTTGCCAATTGGCGAATACATTGAAATGTCTCACCGCTCTGTTCTGGCCACCAACCATGTTGTTGAGATTATGCTTAGGTGGCTGGAGTGTCGAGACTGGGGCGAGGCGTTCATGAAGGTCATCCCACAACGCAAGGGTGGAAGATTGAAGGGGAAGAACGGCGAAGAGGTGACTGAGGCTACTGCTGAAGAGGACGCTGAGAATGCAAATGATGAAGAAGATGCTGCAGAACAGATGAAACAGATTGAGGCCATGGAGGAAGCCAGTGAGGATGAAGGCGAAGAGAAGAAGTAGATACGGAGTCCATGAACTGACGTAAAATATAAAATACGATCTCGGGAAAGGTGTTGTACATATTCAAACCCACATTCAATGATTACAATGTTCCTTAAGGGAATGAGTACGGGCAGAATGAGCAAGCCATTTAAGGCCTAGAAAGCTGGGACTGAAGCACGACTTCAGATGTCTTGTCTAGAATGTGCCTCCAGTAAAGTCACACCAATACTTCCCTGCTGAAGAAAACATGTTGTTACCAATGTGCTGACAATCAGGAGCTACTTCACTCCAGATCTGAGCCCGAGAATCTACGTTCATTAGAAACAGCAAATAGAGATACTGTGTAGTCAGTGGTGTGAAACTGGTCTCGATGCTATAGATTATATTGTCTATAATAGTTTAGCGTTGGTGCCTTGGCGCCTGGATTATATAAGCCAGGAACCGCCACCGTCTATGACGGAGGCGAATTTCATTGTGATCTCAAGAACTTGTGTTTGCTCCCTCTATACCTCACTAAAGGCAGAAGAGCATCTTGTCTTGGATCTCTTTCTTTCCTTTGTGTTCTTTCTCTTTCATCTCCCTCGCTTCCCTCTCACCTGCCTCTTACATATTTCGGTTGTTTGGCAGCTGCCCCTCGCAACCATGTTTATGCTCCGCAACGGTAAGCAACGCGCTTTTCATGCCCCTCCAAACCCTCCTCTAAACCCCTCCATATTCGCGCATTCATTTGACGGGGTATTTTGAATAACTAGCTAATCTCTTGTTATTTGTAATTCAATAGTGAGCAAGTTTTTGTTCGGTGACGCTTCGAAAGAATCCATCATTGAAATCCCCCAGGGCGAGCTGTACCTAGTCCGCCCCCAGTCGCCCAAGGGTTATTCGGAGCTTATCTTCAAGGACGCTGTTGCAACAATCCGACGTACCGGTCAGGACTTCCAGTACCAGCTCGTGATTCAGAGGGCCTACGAGGAGGGCGAGGAAGAACTTGCGGACGACGACGGTGAACAAGGCGGCGGCGACAGCCTAGACAAGGACGAGAAGGTTTTCCTCCTCGACCAGAGCCTGCATTTCCGCTCCGAGCTTCGTGACAGCGGAGAGAAGATTTTGGCTTGGGATGATCTGAGCGGTGACCCCGGTGACCTTTTTGAATTCATCTGTGATCCTTCCGTTCCATCTGATAAGGTTGCCACCTTCGAACTTGCAGCTTTCCAGTGCCAGTACGAGCGTAAATTTCGCCGCAGCGCCCAGAAAGCCACCGAAGACGAGCTACAGGAATTCTCGTACAGCGAAGAGAAGCCCATTCCTTCTGCAAGCCCGGTTTCTTCCCCGACCACAAAGTCACACGTGCCGACGTCCGCGGATTCAGCTGCAGCTATGGCAAAGGACGTGGAATATGCCCAATCCAAGGGACAAATGAAGGCCCCTAGCTTTGAGGAAGAGACAACCACTGCCCCACCTTCTGCAGCCCACCCCGAGTCCAAAGAGATTCTTTGCAAAGAAACCGCCGAGTTACATTTGTTTGACTTCTCTACCGGGACCTTTGTTCAGCAAGAGTCTGAGGTGGTTGCCTCTGTCTCGGAAGTTGGGACTTGGCAGTACTGGCTTCAGATCACTGGCAAGGACAAAGAATGGCTCGGACAAGCCGTTGTGGCCGACATTAACCCTGTATTCAACTTTGAATATTTGTCCTTCATCTTCAATCACTACAGTGAAGATGGCTCGGCTTACTCATGGCTATTGCGTTTCAAGAACCAACCTTCGGAGGAACGGTTCCAGGAGGGGTTGATGCAGGCGCTTTGGGAACAGCTGAATGAAATGAAGTGGACCAAGGTCAAAGAGAATGACCGAGACTATGTGCTTGATGCTTTCCAGGATCTCACCATGGAGGATGCCGACGCTGTACCTGAGGCGGAAGAAGAAGAAGAAGAAGCCGAAGAAGAGGAAGACAATGATAAGGATGATGCTCAACGCAGTGAACATTATGATAGCGACGAAGAGGAGGAAGATGTGGTGACTCGCGATGCTGATGGTAACGTGAACTCCCAATTGGCGGTTGGATACAAGCACGATCGGTCTTTTGTTGTTCGCGGTTCCAAGATCGGCGTCTTCAAGCACACTCCTCACAACAACCTCGAGTTTTCCACGACCATTTCGAAGGTTGAGACCCCCAAGGGTGGTCTCTTCAGTCCCAAGAAGGTCATGCTTCACGCCGAAGACCAGAACATGATTCTCCAGAATGGCGATGATCCCAACTCTTTGTACAAGATGGATCTGGAGTATGGCAAGATCGTTGACGAATGGAAGGTTCATGATGACATTGCCGTGGAGACATTCGCCCCCGAGAACGTGAGTACCACCATCCCACAAATCCATGGCATTGTATACTGATAAGTCTCTTAGAAATTCGCCCAAATGACTGCTGCTCAGCCATTCGTTGGTGTCTCCAAGAATGCGCTCTACCGAATCGACCCTCGTCTTTCGGGTAACAAGCTCGTCGATTCCGACCTGAAGCAATACGCCAGCAAGAACGACTTCTCGGCTATGGCCACAACTGAGAAGGGTTACCTCGCTGTTGCGTCGAACAAGGGTGATATCCGCATGTTCGACCGTCTTGGAATCAACGCCAAGACACACATTCCTGCTCTCGGCGAGCCCATCATTGGTCTTGATGTGTCTGCCGACGGACGCTGGGTGCTGGCAACTTGTCGCACTTACCTGCTTCTGATTGATTCATTGCAGAAGGAGGGTAAGAATGAGGGCAAACTCGGATTTGAGCGTGCTTTCGCCAAGGATTCGAAGCCTCAGCCCCGCCGCCTGGGTCTGCAGCCCGCACACGTCGCCCAGTTCCAGCACGAAACCAAGCAGCCTCTGTCGTTCACCCCAGCCCGCTTCAATACCGGTATCGACTCTACTGAAACATCCATCATCACCGCCACTGGTCCCTTTATCATCACTTGGAACATGAAGAAGGTTGTTGCAGGCCGCAAGGATCCATACACCATCAAGCGCTATGGCGAGAATGTCATGGCCGACAACTTCAGATTCGGTTCCGACAAGAACGTCATCGTCGCCCTGCCAAACGAGGTCAACATGGTTGCCAAGCGTACCTTCCAGAAACCTACCCGTGAGTCCATTGCTGGCCCTGCTACGCCTAAGCGTGGACGCGGCTGGGGCAGTCACCTTGGCAGAGACGACATTGTCAACTCCCCCTACTAGTCTTGACCCTCTTATCTCACGGGCTACTGAATTTCTTTCTATTGTTGTACCACTACCCATACCCCATGATGTTTTATGTTTAACCTTTTCCTTGTGATTTTGTTCTCCTTCTACGGAATCAACCCTACTTTCGGTTCTCCCCTTAATGAATTCCTTGGGTCAAGAACCCCGTTGCTCTTCTTCCCTATGTCTCGCATGCCATTCTTAGGAACATCAAGTTTAAACCGAGAACTGGTGACCAGATCAGACTGAGATTTCGTTTTGCTTAGATAAGTAGATAGTTCAAATAATTCACTTAATGAAATAAAGCAACACTAGCAACTTCTAGAGCCAATACTTCAATTAGCTTCATCCCACTCCTCATCCCACTCATCCTCGATCTCGAACTCCCCACCAAAGAAGCCACCATGCTCCTCACTCATATGCTTGTAAATCTCGTCATCCGAAAACTCCTTTCCACAGAAGTAGCACCAGTCAACTCCACAACCCTCCACTGAACATTTGATATGCCCACAACCTGATATCCTCAGCGTCATAGTCCCACACTTCGGACAAGGCTTAATAGTGTCAACCATCTTCGCCTCAACCGTCGCCCCGGCCCCCCTCCTCTCCTCATCTAACCTTGCCCTATCCCATCCCCCGTGACACTCCTCACAAGCCCAATTACCAAGCTCAGGCGGCGCTCCACGGGCACAGCTCCGCTCCATAAGCTCCTTGGCTGTATGACATCCCCGACACCACGCATAGATCAACGTCCCTTTATCCCGAACGGCAAGTGTCAGATCCTTAACCGCCTGGATACCCATCCCATGCTTCGCTAGTCGCTGGGGAGCAGGGTGTCTTCGGCAGAAGGGACAGGCTAGTGCCGCCGTGTTGATTATACACCCCGCGGAGTTGAGGCCGTACCAGCCTGATAGACAGGATGTGCAGATCCGCTGGTGGCAGCCGCGGCGTCCGCAGGCTCGGGTTAGGGTTCCTGCTTTGAAAGAGGAGAAGCAGAGGGAACATTCTGTTTTGATTGTTTTGTGCTTTGCCACGAGGTTTTGGAGGGCTGTTATTAGGTCGGGGGAGTTGTGGATTGGTTTGCCGTTGTAAGTTAGCTTGGTGTCCTGGGTTGGGAAGAGGGTTATTCTCGAGAGGAAGCCTTCAGCGCCCATTGTAGATATGGTTTGGAAGACGGAGGTGTTCTGGAAGGCCCTTTCATTTGGTCTTTCTGTGTCCTGTGCTAGCCAGGATAGTGTGTTCTCGGCTTCCAGTTGGTTCGCGGTTACTTCGATTTCTGTCGTTGGCTCGTGGCCTGCTGTGCAATGGGGACAAGTGAACTCCGACTCATTGAATAAGGAAGATCTGTATTCTTTGGGCCAGATCATGTGGTTCAGGCAACGGCTGCACTTTACAGTGGGGGCAGCAGTTGGAGTCTGGCTTCGACAGTAGTGGCATTTTGGACCGACTTTCAGTGCATCGACGACATAAACGATGTACTGGGCCCTGCAGGACACTGTCCTACATTCAACCCAAGTTGCATTGGAAGTGGAAGTCACATCGTGTGAAACTCCTATATCTATGCGGGCCTTCGTATCTTCATCCCGCACACTAATGCAGAGGCCACATGTGCTATCTTCACCCATTATAGTGACAGAACGAGGAAACTTGCATAGCTGACATGTCACCAGCGGTCCGATGGGTGCAATCGACTTGTCTGGGGTCCAGGCTATTTGGGCATTGAGTGGAGTGTTGAGGTTCGTTTCAAGTAGCTTGAAGGCAATAAGACGCTCAAATAATACTCTGTCGTTGGGGTTCAAGAGCCTGGACTCGCTCATAACTGTTTCATTCTTGTCCAGGACCTCTACTTGCTGTCTGTGGTGTGCTTCATCGGCATCGATGAGAAGTGTCAAACATCCGACATTCCAATTTTCAGGAGTCGAAATGTCATTCCACTTGTCTTTGAAGCCGAGAAGTTCCCGCGTTGCCATTTCTGCAAGTGGCTTTACCCCCATGCGAAGACTGAGAGCGGCGACAAGAGCAGCAGGACGAGCAGAAAGCTTTGTGCCGGGCACGATGAGGTGAAATAGATATTTCCAGAACCGATTTTGGTATTTCTGTGTTGCCAGCGCTAGCGGGATTCTTACCACCTGTTCATTTCCAGTGCTGGCGATATGCTCTGGCAGATCTTTCTCCGATTCCACAACAGTCATCTGGGTAAGGATAGTTCCCACGCGGCGTAGAATATGGGCATTGCAAGATCGACCAATTTCCAAAAGATCAGCGCGGGTCAGGCCAGAGGTAGAACTGGGGCTATCTTTCGAGCCAGTATTTGTACGCCCAAAGCTTAGAGTTGGATCGAGAAGCACGCAAGGATACCTGTCTTCCTCGGGGACATCGTTGATGTCCGACATGATGTCTTGGGCGAAGTCGTAGGATTCTTCCAACCATTTCTTCATCTTTTCCCGTTGACTGCTGTCTGTCAATTTTTCCAGGCTACGGCTGAACGCAATCAAGAGCTCTTCGCGATGTCCATGGTCCCTATCATTGCACACCGCTCTCCACAGAGTTCCGAAAACAGGGTTGAGTGCCATTGCCTGGACATTGTCGTTGATGATCTGCGTCAAACACTTGACGACAAGATCTTTGTATTGCGCATCTGTGTTCCAGCGTTTTGCGAAATCTAGGACAGGAATGGTCTTCTTCGGAATTAGCCTCCTGAAGATGTCGGCAGTCAAGCCGGTAGCCCTGATGTTGTTTCCACAGGTATTTTCCTGGGTCTGCGAGAAGAAAGACATTGCTCTTACATCCTTCTCGTTGTGAATGTCGTCGATGTCGTCGACGGAATGATACCACAACAACTTAGCAGGGATATCTTCTTCCATGGCTGAGCTTGTAGAGAGAGCTTTTTCTACCCCCATCCACGCTAGAAGTAGATCTACTGTCAATTTTGAGGGGTCTTGCCACCGGTTCAAAACAATACAGGCACCGCCGGTCATGTGGCATAGGTAGGTATGCCAGCCAGATTCCTCTCCTCTCACGAAACCGTCGAGAATAGTGAAGACCTGGGCCGGCTTTTGTCCGCCTCGAAGGAGTTTGCCCGCAGATACCCAATCTTGAAATGAACTTCCATAGTTTGAAAATGATGTCGGGCCCAATGCGGCTTTTTCCAGAGAGCTATTGCGAGTACCAGCTGTGTCGTCCACGTTGGGATGAGGAGGCGCATCAGTGTAAAGAAATACAAGTGTTTTCGCATCTGGACGCATGAGCTCATAAGCCTTAGCGAGAGCTGTCTTGTGGGCCTCATCAGTGTCACTATTTCCCAGTGCTTCGAGGCGCTTAGCGAAGGTAACTAGGTCAGGCTGAGGTTCTTGCGAGGCTTCGTCTGAGTTTTGATGCAGCCACCCTGACCAGTGGAGAAGTTGATCCCCAGTGTAATCGTAGTCGCGGAAGGCCAGGACTCCGATCCGTGAAAAGCACCCTGTTAGTGCAGATATGGAAATGATCTGTGGTAGCGAATCGTTGAGGGAGCGAAGGTACTCCCTCATGGAGCCTGTTGCGTCCACGATGATCAAAAAGTCGTGTTTCTCCATGACTAAAGATTTTTGGAGAAAGAAGGAAGTGTTATGCTGCTGGATAGCTGGGGAAATCCAGAGCTTATGTACCAAAAGGCAAGTTCCCTGTACGGTGTGTCAGCGCGTGAGTCAACGCGACAACCTTGTAAGGATGAAAGATAGTCGCTTGCTAGGCGAAAGCAGTTAAGGGTTATGAGTCATTATTATAGTCACTTTATGTGAAAGGGCGAAGCTGGTGAATATAAGCGCTCAGATGGAGGCTAGTGAGGCTCGGGGTGTGTTTCGAGTTAGCGTTGTGGATACGATGAGGCTCAAGGGAACGACATGTATAGATATTCCAGGAACACCTAAAAAGCAACAGAAAGTGACTCCAGTAGAAGGAACTTGCAGGTACATATATATACAGCGTGAGATAGCATTAAGAGTTACCGTGGATATACATTATCAGATCGGTGGGATCTATCACCAACATTACACCACAACGCTAATTGACGGTAAATCGGCTGCCGAAAATGGCTACACTGGATGCCGGTTTAAGCCCCCTTTTTACCAAAATCTTAGTCGTCGTAACATCACGTACACTTAAATATACTATTGATCACTGAGCAGTGGTAGAAGAGGACTGCTACTAAGGTACTCTGCTGTTAGAGGAACCAACATTCTTTAAATTCACATGGATTTTTGGGCATGCTGATTGGGGCTTCCTGGCAACCGAATGGTTTAGCAACAGCGGTTAGGCAATAAATGATGCCAGCCCCGAACTGACGAGTGCTACTGTTCCAAGCATGGCCAAAAACCATGGTGGAACCGTTTACAATCTTGATTTAGCCACCCTCTCTGAAAGCTACTAATAGGCTATTGACTGTCTCCTCAACAGCCCCATGTGGCAACTCTCTATAAGGAGACTTCCACAATAGGACCCTTGTAGACGTGTCGGGCGCGCACAACGTAGTATATAATGGCAAGGAAGACGCTGCCTCCGATTGCCAGAACGCTCCAGTTCATCGTCTCCACTGTTGGGTCCATTGTACTTGGCCAGAAGCTGAAAAAGACGACGATGCTGATGTAGATGATCGCATACCCATTGATAACGGTACCAATGATGCCGGGGCAATGGAACGGTCCCCAGACAAGCTTTGCACCGGGCACGTTGACAATATCATCCTCGTTGTCATTATATCGGGAGATGTCGCCATGGACGCGGCGGTAAAAGAGCAAAACAGAAACCGTGAGGTAAGAGAGGTAGATACCCGACACTGCCATGGACACAATGTCCTCCATAGCGGTATCGGAACCAATGTTAATCAGGGAAAGCAACACAGCGACGGTCACTGTAAGAAGGATGGCGAAAATAGGCAACTGTTTCGTGGAAGAAACCTGAAACAGCAAATATTAGACCATTGCAAGACTTCTGATTAATGGAGAAGTATTTACCTGATTCCACCATCGCCACCCGGGAACACCCCTATCTCGAGAGAAAGACCAAAGCTGCCGAGACGCCGCAGCCAGTAGACCCATGAGGGAACAGACATAAATAGTGATAACGATAGCACACATGGTCAATGAACCCGGCACTGAGTCTGTTGCTTCCATGAAGATGCCCATAAAGTTATATCCAGTGATTTTCCCCAGCTTACCACCGAGGTCGGAGTCGGCGCAGAACATCATAACAATGATCATACCAAAGCCTAGGCAGCCGTTGATTCCGACACTAATCATAAGGGCGTTGGGGATGACAGTCGAGGCATTTGCGACCTCTTCAGACATCTATTTAAGGGTTTGTTAACCAGAAGCGTGTAGAGGAAAGCGTAACTCTAAGGAAACTTACATGCACGGCGGCATCACCTCCAGCGAAGGCAAAAGCACAGCTGGTCATACCAACGAACCAGGATAGTCCTTGCGTGGCAAAACCTCCTCCATTTTGGAAAGACAGAAAAACCTGTTCCTTTGTGTTATGGTCCGCCATATAGATGAGGGGGATTATGATGCCGAAGAACCCAAGAATATGCACAACCAAAATGACCGCCTCAATACGGGGCAGCAAGTTGCCGCCGAGCAAGTTTACGACCAATGCAAGACTCAGCGAACCCCAGACAATCAATGTTCCTTCCCAAGGCAGAGCATTGTATAGGTTGTTTCCTACGATCGCGGCACCCTGGATCATCTTTCCTGTTAAAAAGGCACAGGCGGCGAAGGCACTCTGCCAGCCGAGAACAGCAAACCATCCTACAAGTTCAAGTGTCAGTGATAATGAATAGTTTAAGTCTGTGCATGAGGCGGAAATCAACCTGTAATGAAACTCAGGAACTTCTGAAGTCTGCCCGGTGCAAGCATGGCAGCCCAGTGGTATTGGCCTCCTGCGGTGGGCGCCCTATTTGACAGTTAGCTCTGACTCTAGCCTTAGATCAATCAAGAAAGAGCAACATACATGGAGGCCAATTCCGACAAGACCATGAAATTGGCAAAACAGCCAACCCATCCGAAGATGTAGGCATAGATCGCACCGCCGGAGCCGCCACTGATATCTGTTAGAGAATGTTGCAAGGCAGCAAGTTGTTGACCGTGCGAACACACTTTGTGAGAGGGCCAGTGAAGGTGCTAGGCGACCGATTAGCGATGGATTCCGTGAAAATTTGGAATTGGACCGACTCACCCAAGCAGGCCTTCCCAAGTACCCAGAATAGTACAGCTGAAGCCGAGGATCGATAGAATGCCGAAGTTTCGCTGATTAGATGGAAGTGTCAATAGTCTGGCAAGGTGAGATTTGTGACATTGAAGGATGCGTTGCATACCTTAAGGACTGGCTTCTTTCCCATCCGCTGGAGATGCGCATTATCACGATCCACCGGCCTCGCGCCCCTGCTGGTGACGGAAGTATTGCTCTTTAATTCATGGGCCACCATGGCTTTTCTTTTCTTTTCTTTTCTTTTTTTTTCCCCTTCGAACGAACAGAATTGAAGGACAAGTGGGAAGTGAACAGCAAGGTAAATATGAGGAATGCAGCTGGGTTAAAAGTACAAAAATAGTGGGAAAAAGTCCGTGGGCTAAGTATCGGAATGCGGGTGGAAGGGTATCCGATTTGACTAGATGGATGTACCTTGGATGTTACATCGACTATAATAGCAAGCACGCGAGTAGATGACGCTAACGCATATGATTGTTGCAATTTAATCTCAGGCGCGCTCCGCCCTCTGCCCGACGCCCCATGGAGGTTTGGGGCCCATAATGTGCTATGCGGCAATGTCGATCACACGCGGGACAGATCCCCCAGGAAGCGCACTATACCCAATTGGACTACGCCACATATCGGTGGCTACTCATAGGGCAGCAATAAAATGAGGTTTGAACTAATGCAAGAGTCCGGGGGCCAGACCTCGGGGCGAATCCTTCGAGTAAAGGGGGAGCTTGAACATGATAAGACTTCTCGACATTAATTTGTCCTTTTACAATGACTACTGTGAATGGAAAAAAAAAAAAAAAAAAAAAAAAACCATCAAGTGATAAAGCAGGCAAACATATAGAGCATATATAGAGATCGAGATGGTACGGGAAGGGAACAAGCGTCACACGAGTTTGGGAAACCTGGAGGAACCATAACGCTCCTTCAGGGACCTTCATATACATAGTATACTGATACGTGCTGAGAGGGGATTTGAATCCTGGTCTCTCTTTTCTGGGCACTGGAAATCGAATGCGCGGCACTACCAGATCGCACAGCGATATAATAAAAAGCTTAAGACATGTTCCCTCAGCATGATTATACTCCCTAATACTCTCCTTTCCTTTTTTACTCTCCCCTCTGCTTCACATATTTTGGCTCAATGGGGACACGATTCAAAGGTGACACCAAAGACCCGGCGGTCAATGTCACCACCTGGGTTCTTTTGGTCACAATTATTTTTAGTGTCTCTGCTCGACTGGTAACTAAAATTCGACTGTTCAAAAGGCTCACCACGGATGATCTCCTGATCATTGCGTCTCTGGTCCTCGGCATCGGTCAGAGTATTGTTGTTTCGCTGGCAGTTGGATCCGGCTATGGAAAGCATTTCAAAGATGTCTCCAGCGCCGATATGGAGCAGGTGATGAAAGTACGCATCTCCCGCCTTCTATCGTTCACTTGTTTTATTTTGGAACCAAGGTTAATGTGCTCATTACCAGAACCTTTTCGCGGGGTCTCTTCTGTACCTCCTAAGCCTCATGTTCTCGAAACTATCTCTGGTCGTGTTTATCCGGAGTCTTACACCATCTCCCAAAGATAAATGGCTCGCCAGAGGCGTCGAGGCCATTGTATATGCCTGGGCAGTTGTTGCAATCTTTGGGACTGCATTCCAGTGCTCTCTGCCCCATACCTGGGACTTCCAGAACGGCCAATGCTTTAACTTGGTAGGTGGTATCTTCTTTTGTCCCTATTACTTCCTACGCCCCAATCCGGAAAATACTAATACGATTCGACGAGGCATATCTAGTTAGCTTGGCGCTACTTCATCGCTATCGCCAACATCGTCACCGACCTTTTGATTGTCGCTCAGGCGATGTTCCTAATTTCTAGAGTCCAAACGACGCGGGGTCGACGCCTGGGTTTTGCGGGTATCTTCCTGCCTCGGCTCTTGTGAGTGACCCGGCTCTACGGAGTACTCTCTTCCCCATAGTTCCAAGCTCGAAACTCACTCATTCTCTTTCCCTCGATAGTGTGACGATCGCAACGATCGTCCAGCTCGGCTTTCTTAAGAAGGGCAGAAAAACCAACGACCCAACGTTTCAGATGTGTGAAATTACCATTTTCGAAGTGATAATTCAGTGCCTCAGTATTGTGACGGCCTGTTGGGGGCAACTGAGCCCCTTCCTGTCCTGGATGCGATCGAACGGGCTCAAGCTTGATGGCGTGGAAGATTCGACCTCTTGGAGCTATAAGAGGCGCTCGCAATCACAAGGGCAGTCCAAGTCGCGCGGCCACAAGATCAGGTTCGAGAGCCACGAAAGCTTCCCTTTGCCGATGCGACGAGATCAAATTTTGGTCACGCAGGATTGGGAGGTCGACAGCCAGTCGAGCCATGCGCACATAATGTCGGAGGAAACACACCCCCAGGCCAGCAACGGTGGGAAGTGGTCGCCCGACCAACCTAGCCAATGGCTATAAATTAATGCTGGACGCGACATGGACATGCCTTGGCATCCTTCCCAAATCATGGAAATTACATCTAATTGACTTGATAAAGAAACAAGCTTTTCACATCCGGCGATGGCTCCCAACATAGAAAGTGTGCTTTTTTTGCATTTGAAACCAACCTTGGGGACGGACCTGGTCGCATTAGCAATGATTGAGCGCATCGTATGATGGGACATGGGGCTGCTGGGGGCCAAAGCATAACTGCTCATCCTACTGGCCAATGCAAGTGGTTGGGCCTTCTCGTTATATGCGGCATTTTTGAATTTATCCTTGCCGTCGAAGGGTTTATAAATCCACATGTGCAGGGAGCCATTGCAACTCTCTTATCGGCTCGCACCTCTTCCTTTGAAGGTACTATGCACACCCCGGCTCCTCAAGCCGCCCCCTGAAACGCATCTCAATGCCCCCAGCAACCATCAAGCGGATTTTATTCTCACTGCGGAGCCGTGTTTCAACGGGAAATAGCCCTCTTTCTTGAATCTGCCCTGGTGCGAACCCCTAGTCAATATCAATACCCTTCGCTAGACACTTGAACGCGTATACAAACCAATTCCGATATGGGATCAACAACCAATTCTCTCGTGCTAGAACCAGCGACACCGGAAGACGTCCCCGCCATCACTGAATTATGGTTCGCTTCCTTCACACAGCCCGTGATCGGGCAACTTTTTCCAAACACCCCCGGTATGCACCAATGGCACCGAAATTGGCACCTGGAGGACATCCAGAAGTCTCACTGCAGATACCTGCGAGTAGTTGATACCGAGTCAAAAGATGAGCAAGGCCGACCGCGGCTAGTTGCCTTTGGCAAATGGGACCTGGCCATGCCAGATGAGCGAGGTCGTCGCTTTCCGCATTGGCATGCAGACTCGCCTTACCAGGAATGTGAGGATTTCATTGCAGAATTGGAGCAGGCGAGGAAACGTGTCATGGGCGATGAGAAACATTACTGTATGAATGGGACCCCTTTAAAATTCACAAAGGAAGACAGTGTTACTGACCCGAAACCAAACAACAAAAGACCTGGATACACTTGGTACTCATCCTGATTACCAACGGCGCGGAGCTGGCTCTATGCTTGTCCAGTGGGGCTGCGACTTGGCGGATAAGGATGGCGTTGCGGCCTACGTGGATGCCAGCAAGGAGGGAGCATCGCTATACTTGAAACATGGCTTCGTGGACTTCAATCCTCCCGGTTCAGATGTGGCTGCGATGGCTCGCCGTAAGGCGACTCCGAGCGATCGCACTTGACTTGCGGACTAGGCTTCCATGTGGCAAGCTCTGTCATCAGAGAGAAAGGAAAGAATAGATTTCACCATACTGGCTGGGATTGTAGCTCATACCTAGTTGTTCGGTCTTAAGGAGTTTTATCTTAAAACCTGCCCTATCGCTTTGGTCTTCGCGGTGTGGACTACTACCTTGACAGACTTAATGCAGCATTACAAACGCCTGGAATCGGTCTGCAAATGGATATGGTTATAGTCGATTCCTAGCGCAAATTTCATAATTACTGGTACAGTATGGATGGATGGATGATATCATTTACCCTGACCTCTCGCTTTTGGCGATATACAGGATACAACAACTATATATATCCTTGTATGTACACGTGTAATGTCCCACTTCCTGAAAACGAACTTGGAGCCTCGTCAAGGCCTATCATGGCCCAGGTGCCGTTTAAGTTATTAGGCTGCCCTCATGGCGCGCGACTTTTGAATCTTTGTGACGCCTCAGCGAAGTCTAGTACGGCTTTGACCGTCCTAGCCCGCGACACGATGTCTGGCTTACCTCTCCTACCTTCGGTTGAGCCTCCCAGCAGACTCGACACGTCGTTGAACGCGTCCCCAGCTTCACGTCTTAGCTCCCTTCGGATTTCCCTCAAGTTTGGACAGTCCACCAGCACGTGGGTGACTGTTTCTTGCGCGCCGCACACACACTGATCATTGTCGCGGAAGCCGAAGGTCTTGGCATAGGTGGATAGCCAATTGTGGCCCGTGCGTAGCTGTGTCAACAGGTACGCCCGGCCCCTGGGCAAATTCCCATACAGCTTCCTGGTGTAGGTCGCCGGTAGAGTGCTATCGATTTTTCGCAGGTGACCGCCTTTGGTTGATGCTTTCCATTCCCGCTCCCAATGAGCGCGGATCTTGTCCCGGATAAGTGCTCTCTTCCTTGTCAGCAAAGGGCGGAATGGGTGTGTTTTGCCCGGGCTTGCCGCGTCTTTGGCCAACCGATCTGCTGCGTCGTTCCCTGGATCGTCGCAGTGTCCGGGTATCCATTGGAGGCGGAGCGCGATTCCCTTTGCTTGAACCTCTGCGGCCGCCTGGAGGATCGCGTGGATGATGCGTTGTCCTGACTTATTTCCTGGGTTTTCGATCGCCTGCAACGCTGACTTGCTGTCGCAGAGGATCGTTGCCGTTGTTGTTCCATTTTGTTCCGTTCTAAGCCGTTGATGGCTAATCTTGAACACTGTACTGACAGCGTAGAATATACCTATCAGCTCAGCTACGTGAACCGACCATCGGTCCATCGGTCCCACCTGGACCTGCTGGGACTCGATGACTCCTAGGTTGTTGTCGAGTGCAACGACTGCAGCGCCTAGGTGGCCTTCACGTCCCGAGGCATCCGAGTAGACCACAATGGCGGATGTGGACCGCACCATGTCCGCTTGTTCTCTTGCCGTCTCTCGGTCTGACCCGAACTCAATATCCGTGAAAGACTCGGCTCGCCACGGTGGCAGTGGTCGTGGATCGATCGTCTCTACTTCATCTAATCTTTCTAGGTTCATAGTCTTCAGGGCTTCCGCCAGTGGGAACCGAGCGTACGACCCGATGTTGTTCCTACGTTTCTGGGCTCGCCGGAGTGTATCCCAAATCGGATGGTCGCGCGGCAGGGTGTGAAGGCTTGCGATGGTGTTCTGCGCTCGGTGGCGCAGTCGGAGATGTGTTGGCAAAATATGTGCTTCCACTTCCAGAGTCGTGGTGGCCACTGTCCTGAAAGCTGATAGGATGCGTATCAATGTGGTTCTCTGGACTGTATTCAAGTGTCGTAGGTGGGTCTTGTCTCGCAAAGGGTCGTGCCAGACCGTCGACGCGTAGTCCATGACCGGCGTCACGCAGGCTTGGTAGAGCTGTCGCATCTGTTCAGGGCGTAGATGCCGCAGCCCGCCCAAAGCAATGCTGACCTTGATTGCACGTTTGATCGCTTGCTGGACATGTTCCTTCCAGCGAAGCTCCTGGTCGAACACCACGCCCAGCAGTTTGGCTGTGGGTGACGGTTCGACTGTCTTCCCGTTCATAACCACTTGACCCTGAAGCTGTTCGCGTCTTTTCCTGGTGATGTGAATCAGTTCGGTTTTCTCGGCTGCAAAGCAAGACCCCGTTCGACGGGCCCATGCCTCAATACGGGGAATGTCTTCCGATTGGATCTTGGCTAGGTTCTCTTCGGCCGAGTGGCCTACTCGCCAGCGGAAGTAGTCATCGATGAAGGCGGATGCTCCGCCGTGAGCGTTGACAGGCTGGTCGACTAGGTCGGAGTTGAAGAATTACTGGTACAGTAGTATTCGAAATCAGATTTACCTCTACACTCTTAGATTTTCATTCCCAAACCCTAGCTTAAAACACGCTAGTCTGATTTTATCCATTCCCTGGTAATCCCCGTCAGACTGTATTGTACTGGTAACGCGCGCTTCGCACGCTGTAGCCCTGAAACGGAAACAGACTGAAAAGGTTTTAAACTTGGATTTTTGATTACAGTACTTCCGGAAATCGGTGTCACCACCTACACTCTTTGTGTTTTTGTCCACGATGCCAAGATGCGCTAAACTACTTTTAGAAATAACAAAAATATTACCGGTCTAGGGCCTTATACCATCAAAACACCGGATTATTGTATTATTCTCGCCCATGTTTATTACCCGGCCTCGAAAACGCTGCCGATACGGTAGCGACGAAGTATCGGCTTATTAAAACTGCATAAAGGACACAGGAAAATAGCCGGCCAGAAATTCTTGTAAGCCTCTCCCGTACGCATGCCTCACCGTATACCTACTCCCTGTAACCCTGCCGATTATTTCCTATTTAGACATGAAGATCCTGTGGCCAAGCAAACTCAGCCGCATCGAAAGCCCGGGCTAAGTCTGAGGGGACATAGAAAAAGGAGAATCGTCCCGTCAAGAGATCCAATCTGCAGATAACTTCGATCTATAAAGCGCTCTACCAAGGAACCATCATCAAACCATGTCTCTTGATTCGAAATATACAAAAATGCGATCGCCAGGCAAAGAGGGCGATTGCCTTTCTTTTCCTCCAAAGTCTTTTCGAAGCAGAGCAAACAACCACTGGGTGCTTGAGAGTGCCTGCTGCTTTGGCAGTCTAGGCGCATTGCTTGCAATCGTCGGTGTATTGCAAGTATATGATAGAAAGTCTATGCCAGAGTGGCCATTAGGCATCACTATGAACTCTGCGTTATCGTGGCTTTCGCAGATCTTAACAGCCCTTGCGCTGAGCGCAATAGCCAGCTGCTTAAACCAATCTAAATGGGTTTATTTTAGTCAAGCGCACCGATCGCTCGCAGATATGAATGCGTACGATTCGGCGAGTCGGGGGGTTCCTGGGTGTATCATGTTTCTTTGGAGCTTCACACGCATCAAGTATGGTTTGGTCTGTTCTTGAACGTAATAGCATATGACAGAGGCTGATATTGCGGTTGTCTAGACACTATGCCACGCTTGGCGTTGTCGTCACAATTATCGCAGTCGGCATCGGACCTTTCGTGCAGCAGATGGCGACAATTGAGAATAACTTGGTGCCTTCGGATGCCTCTGCATCCACCGATCGCGCGCAATCATTGTTTTTCCCAATCGACATTAGGTCCGTTATACCACCGAGTGGCATGTTAGCAGCAATGTTCGGGGCCGTCTTCGCTAGTTCGGAAGCGAATCTTTCGACGAATGACGCTCAGAAATCTTACCCTGCCGTCAATCCTTTATGTCCGACCGGAGAATGTTCTATCTCGCGATTTACGACGCTCAGCCTCTGCTCTGAGTGCGTAGACATCTCTCACTTGCTAGCACTTAATTCATCTAGATGTGGGGGAGACGGGTTACCTATTGACTACTTTCGCCTCCCGAATGGCTTCAATGCTAGCATTGAGCCATCTCGCACATTGCATCGCCACGGTAGCATCAATCAGAAACTACTGAAAACAGATATGAGCTCCGGCTCCAACAGCATGCGGTCAATAGCTGGACTAAAGGATTATGGCAACAGCACACTACTGGACTTTACGTCCCTTACCTTTTCCTTAGGAGGAAATACCACTAAAGGGACTGCGGTGCAATGCAGTCTACACTGGTGTATCAAAACTCTCTCGTCTGTTACAAAGGAACACCGAACCGAAGAAGAAACACTTAGTACATCAGTCACCCCGAGCGCCACCTCCACGGAGTCGGGATATTTAAAGCTTGGATCAGGAAATACCTCAACGCCAGATTTTATAATCAGCCGAGGTTCTCACGACAACATAAGAGAATGGCTAAGGAAAAAGTTACAAATGGATGGTGTCGGTACAACTATCTGCATCGGGACTGGTTTTAAATTTGAGTCAACATCAACGTCGATAGAGAGTGAACTCTTCCAGCCTTTGATGGAATCATCACCGCAGACCCTGTTTTCCAATATCGCAGCAGGAATTAGCACTTTCATTCGCCAATCGGGTAGAGCTAGTCAACGAGAATTTGCATCATGGGGTCAACTGGACGGTGTCCCTCAGGACGAGGCTCTAGGCACTGCGGATGGGCTTTCGTGGCAGAATGAGACGCAGATTAGGGTACGTTGGCAGTGGATTACACTGCCGGTCTGTCTTGTATTTGCGACTGTTGCATTCCTGGTGGTGACCGCACTCCAGACGAAGAAGAGCGGAGTGGACGTATGGAAGTCTTCAAATATTCCAATGTTTTGTTCGGGCCTAGATCAAGTTTTCCAAGAGAAGCTTCGTGAGACGCGGGATCCCGTTCGAATGGATGATTTGAGTGAAGAGGTGTTGGCGAAACTTGTGAAAGATGGAAAGATGTGGCAACTGAGTGCGCAATTGAACTAGAGATGTCGAGGCTGCAGCCAATTTGCAGCCCATGCAGAGTGAGCAGGATATTTATCGCCGCCTACAACCAACAGAATCCCAAGAATGTTCAAGTATTGTCAACTGCATTGGCTTTCAGGACCGAGCCATCTAGCTAAATATGGTGTACCAGCAACTCCGCTGACCTTTTCACAGGCCGGTTACTTAGAGTAACCTTCCACTCGACCACTCGATCTGGTAGTGAACACAGTTCGAAGATTGTCCATTCCATGTTCCTCCATTTGTTTTTTTTCAACGATTTGGTCATGATCCGTCGTACGGAGAATCATTGCCTTATCTACCTGAGGAGACCTTTCTCATTATTGGAAAGGCCGAAGGGAGGGGTACATCGTACGACAATAATACCTATGCTGTGCTGCCTGGGTAACACGACTCAAAGTGACAAAATACACAGAGATAGACTAAGTTCCGAGACTCAGCTTTGAAGCAGCATAGAATGATATCAGGGTCTTTAGCCCTAACCATATCGGCGAAAACAGTCTGTGCTTCATCGGTGATATCTTGGTGATCTTTTCCCGCGACTGTCTAATCCAGAAAAGGTATTGTATTAAATAGGCTGACATCGTCAAAATCCAACTTAGCGTTGTTTACAGCAGAAATAAGGTCCGAAACTGCATTAATGGTTCGGCAGTTGCGTTTGCCTTCCATAAAGCCGTCCGAGCTTTCCTGTTTCGAATGCGGCCGTTCCAGTACAATAAGCACACCACCCTTCAATTCCGGTCGCGCCATTTCGAGTCCGAAGCTCAGGTCACATATCGGGTAGTCACTCTCATCGACCTCGAGTGACGATCCAAAGCTATAGGGGAGCTGAATGTGCTCAGAATTATCCTTATCTATATCGTTACATCTTGCCTCACGAATCGCTCCCCGTAGTCGATGGTCAATAGGAACACCTAGGCACTCCATTTTGTTACAACTTATGTATCAGTGAGCTATATAAAAGAATTCCAGCGACTATTCCCAGAGTTAATCTCTGCGTAAGGGCAACATCGAGCATTGATAGCACACTTCAGTCTCGACATCAGCCGATGTGCGGAGTCTATCTAATCCGACAGCAATATCGCCAAGCAGTACGTGGCAATAAGCAATGGAGCATCCTAGCAAAGAGGGGCCTAGAACAAGAACCGAAGCAATCACATAGGGGAAAACGTGTAGATGTATTGCATACATGCACGGCGAACCCTAAGCCCTGGTACTGCTTGGAATGTGCAGGGCTCGTCGGCAATTCTAGCAAAACCATCAGCGTCTGTACCGGTCTGGCGTCGAAGATCGCGCACGTAATGTCTTAAGCCACCACAGATTGACACGGACGAATTTTGAGTTGACAGTGTAGTAGCTCGGAAGATGGAGCAGGGTACTGGTGACCTGAACACCACTCACTTCTCGGTCGTGCGCCAGACTATTGAAGCAACGGAGAGCGAAATTATCCATGTCTCTTTCCCGAAGACGCAGATCAGTGGCGGTTGGTGGGTCGCCAGCAAGGATGTCGAGACACGAACTCTTCTCAGGATTATTTAATTTTAGCTACAACTGGATTCCCATCGGCATGAGTCTTTCCTCGGCCTGCCACAGGAAAGAAGTTGTCGGATTTCTTTTGCCATGCAAAACCTTGGCATCTTTCCCTTACGGCTCACATGACATAGTAAATCATTAATCAAATGACCGGGGCCAGAATGTGTGTAGCGAATGTTGATGGGACCATCAATCTTCACATACTTACCAGAGTCCAATGCCGTGTTTTATTAATAACTTCTCAAAGGAGTAGAGGTTGGCCACCGTCTGAAAAAAGACCCATCTGCTCCTCATTCATCCGCATTTGGATGATAGGTAGCCCAAATTCAGGCACTTTAAGAGGTCCATTTCTGACAATATCTGGTGTTCACGCAATGGTAGCATGTCAATCAGCTTGTGAAGGGTGGATGAAGAGTGGACGTAGAGTTTGAAGGTTGTTTGATAGAGAATGATAGCAGTGAGTGAGGGCTGAGGTTTGGTCTTGTCAGTTGACCCGTGGGCCCATGCCTAAGCCTCCAGCGCTTGCAAAATCGGTGAGGGGAAGTTTCTTGATCAACAGATGCTAGATATGGTATTCCCAGGAACGCAACAAAAAGACACGCCTGGTCAAAAATCCAGTGCCGAGTCTAACGTGGGGAGCTATTAGGCTTTGGCAGCATCGAGCTTGCTGTTTTGCAGTTCGAAGGCTTCGACCATGGATCGAAGGGAGGCAACAGATACTGGTATGGGTGTTCGGCCTTGCAGCCGGTTCCAATTTGGAACTCTTTTGTTGGGCAGAGATTCATGCGGGCAATGCGGGTCGGGCTTGGCAATCTCGCAGATCAGCTTATACCCAGACTTGAAATGCATCTGCGCCTCAAGGTACTTGTTCTCCAAGCAGCAAATAGATGTGAAAAGAATGCTAAGGGTAAGAACCCGCCACCAGCCATCGGGTGAGTACGACTTTAGCAGGTCCTGAACAGCTAGGTTATAGTGCCGAAGGGTATGCAAATTGTCAGGCATTGTAGACGTGCTAGCAGGTACAGTGTAAACAGAAGACTCGTGAGCTGACGCGAGGCTAACGATCGCATGACGGATGGCATCGTCAAGGTAGCACGCTCTAGGAATTTCCGTCTTCCAAAATGTAGAATTAAAGACGCTTCCTAGAGAAGGTGCTGTCACATCAACGAAGAAACGGAAGCTGCGCAGTTCCTTGGGGTTCTTGCCAGGGAGAGGCAGGATGGGATTGGCCACAGCCTGAAGGGCCCACATTGGACGGTTTTGTGACCTTGGGAATCCATTGGCTGACATGGTAGCATAGCCGTCACACTTGCGGCCAGTGGAGACACACAGCTTGCATACCGGCCTCGCCTCATCGCAACGTACTTTCCGGGTCCTATTTATGGTGGTTTAGTTAGAGCTGGTCACCAAAGGCTGTTTGAGGAGGCGTACCTGCAGGTCTTGCACCCATTTCCACTTCTGGTGTAGTAGGCTCGTGTGGCGTTAGTGTTTACGATTCGTGGCTGGGTGTCACCAGACTTGTGGGCCGTAGGGGGGTAACAATAACAGCCGATCTCTCGATAGGGTGCTGTTTCGCCTTCGAGGAGGGAACGATCAGCTCCCGAAATTTGAAGCGCCGGACTCCATTATCGACACATGGAATCAGTAGGCGAGTACATCGCGAACATTTGGGTTTTGATTCATCACACTTCTTTTTTTGCTGCCGACACGCCTCACAGGCTCGGCTTGTTGGAACGCCAGGCATTGAACACTCAGCAGCCTCATACAAGTTTCTGTTCAAACGGTTCTTCTGACTGAGGTGAGGTACTAAAATAGAAACATAAACCTCAACCGGTGTCCAATATTGGTCTTCCCTTGAGTTACGTTGCAGGTTGTAGTCTTTGGATGGCGGAGATAAGCATGAGGGCCGTGCGAAAGGAAAGAGAGGAGAGTACAAGTGGCGCCGCCAAAGCCTGGGACTACCCGCTCTGACCGCCTTTTTTCTGCTCCCCTATTCTGCCCCGTTATCTCTTTTCTTTTCGTCCTTTCGAGGCGTACAGGTCCGCGTCCCTGAACACCTTCTAACCCACAGCCAGGATACACGAGTATCTACCTCGCATCCACTACCTGACATGACCATCCTGCAACCTGGTCATATGAAGAAAATGAGCTCATGTTTCGAGATCTCTCTCAACAGCGACCACCAACTCCAGCGGGCCTCTCGTCTCTCAAAGTGGATCCAGGGACTCCCGGGGGAAGCGGGATTGTCCAGACCCACAGACCCACAGATGTCTCGTCCAATCGACAGAAGTGATTCCCTGTTTGGCTCGTTCGACGCCAGATCGTCCAAATTGACCTCAGGAATCCATATGCACCATGCGGGTCCTGCAGATCATATCTCCATTCATCCTGTATGCTTCATGTATATCTTTGACAAAAGCTCCTAGGGTACAACCTCTCGTTCCCCGGAGCTATACAGTTTACTCCTGCGAACTGTAGGTCTCCTGGGAATTATGATCCCTACTCTGGGAGCAATCAGTTTAATACCAAAAAGCTACTTAGTTACCGGTGATTTATAGTGAGGGATATATTATGGTGTTTGAGGGCTGCACATATCATATATTGAATGAAAGACTATAGTTAGAACACGTATGTACTGGACGGTTCTTTGCAGGTCTCTTCTTTCCATCCCCCACACCACTCCTATCCTAGCACAAACACAGCTCCTAGTTGACTCCTCTAGCAGCGGCCAGCATTGACATCAGACCTAGAATAAATCATTAGTACTATATTCAATAGCACCCTAGAAGCAGTGAAACTCCGAGAAGAGAATGTAAATAACTCACCGGAAGTACCATCCGTTTCTCTCACCGGAGCCACCAGCCTCACAATTGTTGATTTGCTCGTTCAGATAAGCAACGCACTGAGACGAACTAAGGCTTCCCCCAGTGGTGGCCTTGCGCTGAAGCCAGAACTCGGATTTATTCTTGCCGAAGGGAAGGTTGAAGCAGCCATACTTTGTTTGACCAGCGCGGTAGCCACCTTGGCCGCCGGAACCTGTGCACCACTTGCCGGCATTGTCGATGGCGGCGTTGTGGTTGTCACCCCATTTCTTGCCGCCGGAGCAGCCTCGCTGGACGAGATTTTGGTCTTCAACGGGCGAGGCCGAGGCAACGCCCATTGCAAGGAGGGCAGTGAAAAGGTACGAAAGCTGCATATTGGGGTTGTGGGTAGGCAATGGTTTTAAGAAAAAGTTGTGTAGATTTGATGGCTTGATATGCTGCTATTGCTGCTTGAGTTGGTTGTCTGGGTCATTTTCGACGGGAATAACGAACCTATTTATACAAGAATCCGGGCTCTTCCTAAGGGTTGTCTGTTCTTGGAATATCTATATGAACCAGTACTAAGAACTGACACTCATAACCTGGGGGGCCTAAATCTCCTAGAACTCGACTGGATCTACTGCTAAGCTGAACCCATCCCGAGCTGACTGCGTAGCCAAGGTCCTAAGATGCTAAGATGCTATATCAATGGTGCTTTATGCGCACCATTCCTGGCGACTCTCCCGAATTGGGGGGCCGAATTTAGGGCCGACGTTCTGGAGCGGTACATAATACTTAAAGCGGTTAGCCACCGAGGCTGACAGGCGGGTGTGACATAAACTATTTATGCAGGGGTGGAGTACAGTTTCATGGCACTGCACGCTCTGAATGTATGCTTACTTTCCTTTTTCTTTTAATTCTTATTATATATGCAGATGTGGCTATACTATATAGGAATCAACTCTTAATGTTCTATTAACTGTGAGTGGAGAATAAGAAGGGTACTGGTTGATTTCAATTCACTTATCACTATTATTATGGAATAGGGCTCCGTGTTAAATGGGAGAAGGCTCCATATTGTTTGGGAGTGCCGCCATGTTAAACGCTATACCAATGGGGTCAATCGCCACCAACCTGGAGACCAACGGACCGTCTGGCCCTAGGTATTTGTGAAGAAGGCAGATTATGGCGACCGCAAGACTGAGACCTACCCAGGGTAGGTTCATGTAGAAAGCCCACCGCTAGGTGATGTGACTATTCGAGGCGAGAGCGAACCATATAGGACATCCAAGAACGAGACCCACGGCCCATATTGCGCTCAAAAGACCGAAAACAGCACCACCGACACCCATGACGATCCGGCCAACTATGACCGCAGGGAGATCGGACGCTGCACCAGCTACAGCAGCACCAGCCATAAAGATCACAACATTAGCAATATAGATACATTTCATGTCGACACAATACATGATCATCCGGGAGAAGGGATAAAACAGCAAACACGGCGAGGCTGAAGGACAGGCTGATCCATGGCAGAAGCGTAACGTTGCCGGAGGCCTTGTAAAGGGCGGGTTGGATATTGGCCACATTGCTCACATCATAGCCTTAACAATGACATTATCAGAATAATGATTCAGGATGGGCCTGGTGTTAGGATACATGGGCTCAACCGACCATTAATGAAGGCTGTGAGGGTTGTCAGGATGAGGATTGCAAGAGGTCCCTTCCATTTCCAGTCCGGGATGTGGCTGCAAGGATGAGTCCCTGGGGATAATGAGGCCTCCTATTATGATCTACGAGTGTGGCCCGACCCTGAATTCTGTAAGAAAGCATAGGGATCCGCTGCTGGCCGTGCCTAAGCGTACGTTGGGTGGACGATGCGGAAGGGCTTGAAACCACGCTCAACAAAGCATTCAAGAGGCGCCTGTCGGGATTTTGACTTTACACCATTAATATCGGTGGAGGCGGACCCAGTCATTAGTGGCGCATTGCTATCCATGTCCAGATAACTAGCTTGTCCAGCCTGGAGATCATTCTCATAGCTACCAGTGTCCAAGTGAACTGAGTAACCTTCTCGTTCATGACCATCTGGCAGATCAACAGAAATTATATTTTCTTGAAGATCGGCTGGAATGAAGTCGTCATCCCACGTGCCGATCATATCATGGTTGATGGTCACATTATAATAAGCATGATTATGTCGTGAAGAAGATCTGGGACATGAGAGAGATAGAAATGTGCTTATCTAAACACAAGGAGAAATAAGGAGGTTGGATAGTTGAAACCTTGGATTCAAGTACAAATGTGATGATTATTTTAGTCTATGGGAAAGGATTAGCTACTTATAGTCGCTGCAACTTATCCCCCTTATCGAGGCTCAGTGTACTGCGTTCCTCTTGTAGCACATTAATCTCCAGGGTGTGGCTTTCTGCCTCATTTCTTTCTTCTGGGGTGTCCAATTGCCTCACTGCATCGATAGTCTGGGTTTCTGAGCCGGTGGAAGAGCATCTCACTGAAGCTCTTGGTGCTGGCTGCCAAAATCTCTGATGGTTCAGCGTCACCATGGTAGGTAGATTCAAGAGGTTTGAATTGACTGGGAATCGAAGTAGGAGGTAGCAAAGTTCAGGTTTGAACGATATTCCCCCCAAAAAAAACATGCCGCAAAGGAGGGATAGCTGGGACTATTTATGTGCTAAAACTCATCGTTTCAGTTTGCTCGTTACATTGAAGAGCGGACTATAAGTTAGAGACAGAACTGGCATAGATTCTAGATCTATCGACAAGGCAAACATGGCAATGATACCACATCAAATGACGTGGCAGCTTCTCCAATACTCATTTCAGCCAATCGCAGAGCCATTCATAGCTGTGGGGGATCAGTTGTAGGAAAGGGTTCCTAGGAAAACTAGCTTAATTCATCCAGTGGCGGATTCTTAGTCCGAAATTAAACAAGATCCGTCAGCCGATGTCGTCGACTTGCGTCACACGGCGCGGCGGGGTGTTCGAGACCTAGGGCATACCACGCAAAAAGAAGTCGCACGAAGCTCAAATCGAATGTTGTTCCTGGGATCAACGTGGTACAGGGTACGGAGCCACGGACAAGGGTGAATTTCCGTGGTTTTCCTATTAAGCGTCTGCTGAGTGGAGTCGGCAGCAAGAGCGAGAGAGCGTATGAGAGGACGTGGAAATGAAGTGATGCTGGATTTCTCATGCAAGTTGAAGCAACCGAGTCGATCGGTGGAAAGTTCGAATAGAACAGCAAGTCACTGTAGCGACGTAGGAATACGTCATCTCCAGACATGAACTACTAGGAACACCACTGGGCAGTGCGGTTACAACCGGAGCAGGCGAAAGCTAGAAAGCAAGACGAGAAGGGAAGGGGCTGATCAGGAGAGAGCAACGGGGTGAGCGATCAGCTTGCTCAGTGACCAGCTCGGGGTTGCTCAGCGGGCTGTTCAGGGCGGCGAGGTGACCAACTCACCCTGTGCTCCGGGAGCCGATGGACAACAATATTACAATGGCAGAGTGCTGCAAACATCCTCTATCTAGTCAAATAATACGACAAGAAGGGTAAACTTTTACACACAGAACTTGCCCGGAAACACCCATCCCAGCATTGGCTAGCCTTTCAATTATCAGGGACCGATCTTCCCGAGTACACAAATTGCAATATAGAGCTAAACTCATACAATAGGCTGAGGGTTCTACTTCGGCTAGGCAACCTGGTTTGCGCGCTTCCACCCTGAGAAGCTCCCATCAGCAACGGAGCGGTATGTCAATGAGATCTACGAGTGATCGGTGTCCTGGTGGAGGGTTTGATGAGAAACAGCACGGGCTGGCTAGTCGGTGGTAAATGCACATACGCCGATTTGTCTTTCGTTACCTGGGCTGTTGTCGACGAAGGCCTGCTGCGTGAGTTGAACCGAGCTGACAAGCTGGCTGAAATATTTCCGATACACTGCTTGACTTCGGTCATTGAAAGAGAGGGAGAAGGTTGCTAAGTGTCTGGGTGTCATTGCTGAAGGACGGGCTGCCATGAACTGTGTTAGAGATTTATAGGGTTGAGGTGATTAATGATGGATTATATCACGACTGCATGGCGTTGTCTGATGAATATCCAAGCGCAACTTGAAACCAGTAGATTATAGGTAAATGATTGACGAGGAACAACAATGCGGGAGATCCAGCATCACATCGTCGTCCGGGTATTTGAAGTGCAGATGAACCAAATATGACAAATATCTCCAACGCTCGAACCCACTGCCTTTGCAGTACTCTAGTCCAGGAATGCCAAAAGCAATTACTTTCGGCTTTTGTATGATGCACCGTCCGAGTATCGGTTCCGCCAATGTTTGCGTATGCCATTTATACACATGCCATGCTTCATGAATTCAGCTGTTTACGAGCCGACATACCACACCTCGACTCCAAGAATATCAAACTTGACACCCTCGTCAGAGAGAGGTTCATTACCGAAAGTTTGGCAGGAAGCGCTAACACCCTTTTCAAGGCTTTGGTCAACCCACAATCCGTAGTGACCATCACTATTCCGATATTAGCTAACAGTACCAACAAATCCACAATGAAAATTACTTACCCGCCTCCCAGACTGAGAAATCCAGTTTCACAGAACATCATATAGTCATTAACGCCACTGTACGGGAAAGCCTTGAAGCGAATGCGCTCAGGGGTGCTAGCACCACTGCGCGAAGGAATAGAAGAAGGCGAAGGAGGCGCAAGGACACCACCACTAGCAGCAGCCAGATTGGTTTTAATATTGACATTAAGACTGTGAGAGGGCGACTCCGATCGAGGAGTTTTCAATTTCGCCTGGGGATCATTGCGCAGCGTACTCCAGCGGGCAGCATTAGTGGTATCCGCAGAAGGCGGAGGCGGGAGGCCAGCGCGCTCAAGCGCTTCCTCCGATTGAGGACCTTCTCCCGGTAGCGCGAGAGGGAAGCTCGCTGGAGGTGGGAGTACACTAGAGCGCCAGAGGAAGCACTCTCCCGTGCCGAAGAATTGTGAGTCTGGATGTGGATGGTCGGTCATATAGGCGCCGAAGACGGAGCTTGAGGGTGAGGAGTCGCGAATTACGAGGACGTAGCCCGCCCGCGGGCTGCGGTGTGAGAACTCAGCGCAGTTCTCGTAGAGGGTGGAGAGGGACGCGCCGTCGCGGTCGAGGCTGTAGGCGAGATGCCAGGTCTCGGCTAGTTGGAGGCGTGGGGGGACGAGGAGCCGGATTTCTTCGGCGAGGGCACGTGTTAGGAGCTGTTGCTGGAGCAGGTCGATGCCTTTTGGGATCTTGAGGGTGAGAGGTGTGAGTGGCGGAGGCTGAAAGGGCGAGGCTGTTCGGCGCGGCGTGTAGACCTCTGATGAGGAGGACGACCTCGACCATGGGAGTGCGGATGGCATGTCTTTGGCTAAGTCTGGTTCAGTTATGCGACGGTAGAGGCCTGAAACAACGTGGCTGACTGGGTAGGAGAAGTAGGAGGCGGCGGATTGGTAGGCGGGTGTTTTTTGCGTGGGAGTGCGAGACCTTGATCTCGAGGAGGAGTGGATTGGAGGGTCGGGAGAGAGATCTGGCTGGGATGAAGACGACATGCGGAGATTCTAAGTCAATTGCTGGCAAAAGAGCTTCGGCTAAGCCTAGAGAGAAAGAAGGGAAAGAAAAGAGAAGAAAGAGAAGGGATAGAAGAGAGGTATGCGGAGGTGATGAAACCCGCTATCACTTATCTGTGGGGGAGCCACGTCAGGCTTCGCCTTCTGTAGCTTACCCTGTTATATTCATGGATTGCTACATGTATATGCTTGCAGGGAATCATTGTAGCTTTGGAGTGTATATTTGACCCTCGTCTTGACGCAAGCCATTTTTATTTTAGATCTGATAAGCCTTGCCCATATCAACTTGAGCATATTTCCCCACGAACTTTCAAATGTAATCTTAAATCACTACATCACTAGCTGGAGAGTACGTTGTACTTTGAATAAGGATTGAATTGAGATCAAGCTCGATGCAACAATGCTACCTATGTCAAGGGACCAAACGCCCTGGTCCTCTAGACAACAGGCTGTTCAGATCTTGCCACGTCAAAAATCATTTTAATGCAAACAGTATTGGTATCATAATGGCGTTGTATCAGGAGATCCATATAAAGAAATCATATCTTCGTGCTAAGGACGCAGATCTACTGTCTCGAACTCGAGTCCATTAACCTCGAAAACATGCCCGGGTCGTAAAGCACCAGTGTAGATGTTCTCCTCGGCATGTGGATGGAATAGACCGGTCTGCGTGCAGCTCAAAACAGCCTTGAGTCCCGGCGGGTCAGTCAGACGAAACACTCCCCAGTCCGGATCTTTGCTTGGAGCGCACACGATAGCGATGCTCTCCGGGAGCATGACTTGGTAGCCGCAATGTGTGTGTAGGTCGCGGGAGCTCATGAAACAGGTCTGCGACGGATGCGTGTGGATCCATCCGAGGACCATCAGGTCCTCCGAGTCACAGTAGTCGAAGAGAGCAGACTCGTTCACCGTTTCGCAGGTGTCCGATGTGGAGGTTTGCTCTGGAATCACCACTTTAGATATGAACAGTGCGTTAGAGACGAGAGTACCACAGAGAACTCCGCATGTCTCTAGGTTACTGCGGGTGTTGGGAGCAGCCAGGGATAAGAAGCGATTTCGGAGGTCGGCTGGCAGGAAGACGGAGCGCAAGGGAGTGCCATTTTCCAGATAAGCGGAAGGTTTGAAGGTGTAACTGGATGGATCGAGATCAGACCGCTTGGTGCTGGTTTCTTCTGCTCGAAACTTCTCGGGGAGTGGTGGGGCTGGTGCCACTTTTAATGGCTTTGGCGGTGCATTTGTGTCAATAATTGAGGCCCTGCTGGGCTCAATGTGCTCTTTCGGAGGTCGGATAGGGGCCGCATGGCGTTCTACGTTCTTATCAAGGATGGCGATCTGGCCTGGAGATACAGTGGGCTCCAGAGGCTTCTGACGCGGCACACTTGGATATTTGTAGACTGACGAAATCCCGCTCATTGAATCTTTGGCGCGCTGGCCATAAGTGGGCTGATGCGTGTGATCGATGTTGGACCTGATGCCCTGAATCCGTCGGCTCAAGTCTTGGTCGCCTGATCGAGTATCTGGCTTCGATGCAACTTCCCAATCACCCCACACACCGGCTGTACGATGAGCCTCCAGTTCTTCTGCTGATGCGCTTTTAGTCCCTCGGATAGTGGCACGCCGATTGAGCTCATGCTGGGCAAGCTGAACGGCAAGGTCCCGATTCTCGCCGGCTTCCAAGGGCTCGGCGACACCGGCCAGGGCGGGGTCTGTAACTTGCTCTCGCGGCTCATTATTGAGTTTGGATTGAGCTGGCAATTTGCGAGATTCACGCTCGCGCATCAACTGAGTGTAGCGCTCATATCGCTTATTGATCCGAGGTCTTAAAATCTCCAGCTTGCTGAGGTTCTTCTCCACTTCTTTCTCGGCGGCCACCAAAGCTTTGCGGTCTTCTTCATACTTTGCTGTATCCGGATGCTTCGAAAGATGGACTAAGATCAGCTGGGCGTGTCGGAAGAGGAGAAGGTATGCTTGTTCGTCGTGTCCTTCGGATTCGTAGATGTGTGCCTAGGGGACCCAAGTTAGGCATGAACCAACGAACCAGACCGGGTGTAAGCAAAAGCAACCAACCTCTCGTAGAATCGTTGCCGCCGTCCTCAGCCAGTACCGCAAACGTACGGATGAGTTGTACTCGTAATTTTGGGCGATGCGAGTGATGCTCTCCACGCTCTGAGGCGGAGTACCTCCGGTGCCGACGTGGGAAGCCATCGCGATGACAAAGTTAAGATACCCGTCAAGCCTCAAAAGGCATGGAGAAACGATCTCCGAAACCTGGCACGAAGACCAGCGGCAATTGTAGTAGGGGAGCCGCATCTAGACGTGAATGGGGAGGAAGGGTGGTGGGGAGATGATCGGGAAGCTTGGTCTCTCCGCTCCGACCAAAAAAAAAACAGCTGCAACTCTTGCAACGGCAACTACTTGGACTCCAATGCGCCACACCTTATCTTCGCTATACCCTTCATGACATAGATAATTCCGGTATCCATTCACAGAATGGAAAACAGAGTCTACAGAACACTACACCCGGTCCTTGCATCGAGGAACAGATGGAAGACGAACGCAGCTCATCCTTTGACCGAACGGATCCGTGACATTACGCAGAAGAAGAAAGCCCAGCGTCGAGTCATACTTAGGAGTGAGATTGTGAATGAATCCTTATGTGGTAAGCCTTTGTCCTGAAGCTTGTGTCATGTGAAAAATGCTCACGGGTTTCACAGACCAAATTGTTCAACGTGTAGCGCCCTATCTTCGTCAAAACACCCCAGTGGATATCCTTGACCTGTGGCCTGGTAGCGGCTTTTGGTCATCCAAAATCAATGACTTCCTGCGACCTCGCCGCCATGTGCTTGTTGAGCCAGACCTCGATATCTGGGGTGATTTTCTTCATCCCTTAGCAGAGAGCAAGCCCTGCTACAAGCTCCTTCCTATGGAGATATATCCAAGCGCCGGGCTGCATAAGACAAGAGTCGATTGGGGTGCTGTAATAAAAGAAAACTTTCCAGAGCAAAGCCTACCTTCACAAAGCTCTGCGGGTCTGCCACGAAATGATACGCTCCTCGTCTTGGCCAACCCGCCCCAGGCAGCTTCTGGCAAGGACCATATGACACCGGGACGCTGGTGGATTAAGTTCTTGGAAACATGTTTGCAAAAATATGATTTGCACAGCTACGGGTCTGTCCGAATCATTGCACAACTTCCCCACACTGAGATTACGACTATTCTCCCACGAGCAATTGCAGAGCGAAAGCGGTCTGGATTGTTAACGGAGACTTTGGCCTTGCACTGTGTGGAGCTCGCGAGGCCGGAGATGCCTGAGCCACAGTATACTTGGCGAGACTACAACGAAACCGTCACAAACAGAGAACGAGTCAGCGAAAGAGCCGCGGCACAGGGCATTGTCACGCCGCCAGATCGACAATTACCTCCCATTGAGTGTGTGCCACCAACCCCTGAGCGTGCCCCTGGTCGTGCCTCGAGGAGAAAGGATACCCAGCCTTACACCCACAGACGACTTCTTGAGTCCCATAAGCCTTTACTGGACGATATCGCAAAAGGAGACCTGATTTTAGGAGAGAGGCCGGATAAAAAGAGAGGAAATCCAGCAAAATTGAAAGCACGAAACGCGGCTATCACCACATTAGACAGAGAGAACACAAGTGCATACTACCGCCTGAAATTTGCCAACCGCCAGCTTGAGATTGACGAACTTACACGAAAGTTTGCTCGTGCAGCAGCAGATGTTAATGAAACCCCCGAGAGATTGAAAGGCTTGGAAGGTGATATTGTGTCTCTGCAATCCATCCAGAACGCCGAAATATCCGAGATACACTTCGTGAAAAAGAGGTATTATGACAGAGTGATGGATGACGCCCGCAATGTTGCTCTATCCAGCAATTTTGACAATTCCGTATTGCTTTGGGAACGACGGCCATTTGAGCCCCTGTTTATCCCCCCGCCGGATGTTTATCCTCACGACTACCCGCGTGGCATCATCTACTTTGAAGCACAGCCTAACCCACCTGTGGTGCAGAAGATTTCCGAGATGCCGAACGTAGACACTACCGAATTTCTCGCTCGGTTCCAGGCCCTGAGTGCTCCTTTCCACCCCAGTGTCAGCATGTCGGTCAGCGAACTGCTTTCCATACTTCTCCCGGGGCGGAGCATCAACGAAATCGTCCAGGCCATTCCCAGTCTCACGGCCTTCGCGGACCGGCGACTGAAGCCTGGCTGTGGGCCAATGGCCTTGCCAGATCCTTCTGCAGATCCGGCGTTCAGCTACCAGGCCAACTTGGACTATGACTTGAGTGGTGTCCGAGTGCGATCACTTTCTACCACCACACTGTTTGAGATTATGGTTGAGTTCGAGAAAAGCTCACCTGGGACAAGCACATTGCAGTTCAACCGCATGTTGGGTGGGACACTAACCTCATTCCAATCCGGAATAGAAAACATTCAACTGCACTAAAAGTGCAGTGACTGTATTATAGCCATGTATTATATGTGAACATAGATGTATAGATAATAGAGACCAATCGGGTAACTTTTCCGGACCGGGGTCAGGGCACGAGGCTGAGGGATTGGTTGTGAAGATCCTATGGAATGTATATGAGGTAGGCGAATACGTGGCCATATGACTTGGGTTTGTATACTTGATAGTTGTATAAGTTAGTTATGGTAGTACACTTAGAAACAAGTATATGACTCAGAAATATACAAACAAACCACCAAGATAAGCGATGACAGCCGTTGGGGACGCATGCGGTGGGCCCTCGGGATGGCTGCATTGGGTGAAGCCCACTTTGCCATGCAGCAATTAGTATGCTCCTAGACCACTAAAAGCGTGAGATATGAGATTACTATACATGTAGTCTCTAATCTATAACGTTAATCTATAATCTGACTCTAAAATATAATTATCTTACATGTAAGAAATCCCTATCTAGAGAACGGTGGACCCCGATCAGCACGAACCCTTCCGAGTGCCAATTTCCGTTTTCCTTTAGCGTCGACACCGTAGTATTTTGTTCCTGTCATTTCATTTCCTTTTGGTCGAGACCGGAGTGGGCTTTTTTCCTTTTTTTTTTTTTTTTTTACTTGCTTTGCTTTTTTGTTTGCTTTCGGCCCCATAGCCCTCAACACAAAGCGCAAAGCGCTTTGTGCGCCTTTGTAATCTTTCTCTTCTCTTTCGAGTCTTTTATGCCCAATCTTTCGAGGCCGAGTTCAAGGTCTAGAGCCCTTCGAACTCCATATATAAGGGTGTGCAGTGGCTAGTCTTACACCAAAAATCGCCACCCCGTCATAGTCCGTCTTCCCCAACCGTGGGTTGTGAGGTTATCTCTTCGCGAGTGGCGCCGATATCAGAGCTATTTGACTTGAATCCTTGGCCTGTCTCGGGCCTTCCTCCGAGCCCCATATAAACCTGGTCTCTGCTCGTCTGAAATTCCCCAGATCGCTCCAGCATTGCGCATACAAGCAATGGCGAATCCCCCATACCAGCTGTCGCTGCAGACATCAGAGCCGACGCCCCCTGCACAAGTCCCCACATCAAGTCTTACGCCGCCCGTAACCCCAATAGCAAAAGAGAGTCGCCAAAGTTCATTCCAGGACATTCAGCCGTCTCAATCGCTCTCTGCTCCCAAACCCGATGTCAGCACCCCACAATACTTCACCAGCGACCTCGAAATCATACACAACGGGGACAATCGCCCTATCGAATTCGGCCGCGGCGCATGGAGCATAGTATACAAAGCGCGCTCAACATCAAGCGCCAAACCCAGCACCAGCACCAACACCAGCAACCCATCAACACCCCCAAGCTCCCCAGTCTCAACAGCCCGCATTCTAGCCGTAAAGGCGCCCGTGCGGCACGATGCCCGCCCAGTCCTGGAAGCCGAAGCCCTAACTCTAACCCGCCTCACCCTCACCGCGGGCCACGAATCCTACATCGTACCCTTCCACGGCAAACACACAGACCTAGGCGGCCTGGTTATGACCGCCATCCCGCTGGCTCTATCAACCTACATAGAAGACCAAGCCGACATCGCTCGCTCCCGCCAACCAGCCACGCCGACAATGTTCGACCCCGTCCAAGGTCCAGCCTCGTACAAAGATCTAGCCCGCAAGCTAATCTCAGGCTTGAACTGGTTGCACCAAGTAGCGGGGATGGTGCACGGCGATATCAAGCCACATAATATCCTCCTGCGCCCAGTCGACGCAAACGAGAGTACCAGCGCATTCCCATTCGAGCCCTTATTCGCGGATTTCTCGTCCGCCGTCGAAATCCCCAATGATCCCGCTATCCCTCTTGATACAACGCGCGCATCCATGTCCGCGTTTACACCGCCGTTTACCGCACCTGAGATGTTGGCTTCGTTGACCTCGGGTGATATTGCGCCGACGCCTGCGTCGGATGTGTTTTCGCTTGCGGCTACGCTGCTTGCTGCTGCTACCGGCGATTTGTTGTTATATCCCGGTACGAGTAACATGCAGCGGCTTGCCATGGCTAGGCAGGGGCATCAGATTGTTGATCTTACGCGGTCTGGGTCGAGTGGGCATCGTGTTCCTCGGAATGGGTTTGTTGAGGGGCTTGTTAAGCCGGCCGTTGTTAAGGATCCTGCTTCGCGGATTTCGACGGTCGATTGGGTTGATCTTGCTTCTTCTTCTTCTTCTTGATATATTGGCTTTTTTGGGTTCTTTTTCATTTTCACTTTCGGTTTCTTGTCGCAACTCCCTGTTTTGACCTTTTTTGTCGCATATAGGGAACTGCATTTTTGATATACCCTGTTAGATGGAGTTTCGGGAGTGTGTATCATACTATATCGGTGATACAATATTTGCATGGATAGATGTCAGCATCTCATAATACTATACCAATTTGAATTTCGGGATATCTGTCAGCCTTGTACAAGTCAACAAACCATGATTCGGTCATAGTCAACATAGTTTCTCGTAGAGTAGCGAGTAACTTGAATACACATAAGTAGCGAGGGACAGAAAAGCACAAAATAAAGCCACCAACACCTTTCACAATTGATCAATAAACACCACAAAAGCAACAATACAAATCCTCAAGCAGATCCCTCACCCTCAACTCGATCATCAGCTTGGCCTTCACCTTCACCGCCAGCCAACCCCTCAACAAACCCCTTCAAATCATCAACCCACAACTGAAAATTAGCCCTCAACCTCTTCCCATACATAACCCTCACCACATACACAAGCCACCCAACCTGCGCCTCCCAATTCCGCACCTCAGTCCCACCTTCAACAGCCGTAACCTCATGAACCCGCTCCGCCTTCAAAAGAGACTGCGGCATCGCGCCCGGCGCATCAGGATCAACTGTCCAAACAATGCGGCCGATATCGCCTGTCTCGGCGTTCGGAGCTGCGCACTCGGTTACGAGGCCGTAGACGTCTGTTGCGGCCTGGGGCTTTGTGGAGGTTGAGGTTGGGTCCATGCGGACGTGGAAGATGAATCGGGTGCCTTTTTGGAGGGTTGGGGAGGGGTCGTTGGTGATGTCATCGGGTGTTGTGTTGGATGGTTGTGAGCGAATTGTTACACGGGGTACAAATGAGTTCCAGGCTGGCCAGGTTGAGGTGTCTGTTAGGGTGCTCCAGACTTTGGCTGCTGGGGCGCTGATGAGGGTTGAGCTGCCGACGTGGAGGGTTGCGGCTTTGGGGGTTATTGTTGGGGTTGCGCGGGTTGCGTTGGTTGGGTCTTGGAGGGTTGTCATTGCGAATTTTTGGCACAGCTGGAGGATTGAAATTGGAGAAAGGAAAGAGAAATAGAGAAAGGGAGGAAGAGAGAAGGGAGTATAGGATGGCATGTTGCACCTGTGGATCGTTGCACTTGTTTGCACCGGTTGCAGTGATAAGCGCTTATCAGGAACTATAAAAGCTTCATTGTGTTTTGTTTATAGTTGAGAGTAGTTGGGGGTGTAATGGATTGGTTGAAACATTGAACACTAATAATTCCAGCTCCAGTAATGTAGACTTGTATGTCTCTATACTCTTCTCTGTTCTTCACTGCCTGAATACTCTATCATGGTTCCTTCTACAACATGCTCCTTCCCATAACTTTCTACACAACCATCTTCTTCTTCCCTACTCTTCCTCTTCTGTTCTTCTCTCCATCTCCATACACTCTTTTCGCTGTCCATTTCAACATTCATTTTATCTCATTCTTTTCAAGTTAACCGGTCTCTTCAGTTTTCAACATGCAATACTCTCCTCAGTACCCGATGTTTTTTGCAACCCCTCAACCCGTGCATCAACCACCGGCTCAACCCCTAGTCCGTCGATTCTGCATTCTCCGACCAGAAGGCCTGTGGTCACCACTCATCCCACTTGACGAGCTCCCGTCCTGGCTGCAAGTTTGCAACTGGACTCCAGACATGCACGTGGGTCTGTACCCAGTGTCCATGAACTTCATTCCCCGGGAAGGAGAATACGACGTGGTCTGCCACAACTGTTTCAACAGTGTTGATTCCCTACATCAAAGCGTTTCGGAACGTGGACCATCTTCCGCCTCCAGTCGTGCGACTCGTGCCAAAACCTGCCCTGTGCAATGCTATTCACCCCCGAAAATGCAACCCGAGACAGGCACCATGGCTACTGAGTTTGGAGTAACCTACGGCATATTAGGACAGCCTCCATTTCATTCCATGCTCCAGTCTCCTCTTGTTGGGATGTGTTTAGTCGACGTGCATTCTCGGGATGGGGAACTTGCGGTGGTTTCGGATGGAGTCTCGCAAAAGATGGGCGTTGAGAACTCCGTACCATCTCAGAGTTCTGACCAAAGTTGCGCAAGTGCGCAGTCATGCCCGGCTCATCCTCCAGGCCCGGTCAATCTGTGTGACTCCCCTCTTTCCTTTGGCTCCTCCAGAAACCTCCCTGAAAGGGTTTCCAAGGCTGTTATCTCGAAGCGTCACTCGCGACCACCGCATGCACATGATGATAAATGGGTTGGTACTCCTCGGCGTGTTCTCTCACTGCGCGATGATAGCTCCGCGTCTTCGCATTCTGCTGTGGCCATGGCTGCGGCTCTGGCCAAGCATATGCAAAGAAGGCGATCTAGAAGGATCTCCCGCACCAGCAGTCTTCATCAAAGTGCTATCGCGGATGCAGATATTGTCGCACCCTGGACTCTCATTTCCAAAGCCCCTTCAATCCGAGTGAGATCCAAAGGTCGTCGCAGGGTTCGAATGCGTCGTCAACCAGCGGAAGAACAAAGAGTCTCCATGTCTCCATCAATCTCTCCCAAGTCAGACAACATAGTGGAGGTCCAGAAGCCAAAGCCAGAGCAACCAAATGCCGCAACCAAGCGACGGGATCGCCGTGAACGGTTGAGGCGCAGGAGAAACCATACAGATCGAGGCAGCCGATACTGGCACATGATGAAGATCCCAAATTGGCGGGCCGGTGTCATCAAGCATTGATCATGATTGAGTGCGTTATATATGGTTCTGAGTTTTGTTTGTTTGTTGTTGTTGTTGTTGTTGTTGTTGTTGTTGTTGTTGTTTCCTTTCTTACAGTTGCTTCTTGCGTTTGGGACACGGTTTAGATAGATGTCCTTCTTTTGCTCTCACTCCCTCTGGGCGGTCTTTCTTTTTACACATTCCGGATCAACAGGTATTTGTCTTTCCTTGCCTTTCTTCTACTGATACTTGGCTTTTGCTTCCTGCATCCTTTTCAATGACTCTGGTTCATCGAGCTGCTCATCATTCTTTTTGCAATGGTTCCCGTTTTGTTTTCTTGTTTCCACTAGCATTTGCCTTCTACTGTCCACCCTCGTTTGTTCTCAAATGGGCTCCGGTCAATGGCCTGTCCTTCATTTCCCACTTTCTACACGCGGATGATGTTTTTATAGGAACTGGTATATGACTCGCACGGCTGTGCACCACACTCTTTACGTTAATTGTTTTCAAATAGCTTTCAGGAATCGAAGCTCACTCTTGATTCTCATTGCTATCACCCAGTAGAACTGAACAGACAGTAATTTTTTCTACATCCTGCGTTTCCTTGGGCTCACCAAGAACTATACCAATCCTTAAATCCTGCCGTTGTCATGAACACTGCGAAGTTCCCAACTTATGCTTATCTTCGTCCTATTCACAGTAACCAGATCCACTAAGTAGCCGTATAGCCGATTTGGCGTCAAAGGAACTCGGCAACCCCCACACGGCTTATCTTCGTATAGGATTTCCCCTTCAAGGTATCCGACTCCGGTGATACCACTACGTCAGAAAACAAGTCAAATGCGATAGAGCGTACCACCGAATTCGATAAGTAGAAAAAAAGAAACCTAGACTGCAGCATCACTGTCTCTAAAAGCCCATACATCAAAAATCATCATTAATCGATCTATACCTCCGCTTCCTTACGCTTTCTAGTTCAAACCCACATCAATCTTCGAATTTGGCCTGGTGAAAAGAATCATAAATAGCACCATTGGAAGTTGTTGTTATCAATCTAGACATTCCTTGGCTCCCAGTCTGATACTCCTCGATGATACTGCCAAACGGCGTATGACATCTTTCGGGGTTTACACGCTTTCTGGTCTCTCCATATATATTGTTGAAATTACACGATGAATGACGCTACGGAAGCATGTACGTCAAGGCCAATGAGGTGGTTTATGTCTGATCTCTCTCTCACGAGAGAGAGATCCTATTTAATGAGAAGCATTTCTCCTGAACTATACTCTACATGGTAGGTCAATGCTGATCATGAGCTTCATGCTTGGCGAAGTAGGCATTTCATGCCTGGAGATGCCTGGAGATGCCATGAATCTCAACACACCCCCTCAGTATTGAAGCTTGCCATGTCTTCAAAAGACGTGAGAAAAGGAGGTAATAACGTAGCAAATGTAGGAGAAATACTCGGCTCTCATTGGTTAGATCAGAATGCTTTCTCCAATGCCAGCGCGTCGCGAAATGCTTCGAAAGCAGGTCTTGCAAGCGGCTTGGTGAAGCCATCGGCAATGTTTTCGACGCCAGCGACGTGTGAGAGACGTATCTTGCCTTCTTCAACTCTCTCTGATCCAATGGTAGTGATTCTCAATATGGCGGCTTCTCGAATGATGCCTTGAGGTTTTAGCCATTGAGATCGCGGATTGACTGTCGCTGTAGAGATGAATCGGGTCTGATGCATCTACGGCTCGTAGGTCAACGAGCAAGCGATGAAGCCATACACCCTGGCTTCCTGCGTCCGAGAGAGCGTAATACTCTGCTTCGGCCGATGACTTCGTGACGCAGGATTGCTGCTTCGAAGCCCATGAAACTGGTCCGCCAGCGAGGTAGAATACCCATCCTGTACGGCTTCTCATGGTGTCAGGATCCGATGCAAAGGACGCGTCCACGCACCCCCAGAACCCGTATCCGTCCTCACAGCCAGTATTACCACCCGTTTTCGGTTGTCCGTAGGTTATCGCAAGGTTGCTGGTTCGCTTAGCGTATCGGACGGCTTGGTAGACGGCGGAGAAGTGAGGATCGTGAGGTTTGAGGTTATGCTTCGTGAGCATCCCAAGCGCTAGGGAGAGGTCAGGACGTGAGACCGTGCTAGCGTAGATTAGACTACCAGTGAGAGACTGGTAGGTCTTCACGCTCTGCTGGTCGGCCGGCTCTTCGGCCTTCCTAAGCTCGATGCTAGGGCTGAATGGGATGAGAGGTTTTGGAGAGGAGGAGGTCGGTAGAACCTCAGGAAATCTGTCAATATAGGCTTTTTGGTCTACTTTCATGATTCCAGCTTCCTGGTCGCGTTGAATCCTAAGGCTAAGGTAGTGAGAGACCTCACCTAGGTCTGAAATAGACCATTTCTTAGCGATAGCTTCTTTGACTCTCTGAAGCGTTGTGGGAGACGTCGCTGCGAGCAACATGTCATCCACGTAGACGAAGATGACGGTAATTCCACCCCTTGCTCGTGGCGTACGTATAGACACGGGTCAGCGGAGGATGCAATGAAGCTTTTGGAAATGAGGAAGCTGCTAAGGGTCTTATACCAATTGGCTGCTGACTGGCGCAAGCCGTATAGACTCTTAAGAAGGCGACAGACTTTACCGCGAGGTTCGACGCCATGAAAGTCGAGACCGTCGGGTTGGAAGCCGTCGGGGTATTGCATATACGTTTCCTCTTCCAAAATTGCATTGAGATAGGCTAAATTGACGTCTAAATGCGTCGTATGAAGCTTCTTCAATGTGATGACTGCAAGGAGTACTCGGAGGGTCTCGTAGCGGCCGGTGGCAGCGTACGCGTCCTCGTAATCAATGCCTTCTCTCTGGGTATTACCTCGGGCCACCCACCGTGCTTTGAACTTGGCAGGTCTGCCATTAGCATCGGTCTTAAGCTTATAGACCCATCGACCCGAGAGGATCTTAGCCCCTGGAGGTGGAGACGCTGGTTGCCATACCTGGAGAGTCTCAAATTGAGAGATCTCCGACTTCATAGCTTGTTCCCACCATGGCCAGAACGGTGAAGCCTTAGCTTCCCAGAGAGATGTTGGAGAATCGAGCCATTGAGCTGGCGTAGATTCGATGTCCTGGATAGGCGGAAGCGCTAGGAGAGAGCTCTCCGTAGAGAGCACCTTCGCTTCCGCAAGAAGCACTGTGGTCTGGTCTTCACAGCGTTGAATCTCAGCTTTTTCAGCTCTCGAAGCCGTTGAAAATAGCTGAATTGGGTCACTGGAATCGGCGTCAGACTTGCTGTCTGATGCGTCCGATGCATCTGAGACCTCGGATTGATCGGAATTCTCGTCCAATACGTAGAATTCGTCATTTTTGGGATCGTCGGAGTCCTCTAGATCAGGTTCAGGAAGGTCGATAGACGCGGCAGTAGATGCTGGCGGGGTGTCAGGGTCATTGTATAGATCCCAATCGGGTCCTTCATCAATGATTGCATCTCTCACGACATGCATTGTGCCTCCTTTCTTATTAGGAAATGGTCTATAGACGCGATATTGGGCACCGCTATAGCCTGTATATCCAGTGAGGTAGCCGAGCTCTGCTCTCGGAGCTAGGTGGCGTCCCTCGTCGCTTTGATGAATAGCTTCACGTGGGAAGACTTTCCAGACCTTGCTACCAATAACGCGTAGAAATGATAGGTCTGGCTTCCTACCGTAGCGAAGCTCGAAGGGAGTAGTGGGAGGTCTTCCTTGCATCTTACGGCCATTGTAGACTGTCATATTTCTCACGATAATGACGGTCTTCATGATCTCAGCCCATAAGAAGGTAGGAAGCTTGCTATCAGCTAAAATGCATCGCATTCTCTCACTAACAACACGCATGAGACGCTCCGCTTTGCCATTCTGCTCGTGAGCGTACGGAGCAATGAAATGCCAGTGGATTCCTCTCATTTTAGCCCAATATTGAAGCTTTTGGAAGGTGAATTCTCTGCCATTATCAGTCTGAATAGCTCCAATTTCATCTCTTGGTTTGGGAGTAATGAGGTCCTTGACCTGACATTCCCTGTCCTTTTCGTAGGTGCTAAGAAGCTCCTTGATAGCTATCTCAGCTTCCGATTTGGTCCTGAGGAAACGGATCTCGGCCCATCCATCGAAGTCATCGATCATAAGAAGCCAGTATCTAGCTCCCGTCTCGATAGCGGGTGTGAGCTTACCGCCGCCGCCAATGTCGATGTAGACGAGGTCTCCTGCTCTCTCAGAGCGATGGAGAATTGGCCGCCGGCTAGGTTTGTGAGGTGCTCGTCCGATAGCACAGTCTCCGCAAGGCTGTTTAGAGACTGCTAGACCTTCAATGTCGATGCCATCCACAATTCTCGCCGTTTTCTGCACCCCCTGAGTGCCAATGTGGCCCATCCGTCGATGCCAGGTGTGGACATTGACCCTAGACTTATTCAGACGGGGTTGGGGTGTCTCGGCGCCCGTATTAGCATCCGTGGTTAGGATAGCTATAGGCGTAATAGGTGACTCGGAGGAGCTTCGGACGTGATGCATGCTTGCTTTCTCCACTTTTAAAGGAGGAGATCCGACGGAAGAGACATTTAAGATCCACTGTTTATCGACCTTACGTCCTGTAGCAAGAGTGCTACCATCCTTACGCTTCAAAATTAGCTGATTTGGACGGTAGATAGCTGTGACGCCTTTCTTTGCTAGCCTTGCGCCGCTGATCAGGTTGATGCTAGCTGTAGGCGTCCAGGTGACGTCGGTAAGTACGATATTGGAGTCTGGTCTTCTTCTAGATCCGGAAAGCTTCATGCAGATATCTCCGCGTAGACCTTCTTCAATCGTGGTGCCGGAGACTGTCTGAATACGGATAGAGACCGGCTTTGCCGTACCAGGCATGAAATTGCTAGGTGAAGCCGTAAAATGGACGTCGGCACCTGTGTCACAGATCCATCGATCAGAAGTCGTGTCAGAAGCTATAGAAAGCATGTTTTGAGGTAGGAGGATTTCAATGGTATTTGCAGTATATGCCTCCATTTTTTCAGCTGTTTTTTCGGCCGAAAAACCATCTCCTTTCATCTCTTTTTCTGACTTCCTTTCACGGCGGAGCTTCCAGCAATTCGCCTTCACGTGGCCCTTTTTATTGCAATGATCGCACTGAGGTTTTGAACCTGAAGCTGCTGGTGCTGCCGTCGCTGCCGAGCGTACGGCGTACGCACCTCGGGTCTTAGTCTCACGGTCTAGTGATCTCTCGAAGTCTTCGAGCTCAGCTATAAGCTCGTCGAATTGATAGATCTTATCGGAGTCGGATGACCTGCTCACTCGCGATGCGAGGCTAGTCTTCCATGCGTCCCATTTTGGACTGTCTAACTTCCTAAGGAAGAAGAGGCATTTGACGCGCTCGCTATCAGGGCTTCCGATGAAAGTCTTCGTCCATGCGGTCTGAAAGCGGAATTTATATTGATCGAGAGACGTGCAGTTACTCTCGAGAATCTCATCGAGTTCATCGACGCCATTAGCTGCTATGGATGCATCGGTAGGCGCGTACGCGCTCTTAATTACTCTCCACATTGCAGCCGGATCTCGAAGCTTTCTATCTTGCAGATATTGCTGAATTTGCTTCGACACATGGCTATTGATAGCTCTTCTCGCGAATGAGACAAATTGAGCTTGCGCTAGGAAGTGGCGATGCTCACGGGGTAAGATCATGACTTCACCGTATACAATTGGAGTGACGGCATTGTCATCGAATAATTGCTCCATGTTATCAGCCCAATGACGGTAATTGGACTTACCCTTCAAGGCTTCGAATTTGGAGTCATCCCGAAGCTTTCTAACTGCTTCTTTCGCCCTTTTTAGATGCGAAATAGCCTTTTCTTGCTCAGGGGATTCTCTCGGTCTAAATTGACGTAGAGGATAGGTGCCGACGGTATTTTCATCATCATGCGGCATATTTCTCTCAGGAGACTGGAGAGGTACAGATTCACGAATCGGCGACAGATTGAACATGTCGCTTCGATTGCTCCTATCTACATTGAGTATAGGGCGTCGATTCGCTTGAGAATTGTCAACGCCAGTGGCCTCTGGCGCTGGGAAATGCAGCGGGTCTTGCTGCCGAGGAGGCTCTTGACGGAATGTACGGTCGGCGTCTTCATGATCATCGTCACTATAGTGGACGGATTCAATATCGCTAGGCGGCAGCTCGCTTTGCTCGGGAGCTTGCCGTCTCGGGCGGAGACGTCGAGGGTTCGGATCAGACATCGTTTCGGAGGAAAGGGCTCAGGGGGAGGCAAGATGAAGCTATTCCCGGCTGTTGAGACAACCCGGGCTCATAACCTGTTGAAATTACACGATGAATGACGCTACGGAAGCATGTACGTCAAGGCCAATGAGGTGGTTTATGTCTGATCTCTCTCTCACGAGAGAGATCCTATTTAATGAGAAGCATTTCTCCTGAACTATACTCTACATGGTAGGTCAATGCTGATCATGAGCTTCATGCTTGGCGAAGTAGGCATTTCATGCCTGGAGATGCCTGGAGATGCCATGAATCTCAACATATATAATCGCTAAAGATCATCCGGGAAACTAGGTACAGGCTTCCTGAATTTTTGCGGCCGGTTAGCTGTTTAATTGGCTCAGTGGTCTAGTCGTATGATTCCCGCTTCGGAGACACCGGAGCTTCAGGTGATTACACCTTAATTGCGGGAGGTCCCGGGTTCAAATCCCGGCTGAGCCCTTTTTTTTTTTTTTTTTTTTTTTGGAGGAGAAATCTAATGGACATCCGGTCTAGGTACGTAGTGAGGAATCATTAAAATCGCTCTGATTATCGTGAAAGATAATAGGTCTAGAGATTTAGTAAAATATAGCTGAGAGGTAGCTCATAATAGTGGAGATCTATAATCAAAGCCGCCGTATACTGTAGGTACACTCTACATTTTACTTCCATACGTTAACGGTTTCTAAATAATTAATCCTAATTTGAGTAATTGAAATAAGGTATTAATAGTTGAAAGCTAGTATTAAGAGATATAAGGCTGGCAGAGAGTAAAATACTGCTCTCCTTGATTGGTAACAGACAACTAAGCGGCCGGTTGAGGAACAGATTGACAATCCGCCTTAACGCTATCGAAGATCCTTGAAATATATGAGGGCATGGCATTATACAGGTGACAGGCAACAGGGAAATCGAGCAGGCCATTCGAGCGAGCTATGTATTCTTTGGGCCGGGTCACACTTTTCGCCTTCCGCGTCATGAGTTTCGGTGGTCTGAAAATGTTCGTAAGTCTCATCTTGATTCTGTGTAGAGAAATGATTCTACCCTACTTTAGAATAAGCCTTAGTGGCTCTGTTCGAAGTAAGGTATTTACCATGAGCTTCGTTTGCTGCACGATGTTCGAGTCCTCTGATGAGAGGAACCAGCGTTTTGATATAAGCCACAACTTCTCCAGGATCCGGCAGCCAAAGGTTCCTAAACAGACAGAGGTGGATGAAAGCTACAGCTGAGCAAAAGAAAACAAAGGTGGTCCCTTCCTATTTGGTGTTTACCTATCGACCATCAAATAACCCTAACCATGTGTGATCTCTTTAGAACTTCAATCCAAACCTAAAGACGGCCATGGTACACCTGGTTTCCGACTTAATCCTTTAGATGATCTAGTATCTCTACATATTACAGCTGTATCCCTTTACTTCCTCTTATCTTACTTATGCTATCACGCAGATCCCTGCCACATAAAGATTATACATGTACCTGGCCATCCCAATGCGATATCATATCCTGAGAGGCTACTGGCGAAGCTTCATTGGTTCCCACGGTATCCGAGGAGGCGGGGGAAGAGGAGAGCGATTGGCGCAGCTACCGACGAGATGACCTTCCTTTCGCGGGACTCGATGTAGATAGCACTTCTGCAACCTTACATATAGACTCCCACCCCTTCCTTTCTACACATTCCTACTCACAAGTTCAAGGAACGAACCCCTTGAGAGCATGGCTACATACCAAGAACGGTCCACCCAGAAACGCGCCGATCAACACTCTCTGATCCCACCCGAGTGGCGCTTACATCCGATCCCCGCGATCGAATCTACCCCAAATGCCCTGGCTTATCTCCGCCTGGTTCTCACTCCGGATGAACTGGCCCTCACAGAAGAAACCGATATCTCCGTTCTTCTACGCAAGCTCTCGTCAGGAGAACTCTCCTCACTAGATCTAACCCGAGCATTTTCTAAACGCGCCGCGCTAGCCCACCAATTAACAACATGTTGCACGGAGATATTCTTCGAAGAGGCATTCGCCACCGCCAAAGAAATGGATGACCACCTCGCGAAAACAGGCAAGACTGCCGGGCCTTTACACGGTCTACCGGTGTCTATTAAAGATTTATTTTCGGTTAAGGGTGTTGATACTTCAATCGGTACATTCCCTTTCCTTCTCACTCCATCCTAATCACTATAATCGCAACCATACCGCAACCACAAGCAAACCAGTCAAGCAACAAGAAGACTAACATATACAAAATCCAGGCTGGGTCGGACTAACAAACAACCCCGAAAAAGCCGACAAATCAGTCGCTAGAACCCTCCGCCGCCTAGGCGCAGTCCTCTACGTGAAGACCAATCTCCCACAATCAATGATGATGTCCGATTCGTACAACCACGTCTTCGGGCAGTGCGTCAACCCATTTAACCGGGCTTTGATTTCTGGCGGGAGTTCCGGTGGCGAGGGGACGCTTGTTGCGGCGCGCGGTAGCGTTCTTGGTATTGGGACTGATCTTGGTGGTTCGATTCGTATTCCTGCTGCGCTTTGTGGGCTGTTTGGGTTGTCGCCTAGTCCTGGGAGACATCCTTATGAGAGGGGAAAGTGAGTTTTTGTTTCTGTTTCTGTTTTGTGGTGATGATGCATGGTGATGGTGAACGTTTCGGCTGATAATACTGTTCATATAGTCCTGGGCAGGATATTGTTCGCTCCGTTGCTGGGCCTATGGCTTGTAGCTTGGCTACTATCGAGCGGTATATGGAGGCTTTGCCAACTGCGTCGCCTTGGGAGGTCGATCAGCATGTTTCCCCTGTGCCTTGGAGGGCGCATTTGGCTTCGGGTGGGAAGAGGTTGAGGATTGGGTTCTTGGTTGATGATGGGGTTGTGAGAGTTCAGCCGCCGATTGCTAGGGCTATGCGGGAGGTTATCGAGGCTTTGAGGGTGGCTGGTCATGATGGTAAGAAAGCATAAGTCTTATCTGAAACCCTTTTCAAGGCCATGTTTGGGGATAAAGTACTGATGAAAAGAATTTAGTCTTCGAATGGGATGCCTCTTCACACGGTTACGCATACACCCTCTGGGCAAAAGCCATATTCTCGGATGGCGGAGAAGGCTGCCGAAGGAAAACAGAACTAACAGGCGAGCCACTTATTGAAGGAATGCTCGTTGGGAAGCCAGAGGATACGTTGACGACGAGCGAGACGCACCAGGTAAGCACTGAGCCACAAATTGCTATGATTATTATGATTTCTTCTGACGCATTTTATAGCTCAATGCAGACAAATACAATTACGAAACGGAATACCTTAACAAATGGATATCCTCCGGCATCGACGCGATCATCATGCCCAATACGCCATGGGTAGGCTACAAGCCATGGACATGGGTCAAATCCAGTGCGTACGTGGGCTACACAAGTATCTGGAATTTCCTGGGCTATGCCGCATTGGCAGTTCCTATCACTACTGTTTCGAAGGAGAAGGATGTTCCTGATCAGGCATGGCTGGATCATATTCCCAGGAATGATAGTGATAAGTTTAATAAGACACAATGTGAGTGCATTCAATCTCTGGTTTGGATTTAGAGAGTTCTGCTGACTTTTGAATAGATGATATCGACTTAGTTCAGGGTATGCCCGTTGGTGTACAGGTTGTTGGGGGACGGTTTGGGGAGGAGAAGTGTGTTGCTGTAGCGAAGGCGATTGAGGAAGCTATGCAGGGGAAGATGGTTTCTCGAGCGAATCTTTGATCACTCGGAACTACAAGTAGATGACCATGTCTACTATACTTTCACCGCAACTAGTTACACGCACCGGTCTTGATGAAATATACAATATCATTAACATCATCGCTATATATCATGCACCATCTCAATGCAATAAGGTATATGCAAACCCCTCTCCTCATTCCACTCCACTCCAACAAATCAAATAGGAGCATTCATCCGCTCCTTATAATCAGGGAACTCGAAGTCCCCCAAATCCCACTCAATACCAGGATTCGACGCCCCACCCCCTTCACGAGCACTATGACTATCAAGCGTCCCCATCTCCAAATCTCTCTCCCTCTCCCTAGGCGACCCAGTCCTCAAAATAGGTGTATGAACCTCCTCCGACCTCATCCTCAACTCCCGAACAACACGAATCCCATCCTCGTTCCCTGGGTCCTCATTGTTATTATCCTTTGAAATACTAGCCGAGTAATTCGCCGGACCGGGCGTGAAGAGTTCATTATACCACACTCCGCCGTCTGGGCTGGGGTTTGAGTTGTAGTGGGAGTATATGGATGGTTTGCGGGAGTCTGTTAATTGGGTTGTGTGCGAGTGACCGGCTTTTGAGCCTGGGGATGAGTGGAGGGGTTGGGGGAGGAAGCAGAAGGAGAAGACTCGCGAGAGGAGGGGGTGCAGGGGTGGGAGGCAGGCGCAGATTATTGATATGTTTGCTTCCAGGGAGGACCAGAGTACGGCTTGGGAGTTTGTTTCTGCGGGTTTGTTAGTATATTGTTTCATAGTGTGGTATTTTGTGTATATGTGGATACGGGTTGGTCTCGGTGTTTGGATGGTACTTACTGGTGAAATCCCTTTCGTGGACCATGATGCTTAACTGAGAGAGACGGGCTGAACTGGTGGCGATGACCCTGAAAGAAAAAAAAAACAAAATCAGCTTTCCCGTTAGTTTGAAACTCAGTATAGACATATACTCACATAATTCCAAGCCCAAAGACAGCAACAACCCCAAACTTCTGCCGGCGGGGCATTTGCAACTTCCAAAGTAAAGGCATAGGAAGAATCAGGATGATGATGTCAGTAGCAATCTGAATGCCAGCGTTGGTAAACCAAACAGGGCCTTCAGGCAGACAATGGTCATTGCGGACTTCCTCGGATACATCCCAGAAGTAGTGGATGGGTGCACAGAAAAAGAACCCGCTTAATGTCATCCATAGGCCTGCAACGACCAGGAAGCCCATTGTGATATAAGTAGCGAGGAGGAAAGGGCGCGGGCGGAAGAGACGGACGAAGAGGTATAGGGCGGATATTTTGGAGAGGATCAGGGTGAGATTGTAGAAGGGAATTGAAAGCCAGAGAAACTATACTTTGTTAATGGGTTGTCTTATCAGGGAGATTGGTATACCTTACCTGTAGTTGACCTTTGATAACGTGTGGGGGGAGGGATGCTTTGGGATGCCCGAGGCCATAATGGCGTTCTATAGAGGATGGATGTCAGATTGGGAGTTGGAACGTGTGAGTTTGTTGAGTAGATCACTTACCGAGTAAGGTAAAGGCGTAGAATGTAAGGCTGACGGCCTGATGTACATTGTACGTCAGTATGCAGGCTCTTTTTAAGTGATATGCCCCTCCTGAGGCCAAGGAACCCGTTGCAATACGTACCAATGCACCAGTAATGAATAAATCATCTAACCCCGGAGCCCTAATAAGCCAGAATCTCGTCCACAACCTCAGAATGACACAGATGGTTGCAAGAACCGTAAAGATAGTCGAGACGATCAGAACATACATTTGATCGACAATGCACGCGATAGATAACCCTCAGCTAGAAAGTAACAAACGCGAAAGGGGGAAAGACAAGTAGCGTGTCCCAGTCCATCGGATAATAGAATAATCGTCCAGTGGTGAGAGTAGTAGTGATATTAATCAAGGAAATCACCATGACCCGACCAATATACAGGACATGAGACGATGAGAGATCGGAGCATGGAAGCAGGCGAGAAGAAGAGAAATCCAAAGCATATAAAGAACATCCACACGTTTGCCTTCACCAAAACTCGGAAGACCTTAGGATAAGCACCTAGTGGTATTTCAGCGGATCTGCAGTGAACATGCAGAGAACCAAGAACCACCGAGCTTTGGCGGCTGAAGATCCCCCATCATCGACCCCCGGATTCGGAAATCGGACATGACCGCGTCAAGGACTGAAAGTCTGGACCACACTCAGCCACTGTGATTGGTCGACCAGATAAACTAGTGGGACCGTACCCGGATCTAGGCCGACATGGTGTTCGTTGGATCTACAAGCAGCGAATGAGTGAGTCCAATGGCTTGCATGCTAGAGCCTATGAAGTGGATGAGGTCTGGGGATCCCCGGTTCAGAGTGCAGCTTTGGGATTGTGGGAACTCTGTAAAGGGTGTGGTTTGCTTCTCGTTGGTGGGTTTTGGACTTTTGTTGGACTTTTGGGTTTCGGTTTGGCCGAGAAAGGCCGACCTAAGTCAGGAATGTTCGTAAACTGGCCTTTGTGGGGTGGGATGCGAGTCAGGATGTGTTTCTTTGGGACTTTTCGGGGTTTGTTTGGTTGGATATTGATTCCCCTGTGTGTGAGTGGTGGGATACCTTGTTATCAGGGTTCCTTTGGTGCGGTTGAGAAAGGATAGACCTGCCCAGGGGGTGGAGGGTGTAGATAAGGTAAGCTACACATGCCCGGCTTTTCCGAGGAAGATACAGTATTCTGACTATTTGGAATACTGCAAGGGGTCTACAGGCATCCGTTATGGTACAATCCAAGTTAATGAAAAAAAAAAAAAAAAAGTGTGTACAGAACAATTAAATTGCTGAAAACTGTACAAATAACCAATCAATCATCTTCGTTCCGCTAAATGGGCGTCTAAAGCGGAGATATCATAAAATCTTGCGCAAGAAAGATGCAATCTACAGACGAGCCTTGAGGTTGGACTTGAGCCTCCGCTCAACGGCAGCCATGTACTCGCCGGTAGTGACCCAAGACTCACGGTCCTTACGGCCGCAAGCAAGAGCCAGGTCCTTGGTCATAATAGCCTCGTCGTTGACAACGTCGGTACAGGCCTTCTCAAGCTCCTCAGCGAAGGCGACAACGTCGGGGGTGTTGTCGAGCTTGCCACGCTGGATCAGACCGCGGGTCCAGGCGAAGATGGAGGCAATGGGGTTGGTGGAGGTCTCACGGCCCTTCTGGTGCTCGCGGTAGTGACGGGTGACGGTGCCGTGGGCAGCCTCGGACTCGAAGGCCTCACCGGTGGGGGTGGTCAGGGTGGAGGTCATCAGACCGAGGGAGCCGAAGCCCTGGGCGACGATGTCGGACTGGACGTCACCGTCGTAGTTCTTGAGGGCCATGACGAAGCCACCCTCGGACTTGACCATCTGGGCGACCATGTCGTCGATGAGACGGTGCTCGTACCAGATGCCCTTGGCATCGAATTCCTTCTTGTAGTCCTTCTGGAAGATCTCCTCGAAAATGTCCTTGAAGCGGCCATCATACTTCTTGAGGATGGTGTTCTTGGTGCTCATGTACAGGGGGAGACCCTTCATGAGGGCCATCTGGAAGGAGGAGTGGGCGAAGCCAGCGATGGAATCATCGGTGTTGTACTGGCACTGGGTAACACCACCACCCTGGAAGTCATAGACCTGGACACGCTCGGGCTCGCCACCAACGGGGGTGTAGACGAGCTCAAGCTTACCAGGGCCGGGGATGACACGGTCCTGGGCACGGTACTGGTCACCAAAGGCGTGACGGCCAATGATGATGGGCTTGGTCCAGCCAGGGACCAGGCGGGGAATACGGGGAATGACAATGGGCTCACGGAACACGGTACCACCACTGGAGTGATTGTTAGCAGGGAACGGTAGGTTTCGGTTGAAATAAGCTTACAGGATGTTACGGATGGTGCCGTTGGGGGAGAGCCACACTAGCAAGGTTAGCTTCCGGGTGTTGCACAGATAGCTATATGAGCTTACTCTTCTTCAGCTTGAACTCCTCAACACGGGCCTCATCGGGGGTGATGGTGGCACACTTGACACCAACACCGTACTTCTTGATAGCCTCGGCGGCCTCAACAGTGACCTTGTCATCGGTCTGGTCACGGTACTCAATACCGAGATCGTAGTACTTAAGGTCGATATCAAGGTAGGGCAGAATCAACTACCAGTCCGTTAGTATCGAGTCTAGAACCAGGCTGGGATGTAATATGATGCATCAACCGCATCCACTGCATGCAGCTCACCGCAATGAGGCGGCGATCATGCAGGACTAGCCCGGGAAGGGAGATGCGTACCTTTTCTCTGATTTCCTGCCAAATGATGCGGGTCATCTAAATCCACGAAGATGATCCGGTTAGCACGTGCTAATGAGATAATTGGAGTTGCGCGACATTCTCGGCGGGTTTAACACATGAATGACATATTATGCCCCGTGTTTCCCCGCGTTTTGGACGAAAATGCGCCAGCCGAGAGCACATGGAAATGCGGGCTTGTGGAACAACCCGGAGAGCTGAAGCTATAAAAGGACAGTCCATACCTCATCACCGTCCAGTTCCACCACCGGGTTCTTAACCTTGATCTTGGTCTCGGAAGCCATAGTGCGAATTTGAGCGAAGTTCAGAGGGATCGGTCCGGACCAGCGGGGAGATGCAGCAACGCGAGTAGAGCGAGAGAATGAGCTGGAGATTGAACGAGACGAAGTTGAGAAGGAGGAGGAAGAAAGAGAAGAAGAGAGAGGGGCAGAGAGAGGGGGTGAGGGAGCGACGAGCGAGTGCGGAACTTGATCGGAGAGCGTTCATCGTGTCTTATTCGGAAGTCAGCGCGAATGTACCGCAAGTCGGCCACTCAATGCCCGCGGCTTACAACCGAGGGAATGAGGTTCGGCAGAAAGGAAAATGTGGAGTCGAAGGGCTGCCCCCGGAGAAACGAAGAGCAGAGCAACTCCGGGATTCGGGGGGACGGGAGAGGTCGGAACAATAGAAGAGCGAAGGCAAATGGGGAGGGACAATTACCGAATGACTGGGGAATGGAGAGATTGGGGAGAGAGAAGAGGAAAAAGCCTTGTCCGGTGCAATGGAGAGTTGTTTGATGCTCCTTTATTAACCGCAGAGAAGCGCCGAAGCCGGATGTCACGAGATAGTGATGACAGAGAGAGCTTCACTTCTCAGTGGATTCACCGTTTTCTTTAAATCTCCTTGACAAGTCTCCTGACTCATCGGTCTATTCCTATCTCAGGTAAAATTTCTTAAAGCTCCATCCGACCCGCTGTGCTGTTGAGCAGACGCTGTGCGAGGCCGTTCCCGGAGCTCGGAGCAGAGCTCCGCGGCCGCTCACCGGCTCCTCATTCGCCCCGGGAAATCAGGAACCGAATTGTATGATCTATAGAAATAGAGAAAATAGAGCGACATATTGAAATATTGAAGAAAAAATATATGAATATAATTGCCCCGGACTGAGCCTGGTGTTGAAATTTCTCCGTCTAAGCTCCAAGCAGACGCCTATTACCCTATATGTTGAAATCGATCCAAACCATTCGAATCGCGGTATATACAACTCTCTATCAATTCAATTGGTCACTCTAGAACATCCCGTCGATGTCACCGGTCTCTGTGTCAATGTCCACATTAAGGTAGCCGGGGGCAGTGGGCAGTCCGGGGATGGTCTGGATGTCAGCGGCCAGAGCGTAGCTATAGGTTAACGTTAGCGTCAATTCCATAAATTCACGTTCAAAGGTGATCTTACAGATATCCAGCACCCACCGCTAATCTGACATCCCGAATGGGCACAGTGAAGCCGGTGGGGGCGCCCTTGAGGGCTGGATCGTGACTGAGTGAGTACTGAGTCTTGGCGATACAGATCGGCAGGTTGGAGAATCCTTGCTTAGTGTATGTATCGACCTTCTTTTGGGCAAGCTCGCTGAATTCGACCTTGTCAGCGCCGTACATGGCCTGGCCGATGCGCTCGATGCGCTCCTGAATGCTACCATCCAGGTCGTAGAGAAGCTTGAAGTCCTTCTCCTTGGAGCTGGCGGTCATGACAGCCTTGGCCAAATCAATGGCACCAGCTCCACCCTCGGCCCAGTGGTTGGCAGGGACGGCATCCTCTGCACCAGCAGCGATCGATTCCTCCTTGATGACGGCGATTTCAGCCTCGGTGTCGGTCTCGAACCTGTTGATTGCGACCACGACAGGGATGCCGTACTGCTTAGCATTGGCAATGTGCTTCCGGAGGTTAATGCAGCCTTTGCGGAGGATGTCCACATTCTCGGTGCGGTACACCTCGTCGAGGGGAGCACCGGGCTTGATCTCGGGGCCACCACCGTGAACCTTCAGCGCACGGACCGTAGCCACAATGACGACAGTGTCCGGGGACAAGCCAGAGGAGCGGCACTTGATGTTAAAGAAGCGCTCACCTCCCATGGTAAAGTCAAAGCCTGCCTCAGTGACCACAAAGCCGGTCTTATCTTCATGGTCCTCATCAGGCTCAGTACCGGCCAGCTTGAGAGCAAGCTTGTCGGCAATGGCAGAGCTGGCGCCAATACTGATGTTGGCGAAGGGACCAGCGTGGACCATGACAGGGGTACCCTCCAAACTCTGCATGAGGTTGGGCTTGATGGCATCCTTCATCAGGGCGGCGAGGGCACCGCCGGCACCAATATCATCGCAAGTCACGGGGTCACCGCTCCTTGACGTAGCAACGACCATACGACCAAGACGCTCGCGCATATCATCCAGATCGTTGCTCAGAGCGAGGATAGCCATGCACTCACTGGCGACGGAGATGTCGAAGCCGGTCTCGCGAGACAGACCCTTCTCAGTGGGAGCTTGGCCAATAGTGATGCCGCGCAGGTGTCGGTCGTTGACATCGAGCACACGGCGCCAAGTGATAGTCTCCGGGTCGATATCAAGGCGGGCAAAGCGGCCAATCTCCTCCTCGGTAAGATCGTCAGGGTTAGTCTTATCAATACCAAGCTTCTTCAGGCGGCGGAACATGATGGGCTTGAACTCGCGCTTGCCCTTGCTGGCAGGAACGAGACGTTTGTACAGAGGACCATCTTTTTGGGTGGACTCGTGGAACATGCGAGTCTCGATGGCCGCAGCCAAAAGGTTGTTGGCGGCGGTAATAGCGTGAATGTCACCAGTCAAGTGGAGGTTGAACTCGTCCATGGGAATAACCTGACTGTAACCTCCACCAGCAGCACCACCCTTGATACCGAAAGTGGGACCCTGGCTAGGCTGACGGACGTTGGCAAAGGATATGCGGTTGAGGTGGGCGCCCAGGGCTTGGGTCAGGCCTAATGTGGTGGTGGACTTGCCCTCGCCCAGAGGGGTGGGGGTGATGCCGCAAACCAAGATGTATCTTCCGTTGCGGCGATGAGCAAGTCGCTCCATAACACTGAGGCTGATCTTAGCCTTGGTGTGGCCATAGGGCTCCAACTCGTGGTGAGCAATGCCGATCTCGGAGGCAACCTGGGTTATGGGCTTGGGGTATTGTGCCCGAGAGATAGCAATGTCGGAAGGCACAGGGTTTTGAATGCGAATGGGAAGGGGAGTAACATGGCGGTCCTTCTGCTTCTCAAAGTAGCCTTTGGCGGCATGGACCACGTTCTTCAGCAGCATAGCCACGGTCATAGGACCAACACCACCGGGGACCGGAGTGATTTGCGAGGCCACCTCGACAGCAGTTTCGAACTCGACATCACCGACCAGGCGCTCGCCAGACTTTTTGGTGGCGTCAGGTTTGTAGTTGATACCGACATCAATGACCACAGCACCAGGCTTCAGCCAGTCACCCTTGACCATCTCGGTCTGGCCGATGGCGGCCACAACGATGTCCGCATTCTTCACGACGCGGGCAATGTCGGGGGTCTTGGAGTGACAGATAGTAACAGTAGCATCGGCGTTCTTAAGCAGGTAGCTGACAGGGCTGCCGACGATGTCACTGCGTCCTAGAACAACAGCCTCCTTGCCTGCAGGGTCCACGCCGCTAGCCTTGAGCAGCTCCATGACCGCCAGAGGTGTGCATGGGACGAACAATGGGCGACCACCCCTCTTGGCCAGTTCTCCGATGTTGATTGCGCCAAATCCATCGACATCCTTCTCATCGGCAACAGTCGAGGTAATCGTATGCTCGGACATGTGACTGGGGAGGGGCAATTGGACGAGAATACCGTGGACGGCGGGATCATTGTTAGCCTTGGTGATCTCCTGGATGAGCTCCAGCTCGGTGCTCGATTCGGGGACATTGATCAATGTGCAGATAATGTTGGCCTAGATACAGTCAGACGAAGCCCACGCATGTGATATGGGTCAGGAGTAATACCTCTTGAGCAGCCTTCAGCTTCATGCGCACATAGGTGCCTAAGACATATTAGTTTCTCCCATTAATTGAGTATAAATCAAACCCACTGGAATCCGATCGATTGCCGACTGTATAGAACCAAAGTTAGCCTCATTTTTCTCCTGTCAGACTCGAGAGGGGCACTGCTTACCCTGAAAGATGATAAGGTTGGGTTTGAAGCGAGGATTCGTCACTTGAAGCTGCTCAATCTCGGCCTTCAAGCCCTGGCGAATGCTCTTCGCGATGGCAGTGCCATCGATCTTGGCGCCAGCCATTGCAGACCCGGAAAACGTGCGGAACGGGGAGACGGGAGAAAAATCGACGTTCAGTGGAGAGGTCGACCACAAACAACGAGGCCCTCTAGCTGCACTCAATGAAGTTATATAGGAGGTAGGGGAAGAGAAGAAACGCAAAGACCCATAGACTTGGAGATAAAAACCACGGCGGGGTAGGGTGGGGAGTAGCATGAATTATTGCTTGATTGGGAGGGATAACCCCTTCTGTTATCGTGCGAGAAAAGGTGAGTTTCACTGCATCACATGTGCCAAAAGGAATTGAGGCCAAATGCTGTCCTTATTCCCCCGATAACTTCCTCTTACAGTCAATGTTTCCTTTTTGTACTTCCGTAATTAACTCAGCTCATGCGGAGAGACGGGGGAAAATCGGAGACTTCTCCTTGCTTCTGCCTGAGGCCACAACTCCGTAGTTAGGGCAGCAGCGGGCGGTGAGCAGCGTAAATATGCTCGGGCCGACGATTTCCCGGGTTGAACACACTCGGATGAAATTCACCAGTCAAAGAACGAGTGATAACCCCCCCAAAGCCACTCCGCCTTCCTCACGTCTGAGTCGACTCAGATTTTTCGGTCTTCACCTTCGACTCGTCGCATCCTTCAATATGCGCCCTATTTTGCTTTCGGGCCATGTGCGTGGACTCCCTCGAAATCTTGCTGGATCCACAAAGAAACTAATCGGAGGCTATAACAGGAACGGTCCTTGACTCAGATCAAGTTCAACAGCGATGGCGATCTCCTTTTCTCCGTTTCCAAGGATAAGATTGTGTGCGCATGGTGGTCCGCCAACGGCGAGCGTCTCGGTACATACAACGGTCACCAGGGTGCTGTCTGGACTGTCGATGTCAGCCCCAACACCACTCTTCTCGCAACCGGATCCGCAGACAACACTGTGCGCCTATGGAACGTCAAGACTGGCGAGTGTGTGAAGGTGTGGGATTTCCCAACAGCCGTGAAGCGTGTGCAATTCTCGCCCGATGGTAGCAGACTTTTGGCAGTGACGGAAAAGCGTATGGGTTTCCTCGGTACAATCGCAGTCCTCGATATCAACTACGGCGACAACCTCAACGACCAGGCCGATGAGCCTAGCTTGCGCATTACCTGCACAGAGTCCAAGGCTACCGTTGCGGGGTGGAGTTTCCTGTCCAAGTACATCATTGCGGGGCACGAGGATGGCAGTGTCAGCCAGTACGACCCTAAGGTATGGCTTGATCAACGGATTGAAAAGGTATCAAGTGCTTACGACAGTCTAGACCGGCGAGCAAGTCGAGAACATCCAGGCCCACGAGTTCGATCACCAGATCAACGACCTCCAGTTCTCCCCTGACCGCACCAGCTTCATCACCGCCTCCAAAGACAAGTCCGCTAAGGTAGGATCATTCGCAAATCCGCGCCAATTCTCTCGCTAACAGTATGCAGCTCATGTCCTCCCGCAACCTCGCCATCCTCAAGACCTACACCTCCGACACTCCCCTCAACACTGCCAGCGTGACACCAAAGAAGGAATACGTGATTCTCGGTGGTGGTCAGGCCGCCATGGATGTCACCACCACCTCCGCCCGCCAGGGTAAATTCGAGGCCCGCTTCTACCACAAGATCTTCGAAGACGAGATTGGCCGTGTCCGTGGCCACTTCGGTCCCCTCAACACCATCGACGTCCACCCTGCCGGTACCGCATACGCCTCCGGTGGTGAGGACGGTTACGTCCGTGTCCACCACTTCGATAAGTCCTATTTCGACTTCATGTACGAGGTCGAGCGCGAGCAGATGCGGAAGTAAAGGAGACGTGAATGGTGAAAGTTATCGAATCGTCATGCGTCGTGTGTATGTGTTTACGAGGCGAAAAGACTTGGGATAGATCCCCCGGGTCCCCGCATACGGGATGGGATGATGACCTTCTGGGACACGATTTTCTCATTTCATTGATTCCATGATCAATCGGAGTTGGTATCTTCTGTTATTGTCTTTGTTTAATAAAAAGATGACATGGTTCATGTTGAGCTCTTATGTCTGTTCTATTTGCGGGGATATTTGTCCCAAGCAGAAGATAAAATCAGTAAATAGACAATTCAAGCTTTGCAAATCTTCAATATATTAAGCGGCTTACTCCTTTGATCGGATTCAAGCTATCCCCCCATGTTATGGCTTTTGGGCATGGATCTACACAGATCAAGGACATATATCCTGCACCAGGCTCACAGTGCTACCGAAATCTACATTCTACCATATCAAGTACTAAACAAATCCAGGAGTAGAAAATATGTCTGATCATAAACAAAAATGTGAGGTATCTCATTTATACAAGTTTTTTCGTAATATCTTCTCTAAACCCGTTTCCATGCAAGGCCAGCGCTAATCCGACCAGCAGAAGTGAAACCCGTAAGAAAAAAAAAAAGTGAAAAAGGTGACATCTCATGAGAATGTGAAGGACATGACAGTCATTGAGCGCAAAAAAAATAGCAATGCAAAAAAAGACCTTGAAATTGTATCCCGGTCTTATTCATCCCAGAATAGCAGAAACAGAAACAAAAGTGGCGAGTTCACCCCGAACCACCATTTATTTCTTCTTAGGGAACTTCTCAGCACCGATGTCGGAACCACGGAGTTTAACATTCAGCACGCGCTCCATGGCACCGAGTACCTTCTGGTCGGGGGTGGCGGTGCCACGCTCGAAGTCCTGGACGATGGTGATGGTGGTGTTGCACTTGGTGGCGAGTTCCTTCTGGGTCATCTTGTAGCCCTCCTCGTTGCGGCGCTTCTTGATGGCATCGCCGACGACGGGGCCGACGGTCTTAGGCTTGACGATATCGTCGCTGCGGTCGACCTTGGTGAGGTGCTGGCCTTCGGGAGCGCCTGCCTTGGCACCCTGTTGATTTTAGTTAGTATTTATTATGATTTGGGGTTTTTATTGAGGGGTTTTTGCCACGTACGATGTTGCCGGTGGTGTACTTCTTCTCGGTGATGACTCCACCAGAGCGCTGAGCGGCGTTCAGGGCGGACTTGCCCTTGACGACGGTCTCGCGGGGGGCAGCGCCAGCTCCACGGAACTTGCTGCCAATCTTGGTGGTGCTCTCCCAGTCAGACATTTTGAAGATGAGGGTTTGGTATGTGGTGGAGGGGGTTGTTGAGTAGGGTGGTTGTGAGGTGAAAGAGGATGACGTTGATCGTGTGAGTGCAAAGTGAGAAATGCAATTTATATCGATGACAGAAGCTTCTCGAGGGAGGGGAGTTGGCCCTAGTCCCTTTTGGGCTTAGCGTCCTTTGCCTCCACGGTCTCTTCTCTTCTCTGTGGCCTCACTTTTCCATATTTGTGATCAATGACTCCGTTAACGAAGTCCGGATGACTCTTTGCCGGCCATGACATACTCTTTCGTTTTCTCTAGGATTATCAATTGGTTGGACATTGGCAAGGGGTTCATTATACCCGCAATCCCCCACCATCTCGATTGCCACAGCCACACTTCATGCACAGTCTCTCTTACAGGTTCCACGTTCTAAAGGGAAAAGGATCTCACAAGCCCCTGTATGCCTTTTACTCGACTCACCTTCATACTAACTTATTTTCCACGCTGTTCTTGTATAATTGTCGACAAAACACCATGATGTCGCTCGACCCACTTGATGTCATATGGTCTTGCGTGCACATTTCCAGCCCTAATCCCTAATCCCCGATATCATAGGAAGAGACAATGAAAATCACCTCCATAGACCAATTAAACTCACTCCCGGGCCCCTTGCGCCCATCTGTCCGCAGAACGAGCCACTATGAGTCTTATTAACCGCAACCCCACGATGAGGCTGAGCCGGGCTCATCGGGCACCAGGATAGGCTTAGTTTCTCCAACTATACACCCCGGGCCAGGGTCAGGGCTCAAGGCTAGCGAATGCGGCAATTTTATTTTTGCTTTTTTCTGGGTCTGGTCCCGTTTGGAACTGCCCTGTCTCATCCTGTATTCATTTAGATCTATAGATTATGGCAGAGCGGTTGGATATTTCAATCTTTCCTCCCGCTCTCAAGACTCTATATCCACTGTGATTTGACCATTCCAAATACTTTAGATGTATTTGATTTTATTAACGACATTTAGCAGTCTCACAGGTGTACTCTGTATTCTGCAATGCTCTCAGACGATGTCTTGATGTGAAGCATATATATATCATCTCACCATGAGGTCCGGTACTCCATCCAATTATCTGGCATACCAGCATCCTTGAATTTTACATCTCATCTACGACATAGTCGTCATTTACCTCCCAATCCCCCTGTTTCTACACGCTCCGCCTAGTTCACTAATACTTTGTGAATGTATAAACTATGCGAGCTCCATAGCAAAATACCACTAAGTTAATGATCCCGATAGAGCTTATCATGCATCTTATCAACCGCACACTCATTTAGCAAGACTGCATTGCTGCTTCGTGCGTAGCCAGTATGACCGACCTCAGACGGGAGTAAGAATCGACTGTTGTTCCCTGGCTCATCACTGATTAAGCCAGGGACAACTTCAAGGTATAAGCCAGCTGGAATCTCTTTTAGCCTATACGAAAGCTACCTAAGAACCCAGGCCGTTGTGTCTTCTCCATCTGCACCTCCGTATGATCCTCTAAGATTCTCAACAGGCTGAGGTGTGAATTCCGTTGTAGTGTGAATCCGAATCCCCGGGGCGATATAGTGGAAGCTGATGTAGCGAGTAGGTAGCTGAGAGGAATCACTGGGCAAAAGAATCCTTTCGGGCGAGCGACTTATCTATGACCCGGTTCAGGTATGGAAGCTCTATTTAGTCATTTGATCCTAGAAGGATATGCGTTGATTTCGAAGGGAGTCGAGATCCGATTGTATCAAGAAGATGACTAAAGGCCATGACGGCCTGGTCGTTATCCCATTAGGTTAATGGATCTCCTAGGGAAAGGACTCCGAAGGCAATTCAAATTCGCTTTTTAGACTTTTATCTATGGTCACTCTTTGATTAGTGATAATTTCTAGATAGGCCTAGAGAATATGCTACAAAGGCCTCCACGGCCACTTGTTTTCCATATCAAAACCAGCCTCCGACCATTCTAGGGAAAAGGCAGCGAGCTCAGTCTCTTGATCGAATCTATTACATGTGTGAATGCTAATGTATGTCCTAAATTGATTTAATTCTTTAACTAACAAGATACCGGCTTTATCTTCGCTTATAGAGCATGTCGATTGATACAGCCACACGTATCGATCTTCTCGTGAATCAAGGATCGGGATGTCCGTAAGTCCTCTTTCTGAGGCCACTTGAGTAATAGAAAAAGTTCAAACAGGGGATAGAGGCATCGATAGTGGATCTGGCCGACCGCAGAAATCGAATCAAGTTGGGCTTTAGGCATGAGGTGGGGTCGAATGGAATTGGGGAATATCCATCCCACCAACTCGAGGGGAGAGAAGCGACTTCTCACCCAGCGCCAGTCCATGCATGTTCGAGTATCTTATGTGTATTTCAGCTGGTAGTTCAGGATCAAAGCAGCTCCCGACATATTGGGTCACGAATTGCAGAGATGGCCTTGAGATTGTGAGAGATGCATTAGACATGAATGTTGACAAAGGTCCCAGTGGGCCTTTTTCTAGTTCGGAGCCTTGCCATATCAGTTAACTTACCTCAAAATGTCCACCCTTCTCTTCACTCTCATCCTCCATCTCCTACAAGAATGCTTGCAAGGAGAGTTCTTCAATTTCCACAACCAACTTAAGTTTTCTACCCTTCACAGCGCCGTCATCCCCGTTAACAATGGCCGTCTTTCATATTGTGCAAAGTCCATTTCACAATCTTTCCAAACTGGAATTCCTTCTTGATGACTCTTCGCACGCTTCCAAGCGCGACGCAGAGTTCGATCAACCTTTGCCTGTACTATATCGATGATGATGTTGGCAGAAACGAAAATGAATCCCTGAAAACATGCTGCTCGCCTAATTTCGTCCACACGGCATCCCAAAATGCCCAATGGTGTGGGATGCCATGTACTTGAAACAAGATACATTCATTCCATTAATTAAGTCAGGCAAGAAGGCAAATAAGGATATTCGCTTAGGTGCTAATAGTTCATAAATATAATTGAATTTTTATCACGTATTGTGGTTATTCTATCATGTTATGGTGCTTCACCTTCAACGTAATAGAGAGGCAATAAAATGGTACCAATCTGAACGAAAAAAGGAGCTTCGACCAGTACCCTAGCTTATGTCAAAAAAATGATATGCGAAGACAGTTGAAATGCTAATTCCTAACATTCTGACATAGCAAAAATATAGAGTTCATGAAGGAAATTGCATTTACATAGCAAACAAGGCAAAAAAGCAACTCAGTCCAAGGGAAAGAACGAGAGCTCCGGCACTGGGTGCTCCAAAACTGCTTGATGAGCCAGAACTGCCTGATGAGCCGGAGCTTCCGGGTGATATAGAGCTGCTCGAAGAGCCCGAGGATGATGTGCTACTCGTATGAGATGGCGCTGCGCTGGTGCTTGTGTCAGATGCAGGATCTAGAATACTACCAGATCCAGACCTGAGTCCCGAGCTTGATGTTGAGCTGGAGGGGCCGTCGGTGGTGGTGGTGGCAGTTCTTGATATTGAGCTGGAGAGGCCGTCTGTGGTGGTAGCAGTTGATTCGGAGCCAGAGCCAGAGCCAGAGCCAGAGCCAGAGCCAGAACCAGAGCCAGAGCCAGAAGAGATAGAGCAGCTACTGGTTGGATCGCTGGGGTTGTAGCATGTAAAACCATCAGAACATTCAATGTATCCAGGTCCAAAGCAACTGACGCAGGTGCCACTGGAGCAATAATCAAAGCTGGAACCTGAACCTGAACTTGAATCAGAGCCAGAGCCAGAGCCAGAACCAGAGCCAGAACCAGAGCCAGAACCAGAGCCAGAACCAGAGCCAGAACCAGAGCCAGAGCCAGAAGAGATAGAGCATGTACTGGTTGGATCGCTGGGGTTGTAGCAATTAAAACCATCAGAACATTCAGTGTATCCAGGTCCAAAACAACTGACGCAGGTGGCACCAACACCGGAGCAATAGTTAGAGCCGCCAGCAGAGCCCTGACGGGCCATCAGTTGGTTGTTGGAAGTCAAGCCTTTGTACAAGGTTTTGACGTTGCTCGTCGCAGGAAAAGGTGAGCCCTGCGAAGCCAACTTCTGGTAGGTCTTCTCACCGGAAACGATCGTCACAGCGGAGAGTGCAAAGAGAAGAGAAGATTCGGTAAAACGCATTTTGGCTGTCGAATGGAGTTCGATGGAGGAAAAGTTGTTATGAAAAATTGAGGATATGAGCAAACCTGCTCGATATATACTGGCACAAAATAGACGGTTAACACGTGTGCCAAGGGAACGATAAGAAGAGGGACCGATCAGTTAATATCTCCCGGAGACAGAGGTCGTGGGACCTTGTATATAACATTTCCCTCGCTGCTTGTTTCTTTTTTATTCGCCCCTCTCGTCAATACGGGTTATCTGTCTAGCTGAAGATATACGAACCGCCAAGACGCGTAGCTGCATATTTGGACACTCGTAGTGGTTTCTGAGCCCCTAAATGAAAAAGATCATTCCATATTAAGTAAAGTCACCTCGTGTTAAGGAAGTCAAAGCTACGATCTGCGTTTTATCTGCACTGCTTCCAGTTAAGCGATCGGAGGGCACGGATAGCGGGTGTCCCGTCCCTGGGGTAAATTATTGCTCAGGTTGAGCCGCTTTGGACAACGACAGGGCGTGGTTAATTTTAAAAGTAGATCAGTAATAATACACATCATGACAGCTCCTGTCTGTTTGCAATTATACCGTACAGCAACCGAACATAGTTTTAAATGCGGGAGTAACCCAATCTAGATAAAAAGATTCTGTAATTAGGGTTTGAAAGAGCATCTCTATGTTACCGACATGGAAGGTGATCCTGGGCGGGACTATATGGGTCTTCAAAGTGTGAGAACCAAGAGGATCATCAGGGAACATTCGGATTCAGATGGGAGCCGAGTTTTCCATTCAATAGTATATGGAAAAGATCAAGACTAGGTAGATTTTTGTGACCAATAATAAGGAAGAAGTCATAGTTGTACCGTAGTAAGAAAATATGAAAATATGACTTCCAATGAAATAGGGCAGGGAGTGTCGAGAACGACTAGAGCATTGGCCACGACTGGAGAGTCGAGCACGACTGGTGGGCAACAAGACTATATAAATGGGCCCTTTCAGGCAACAGTAAAATAAACGTGAATGAATCTGACAATTTTAGACATAAAAAGGGGCAACAGAACTAGCCTGGCTGGTTTTGCCTAGGATTATATCTAAGGACAGTGAGCTGCTCCACGGCAAGGGTGATGTTGTTTCTTAAGATGTAGAGATATGCGTGGGCCTGTATAAAAATTCAAAAAAAAAGAACTAAAATAGGAAAGTATATTCAGATGAAATTAGAACCCAGGATCGCATCTACAAATGATAGGGGTTGATTGCTTGTTATCAAATTGTAGCAGCATTGGAATCTTGGCCTTAAGAGGACGAATGAGACATTGGACTCCGCACCTCCAAACTGCCGGCTTTCTCTCCTTATTCTCCTTCACTTACCTACACATATCGTTATCTCGCCATCTTCTTGCAAATAACTCATCTTTCTTTCCCATACATCCCAATACTCTACCGCTTGCCATCCGTCATGGCGGCCTCTAGCGAGTTCGCGTCTGCCATGACCACCCGGTCGCTCCGCATGGTCCGGACAGTATGCATCCAATGTTTGGTTCCTGAAAAATGTCCCAGGTACTAACCTACATAACTAGGAACTGGAATTCCTTGCCGATGCCTCTGTGATCACTCCCCAACAGCTCTCCTCCATTCTTTCACAACTTCCCGCCGATTCGGAGACACATGCTCCCAACCGGGCAGTGCAGGCATCACCATCGCCTCCCCGGCAGCTGGCGCAGCCAGTTCCCATCCAGCCAGTTCAGGCACAGCCTCCTCCAGCCCCATACACACCATCCTACTCGCCCCCTACCCAACAAATGGCAAATGCGTCCGTCCACGAAAAAGCCGCAATGCACAACCAATACGCCAGCCCGCCGCCTCAGAACCAATATGCAAGCCCACCTCCTCAAGCCCCGCCAGCCTATCCCCAAGTCCCGCCGATCCTCGGGCTCGCATCGGCCATGTACGCATACACACCTACCGATCCCGGTGACCTGGCCCTGCAGCCGCAAGACCGTATCCAGATTATTGAGCACATGAACGACGACTGTATGATATGACCCCTATATTCGATCTTGGAATGGAAACTAATTGCTCTATAGGGTGGCGTGGTCGCAATGAGCGTACTGGCCAGGAGGGTATCTTCCCCCGAAGCTATGTGAACATAGTCAACGAGAAGGGTAACCTCTCTTCGCCCCCTCCTCCGACCAACTATGGAAACATGCCCCTTGAGGTTAGCCAGAGTGGTCAGCCAGCGAACCCTGAGGATCCCAAACAGAACAAGTTTGAGCAAGGCGGCAAGAAATTCGGAAAGAAACTTGGCAATGCCGCCATCTTCGGTGCTGGTGCTACTGTCGGTTCCAACATCGTGAACAGCATTTTCTAAGTTTCAGACCCGCATATTTGCCGGGTAGTCTGCTTCATGTTTTACTCTCATTGATATGGCGTTAGTGGCTTGGCTTTTTGCTTCAGATGGTCTCACTGGGCTCATTAGACAGAGCTTGTTGGCAAGCTGATCGCTCAGGATTTCCGGATTTCCACGGAGTCCACATGGTAATTAGCCCTTCATGACATTGCCCTGGCAGGGAGCTGCATAGTTCAGTCTTGTCTCAAATCAAACATAGACCTTGGGCGTCATTTTGGGAAATTCACCTTTGCATAAGCAGTAGCAGTGTCCATTATCTGATCGTTGCCGGTATCGCTAGGTATTTCAATAGGTATCTCATTTAGCAGGCAGACGATATAGAAATTTATAGCCGCGATTTCCGCAGATCGACCACAAGCACCTCGCATGTACCCAAGCAATTTATCCTATCGACAAGGACCCCGTCAACTTAGTGTCAGCCCAGCGACCTAAATCAAAGTCCCCACAACACAAACCAGCTCAAAATGTCCAATAGCAGGCCAAACCCAATAATATTCGCACGCCAGCAAAGCACCCTTCCATAATGACCATATATGATACGCGCCAGAGCCAAAAGAACCGCTCCAGACCCGCAGTCCGTGCTATAGCGCAATGCGGGCCGCATTTAGTGCAGCGACAACACCGACAAGCTGGGTACAGTCGCCCAGCGCAGCGCTTACACATATGCACTATGTACCTTAGCGGTTTCAGAGTCACAGTGTAGAGCCATACTCTGAATATTATTAGCTGCATTCTTGCCATGGGGGCGTTTGCATACGCTTGTGGCTCTGGGGCTATACTAGGCCCCCAAGGGAGGATCGGCGAGTGGGAAATGGATTTTGGATGTCTTAAAGAGGGCTTGGGTCGGCACGGTTGTTCGAGAGTTTTGTGTGTGTGTTTATCACGAATTGTTGGGTTATGATGCTTTCTATGCTGTTTCTTTTATTTTTGTTTGTGCCTTTTGTTGCGGCTGATGATTGGGATGATTTTACGAATAATCTTGCTACGGATTTGGTATGTTGAAGTGTCGAGACAGGGATTTGGATTGGGTATATATGCTAACGTTTGAGCAAGGCACCGTTGATTACTCTATTTGGTGAACGACTTACGAAACAATTCCTTTCCGAGTCGATTAGTACATTGGACAATGTCATCTTCGCCCTTTCGCCGCTGGGGGTCTTGACTGCCGTGGTATCAGTGATCAGGATCTGCGGTAGCTCATCTCTTCGAGCGTTTGTGGGACGAGCACAGGAAGGTCCCGCTGAAGCAGAATGTGAACTCCTCCCCTGCGTCTCGGAGTCGACCTCGGAGCTCTTCAACGATGGCGGAATCACACGAGTCTTTGGCCGGCCTAAGATCGTGGAGATAGTCGTTTGGGAAGACGGTGACCCTAAGCTTGGAGAGAAAACGACGAAGGTTGGCAATTTGAAGGAAGCTCTCGTGGAGAAGACTTGGACTTGCGGAGGCAACCTTTCACCTAATCTGCTTCCTGAGCTAGATATACCGAATCTGTCGTTGAATAAGGGCATCAAGAGGAGAGACCAGTTTTGGTTTTATTGCGCTGCTGTTCTTGGGACTGCATTGCAGTTAGGTTGGTGATCTATTGTTTGAACCTAATTTTGGAAATGGATTAACCTAATATACTATAGGGTCCATTATGTTTGCTGCACTCACGGTATTCATGTGGCCGGAAACCTTCCAGAAGGATGATAAACCGGTAGCATCATATGCATTCCCATTCTATGTTATCGGGTCAACACTTTTATTCATTGGGATGTTCTTCTGCGCCTTTATTATGAAGCGATCATCAAAGGAATACTACTTGCAACCCCAAAAGACAAGCAAAATATACTGGCTACAGCCTGGAAAACAGAATGCAGACGATCAAGTCTTCCAGGCGTTTCTCACGACCAAAGAATACGGAGGGCCCTCTGCGACCGAGAACCTTTCTTATATCAAGTCTGTCAGGGACTACAGGTTCCGCAGGAAATATCTCCAAATATACTCAACTCTAGCATCGACGCTTCTAGGGTTTATATTCCAGTTCGTTGGACTGAGAGGTCTCCACGCCTCCGTGATCTTAGCCCAGCTAGGATCGACGTTCTTGATGGCCATTGTACGAACGATTCTCCGGACGGAGAGAATGGCACCAGAAGAGAACGAATTCCGAGACGAACAGAAACTCTTATCGTCCACACAACAGGAGCTGGATTGTTTTGCATTTCATCTTGAAAATGTTGACTCGTTCCATTTGCGCTTGCCTCCAGACAGACCGACAACCCTATCATCTCCCGGATACATCTCCCATCCAAGTTTGTGCCTAGCAAAACATTTGATTCATACAAGAGCTAGACTGGCCGAGCTCACGTCTAGCTCGAACCAGGAACTGACTGTTGCTTGGGATGATATGCCTATCCGCCAGGTCGCTCAGAATCTCGCAAGGGCAATCGAAATGACAATGGATTTGATGACTACGAGTTGGGAAATCGATCTAGGGAAGACGTTCATTTTCAACCTTTTCGCAGAATGCAGAACATCATCGCAGAGTTCTGACTCTGTGATCGAGTCATATTGCATGATTCTACTTCGAGGCAGCGATACACTGCGATGGAAGATTGATGTAAATGAACTTGAAGCCATTCTGGGGCTGTGGGTTTGGTCAATACAAAAGGCAAATGACAACACCCCTGACTTCAAACTTCACCGTCTGGTCGGACTTGGAAAGGATGATGCACAGAAAGAAGAAACAGATCTTTACTTCCAGAAGTGGATATTTCGTCAGACGGAGGCTACGATGGTTAACTCCGGGATGATGGACTTTTCATCTCAACTGTTCGGGTTTGCGTCCAATAAGCATAGCTATGATATGGATGCTCTCGCAGTTAGAGTAGACAGCAATCTGGAGATGATGGCCGCACAAGACATCTATATCCAATTTATGGGACAAGTCTTTGGTCATTTCAAAGAGCTTGGTGGGGATGTTGATATCGTCCCTGGACCTAACTCCTCGTTCCTGGCTCAAAACAGTCGAATCAACGAGTTAGTACAGTGTATTGAGACCTGCGATTTGGGCACACGCGAAGAAGCATTGCTCTGCATTGTTCCAACTTTGAATAGTCGCGGTCTTCTACCAGAACTTTCCGGGGATTCGATCAATGTTCGAAAGCGTACAATAGAATACATCGCCAGTGGAAAGTGGAAAGATGCTTTGAACTTAGTGACCTGGCTTTGCCAAAGATCAAATTCGCATGAGTTTGAGCGGTCTGTTTACGAGCTTGGATACCTTTGTTGCCAGGCTATACTCGAAGGAGACGACAATGGCCGCCATGAAGGCTCCAAACATATGTGTGAGCTTTTACAATCTGACTTGAGGGCTCGTTTCTTCCAGTCTAAAGGAGCTAAGCGTCCCGTTGGCTGGATAAACTCCTCAAACCACAAGGAGTGGTGGAAGTCATTTTCCAAACAGCTTGGGTGGATTGCATGGCATGCGTGCAGAAATTTATCAGCCTCAAACTGGATGCAGCCATATTTCGAGGCTTTGGGTGCGTCTGAGCACTTATCTCCTTCTTGTGGAGCTGGCATACAGGATAGCGATACAGAAAAAGGCATTCGCACTTTGCAACAATGGTTAACTTATCCCACCATGGAGATTGAGATTGATCGGGATGTTCCTGGATACGACGATGAGCTGGCGTTTAAATGGGCTCTCTCTAACCAAAATCATGCTCTTCTGTACTGGTTCTTGGTTAAATGGACAGAAATGAGCAAGGATCTCCCATCTCTGGCTCACGCTGCATATTTGTTCGCCGCAAAGAACCATTCTGAATGGGCGATTCAAGTTCTCCGTCGACGTGGTGCCGACATCGAAGCAGAGAACTTCGAGCACCACTCGGTCATGATAAAACTCGTTCTTGATCAGGACTTAACAGGTATTCAAACGATGTTGGCAAATGGAGCTTCTATCAATGGGAAGTCCAAAACAGACAAGATGGGACCTTTAGAGGTCGCTGCTGAACAAGGGCATAATGACACCATCAGCCTTCTCCTGGACCATGGAGCAGAGATTGACTGCTCGAGGAAGGGAAAGTACTCAGCACTATGGTGGGCGACTGTTGAGCAAAGACTCGAGACAGTTAGCCTTCTTCTTGGGCGTGGCGCCGACATCAATACGATCGGTCTGGGGTACATGTCGCCGCTTTACTCCGCAGTCCTCAACCAGCATGTCCAGATGGTCGACTTACTTATACAACATGGAGCAAAGTTGAATACCCAGAATGATCAAGGCCAAACCCCTGTGATGTTAGCATCAACTGAGCCGTCGATCGAGATTGTTCGCCTGTTATTAGGGGCAGGGGCTGATACAAAGCTTCAAGACTATGGCGGACGCACTGCTTTGGATTTAGCTCGTATTCATGGTTGTACGGAGGCTATCGTTCTTTTAGAAGCAGCGATGCAAAGCTAGATCCTCATTGTATAGTTATGTTTTTCGTCTACCTCACGTTAACAGTTCAGTACGTGACCTCCACGGGATTTGGTAGACATAAATGTTCTCATACTATATGTAGCTTTGCATGCAGGTACCCTGTACAATATGTTTACATGCATATTATACGTTAATTCACACCGCGAGGGATTTTAGAGAATATCATTTCCATCAGTGTTACTATTCTTAACTCATGCCAACGTTCCTGACATGATTGGAGCAAAATTAGCGTTAAAGTGGCATTTTCGAAAGGGGCATTAGCGAAAACGGCCATAAAGGTTGTGCAGTTCAGTAGTGATAGATGTGGCCAATGGTGATCGCTACCTGCGTTTTACTTTGGTGGACCCTCCCTCAAGTCGCGCAAGTGCAACCAACGCCTAAGCGCCCGGATGGGATAATCGTGCAGTAGTCAATTGTGATTCGGGAGCAGCTGATCGACAGCCAATGTGAGAGGCCTTTCACTCAGCTGACTACTTGGCTAATCAGTCCAAGCCCGTTTAGCTCCAATAATAGCCAAGGAGCTCTTGGTGCGGAGGAGCATGATTTCTTTAAAAAGGAGGATGGTCCATAACCCCCTCGTTTTGCAAATTTCTTCTTGTCTACTCCAAATCCACCTCTAGGCAAGCGCTCACACATTGTCTACTGATTCGACAAGACAATTTGCATTGCCTAGTTTGAGACACCAATTGTTGGTTGGCTTGCCCTACCCCGCAGCATCTGTGGCCAATACCGTGAGTGTTTTCAGCTGCAACTGGAATTGAAGCTATTCTTACCGGGGAAAGTATTCGTGTTAGCAGACCCAGGCGTTCTTCTACTTGGAATAGTCGGCCTTCACCTCAGTCACTATGTCGCAACCAAACCAATTTGCTCCTCCCCCAATGTCGGGTAGGTCGATCTATACAATTTGCAATTCAATTCCCAGCACTAACTTCTTTGAATCTATAGCCCCGGCACATGTGACAAGTAAGTTTCCGTCTCTAGCTAATGGCCCCAAGTACTCATGATCTCAGCATTCCAACAGTCTCAACAACAACACCCCGGTTACGCACCCCCAAACTTCAGCTATCCGCCACCGCCAAAACAAGGAACTCCTTCAAATGGAGGATATCCACTCCCGCCATCTTCTATTAGTCCACCTAGCACAAGTCCGCCACTGGTCCAAACGGGAATTTCGCAAACATATCCTCCCCCTCCCTCAGGTACCCCACCCGCATTCAGCCCACCACATAGTGACTTCCCTAATCAAAATGGGTTGGGCCGACTTTCGATATCATCTCAATCCCACCCAAGGGGGATGACGGAAAAGGTCCCGGGAGGCGCACCTCCGCCTGGGGAGTTCATGGGAGCTAAAGCAACCTACGAGGACGACGTTGGAACCTTCAACGGAGGCAGTTACAGAATCAGCCACCGGGATTCCAACTCTCTTTTGACATTACAGCTCGCCATGGGTTGTCCTCTTACTGCAAGACCAGGTAAGAACAAGCCCGATAGTGAAGTGGATGCGACACAGACGTGTTGAGCTCGTTAGCCTACATGTATTGACACCTTCTGACGCTGTACAGGTGTGATGATTGCCATGTCCACTACCATGACACTGAGGGGATCTATCTCAATTGGGTGGAAAAAGCTAATTGCAGGTGGTGAGATGTCCATGTCGAAGTACACTGGACCGGGCGAGCTTCTCCTTGCTCCCTCTGTACTTGGTGACCTCATTGTCCTTCGGTTGGACGGCACGACAAAGTGGAAGATTGGTAGAGATGCTTTTGTCGCTTGTACCAGTGGTGTTGATCATGAGTATAAAGCCCAAAGTCTCTCAAAGGCTATCTTCTCCGGTGAAGGGCTTTTCATCTACAAGATTGAGGGAACCGGTCTTCTTTGGCTGCAGAGTTTCGGGGCCATCATCAAAAAGGATGTATGTATAGACTATTTCCCGACAAACTGGGTCCTCTTGCTAATGTGTCTCGGTGTTCAGCTTGTGGAAGGAGAGAAATACTACATCGACAATGGTCACCTTGTTGCATGGAACTGTAATTATAAGATCGAGCGTGTCGCTTCTGGTGGTATCATCTCCGGTTATGGTTCTGGTGAGGGTCTTGCCTGCAAGTTTGAAGGACCTGGAACTGTTTATCTCCAAACAAGAAACTTGAACGCCTTTGCTACCCAGATGAAGATCAGTACCGCCAGTGGCTGATCGTGGCGTATGGCGTGCCTTTCAGATTGGAATCTGGCATTATGACTTTGTTGTTATCAATGCATCAAGCGCAACTACCATTGTACCATCGCGAGCAGGTCTCCATGTTATACCAATTTGTTCAAGTAGGAGGCAGATGCGATTGCTATATATACTATTTCATTCCATGAAAACTTTTCCTTCTGTTGTGGTGTCTCTATCTTCCAACGCTCCTGGTATAAGTAATAATGCTAATGCCCCAGCTGCGTCGTGGTTTAATGAAACTCCGCTCGCCGTATACCACCGACTGGAATGCATAGCTACCTTGCAGATTAGATCTTATTTGTGCCTATTACAAGTAGAACATTCCGACTATGTTCCGTAGCAAATCATATAGTCTTTCTCTCTCTTTGTTCTATCAATCATAAATAGGCAGTGTTAACCCCACTACCATACACTCTTTCCCATCTCCATAATTTCCCGGCTGTCTTCTCTGACTTATATAAGCCTGAAGAGTCGCTGCAATTATATATTTAATCGTGGTATTACTAGCATGAAGATGTGTACTCAACCAGGAAACCCTCACATCATTTCTCACCATCTACATCAAGCTCGGAGATACTCTTCATCTTCACTCCTGGGATACCTGCGCCGCCGGAGCATGCGCCATCTACTGTATAGAACAAACCCGGCGGCTCTACATATGTGCCAACTCGAATCTGGCTTTGCACAAAGTTATAGTACTTACTTCCTACCCCAGGAACTGATTTGGTGAGTATACCAACGATGCTAGCCTGGACAACACATGTTCCAAATAGCCTACAAGGGCATGAACAGCGCGATTGCTGCGAACGGGTACGACCTTGCTATTGGGATGATTAAGGAGGCGCAATCCAAGATCTTTCTCATCATCGAATTTTGACATTATCATTGCAATTGACGGCAGCTCATTTAGTTAGAACTTTTATCCGCAAAGTATCGAAAATCATATGCGATGCCAAACAGTCAGTGGAGAAAATATGTAGTGATATCAGTCCATTCATTTTAAACCTTTTCTATCCTTGAAATCGTTTCCTCATCTCAAACCCCAGCGGCAAAGATCCAGTGCCGGAGCTCTGTTCTCTTCCGTTAAGGTACTAGTAAGTGACACGCATAAAGAATAGATAATAACAAATCCTTCCTCCGCGAAATGCCCGAAAGCTCCATGAGTCGTTTAACCCACACGCTTTCTGCGGCCAATCTGGGAACGGAAACCGGCCTTGATAGCGGCGACGGAACGGCGAGATCCACAGGAGTTGCAAGTGACGAAGTACAGACGGTTCTCACCCTTGCTGAGCTCGGTGTCGGGGCTGCGGCAGGTCTTGCAGGTAACGTATTCAACTATGTAGATGTTAGCACGGGATCGTAGATGTGACTTGGAGCCGGGAAACATACCAATGTAACGACGGAGAACAGACTCGATACCCTTCTGTTGGAATCGACCCTTAATGACGAGACGACGGCTACCGTCGACACTACCGCTTGTACCCAATTCGGCGAACAGGAACTGCGTGACGTGGTCTTCGGAACGCTTCATACGCTTGCAAATCTCGGCGATGTTGGCGAAGACGGTACGACGGTTTCCTTCACGCAGACACTGGGGAGGAGGAATCTTGTAGGACTTGGAGCCGCTGGACAGGAGGTCGGGGTGGTGGCTCTCGATGAGGGAGAAGAAGCGCGAAATGAGGAGCGAGTAGGGGATGGCTTGTGTTGCGTCATGTTGCCAGATGCCAGTGCCGGCCTCACGGTCACCCTCGGGGATTTCCTCGGGCTGTTCCTCACCAGCATCCTCTGTGATACCGGCCTCGGCGAGCTTGGCCTCGAAGTCATCGGGGTCGACCTTGGACTTGGACTTGGAGGAGCTCTTCTTCTTTTTCTTCATGGTGGACGGGTCGAACTCGCCCTCGGCCGCGGGGGCCTCTCCGTCCTCACCATCGGCGGTCTTGGACTTCTTCGTCTTCTTCTTTTTGAGAGACCCTTGAACATGTCGGTCACCTCGTCGACTTCCTTGTCTGCATTGTGTTGTATGTTAGTGGGGTGTGAACCAAGGCAACTGGAATCCAGATCGGGGAGTTGCTGCGTACCGGCTGGCTTCTCGGCCGGAGGAGCGTCCGTGACTTGACCGTTGGTATCCATGATGACCGATCCTTCGCTGAATGCGACCGACTTGCGTTGCTTAGTTTCGATTTCCTGGCGGAGCAAGAAGCGGTGTTAGTTCTGTGAAAAATGTAGAGAAATGAGGAAGAGTCTGCTCTGGATTTTTCAAGCAAAAAATACCAGACTGGATCTCTAGGCGCAAAGGGGTGGGTTCTCTGAACGGTGACGGAGGGGTCGATATTGTGCAGACTCAAAGAAAATGTGGGAGGGTCGGCAAAAAGACAAAAGAAAGTGTGACTTACGGCGTCCGCCATACTTTTGGGCCTCAAAGATTCAATTCACTCCACCACACACTGTAGAGGAACTTGAGGATTGGATATTCGAATAGCTTGAGGTTCTATAGAGGCAAACTCGCTGAAATTGATACTGAGGCGATGCGTTATCAGACACGTGACTATGAGTCAGGTCACGTGCAATCGGAGGTCAACAGTCCAGTAAGGCACCGCCGGTCGTCTCATTTACACAGCAGTAGGCAGGCCGCTGCTTGATCAGTCTTCCTTTCCTTTTCCCTTTCAGATCTAATATCAGAATACGCTCCGATGTCGTCACCTTCTCCAGCTGGATCGAATCCCTCGTTCTCGATGTCCGCATACATGGTCCCCTCCAGACAGAACTCATACTCCGAGTCGGACGATGAGATTGCCTCTCTTCCTTCCGAGTCTACAACCGACTCCGACCTCGACACCCTATCCGATGACTTCTCCGATGCCGAGGCAGAATGGCAAGAAAGTATTGAGCAACTGGAGCTGCTTCTGAGCATGGTCCTGGTACCTTTTATCGGGAAATACCTAGGGCGACGATGCGCATATTGGAGTACGTGGAACTGAACGGCAATACTGGTCTTGTAGCAGCTCATACTGACTGATTGACTTCTAGGTTGGACGCGATTTATGCAGTGGAAATACCCGGTTGAGGTGGTAATAAAGAACCCAGCTGCCTTCAAGGCAGCGGGTGTCATCGAGGCGGCTGCCACTCTATGATCTCCATCATACCAATAATTTCACCTTCAACCTTTGCATCTTGCTGCTTTGCTGCGGCATATTCGACCCTCAGCTTCCAGCGTTCAACCTCCTTTCCAAAACCGACCCGGCTTATTTTCGTGGACCCTGCAACATACCAACAAACAGAACGGCCGGCATAGAATTCCTTCTGTCCCGCAACAAATGTCAACTCCCATATGGATCTCAAGTAGTTTTACACAGCGTGGAAATGAATTCCAGGACTACATCTAGGATCATTCAATGGTGGGATACATAGACGGGCCATGTCCATATCTTGAATATCTCAAGAATTTGGAAGTCGTCCATCCGATCATGTGTCTGATCTCCTGTCATCTAAGGCTACTTTATACCCAATCAATTCAACGCTCATCGAAATAAATTCACTTTATCCGTCTCCCGTAGAAGCATTGCGCGAGGATGGAATTCGATTCCAAATTACTCTATGCGGTCTACCCACCGCAAAAATGACACAGCGGAATCAATCATATCCACAGTAGTTTGCCGCACGCTGAGTATCGCGCATAGCCAAGTGTCCACTTCACGGCAAGCCTGGTAAGTGGGCAGAGTGAAGAAACCCGGTGCGGAACCACCTCTATATGACTGCAGTAGAGGGATAGATGGGGCTCATGTTATGATAGAAAGTTGCTGAACTAAAGGGGACTCATATGATTGGAGTGTGATCGCCATGTCGATTTAATGGAACTATATCATGGAATCATAGAACCAGTCCTCGTGCCTCCCATAAACTGACAGGGCTTGATGCTTGCTATGCATGAACTCAGCCACAAGGCCAATATTTTTTTTATTTTCGAGTACATGCAGGGTTAATACAATTTGTTCTGCCGCCAAAAGCCAAATAAAGCCGGGCCTTGATCTCGGTCCAATGTGCGCGAAGTCGGGACGTGCGATTGTGGAATGTTGTACCCAGTCAACCAGGGCAAAAATCGGTTTTGATCAAAATCTCTATCATTTTGAGGCAGCTCATCTCGATGGTTGACTCCTAAGAGTCCTGTGCCAACCCTGTCCTGCTTGATGTTTTGAGCGAGGGGTGGATGAGGTATTTGATCTGTCTTCACAACTTGAACAGGGATCGCACTGCTCCTACGTTGCGCTGATTTGGGAGAACCAAGTAAATCAACAGGTTCATTGAATCTTGATGAGCCGAAGAGGATGGGCAGCTCGAGTTCATCCGGGACAAATTCTTGTCCTGCAGCTTCAGGGTGGAGGATGGAGTAGTAAGCGGCGTCCAGTGTTTCATAGAACAAGTCGTCATCTGTGACGCAGTACAATTTATCCAGATCAAAAACAGGCGCATTCGTTGACAAGCCATCCTGTGAAAACGTACAGAGATGCTCATTTGTTAACTCAAGAGCCAGAGGCAGGCTTAGGCGGTTTTCCATCAAGACATCCGAGGTTTTGCGGTCGTCGATAGCCTGCAACGAAAAGTCAAGGGCATATTGCTCTTGTGTTTGATGTTGGTCAGTCTTCTTCTCTTCGAGAACTGAGTGTCGCAGTTCAAATGAATCACTATGCACTCCACAGGAAGGTTCAGGTGCGTCTCTTGGATTTGGATACGCCTGAAGCCTCTCGTTGGTATCAGCACAAACAAACCCCAGTTGGGGTGGTGTAATAATTTTAGGAAATGAATGTAATGCTTGTTCCACAGAGCCTTCGTCCCTTGATTTGGGTCTGGGCGACGATTGTTGCTTGTTGTCAGTCTCTGTCGACCAAGATGCTTTTCGCTCTTCCAAAAGCACCCAAAGCTCAGAGAGGCTCCAATGTCTGAACGTTGCGAGTTTATCAGAGGCAACACCAGAGATAGTTTTTGGGTCCAAGTCAGTATGCAGAAGTTTGAGCAGGTATTGTTGCAGAGGAAGGTCATTGAGGGTATCGTGGGCTTTGCTTTCGGGCCAGGGATACGGAGGAGAGGACGAGTTCTCGGACACCTCACCTTTTCCGAGTCGAATGCTTGGAGAGGCGCATAAAGAGTGCTTGGAGCCCAGTGGGATCTTGTTTGGGGATGCAACGGCAAACGAGGACAGTGAGGTGGGAGAGACGTCGACTTGTTCCCTTAAGCCGAGAAATGATTTGCTGGCCTGTACCAAAGCATTCTTCGATACATCCTTTGAATGTGAATATAACAACGTATTCAATTGACTCCGTTTCGCATGTTGCACACACGGAGTATGTTCAGGGGCCTCTAGCGTTGGCTCCGGGCTGATGTTTTTTCTCCGTGATAAAAAGTTCATTTCGGAAAAAGCCAAGTCAGACTCTGCTGCGTTCCTCTTAGGGCTCTTCCTGTGAACATCTCTCGAGATATCAATCGAAGGTCGGTTTGTGGGGTGTTCAGCCGCTGAAGACGTCTTTCCCTTGTTGAAGATGCCCAAATTGGCTTGATTGGGAATCTGGTTTAGAACAGGTCAGATCTAATCAAACTAGACAGACTGCAAGTTTGTACACACCGTCAATCTATTTCCAGTGACATTGACAGCCTGGAAATCGTTCAACGTATGCTTTCTGCCACGTCCATTCTTGGCCCTGCCTTTGCAAGCGTGTGGTCGAGACCCTGCAGCTGATGGCGCTTTGTACTCGTAATGGTCATCGCGGGTCTTGTGTCTGGGCTGTCGCTCATAGTTATGCCGTGCTCTCTTGCTGCGACCTTCGTCTCGTGTGGGACTTTGTGGGGTAGGGGATGTTCTGGATTGATCAAGATGACCAACACTCCGTTTTTTGCCTGTCGAACGACGAATCCCACGCAAGGCTCCGGGTGATTCCAGTGGTATTAGAGGAATGCCAGTCATTACTGCCGCGCCTGCCCCCTGCTGTTTCTTCTCTGGTGTTTTGTTAGTGAGTGCTTCACTATTTGAACGAAATCGGTCACCAGCTGTATTCCGATGGCCACGTCGATCCTGTTCTTGCACTGTAGAAAGCCACTGATAAATTGGCCCTCGATCTTCCTCCATGGAGGCGGTGTTCGCTATTGGAATGGGTCTTGGGCATTCGAAAAAAAAAGATTGGAAGTATGAAGTTGGTAGTTGGCATAGAGTAGGGAGGGTCACCGCCGAAGAAAGCACGACCCAAAAGATATCCCTCTCATCCTCCCACCTCCATAATCCAATGTCCATCTTCCATCATTCATAGCTCAGCCATCGTTCCATTTTCATGTGAAGAGCTGGGCTATGCCTGAGGCACCCCAACTCGGCCGTGATGTCCTAGGGCTCAAGGCCACCAGTCCAAACACAGCTGCAGACAGTCTATAGACTTCCATGTGCCGATCGCCATATGTCGGAAGTCTTCCGACATTTACGGTCCAAGCCGCATGTGGGCCCACAGGGCACTGCCCCTCTGACCGGATGCACATACACGACTTCCACGATGATCATAGCCAAAGCTGACAGGGCCAGACCCATGTACTCAATACATGTGGCCAGATCATCAGCCCGTTGCAGTAGGGTCCTGAATAAGAAGGAAATATTGAATAAGCATGCATATGGGCCAATGATGCACCTGCGAGGTACTGGAGACCTGCCAAAATATTATGGTGCACGGAGACCCCGCGCAGCCCGAGCTGGATACCTTGGCACATGGGGCGGCTTATCTCTCGTTTTGTGCGAGATGTTTAAGATGTACGAGGCTTGAACAGAATTCAGTGGTTGTCGATCCGGTCCTACAGAACCCAACCCTTTGTCCACGACCAGTAGAGTGGAATGAGGGGAAGTCAAAGTTCACATCAGCCGTTTCCTTTTAGTGCGTCAATCCTTTAGTGAAACGGAGCCTCGGGAATCCTCTGATTGACTGGTTGACTGCACACTTCGAAGACAGCCCGACGGGACCCGCAAATCAATCAGCTGAAGGTTCAAGCCAGCGGGACTAGCAGCATGTTGGTGGGGGGAGTTATCTTTGTAGCATCCCCCCACTTTGACTTCTCTTCCCGTTGGCTAGAGTTGGACTTTCTCCCGATGGGAAAGCTCATAGGAAAGACACAGTAAGCAGCATATTGCGCAGTGCACACTCGCCATTGGTGTCCGGCCCGTGCAAAATTCCCAGAGTTGTGGGAGCCCTAACGCAGTGTGATTGTTACACGGGACTGCTGACTCGCCTGACAACCACTAGGATCTCCCTGTCAATTCACTACCCCGACGACTTCTGATTTTGACCACGACCTCTCGTGAATCATCTCTGCTTTTCACCTTTCATCTTTGCCTTTGGACTGATACTGTCCAAGCGTGACTTCTGATCCATATTCCATAAAAAAGCACCATCATGTCTAAGCTCTTCATTCAGTACGTGTACTTTGTCACAAGAGCCAGCATGTGCTCGCCATAGCAAGTCTAACAGTTATTCAGCGGCCTTTCCTGGCACACAAACGATGAGGCTCTGCGAGAAGGATTTCAGCAATTCGGGGAGATCCAAGAGGCTGTGAGTTCTAATTTGCTCCGCTCGTCCGCCATAAGTTTCAACTGACCCCGCCGCCTACAGATCGTCGTGAAAGACCGCGCGACTTTGCGCAGTCGTGGATTTGGCTTTGTTCGATTTGCCAATGAGGCTGATGCAGAGGCCGCAATGAATGCGATGAACAATCAGGAGTAAGACTATGATTCCATCTCATTTTTACTACAAGCGCAGAGTTTTGACGGTTAATAGATTCGATGGACGTACTATTCGTGTTGACAAAGCCTTTGACCGACCCCAACGCCCCGAAGGTGGCTTCCAGGGTCGTGGTGGATATAATTCGCAACCTCCATCTGGATACCAGGGCGGTGGTGGCTACAATGCTGGCGGGTACAACAACGGGGGCGGCTATAACGGGGGCGGGTACAACCGTGGTTACAACAACAACAACAACAACAGCAACAATTACCCCCAAGTGGTCCTGCCGGATACGGCGCTGGCGGCCACGGTGGCTACGGTACGGTTTACAGATTTTTCCATCGTTACGTTGTTTCCTGACAATTCTTCATAGGCGGCGGCCCCAACACTGGATATGGCGGCGGCGGTGGTGAGCAATAATTTCCTCACGGATCGTTGCAACATCGGGGTGACTGACTTGTCAAGGGTGGCGCAACAACAACATGGAGCAAGCACCCCAAGACGGCCATCACACTCAGTAGATGGTCAGCTTTTCATTTGACTTAGCTCTTCATCCGCGGTACCTCCTAAAATAAGGCACAAATTACAACGGCTCAAGCGCGATGCACCTTGGACTTCGAACTTAAGGGTGTCCATTTTTGTTTGCTTTTTCTCTTTCCCGCTCTTGGCATGCAATGGGAGGAAATACGGGATTCTAGCTCGCTTGAGCAATCTTTGTGCATCTATATGGTTACTCCATGTTTATAAGTCCATGATCTTTGTGGTCATTTCCTCGTTTCACAGAATGAGTCTAGTGTGGTTCTACGTTTGCCAGTTCATTTGTTTCATGGCAGATTCTTTTCTCCGACAAAACCGACAGAGAGCATGATCAGTGAGTTCGCCGATATTGAACATAATTTTAATCTACCTAGCGAGAGTATCCAGGCAATAGGGTCTTCTTGAAGCAAGCCATCTCGTCTATGTTCTTCCATCTGCCGGCTACTCTATGCAAAACCAACGTGTCAACCAACAATCTATATAACGCTGACCTCATTCAATTGTCGACCGACCATCCGCCTCAGCAGGCGCCTCAGCCGCCCCCTCCAGCGACTTGGTAACCTCAAGCTCAGCCGCCTTCTCCTCAGCCTCACCCAGCCCCTCAGCCTCAATCGCCTTAACCCGCCGCACCAAATCCGTGACATGAACATCAGCAGTACCCAGCCCAAGCCCCTCAAGCGCCTTCTCCAGTAGATACAAATACTCAGTATTCTTCCCACTAAGACCATGACCAGCACTAATAACCTGCGCCACATCCTGCGGCTCCCGCCGAGCAGCCTCGCGCAGGAATTGCGGATTAGACGGCTGGCCAATGTAGACCATACAGATAATCGGCGATGAGCTGGTCGCGCCTTCGACGTCGATGGTTGGGTGGAACGGCGTGTAGTGCGCACTGTAGCCGTCAATCTCCCGATCGTCTAGGTAGTCGTGGACTTCCTCGGCGTGTGAAGCTGGGATGTGGTATGCTGCACCCCAGACTTTACCTGTAGATGCTGATTCAGACTCCTGGCGTGCGAGCTGTTCGGAGAGTCAGTTAGGATATTTTTATATACGGTAAGTGGAATCTTCGGACTGACCGGGTCGTCTAATGTCTCCCAGAACGTTCTTTCGATCACAGTGACTACTCGACCTGGTGTCTCTGGGGTGCCGCGGTGGTCGGTACTTTTTTTCGCATTAGCCTTATAGCCTGGGTTCACGGGTATTAAATGCCCGAATATGACCATTTTACATACCTAGCCTGAATTCCATGGTTAGAATGCCATACTGTTAGTCTATTCCATATAATATCATATCCCTCGAGCAATGCATGGGTAACACACCTGCCAAAACCGCCGTACATAGCCACTGATATACCCAGGAACACGTTGGTCTGCAAAATAAGATCAAGGATTAATTCTCCGACCCGAAGCCATCAAACATTAAGCCCTCTTTCCAATCCTCAGATGGGAAAAAATGCCGGATAGCAGTTTGACATACCAAAATGTGGTGGCGGCTTCCAGATTAAGCTCCTATACATAAATGATGAGCACTTGTCAAGACGTCAGATTTAATTGTGAGTCGAAACTCACCCGTAACCGAATACCCAGAGATCACCTTTGGGAAAATGACTTTTCCATGTCCGACCGTCTGGGTGGACTTGATGTCCTTGTGCGGTTGCTGCCATGTTACGACGATGTCTGCACTGAATCTGTTTGGGGAGTTGGTTAACTGAAGCTGCTGTTGTGGGTCTGCCCCGCGTCGGACAGAATTGAAAGATGCAAGCGGCGGCCTTTCTCAAGGTTTAGAATGTTGGATAGACGAAAGAGGCAAGTAGTCCGAGTAGCAGATGTTGCCACAGGGGGAGATGTTTGTATATATTGGCGTCGGGGTGAAATTCGCTATTGCCATACAAAATGGTGCATGTTTGCAATGTTTGTTTCGTATTCCACCATGTGTATGCTACCCTTCGCATCCAGGATCAATGGCAGATTTAAAAAGATACAATTTAGCTGCCCGTACCTAACTCTAGATTATCGTATGATACAATCTCACCTTTGGGTAGAGTTAGTGCTAACTTTGTATGTTCCCATTATGCTTGGATTTCTATCAAAACCATGCGAAGGATCTGCAGTGACATGCCGAAGACCTAAAGAACACAACGAACTAGTCTATTGTGCTAAAAGTCTCTTTTGTAAAACACAATCAATACATATGATCTTCTATCAGACAAGCTATCACGAACTCTCCGGTCTGTTCGCCACCGCTTTCTTGTCACTGTTAGGCTTCAGCCGTGGTGGTGATGCAGAGGAGGTATCTAGGACTAGTGTAGTTACCTGCACGACCAGTCTACTCGGAGCTAGGACTTAAGAAAAATTGAAGGTGACTTAATGATGCTCAGTGAAATACAATTACGACGCCGGGCATAATTAGGGTTAGAGCTGTCCGAATAGCAAGAAATTGGGGTCCATTTAGGATCGCCCAGTGTTCATAAAGCTGTTAGTTACTTCTAAGACAATACAAGTCTACAAATATTCCAGTTTCTAGGACTTCGGTTTTTTGGGTTCTCGACGATGATGTGTGACTGGTGTTCCCCGATAGTGCTACCTAGGTCTATATTCACATTGAAAAGGAAGCATTTCCTCCCTTTCAGTATGACACGAGATAGCCGTGCGGCTATTCACTTTACGCACGTTCACTATACTTCGCCTCAATCGATTTAACGTTGCTTAAAAATGTTTCTCTTGCCTCTTCCTTTGGCATTCCCTTCTTTGAATTCCATATGTCCCAGCGAGCCCTTCCCTGTAGTTAGTAGATCGATGTTAGTCAAAATTGTACTATAACTGTGCTAAGAATAGAAGGTAGATATGAGGTAGTACCTGGACATCCTGGTCTCTAGGCTGAGGTGTTGCGTTGTCACCATTCATTGCCTGTTTGTATAGCACTTGGTTCTACAAATCCAGTTATCATTCAATACTGCTCTTGGAAATATCGGAAATGCAACGAGACACAAATTACCTCCCAAATTTCCTCCTGTGTTAGGTTGTTTTCCAGAGACTCAAAAGTCCTATAGGCTTTCAACATTTCCTTGTCCAGGTGCATTGCGGCGGTATGTGTGACGTTATGCTGTCAAGAGGTGGGTGAAAAAGATTTCGATGTGACTTGGGCGGCTATTAAATACATGTAATGTACTGAAAAGTGTGAAACTACCCCACAGCCGAAACAGCAGATGCGGGATCCAGCACCCTACAATGGGCCAAAGCTATTGAGAAGGTCCACCCCGTGGACTCCCGAGGTGTGCTTATAGAATGCTTATATAACAACCCAAACGATCAGCACAATCCACACCACGAGAAAGGTATCTTGCCTACCACAACCAAAATGCCACAGATCAGAGTAAAAAGCAAGGTATTTCCTTTGTCAAATTTGAGTTGAGTGAGGGCGCGAAAGTATTGACCGTCGTCTTTAGGCTGAGGACCTTGCCCGAGTGCGAAACAATCAACGGAATTGCCGCGCGCGCCAGAAGGAGTACGTTCGTGACCTGGAACAAAAAGTGCAGTTCTACGAGACCGTGCAGAACACTCAAATTGATGACTTGCGAAAGAAGATGGAGCTCCTCTCGGTCGAAAACCAGCTACTGAAGTATTTCGTGGAATCCGTAACATCCATGGTGGACTCCGCATTTGAACAGCCTCTCGCACCATCGTGGGAGGCTTGCGGACCGATGACTGGATCTGAGCTTGGCTTAGATGTGCTGGTCTCTTCAGAATATCTCATCTCGTCTAATTCGGTGCCTGGGGTTAGTCTACCTTTTCATGCCTCAGATGTCAGTGGACAAAAACATTAATGGTGCCGCAGGCAACGAACAGACTAGGTGGCACTCAGTCTGTCCCTGGGAATGATGATCCTTCGCAAGAGGAAAATACAATGACATCACATCCCTCCTTATCTGACCTTCCCCCACTTGATGACCGGCTTTTATACATGTCTACACAACTACCGGCAAGCACGGTACGCGTTTCGGAATCGCTGAACTGCCCACAAATGGGGCTGATGCCATACAACGGCTTCGCCTCAGAGGAGTCCCAACTGTCGACCTCGGGATATCCCGCCATGGATTGTAATCTAGGCACCTCGGATCCCTTCTCACAACATACCCTCTCCTGTTCAGAGGCCTGTGAGCTCTTGATTGGCTATGTCCGAAGGAAACCAGATCTCAGAAACCTACATCTGAGACTTCGAAGTGGGTACCGAAATAGCCTTGTGCCCGGGGAGGGGTGCAGGGTTGATTATTATCAGTTGCTTGCTGTTCTCTCTGATACGTCGTAGGAGCACAATGACTGGCCCAACACAATGAAATGACCCAGTTAGAATGTACGTCAAAGGAGGTGCAGGGCTTGTTATGCGCAACGAAGCTCAATCTCCGATTGGAGGTCTTTCAATAGTATGCCAAATCTTGTAGTCTTCTTCTCGTTCAATGCTGTCAAGCATTGTGATCTTGATGTCTCACCGAAGCCGGCTTCCGCTGTTGTATAATTCATAGGTAACCTCGCATGTTCGCTCTCATATGCGGATACAGATCCTAATAAACACGTCCATTACTACAGCAGGCAGACAGGAAGAAGAGATGCAAGCTATTCAGGAAAAGCAGTTTGTTTGACCTAAAGCTATCTGGGAATCCTGGTAGATGTAATTCAAATGGTTTATCGGCATTGGACCAGAAGATCCATTCGCTTTAGGAGATGTAGTGTTTCATCAAGCGTGGATGTCCGGCTTAATGGCGAAGATCTTGAACGAGCCTAACGTAAAAAGCCAACCGGAACGTGGTTAGCGCCGAATCGCTCGCTGCTTGATTTGTAAAGAACTCACCAGTCCAGAGATTAAAATCCACGTCCGCCATCTTCATCTCCCCCGGCCGGTCTAGATCTCCTCGTATCGCAACATGAGCTAGTAGGGCCCGATTCGTTGACCTTTTCGCTTTGCCACATTTCCTTGTAAATGTTCAGGTCGCTATTGGTGTCCAGAATCAAGGCGTCTACAGGTTAGATGTCAGTACTAGAACATGTCACACCAGATAGGGGGAAGGAGGAGCCAGCAATGGTACCTTGAAATCCTGCTTCTTTCAAATATCTTTCATAATCGCTGACCTGGCTGGCGCCCGCGATACAACCAACATACAAGGAAAGGTCTGTCTTGATTTCCATCGGAAGCTCTCGCTTTGCCAGAATGTCGCTGATTGCAACCCTACCTCCCGGCTTCAGCAGGCGGAACATCTCATGGAAGACAAGGGGTTTCTCGGCTTCCGGCACCAAGTTTACCACACAGTTGCTGATGATGCAATCGACGCTAGATGATGGCATCGGGATAGAAGTAATGAAAGCCTCGATAAAAGTTGCATTTGAGGCGCCAGCATTCTTCGCGTTTCGACGGGCCAATTCCAGCATATCCTGCTAATTCTAAGTAACAAATAAAATGTATTAGCAAGAACGAGTCCTCATACCTTCGTCATGTCAATACCGATAGCCTTTCCTTCCAGTCCAACCTTCTTTGCGGCTAACAGAACGTCGATGCCCCCGCCACTACCCAAGTCAACCACAGTCTCGCCCTAAATATGAAATATTAGTACCAGAATAAGTGGTGATCAGTGGTTATGCCCTACCTTTCCTAAATTTGCTGTTGCTAGCGGATTCCCGCAGCTGACACCTAGATTCGCGTTGGCTGGAATAGAGCGCAACTCCTCTAGATCATACCCAAATGCGGTCGCGACCTTGCGTTCATAGGCCCTTTGGCTATCAGGGCCGGCCTGTTTTGCAACGCCTCCGTAGCACTCTTGCACAGAATGATAGGTATCTTCAGAATTCATGGTTTCAGCTTCAGCAGGGCGGAGATGGAGAAAGAAGTGTGCTGTGAGCAAAGACCGTCAACCAACTTGCTGTTCAGTAAAGGAGCAAATTGATGATTCGAGAAACTGAATCGAGAGGGATCAAACTTATTTATATATCATCTGCGCTATCAAAGAGCCATGTCATTTATGATGTACATAGCATCGTTAATGTGGAGACGGGCGGCACGTTATTCCACTGATTGGCCAGTGCATGTCTGGTATGTCACTGCCAAGCTTATGGGTCCTTACATTCTCCTTACGTCCTGGTGTCTCGGAACTGACAACCAGGCTGATTCATTATAACCAAAGAACTTTCTCTTCACTCGTGGCGAATCATGGGAATTAGACGAACGTATGGGTATGTCACCAGAGTTACCTAGGCCAGATCAGTCGCTATACCCGAAATGCCAAGTGGCCGATGTAAAGTTCTTGAGACGAACTTGTGACTATTGATTAACAAGTATACTGCTTGCCCCAGGTGTAACGGTCCGTATACCTCTAGCCTCCTTCACATTGGTCCTTTCACTTCAACATAGCTTTCAAGGTTCCGGATATGCAAAAGTTGCGCAAGACATGAATATGTTTTGTGCTTTCCACTTCAGTCCTTCCAGTTAACTCGCTTGGTTACAGATTTGACAACATAGACAAGGCTAAGTAGTATTAGGACCTCAATTGACGGCCCGAAAGTAGCAGTAAGCGCCTAATTACTGTTAGCCTTAAACGTTACGACAGTAACAGCAATAGCAAGCTTAAAGTTATTAGCCGTGGTGAAAATTTGAGTAGAACCTAACTTTTAAGTCATTAGAAGGTGATAATGAAATAAACTATAAGAGGAGCGCTAACCCGAACCACTAATATAATTTGATGAACCACCTGGCGGCCCTAAATACGAACAGCATAAGGATCGTGAAGAGAAGCTTAAGAAGGGACTATAGGCTAGCTTATTTCAGAGAACCTGGTCGTACCGACGCGGACTAATAATTCTTTGAAGAGTAATGCGGGTAACTATTACAGCACCTAGAGAAATTCCAAGGAAAACAGGCACACGTTTGGCAGCGGTATTATAAGATAGTGTAACTTGGCTACCGGAGTGACCAATGACCTTGATAAATAAAATGCCGGAGGAAGCAAAGAGCACCATTTGTAGCAACGAATTGACTGTAACAATGATAGAGCTGTACTCATTTTGTCACCGCCAACAAGACTGGTCGCTATTCTTTGTCTACTATGGACTTTGCTAACATCTTTCGTAAGGTATACCTCCAGTGTCTCCCACCAAGTTCTTCAAGAGTACAATGAGATGATCCAGGATACGGTGTATAACCTTGAGATCCATTTACAGCGAAATGATGAAAAAATGGCGCGATCTACTCTCGACGACTTAAATACCTCAGACATGACTATTAACTTAAAATGCACGCTCGCAGCCGACAGTGGCGAAGCGTTAAGGAGGGTTGGATGGTTGGAACATAACGAGGTATAAAGACAGGCACAGACTTGGTTGGTCTGAGGCGCCAAAATCGCGGCTTCGTTCCCCGTCGTCCGCGTTGGATTCCGTTTATTGTTGTTGAGGGGAGGAGGCAAAAGAGTTTATCCGAGACTTTGTGTCGTGCTTGGGTAAATATAAAATAGGACGTTAATTAACCCCTTTCCTAAACGGTTCGCGTTAGATGTGGGGAAAAGGATAGCATGTCCTTTCGTAGAGACTCATCTTCCTGCAACTTATGTCTTGGGCTGCTATCTGTCTCTAGCTGGGGAACCTTTGATCGTGGGTCTTGAAACTGCATAGTCTATGGACTGAAATTGGTTATGCGCCATTACATCTCGGGCGTCTGCACCGAGGTCAAGTATTTTTTGCAAGATAACCATTCTGGACATGGATGCTCCTAGGACCCTAGTACGTACCAACAACAGTCGTGGTGGAGCTTATCGACCGAAATGGCGATATCTAGCTTTTGCGTGGGGAGCCGAGATCCTAAGCGCTAAAGTTGGTGGTCGACGGTGCTGTGCGGCCAATCATATCCTATCTGATTCATCATGCGTCAAGGAGCAAGAACCGATGCTGTTGCTGCTGCGTACAGCATGGCGTATTCAACGACATACCACTTATGCGTCGCGTCGCATGGCTAATCATTTGAATCTACGTATCAAATCCAGCCGCACTTTGTGACGAGTCAAGTCGCCTGTGACTCCATTAATGAGCACCTGTAGGCAGCCGTTAAGAACACATTGAAGGTCTGGCTAATAACAAAAGGGGACACGGGGAAACATAGCCCTTAGGGTGCTCCATTATTTCTTTAGAATCCACTATTTCTAAATAAGAAGTCTCAGGATATTCCATGTTCTCATAAATTAAACGACGAACAATTTGTGGTAGCCGGCATATCGCTCAGCGAGTTGGATTCTAAACGACAACCCACTAGGCTGGGTACGGATTCATATTTTAGTCTACTTGGGAAATCAACTCTGCGATGGGTTGGTGTAAATGGAAAATGACATACATACACGCCGTAGAATAGTAAGGTCAATATACGAGGGTATTAAATCGTCCACTCATACACCATTTAACGTATGTGCCAAGCCAGCGCCGCACCCCAAAACGCATTGTAAATGCGATAAATTACAGGTTTATATCTCAACAACTATGGTCTATTGGGTTGCTAGTAGGAATATGCTTTTAGGTGATATCTAGCCTTCTTAGGAATATTGGGGGATTTTTTACAATTCAGTGACTAAGATATTTATGTTTATAGCTTATAATTTTCGGTAATTTTCGAAATGATGATAATATAACTTTCCGATTTCTTCGAAGTTCATATACAGTGCTAATAGCTCTTATCAGTAGCTATTGATCAAGAACTAGATAAAATAGAAACGTGGTTGTTGGGATATAAGTGTAGCATTACTATGTATTTTGGAGTGCGGCGCTTAGACTGCGACAATGACCGTCCACGGTGGGCCTTGGGCTTTTTGGAAAATGGAAGGCCCGCCCATTAAAGCCCATGGGCATTGCCCCAGCCCATCGTGGGCAATGCCCAACCGCCCATCGTGGACAATGCCCAACCGCCCATTTTTACATAAATTCACCCAAAATGGAAGTATAAGCGCTGACTTATCAGTATGAATCACGTTTTTGCTGTGCTGCCAAGTAACGCCCATGGACGGGCATATGCGCGATGGGCGATGGGCCCTTACCACTAGGCCCGTCCACGGGCAGGCCCATCGTGGGCATTGCCCGCTTACATAATGTCCATGGGCACTGCCCACAGGCCCGTCCATGGGCGATGTCACAGTCTAGCGGTGCTCGCTTGGGAAATACGTTAACACTTTTGCCAAGAGCCCCCGTTCCCAATCACAGTCCGCGTTTGCCACCCGGCTTGCCAAGATCACCACCGCAGCATGATAACCCAACTTCTTAAGAAGTGTGACCTCTACAGTAACATATCTGCAATAGCTTGTCGGAAGAAATAGCCTACTGAGACACACTAGCCAGAGCTATGTCAACTGCCGATATTGAGCAGCCTCCTATGATTACCAATCAGATCCCAGCTTCTCTTTCAATACCAGAGGAAAGCGAGCTTGGCACAATGAATGATGCAAGCAAAGAAGAAAATGTTACAGCGATGAAAGAGGGGGACCAATTCCCCCAAAAAGAGGTTTTAAAAAACGACCATCAGCAGGTCAAAGAAGTGGACTTTGACCATACCACTGAGCGAAGCACAACTCATGATTGCGATCTCGCCATCAACTCATCCAAAAGACCTTCTTTTTCTCGCTTCCTAAGAAGAGGGTTTCACCACCAGGGCAACTTCAGCAAGCATGGTAGCCCAGGGTCGCCAGTGACTACTGTTCAAAATGCATTGAATGAGAAGACGAGCCAACTGAGTGAGGACTTTAGTCGCAGAGCAGACGTTCCCTTGCCTGAAAATTCGCCGCCTGGGGTTCCTGAAGCCACGAGTGAATCCATTTTGCGAAAACACAACCAGTTCAACCTAGAAACAATAATCTGGGATGATTCTTCTCGAGACCGAAGAAATATGGAAAGATCTACCCTATTTGATCTAGATGGCATGATTTCGCGATTACTACACGTGGGAAAATCGAGACCTGAGAAAAGGCTATGTCTCAACGATAATGAAATTTTGTCCATTTGCTCGGCCGCCCGCAATCTGTTCCTTTCCCAGCCTGTTCTCCTAGAGCTGAATGCTCCAATTCACATCATCGGGGACATCCATGGTCAATTTACGGATCTCCTTCGATTCTTTGAGATGTCCGGATTTCCTCCTGCCTCAAACTATCTGTTTCTAGGAGACTACGTTGACCGCGGTAAGCAAAGCTTGGAAACAATACTTCTGCTTCTGTGCTACAAGCTCAAATACCCGGAAACCTTTTTTCTACTCAGGGGTAACCACGAATGTGCTAATGTTTCTCGAATCTACGGGTTCTATGACGAGTGCAAGCGAAGATGCAATGTCAAGATCTGGAAAACATTTACCGATGTTTTCAATTGTCTTCCAATCGCTGCGGTTATCGCAGAAAGGATCTTCTGTGTGCATGGCGGCCTTTCCCCAAACCTTTCCGATATGAATGATATCCGAAACCTCGCTCGTCCCACTGAAGTGCCTGATCAGGGTCTTCTGAATGATCTTTTATGGAGCGATCCCGCAAATATCAAAGACTGGGAACCTAATGATGACCGAGGTGTGAGTTGGTCCTTTGGAAGGAAGGTGGTTGCGAATTTCCTAAAGCGCCACGATTTAGACCTAGTCTGTCGGGCGCATATGGTGGTGGAAGGGGGATATGAATTCTTTGGGGAGCGTAATCTCGTTACGGTCTTTTCTGCACCAAATGTGAGTCTTCGGTTCTTCCATTTGTTGACTATGGTGATGAGTGCTGACTAGAATTCTTGTTCAAGTACTGTGGCAAGTTTGACAACATGGGAGCTAGCATGGAAGTTTCTAGCGACCTTGTTTGCAATTTTAACCTATTGAAATCATCTGATCCGATTGTTTTGAAAAAGCAAACGAAGAGAATGAGTGGTCTTGGATATTTGCGAAAAGCCGGTAAGTACTAATTCCTTTTGTACTATTTGTTGCCATTCTTTATTGACGTTATATAACTAATCTTACAGCCTTGATATAGGTCATAAGGAGGTTCTTATATAGGGCTTGCAGGACTTGTTGCTTCCACCCCCTCGGGGAAGGTCCATTATCAAGCTAGAGAGGCCACGGATGCTGACAGGAAGCGGTACGCAGATGGTAAATAAGCGTACGATAACCATCCCTTCCTTTTCCAGAATCAATTCAAGCAGAGAAATAACAAGAGTCACTGGATTACTTGATGATGCTGAAGCAATCTGTGACATGACGCGATAGTTGCGTCACTACTTCCAGAAGTTCCAGTACTCTTGGATCATACTTATCTCACGATCTACTCTGTCAATAACTACATTAAATCTGAATATCTTGCTCGTCAGGTTCAAAGGAAAATTTAATCATGCGTTGTGAAGATAAAGGTGATGCAAGGGGAGAGTTCTCGAAGTAGTCATCGGCACCAGCCTTTCGAGCACGTTGGAATACCCGATCGCCCCTTGCTAGCCTATCATTATTGTACGCTAAGGATCGTAGAAGATTTAAAGGATTATGGAGGACTCCAGCCCCTGGCTGGTTTTAAGTAGGAGGGTGGTGGGTAGCTAACGCCTGAATATGAGGGTCATTCTCATTCGAACAAAGACTATAAATGGACCGGGCCCATTCTCAACTCTCTGGAATCAGTATGAAATTCCTTTCCTTAAAGCCCATTAGGCCCAAACAATTCGAACGAACATGTTGAAATAGAGAATGTGTGGCTGACATTGTCGGCAGATGATTACGGGAAGTTCATCAGAATGCTTCACTACGGTGATTCCAGTGACATCGCATTACATCAAAAACTTCCCCAATCAAAACCAAGATCGTTGGAAGGACGACGAGTATGGTTACATCCAGGCTCTTGAAAACGTAAGTTACATGTCTCAGTGATACTGGCCGAGAACAAGCTATCAGGCTCGGGAGAATTCACTTTGACGATTACCTCGCTTCTTTACAAGCCACATGTATACTTCATTGGTCGGGTCCTCGGAAGTGTTTCCAATGTACAAGGGTACCAGCGCAGACTGCGGCTGTTATTTTTTATGAGCGCAGTCCCTCTCCCCACCCTCAGCCATTGGTTGAGTTAAATTTCTCTTGGGGGCCAACGCCTTTCTTGCCAGGAACTGGACGAGCTACTTTGGCCATTGGTTGAATTAAATTTCTCTTGGGGGCCAACGCCTTTCTTGCCAGGAACTAGACGCGCTACTTTAGCCATCAGCCGTCAGCTTTCAAAAAAAAGTAGAAAGGAAGGGGTAAAACGAAGTATCGCTCCTCGTATTCAGTCTTATCCTGATCTGCGAGGTAATCCTCCGAACAGTGTCGATCAAGTATGTAACTTAAGGCTACGTTTATACATGACACGATAGCTTTTATTTCGCAGTTGCGAGATAGTCAATTCTTTAATTTGGGGAATACTTCTAAATGGGAATCCCACGTGGACTCGCAATCCCGTGGCTGGCATTTTGACGTGTGGCGCGGTTGAATCTGTCATAGAAGTTAAGAGTCCTTATTTGCATCCGATTGGGTATCTCAAACACCTCAACAGCGCCAGCCAGGCACTGCGATCGAGAAAAGCCCCGATTCCGGTTCAATGAGACAATTAAAAGATTGGAAGAAACATAGACGAAAGGCTATAAAGGTTCTCCATGGGTGCGACGATTCCCTGTTCTCCATCCTTGACCGCTCTCTCTCCTGTGACAGATCTCATATTTGGCAGGATGGTAAATCCAAGGTCAATTTTGCGTTGGAAGACTGGCGATGAAGAGGCTGGTGATTGTATCACGGGGGCACCCCAAGCCATTGCGAGCGACGGGGAAATGAAAAAGAAGATCCACCGGCGCCCAAGCCAAAGAACAATCGATCCGAAGTCTGCCATTCCGATCGAATATCGCAGCCTGTATGATGCAATTTTCCCATCTAATACCTTACTGGCTAATATTATCGGGATAGTTCATTCGAGATTGAGGATGAGGGCGAAAGAAAGCGGCGGCTTAAACTCCAGGGGGGAAGGATAAGATGGTCGAAGGTGCGTTTTCGTTCTAATGTCTCCTCATCTTGATACCTACGGCTCTAACGTGAAGAATTGGAGCAGAATGGCAAAATGTCGACTGGCACACGCTGTCTATTCAGGAAATCCACAAACGTCTCAAGGTGGATGCAGGGATGGGCCTCTCTGAAGCTTCGGCCAAGGAACGATTACAGAAGTATGGCCGGAACGAAATTTCGCCGCTACCAAACCCCTGGTTCTGGAAGGTTTTTGGATATTTCTTCAAGGGATTTGGGTCGATTCTGCTCCTTGGCGGAATCTTAGTCTTCGTCTCATGGAAGCCGCTGGGTCAGCCCCCTGCGGTTGCAAACCTGGCTTTGGGTATTGTCCTTATCGCGGTATTCGTCATTCAGGCTGCTTTCAATGCCTGGCAGGATTATTCATCTTCTCGTGTGATGGCCTCGATCACAGCAATGCTCCCAGAGTCATGTCTAATTCTTCGCGGCGGTTCTCGGGTAGAGATTCCTGCTTCTGACCTCGTTCCCGGAGACACTTTGATTGTCAAAGCAGGTAACAAGATTCCGGCTGATGTTCGGTTTATTGAGGTCTCACATGATCTGAATGTGGACAGATCTGTTGTCACCGGTAAGTATATTGCATTTTATTCGTGGGAATTCATACTCACCAGGCACGTAGGAGAGTCAAGCCCAATCAAGGGCAGCACGGAGACTTCGTCTGACAATTATCTTGAGACAAGATGCATCGGCCTTCAAGGAACTCATTGCGTCTCTGGTCAGGGAGTTGGTATTGTCGTTGCTACCGGTGACTCGACGGTTTTTGGTCGAATTGCCAAGTTGGCGGGTGAGCCAAAGACCGGTCTCACTACTATTGAAAAGGAAGTCATGCGTTTTGTGGCTCTCATCGCTATCATAATGGTGACCTGGATTGTTATTCTGGCTGCTGTTTGGTATGTCTATCCATACTGTTTGGATTCGACACTTATCTGAGCGACATGTGTCTAACTTCGTCCTAGGGGTGGTTGGCTTCACCAGAAACATCCCGACTATATTAATGTGCCCACGCTCATTATTGACTGTGTGAGCGTTGCCATCGCTTATATACCCGAGGGCCTTCCAATTGCAGTCACCGCGAGCTTAACCATTACAGCAAATTTGATGAAAAAGAACAAGGTCCTGTGCAAATCTCTCAAGACCGTAGAGACTTTGGGATCGGTGTCGGTCATCTGTACTGACAAGACTGGCACATTGACTAGGGTGGGCATATATCTTAAGATAAAAAGGTCATGCATATACTAACCTGCTTTTTCAGAATCGAATGGCTGTGACAGAATATGTTGTGCAACTGACAACATCTACATTGGATGCCACGGGCGAGCACGCAGCCGTCAAATTGAATCGTCCTGTTCTCCAACAGCTCCAGGCTGTTGCAGGCCTTTGCAATGCTGCTGAATTTGATTGTGAATCAACTGAAGTTCCCCTTAGCGAGCGGCGCATTTTCGGTGATGCTACTGATCAAGCAATTCTGAGATTTTCTGAGAGTCTGGGTTCTGTCACTGAGCTTCGCAAATCTTGGCATACAATTTTCAATCTTGCCTTTGACAGCAAGAACAAATTTATGATCAAAGCAATGAAGCCAGTCAATCTTCAAGCGACTGCATCTTGTCTCTCTCCCGTCGAATCCAGCAAATTTGATTCCAGCGACATGTAAGTTTCGTTGGCTTTGCGGAAAACAAAGGGGTGCTAATGCTTTCTAGTCTGTTCACCATCAAAGGAGCCCCAGATATCTTGATTGAGCGATGCTCGCAAGTCTTGTGCCCTGACGGCGAAATAAAGCCTTTAACCGAAATTGATCTGGCGGCCATAAAGCGCTTAAAGGATCAATGGTCTTCTGAGGGAAAACGGGTAATTTTGCTTGCTCGGAAGGTTCTCGCAAAGGACAGTATACTGGCTGAACTAAGCTCCTCGGAGTTTGAGATCCAAATGCTTCGCGAAGCCAGGACAGGCCTCACTCTGGTTGGTTTGGTGGGTTTAATTGACCCGCCACGATCTGAAATCCCAGAGGTCATTCGAATCCTGCGCCAAGCCCAAATCCGGGTCTTCATGGCATGTAGATTTCTTTTTCTAACAGACGAAAATGTATCGCTAATCATGAGGCATAGGTCACTGGCGACTTTGGTCTCACAGCCCTGGCTATTGCCCGGCAGTGCGGTATTGTTACCACAGATTCGATCCATGATGCGTCAGCTCTTCGCAAGTCCCCAACTTCAATCGAGAAGCACGTGGATATATCCCAAGCTGCTTTGCTTGTAAGTGGCCCAGACTTGATGGCTCTCAACGAGTATCAGTGGGAGCAGTTGTGCAAGTATCCCGAGATTGTATTCTCTCGTACTACTCCCAACCAGAAACTGCGCATTGTGCGTGAGATTCAATCCAGGGAAGAGGTCGTCGGTATGACCGGAGACGGCGTCAATGATGCTCCTGCTCTCAAAGCTGCTGATATTGGTATCAGTCTCGCCACCGGTTCCGACATCGCCATCGAAGCTGCGGATATGGTTTTGCTTGATTCATTCGCTGCGATTGTCGAGGCTGTGCGGTATGGACGTGTGGTCTTTGACAACCTCAAGAAGACAGTCGCATATCTTCTACCGGCTGGCTCATGGTCTGAATTCTGGCCCGTGTTCTGCAACCTAATCTTCGGAATTCCTCAGATTCTCTCATCTTTCCTGATGATCATCATCTGGTAAGCAGAAGCCTCGAGCAATTCTCGTAATGTGTCCCAATCTGACCTATTTGGCAGTTGTTTCACGGACTGTGCCGCCGCTGTGGCCCTTGCATACGAGGCCCCAGAAGCAGACGTCCTTTTCCGCCCGCCAAGGCATCCGACCAAAACACGCCTGGTCAACTGGCAACTTATGTTCCATTCTTACGCTTTCATTGGCATGATCGAGACAGCCTTGTCATTTACCATGGCTTTCTGGTATCTACAAAGGAACGGAATACACTTCTCGGATTTGTGGTTTAAGTTCGGTGAATTGCCGCCAGGTGTTGATTCAGACTACTACACTGCGAAAGTCAACGAAGCAAGCTCAATCTACTTCGTCAATCTTGTGATCATGTGAGTCTTTTATCGCCTGGTGTGCATTCCCCTCGAACCCCGCGCTGATTCTTCCCAGGCAATGGTTCAACTTGATGGCAGTACGAACGCGCCATCTGTCGATTTTCCAACACCCTCCAATATTCAATAAGCCGACACAGAACCTGTACTTGTTCCCTGCTATCGCATTTGCGCTGGGAATTTCCGTGATTTGGCTCTACATTCCTAGTCTTCAGACAGCCCTTAGTACCTCGGGTATTCCTGCCGAGCACTATTTCCTCCCTGCTGCTCTGGGGCTTGGACTCTTGTGTCTGGATGAAACACGAAAAGCCGCTGTTCGCCGCTGGCCCAACGGATTGCTGGCCAAGATGGCTTGGTAACTAATTGTCACTCAGGGTGACGACAGAAAGTCTGCAACAGTGCGTTGTGACAGAAGACGTCTATCACATTGACATATTCATTTTCTGTTTTCAAAGCTACTTAAGATTTGAGAGGGCCATTCGACTTCTCCGTGGAGGCCTTCTTTCTGGGGGCAACTTTAAGCAGGGAGAGATAAGGAAAAGTAATACTGAAATAAAAAGAGTGCGAGGAAAGTTTGAATACATAAAAGGAACGGAAGGGAACAGGAAATCAAAAAGCAAACGAACATAAATACAATGCCCAGTCTTGACATTCTATTCTCTGGGCCTGCGATATGTTGAGAAAGAAGAATATAGGGAAGAAAAGCATATATTAAATGGTCTTATTACCTATGGAATACGGGAAGCATGACGCTATTCATGCTAGTTCCGTCTGGAAGACAGAATCCAATACTTGCATCTTTCCAGGCTCCGTGGGTACGTAAGACCCTAAAAGGAGAGCTTTCTCATATTTTGGGAAGCTTCAATGGCTTCGTTAAGCGGTCAAGAGACTCCTGCTAGTATGCAGGTCGGACCACCCCCAACATTGGGGCCGGCAGTGATGAGATAGGACGAATTGCTGAGTCACCTGATTCTCAGCACGGTGCCTCAGTCCCCTCATTCGCTCTGCATCTCTCATTGGTTCGCGGTGCGTTTTCGCCTGTCCGGAGCACTTCTTTGTCCAACTAGAACCATTATGAGATGCTAGGCTGCTAGTTAGGCGGGTGTACAGGATAGGAGGTGACACCAACACGTGACACACACAGTTATTCTCCGCATTTCCATTGATATATCTAATTTAGCTTTGCGGAAATGTACTGTGCTTCTCAAACAAGCTTTTTCTTTCTGCATGGCATTTTTTGCGACGATATCTATGACTGACAATCCCATTAATATTCTGTTGAATATGTAAGACTAGCTGGTTCGAAATCCATAGCATAGCATGTAATCCTTAATTTCCGACCTCGTCTTCCACCGATGTTTCCCTCCATCATTCGCAAGAACTCTAGAGTTATTTTCCTGCTTTGATCACTGCGGTTTTCATCCTCAAACTGTTCACTGGCGCATTTTTCTGCGTACAAAAGGGGTGTCAGTCCATCAAGATCAGGCTGATAAAGACATGGGAAACAGCAGCCGTGCAGGGAATCTATTAATTTTTCGCTGTGGTCCATGGAAAATAGACCGAGACCGGAATATTACAAGATTCGAAGAACTTGGTAATCCTCCACAAAAGAATGCATGTGGACATGAGCCAGGTTTTCTCCCAGACTGTTTCTCCATAGCGGATCGGCACCATTTCGTATCAACACTCTTCGCGAGACTGGTGCTTTCAATGACCAATCAGCGGTTTTCATCGAGTTCTGCGGCTCATCGTTCGTTCCATCCTGATCTGAGCATCTTCTTCTTCCGCTCTAATGAGTTTGTCGCTCGGTAACATAATCGCCTTGTCAATCGCGACCGGCAGACCTCGATGGCGGCCCCGAATCATCACAGCACAAAGAACAAGCTTGCTCAAGGTATGCCAGGCCCCAGAGAAACTGTAAAGTTGGTTTGGAAGGCCCGTACTGATCCCGACACTTCCATAGGCACTCACTGTTTCGAAGATAATGTTGAACGCTGAGAAAGTGACAGGATCACGGGTAAATTGGCCTGCCTCCACGATGCAGATTACGATCACAGCCAACGCAATCCACCATAGGTCATATGCCAGCTGAGCTCGTAGCTGATGGCGGATAAAATAAATCCTTCCAGAGGCGGGCATCATGAACAGACGACTTCTGGAGGATTCTGAGGGTGAGTCCTGATCATCCTCGTTCGCGGACGGGTCATCTGCATAAATTCCCAGACTCCTCTCTTCGTATACATTGGAATGCCGCATCGTAATCACAACTGGATAGACTGAAATATACATCATCACCACGTAGATTACTTGCGTCCCTAGCTGGAGGGCTGAGATACTGACCACATAGAAGCCTCCGCTTCGAACACACAAGGCTTGGAAAAGTCCGTCCAACACGCGCGATCCCCGCGGGATGGCGTCCACTGCCGGATTGTCTATCTATTTTGGGGGTTCATTATAACAGATCGGCATGATTGGGTGGTCGAGGGACTTACATTGAGTACTTCGAATGCTAGCCAGTCTATACCATTCAGTACGATTACAGAGAGAAGCAGCCACCAAGTATGGGCAGAAGGAAACAAAGTGGTATAAGATCGCCTTGGATGGTCCAGGAGGAAGTTTAATGTGTCACGGAACTGATCAAAATGCTCATGATCTGAAAGCATGAGACGGATAGCGCGTAATATCCATCGCAAAAATATCGGATAGCTGTGGAACTTTATAAGCACACTAGGAATCAATACAGAGGCCCAGAATGGCGTTTCTTACCAGGTGTTGCCAGCCAGGATCAATAAGCCCATTGTGATGAGCATATAGGTCGACGTTTGAAAGGGAACCTTAACAGAGGATTAGACATGTCTGGTTGCTTGGGGAGATAAATGAACCACCCACCATATTCGCATCGAGAATACTCATGCCAGAGTTGTTGAAAGCAGATACTGCAAAAAAGAAGCCGGTCCACCTAATTCGAAAGAGACCAAGGTTAGAAACACCATGACAGGCATTTAGCGTCGAGCGTGCTATGATAGACATTCGGAGAGCAGGGGATAAAGATGATAACAAACCAAGGATTCAGACCGTTAGACTCGGCCTCTGACGCTTTGTTCCTCGCGATATACGCTCCCAGACCTAAGCCACCGAGCAGCTGCCAGAGAAAAAAGTAGATCGGCACGATGACAGCCAACAAGGAGACTGCTCGATACTCGGCACCTCCAAGCTTTTGTCGCTCAGCTTCGGTGAGATTGTAGAATGTAGAGTTGCGGCGCAATTTGTGAAGAAGGTTCAAATGAAGATCACCTCCATCAGAGTCCTCAGCGGATGGGCCCTGCTCCATTTCGCCGAGCGTATTAGAGCGATTCAGAACATTTGTATACGGGGACAGCATGCGTCGGCGTAGTGGGTTGGATTGTAGTTCTTCAGAGCCATTCCTTGCGACGGAAGTGAATGCAATATGAGCATCGGTATCAGTGTTGCTCGTTTGCTCCCTGAGAACGTCTTCATTAGGCAGTCCTTCATCAGGAGCCACAGACTCGGCACCGTTTCCTCCTTCTGAAACATCCTGGTTCGGTTGCTGGACTGGTTGTCCAGCATCAGTATGACCAGGTCTGGGCTCTAATACCAGGTCCCTTTTCCCCGAGCTTGCGGGTTGAGAACTACGGCTAGGGTCAACTGGTGCTCCCCAACTCGGAGACCGGAGCATGGGTAGAAGTCCTGGCAGCCAAGTACGTTCCTGGGGCATAGTGGACTGTCGGGAGAAAGAGCGCGACCGCGTTAGTGCACGGCCAAACCCAATCCGGCTCTGTGCTTTTCTTTGAAGATGCTCTGCTTTCACAATCTCCCCAAACCTTTTTTCAAAGGCACGTTTGCGAACAAGCACCATGGCGATGGACACCCAGATCTACGTCGTATTAGTCTCGGCATCATTGGAAGATAGGGGTCATTGTTATTCTTACTGCAGATCCAGATATTATCAGGAAGAACAACAGGACTTGTTGGAATGTATTGAGTGTAGACAGGTTCACCGTATTCATGCCCGCGAGGGTCATGGCGCTGGTAGTTAAGTATAACGAGTCAATGTATCGCACACTCTGGGCAGGGGAAGAGGTGCCCCAGAAGATGGCGGAGGTAATGAAAGAGAGCCCAATGAAGTAGGCATAATGGACCGTGAGAAACCGTATCCGGGGAAGATAGGCCCTCATCACCTGGTAGTTGAGTCCCCCCATTATGGAGAAAGGAGCACTTTCATGTCAGTGCTCTAAAGCTCTTTTTATATAGTCATCTTTATATAGTCATCCGAGTCCAGCTTGAGCGTGCGACGCGGGAGAGAAAAGTGCAGATGACGGGGGAGATGAGATTGGATGAAAGAGGTGTTCCCCCTAATTGGCTCGTTGGCCTCCGACCGCGCGGTCGGGATTGTGAATCGCGAATGGACTCAAACACTAACAACTGGCCCCCCAGTCGAGCCTGCAGGGGATCTGACTTACCTCTCTCTTACCTATGTCCAGAGAACCACTAGACCCAGATTGGAAGTATATTACATCATCGGTTTGTCTAATGTTAAAGGATTTCCTCTTCCCATTCGATTTAGCGCCCCGACATAGTCAGCGGTATATTAGGAGTCAGTCCCCCAATAGGAACGCGCATCGTGTCTATTCGAGTAGCGAAGCAAGCTGTCGATGCTACTATCTTAGATCATTCACTCCGTGCTATGTATTTGGATAATCTCGGGATTCGACTAGGCGACAGATACTCCCGGACTGGAGCAGTGACAGACCTCGAGGAGGCTATCCTGATAGGCCGACAAGCTGTCGATGCCACTTCGTTAGACCATCCTGACCGAGCTATGTATCTGGATAATCTCGGGATTCGACCAGGCGACAGATACTCCCCGACTGGAGCAGTGACAGACCTCGAGGAGGCTATCCTGATAGGCTGACAAGCTGTCGATGCCACGTCGTTAGACCATCCTGACCGAGCTATGTATTTGGATAATCTTGGAAATCGTCTAAGCGAAATTGGCGCAGACGCAACAATTTACCCGGGATCGAATTGGACAATACCATTGTTTGGTTGCGCGACTGCCAACAAGGCTGTGATCAAAACTGTTGATTTCTCATGTAATGGATCAACCGGCTTTAAAGACCTTCGCATTCTCGATATCCATGATAAAACTTTCGGCCAAGACGAAGGTCTCCCTATATGGGCAGTTGAGCACCGACAGGACCTCACCATAAAAACTGTCAAACCGCGTTGGGGTCTGGTGTCGCCTGAATACGTGGATGGTCCCGGAATCCAAACGATCCAACGAGAGTTTCTTTGGCTACCAGAATCAACAGACGATGCCTCGTTTGGAATGATCAATGATAACATAGCTGGCAGCCAATTCCATAGCCAAGCCCGTACGGCCCGTTTTCGCGATTGGGCGGAATACGGGATCCTTCCTTGACTCTTCTGTCTCCGATCTAGGTGACTACAGTGGCCAAACGAGTGTGGCGTTATTTTTCAAATGGCAAAGTCTTACAGAGAGTCCTTCCACTACCTCGAAAATTCTCAACTTGGTTTGAACCGATATTGCTGCAAATTCTGTAGTCGGCGCAAGGGTTTGGGGCTGGTCTGCTCGACCAAATATGCTCCAACGCAGAGACGCTGGCCTATTACCTGGAAGCATAGTCCAAGTTCCGGTCACCCTTTGGCAAAGAAATCTCCACTACCACCCTGTCTACGCCATACCAGCCATCTTTGCCGCCATTTTGGTCCTCATTGCGACGAGAACCTACGAGCAAGATCATCTTAGTTGAGGGGCATAACATGGAGCGAAGTGGCTTGCCGTGGCGATATATCTAGCCAATCCAACGAGAATCATTCCCTCCCATGGATTGTGGGATGTCTGCCCTTTCTTTGCTGGCAGGCCCTTTCTCGACTGGCAAATTGACAACCCCGCCGGGTAAGGCCTAGTGGCTGTACGGGCTATCTGCCATGACATTCGCAACCGTATTGAGAATCTCATCACTGAGCGTCGGTCCCATTAACCCAGCGAGTTGGGAATGCGGTATATAGGGTCCGAGCCCGGAGATGATACGCTTATTTTTGGAACGTGGAGGGTGGCGAATAACAGCAGTAACTAGCATTGTACTGTAATACTGTAGTACGTGTGATATATTGTGGTGGCAGCTGCGATATTCACCTCCTGTCTCACAATACATCAAACCAAATTCACCGACTTATCAGTGGAGCCTAAGATCTGGTCGGACTTGCGTGTAATATTCAAAGTGAAGAAAATTGTTATTTCATTGAAATGATTTGTCTGTACGATTATATAACCTTGATGTATCTTAAGAAAGAAGCTAGCCCATACTAGGGATGGAAATAACGGGCAGTGGGTGGGAGCCTTTGGCCCGTCTTGTCTTTAGAGCTTGCTAAGCAGTTATAAAGAACACCTGAGTAGCTCACTGGTCCATGCGGTGATAACCATATGGCATGTTCTTTGTTATCTATCTAAGTATGCATTTTCCTTGCTCAGCTTTTCGGATGGCGACTCTTTAATCATTGGACTATTCATGCCAAATGGATTTTGATGCCATAGTAAACAGGAATGAGGAGCATGAGCATAAACATTCAAGATGATTCTCATGGATATGCCGCGTCTGGTACTTACGTGAACAAGGGGTGTGCGGGGAAGGGGATACCCGTGTCGTACCCGTGCCCGGGGAAGCAATTGGGGTTGCCTTAACGGGAAGCCGGCATAACATTTGTATGAAACATTTGGCCCGACCGGCTTGGATCCCCGTAATCCCCGTGACTGCGGCCATTTCAGCTTGTGATCGTATTCCTCCTCTTCTTTTTCATCATTTTCCATTCTTCTATCAATCGTATCCATCGTTCATATTTGCTGTGCCCGTTTGCGGTTATACTTATCGCTTATCGCTTATCGCTTATCGCCCGTGCTGTTCATCTGAGGCGTTTTGTCCTTGCGTTGCACCTCCTTCTGACACGCCTGATACTCCGTTGTGTCCGTCAAGAGCCAAGATGGCAGGCCTCTTCCGTTTGCTCAAGATGCAGTACACCCCTCCTACAGACCCTCAGGGCATCTCTTTCGCTGGAAAGACCGTCCTCTTGACGGGCGCTACCTCGGGTCTCGGTTTCGAAGCTGCCGTCAAAATCCTCAACCTCGGAGTCGAGTCTCTGATCATCGGCAGTCGCAGCGTGGAGCGGGGTCGCAAGGCCAAGGCCGAGATTGAAAAGTTGACCAACCGCTGCGATGTCATCAAAGTGTGGGAACTCGAAATGAACAACTTCGCCAGTGTCAAGAAGTTTGCGGAGCGTGCCAACACCGAACTGCCTCGTCTTGATATTGCCTTGCTGAACGCCGGACTGTGGAACCGCGACTACAACAAATCTCCCGAAGGCTGGGAGGAAACCCTGCAGGTCAACACACTGTCCACCTCTCTGCTAGCCATGCTTCTGCTCCCCAAGCTAAAGAGCAGCGCCTATGACGCCAATCCCTCTCATTTGACCGTGGTTTCTAGTCAGCAGTTTGTTCGAGTACAGGCTGAGAGCGTGCGTACCGATACCCTGCTATTGGAGCACGTGAACAACCCCGAGAGGTTCAAGGGGCCCAAACAATACGGCATCTCGAAGCTGCTACTTGAAATTGTGATGAAGCGTATTGCCAATTATGTCCGCAACGCAGATGGGACCCACCCCATCATTGTCAACACTGTGAGCCCAGGTCTCTGCGCCTCGGGCCTTGGTCGCCAGTACGATAAGTGGTACGAGCAGTGGATCGTCTGGATTCTGTTCAAGCTATTCGCCCGGACCGCTGAGCAAGGCAGCCGCTCACTAGTTAGCGCAACGTACCAAGGTGTTGAGTCCCAGGGAAAGTGCTGGCGTAGTGATGGCTACCTCGAGTAAGTTAGACCCATATCCTGGTGTATTGTATCAATGCTAATGGTTTCCCAGCGAGTCGAATGCTCTTACATGCCTGGCAGAGGGCGTGGAACTTCAGGAGAAGGCATGGAAGGAGATCATTGAAGTGTTGGGTGAGCAGGCGCCCGAGGTGGACGTTGCATTCGGGGGAATTTAAGCGCTTGGTGGGGGCACTGAGCTGGTGAGGCTCAAAATTGTTGTGCGGCTGTTTCTAAAAGCTAAAAGCGTTCTCTTTATCTGTAGCATCATCAAGCGAAGATACCCCTGTTTATTTAGTCTCTGCTCTCTGATGTAGTTACTGTCTTCTTTTTTCTTTTGAATCTTGAATGTTTGGACTAGTGATTGTAGTGCCAGAGGAGAATCTGATCTTCAAATGATAATTAAAAAAAAGAGAAGAAAATAAGATGTAATATCAAAGTACGATCGGGCTGACAAGAGTTATACGAACACGAAGCCTCGCAGCGGGTCCTTGGGGACATTGCGGCTAAATTATTTATAGAGCGGGACAATAGGGCTGATGTTAAGAACAGGGTCAAAGCCACAAATAGGACAAGGACCATGTAGGGAGCACAATACGAGCCTATTAGGCCTCGATATAGTAGTTTCGGCATGTACTCAGCAACTATCCGAGCCACATTGCAACTTCAACCCCGTCATTATCACTTGGCGCGCTAAAAGTCGTTCGTAAATTGCCCCACGGAGCTCCGCTTTGACGTCTACCTATCCTCCTGACTCCTTTTCTTTCTTCTTCTCTCATTCTTACTGTCACACGCTACATCCATACGTGAGGCTGTCGCGACCTCCCGCCCTGCATTGCGTCACCTCCCACCATGGCCTACAACAAATCCTACAACCCCGATGCGCTGCCAGCGTAAGTGCCCAATCGCAACCTTTACAGAAACTCGCGATCATTAACTGAACCTGATATAGTCATGCTGAGCCCGAGCAGGTACTTCAATCGCCCCGTGGAATCTCCCATATTAGCTATTAACTATCAATCAGGTCGCGCAGATGCTAGGCTCCATGACCATGGCAAACCAAAACCAAAGCTCAAGTCAAAACCACAGCCAGAAGCCCCTGCCCTCACGCCCACCAGCACAAACAGGCCACAGCGGAGTCCCACCTCGAGTCCCAGTCTCCAGCGCACCGCCACCACAACACCCCTACTCAACCCCTCCCCCGCGCGTCGAGTCCCAAACCCACCACTCGTACAGCGGCCGACCCTCGCAAGGGAACAACCCAGCACCCCTAACCCAGAGCCACACGCAAAACCAGCAGCGCCCACAGCCTCACCCGCTCCACCCCTCTCCACCACCGCAGAACTACGGCTTCGGTCCACCCCCAGTCCAGCCACAGCGCAACAGACCCCCGCCCCAATCTCGCCCGCCCCAATCACCCGTCCCACCACCTCTCACAGCACCCAGCAATGACCCGCAACAACTCTACCCACTTTTCCGCGCCGCGAACGTCTCCCAGTCCAGCACGCTGACCGAGCAAGAACTCGGTTCGGCACTGGTGAACGGCGACTACACGTCCTTCCACCCGCGCACGGTAAAGATGATGATCCGCATGTTCGACCGCGACGGCAGCGGGACAATCAACTTCGACGAGTTCGTTTCGCTGTGGCGGTATCTGGCTGCGTGGCGGGAGCTGTTTGATCGGTTTGACGAAGATCGCAGTGGGCGCATTAGTTTGACGGAGTTTGAGAATGCGCTGGTTGCCTTCGGGTATAGACTCAGTCCAAAGTTTGTGGCTGTTATCTTTGGCGTCTTTGAGAGTAAGACTAAGCAGATGGGGGTTGCGCCTAAGGATCCTACTCGGAATGGGATGAGCTTTGATCTTTTTGTTCAGGCTTGTATCAGTCTGAAGCGTATGACTGATGTGTTTAAGCGGTATGATGAGGATCGGGATGGGTATATTACTGTTAGTTTTGAGGAGTTTTTGACTGGTAAGTTCTTTTGGCTTTGGTCTTTGGTCTGGATGGATGGCTAACTTGGTTCAGAAATTCTTCAATTGCAGGATTAATGCATTCTGGCGCTGTCATTATATTTCTGGTTGTCATTTGCTGGTCTTTACGCTGTCGTTTTTCTCTATTATACCCCTATCCCCCCATGTTGCTTTGGTCATAGAGTCATTCGAAAAATACGTTGGTCATTGCATGTCATCTAGGAGTTATTGAATTATGAAGGTCTTCATGCCAATGCGATCTAATCCAATCTTTTACCGGTAAAAGCATTACTGCCTAGGCTTCATGTGTCTTACGATGGTATATAGATCACATATAAAAGTACAAAGTAGGCCAACAGATCCCGTAAACAAAAGCAAATAGCTATCTCTCTATAGCCCCAGGAGACACTTGTCGATCTAATGAGTAACAACAACCAAACCCACAATCAATCTACTAATAGTTATAGGCAATAATCACTCTCCATCATAGCCATAGTCATCATCAACATAGCGGACTGATCAGGAACATACGCAGAAGCCCGATTCTCCTCCTCATCCTCTCCCTCTTCTGCTCCCGTTCCCTCACCCGTCTCACGTACTCCTGCCTATCCCACGCATCACGAGTATGAAGTCTGCGACACGTTCTGCAAAACACCCAGTCCTCATTTTGTAGTCGGACGCAAAGTTTCGCTAGTTGGGTGTCTGAGAGGGAGGATCGATTGCTTGGTCGGATGGCATGTCTGTTGGAATAGTATGGTCGTTTGTAGAGGTCTTTGTGGGTTCGGATTGAAGCCAGGAGGTAGAGGTATTTCCTGCAGCTTAGTGATAAGCATGCTTGGTCTACTAGGTCGAGGTAGTGGCAGATTTGGTAGATGGTTTTGTCGTCTATGTTGAAGATGGCATTTTTTGGTTTTGGACGCTTTTGGAGATGCGATTTTATTGATTGGAAGATGTCTCTGGTGGCTTTTGGTTTTGTTAGCTCTTGTAGGTGGACTTTGAGTGGTTTGGACATCTTGGTGTTTGGGGAGTATGGGGGATATGATGATGGTTATTCACTCGGTCTTATGAGATGAGGTTGGCAAGCTTCGATGCGGTCATTATGAGGGATTGCTTTATGTCTATTCCAGCTATACCCGCTTACTAGTACAATATCTCTATATAGATTGTAAATAGCCTGATGAAGCTATATAGACATTAATAGAGGCATCTATAGCCTAGGTATGGCGACCTATATACACATAAAACACCACGGCTGCCTAGGCAATGTAAATAGGAGGTCTGGTAGGAGAGATGACGCTCATAGACACTTGATCTGGATTAGAGCTGTCATCTCACTCTAAGCGATTTAAGCTACAAAATTCTCCAGTAAAGATTGGCCCCGATCTAGCTTGGCGTCGATCGACAGTGGATTTGATTGCTTGGGCCTCGGCTATTCAACCAGTCGCAGTTTCCCTAAAATGTGAGTAACTTAATAGGAAAAAGCGAATATTGAAGATGTTAGCGTCGGTGTCGGTGGTTAACGAACAGCCGACACCGGCTCCACTGCCATCTAATTTTATTCGGCTTAAACATGTCCGATTTGTGTTTAAACTCCGAAAATACGCTGTCCGACGCCTCTTTGCTTTTTTCGCTTCTTCTTTTATTTAGTCTAGTCATGCCAGTTTGACAGTTACACATATTTGCGACAGCTTTGACCTGTCGGCTACTATTGACGGATCGGGCTCTTCTTTAATCCCCGTTTCCAGGAAAACTCCGCCCTCTTTTTCTTCCTTCCTCACTCATCATGAGCGAACATCACCGCCAGGACGCTTCGAGCGCCGACACAGCTTTCGAGCTGGCTCATCCAGAGAAAGCGCCCGTCGATGCGCCCGAGCAATCCCCGACAGAAACACCCTCTCCACCCGACGATGCGGAGAATGCGATGGAGAAGACCGCGACAGGCCAGCCTCTGGACCGCACACCCTCCCAAGCAGCCAAGATGGGCAAAAAGAAGATCGTCATCGTGATGACAGCGCTATGCGTAAGTCAATGTGTCGCGCATAATGGCGCGTCCTATTGGAAAAAGCGGAGAAAGCTAATAGGTCGCATTCCAGTTGGTCTTGTTCCTCGCCGCTCTCGATATGGTATGTCAGATCCTACCCCTTACGTCGTGGATTTTTCTAACGATCTTGCAGACGATTATTTCCACTGCACTGCCCGTTATCGCTTCACAATTCCACGCGTCTGAGAGCGGGTACTCATGGATCGCCTCATCTTACCTCTTGGCAAATGCTGCTTGTATTCCACTGTGGGGCAAGCTCAGTGACATCTGGGGCAGAAAGAATATTATTTTGCTGGCCAATGTTGCCTTCCTGGTTGGCAGCTTGATCTGCGCCTTGGCGAAGAACATGGCCATGATTGTGGCGGGTCGTGCTGTTCAAGGTGTTGGCGGCGGTGGTATTATTATCCTTGCCAACATCAGTGTTACTGATATGTTCAGTGTGAGGTATGATAACCCCCGTTATTTACATTTGGAATGCAACTGACTCTAATCCAGAGATCGTCCCATGTACTACGGTCTCTTTGGAGCGACTTGGGCCGTTGCAGGTGCATTGGGACCAGTCATTGGCGGTGCCTTTTCCGGTAGTTCTGCTACCTGGAGATGGTGCTTCTACCTTAACCGTATGTGCCATCCTTTGCCGATTTAGACGTCATACTAACATGATCTTAGTCCCTATCGGTGGAATTTCCCTCGCTATCTTAACTTTCTTCCTTCATATTGAATCGCCCAAGACCCCGTTGATTGCGGGCCTGCGTACTATTGACTGGGCAGGCACATTCTTGATCATCGGTGGCACCCTAATGTTCCTCTTCGGACTGGAATTCGGAGGGGTGAAATACCCCTGGGCCTCAGTCACTGTCATCTGTCTCATCGTGTTCGGCGTGTTCGTCTGGGCATTGGCAATGTTCAGCGAATGGAAAATCGCTAAGTTCCCGATCATTCCTCCTCGGCTGTTTAATGAGTGGTACAACATCCTCATTCTTCTCGTCTGTTTCTGCCACGGCTTCGTCTTCATCGCCGGTACATATTATTTGCCGCTTTACTTCCAAACTGTCCTTCTGGCATCTCCTGTCATGAGTGGTGTCTACGTCTTGCCAATGGTTCTATCTCTCGCCATTACCTCCGCGGCTACCGGTGTCACCATGAAGAAGACAGGCCGCTTCCGCGAGTTGATTGTGGGAGGCATGTCCTTGATGCTTCTCGGATTTGGTCTATTCATCGACCTTAAGCCCTACGCCTCATGGCCCCGTATCATCATATTCCAGCTAATTGCCGGTTTCGGTATTGGCCCCAACTTCCAAGCCCCTCTCGTCGCGTTCCAGGCCAACATCCGCCCCTCCGACATGGCCACAGCAACCGCCACATTCGGATTCATCCGCCAGCTCTCCACCTCCATCTCCGTCGTTCTGGGAACCGTCATCTACCAGAACATCATGGGCCAACAATCCGACCAACTCCTCGCCGCCGTTGGACCCGAAACTGCCGCCTCCATCTCTGCATCCTTTGCTGGCGCTTCCAGATCCCTCATTGAAAGCCTCACCACATCCCAGCGCCAGGTCGTTCTCGGCGCTTACACCCACGCCCTGAGCCGCATGTGGATCTTCTACACTGCCGTCGCTGGCGTCGGCTTTGTTCTTTCCCTCTTCATTCGCCCTCGTGAGTTGAGTCGCCAACACACCTTCCAGAAGACTGGCCTCGCCGAGCAAGAGCGAGCCCGTCAGGAGCGGCTCGACGAAGAGCGCAAGGCCGAGTCAAAGCCCGAGATTGAGGCCTAATCTGGCTTCTTTTCACTTGCATATTTTCTAATTCCTATACTCCGCGTCGCACCGCACATATTTTTAAAAGCTAATGCATATGTCTCTAATATCGTTTTCTATCTTCACCATCAGACTTCTATCTGGAGGTCTACTTGCATATGAATCACGATTTACTGAATGTTGAGCATACATTTGTGATGTTGGATGTAGAGAATCATTGCTTTTCATAGGTAGTGTTTAACAATGCATGAAATGAAATTTTGCTACAGCTATGAGTATGACAAACATTTTGTATAAGCTATCTCTAGAATGGTGCGAAGCAAAAATCCACTATAAAGCCTATTAGATGTTACGTGAAAGTCTTGTCCAACATAATTGGTGAATTTATACTAAACTCAAAGCATCACTCACTGGCACAACATATCTTTCCCAGTCGTTTAAAACCGTGATAGATGATTGTTTCGGCTTAGAAGACTGAGACAAACTAAAGTCCCGAGATTTCCAAACCTGCTCAATAACCGCGCGCGTCCGAGAGACACTCGAGACACTGTTCTTGGCCATCCTAGTGAGCAACTCCAAGACAAGTCTTCTGCCGTCTGTCACTGATGCAGTCTCCGGGTCCGCCCAGAGTTCAGTATCAAGCGGATCCAGTTCTACAGCGGCAACGAAAAGAGGCCAGATGACGTGGCAGGCTGATTCTAAAGCTAGTAACTCAACAACCTCCTTTAATATCCTCCGAACGTAAGTCTTGATCACGTCTTCTGCTGGTTGCCCACCATATAACGCGCAATTCAGATAGACAACAGCAGTGAGTCGTTTCAATTCGGCGATCTTGTGAATAGTCAGGTCTTCTTTTTCATCGGTATGAATCTCTTGCCGGAGAGTGTGCAGCTTATTGCTCAACGTGGCAGCTCGAATATTGAAAGTCACCTGATCCTCATCTGAGATCATGAGCCGTCGTGACCGACTTAAGTCCATGACTGAAAATATGATCGAGACAAGAGCCGGGCTGCAGCCCATCCAAAGATTTATAGTTGTATCGTCCTCATGCCAATAGCTCGATCCGAAAAGGTCCGCTTTTGCACAAGCGGTCCGGCCCATCACGTCTTGAAAAGCGAAGAAAAGTTCCGTAAACGAGGATACCGGATCTTGCGGCATACTTTCACTTGTCTCTGTTAACAAACGCTGCTGCCGCCTTCGAAGTCGAATAATATCTTTCGCTCCTTGGAGATGGACAATCCACTGCTTGTCGCAGTCATCCACGATCTCGAAGAGACAGAGGAACATCACGATAACCAAGACTTCAGGGTCTTCCGCAACAAGAGAACAGGGGTCGATGTTGATTCGCTTTCGAAAGTCGTTTAGAACTTGCGACTTTAATTGCAGGCCGATGTTGCTGTATTGGGAGTCGTATTGGGACCAATGGCAAGCTGCCAAAGCCTGGATTGCTCGTAGCACTGTGGGCGAGGCTGATACACAATATGGAAGAATGACAGATGCAAATGGTGATTGTGACTGAGGACTATGTACTGTTCGCGGACATACTTGGTTGATATAATAGTCAAACAGCACTCGGTTTCCCAGTTCGTCGAGTGATGGAAATAGGGGGAGGGATGGTCGTATGTTCTGCATTAACACATTATTCATCTCCATAGGTTGAGAGAAAGAGAATGGTGACATTGAAGATGATGGTTTTAGCTCACAAGGCTCTTGCTCGCCGATGGCCATTTTTGCATCGAAAGCTGGCAGGAGATGTGGTTCGGTGTGGTTTTGTTCCTCGTCATAAAGCCGTCGGACAAAAGACATGTCATTATTTAGAAATGCCCAGGGATCAACTCTTGGGATTGCAAGCCAGGTAGCTCTTTCCGGGAAAGTCGAACTTGATGCGATTGGGCTCTGCCGCTTTTCAGGTGAGTTTTTGCTCCAACGCCCAGACCTGCCAAAGGCGACCCCACGATTACGGTAATCTGATTCCCATTTCAGTTGAGAAGTGCTGGAGCACTGCAGGTCTTTTTGCCAGCACCGGGTGCAGACTGGCTTTTGCTCGTCGCATTTGACCCTGCTTCGGCGGCAGTTTGTGCAACCATGGTGGGAACGGGCAGGTGCCTTAGGGTCACTTTCTCTTGTTTTTTGTTCCATCTGGTCTATTGTATTCATCTGGTTTAATCGAATCTCGAGGTTGAGTTTTCATAAATTCAATGCTGCTCTGATGTTAACATTTGAGGGTCCGGCAGGTCGATGCGATGACAGAGTTCGGGGTGGGGCAATAATTAGCCAATCAAATTATTCAAAGTGGATCATGTTTGGCTGTATAGTATCATTGTTATACCAGGGAGCTGTGATATCAGTGTTCGGCAATTCGAGGTAACCAAGGGTTTCAGTAGGCTTATAATTCCCCGCATATTTGCCTATTAAATCCCTTGACTCCGAATGTAAAAGCCAAATTATTTCGCATCTACATCACCCTACTTCAGAACTAGCATACTGTCACAGTATACTGTCGCAGTCTTCAAGCATAAATTATGGTTTTCAACCTTCGATGGGGCATTCTTGGTCAGTCTCGGTTCTGTTTGAACTATAGAAATCCAGGTGGCCGTACTGACATCTATATACTACAGCCACCGGCGGCATTGCAGAAAGTGAGTGGTCCAACCTGCACTCGTGGTGGTACGATGAAGCTAATTTGGTCGAAAGCCTTCGTGGAGGACTTGTTGCGGGATCCGACTGGAAGAGGAGTTGCAGACGTCACGCACACCGTAGCCGCTGTGGCATCATCTTCATCCAAGTCTTCAGCCGATTCATTCGTCCAGAGGCTCCAGATTCCCCAGCCATGCGCGACATACGGATCTTATGCAGAGGCCGTCAACGATGCCAGCGTCCAAGTAATTTATATTGCTACCCCACACTCACACCACTTTCAACATGCGATGCTGGCACTGGAAGCCGGTAAACATGTCCTATGTGAGAAGGCCTTTACCGTTAACGCAGCTCAAGCTAAGATCCTGTGTGAAACTGCAATGAAGAAGGGACTTTTCCTGATGGAAGCTGTGTGGACTCGGTACTTTCCGCTGAGTATTGAAGTGCGACGTCTTGTGCAAACCGGAGCAATTGGTGAGGTCCTGCGTGTGGTCTCCGATTTGAGCATTGGAGATGAGCCTGAGACTACCTGGAATTCCGACCATCGGATGATAAACAAGGACCTGGCTGGCGGCGCGCTCCTTGACTGTAAGTGTGATATCCTTAGCAGTTATTATTGAGATACATGCATAGTTGACTAAACATGTTGCAGTGGGGGTTTATGCTCTTACTTGGGTCTTCCAAATTCTTTATCACACCCTACCTCGATCTCAGCGCAAAGCACCATCACAGGTTACCTCTCACATGTCGAAGTACCCTGGAACCGGAGCAGACGAAGAGACGACCATGATCGTAACATTTCCTACTACGACGCCGAGCGCCCTTCCTGGCCGAACATCACACGCTGTAGCAATGACGGCCTTCCGCGTTGCTACGGATCCAGACAATCGCGGCTCTGCTGGCCCCTCCATCCAAATCCACGGCACTAAGGGGCACATCCAGATTTTTGGACCTGCCTATCGCCCGGAGCGATACCGTCTAGTACCAAGCAGTGAGGCAGGAGACGCGACTACTATCCAAGATGTTCATATGCCTGTCCCTGGCGGGGCGCGCGGTATGTTCTGGGAAGCTGATGAAGTTGCTCGCTGTGTGCGCGATGGAAAGCTTGAGAGCGAGAGTCTGCCTTGGGATGAGAGCATCACGATTATGGAAGTCATGGATAAAGTCCGGCAGCAGGGGGGCTAACTTATCCAGAGCGCATTGAATCGACGGATTACCCATTGGCTCTTTAATATATCGAGATATGATTACAGTAACGAATCCCTCGGCTTCTATATTACATATTTTTGGCTAGGAAGCACTTGCTCGTTACCTTTTATAGTATGCTCCGCAGACAGTCCTCTAATCCTCTCCAATCATTAAACAACTCTCTCAGTAATTTGTGTTCCCCGTTATCGAAAGTAACACATCGAGCCATGTTTGACACGTAGTGTACGATTTACCAAATTTGTAACGAACGATTCTCGTAAGAAGATTTCCATCAGGAGAAGAACGGAAATATGGTACGGATAAACATCATTTATCTATGTAATGGTATTAAGAATAAAGAAGAACCTAGGGCCAGAACATATTTGCAGGGTAAAGAACTCGACGTCATAGATCTTATAAACTCCGATAAATCAAGCAAACAGGAGTTCTAAGCGAGTTGATAACGGCCTCGGACAACTGTGCGAGTAAATTCTTTCTCGGCCGAGGCTCCACTTACCGAAATTGGAAGTGCAGGCCGAGAATTGAATGCGGCAAAAGACGCCGAGGCGTTCATTCTCGCTCCTTTCCGAGATCGTCCCTTCAGGGCTTAGTTGCGGGTTTGATTTGGCCAAGCAAGATATAAGCGGGGAATACTACCTTTTCAATTTCCTGGGGAAATCATGCACAAATTAGGTATAACAGCGAAGCCGTGACTCAAGTTAAGGTCTCGGGCTTTGATGATCAGGCCCACAGGCACATCGCCGACGTTGAACCGACTTGAGAAAATCCGATTTATCAGCCGAGTGGGCCATGAACTTGCAGGCGCATTAAAAGGAATGTATCTCCTTTCCTGCTTTTTTTTCTTTCTGTCGCAGGCCCCGTCCCCAGAGACAGCACTGAACATCTATAACAATACCTGAGAGAAAAGAATCAGATATCTATACATAACCGGTGAGAATACAACCCGGGAGTATCCAAAATTGCAGTCTAATCCCGAGGTTTCAAAATGCAGTCTTATCTGCAATACCGACGGCTAGGAAATGCCGTCCACAGACAGCTCAACGATGCCCCCGAACGCGGCGCCGCTCCCTCCGTGAACGAAACTCCCCATGAAACAGCAGTATCAACTCCATCGGATCAGACAGACGACGATGTTACTGAGACTGAATCGCCTGAGCTTGCTCAGAAGCCGACGCAGTATTCCGAGAAAACAGCTTATGGCAGGTCCCTTGCTGGTGTCGATATAAAGAAACAGCTCGACGCGAAGTCTCATATATTCGTTGTTGGATGGGAAGATGAGAATGATCCGCTCAATCCTCGGAATCATAGTACCACGAGTCGAATGGTTGCCACTTTGCTTGTCACAGCACTGGCTTTTATCGTTGGAGCTGCGTCGGCGATCGAGTCTGGAGTTTTGCCTCAAATCACGGAGACGTATCATGTCAGTGAAGTCGTGGGATCGTTGGTTACTGGTAAGAGCAGCTTCCTCCCTACCCCCCGGTTGAAAGCTAATATTGTATAGGTATCTACCTGCTTGGCTTCGCCGCTGGTTCTCTCGTCAGCGGACCCCTGTCTGAGATCCTTGGCCGCAATGCTGTCTACGCCGGTTCTCTTACTCTGTTCATGATCTTCATCATGGGCTCTGCACTAGCTCCAAACATCGGTGCCCAGCTCGCCTTCCGTTTCCTAGCTGGCATCTTTGGCTGTCCGCCTTTGACCTGCGCAGGTGGTACCATTGCCGATCTATGGAATCCCCTTGAGAAGACAATCACCTTCCCAATGTACGCCATCCTTTCATTTGGTGGCCCCGTCTTGGCTCCAGTGATTGCCTCGTTCATCGGCCAAACTGGTGTTCTCTCCTGGCAATGGACGGCCTGGATCATCCTCATAGCATCCGGCGCAATTATGGCTCTCATCCTTCTGTTCCAACCTGAGACATACTCTCCGTTACTCCTAAAATGGAAGGGAAAGCATCTACGCAAAGCAACAGGAGACAACCGCTTCCGCTCCGCAATGGACATGGAGAAAACCCCACTATTTACTCGGATCGGCGGCGCACTGAAACGCCAGTTCCTCATTACATTCCAGGAACCCATCATCCTCTTGATCTCCCTATACATGACTGTCCTGTACATTGTCCTGTTCACTTTCTTCGATGGATATACCTACATCTTCACCGATGTGTATGGCATATCACAAGGCCTAACCAATATCACCTGGGTGGCAATGTACATCGGGATAATGCTTGCAGGTCTCCTCGTCTTCCCAATTTACCACTGGACAAAGCGCGACTTCGTCGCAGCCGCCAAGGCAAAAAATGGTACTGATCTGGCGTCTCATCCGCACGCTTTGGATAATGTCCACACACAACCTGAGATCAGGCTTTGGTTTGCTATGTTTGGTGCGCCGTTGATTCCTGTTAGTCTGTTTTGGATGGGCTGGACCGATTTCGTAAGTTCCCGTGTACCCGTGCATACACATCCCCCAAAACAGATGCATACTAACTAACCCATCAGCCCTCCGTCTCAATCTGGTCACCTATCATAGCGTCGTCTTTCTTTGGTTTCGGTGCTATCTGCATCTTCATCAGTTCGTATATGTACGTCATCGACTCGTACGATATCTACGCGGCTTCCGCTTTGGGTTTCATGACTGTCTCGCGCTACTTCGCTGCTGGCGGTATGACTGTTGTTGGGATTGCATTCTACAAGAATATGGGTGTTCACTGGACTCTTACGATTCTTGGATGTATTAGTGCTATCATGGTTCCCGTGCCGTATGTGTTTTATCGGTATGGGCCTGTTATTCGGAAGTGGAGTCGGTATGCTGTTGCGGAGGATGTGACGGCGTGAGAGGTTCTAGGCACGGTCTTGGAACGTGAGAGTTGTATAAATTGTGTTTGTTGTTACTCAAGAATATTGTAGTTAGAAGGGAAAGCTTGGCATTGGATTCCTATCCAATGCCAAGACCCGAGCCAACGACCTTTTTGTTCCAGGGCTTTAGCTATCGGGCCTAATATTTACTTGCTAATCAAATTTATAGTTGAAACATTATTAGCATTGAACCTTTCCGGGCCGGGTCCACTGGTACACCGAACCTTGTTAACTTATACCTACTAGTAGCTAGCTAACTACCTAGATAGGTAATGCACGTAGGTGCCATGCCTATTCAGGCAGAGGGCACGAATTACGTAGTCCCATAAGTTACTGGATTACTTCTCCCGTGCCCCTTCGTATTTAATCAGATTCTATCAACCCTCCATCTGATCTATATGAACTGACTACCTTCGCTGACTTGAATACTTTGACTGGCTACTTTTGACTGATACCGTGACGATACTGTGGCTGAACACTTTGGCTGAATACTGTGGCTGCATATTGTGACTGCATACTGTGCCATCTTGGCTTGCCTGATCATCCTGACTAACCTGTGACTGATCTGTGACTAATCTTGTCATACTGGCCATGCACCCTCTCCACTAATCGTACGCTTTTCTGGTCTCCCGCCTACGAAGGGTGCAATATTTCAGACACCGAGAGCCCCAAGATCCCTGGTCCGAAAACGCTACCTGGGCTCCCTCCCAAGCTGCTATTATCTACTTCCGACTTCCTCTATTCAGCGGATATCATTTGCCTTTCACTATGCAATCGTCGTCTCTTCGCAGTGCTTGATAGGCAAAGAAAATGTCTAACTTTACCATTATACATAAGCAGTGGGAACCTCATTGTCTTAGGTAAACTGGCGCGCGATCTACCGAACTACTTCATTTGCGAGGTCTGCTTTTATCTTCAAAATTCCGACGGCTCAAAATTCCTCGGTACATCTATAGATGAGTGGGAAGGAGCCTGTGGAAATTTATGCTGGGCACAGAGCAAGCCGGAGACCTGTCGGTCGAGTTGGAGAATAAGAAGGATGTTACAGTCCAGGTCTTACGACACCTTTACAACCTTTTCACTCAACTTATTGTGAGGATCTTTCATGAGGGCCCACGGTCAAACAGCACCACCGAATCTCTATTCTACACCCGAATCCAACACCACTAATCTTCCCTCGCTATCGGTCAACCCTAAAATTATCTCGCTAGTTTCACTCGAAGTCCGGATCTGTCCAATGGGTATTTGCCTACGAGTGCAGTACACGCTGCTCATTCGCGCTACTCAACTATAACTACTAATGACGGTTCCGAGGATTTGCCCTATTTGCGCACACGTGTCGTACTCAAGGCTTACTGACTTGATGGTGCCTATTCTGAGGTCCTACAAAAATGGAGAGAGGGATCTTCCTTCGACTTACACTTGTGACGAATGCAGCACTCACACTCAGGTTGAACCTTGGGGGTTCGGTTCTGTTGCCGTTTTGGTCATTACACGGTGGATTAGCCTTGGCCGTGGTTTGACTCCTGATCATCGCCGATGGACGATCCATTGCGAGGAAGGAATGTTTGTCCGCAGAGCACTAGACCCATGTGATAAGGCAGTCAGTCCTCAGAGCTGTTTTGAAAATGCCTCGCATCGGTCGTTGGAGGTTTTGCAATCCTCTAACCTTGACTGCCTAAGTGATCCACGATACAGAGATCATGTTTCAGGCTTTACTGCCTGTAGCCGCATGATACTTGCCGTGCAAAGAGCCTAGAGCTTATTTGCATTGTGAGGGAGATTTCGAAGACGAGAAGTTGGTATTGCTTATAGACGTGCTAGCTGTGTTTCTTCTGTTTGTCTCATTTGCTAGTTGTCAGTCGGTTGCCCAAAATGAACAGAAGATTGGAAAAGTTTTGTAGACCTTGTCTTTGTCATACAAATCAAATACTCATACCTCATCGAGTCAACACCCTTTACTTAGGACTTTCATAAAAGGTAGCGGCTGGTAGGTTAGTGTGATCTGCATTCTCTCGCAGGGCCGGTCCCACTTATTGTACCCGGGTGGCTGATTGTCGATCAGCGTGATTGGCCTACGCCATAGCAAGCCCCTCTGTGAACTTCCTATAAAATTGAAACAGCAGATATCTTACTTATTACTACCTCCATTATTTCAAGGTGTTGCCCCAAAATATCGCACCTCCACCAACCAGACGCCGTTCCCCCTTATACTTTCCACACTTATTCGGAGTTCAAGCCCTGTGATGCAGCCACCGCTTTTTCATCACATCGCTGTCACATAACCTAAATCTACTCTGTCAGGACTGACGTGGAGGTATACATGATGTGACAATTGGCAGTACCTAGTTACATATTGTCCTTTGCACTTCAAGGTAGGTACCGGGGCGGGGTGTGTGGGCTCCTGTATTTTCCATTACAGTACGGTACTGTTGACTGTTGCATAATCCGACTCGGGGTGGCACTCTATAGAGCTCATGATATTATTTAAGAAACCTCCTTTCCTCGGTTTCTAAAACCAGTCCCTAAATTAGATCATACACATTCTCGCTTTGTCTCTCGATATCTTCGTTCTTCTGGCAGTCTTCACAATGGTCTGCACATGCAACAGAAACTCCGGTGACTTGCCTTTTGCGGGCGAAGAAGACTGGATGGTAAAATACCTCGATACTACTGAAAGCTCTCTCGGTGACTTGATATCTGCCTCCACCACAGAGTCATCTACATTGCCTGTTGACCATCTTCACGCTCGTCATCCCGTGCAGCATTCATCCGCACCTGGTGAACCCGACTTCGTCCAACTTGTTGCTTTGTCTGATCTGGACTTTTACTGCTTGGATCAGAACATCCTACCCCTTGCCTTCAACGATGGCAGAAGTGTCACTAGCTCGCTGAGCTATGCCAGCAGAGGGGAGCATGCTGCTTGGACTCATTCACTGCCATCCACTGCTTCTAACCCCCGAGCACAATAGCGTCGAGACCACGCGCAGTCTCAATCCTAGCAGCAATGCTACCCATATAGCTCCGTCGTCGTCGACTTACTGCTCGCAAGGAGTACCTCGACCGATCGTGAGTACCGATGGTTATGCTGAACCCGAGATGGCTTCTGGTCGTGGCCGAACACGCAAACGGAAACAAAGGTAAGGTATTTAGCGCAGAAATTCCAGCAATTTGGTTGTCTTTCTGACAATCATAAATTCTTAGCAGCTGCCAGACCCCTTACCAATGCCCCTGGAATGATTGTGGTTGCTTCTTCGCAACCAAAGGACTGCTGAAGCGCCATGTCGATACCCAGCACATTAGGCCCGGTTCTTTCATTTGCCCTGAATGCGGTAGGTTGTTTAATCGCAGAGACAACATGACTGAGCACCTGGGAAGGGTTCATTGGAAACGGATTTCAAGGCGTTGAGTTGGTGGTATATTTTAAGTTGAGAGTTTGGCTGAACCAAGTTATTGTGGAACCTGAACCATGGTTAGCTGATGCTGTGCAATGGAATGTACTGAGCCTCCTATTATGCATTTAGATCTTCACTCTGCACGCGCCTCAAGTATATCATTCTCTACAAGAAAGCGTTTTTCTTTCCCACGTGTAGAATGGAACAGATGGATTTGTAATTCTAATAATAACTGCTGGCTATCATATCTTTGCAATTGTGGGGGCTACCACAGGACAAAAAGTATTTAGTTCCTGATCGGTGATGATGGGCAAAAACAATATTGGTCAACCCGGCGGTGTGTAAATGGATGAGTTCTATTTTGATCCCACCGCCCGGTCAATTGCTACCCTGGATAGCCGGTGTAAAAGATGTTTGGAATTGAGTTCGGGAATGGAACCACTTAACGTCCCCACTCGTCGTCCGCCGGTTACGTATCGTTTTAAACACCCCCTTATGAATTGGCCACTGGAAAATACTGATCATGGACAAATCAACGATATGTTAGCTCTGCACAAATTTGAAGTGGCAAAGCATGCGATGGTGCCGTGCACGTTTTGACCAATTTATTGTAGGCCAAAATTTCGGGCCTGGTGCACGACCGACCATCAACTGGTTCGCAAACGGGGTGCTTTTCGGTTATTGACCCCAGGAATCCATACTGCGTTTGTTTGCAGTGTACCTCATGTAAGCTTTTACTCAGAGCTGGCAAACCTCTTCATGAATGCTCAGAATCCCTAGGGACGGAAAACTTTCGTTCCGACAAATGAAGCACGAACAAAATCTTGGCCAACTAGTGTAGATACACCCTCCCTCAATTTGTGCACATGAGTGCTTCCATTAGCCCTGTTACGAACAAGCTGCAACAAAGCCCACTTCCACAACGAGGCGTACGGCGTTTCTTTGGCAAAGATACTGTCGGTAACATCGGCTAACTGCTGGGGGTTCAGAATGTACAGAACTCAATGACACTCGATACAGAACGAATAAATCATTGAGCACATCATCACTCATAGCCACGTGGTATAAGGATTTAAACAGCAGTAGCGACAATGAAACGTGTTGGAATCTGCCCATCTCACCGCTGGCGGATTTTCACACCCGCCAAGTTTCGCTTAAGTCAGTTGTTGTTCACCCTCACGGTTAGATATCGGTCTATCATGTGTACCCAAATTCTAGGATTAGAGTCGTTTGTAGTGGGAATACTGTCAACGGCCTTGATTTCGAACTTCAAGGCTAATAATCCCTGGGACTGTTGTTGACGATTTCCATGCTAATTGAAGCTAATAAATGAGGTAACGGTGGGACTGATGTGTAATCTCGATTGGCAGCCTTTAATAGAGTTTATCTCTGTCACTTAAAGGCCCCGCTGACCACGACCTTGCGCTTTCTGGATGGCTAGGCTGGCGAGAGTGCCCGAACTTTCCCGTAGCAAAGGCTGTTACGAAACAGGCACCACAAAGAGAACCCGTCAAACTCTCCGGTAAAACCTTGCATCGCGTCTAGTAACGCCATACATCTCAAGCTTCTCAAGCTCGTGGCTCTTGATAAGATACTACAGAGCTTCACGACTGTTCTCATAGGATGGAACTGATTTGTTTAGAGCTAGTTCAGCCTAGTATCCTAGCTAGTGCTCGGAAGTTCTCGTTTATTCCACGACGATGCCTTTTAAATACAAGAAAATACTTGAATTCTCCAATTATATGGATTGATTAAAGACAGAGCTAAGATAGCACATAATTATAACAACGCAATTTCTAGCATTTGCAAATAGTCGAATCCCCTTGATATAGGATACACAGCCAAGGCAACTATACCTTAAACAAACTACACGATCATTTACCTTACTTAGGAAACAAAAATCTTAGTCAAAAGTCCGAGATGCTAGTCCGTTCTTATTGCCATAGGATCACACCGGGGAGTTAGTGCTCGCAGTATCTTCACGGCTTAGCTTCTGCTAACTAGGGACTTTAATAGCAAATTGCTTTAGCATTGACCTTAGATTTATTATCCTCTTTATATTAGACGAGATTCTTAAAGCTTTTCTAAAGAGTTTCGAAACGCTGCTTAGAGTATACTAGAAATAGCCTTTGATTGTATAACTCTCGTTCCGTAATCTGCAACCTAAGGCATAGCTAAGCATTGGCAGAACGAAGGATCTTAACCTCCTACTAAAGTCTGTGAAGCTCAGCTTTCTCCGCCGTGTAGCAATCCTAAAGCACCGAGTATAGTTCTAATATTTCTATGTAGGAGGTCCGGCTAAAGTGCTGTAAATATTAGAGGCTTTGCGTTTATGGTTCTGACGGAGTTAAGCAAGCCTAAAATGCTTTATCTACCTCGGAGCCCTAATATAGAAATCAGTCTGTATTCAAAAGAATTTTGAATATACTTACGAGGCATTTGTCTACACTTATATGATCATCGTTGATAATGGATTCGGCGTGGTTAGGTGATCTAGGGCCGGCCTCACCGTTAGTAGTATCTTGCTCGAAAATGAAGGCAGCCATCGATGCTAGACAAAGGCTTCACGACTTTGCAGTTTCGGTCTGGTGATATTTATATTACGCGACAATTATAATGATTTCGGATTGGCTCAGACTATTATTGTCGGAGCTATCTATTTTGAGGCTGATTTAGTTATGATGACGCGAAACATGCGGTTTTGCTGTGATGATCTCTCTTGCATATATATTTCTTGTTTTGAATCAATATGCCATCAATATGGAAGATTTTGCGGTAGTTGAATTGATGATGCGACGAATGGCGACGAGTAACTCCTTGCATGTACCAATATGAACGGTCTTCAAATCCCTAACTATAGCACAATACGTGGAAGCCCTCTTGATTCTCCACCCGAAATGGGGCTCGAAATAGGCTCGTGCCAGTATTTCCTATAACCCTCTGTTTGATTGCTATTTACGGAAACCAAAATACTGTACTCTTTAGCAATAAAAAGCTTTCAATGGTCCTGTTAAAATTGCTATCAATTTCCATTCATGGTTGCTCGAGATAGACAAAAAATGTCCTGACTTTGAGTTCAATTTCGTTCCCGCACAATCGACCGTTCCAAGGGCGGGTCAATTTTTTCGGTGCTCCTTGGGGCTTGAAATTACCGACTTTGGGACACTGACAAGTGCTTATCTACGAAACCGTTACGTAAAACATGTCTCTCTATGCGACTGGCGTGCAGATACAAATGAGTGTATACTTACCGAATAATCAAGTTTGAGTCTAAGCTTAGAGATGAATTGTGCTATGTTCTATTTAAGTATCTTTAGGCGACAAGCCAAGTCGGCTCAGTGCACGTCTTATGTAGTTCTTTGGTCAAAAGCTCATTTGATGTTCAGAATCAACTAGTACAATTACAGATCGTTAACGAATGAAGAACTCGATACCACACAAACTTTGGTATCTCGGTGAACGTACTCTATCGTCAAGAAGTTTTCAGGCTATTCTCCTTATGCTCCTTCCAAAGCTAGGGCCACTATTGTAATGCTTTTGTTCGGAACAAGTGCATTTTTTCACCTTTAACAAATTATAGAGACAAAAACGTGGTACTTTTTTGCTTTTCTCATCGGTGCCTTTAGCGAGTACTCAAAACGCACAACTCTGAATGAGAGTCGGTGAGAACACTGTAGTTCGTTTGAATTCTATCTAGTTACTAGAAACTATTAGGAGATTTGTCGATTGCAGTGGTGTCGACACCTGTCCGGGCAAGATTATGTAACATATTTGGATGAAATTCGGTTCGTTGAGTACGGAGATGGGAAGCTGGGAAAGTGTTGAAGAACCCTTGCAAGCAATCCTGCTACAAAAAGAGCTAGCAGAAGCAGGGAAAGAAAGTGCAAAACAACGTCATGGGCTAACATTTGGCCGAGCAGGCGAAATTCCCACCGCTGGCAATAACACCCATGTTTTCTTGACAGGTCGTATTTTCGGCCTCACAAAAGCACAACGCCAGTTAGCCGTCGTTGCAGATGATATCCAATTTCTCCCAACCCCAGGTCATCATTTGCCCACCACCCCCTCCTCGACCGGTAAACGGAAGCGCGTTGGCCGTTGGTCCCAGAGAGCCAGTCCACAAACCCCGACCAAATCGGCGGCAAGACCGCGGACTGAATCACTTCCCATCAGTAGCCAGCTCCCGAGCATCCCTGACATAGCTGCACTTGGACTTGAAGATGAGGATGCCACGCAAATGTTCATAAAGGTCGGTCCAGAGACTCTGCTTTCTATTCCTCTCCTCCCTATATCGGTCATTCTGGATATATCGAATTTTGAAATGCACCTGGCCCTTGTGGATGCGGAAGGCGCTCAAGACGCCATGGCCGCCGAGAGGCATATGTCCGGAAGGTATAGGCGTGAAGTGGTCCGAGGCAACGCGATAGAAGGTTCCATTCGATAGAGTCTGGGAAAGTGCCTCTCACCATAACATCACCGATTTCACCCTCAAGGCGGATTGGCATATCATATCCACCAAGATCCTCGGTCGGGGACCACCTAGACCGAAGATCCTCGGCACCTTTGATAGGAGTAGAGGTTGTCATATTGATCAAGAAAGAGTTACTCGAAAAGTAAGGTTTATGATGATGAGATGTAGATGGTGACAAGAGATGTCGTAAAACATGTACAGGAGAAGCAGCTGGCTTTATACTTATTCTATATGCAAAGCTGACTGTCTTCGAGTTACAAGGCTATTTTAGTTCCAAAGTTTTTTGCTTATTCCGTCCGACCTCTTTGTATAAATACTGTTCATTGTGCACTCTTCCTCTTCGATCCACAGATATTTATTTTTCAAATCATCCTCCATTGGTTCCAAACCTTTCAAATTCAGAATCTGTCCTTCCTCGCCTCAAACCTCTTACAATGGGTTCCATTGAACGGAAAGCCGAGATCGACTTCTACGACTCTCCCTATCTAACGGAGAACTGGGATATTATCTCTCAAGGCTCCGAGGGCTATGATTCTGACGTGATCTTCTACTGGAACGTATTCCTCGAAGTCAAGGAATCGAGCGAGTCCCATGAGAACCCATCCGTCCCTCTCATAGTGGTCGACGTGGGGACTGGCACCGGTCGGGTTCTGAAAGGCTTAAACCGCTACGCCGAACAGAACAATCTGCCCCTTCCCGAAACAGAATTTATCGGGATTGACATTTCCCAACATATGCTCGATCGCGCAGCTGAGGAAACTCTTTCCCAGGTCGGCAGCGTATCCTGGATATGTGGATCGGCAATCGAGTTATCCACGTTGTTGGAATCGAGCAGCAAACCCTCCAAGGTGGATTTTGTTTTCAGTGCGGTCCACAGCGTTGGACATCTCATCCATCCCGGCGAGCTCGAGAAGTTCTTCGCCGACGTTGCCAAATTACTCCGTCCTCATTCGGGACGGGCTTGTATTTCCATCTGGAAACATTACCTGTTGTCCACTGACGATGAAGAAGCTAAAACGCAATACAACGACATTGGAAGTCTGCCAATGGTGCTCGCCAGCAAAAAGTTCCCGGGCGTCTTGTACCGTAATCACTATCATGGGGAAGAACTAGCAAACGATATCTTGGCGTCCAAGACGAATGTGCAGGTGTTCCGCCAGCATGAGAATGGTGAAGAGGAGATCATCGAAAGCATCCCAACCGTGCTGAGATACAAGATGTTTCGAGAGCCGACGTTGTTGCGAATCCTTGAGAGCTCCGGCCTAGAGGTTCTGAACAAGGAGACAAACGTGATGGATTTTGTCTTTACTTTGAAATTGAAATGAACCATGTACTTGCAATTGTGTAACTAGTATTATTGTAAAGCTCGTTACACAATAGACTGTGCTCTTGCTGTTTTTCCATGACCTATCACATCTTTCATCCCAATGGCCTTTGACCGTGCTGCATCATCCTCTCCATCCAAGACCCATCCCTAATCAACACGACTATTGAAGATGGCGCAGCTGAGTAGAGTCGCCTGAGCTGCAATGTCGATCTTAGAGTGCCCAGAATTATGTACAAATATCCATTTCCTATGATGGAAACCTGCATATGTATATGCTCATCTAGTGATGTGAGGATGTGAGACTGCCCGCTAAAGTCTTCATGCAGGAAAAATTTGAAATTAATATAACGGTACAATACGCAATATTATAATACAAAACGGCAGTACAGTACTGTTTGTGAATCAATAATTACTACAATGAAATACCAGTACACGCTGGCTGAGTCGGTGTTCAGGCATATTCTATCTCAGTACATATTCTCGGTACATATACTCGCAGCCAGCCCATCGCATCGAAACCACCAACCTCGCTGCATTTCTTTGTAGAAGCCAATCCTTTCAAAGCACAATGACGCTCTCCCAATTCCTTTCCAACACTGGAACGGAGAAGCTGACCCCCGATGATATTCAGCTTCTCCAAAAGTGGAATGCCGCCACCCCGACGCCAGTCAATATGTGCACGCATGAACTCGTGCGTGAAGTTTGCCTCGAACAACCTGAAGCTATCGCAATCTCGGCTTCAGATGGGCAGTGGACCTATGCCGAAATCGACTCCTTTTCCTCCGCTCTGGCCAGGCGGCTCATTAGACTAGGAGTGGGCGCAGGTGTCTTTGTCCCCATTTGCATCGAAAAGTCCTGCTGGGTCATAATTGGAATGATGGCCGTGCTGAAGGCCGGGGGTGCTTTCCTCTTACTGGACCGCAGCCATCCTCCAGATCGCTTGCTGGGAGTGTGTCAGGATATTTCGGCTACTGTGGTGCTGGCCTCCGCGTCGTGCTTTCATCTGGCCACCATTTTGGCTGAAACAGCCTTGGTGATTTCAGAAAATGTCAGCACAGTGGATAACGACGATTGCAGCATGGAGTTTTATGCTCAGTCGCAAAGTCCCATGTATGTCGTGTTTACGTCGGGTTCGACAGGAAAGCCCAAGGGAGCCGTGGTCTCGCACTCGGCGTTCACATCGATGGCTACCGAAGTCCTCCCGTCCCTCGGGATAAATCGACAATCGCGAGTGCTACAGTTTTCATCTAACGCGTTTGACGCTATTTTGTCTGACTATTGGATAACGCTATTGGCAGGTGGCTGCGTATGCATCCCCTCGGAGTCGGAGATCCAGAATCGCCTCTCGCCATACATCAATGAACTCAACATCAACTGGGCCTTTTTGACGCCTTCTGTAGCGCGGATCCTGTCTCCCGAGCAGGTTCCTACCATACAGCATTTGGCAATAGGTGGAGAGGCTATATTGCAATGTGATATCGATATGTGGTCTCCTCACGTCCGGCTGATTGGCATGTATGGTCTAGCCGAATGTGCTGTATTCTCGGCGGTTCAACCAGACATGTCCAAGGCTATTAGTCCGTCGAGTCTCAACCATCTCCTAGCAGTCAACGGATGGGTAGTTGACCCGCAAGATCACAATATGCTACTCCCGGTCGGCGAGGAAGGGGAGTTGCTTCTGGAGGGGCCTTGTCTTGGGGATGGTTATGTGAACCAACCCGAACTGACCGCTATGGCATTTATTGAATCCCCAGCGTGGCTGGGCATGAGCGGAAAGAAGCGGCCAGGGAATGGAAGGATGTATAAAACCGGGGATCTCTTCCACTTGAATTCGGATGGAGTGCTTCAGTACCGAGGACGGAAGGGTACACAGGTGAAGCTTCGGGGCCAACGAATTGAGCTAGGCGAGGTCGAGTCCGTTGCCCGTGAGTGCTGCCCTGAAGCCCGCGGTATTGTTGCAGAGGTAGTGCGGCGTAATCATGGACAGCTCGTGAATCTATGTCTCTTCCTGCACTATGCCCAGGACCAGGGCACAGATGAACGAGGCGCTGAGTCTAGCACCATCTTTGAGAGACCAACAACAAGGTTTCAGGATCAAGCGGACCAGTTACTGCTGCAGCTGCGAGAAAGACTGCCTCGATATATGGTTCCGGAGTATGTTCTACCCATTAATTATATCCCAAGGACCACATCATCCAAAACGAACCGACGCTTGTTGCGCGAGAAAGCTGCTGAAGCGTTACAACAGTTCCCGGCAGCCCAAAAGGGTAGAAGTTCTCCTAAAGGATGTCCCACGACAGAGATGGAAAAAAGGCTCCACGGGCTGTGTGCCAGGATACTGAAAGTTCCAAGTGAGAGCATTGGCATTGCCGATAATTGGTTCTATATCGGGGGCAATTCTGTCTTGACGATGCAGCTGGTTGGAAACGCAACCAAGGAGAACCTCTTGTTCGCCGTCCAGGATGTATATCGGCATCCGGTTTTATCTGACCTAGCTGGAGTAATCCAATATGTTAGCGCTTCTAGCGAGACTGTCAAACCCTTCACGCTTCTTTCTGGGGATGCTGCAGTCCAACAAACTATGATTCAAGAAGTTGTTGAAAAGTACCCGGACTCTCCGGACGATGTGGAAGACATATACCCCTGCACAACAAACCAAATCCAGTGCATCCAATTATCTGTCGCGAATGATGCCAATCTCACTGTACAAATTGACCTAGAGCCCGTTACAGGCTCCCTCGATTTGGATCAGCTTGCCCACGCATGGAGCATTCTTATAGACGCCCATCCCATTCTTCGTACTCATATCGTGGAGTTAGAACAAGGTGATTATTTCCAAGTCGTCAGGAAAGGTTGCATCCCCATCGAGCACTCCTCATCATGGCCAACAGTAGATATGGATATATGGGGACTCGGCCAGCCGTTACTTCGACTTATCCGGCAAGACGACCGATTCATGATGCTATTTCACCATGCCCTCCACGACGGTTTTTCGCTGGCGCTTGTGCTCCGCGATTTTGAAAGAGCATATCGCGGAGAGACATTGCAGCTACAGCCGTTCAGTCCATTTATACAATGCACCTTGGAAATTAACTCTCACGTGGATGAATTCTGGAAGAGCATGTTTTCGGGATGGCGACCAGCGGTGTTTCCTCGCCTTCCCCATCCCGAATACAAGCCTCGTGGTGCTTGCTATCGAGGCAGGACACTCGCAACACAGAAGCAAGGCTTGAATGAGTTTATGATAGACACCAGAATTCGTCTAGCACTGGGGCTCGCATTAGCCAAAATTACAGGCAATTTGGATGTGGTGTTCGGAGCCCATGTTAACCGGCGCGATATGCCTCTTCCCGGTATCACTCAGATGACTGGGCCAACTATTGGTACATATCCAGTTCGTCTACAATTCGGCTCACTGGAACAAACGTTGAAGGACCACCTGATGTTAATTCAGAACCAGACGGTTGAAACTATCACCTTCCAGTGCGCTGAACTGGATTATATCAAACGATTGAGCCCTGAAGCAGCATCGGCTTGCGAGTTTCAGACTTCGCTCATGGTTCAAGCCAATCTTGACGATATGGTCCCTTTTCCTTTCTCACAGTGTCGCTACCGTGAGGCTCCGTTCGAGTGTTGGAGTCTAGGTTTCGTGGTTGAAACCCATCCATCCTCGCTGGATTTGCATGCATTCTACGACGAGAAGATGATTAAAACCGCAGAAGTGGATTGTATGCTGGATCTGATGTCTGAGGTTCTTGAATTGATTGACCGGGCTCCTGGCAGCAGGATTGGCCATCTTCTTGAAGTCTGATGCTCCTAACTCTGTCTCGTACATCTCTGTTATATATCTTCCACAAAGCTTCGTATATCTATTATGCTCTTGATCGAAACACATATTCTTCTTCCTTTTTCTCTACTCATCATTTTCCATCTTCAATTTCGATTGTTTTTGTTTCCGCTCTATGTAGGCTTTCATCTATTAGGTGGAGAAATGAAAAGAATCCTGGAATGAAGAAAATAGTAAGATTTAAATAAATCCAGTTCCTTTTCATTTCTCATTCGATGCCAATGTAGAGGTCTAAGGTTTCCTTAATTCAAATCCACGTTTCACCCGCTGAAAGGAATATATTTCACACCGCCATCCACCAAATGCAAAAATCATCAAACTAGGGACTACACGACACAACACCTGTGGAGTGATAGAATGCCATCCATGAACAAAAGGGTGTTTGAATCAATTTAGTAAAATCTAACGGGGACTTGTGGTTTAATTACAAGAGCTGACAAGTTGGAAACCGTCAATGGTATTTAATTTTTTTACCCCTCTTCAAGCCAAGACTATACGCGCTGATTATTCTGTCGATTCGTACTCAGCTGAATCCAGTTTGAATTTGACAGACGGATTGCGTAGTGTGCATTAGTGTTCTGTTTATTGGACGGAAAAATAAAAAGAAAAGAAAACTTGATGTGATATAGATTCAATAACAAAAGCCGCTCGCGCATGAACTCTGGTCTATTGCAGATCAGTGACTATGGATGCAGATGGATGGAGTCTGAAGTTAGTTGAGGTAAATAGAGCCGAGTAGTGTATGGTCTACTTGAAGACCTGCAAGCTGCAGGAGTGGATAACAGACTTACAGTGTAGAATTCAGAGCTGAATAGTATATATTGATAGTGGATAGATAATATTTACATCGAATATTTACTAGTGCCATGCAGCTACTTTTCATTGAGGATCACTTCATGTAAGGTATGTACATGTACGAGTATTATATGTATGTATTGTACAGTGAGCGATGAAATTCATGATTTTTACATTTTCAATACGATACACAATTCTCATTTTGCCAAGCGCAAAAGGTGATCTCGGGGCCTTGGTGGTTGCCTGTAAGAATCTCGACTCTCCTGTGTTGATGGGGCTTACTGCATTTGCCAACTCCCCATCAATCCGGAGGAGCTTGGTCCAGACTTTTTCGTGGGAAATTTGCGTATGGCTGTGTCTCACGGGGGTGTGCCATTTTGTATGTGCCGTTCTTAAACCAGTCCTTGTTCCGGACGAGCTCCCTACTAGTTGGGGGTTCTCACCTAAGATTGGTACCTACGACAGTCAGTTCAAGAAGACAAATGGCCGGCAAACTCCATTTGAAGCTCTCTTCGAAAGATTTGGAACAATGGAATTAGCATCCCTTGTTCAATGTTGTGTATTTCTGAAGCGCTACAGTTCCGAAACGCGGTGGCCGGTGGCGAGAGCCGGATCTTTGTATACTTGATATTCTTTGTCGACGTGGTTAATGGGATCGATTCCATGTACCACGACCCTTATTTTCGTAATTGTGAGAAGTGGCCCACCCAAGAAGTGGCTAGAGATTACTATATATAAAAGTGATATGGCTAGGAGGTAGTATATTTCAAATGATTTAAGTGATTATTATTTTCAAACTCTTTGGAAAATTTTGGAAAGATGAAGAATAATTGATCTACATATCAATATATCGTCCTATAGAGGCATCTTCATGGATAGAAACTTGTCCTAGATACCGCTAAGTCCCAAATGACCATTCAGATCGATCTTCCACAACCCCCATAGTTATGCCCGTCGCACACCAGTCAGCTTGATGTTCAATGGCCGATGCTCCCAGAGACCATATTCTTTAGACTCATGTGGATCGATATTATCCGGCTGTGACTCTAGGTCAAAATTCCACAGCAGCCGGGCCAAGGTAAGGCACATATTTGACATGGCCAAACTGTTTCTCTCATCATTAGCTTGACTCATATTCCCAGCTCGAATGGGAAGGGAGCAATACGTACTTCTGTCCAATGCAGTTCCGAGCTCCAATAGAGAAGGGATGGAATACAGAGCGATTATCTGACTCAAATTGGGCGTCTCCGAGCCATCGCTCGGGAATGAATTGTTCTGGGTGTTTGAAGTACTTAGGATATCGATACGCGGTGAGCTGGGTCACTGACACCCATGTCTAAGTGAGGTTTAGTAAAGATATACAAGTGGGATTTACAATGGAAAGAACGACTGAGATCACGTACACCACCTGGCACAAAGTGTCCATCTATGAACCGACCGCTCTTGGGCACGATGCGCGGTAATCCAACCGGGACACTGGGATGAACCCGCATACTTTCATCAATCACTGCCCGGAGGTATTTCAACTGCATAACAGTGGCGATGGTAATTTCATTCTCATTTTCGAATGAGTCCCGAATCTCTTGAACCAAAGTAGTATAGCTGTGTGTGTTGTGAGTGATGTAGTATACCACCGAGGCCAGTGTTGTGGCCGTTGAGTCCCCCCCCGCGGTAACGAGGATATTAACATTATCCAGCAACTCCTCATATGACATTCTATCATGGATAAATGAGAGGATATCGTGACGATCCGGAGCTAGCTTCTCAAGTCGAGCTCGCAGAGTCTTGGTACAGTTTTCCAAGTGCACCTCATATTGGTTTCCAACGTCCTGGGGGATCAACCACTCAAGCAGGCGATGATAAGGCTTAAGGCGATGAGCACTTTGGATCAAGGTAGAGTGTTTGATGGCGCCGTAGATGACCTTGATCCAGGGATGATACTGGCCACTCTCTAGGGACCCGATACTCGCGCCAAAGGCCAGGGAACTCAGTACATCAAAAACCTCAAAGTTGAACCACGCGGCCATGTTCACAACGCCATCCTCACGGGGGAAATGCTCCAGACCGTTACGCTTACGAAGCGAAGTCATCATATGATCCAGACATTCCTGAACCAAGGCTTCTTGTTTCTTTACCGCACGTTCTGAGAAGGCAGGAGCCATCATTCGGCGCACGGGGGCATGCTGTCGGCTGGAAGCGAAGAAGATATTCGTGGTATCTTCGTTCCCCTGCAGGTAGGCGATGCCATTCTTCTCATAGACATTATCCCAGCCAGACTTGTTACCGTAGATCTCCTGCCAGGCGGAGGCACTGATGAAAGACAGTTCATTTGATGCGGTGCGGACAATCTCGCCGTACTTTGCGTGTTGCTCGGTGATGTATTTGGCAGAGTCGCCCTTGCATAAGTGATATGACCAGACCAGTTGCGATAGGGCGTCGATTTTGGGACCGGGAAAGCGCCTTAGAGGATTCAGAAATAGATGATAGAGGGCAATGAGGAAATGGATGGGGAGCAACTAGAGAGGAGTGAGCAGAGAAGCATCATTTGCCATTTTGGCACTATTCAGATAGCTTACCAGACCAATGGCCGCGAGAAGGCATGCCAAAATGCTCAACATGTTGGCATTAACAATCAAGCCAGTCAGCCAAGGTGAGTAGGAAAATATTTGCCCTGGTGGCTTCATGCGTAGGAAACGATGTCGAAAGCACATCCTCTGCTTTTGCGGTGATCATTTTGACTTGTCTCGATCCTGTATGATGACCACGTCATCCAACCGATTGGTTGAGTTTACAGCTCTAAAGAAGTTCAGCTGCAAGTATGCTTTCTTTCTTTCTTTCTTTCTTTTTTTTAATTTTAATTCCTAATAATCTTGATTCGGAACTTGACCGATTCACAGCTTTTGGGGGGCTGAGCTGAGGTTTGTCAATCCTCATATTAATGCAAGAAGGTGGATTACGATTTATGACGGAGTGAAATATTTCAGTATCATGAAATAATACTATACTAGGTACATAATGCCTTGGATACCGTATTACATATACCATATACCATACACGATATTACACCTCTGATAATACTGACATGATATTTCAACCCCGTCGGTTTCCACAACGAATTTACGAGACAGCCAAATCATTATCCCAAGAGAATTAATCCCAAATTGACCGACATGGCCACCAACCAAGCAAGTCAGTTAGCCCTTATTTCTCTAAAATGTACTTCTCAGATTGCTGACGACGACGGTGACGATGATTAGAACCATTTGCGATGAGAGAAGTAAGTTCTCTCCCCTTTGGGATTTTCGATCAGGTACTTACTCATATCAGGAGGAAATGGAACGGCTAGGTAGGTACATGGATTCTACATTGTAAAGCAGCAGGCAATTGACAGCTGCAGACGATCTCCACACCATTTGCAGTATGATGGCTGATGGAGAGCTCGGTTGGGCGCCGGTTCACGCTCCCAGGACTGTGCTGGATCTGGGTTGTGGCACAGGTAACTGTTTTCCTGGATGTGTTGCTGTATCAATGAGCCTGTCTTACCTTCGTCGCTGTAGGAATGTGGATGACAGAGTTCGGTATGTTTGCCTCCCTCCTTGAGTCCAAGGAAGAAGTCTAATGTTGAAATAGCACACAAGCATCCCAATGCCAGGGTAAGTGACCCACATCGCGATAAAAACCATCATTAATCGTTTTAGATTATCGGCTTGGACCTCGAACCAATTGATTCTTCGAAGTAAGAGATTCTTAACTCCCGTAATTGGGAAATGAAACCATTACTCACTCACTTGAATAACAGACTGCCACAGAATTGCAGCACGGCTATCGCTGACTTAGAGAAAGAATGGCCTGTCAGTCATCAGTTTGACTACATCCATGCGCGGTGGCTGGTTGGCTGCCTGTTTAACTGGCCGCTCTTCTTCAAGCGGTGCTATGCCTCGTTGGAAGAGGGTGGGTGGATGGAAGTACTAGACATTGGATTCCCCTGTCAATCCTCGGACGGCTCCCTTTTCCCCAACAGCGCAATTTCGAAATGGAACGACCTCCTGGTCAAGGCCGCGAAGGTTTCCGGTCGCGAGCTTACGGTCGCCGCGAAGTTTGGTGAGTTCATGCGCGAGGCTGGGTTTAAGAGCGTGACGATTATCGAGAAACGGCTGCCACAGAACCCGTGGCCTGAAGACGCAAAGGAGCGCGTCTTGGGAGAGATTGCCCTGCCCATTCATCAGGACGGACACAAGCGACTGGGCCACGACTACCTGATTCCCAACATGGGCATGTCGATTGAGGAAGTTGATATCAAATTGGAAGTGGTGAAGAAGGAGATGGAGAATCCCAACATCCATGCCTGGTGGCCGATGTAAGTTGTTGCCTGAAACAATGCAAAACTGAGATTTATTTACTAACTTTGGAAAGCCACATTGTATATGGACAACGTTAGTTGAACTATGTCGAGTCCTATTAGTAAATCAGAATCTTGTTCCTACGCCGTTGCAATTGTGAACTAGCCGTGCACGATCCCCCCCCAACTAAGGCACCGCTCCTCAGGGGAGAATCAATATTATTACAATAAAATAAATCGAGGAAAACGCCTTTTAGTAGTAGAGATAGCAAGGAAAGAATAACTCTGAAGAAGTAAGAAAAAGAGCGTGTAGCCCGGAAAGCAGCGAAGGAAGTTTTATATACCGAGATAGATGCTGAGATTGATAGCGTATCCCCTCACCCTTAGCTACCCTAATTCAAACCTAACCCCCTTTACTATAAATAAAAGCTTTATCTTTACATAGTTACATAGAGGTGATCATAGTTAAATAGTTGAAAAGTGGTTGGCTTGGCGGTAATAGTTATATTTGCATTGAAAATTATGTTGCGATTGGGAGCACCCCTTTCGGAGCGGGGAGGGGGCATGCACGGCTACAGTTAGGTTTTCATATTGTCGCTCCTTGCACCAACTCTAAAAAAGCAAAAAAAAAAAAAAACCATTGTCTTTTCTATGAATGTGTCTTTAAATAACCTAGGTACTTGCTCATCAACGCTCCATCCAGCTCGGGAAACTGAATTCCACCCGCATAATCCTTCATGGCCTGTTCTGTATTGCGAGTCTCGTACACAGGCATGTTCTCATACAACTCCCATCGTGTCAAGCCGTTGTGTACCTTTTCTGTCAACATGGGTTGCAGCGCCAGCAACCTCAACGGAGGCGCCTCGGTCAAACGCTCAATCCATTGCTGGTAGGGAACGCCCACAATGGCACTGCCGCTCGCCTGGTTGACCAGCTTCATTGAATCATCCATGTCGATTGACAGGGAGGGATGAGGTGGGACAATATGATAGGTACGGCCTATAGACGCCGCTGTGGATGCAATGTGCAGGATTATGGCATTGACATAATCCACGGGCACAAACTCTTTACGCTGGCTAGGAAGCTGTGGGTAACAGCCCATCTCGCTGCAGGCTTGGACCAGGCGACTAAAGAAATCATCGGGATTGCATGCCCCCGTTTGGCTGTGGCCAGTGATAAAGCCAGGGCGATACACGGCGACTGGGAATCCACGCTCAATCAGCCGTCTGAGAAGTTGTTCCACTACCCACTGACTCTGCGCGTAACCATGGTCATACGGCAGGGAGTCGATGTGGCTCATCAGCGATTCATCCTCCTTCACAAGCTGGGCTCCGGTAAAGTAACCTGTGGGACCAAAGCAGGAAATACTCGACACGTAGTGTACAGCCTTCACCCGGCCAGTCACAGCCAAGCGTATGATGTTGAATGTGCCGATTGTATTCGCAGGACGATGTAGCGTATATGTCTGGGTGTAGTTGACCTTGGCACCCAAGTGGAAGATAACACTGGCCCAGTTCGCGATCTCCTCGAAACGCTCCACACCAAGACCGAGGTATTCGTCCTCTAACAGACCAGGGAGGGGCAGAAGCTTGTTCACGAACCGTTCCTCCCACAGGTCGTACTTGGCCATCGCCTGGCGTAGGCGTTCGAAACCCATTTTCGAGTCTACGGCGCGGACGAGACAGCCTACTTGATAGACATTGGGCATACGGAGCATATCAGCCAACAGAAAAGCACCAACAAAGCCCGTGGTACCAGTGAAAAACACACGCCCTTCAGTATCACGAGTCCAGTCCACCACGGGCGCTGTTGGGGTCGGAAGAACATCAGCTATGTACGTATCTGCAATCCATTGCTCTCTCTCGTTGCGCACAACTTCCACCACGCCGTTCCGGACTTTTTCAATGGCCGCTGTCAGGCCGCCCAGCGTGGAGTCGTCGTATAAAGTGAGAAGTGAGAGATTCAACTGAAAGGTAGTGCGGATCTGACTGATGAGCCAGGATGCCTGCAGCGACGTTCCCCCAAGCTGGAAGAAATCGTCACTGTCCTTCAAGTCAGAGTTGAGAAGGCCGAGTATGCTCGCCCAGGCAGTCGCTAGATGGGTACGGTTATCACTGTCGACTTCCGCATTCACGCGACATAGTGTTTTGTACGGTGGGGCCTGCGTCCATCGCCGGCGATATCGTTGGGCCAGCAGTTTGCGGTCAACTTTAGCATGGTTGTTGAGGGGCATCTTGTCGATCAACTCGATCTGAGGCACCATGTAATCCGGGAGCACGGCGCGAACGGCTTCTGTCACTGCATGGAGTGAGACATCGCTAGCGGAGGAGGTTGGCACCGCATATGCGACTAAATGAGAGCTGGCCCCCTCCGGCACGGCATCGACCTTGAGGGCAATCGCCTCTGAGAAGTGGCCTGTCTTCATCAAGGCCGCCTCCACGGCCTCAAGTTCGATGCGAAAGCCACGAACTTTGACTTGGTTGTCCCGTCTCCCAACATAGTCGATCTGCCCGTCAGGACGGCGACGAACTATATCGCCCGTGCGGTACATACGCACGGGGGACCCATCACCGAGATCCACTAGGACAAAAGCCGTTTTGTTCTTCTCCGGCCGATTGACGTAGCCAGGAGACACTCCGGGTCCAGCCACCCACAGCTCGCCGGTTTCACCATTTTCTACAGGCTCTCCAGAGTCTGGGTCACGAATGTGCGCCGTAGTTCGGCCAATGGGCTTCCCAATACTGACTCGTCCCGACTGGATATCGTCCTCTGTGATGCGGTGGGCGAGACAGAGGATACAGCACTCCGTGGGTCCATAGGCGTTGATGAGGTTCTGCGGCGGAGTGTGGCGGAAGATTGTCTCAATGGCGCTCATGTTGGCAGCCTCCCCTCCTATCCAGCACATTCGTAGAGAGGCAAAAGCATTTGGGAATGTCGCTGCAGCGAGATTGAGCAAGGCAGTAGTGGTTGCCATAAAGGTGATCCCGAGTTTCTCGATCTCCTCAGCCATGAGCGCCAAATCTAAAAGTGTTGTCTTTTGTAGCACTGCGATGCGGGCACCACGTAGCAATGGGGCCCAAATATCGAACAAGGAAACGTCGAAGCTGGTGTTATTAACGTGCGCTACTACGTCGTTGCGCAAGACGGGTTCGACGGGTGCGTGAAATACGACCTCCAGAATGGACCGACCTGCAATCTGGACTGCTTTTGGTTCGCTCGTCGTGCCGGAGGTGTGGATGACATGAGTTCGATGCTCAAGGTTGGTGAAGGCTGGTGGGGCAGTATCTGCCATCCACAATTCTTCGGTGGCAAAGGAGAGAAGATTATCTATGACAATATGGCGGAAATTTGACTGCAGCAAGGTGCGTTGCGAATTGGCTTGGTCAACGAGGATGTATCGAGCATTTCCAAGCCGTTGCAGCCGGGCATCGATTTGTTGGTCTGGTAACGTGGGATCCATAGTTGCACAGCTTCCACCAGCGTATATGACAGCTACCTGGGTGACAATATCCCAAATGCCATGCTGGACGACGATGCCAACCGGTTCCTGCAAGGCAAATGCTTCTCGCTTCAACTCATTAGCAAGGAGAGCGGCTTTGGCATGGAGCTCTCGGTAAGTCAGGGACATCGTTCCATCGACTACCGCGATGGCCTCCGGATCTCGGAGTACTTGTTGATAGAAAAGCTGGCCAAGGCCAGAATTCTCAGCCACAACTAAGTCATACTCATTGCGGACGAGAGACGACGATTCGTAAACCATCTTCGAGATAGAACACCGGGAGAGCCAGTCAAGAATTGAATACATTGAGTGAATAAGGGGCGAAGCAATTCAGATTCCAAGTGGTCAAGATTTGATTAAGGACCTATATCAGTGGAGGAGTGGCTGTTAAAGATTTCTCGATTACATGCTTCCATACTCGCAAGTACATTCCATATGTTACACAAACATTGATACCGTCTCATACACATGGTTATGACACATGTCCTCTTACGGAGGGAATTCAGCATATCAAAAGCAATGCGAATAGATGTGATCAGACCTCGCCAAAGTCGTGAGTTGGGTCACGACCTTTGAGCCAAAACCCGCCAAGAAAATTAATATACGGGCCATGAGTTCTTGGCGGGTCGCGAGTAAACCCACGGGTGCCAGAAAAAGCAATATGGCGAGGCCTAGATGTGATAGCCTCTGCATGATCAGCAAGGTGCTGGTTGATATACCTATCTTTTCATTGCTACGTGATCAAATTTTCAGCAAGCCCCACAGCTGATGAGAGCTTCCATAGAGACTGAGCTTCCACTCCTCCCCCACCACCGGCCCCCGGAACTCCAAGTGAATATTCTTTAGTCTGCATCCTAAATTCCTCTTCGCCCGGATCACTTACCCATCTCTTCTTGGTTCTAACATTTCCCATCAACATGACCCGCATCACTGTCATTGGCGCGACTGGCAACCAGGGCGGCTCTATCGCCCGTTCTCTTCTCCAAAATCCCTCCTTCCAGGTCCGAGCTATCACCCGGAATTCCTCTTCATCTGCTAGCCAAAAATTGAGCGCAGCTGGGGCTGAGGTCTTCCAAGCGGATGGCTTTAATCCCGAAGAGATGCGCGCCGCTTTTGCGGACACCTGGGGGGCATTTATCAACATCAATTCAGACGACAAAGTATTCACCATTCCTGACGGTCCTAACGAGTATGATATGGGCAAAACTATGGTCGATGCCGCAGCCCAGGCTGGTGTCAAGCATTTGGTGTTTAGCTCTGCGGCCTCATGCACCGAAATGACTGGTGGTAAGGTGCAAATGAAGGCGATGGATAGTGAGCTCCCGTTCCAAACGTACATATGCATTGGACACAACCTTACTGCCTGAAGTGAAAAATAAGATTGAAAAGTATGCCCAGCAATGCGGCCACTTTGAAACTTTCATCCCAATCGGCGCTGGATGGTTCTTTGAGAATTTCCTGTCCAAGGAGGCTGCCCCCGTTTTCGGCGGTTTCCCCCATTTCTCGAATGCTGAGGGTATTAGGACCTTCCGTGTGCCCTACTGGGGTGGCGAGGAGCGAGTGCCCTTCTTGAGCATTTCTGATGATTTTGGGGATATCGTTCAGGGCATATTCCTGGAGCCTACGCGATGGAACGGTCATTTTGTGCACGGCATCAGCGCCATCCGGAGTTTTAGCCAGCTGGTGGAGCAATTTGAGCAAGGTTTTTCCCTCTCTATCTTTCTGTATAAATGGAATCTCACGCTATATGGTTAGTCACTGGGCATAAATCCCGCCTGGATCCAATCCTACCTTCTTGGGAAGCGTTCGATACGCACGGAATTCACGAGTTGGAGGATGTCAAGCTCATGTTCGGCTTCACTCAAACGACCGGTGGATTGTACTTTGCCACCCCAAGTGAGAATGACACGGCAGCAGTGTTGAAGAAGGTTACTGGGCAGGCGTTGGGACGACCAGTAGATCAGCAGGAGTTAGTGACGGCCGAAGCATGGTTTCAGGCTCGTGTAGATTACTTTGCTTAAGCCATCCGCCTTGGTATTCGAAGTAACATACCATATTAGCTTAGCATCTATATAGATAGATACAGGCATACGTTCTTTTCAAATCAGCTTCCCTTTTTTTGGGAATCTCCCAATACAATCTCTACTATTATAAGCGATTTCTTCGTACTGTAAGTCATCTTCCTATTTGCTACATGGAGAAATGTCTATGCCAGAATGTCAAATCCCGTGAACTCCAATTTGTAGAAAATTGGCATCCTGCTGGATCTCATCTTGAAAACGGCTGGGCAAATTCACCACATCCCATGTGGCCCATAAGAATCGACCGTGTAGAAAGGATGCCTTGGGAGAAGCAACCCAAACAGCAAAGTTACCAGGGAGATTCTCTGCGATATGTCAGTTAATGAGTTTCAACGCAATCTTGTAAGCATTCACCGTCATCCCAGTCCATGTCGTCTTGGGTGCAACCAGCTTCCTTCATGCCTTCGCTCAAGATAAAACCAGGGTGGTAACTGACAATCTGCGTCTGCTCGGGGGGAACCTCTTCGGCAATGTGCTGCAATGCCCAAGTCAATGCGGACTTGGATAATGCATAAGAACGGAACCCTGCCGCCATGTCGCGGTCATGGACAAATGGACTGGAGACATTGACGATTGCCTATATAGTTATTAATGTTTATTGGCATAATATGCAATCAGCAACAACCCACCTTCCGGGGCGATGTTGACTTGCTCATAAACCTTTCCACCATCATCAAATTGCCGCGAACGTTGGTCTCGAATAATTCCCATGTCTTCTCCCATCCCAGATTGAGTATCGATGATTCCTCTTGTGTTTTAGCGGCATTCAGCACCAGAACATCCACCACGATGCCCTCTTCCTTGAGATGGGTCCACATTGCCTCGACGCTCGCCACATTGCCAAGATCACATTGCATGGGTGTAACTTTGCCCTTGAATTCGGGGACGTCTGTCCGGATGCGGGCAGTGCAGGTATCGAGAGTTGCACGGCTGCGGGCAACGATGATAATTTGGCACGCACCAGCTTGGGCGAAGGATCGGGCGATCGCAAACCCAATTCCCTTCGAACCTCCTGTGATGACGATCGTGCGGCCTGCTTGTGAAAGCTGGACATGGGTGGGGTCGATGGCCGCGTAGGGTCCTTTGTGAACAGTGGGGTTGATTGTAGCCATGACGATTACGCCTGTGTATGAAAAGGTAGAACTGTGTATTGCAGTCTCTGGACGGGTGTATAAATGAAAATACTTTAGACCTGAGGTATGTACACAGAGAATGCAGGTGGACTGTGAGATATGCGTATATGATTCATCACCTGCACATATAACATAGTTTCTAAATGTGCAAGATTGCATCTAGACCTCGCCATGTTGCTTTTTCGGGTACCCATGGGTTTTACCCACGACCCGCCAAAAACCCATGCGCCTGTATATTACAGAACTACACGAGTGATACAGAGAATAACACATATAGAGCGTTGTAATATAGTAAATATTACTGTCATTTAATAAGCTTGGCTGGTTTTGGGACCGGGGTCAAAACGCAATTCATGCATGAATAGTATAGTCTCCATGCAGATAAAAATATCTAACGAGATTGTGCCGAACTCTTCGCCTGTTGATCTCTTCGTAATCGAGATGAGCTGACCGCAGCTTTACCTAGATAGCTAAGAGAATCTATTAGCTGCATGCATTTTATGACAGTTGTAAAGAATACGTCAAGTTCAATGTTGTAATCTTGGAATCACCGTCTGAATATGGTATTTCAAAACTACCGGCTGTATGTTACCCATACGTGTATAGTGGAATAAAAGATTCAAAGAGCATAGCAATTTGGTATCAAATTGAAAAAAGTATGCAGAAGAAGCAAGAATAAATTCCTTTATTTACTTTCAACTGCTCTTACCTGACGGATTTATTCCCAATACTTAAGTACCAACACAGCTAAATCATTGTCTCACTATGCAACCAGGCCAGAACAAAAGATCCCACCTCGCCGTGGCGTGCGAAGAGTGGAAGAAATTACAGAAATATATCGCGGGACAGAAAGTTATCATTGATGGAAATTCGCTGGACTTGGCAGCCGTGGTCGCTGTCTCTTAGTGAGTGGTTTGGACTTAAGACTATGAGGTTTTCTGACTGTCGAATTTAGCCATCATGTTGTCCCTGAGCTCACAGATGAGCCTAGTGACTTGCGGCGTATCACTGCCAGTGTGGATGTGTTGATGGATCATTTAACCAAAGGTTACTGCGTCTACGGTACGTGTGACACACTCATAATGAGAGTCAAACAGACAGTCTAATGAAGATGATGACACAGGTGTCAACACAGGATTCGGCGGCAGCGCTGATTCTCGAACGGACAAATGGGTATCACTACAGGCGGCACTCCTCCAGCTAACGCAATGTGGTGTTCTCGTCAGTGCGGATAAAGAAGGCGCAGATGGCTGTGAAGGCCCGTCGACCAGCGTCGGGCCACATGCGATGCCAGGGTCGTGGGTGCGTGCCACAATGGTTGTGCGATCAAACCACTCAGCGCGCGGGCATTCAGCTGTGACAATTCCCGTTATTCAATCCATTTTAAACCTCCTCGCCCATCGAATCACCCCGCTTGTTCCACTCCGTGGTACCGTCTCTGCCTCGGGAGATTTGATGCCCCTGTCGTATATCGCTGGAGCCATCCAGGGGAGCCCTGACATCTTCGTCAAACGAGATGATGACGGCAAGTCACCAGCCAAGGTGTCTACGGCTCTGGAGGCGCTGGAGGCCGTGGGAGTCAGCCGCACACATTTTGGACCCAAAGAAGGGCTGGGGCTTGTGAATGGTACGGCATCGTCTGCAGCGTTGGCGAGTCTGGTCATGTATGAAACGCATCAGTTGGCCGTGTTAACTCAAGTGCTCAGTGCGATGGCTGTCGAGGCAGTGATGGGCAATTCGGAGAGCTTTCATCCATTCATTGGGGCAGTAAGACCACATGCTGGTCAGATTGAAAGTGCCCGAAATATAATGGCCTTACTCCAAGGGTCATACATGGCCAAAGGCGTTATGTCGAAAAAGAACCGCAATGAGACCGGCTTAGTTCAGGATCGCTATGCCCTTCGCAGTGCGCCGCAGTGGATTGGCCCTCAACTAGAAGATCTGCTGCTCGCCCATGAACAGGTAGCCACCGAACTGAACGCAACGGCAGATAACCCTTTGGTCGACACCCAAACTAATGATATCTATTACGGTTGCAATTTCCAAGCAGCGTCCATCACTTCGGCAATGGAGAAATCTAGACTCTCACTCCAGATGCTAGGCAAGCTCCTGTTTGCCCAATCCACGGAAATTATCACGCCAGAGTTGAATAATGGCCTACCCACTAATCTTGTGGCGGATGATCCCAATTGCTCCTTTACCATGAAGGGCGTTGATATTTCCATGGCAGCGTACATGGCTGAGTTGGGATATCTAACAAATCCAGTTAGTTCCCATGTTCAATCAGCAGAGATGCAAAACCAATCAGTTAACTCAATGGCCTTCGTCTCTGGTCGCTACACTATGCAAGCGGTAGAGGTGGTGTCTTTAATGTCCGCTTCTTTCATCTATATTGCCTGCCAGGCACTGGACCTGCGCGCCATGGCTCTGTCTTTCTTGTCTAGTCTGCCAGTTATTATCTCATCAACACTGGAGCGCGAGTTCTCCCCAGTTTTGTCCAACACTGAGCTGGCAACTTTGGCCATTAATGTTGACAAACATATGACCAGCATCTGGCCAACCACCTCGAAACTCGAAGCTAGCGAGCGGTGCCGCATCCTGGTCGACACATCACTGGCGACGATTCTACAGGCTCTTGTCAACCGACAATCATCTAAGCTTTTTGAGAGCGCTACAGCGCTTGATAACTGGAAAGCCCGAGCATTCTTAGTACTTGTGGAGGCATATCAAGCGAACTTGACGAGATTCATCCAGCAACAGCACACGGAAGAGCTGTTGGGCATTGGTTCAAAGCTTATCTACCAGACTGTACGAAAGGAGCTTTTTGTCCCATTCCACCAGGGCTTCCTTGAGCATCCCACTGTGGACAGCACCATGTTGAATAAACGGGAGAAGAAGACAGTCGGCGGGTGGATTTCGGTCATTTACGAAGCCTTGCGGAATGGTCAGCTGCAGAAGCCGTTGATGTTGTGGATGTCGGAGAACATCGCATGAGCGTGAAGATGTAGGCATGGGTACAGAGTAAAATATATATTGAAAGTATATAGTTTAATAATTATTCGTTCTGACTGAACACAAGGTGTTCCGATGTTACTCTATTCTCATGCCGATCACACCCACTTTCAAGAAGTCCTGAGACTCTGATCGACGTTCCTTACTCAGGGCCTCTTTGAGCTCTTGTACATCCCATCCTGCCCAGCAGTACCGACCATGAAGGAAGCTTGCCTCATCCGTTGCTGCCCAGACAGCAAAGTTTCCAGGGAGTGTATCTAAAAATTTTGATTGGCATAAGAATACTTCTTTAAAAGAGGTGAAGTTTTTACCATCGTCCCAGTCATAAACTTCCTTCGTCATCATCTGGCTGATAGTTTCAGTGTAGACTCCACCTGGATGGACATTGATGATTTGGACCTCATCGACTGGGAATTCACTTGCCAGATGTTGCAGCAGGCATGTCCACGACGCCTTTGTTGCCGCATACACGCGCTGGCCCCCCATCACAGCATAGTTGTTGATAGCGTCGGATGAAAGGTTGACGAGGAACTAGAGCAAACTCGTCGGCGTCATTACTACAAGTGTAAGAAGGGGTTGAATGATGAGTACAAACCTTCTTTTGTCCATCGTGGGTATTACCCTGTCGTACAAAAAGGTCAACAAGGACTAAGTTCCCCCGAACATTGACCTCATACTGTTCCCACACTCGACGCCAGCTGTGTTGAAGGACAGCTTGGTTTTCGCCCATGTATGCTGCATTGAGGATGAGCACATCCACTCTGCATCCGTGCAATGAAGACCAAACACTAGCGATCTCCTCCGGATCGAGGATATCACAACGAATTGTCATCACCACTCCGGAAAACGAGGGGACCTCCCCTTCAGTCTGGCCTCTGCCGCGGAGAGTTTATCACCACCCCGACTTAGGAGAATGATAGTGCTAGCATTGGCGACAGCAAAGGCCCGGGCGATGGCAAATCCAATGCCCCTCACACCGCCAGTTATTAGCACTGTCTTCCCTCGTTGGGTGCGAGGTGGGGCAGCAGCGTCAATCCCGCGGTAAGTGGTCTTGTGGATCGTCTGGATGAAGTCCTCCATGTTGGTGTGAAATAGCGTGGAAAAGGATGGAATCTCTGGGGGCTCTCTTTTTAGCTGATAGATACGTGGCGTATTAACTGAGCGTGTATCTTAGCTTACATACGCATGGCAAACACTAATTTCAGCTATTATTTTTTTGTTGTATGCAGGAATGCCTTACAGAATTAAATTAGGAATCTTTAGGGTTCATGAGACGATAGAGCATCCTAGTATCGCTAGTCTGCAGATGTACAAAAACCACGCTTAGACTAAACTAAATCTTTTGATAGATCTACAGGGTAAGCATGATCGTCATCTGGAGCTGAGCTCTATGAACTATCGAAAACTTGGCATGACATGAAGGATTGGTTGTACATGCATATATATGCATCTCACATACCACCTGTTATATACATACAAACCTTGGAATGTATCGATGTATTGGTATATATGTATTGGCATACGGTGATACATGTGTATATAATACAGTCATCATGTTACGGACGCAAACCGCAGCGAGATATACCTGAGATTGTCTTCATTTGGTGGCTGGCTTGCTCAAACAACATTCCCTCGCCCACTGCTCAACACCACTCTAGAAAATGACCAAGTCTTCATCTACCCCTCCGTCGTGGCTCATATCCAACGTGCAGCCTGTCTGTACATTGATCCTCCTCTGCTACACAAAAAAAGCAGTGCATTGCGATGGATAAACCTCGCCCTCTTGACAGCCTTGACTGTCTGGCATTATCAAACACTTGACCAATTGGACATGACCACGCCTGACTGTGTCATTCTTCGCATCGTACCGCTCCCAACCCTACTACACACCACCAGCCTTTTGGTCGGCATTGACTACGACGACATCTGGGAGCAGGAGGCATGTCGCTCCCGCTTTTCAAACTTCCTAGGCTCCGTGCGACTGATCATGGACTACTCAGCGGTCGGCACGCGCTGGCAGGTTCGCAATGTACCTGCCTTCCCAGCCTGGCTCACGGCCCAGCCGAAACGGAGTCTGTTTCTCCTGCGACAATCCTTGTTCGCCCTATGGCAGTACGTCTTGATGGACTTTGTCGGACACCAGCTAACCCACAGTGAGCGCGCAATGAACGACTTCACGATGATTCTTCAAGATCCTACCGCACGTCATGCATGGCCGGTAGAGACTGCCATCAACCTTGGGATCTGGTTTGTGTTGGCACGGGTGTCGTTGGACTTTCGATATCGATTCATTTCGGTGGCCCTGGTGGCTTTGGGGGTTTCACCTGCTGAGAACTGGCCGCCAATGTTTGGCAGCACGTTGCAAGCATATACCTTGCGGAACTTCTGGGGGTAAGTAACTTAAATAAAACAAAGTATTACCGTGTATGCAACGGTTAACGGCTCATACGTAACAGAACGTACTGGCATCAGACCCTTCGATGGCCACTGACAGCCACGAGCGCCTTCATCACCCGAACTCTCCTAAAGCTACCGTATCCCTCCTTGATAGAGCGCTACTCGAACCTTCTCCTCGCCTTCCTCGTCTCAGGCATCATTCACCTCTCGGCCCAATACAAAGGCTTCATAACGACCCCGCCAGGAGCAATCCATTTCTTCACATCGTTTACACTAGCCATTATGGCGGAAGATGGCATCCAGGCGATCTGGGCTCGAATGGCAGGGGAAGACAAAACCGTGCAGAAATTTTCCACCCGGCTTCCTACACTCTGGAAACGGTTGGTCGGGTATATCTGGGTCACCATGTGGCTCACTCTACTGGGACCGTTGTATTCGTACGACATGGCATATATGGCCGTCATGGAGCCATTGCCACTGCCAGTAAGTGTTACGGAGTATTTGACCCCACCAGTGAGTGGTGCTCTTCTTGGGGGAGGGATGATTGTTGGTTTGGTAGCATTTGGGGCAGAGCCATAGTCATATTCATGAATTATCTATATAATATTATATCCTGGTGCCTGGGTATATTGACCTAGGGGGGAGAATGGTGTGATAAACGCATACACAGATGTTATCCTTTAACCCAAAAACGTTATTTACCGATACCGAAGGATGTGCACATTGAAAATTGTGAATTTGATATACTTCCATGATTCATAAGTTATTGAATTCATGCTGCTAGGATTTTACTGCATGCAGAGACGAATAAATATTTTTCATTCAACGAAGTAATTAGGGTCTTGTAACTACTACCTTGGGTGAAAAGAGAGCGGCACATCATCAATCATATCCAACGACAAGGCAAAACAAACAGATTCGTCCAGCGCCTTAACTGCCCGAGCAACACATTCTGATCTCTTCTGCCCCGCGGCGACCGCAATATCTACTCGATAGCGAGAGAAAACGACAGCAAACAAAGTCACAAACTCTACCTGCGCAAATTTCTTGCCGAGACAGGAACGAATCCCGTCGCTGAAGGGAATATATGCGCCACGAACCGGTTTATGGATAGTGGGATATTCAAGTCCCGCCGCTGCCAGGCCAGGCTGGTCGTCGTTGCGGGCGAGGAAGCTGTCTACATTCCTCTTGTCCCATCGCGATGGATCGTAAACGGTCGCATCATCACCCCAGTACTCCGGCGAGTAGTGCAGACTGGTAATATTCATAGAAACGTTGCTGTTCGGAGGCAGGAGGATCGTCCGCTCTTGGTAGGTGACATCTGCGGAGGATTGGCCGGTAGTTTTGATGATGACGGGAGCTGGGGGATAGAGCCTCATCGTCTCCAGCATCACACATAATGGTCCCACAAGCTTGGTGTATATCACGGCGTAGTCCCAGTTCTGCGGATCTGTTGGATACTCCCTGACAACGTCACAGATGGATTGATACATCCATTCTTGGATATCCTGGTGCATCGCCATCAAGACCAAGGCAAAGCGGATAGTGGCCCCTGTGCTCTCATGGGCCAGCATGAAGACGTGCGCGTTGCCGAGCACCTCAATGTCGCTGAGTGAGCTGGTTTGGGCATCCTCGCTGCGACCTAGTAAATGCCTCGCGCGGACCAGCCCCTGCAGCACATTATGATACGGTCGGCCATGATCCACCCCATCACTCTCTACCTGAGCGATCATTGCCCGTAGATACTGGCCAAGATCGTCGTATGCGGCGAAATCGTCACGATAGCAAGGGAAGAAGGCCCGAGGGATTGATTTTGGCAGCATGGCGTTGGCGATGAAGATTGAATTCCAATGACCGGTCATGTACTCCATCACGGCACGCAAGGTAAATTTGAAGCCTGGCGGTGGCTTGCGAGCATCGCGAAACATGGTGGCGACGGTGGTGTTGGTCGCGGCGTCGGGGCTGGGCTTGAAAGGTAGCTGGACACCAAATCCTGCACTGCAGAGCACATTCAGTGTGAGTTTGAGGACGTCATCCTTAGGACTCAGCTGAATTCGACCTGCACTATCGGTCGTATACTGCTCCGACCAGTATTGGAGCATCTGGGTGGTCTGGAGCACAGTCTCCTGCCATACCAGCGCATTGTTCTTCTCACTTAGGGCAGATACCGTGTGGCGCCGATGACGAGTCCATTCCTTTCCTTCAGACTGAAAGGTCAGTCATTAGCCGAGTCATTATGAGAATCATCACTTACAGCGACAACATTTGGCCCATATAGTGTCATTGAGCCTGACACGCGTAAGCTACATTCACCTAACATGAATAATATAAAGTCCCAGCTCACCATAATGATCCAGCGGCTTGGGGAACTGGTGCCGCGAGCTGCAGATCTGGTTGACGACGGCTGCATCGGCAACATGGCAGCGAACGTTTTCGGGAGTGGCAATGATATACATTGTTCCTAGCTGTTTGGTGCGTCGGTCCCTGACAGAGAAGTGATGGGTCATAACATTATCATTGATGAGATCCGCCAGCCAAACGGGGAGCCAGTGGTTAATGATGTGGAGTACCCAGTCAAATGAGCAGAGGGTCATGAAGAAAGTGTTCATTTCCGTGAAAGGGAAAACCGTCCAGGGCAGGCCGATTGCCCGGGCTCGAACCATCTGGCAGACTAGGTGGAACCCAGTCCAAAGAAGCCATAGGCCAAGTACACCGAGAATGAGGGTGACATACATATCCAAAGGGAAGACGATGGTAAGGATGAAGGGGAAGTTGTCCAACTTGAACGTAAGTAGCATAAGTGGTAATCCTACATACGATGCACTGTCCAGATGTATGTAAGATCTATGTAATGAATATCTTTCATATATGTATTGTACGTGTATGTGTGTTTGTGTATGTGTGTGTTTGTGTATGTGTGTGTTTGTATCAGATGACCCTCAGACTGATAGTTCCAAATCATCAACAGGCAATTCAGAATACGTAATGATCAAGTCAAATATTGTCAGCATCTCGCGGACGATGTTGATAACCTATAGTTACGCGATATCATGATTTCATCTTCACCAATCATAAATTCTGATCGATCACAATAATAGACACCGATAGAGACCCACTTCCAGCCAGCAGATTTAGCAAAAGTTTAACACAGTCGACTAGAGTCTGACTTGCATACATAAATATGCAGGCTAGAGGCAGCAATCAATCTTCTTGTATCAAGTCTAGCCTCGGCTTATCATCTCTCTACTTTTCTGCATAGGTGTAAAAACGAATCCTGCATGAGTTCGTTAAACCCACTGTTCCTTAACCAATAAGGGACTGACGAATGTCTATACAGTACCAAGGTACCATCGCAGTCGGTTAACAACTTCAATAGAGGATATTAGCGTCTGATTGTGGCTTTTGTGACGCCGCATGTCTCTACGGGGAACTGAGCTCCGGAGTAGTGTTATTCTTGAGTTGATCAGCTGGGGTCTCGCATCGATCATGAGGTGAGGCGGAGGGATGTTGATCAATTCCATCGCTGGTCAACATGATGCAATGTCTTCATCAGACCCATTAGACGAAAGGGGTGGCACTCGGCTGTTACCGCTATTTGGGAACCTCTAGCGTCATTATCAGCAGACTCTCTAGTAATTGTTCGGTGGTGACTATTTTCAATACTGGTTGGGTACTTTATACAGTCCGAACTTATCTACAAAGTACAGGGGAGGAGGATCTTTTTACATAGTGTTCCGTGAAGTGCAAACAGTGAACGCTCTTCTTGTCTTCGCAATAGGTCAGAAATACAGAGTGCCCACGGCTAGTAAAGTCATGTCTTACAATAACAATGAAGATATCATCACATGACCAATCACATGATTTCGATTTCATCTGGTGATGAACACCTTTTATAAAACCTACTACTAGCAATATAGCTTTGAGGGCATATATGTAACTATCTAATCTGGAGCGTCTATCACATGATATATCCAGCATGTGTGGTGAATAGTGGGTGTGCCCTTGAAAGCACACAATATATATGCATTTCAGAGCTCCCCAGAGCAGCACCCCAAGGAATATAGGAATATAAATTCAACTTTATTTTCCAAGGCAAGAATCACTGTCGCTCCTGAACCTGGACATACATAGGCCGGTGTTCCCATAACCCGTATTCCTTAAGAGAGTCCGGATCATCATTCCCTGGCTGGAACTTGAGATCGAAATTCCAAATAAGAAAAGCCAAGGCTAAACGCATATTGGCGTAGGCAAAGCTGGACAGCACGGTCAATATGGATTGATACAAATTTAAAGGAATGCAACTCACGTTTTTCCAATGCAACTTCTCGTTCCAATCGAGAATGGATGGAATACAAAATGATTGTCGCCGGCGTACTTAGATTCGTCCATCCATCGGTCCGGGATGAATTCATGGGGATTCGAAAAGTATCTCGGAGACCGATATGCCGCATACTGAGTAACGGAGACCCAGGTCTGTTGGAAAATTAGCTTAATGTCCACCTGAATTGGTTCTTGTGATCTTACCCCCCAGGAACCCAGTGACCGTCAATGAAACGACCGCTTTTGGGAACGAGACGTGGCAACCCTACAGGCACGCTTGGATGGAGTCGCATCGTCTCATCCAGTACCGCCTTCAGATATCTCAGACCTGATACACCGGTAATAGTGATGTCCTTTTCTGTGCGGAAGGCACTGCGAATCTCTTCGGCTAGCTTCTGATAGCTGGATAGGTCGTGCGTGATATAGTAGATAGCCGCATTGAGAATTGTCGCTGTTGAATCCAGACCGGCCACGACAAGCATGTTCAAATTTTCAAACAATTCCTCACGCGTAAGGCCGTCGGTAACATATGTCACGAAGTCTTTCCGCTGAGTATCATTGACGACTAACCTTGTATCTAACGCTTTTTGGGCACTCTCGAAGTATTCCATAAAAGCTCTGCCCAGGTCGTTGGAGACCAACCGCTCGATAACGTGATGGTAAGGCTTCAATCGGTGCGCAGCACGAATCTTGGCTGAATCCTTCAGCGTTCCATACAGGTCCACAATGAACTGGGGATATTCTCCCGATTCTAATGTCCCCCAGCTTTTCCCAAAGGCCATTGATGTCAGTACATCTGTCACTTGGAATGTTGTCCATGCTGACATGTTCACTACACCATTCTCATCAGGAAACGAGGTATTTCCGGAGCGAGTGCGCAAGGCCTGAATGAGTTGGTGGATGCTCTCACGGATAAGAACTTCCTGCTGACTCAGGGCCTTTCCAGAGAATGCCGGGGCAATGTGCTTCCGTATCCTTGCATGCTCTCTGCTTGCGCAAAAGAAGATGTTTAGGACTGGCTGCGGTCCAAATACATAGAGAGCCTCGTTCTTCTCATATATATCCTGCCATTTCGCTTTATTGCCGTAAATCTCCTGCCACGCAGTGGCAGTCGTGAAGGAGATCTCGTTCGACGCGGTGCGGACCACTTCACCGTATTTTTCGTGGAGGCGGGCGATGTATTTGCATGAGTTGCCCTGGACTAAATAGTAGACCCAGACCAATTGGGAGAGAGCATCTCGCTTTGGACCGGGGAAGTGACGGAGGGGACTGAGGAAGAGGTGGTAGAAGAAGAGCAGCGAATGAATTCCGACGACCTGAAGCACTGTCAGTTTGGGATGGCGTTGGACAAAAGGACTACGGAGTCACTCACTCCCATAGCTCCACAACTGACAATATGAAGCAGTTCCATCGTGGGATATTCAATCAACCTGGCGGTTGGGATTAGGGGCGGGATGGAGATTGATTGATTGCGATGGATGATATTGGAGTGCTGTCGCTGTGTACGTGTAAGACACAAGTAGTACAATACAGCATCTATGGCTGTAATGTGAAAGTTTTGACTTGAAACCTTTGTCGATCACTAACACATGATTATGCAGGAAGGGAATTCATTGGAGGTCGAGCTGCGAGCTGCGAGATATTAGATACCCGGGTAGTGGATACAATGCAGATGCGCTAGCAATATGTGGATGTGGTAATTACCGTATTGACGTTTACCTGCCGCACTCATTCATAAGGTACCATACCAAATACCGTAAATACCCCGCTATACCATGCCATATATATCACACGCATGAACTTGAGATACTTAGCTGGACCTTCTCTCCTAGCTATTCAGTCGTTCAGACCGGTATCAAACTTCTACAATATGACTTTCGACAACAGCTTAGTCCATTACGGAGTTTGCCCTCGTAGTCTTCAACCAAGCGAACTATGTCTAGCATGGGCTCTCGTTTGGAGTCATTTCACTGGCGAAACTGACCTTACATTTGACACTATCCAAGCGGACGCATCTTCTCAGTTCAAAGTTCTCCTGGAGAGTGACTCCACCGTTGCTGATACGCGCCAGGATATTGAGCATCAGCTCGAACGCAGCCACGATATTGAGGTTGGAAACACAAACGTGTGCCTATTTGTGATTCAGGACCTGCTGAAGGATCCTTCTCCACTCGACATAACTAAATACCAAAGCTGGGGCCACAAAGTCGTGGTGCTCTGTGACTTCGAGAACGGCTCCTGGAAGATCCAGGGGTGGACGTGCAACGACACACTAGAGCGCTGGAGACTACGGAGAATCCTGGAGCACTTCATAGACAGCCTACACGTTTTGTCTGTTAGCCTCAATGACGATCTCAAAAGGGCATCTTCTCTGCCGATTCGACTGATAGACAAGGCGCAGATCCAGGAATGGAATGGATCAGGACAGCCCGCTGTGGATGCCTGTATCCACAGCCTTGTTCACAAAATGGCTCAGTCTCAGGCAAGTTCGCCGGCGGTATGTGCATGGGATGGAGAGTTCACATACGAGGAAATCGACCGGCTTTCTTCCCAGCTTGCCAACCACCTGCAGAGTCTGGGGGTAGGCCTGGAGACACACGTCTCGTTGTACTTCCAACCGTCACGATGGTCGCCCGTGGCCATTCTCGCTGTTCTAAAGTCGGGGGGCACCTTCGTCCTGCTCGAAACTTCCTATCCGCTAGACCGCTTGAAGCGCATGTGTCAGGATGTGAATGCAGGCCTTGTCATCTCATTGCCACAGGATGCAGAGACGGCTGCATGTCTCGGAGCACCTGTGTTTGCCCTGGATGGGGAGGACAAATTAGCAGCGTGGAGAGCCCAGCCGTTGGAAGTGAATTTATCCACCAATTCACACAATGCTGCGTATGTGGCCTTCACATCTGGATCAACTGGCAAACCCAAAGGTTTCACTATCGAGCATGGACATTACTGCACTTCCGCGGCCGCTCATGCAATGGCCTGGGGCATCGACTCCCAAGCTCGGGTCTACCAATTCGCCTCATACGCGTTCGATGGTTCGATTATGGAGATGATCACCACCTTGATTGAGGGCGGGTGTGTCTGTATTCCGAGTGCTGCAGACCGACAGAACAACCTGGCTGGCTCGTTTGCCGCTCTCCGGGCAACCTTCATTTGTCTCACACCTTCCATGCTCAAACACCTTGATCATGCAGACTTTCCAAGTTTAGAGAAGCTTCTTGTTACAGGAGAGCTGACCCCAAAGCAGCAGATCGAGCATTGGGCGGAGAAGGTGAAGATGACCATCACGTACGGACCCTCCGAATGCTCCGTCGCATGTGCCGTCCAGGAACATGTATCAACCACCACAGACGCCTCCAATCTAGGGCGAGCTATGGGTTGCAATCTTTGGATCGCTCAAATGCGCGACATCACCTCAATAGCCCCCATCGGAGCCGTGGGCGAGATCTGCGTGGAGGGGCCAACCGTCGGCCGAGGGTACGTCAACAATTTCGAGCAAACGGCCGCGTCATTCTTCGAAGGCTTGCCGTGGTTGTCACTGGTTCAGCGACAGAGCAGCCGTGTCTACCGTACCGGTGATTTAGGTCGCTATAACCCCGATGGATCGATTCAATTGATTGGGCGGAAGGATTCACAGATCAAGATACGCGGACAACGAACGGAGGTTGGCGAGATCGAGAACCAGATCCGTGGTACTTTAACAGGATCATTCAAGGATGTCGTCGTCGAAGTCGTCCGATGGGGCCAAGGCGATCCGATTTTGGTGGTCTTTGTCTGCGATAGCGCTGAGAAGAAGTTTACTAGCCAGGAGAAAAGTCCGGCCTTGCTTGAATCGGACGACACCCTCCATAGGGAATTTCAACAGATCAAGAATTATCTACGAAATATCCTCCCCGTATACATGATCCCGACTACCTTCTTTCCGATTTCTCGTATCCCGCTCACCAGCACGGGCAAGGTCGATCGTGGTCGACTGAGAGACCTGATCTCCAACCTGCAATCAGACGCCTTTGCTCGCTACGCCGCAATTACAAGTGCCAAACGCCAGCCCACAAGCGATCTCGAACGGTCATTTCAACTAGTTGCCGCCAATGCACTTGGACTCCCCGCAAAGAGCATTGGCATGAACGATGACTTCTTTGGTCTCGGTGGGAACTCCCTAACGGCCATGAAGCTGGTCACACTGGCGCGAGACCAACAGCTTGTCCTCACCGTGGCGGATGTCTTCGCCAACTCCATCTTGTCAAAAGTTCTTTCAGTTAGTACCGCCCAGATGAGTGAAGGGGGTATCAAAAATCTTCGGCTTGAGGAACCTGCTCCCATGTCACTGGTCCGTGGGGTTCAGGATCCAGTTTCATTTGTGCACGACGTGATCGCTCCCCAGTTGCCGTTTCATAGAGCAGAAGACATTGAAAATGTTCTTCCAGCAACTGACATGCAGTCATATGTTGAGCGATTCCCGCCTCATTACCCGTTGGTACGATTGAATGGTGAGGTGGACAAGTTGCAGGTAAAGGTCGCATGCGAACAGCTCGTCCAACGACATGCTGTTCTCCGGACGGTATTCGCGTCCTACAACGGTCGGTCATTGCAGGTTGTCTTGAAAGCGATCGACGTTCCCTTTCGGTATGTTGAGACCGCCGGCACCATTTCAGATTTCGAGGACGCCTTCTGTCGGTACGACGGGACCCTTGAAGTGCCAGTCAGTGTCCCCGGCCTCATTTTCGCCTTAGTTTCGCGAAGTGCGACCGAACACAGCCTCATTGTCCGATTGCCATTGCCTTGCTGCGATGGTGAGTCATGGATTATCCTCTTGCATGACTGGATGGCGTTGTATCAAAAGCAAGTCTTGCTTCCTCCCGTAACCTTCGCAGCTTGGGAGTCACTATACATTGCCCAACAGAACGAAAAAACATTTAGTTTTTGGCGAAACATGCTCCAAGGCTCCACTATGGCCCATCTGTGCGACCCTACAATCGATGTGCTCGACGAAGAGTTCATTTTTGCAACCCAAAACATCCCGCTCCTACAGCCTCCGCTGTCAATCACCCGTGCGACCCTGGTCAAGACCGCGTGGGCATTGACGTTGGCCGAATACAAAAAAGAGACAGATATCGTCTTTGGCCAGCTCATTCACGGACGAGCCCATGCTTTCTCCGATGAAGAGCGTGTAGCCGGGCACTTGGCAAAAATCATCCCCGTGCGGGTCAATCTACAATCTTTCTCGACCGGGTTGGATCTGCTACAGAAAGTCCAGCAGCAGCACCTGGCCTGCATGGAATTTGACCTAGTCGACTTCCATGATCTCGTCTCCAACTGTACCGCGTGGCCGTCAGATACGCGGTACGGGACGTACGTCCTGCACCAGGACAATGAGTATCTTGGGGAGACCGGGTTGATGGCTGATATTAGGGTTTCTACTAGCATGGCATATAATCCGATGATTTCCAAGGCGGTACGAGAGTTTGTAATCATGTCGACGCCTCGTGGAAATGAGCATGAGATCATGATTTGTGCTACCAGTGTGTATGTAGATCAATCTACGGCTGATTGGTTGCTGGCAAAGATGGTGGCCAAGTTGCAGATACTGGCGAATGCCGCGAACACTACTCGTCTGGATGAATTGATGGATGGTGAAGCGTAATCCTCACTATTGTTCAGGTCAGAAATGATATATTGTTGATTTCGAGATTTTATAGGATCGACTGTGGCTTGCTACATAGGACTGATATACAGTCAGCACATCTATCCACAAGTTGTAGTAGTGGGAATATCTCCACTCCACATACATTTTATGGTATAGATGTTATAGTTGGTTTCCCCAGTAATAGGATGATTGTTCTTGGTATTTCCCCCTAATTTTAAGAAACAATTACAACTAGCAAATGTGTAACCCGTTATGAGAAGGAAAAAATGCAGTCTAATAGTGCATTGCTTGGTCAGCAAAGTTAGCATCTGCGTTGTAAATTCGAGCAACCCCCCTCAAGCTCGCACACAAGACATCGCTTTGATTTTTCACTCAACTCCGACCCTCTTCCCACCCAACATGTCTCCCTTGAGATTTATTAAAAAAGATGATATCCTTCGATTAGGTGAAACCGAGTATGTCATCTTAGGAAGAATGCACAGGCACATCTAAGCTGACAGTAAAACCAAGTCCTCAGTACGCTGCGTGGCAGGAATACAACAGCTTCCCCCCAATGGACTGGACCGACATCCAAGCCGCTCGATCAATCGTGGAGTCATGGACAGCTGAAAAGTTCCAAGCATTGGGGGATTCCGGGGTGACTATTGAGGTGCCTATGCGAGATGGATTTCGATCTTCTCTTCGGGTCTACCGGCCAGAACCTCTAGTGAAGAGATCCATCCTAGTGATCCTCCTGCATGGGGGGGCTTTTGTGACGGGGGACAACAGGGAGTTGGCTGAATATGCGTTGGCACTGAGGGCATTGTACGGTGCAACGATAGTACTGCCATCTTACCGACTCGCGCCAGAGCATCCCTTCCCCACGGCACAGTATGATATTTGGGATACTTTGGACTGGCTTTCTCAGAATGCCACATCTATATTTGGGGCGGATCTCTCATCAGGCTTCGTGGTCGGTGGAGTGAGTGCAGGAGCTAATTTGGCTGCAACCGTGGGCCAAAAATGGGCTGACGAGGACAGAGCTCCCAAAATGACAGGACTCTGGCTATCTATACCTTTTATTTTCTCCGATATCCACCAGGTCCCCGTTGAGTATCATGATGTCTATCTCTCGCGGAAGCAGAATATCATGGCGCCGATGAATGGCGAGATTCCATCTGCTGTCCTCGAGCTTCTAAAGAGGGACGTCCAGAGCCCATGGTACAGTCCGTTCAACTCGTTTCATCCCCAGCCATATGAAGCCGTAGTCAGGAATAGAACTCGAGTATATTTCCAGGCCGCGGGGCAGGATTTCTATCGCGATGATGCCCTTGTTTACGAGCGGATCCTCTGGAAACATGGAGTTGAAACGGAGTTGGATGTCTATCCTGGAGTGAGCCTTTACCCCTCCCTTCCAAAATACTCTATATTGAATTATGCTAACAATACGTTTATAGCTTCCTCATGGCCATTTTTGTATCCTGCCGTTTCTCAGTGAGTCGCGCCGCTGCAACTCCGACATACTCTCCCATTTCGCATGGCTCCTTCGACTGGAGACACCGCCCTTGGAGACCGTCAAAGCCATGGTGCAGACTGTGGCCCCATCTATTAGCGTGTAAATAGATTCCTTGATTTGATAATACTTGCATGGAGTAAATCAAATCACGGCGGAGTGAACCCGTTTTACTATACAGAACAACCTTCCAGTGGATCCATGAAACCTTGGAATTGACTAGTTATATGTAACATATACGCTCAGCACGTATCATTCATGATACAATCTTGTAGCATGTGTATATTGGTTGTATTATATTGTGTGGGTCACAATCCATTAATATAGATATATGTGTAAACCTGATCGATGAGTAATGGCTGGACGCGAGCCTCCGACTACCTCTACAGTCTGCACGAGGTGTTTAACCATATCATGGTCGATGGAAGAAAAACTGCTAGGATTACTAGCAGCCTCTTGCTTTCGCAGCTCGATAGTGGCATTCCCATAATGCGGGATGACAGAGTCGATAACAGTCATTACTCGATCGGCGTCTAAGCCAATAGGTAACCGAATATCAGTTTCGAACATGCACTGTTCCGGAATCAGGTTGACCTTAAGGCCACCTTTGATAGTACCAATATTGACCTTTGGCCTACCAATAACGGTAGAAGTGCCTAGTTCTATTGCCTAGTCCTATTGCCTAGTCCTATTGCCCTATCCACGGCCGCCAAAGTCTCGGGATTCTTCATATGTTTCCCAATATTAGGAGGGGGTGTTGTGTCGATTGATTCCACCGCCTCAACCACCTCGGCAAGGAAGCTAGTTACAGTCCGGATTGCACCTTTGCTACATAGTTTATCAGCCTTTTATATCCACTCGGCTCTACCTATGCCGTTAAGTAGTCTTACCTAAGGTTTAAATATGCCCCCAAAGCACCCTTCGTAGTAACGGAACCTAATATCCTCAATGTTCCTTTCTTAGAGAATCGGATCGTATGGCCAGATGGCTCAGTGCTAAGCATAACATCTCCGCCCTATCGGTCTTTATCCTATTTAATAAGGAATTGGGTACCCTATCAACCGCCTATTTCCTCGTCAGCCGCTACACAAAGAGCAACACTCCCGTGTATAGAGTTTCTCCGGGCATAAACTGCTGCATAAGCAATCACTAAGGATACCTTTCCCGACTTTATATCGACAACGCCTCTTCTATATATGCGACCCTCTTTAACATCGCCAGACCATAGATCACGAGACCAATTATCTGTATTTTCCGGCATAGGAAACACATCTATATAGCCATTTAAAACCACCCGTGGGCTAGAACCTAACCCTCCTTGAAATTCGCTCACAAGATTATAAAGGCCTAGTTATGTTTCGACGACCTAGCTAGAAATTCCGCGGTCGGATAAGTACTACCTCAGAACTTCGGCAGCCTCTATAGTGCTTCCTAGTGGATTGGGAGAGGCTGCTTAGACGAACGATTGCAGTAGTGTTAGGGCCCTGCGAGGTCCTAAGGTAGCAGTGTGAGTTCGGGAAGTAGAGTCTATCGGCGAATGTACGTGCAGGTGTATAAAGAGACTAATTGCTGGTCCTCTATGCGAGGACCAGCGAGCACAATAAATACATGGTGCGCTTAGCTAATGTATTTAGCGACATACATGGCCATCCTGGCCTATGTATGCGATTAGCTACCCTCGCAATACGAGGGCCAAAGCTCGCTATATGCCTTTAGGCATCCGTAAGGCACCTGGCAGGTCGGGGTCCTGACAGATATTCTCTCGATTCCGGTAACTAGTGCTAGCGTAGAGCGACTTTTTAATACTACTTAAGATATCTACTATTATCGCCGAAGCCGTATAAAGTCTAAAATAATTAAGGAGCTTATAATATTTCTTTATACTTTAAGGTTTAACCTTAAAGAACGGGAGGCAAAGGAGCTTAAAAGATTCTTCTCCTTAGACGAGATTGAGGTAGTAAAGGAAGAGAAAGATAAGAGGCCTAATAACGTTAAGATAGACCTAATTAGTGATACTAAGGAGCTAGTTAATAGGTCTAATAATCTAATAGAGATAGGTAATAATAGTGATAATAGTGATAATAATAATAATAGTGATACTAGGCCTCTACTACTAGAGAGTAGTACCTAGCTACGGATTATTCGGGAGAAAGCGGAAAAGAAAGGAGGACGATATATTTAAGACTTATTGTTACGGACCTACCAGGCACCAATCGATTATAGGGCCGCAACTTACTGATGGGCCACCGAGAGCCAACCGATCTATCTGTTATTAGATCACGTGTAGTACCTTATACTCTAGACACCCCGAGTATTCAAGGAAAAGAGAAACGTGATCATGCTTAGTGAGCATGAGCATGATTTACCCTGAGTGGACCTACCCGGCAGACTTTATCCTATATATATGTGACTATATATAATGGACAAAGTCTACGTAACAACAAGTCCACTTTCGGCCTTCTACTCGCCGTCTTATAGTATACTACAATAACTAATAAGACAATCACTACGTGATTATATAAGTAGTAGAATAGTCGATAGTCGATATATAGAACAGTTCTACTATTCTACCTTCTACTATTCTACTTTAGAAGGACTTAGGATATCTAAGGACACTTATTCATGTATCTAGTTTAGTTCTTCGTGTTCAATCATATATTGTTACTTATATCTACTATTCAGAACCTTTGGTGACTCGTACACTTAATTATAACTTAACAACACTACGAATAGACCCGTACTTCGGTATAGGTTAGTTCGGCGCTCTATCTGGCATCGCTCCTCGATACCCTCAAAAGGACTTAGCCCGTATAAGGCCTGTTAGGCAACGGTACGGTTGAGAGACAGATCGTTGACGTTAGAAGCAGAGAAGCATCAGGCAAGTATAACCCAAGAATCTTCTAACATAGCGACGACCCGTTAGTCGTGCGTAACACTTATTAGTGGAATTATGGCATATACAATAATAAAATTGAATTACAATCTATTCTATTGATATTTAAAGTCTAGTAGGAAAACTAGGGAAAGGATATAACTAAAATACTTAAAATTATAGCTCGACAATGCATAAGTTATAAAGCTATGAAATCTTAGCATATTTGTAATGTTTGTTACCTAATTAGGTACCTAGGTGTAAGGAATGGGGTTCTAGTGTTTACAGGATAGAGCCTGTCAACTAGGTAAGATGAAGATGCCTGAAAGCGAACAATATATTGGAGGAATACAGAGACTGATTCTTGGAGAACCGCTGGGTTCTCCGGAGCAAATTATTTAACATGGGGGATCAGCGTTACGGTGAGCCAACACTGACGTGTCGACACCTATATGGTGTCGATCCTCTGGGAGTGCGAGAGATCTGTTGTAATGGAGTGCACCCAGGTCAATACACGTCTCACTAACTAGGCCAAAAAGACCACTATGTCAGCCGTCAGGCTGACATGCCTGGGACCGATACATATACTACTCAGTACGCACAATTGAACCCGTGGATCAGCCACGCCGTTACATCTGTGCATGGCTTCTGAGGATTCCGTTACAATAATGCATGACTATTTCCATTTTATTCCCTAAACGATAGATATAACGTAAATCACTAATAGGGTAGGGTAGTCAGAAAACGAGGGCAGCCTAAACATAACCGACGGACTAGCCATCACGGAATAAATGGCCCTGTGGGGTCCGTCTATTTTGAGTATGGTCTATTTTGTGCTGGCCAAATTAGAGGGTGCTCACTTAAGGCTTAGTAAGGAATCGCCTAGTACGCCTAAGCACTCGCTGAGCACTCACTAAGCCGACATTGAGCACGACTGAGCAATCACTGAGCAATCACTAAGCAATCACTGAGTATTAGTCATCAGTCACGTGATGGGACTGAGCATGATCACTGAGGCTGAGCCCGTACTGACGTCTACTCAGTGATCCTGAGCATGAGCGCCCTCATAAAGCGGCGGCAGCCTAGATAGGAAAGGCCCCACTCGGCAGACTTTATCCTGTCTATATACTTGCATAGACAAGGTCACTATCTCGTCCACTCCAAATTAAGAGATTTTTCCCATTTTATGCAGTGCGACCCTGACCCCTGTCTCTCAGCGATGCACGTCGTCGGCTTCCTTCGGTTTTCGGGCCTCGCGCAGTCAAGGCATGTCTGGGATTCCTATTCCATGGGGGTTTTTTTTTTTCCTAGGCACAGCAGGGAAAGAAGCGCTACACTGCCTAGAAGGGGAAGGTAAAGTAGTGGGCTTTGCCGATCTCCGGCCCCCGGGACCAGCCCGCTTTGCCCTCCTCGAAGACATACTTTTCTCAGCAAATTTGACGTGTTCAGCGTGGTCGCTCATTGTAATAAGCGCAGGTACGGTAGTTAGATCTATCCGTCCTTGCCCATGTCCACGGTATTGATAGTGGCGTTATGCAGTGGACTTTTTGGTTTTAAATTATGATGTATACGACAGCACACCCGGGTGAAATGGGGCTTAAAATAAATTGTGGCGTGCCGATCCCTTCTTCTGCTTGCTTTTTCAGGTCTCTACTAGTTCGCATGTTTGCCTTGTGGCTACGCCATACTGGGCGAACCGTCCAATAAAGCTTTCCTACATCCTGAACGTTTCCTTTTTTGTCCGTGACCGATGCGCCTAATAGCAACTTCCGACTACGAGTCCTGCAGGAGCAATACCCCGGGGGCCCTGCATGCAGTAGTCATTTTTCTTGGCAACGATCTGTCCAAGGAGAAAGCAACATTGATGTGAGTATCCAGGGCAGCGGGGTAGCACCGGAGTCACAAGTAAAATTACATCGAGATGAAAAGCCCCTGCAGTTTCTGGAAGCCAAAACGGGGTTCCCAATTCCCAAGAACCATACCACCGGGACACTGGTTTCTTGTTAAAATCTCGGGAGGAACCTAGATGTGGTAAATAGATATTGACGTCTATCTTTCACCTGGATTCTACTCACCTCTGGTGTACGAATTGTACCTGGTGTGTATTGTGTACCTTGTCAAGTCCTGAGCCCGCCTTTTGCCCGCCGATCTTTGGGAGTTTTAATTCGCTCTCTGCTTCTCCATCCCGTTTACCTCTCTAGACTCTAGGCCATAACAGTGGCCTACACCTATGTCAGTCTATAAGTACTGGAATACCCCTCGCCCCAAAGGCTCTCCTCAAATGATTATTCGAGAACTAAACCAGCCATCTCTATCTATCTTTCATAAGATTCTTGTTTAATAGGGGTGTCCCAGTTGTCTACCCTCGTTATGGAACACCCGACGCCCGACAACAACTTGGAAAACACTCCGTGGTCCAACTCAGAGTTGGACAGCTGGAGAACCGATGTTCTCAGACAATCTGAATCATTCTTCGTGACTTCGTCCCCCGAGCCCTTGGCCGTCTCAACAAGCGTACCAGCTGTCGGCGACCCCTCGTACAACTATCAATTACAGTTTCCAGCGATGCCAGTTATCCGAAATTTTGTTCCACCTCCTACCCCGGTTCCTTCGGTATACCTGAGCCCAAACGCCTTTCCTAAGCCCATCGACCAAAGTAACCCAGAGCCTGTGCCGGTTCATAGCAACACTACAGCTTTGGCTCTAGATAATCCCTATCACGATGGCTATCCATGTTCTTGGATTGATTTCACTCCATCCCCTTCCGCACCGAAACTTCCCGGTCCTAACAAGGAGACGGACATAAAGCCTACTGCAGCATACCTATGCCCAAACACCATCACCAGACCCATCAATAGGAGGAGCCTAAGCTCCGCGTCGATCCATAGCAGCAGCACCGCTATTTCCCCCGCAAGCCCCTACGATCCTGGCTGTCCAAGTCCCTGGACCGACGTCACTTCTTCGCCTTCCGCATCAAACCGAGCGGGTCCTCTGGAAGAGGTTAGCAAGAAGCCTGCCAAGACTAATAGGGCCTGCCTTACTCATGGGGTATCTAAACAGAAGTAAGATCCAAGGCCCACCCTAGCGGGGCAGCACTGTCAGTTGTCACATACCTGACCGCATATCACATACAGCCACAGCGATCTTTACGGCACTTTCAAGTGTGAGTGGGTAGGTTGTACCTATGATCGTTTCTTCTCGCGCAAGGGAGTCCTGATGCGGCACATTGAGACGCAACATGTCTCTCCGGGCGCTTTCAAATGTCCCTCGTGCGATCACGCCGCCAGTCGGAAGGAGAACCTCAGAGCACACCGACAGTCAATTCATAAGGAAACTTTTTAAGACGAATGTTACTTTGGATGTTGGAGTTCGGTTTGGAATGTGGGATATAGATAGCTGCTGCTTTACGATTAACGTTGCCCATGCTTTTTATACTTCAGAAAATGTGGAGTGTGGGTCAGATTATATATTTCATGCAATTTTCTCGCTCGACACCGACAAGACATAGAAAGTCTTTAACGAACTAGTTTAAGGTAGTTTGCTAGTTGTAATCATTGTTTGTCTTGAAAAGATAGCAATAGTGTAGTTTAACCATAGGGTTACCCAAAGGAGCCCACTATCTAGGGAATAAGGCCGCCCCGCTGTTTTCCTGCGCACAGTCGTGGGCCCACAACAATGGACATCCATATGAGATATATTAGCACCGGAATTATCTTGATTTTCGACGGACTGGAATATGTAACCGACATATGGGCCAATTGTTTGATTACTCGATTGACACTGCAGTTCTTTGTTAGGTAGGCCGACACGCGCGAGTTGGCAACTGCAGTACATGTGAACCGTTGCTCCGGTTTAAATAGACTTCAATTAAGTATGTGTTGTCGATCACAGATCTGCTGCTTACTTTAGAGGCGGAGTTATTTTCCCAAGCCTACCACAAACACCCCCAACAGCCCCCTTCTGTTGTCAACACACTCGGATGGGCTGAAGTCTTCTTACATTACAACATTAACCCAAAGTGTCTGCAAATGCTTTATATATTGAAAAGAAATTCTAAGCATCCTGGCCCGTACCATACTGCCCTTGATAAGCCATGAGATAAGCATTCTCGTCAAGTTGATCGAAGACCTCACATGACTATTCATTAGCGACTACCTTATTATTGCCACCTACAAGAATCTGGGAGCCTGGTTGAACCGCTTCCTCTTGGGCATTGCGTGCGCCAAGGTACAGCTGACGAACTTGAAGACCTTGCAGGTGCAGTATGGTATGTAGTGGTGTCGAGACTTCCAGCAACGAGCCAAACAGATTGCCCATAAGATGCTATCTTCCAGAACCATCTCCATGTGTACTCAGCTATGATGGGGTTGACTCTGCTACCTTAGAGGACTTTAAGCTCATTAAGTTGTGTTGTGTCAGCCCTTGATGGATGGCCGCCAGGCACAGTGTAAAAGCACCTGTTGACCCAAAATGCTGACACTTTGCTCCTGAAGATCCCAAATATTCCCCCCACACGTCACTTCTAAGAGCAATTCCGCTATGTGAGCACGCAAACCGGCAGTCTCGATCGCGATAAAGGAATGAAGAACTGGATGGTAAAAATCACCAACCATCCCAAATACAACGGCAGGTCTAAGGGCTTCGATTTCGTCCTCCTTGAACTCAAAAGCTGGGTCGCGGGTATGGAGCCCATCACAATTTCCAAACAAACCCTAGAATCATACAAATCATATGACACTGTCACTTTGTATAGCTCGGGAAAAGCCGACCTCCGGCTGAACATAGATCCTCAGACGCTGCAACAGTTTGAGGCTTCTTTTTTCTCCGGCGTAGAGTGTACTTTGTTCTTCAGTATGGTCTGGTTTCACTGAGGTGATTCAAATATGAACTGTGACTTGGCGGAGGAACATCAAAGGGATCAAGCAGGTCCCGCTGTCAATCAATTTGGAGAGCTTGTTGAAATTATGGATAACCATAATCTTTGCACTGGGAAAGTGAATGGTCGTCAAGACATCAACAATGACTCGTTGGCTGTGGCCGATTAGACAAAAGGCCGACGGCGTCTGATCAATTTCGTTGCAGTCGAGAAGATATGAACGGGCGTTATTTCAAATACTTTGGTTACAACACGAAAAGAACATCTCTTTGCCAAAGGGGCGTCTGTGTTCAAAATCAATGGTGTTGCAAGTCAGATGAATCGAAGGATAGCGGGTATATATGAATTAGGAAACTGTTCAGAAGCACTAAATTATTGCTCAGGGAGCTAGAGACAAACCTCATGGGGTTGTAGTTACCGAAAGAAACTAGCACTCAAGAGCGTGGCGAGGATAGGAGTGGGATAGCGGCCTAGGTCCATGTCCGGGTTTCTCGCCTGAGGCCGAGACCGATGAGACGCACTAGTCACCATATGTCAAGCGCCTGGATGTCTGCAAGCATAGCTCCACCATAGCTACAAGTGATGCAATCTACAATTCAGGGTCATATACTGGTCGCAAAACATGCAGTGGTGCAAAGTAGCCAAAGCAAGTAAATACAATTCCTCTAAGAATCAAGACGGACACAAAGATGCGGATCGATTGACCGGTTGAAATTGAAATGGTATGAAATTTGGTGCGTATTAGCGTCAGATACACAGTGGGAGAAAGTGACGCTGCGCGACCAGACACATCATGCTCGCCAATTGTAGGAACAAGGAGAAATATCGAGACTGAGCTCTTCCCGGTGCCTCGGGGCCGACACAGCTATGAAAGTGTAAATTTTTTGATTCGTAGGGCATGGTGGCCCTGCATTCTCCCACGAATAAAACGTTATCAACCCGCCAACTCCATCACCTCAAATCAACATCGGCTCGTTCCGTCGACTTTTCCTTGCCTGACCGACCGTCTGCGCGTAAAGGGAATCGCCCACAAAAACAACACAAAGAAGCCGTTTAGATGTTGGAGGGGTAGAGCATAACGCGGACGGTAGCGCCGAAGGACTTGGGGGGAGGTTGTTGCGGAACTTAGCCCGGACAACACCGGAGTTGCCTATAACAGTCAGATAAGGATATTTCGACGGATTTTGGGCAGCTCGTTGGCTGCTGTGTCTGAGATTGCTCGATGGATCACGTACCGTGTGGGCGGGTGACCTTGCCCCAGATCACCCGAATGTTGGAGCCGCGGACCTCACGCTTGGCCCGGTAAACGAAAGCGACCTTCTTGCCAAGGTAGAAGTTGGCGGACTTGGTGTCATCAACACCCTCGATCTTGACCAAGCTGTATAACCATGTATCAGATTCCATTCTTCCATTCACATTTTGGGCGCAGGGTATAAGTACCTCGTGTTGGGGTTGAGAGCGTGCTTGGAACGCTGGTAGCTCAGGTGGCGACCCCTACAAAGAAATCGTATTAATGCTCTGTTCTGACCGGTGATGGTTCGAGTTGGTTGCGATGGTTTTTGGATCCTCCAAAATCGGTCCTCCATTTCTCCATTTTCGAACTGATGTCTCTCGTGTGCGACGATGGGAATGTGCGGTGAAAACTTACTTGACGTAGACTAGAGGAGGAGAGAATGTTAGTATATCAGGTCATTTGTGTCATCGCACACAGGATGTTCCTGCGCCATCGCGAATTCGAGACCGTCACAACGACGATCCAGCATTCGAAGGGGTTCACTCACGGCGGTGTCCTTGTTCCGAAGGCATTGTGTCGGCTTTTTTCTGGGAGCGGGCAAGGAAAGAAAGTCGAAGGAATGACCCGCAAGATCGTTTGTCGTGTTGTCGTCGGATCGAGATAGTCTAGCGATAGAGCGCACAACCAATGTGCGCCGTGTATCAGGTGACAGGGCTTAGGGCTAAGCGAGCCCCTCGGATTTTGGTTGTTCCAGTCCACCACACCGCCCAGTGTTTTCTGTCAGATTAGATCAGCCGATTAGATCAGCCTAGATAAGGGTAAGTTAATCTTAGATAAGTAATCAGAGCCGGGCACTCTGGTTTCTCCGGTCCGACTATCCCACCACGGGCAACAGTCGTCCGAGCCGGTTTGCCCGCAGTCTCAGCTGACAAACCTCAGCATGACGACAACTCTTCATCCAACGAATTTTATACACTGTCTTCATGTCTTCAAATTGAGTGAAGTGAAATGAGTTGTGTTCAGATAGAGATTGCAATTCACTATATTGATTTGATACCACAGTAGCTTGGAAATTAACCATTAACCCTGAATATCACATCTACACATCTTCATACAACAGACCGAGACCACTTATTGGGAAATCTAGAAATTCCCCTGCCCCACCATGTTGGGATTACACTTAAGATGTAATCCTAGATTCGGGGAAACTTCCAAGCAGACTTCTTTTCTCACCGAACCAGACTAGGACATATACCGAGGGGCAGGTTGCACCCCCAACGGCTAATATGCTCCGGATTCGGACCTATAGATTGAAAGCCCTCACACCTCAACCGGACTTAACAGTCGGGAAAATAGAATCCGTCTGGTATGAGAGATGACAAATTCGCCGATCGCTCCCCACGATTTCGGTCACCGGTACTCCGTAGAGCTCTCTCTTATCACGTTGCGTGCTCGGTATTTGGTGTTTCTTAATACATAGGCTCAGTGGAGATGTCGCACTTCAAGGTGGCTTGCCTATCATGCAGTAGATCCACTTCATACACATTCTGTACGTAGTTGACCGCAAAGCTATTCAGTACGTACCACTCCACTCTCGAATTCAGCTTGTTCGGGCAATGTGATCCGCGCCTAGTGAGATTACTTACCAGATGACGCCCCTTTGTACAGTACTCAAGGAACTGCATGAATAATTTAAATAAGACCGGCATAAGCGACATCACGTTGCACACCCTCAAGGAGAGGTACGAGGTCGAGTCTACATAGTAAGCTGTAAGCTGCGCGGGGTCAATAGACCGGGTAAGATCCCGTGGGATTTTACAGTGACCCTAAATACTTGAGTCAATGACAATGGGTGATCTGAAGACCGGAGTTAAGAAAAGAGAGACATATAAGTCAACAGACCGGCAAATGCCTCGAGAGGGTCAGGCCAGGAGCAGAGCCGAGACTAAATAGTTAAAAGGCCAAAAAAAGCAAAGGATCAGTCATAGGCTATCGTCATAGAGAAAAATCGCAGTAATTACCCTGAAGTCATAAAACACATAAAATACCCCCCAAGCCCCACCAGCGAAGCTGTGAGAGACTCCCGTAGAAAAAGTACTCCGCCGGATCCTGTCCTCTTCTTCCTTTTCTTCATCTTTCCCATCAGTTATTCATTCCTATAGCGATTTCAATATGTCTGGCATGGTCGCACAAACCGATGATCGCCAGAGTGCTGGGTGAGTTGTTCCCCTCCTGTCTCTGACATCACCTCCCCGTCCGGCGGAAGCCCACCGGATACCTCATCTCAACCTCAACCTAGCCCATTGCACTTTGGAGTGGAAGCACACTTTGCCTCCATCCTGATTTCCTCTGATTTCTTCACTGGGCATTTTCGCAAGCATTGTCTGCTCCGAGAGCTCCCTACTGAGACCCTCACTGCCGCGTGCAACGCAAATTCTTCCTCGGTCGATTCAACGCAACACCGCTAACAATGGATGTCGCATTCAGCACCATCGAACTCAAAGATGATACCATCATTGTGGTACTAGGCGCCTCTGGTGATTTGGCGAAGAAGAAGACCGTTCGTGCCCCTCCCCCGAAGATATGACCAGTACTGACTAACTGCATCACAGTTCCCTGCACTCTTCGGTCTCGTATGTGCTATTTCTACTAATGAACATAGTCCCAGTCGACTGACTCTTCCAAATAGTTCCGCAACAAATTCCTTCCCAAGGACATTAAGATCGTCGGATATGCGCGGACTAAGATGGAGCACGATGAATACCTCAAGCGCGTTCGCTCTTACATCAAGGTCCCCACTAAGGAAATCGAAGAGCAATTAGACCAGTTCTGCAATCTTTGCACCTACGTTTCCGGCCAATACGACCAGGATGACTCCTTTATCAACCTGAACAAGCACCTCGAGGAGATTGAGAAGAGCCGCCAAGGAAAGGAGTCTAACCGTGTCTTCTACATGGCTCTGCCTCCCAGTGTCTTCATTACTGTTTCTGAGCAGCTCAAGCGTAACTGCTACCCCAAGAGCGGTCTCGCTCGTATTATTGTTAGTTGCCTGGACGCTTGCTGTTGGATCACATATTGATACGAGTGTTCTACAGGTCGAGAAGCCCTTCGGTAAGGACCTTCAGAGCTCGCGCGACCTCCAAAAGGCCCTGGACCCCAACTGGAAGGAGGAGGAGATCTTCCGTATCGACCACTACCTCGGTAAGGAGATGGTTAAGAACATTCTGATTCTGCGATTCGGCAACGAGTTCTTCAACGCTACATGGAACCGCCACCACATCGACAACGTTCAGGTACGTTGATGGATATATTAATTAGTCTGATCTCGACTCCTAACCTCGACTACAGATTACATTCAAGGAGCCATTCGGCACCGAGGGCCGTGGTGGTTACTTCGATGAGTTCGGTATTATCCGTGATGTCATGCAGAACCGTACGTTCCAAGTCGCTTTGATGAAATAGGACCAAGCTAACAGTTTGCAGACCTTCTGCAGGTTCTCACATTGCTCGCTATGGAGCGCCCCATCTCCTTCTCTTCCGAGGACATCCGTGACGAGAAGGTCCGTGTTCTCCGCGCTATGGATGCCATCGAGCCCAAGAACGTCATCATCGGCCAGTACGGCCGCTCCCTCGACGGCAGCAAGCCCGGTTACCTCGAGGACGACACCGTGCCCAAGGATTCGCGCTGCCCCACCTTCTGCGCGCTGGTCGCATACATCAAGAACGAGCGTTGGGACGGCGTTCCCTTCATCCTCAAGGCCGGAAAGGGTAAGAATGGATTCCCCAGGACATGTTAAACAATGTCTAACACTCAGCAGCCCTGAACGAGCAGAAGACCGAAGTCCGCATCCAGTTCAAGGATGTCACCTCCGGCATCTTCAAGGACATTCCCCGTAACGAGCTTGTCATCCGTGTCCAGCCCAACGAGTCCGTCTACATTAAGATGAACTCTAAGCTCCCCGGTCTGTCCATGCAGACGGTGGTTACCGAGCTGGACTTGACCTACCGCCGCCGCTTCTCCGACCTCAAGATCCCCGAGGCCTACGAGTCCCTGATCCTGGACGCCTTCAAGGGTGACCACTCCAACTTCGTCCGTGACGACGAGCTGGATGCCAGCTGGCGCATGTTCACTCCCCTCCTCCACTACCTGGATGACAACAAGGAAATCATTCCCATGGAATACCCCTACGGTATGTGTTCTACCTTGATCCCGACCCTGACATGTACCTAATTGATGATATAGGCTCCCGCGGCCCTGCCGTCCTCGATGACTTCACTGCCTCGTACGGCTATAAGTTCAGCGACGCCGCTGGCTACCAGTGGCCTGTTACGAACTCGGCCCCCAACCGGTTGTAGATCCTCGGGGTACAAGCTGTTTACGACGATTATGGGAAGCGGATTTGGGATACGAAGGAATTAAAATCTCTTTTTACTCCTGTTGGTTGGTCGGCTGGCCATAACAGGTGTCGCTTCATACTGTGTTACTTAAATTCGGTTTACAGATCCAATTTTGAATTGGATGCGACGCACGCAATGAAAGAACTTACGCTATACTTCAGTTATTATATCAGAGTCTCTGAGTTACCTATACCAGTAAAGTGTATGCCTTGAGCAATACATCACAACCCCTAAAAGTCCCACGTTCAACCCGTTCCTTGTGTTTCTATAATTGGCATTCAGGGACAGATTATGTCATCCGATCTCATCTCAGCCAATCAAAGAACTGACAAACTGACATGTACAGCTCAACCTGCAAACAGACAAGAGACAACACACCTGAAACAAGTGCCTACATGCAGTAGAAACAAGAGTAGAAAAAAGAAAACAAAAAAGACCCTGAAACAACAGCCGGATCGACAGATGCCCGTGGGGATAAAATAAATTAATAATAAATCGATAAGGCCGGCCCGCTCAGGCCATGTCGATTTTCTCTCCTTCTTTCTCTTCTCAGCTTCTCTCAGCTGTAACAGCTACAGCCGTCGCACCTCCGATCCTAACTTCCTCCCTATCCGTGCCAACTCATCCATACATAACCACACCCACACCCCTAATCCCAATCCCAGCGGTACCGCGCACGCCAATTGCCGCCATTTCAGCCCCCCGCGATCAAGCCCCATCCTCACGCGACACACCACAGAGGACGAAACGACGAAACGCTATACCCTACACAGAATACCCGGCCCATACTTTAATCCCCGGATTCAACTCCGAATAGCGCGTATACTATCCAGTTGACCAATTCATTGGCTACATTCTCATCCGCATCCGCATACGTACACTATCACTTCCTTGGGTACATGTGGAGGAGCTGAGCGCATGCCAGCCCGTGGATAATCAGAATGCCACAGACTGCGAGGTGGGCGGGGACGCCCTCTATCAAGGGTCGGTCTGAGGCGACTCGGATGGCTTTGTTGACGTTTAGTTTGGTTGGCTTGCAGTGCGTATTTTTCTTTTCTTTTCCTTTGGTTGAATGGTTGGGATCTTGCGCTGTGCAAATTCTCGAGACTTGCGGGTCAATTGATTAGGGATTCAGATTGGATATTTGGAGGGGGTTTTGGCTGACTCTTTTATGCTTGGGGTAGGTTTACTTGGGGTACTGAGATGACCTGTAAGAACTTCCCTAATTGAGATTGACCCTTTGGATTGTGGATACTTGTCGCTAACTCGGTTGTCTGGGTTAGATTGTACGCCATACCTTCTACAGCTTGGTTTGACCAAGTCCAAGACTTCGTTGGTGTGGATTGCTGGCCCTCTATCTGGGTTGATTATCCAGCCTCTTATTGGTGTTATTGCCGATCGGTCACGGTCGAAATGGGGTCGCCGGAGACCTTTCATGGTCTTTGGATCTTTTGTTGTGGCTTTTTGTCTGTTCGTCTTGGGGTGGACGGCGGAGATTGTTGGGTTGTTCGTTAAGGATCCTGAGAAGGTACATTTCCTATCTTTTCGGATGAAACATCAGCTCTACTGGGTGAATTGTGTATTGGAAGCTAACATGCGGTTAATTAGGCTAAGAATGGCACAATTGCCTTGGCTATCATCAGTATCTATGCGGTGGATTTCTCCATCAATGTTGGTAAGTGACAGACTTATCTGTCGAAATACGTAGCTTACAATGGTATAGTCCAGGCGTGTTGTCGCAGTTTGATAGTGGATACGCTACCGATTCCATTGCAGCAAACCGGATCCGCATGGGGTATGGCCTTTCCCCATATGTCTCAGTCTAAAACACTGACAGTTATCTTAGCCGGGAGAATGTGTGCCATTGGCCAACTCTTTGCTTATGTGGTGGGCTCCATTGACACTGTCAGTATATTTGGCAGTCTACTTGGAGACACGCAGTTTAAGCAGATGACCGTCATCGCCGCTTTGTCATTGGTGGGCGCCGTCGCTGTCACTTCTTATTCGGTGAAAGAGCGTGTTCTTATCTCAACGAGGTGGGTTTGTTTGAAATAATAAAGTAGACCCAACTAATTTGGCATAATAGGGATGGTGATGGAAAGGCTGGCGCTTTCCAGGTCCTTTCCCAGTTGTTCAAGACAACCTTCGAACTGCCACCTCGTATCCAAGCGATTTGCTGGGCCCAATTCTGGGCGTGGATTGGTATGCAGATCTCTGCGCTATGTGCAACATCTAAACCTAACATGTTCTAGGCTGGTTCCCTTTCCTCTTCTACAGCACAACCTGGGTTGGCGAGACCTACTTCCGCTACGAAGTCCCCAAAGACGATATGGCCAAGGCAACCGATATGCTCGGCGAGGTCGGCCGTGTAGGCAGTCTGTCATTGACTGTCTTCTCATCCATCACCTTCCTGAGCTCCGTCCTTTTGCCATTCTGTATCCAGCCGCCAGATACTAAGCGGACACGATTTACCCCACGACCTCCACCGGGCATTGCAGCTGCTCTCAAAGCCGTGACTGCATTCCGACCCGATCTCCAAACAGCCTGGTTAATCTCACAGATCATGTTTGCTGCAACAATGATCTTCGCTCCTGTGGCCCACTCCCGAGCATTCGCAACGTTCCTGGTAGCTGTGTGCGGTATTCCGTGGGCGATTAGTGGCTGGGCTCCCTTCGCGTTTATGGGCGTGGAGATCAACAAACTGACAATGGGCGGCGCAGCTGCAATGCCGAACTCACACTCCGGCGTGACTATGATCACCTCAGCCAGTCTACGGGCCAACTCCGCTGCCGACACGGAGCTGGACGTGCTCAGACTAAACCACCGCGACTCATTCGACAGCGATACCGACGAGGAAGACCCATCCTCCAACACCCCATCAACAGGCGAGCTAGCTGGCATCTACCTGGGCGTGCTCAACGTGTACACAACGCTCCCCCAGTTCGTCGGCACGATGATCAGTTGGGTCGTTTTCAGCATCCTCGAACCTGGCCCCGAGCCCGCAACAGACAATGCCTCCGATACACAGTGGATGAACCTAGACAAAGACAGGCCCAACGCCATTGCCATCTGCCTCTTCATTGGCGCGATCAGTGCACTGGTAGCCGCCGAGGCCACACGACGACTGCGGTACATACTATGAGCCAGCAGACCACTGTGGGGAGGAAAGTGGGGTGGGGGGGGGGGGGGGGGCGCTTCCCTCCAAAATTACGATCCATCGCGACGATAGCCATTGATTTTTGCTCGATACCCGATGCATTTGCATACGAGCCTGTCCCGACGCCGGGATGCTCGTCTGTGTACTTTTTATCTACCTGTACAGTGCATTGAGCTTTTGACCTTTTGACATGACATGTTTCCCAAAAGAAATGTTCTTTTCTGGCAGTTTTATGCTTGACATCTTCACATATACTGATGATATACAATACAAATTTAATTTTTAATGACTGAACTTTCAAACAATCTTTCAATTCCAAGCTACTTTTGCGTCCATTTTTGGTATGACATCATCTTATGCGGAGATGGGTTGGAGGATCATTAACAGTAAGCTACACAAATCTAGCCCTCTGCAGAAGGGTAGGGATGTTCTATATGGAGTATAAAGCAATTCGATTAACTCGAGTCTGCATGATTCACAACTGTCCTTAGTGGGGCAGTGACGATGTAGTGAGAAGTATATGATGCTGATCGCCCCAGACACCGCAAGCGGAGGGGCAATCCAGCACCCATAAAGCTCGTAGCTATTGCCTTCTTACCTTTTTTCTCTTTCAAGCCAATAGCTATCCAACAGCTTCAGCTTCCATCAATCCATTCAATTTCATATTCACAGGATCCGCCAAAATGACTCCCAAAGTCCTCATCGTCCTCACTTCCCATGGCAAGATCGACGCCACTGGTAACCCAACCGGCTGGTACTTGGTATGCAGCACAATTAATCACCCTTCAATATCTACCATAGAGAAATACGCACAATGCATCAAAGAAAAAGAACTAATATAAAATACCAGCCCGAATTCGCCCATCCCCACGAAGTCCTCAAAAACAAAGTCTCCCTTACAATCGCCTCGCCAAAGGGCGGCGAGGCACCCCTGGATCCAGCTTCAGTGAAGATGTTCGAATCAGACGCCGTGTCCCAGACCTTCCTGAAAGAGCAGAGGGCCCTGTGGGAGAACACGCACAAGCTGGAGGATATGCTCCCACGCGTCGGCGAGTTCGATGCTATCTTCTATGTTGGTGGACATGGACGTATGTTTCCCCCAAGGCGATATACCATGATGTCTTTTTTCAAAAAAAGTCCAAAAAAGAAAAAGAAAAAGTATACTAACATTCATACTTCCTTACAGCAATGTTCGACCTAACAACCTCCAAAACCAGCCTCTCCCTAATCGCAGCCTTCGCTGCCTCTAACAAACCAGTAGCAGCAGTCTGCCACGGACCATGCGTCCTCCTAAACGCAACCGCCCCCTCCGGCGAACGCCTCATCTCCGGCGTGACGGTGACAGGCTTCTCGAATGATGAGGAGGATGCGGTGGGTGCATCGTCTGTTATGCCCTTTATGCTGGAGACGGAGCTTGGGAAGGTTTCTGGTGGGAAGTATGTTAAGGCTGCTGAGCCTTGGGAGGAGAAGGTTGTTGTTGGGAAGGCCGCTGGTACTGGGAGTGTACTTATTACTGGGCAGAATCCGGCTTCGGCTGGGAAGGTTGGGGAGGAGATTTTGAGGGCTTTGGGGCTTTGATTGGATTGAATATGCTTTGCTTGCCTTGTCTATTGGTTTACTTGAGTTGCTTACTTGACTTGGATATTGGCTGTATGGTGTATCGTATATGGTAGGCTAAATATGACTTGTTTATGAATTATCATCCTATTATTATTCAGGCTTGATTATATCCTTCAAGATAGTAGGACAGAATCGCAATTAGAGGTATTTTTGCCCGATTTCAGTCCGAAAAAAGAAATTAAAATATAAAGAAAATCAAAGACAAAAACGATTCATATTGGTAGCAACTAGCAACCTGAACCCCATAGTAATATGGCAGTATGAAAAAGCAAAAGGGGAATAGAGCAAAGTGACAGAGACAAAGACAAACAAACAAGAAGGGCCCAGATTTGGTAGGTAGATTGCGAGGGGAAATCAATGAAAAATCAAGTTCAAGAATATAGTTTCAAGGTAAGAAAGGGGGTATCTGGCCAGCTCGAGACTGGAGAAGATCCGAAGAGAAGGGGAAAAAAGGTCGAGAAGGACGATTGTCACAACCAAATAGTATCCGTTAATCGTTTCGCGAGGTTCGTCAGTCGGCCCATTGATATGAATGGGTCTTGCGGTTATTTAACAGACTAAGGTCGAAAAGCAAAGACAGGGTCTGGTTGGAATAAGGGTATAGGGCGGGCGAAAGGTAGCTGATAAGACGGCGTTTGTCTTGTCAGGGGAATTACAGTTATCGGTGGAGGTAACAGGTTGGTTTGGAGAGAGTTGTGTCTAAGAGCGCTGTTGCTCGACCTCCATGTTGCCTCCAGTCAACTCGGCCACTCGGGCCTTGATACGGGCGACACGAGATTCGATGGCTAGGCAGAATGGTAAGTATTGCGGAAGTAATGACAAAGTTATGGAAAACTTACTCTCTTCTCCGCTAGTATCTCCCTCATCAGTACGCTCTGATTGACTAGTCCGGGTCGTAGTCTCGGTCTGCTGCTCCTGCTCCTGCTCCTCCTGAGCAGCGACAGCCCGCTGGGCAGCAGCCTCACGGATCGCCCTCCATCGGTCCTGTTCGGGGTGGGCGGCTTCGGACGAGGTACTAGTCTCGGGTCTGGTGGCATGGCCGTTGGACGGGGTCTGGGAAAGCTCGGTCTTCTCTTCTGCGGGAGTGGGATCTACAGGTGACACAGGTGTTACAGGTGACTCCGGAACAAAGGAAGGCTGGTCAAGAAGGGGGCCCTGGTCGAACTTGGAGAACTCCTGGTCGGCGGCATTGCGTTCGTTGGTGCCAACGCGGGACAGGGCATCGTATTCAACGGCACGTCTGGTCTTTGGCGGCGCACCGTTTCCATCCTGGGAGACGGAGGGGCGGGTAGGGGTCGGGGGCTCAACCACAGATTCCGCCTTGGGTTCCTCAACACGCTGGGGAGTTGAGGGCTTGGTCTCAGAGACGACGGGCTCGATCGCAACGGCAGCTTCCTTGGGAAGAGGCTTCTTCTTCACAGGAGGTGTCTCCTGAGCTGCCTTGGTCTTGGCTTCGAGGGCTGCACGGGCAGCTGCCACAGCTGAGGTGGCACCAGTGTCCTTCATAGGAGGCTGGTCGGCCTTCTTCTTCGCAGTGAACATGCTCTTGAAGCCAGTGTTTCCGGTCTTCTTCTTCACCTTCTTGCTTGAATCGTCTGACGACTCCCGGGCTTCAATGGGCTTTTCAACGACAGCGGGCTTTGTGCTGGTCTTTTCCTCTTCGGGGCTGGTGACCTTGACAGTCTTCTTCGCTGGCTCAGGGGATGGAGGAAGAGGGGTGGCAACGGGTGCATTTGTGTCTTTGGGAGGTGGTGCTGGAGCATCCTTGGTAGTGCTCTGCGCGGGAGGCGCAGGAGAGCTAGCCTTCTCAACGGGTGCTTCAGGGGTAGCAGGCTCAGCGGATACGATTTCATCCTGGACACCGGTGCCAGCGTGGGAGTTACTAAGGTATGCCGCTCTGAAGGCACCCTTGTCGTAGTTGGTAGTCCACTTCATAGCCTGGGAAGCTTCGTTCATAATGCCCGGCTGAAGCGTCATGACGGAGTTGGTTTTAGTCGAATAACGGTTGTTAACGGTGTTTGAAGGGTTCTGATTCGCCTCTGCTTCTTGCTCACGGTGCTTCTTTTGAAGAGCAGCCGCAGCTGCCTGAATTCGCTTGTGCTGATCAGGACCAATGCTGGTCTTGCTCTGAGGAGCTTGGTTGTTAGTCCGCTTGTAGGAGTCTTCAATAGAAGAGACCTTCTTAGCGGATGACTTGCGACGATTGAGCTTTCCCTTGCGGCTACCGAAGCTGAAGAACCGCTTCTTTTCGACAATCTGCGCACCGGCCTCGGGCTCGGGGGCGGCGCCCTTCACCTGCTCCTCAAGGACCAACCATTTGGTGTCACGAATAACGGTCTCGAGGAGGGCACATCGACCAAATACTGCCTTGCGGGCCGAGGGCTCATCGCCAGACAGACTGCTGATCCACACCCACCAGAATGAGTCGTCCAGATCCAGGGTATTGATACTCGCCAATTCAGCAGGTTCAAGATCGGGCTCAACGTCCAAGCTGCGCTTGTGGGATTGAGAGCTCTGGCCACGAACGGCAGCAATTGGAGGCAGTACCTTATCAGGAGGCAAGAGCAGAGGACCCACATGGTTCTTGAGGTTGCCATTCTCGTCCGCAAATCCAGAGGACATAAAGTCGGCCCATGAAGGGGTGGTAGGACGGCCAAGATCACCTCCAGATTGAGGGACGGTGTTCATTGAGGTAGCTGCACTCTTCGCAGTAGCGGGTGCGCGGTTCTCCTTGGCTTCCTCCTCATCTCCGTCAGAATCGATTGATCCACCAAATCCAATATCCTCAAAGCGAGACCAAGATGCATCCCGCAGACTGGTTGACTGCTTCGAGCTAGAGACACTGGATTCATTCGCAGACGAGATACACTTAAGAACACGGAGACACTCGTCGGTCAACGCGCGGATAGGATCCTCGTAGTTCGCGAATTCCTGCAGGTGCCAGTCATCGTCGCGGTACTCAAAGTTCTTTGCGCGTCGCAGCAGAGAAAACGGTGTCGGGGAAACATTCTCAACAATCATCACCACCTTTGTGGTTGTGACCTGCAACAAAGTGGGGGTCTCTGGGGGGTATTCGGTAGCTTCAACGAGGGATTGGAGAGAGATAGGGAGCGATGAGATGCCGGTCACGCCGCGAGGCACATCGGGGGAGAGCGAGCGGAGGTAGGCGAAGAACAAATGACTCGTAGCATCGGCAGCACTGAAGATAGAAGCATTAGTGTATCGCCTGGAAATATCAGTAGGGGTCCATACGCAGCCCAGTTTTTGTAGGCAGCCTCGAAGCCATTGCCTGTGTCGATATGCTCGAACGCCCACCATCCAGCGTAACGAGAAAGCTTGCGACCTCCCAACCCATTGGACTTTCCATGGGCAGCAATGGCAGCCAAAAGATCGAAGAAGTCGAAGATAATCTTGGTGCGAGCATCAGAGTCGACACTGATGGGGATGAAAGTCGAGAAAGCATCACGGGCCATATCCGAATCTGATCGCATCAGCTCAGGCCCTTCCCGCATTCCAGTCGGACTTACCTTGTTCGCCAACTTTGAAGAGTTCATATGCCTCCCAAGTGACAACACCGCCAGGAAGTCTGCTCCAACACCATTTCATCACACTGCAAAGAACCTATCCCAATCGTTAGTGATTGTTGATCACCCCCTTGAAACGTAATCCCTCACCATCGGCTCCGTGAGCCGAAGCTCCTGCGCCAAGGCATCGCCGCTAACAGGCGAGCCCTTCTCGAACGACTGGTTGAAGTAATTGCGAATGAACGTGCGAGACGCACTCGGATCGGAGCTGGGACGGAATGGTAGGAGGAGGAACGGCGTGTCGAGGGCTGCAACAAATGATCAGCAATCTGAAGAATGACTACGTGTGGCAGCTAGCATTCCACACGGTCAGGATATAAATCCACCCACCTCGGGCCTTTAGCTCATGCACGCAGCCTCGTACGAGGTCTTGCACTTCCTCCGGCGCGACATCTGTCCGCTGCCACGCATCGGTCCATTTGGGCTTTGCAGGGCCCGAATCTACGGCTGCAGTGGGCTTTGCCTGTTTCTTCGTCGCATTGGAGTCCTTGCTTCGGAAGACTCGCGAGAAGAACGACATGGTTCCGAGGGTATTGACTTCGTCGTGTCAGTAAATGTGGGGGAGACGTGGGTTCCGCTTTTTTTTTGCTTCTGCGCAGACAAGAAAATTAGCGGATGTTTCAATTGTGCGAAGATGCAGACCGACACGTAATTAAACGGAGCAAGTAGATAGAACGTCTGGGCGTGTCCGGGATGTCCTGCAGCCCCGGGAACAGGCTCGGAATAAGCTAAGGATCCCTAGTCTAGAATTGATGTTTCTAGCCGCTATGGTGAAAACCAGAGAATCCTCAGAGATAGGAAAAAGGAGAAAGACGTTGGGAGATGAAGAGAAAATAAAGAGGAACACGAAGTCGCGATGCTCAGGGGTAAAAAGGTAAACTAACTTACCGGGTCTCGACTTAGCCACACAAAGAAGGAATTCACGTTTAATTTCCCCCAAGATCTCAAGAATAGGGAAACGGTTTGAGACCGTGCGTTGATGAGAGAGAAAATGGATGATACCGATGGTGATCATACATGCACTCCTCAATCTGGATTTGTAGACCCAAGGTACTATGTTCTCACGCCTAACCGTTTAATCCTCTCCAAGTCAACTGGTGTCTTCTAGACCTATGGGTTTCCTATGCCAGCCAATCTCCGAGCGACGATCGCGACGACTGGTCAAACAGTTGTGCCGCGCTGGAACCAATCAATCGTTTCAGATGGGGGAGACTGTACAGCATGTATATTGATACCTAACGGGATTGAACAACTTCTGTGGCATACAATGCAATCATTATGCAATCATTGAGCTACCAATCGAGATCGTAGATTGGAATTGAGCATTGGGCAATTTATATAGGGCTGGAGATATCACGCGGCATTTGTCAGGTCTCAGGAGAGTATCAGGGGAGTACCTATGTCAGTATCCTGTAACATTGAATGCCCCTTCCCACATACAGTAGTCCCAGATGATACGTTAGAGCATCTGGCAGATTGTATAGGACCGTTCTGTGATCTCTACGGAGTATGATCTTTAGATATCTTCCATATCTCCCCAGGTTGACATCATGGACCCATTGCCCGTGACCATGTCGAGCTCCCAAAGGCCAGCGATAAACATACCAATAGGAAACAAAAGGGACGACTCCACTGTGACAAGCCACTGCAGGGCCATCAGGGACTTTCTGAGAATGTGGTGAGACCGAGGATAAGTTAATTATAGATCGGCGCCTAAGGCCACAACTGAGTCAGCACGAATCTTCTTTTCTCCTTCTCCCTCGATTCTATCTTTAGAACCTCGCCTGCACCGTCAATCCCTCCCCATACAACGTGCTTTGGACTTCCTTTTTTGTTCTTCTCCTCGGGTTCGCTTTGTTAAGAACTCCGAGGGGCCTTGTTCTCCATCCCTTACTCGAGTCGCGTTATCCAAACCCCGCCGACCGAGTATCTAGTGTGTTTCATCCGTTCTTCAAAGACCTACCTTTGTCTTCCGGGGTTCTTTGTTGGCCGATCTGATATTCTCATCTCAATCTGCGCGAAAGGGCGAAAACGCTTCAGCTTTCTGCGCCGTGAGCCACCGCGCGACCACGATCGCCATCGCGTCGGGTTTACATCCACTGTGAACAAAATAAGCGCGCAAAGTAGTTCGCAAGTCGCTCCGCAACTGTCTGTGCTATTCTCTCTCAATCTCTCTATTGGTGCGCAGTTTGTGCGCCCATAGCCGTCCACCATGGGCCGGAGAAAGATTGAGATCAAGGCCATCAAGGATGACCGCAACCGCTCCGTGTAAGCTGAGCTATCGAGTCCATGATTCAGCTCGTAACTAACCAGAGATTTCTGAATTTAGTACGTTTTTGAAGCGAAAGGGTGGTCTCTTCAAGAAGGCACACGAGCTCGCTGTTCTCTGTTCCGTCGACGTAGCCGTTATCATTTTCGGTCACAACAAGAAACTATATGAGTATTCCTCGTGTGACATGCACGATGCTCTCGGCCGCTATCAATATGTGGGTAATCATACTACGCTCTTCCGACTCTTCTGACTGATCGTGATCTTTAGTTTGGCCCTCCCCATGAGCACAAAGGACCGGAAGACTTTGCGGGCAAGAGAGACGACGATGACGAAGAAGACGAGGCGTCGCCAGCTCCCGAGGATATCCAAGCTGTTCAACAGAATCACTCCGCCATCCCCCCTCATCTCCAGAACCAGCCTGCTTTCCAACACATGAACCATGCACCGTCCGCATCCCCTCCGATCCGTGGCATGCCACTAACACGACATGGTACACCGCAATCACAAGCTTCCCGACCCTCTTCTCGGAATCACGTTCGTCGAGTCAGTTCAAACTTGGGCCCGCAGCAACATGGCACGCCGCCGCCACCCCCTGCCTCCCAAAATGGAAACTTTACTTACATATCAAATCAACCGATGTACAATCAGAATGTTCATGCGATGAACCAACAGCCTCGACCCGGACAGTTCGCACACTTTGGGCACCCACCGGGGCCGCATCAAGGGACACCTCCCATGCACGCACACGGCTTGCCACAACAAATGCCACCTCAACATCAGGGGCCCCAGCATTTCCCACAGCACGCTCATCCTGTAGGAATGCCTCCGGGATCTCATGCGCAGGTGCAGCAGGTTACGCAGGCATACATGCAAGAGCATGGTAGAGGTTCAATGCCCCCAGGATTTGCACCCGATGGCCAGCAAGAACGACCTTCCATTTCTGAGCCTCAGGACGACTCGGGTGGGATGAAAACAGAACACAGCCAGTCGCCACCGCAAGTGAAGTCTCTATCCAAATCACGAAGCATTTTTACGCCTATCGATGATCGAGGATCCGTGCTTGCCCGCCATTTCGGAGCAGGAGCATCATCATATGAGCCCCCTCATAATAGTCATTCTCTCAGGTCTGAAGCATCGCCTGGAACAAGATCAATTCCTGTCAGAGCTGCTACGGAGACCCCTCGTCCAGCGTCAGTCGCCTCTTCGTCGGAAATCAAACCACCATCAAGGACAAACAGTGGTACACTGCCGTCGAAGAGACCACAGCTGAAGGTTCAAATCCCGAGCGAGAACTCTGATGGAGGCAGTGCTACAGCCGAATCATCGCGTGATTCTGCTGGGAATAAATCTTCTACTCCGGCGAAAGGCAGTGCAGAAAATGGGCCCTCGGGCGTTGTCTTACCCCTCCGTCGCCCTCAGCCGGTGCAATATTAAGCGCCGGGGCTTCGGGTCCTCCAAATCCATTCGCACGCCCTCCGCCGCCCGTTGCTGCAACCCGAAATGACTCCTACGGAAGCAATAGTGGCAATCCAAACAACAATGGGAACTCAAATAATATAGAGACCCCCATATCTGCCCTTCCGAGTCGCTTTGTGTCCGATGCCCTTCTTCCCTCACCTTCCAGCTTCTTCCCCGAATGGGGCTTTGGTCGCTCGGGTCCCGATACCAACATGCTGCCCAGTCCCCTCACCTTCCCGACTCCGGCAGTACCAAGCGGTCCCAGCTTTTCTCGAGACGACGAACAAGACAAGAAGAGAAAAAGCCCAGACAGCGGGTCCACAAGTGGTGAAGGTGCTCACAAAAAACCAAAAACATAAGGCCTGATCTTCTCTTGGGGATCATCCCCTTGTAAAGTGCCGGTATCTTGATCAAGAGACATACCACTTATTAATTTCTTGTCAATACTCATACTCTTCTGGGAACTTTGAATATCTTTCCTCATCCAGGCCATTTATCCTCTATACCCTCGTCCTTATTCGTTCCTTGATCCCCTTCTCTCTTGTCTACTCTTTATGACGTTTCTCACATGGATTTATTTTGAAGTGATATACCAGTGCTGTCTTGTGTCAACTTTCCTCTCTTTCTTATCTCTGAGTTTGCGCTGTTGTGTGGTAGAAACCGGCGTTGGTCCATTCTTCCACTGTTCTACTGCTTTTATTGTTGTACATAAAGCAGGATCTTATTTTTCGAAATGATGCCAATCTTTATCTGCCTGCTCATTCTATCCCTGTGTAGCTTCAAGTAGCAAAGTAACTTAGCCTTTCCACGTACATGTACCCCATCCCCATGACAATAAAGCTGTGCAACCATGTCCTCCCAACATGTAGCCCCGTTGCAAATTAGACCATCCAAGACTTCCCACTTCCGAGCCTCACGATCCAGCAATTCGGTCCCAATTTCGGCGTTCGGTGATTGAAGGCGGGTGAAGCAACGAACAAACACCGAGTGGAACATGACAACTATATAATGACCCCTCCCCACTTTTGTGCTTTTGATTCCCCCAAGGTATTCCTCCAAGGTACATTTCAAAGCCCAAAGCTCAGATTCACCATGACTCTCACCGGAAGCTGCATGTGCGGCGGCGTTACGTACGCTGCTGAAGGTAACTGAAGCGCATATCGTTTCCGGACCTCGCTAACGCTATTTCCAGTCGACAAATACCTGTCTGCGCTTTGCCACTGCACCGATTGCCAGAAGGTATGACAATGTACACCCCGAAATGACAATAATATTCCCACCGAAGAAAACAAAACCCTCTGATACATTGTATTATAGTGGACTGGCGGTGCCTTCACATCCAACGCCGTTGTTCCCCGCGCCAGCGTCAAAGTGACCAAGGGTAAAAGTCCCACTTCCCCAGATTGCCTCACATGAATATATCTAAGATTTTCATTTATTTATATAGGAACCACCAGCTCCTACGACGCCATCGGCGCAAGCGGCAAAATTAACAAGCACTTCTTCTGCCCCACCTGCGGCTCCAGCCTCTACACCGAAATCGAGATCATGCCCGAGATGACCTGTATCAAGGCCGGGACATTGGATGGCGGCGAGGCTAACCTTGGTGGCAAGATTGATATCGAGTTCTATGTTAAGGATCGTCCTAGTTATCTTGCTCCTGTTGTGGGTGCTAAGCAGGAACAGACTTTTGGTTGAATTGATGCAGGGGTACTGTACTATATGGATGCAGTTGCGCCAAGAACGACTATTTAACAGGAAAATAACAGCCAATTGTAGAGGTCAAAAGTGATTGTAGTACATGTAATACTCCGTACAGCAGGCGAATTGAGGCAATGCAAATTTGTTATCGTTAGATTCTCCACTGTTACATTTGCGGGGCTCCAAAACTTTGTTAGAACCTGCCACTTCCGAACTACCCTGGCTACAAAACTACAATATATCCTCAGCTATTCACAAAACGGGGGTATAAATAAAACGCCAAAATGCCCCAATCATTCCTCTCAACCCGCGCCCAAACAGTCGTCACCAACGAATCCACCAATCCATTCCACGAAGTGACAAAAGACTCATGGAACCCAACCACAAACCCAACAGGCTACATAAACGTCGGCATAGCTGAAAACACCCTAATGCACACTGCCTTCCTAAAATACATAAACAAACCCCTGGCCCTCCCAGCCAAATACCTAACCTACAACGAAGGCGGGTCAGGCTCAACACGCCTAAAGAACTCCATCGCGGCATTCCTAAACAAACACCTGAAGCCAGCAACCCCACTGCAGGCCAGCCATCTCCTGCCCACAAACGGCCTTTCGTCTGCCCTCGAGCATGTTTCTTGGTCATTCGCTGATCCAGGTGAAGGGATTCTCCTCGGAAGGCCGTATTACGGCATGTTCATCCCCGACTTATCATTGCGGAGTGGATCTGTTGTTGTACCTGTTAAATTCGACGATGTTGATCCGCTGGCGATGGATGCCGTGGGGAAATACGAAGAAGCGATATTGGATTTTCAACGGCGGACGGGGAAGAATGTTAAAGTGCTTATGTTGTGTCATCCTCATAACCCGCTTGGAAGGTGTTATCCGCGTGATGTGCTCGTGGCGTTGATGCGGTTGTGTCAGCGGTATCAGATTCATTTCGTTAGTGATGAAATCTATGCGCTGTCTGTTTTTGAGAATGGGGTTGATGAACGACCTCCGGCTGTGCGCTTTGAGTCTGCTTTGTCGGTTGATTTGACCGGTATTATTGACCCCAGGCTTGTGCATGTGCTTTGGGGGATGAGTAAGGATTTCGGTGCGAATGGGATTCGACTTGGTGTTATTATCTCGCAGGCGAATCGCGATGTCCATTTTGCTTTGGGGGGTAGTACGCTTTACTCTTCCATTTCCGGGTTGACGGATCATCTTGTTTCGGTTATGCTTCAGGATTTCGAGTTTACGGATTGGTATATTCGGAGGAATCAGGAGTTGTTGGCTGAGGGGTATGCGTATGCGACTACTTATTTGAAGGATCATGGGATTGAGTATGCGACTGGGTGTAATGCTGGGTTCTTTGTTTGGATGGATCTGGGGAAGAGGTTTTGTGAGTTACATCCTGGGGAGAGTGAGGGTGGGGATATTGGGGAGAAGGTTATGCAGCGGCTTTTAAAGAAGAAGGTGTTTTTGGCGAATGGGGCTTTTTGTGGGTCTGAGAGGGATGGGTGGTTTCGGATTGTTTTTACGCAGGGGGATGAGCTTTTGAGTGAGGCTCTGGCGAGGATTGTTGCTGCTCTTGAGGGATGATTTTGTATTTATAGTGGTATGTACTTGGGTTGGCTGATTTACTTGTTCGGGTATTTGACATAACGTTACACCTGTAGACTTGAAATGGCTTTGCATTTAAGAGAGGTAGATACATAATGTATACATCGATAATAATGGCATTGAATGTGTGAAGACTTGTCGAATATATGCCTGTCGCTTGCCAGGCCAGAGTTCACTTCTACCAAGTGTTCTGGTTCAATGCTATGTCCACCCCTGGCAAACCTTACAGAGCAAAACACCTTCTCTAGAAGGTTACCTATTTTTTGGTAGCCATCTTGTCTCATATTCTGAACGCCATCATATTAAGGAGTGTTGGGCTTGTGGATCGCTGTTTGGGTTGATACCGTGATGCCTGATGATCTAGTTAGGGTTGGCCCAGCACGTGACCGATTTTCGGAAGATCCCTAAGGCTGGACCAGCAATTGAGACTTCAAATATGTACGAAAAGGTATGGAAAATGAAATTTGAATTTGAAAATGTGGAATAAGTTATTTGTTCATCAGGTTTCATTATCATGTTTCAAAAAATACCCAATGTGGGCCAGAGATCTAAATACCAACTCCGTGTATGTACAGGAACCTCAAAACAAGGTGGAGTTGGGGAATGCAAGTAATTTTGTACTTTCTAAGGGGATTGAATCACCCATAAAGCAAACAGAAAATGGAAAACAAATCGCTGGGTCATGACAGCTGAGGTATCACAAGAACGCCGAGGGTATGCAATGGAGAAAAGATGCAACGCAATGAGATATTAGACAGGAGGAGCCAATTGGGTCTGCAGTGCCTGAGAGAGGGCCTCCTCCTGGCGCTTGCGTTCCATCTCCATCAGGTACTGGGCATACTTGGAGCGAGGGTTGTGGATACCACACTCGGTCTTCTGCTGACCCTTCCAGCGACCGGAGCGCTCGTCCTCGTTGTCAGCAACGGGCTGGGTGGAGTGCCAGTCACCAATGCTTTTGTAGCCACGGTCGAGGAGCTCGTTGTATGGGACGTCGTGCTCCTTGACGTATTGCTTAACTTGATCGAAGGACCAGTTGGCCATGGGGTTGATCTTGATAAGGCCGGCCTCGTCAACTTCGATGATGTCGAGGTCACCACGCTTGCCACCCTGGCTGCGGCGACGGCCAGTGAGGACGGCGTGAACGTTCATCTCGCGGTAGGCACGCTGGGCGGGCTCAACCTTGGCAACCCAGTCGTAGAGAGCATCATCGGTTTCCCAGAGGCGGTCACCGTACTTTGCCTTGAATTCCTCGGCGGTTTCAGCGCCGGCAGGCTTGTACACGTGAATGTTGTTGTTGGGGTAGCGTCTGCGGACACGGTCGACCAGAGACAGGGTCTCGTCGAAGTGGTGCAGAGTATCAAGGAAGATGAGGTCAACCATCTGGGGGCGAGGCACCTCCAGCTTGGATAGCATATCCAGGGTGACAAGACCAGTCAGACCGAAAGCAGTGGTCTGGAAAAGGTGGGGCAGAGAAGTAATGCACCATCTCAGGATCTCTATAAGAATGAGTCAGTAACAAGGGTCTTTTAAAAGAGGGGTTATGAACATAAAACGAACCTTGAGGCTCAAGGAATTGCAACTGGCGGTTGAGGAACTGAAGGTGAGGCTTGGTGAAGACAATCTCCGGGACGTAGTCCTCGCTGGAGCCAGAGCCAGCACTGACATAGCCAGACTCAGTCATGGCATCGTGAGAATCAATGCCCTCCATCTCAGAGGGGTAGCTGACGGGCGTCTTAGCCGGCATTGTGATGTATGTGTATGATGTATAGAGGATGCAAAAGATGATATGTAAAGAACAAAGGATGAAGCACCAAGTTCAAGGAGGCAAAGTGGTAAGAAGAAGATGACAATGAGCGAGACTATAAGAACCGGGGGGCAATCACGACATCATGCCGGGGTTTCGTGCCTGGCATCTTCTACATCCGATAGTTCCAGGGCCATTCTGCCGAAATCACGACATTGCTAATCACCGCTTGCCCAAAACGGGCAGAATTGCTGAAAAATTTGGCCGTTGATGAGCACGCAATACTTGCGTCTTGGGTCGGTGTGGGCGCCCGTACAGCATTTTGTATGTCAATTCAGCTGATAAATCCGTCGACTTTCCCGGTCGGATGCCGATGTCTTCGAGACATCTGTAGAATCCTGCAGATCTTGCATCTATTTGACGTATGACTAACCCCGGAGTTGGTAATTGATGCTGAGCAATCTGGGGTGTAATCACTCCGATCACGATCTCCCTAGTCTATGATGTTAGCCGGTTTCTATAAGCTCGGAGCTAAAAGCTAAACATACCCGGACGTATGATGACCCCATGCTGTAATATGAGGCAAAGCCCACACACATAACTTGATATGTCATGGTGGACCTGGATGAGTTCTCCATCGCTGAAGTTTGGTTCCTCCATCACCTCATAATTCTGCCGGGCGGTGCATCGCAGGGTGTCACGTGTAGGCACATCACGTGTATGGCTCACCGATGACCGTTCTGCCAGGCGGTGTGTTTGGTGGGACCGAATCCACGTGCCCGATCGACAAAGGAACGTTTTTGATCTTCCCAAGTGCGGGTTCACTTTAACTTACGATAGCTCCCTATTTCCCAGTTCCCGTTTCTTGTAGGCCATCATGACAGAATCCAGCCGTCCGATGCGGCCGTCCCTCGGCCAGATGCGCAGCAGCTCCTTCCTGCAAGACCATCAGCAGTATAAGCCCATGGCCCCAATCAACCCAATCAACCAAAGCATTGGCGAGGTTTTGGCGAATCAGGTGGACGAGAACCTGAAAATCAACTCGAACCCAATCAAGCCAGACCCAGAACGTGTCACCGACAGCGGCGTCATTCACAGCATCTTTAACCATCAATCAAACCCGCTTCCTAGCGGCACGTCGCAAATCGTCGCGACCATCTACTATAAATCCTCCAGCCCCGTCCACCCCAACATTCACCCTGATGTGGCGTCTGCCTCTAACGACCCGCTCCCGCCGCCCATCATCCCCGAGGGCTCGGCCCCAACAGACGATATGGAGAAGATCCCGCGCGAGCCTCCCATCCCAGAGCCGGAACCACTGGATCACCTGTACGGCCCTTACGTCTCGCAGCTGTGCTTGACCAATTTCCTTCAGATATTGGAAGCTCTGCCCACGCCCTACCAGCGGATGAACACCTCGCACCGCTGTCTAGACCGCGACGAGCACCCGCGCGTCGTGGAGGTTACTTTCTCTCCCCCGCCAAACCCTGAGTATCTTTCATTCCCGGATCTGCGCAAGCACGAGAGCATCTGGCGCTTTGAGCGCGAGTGGAATGTCGAGGTTGTTCTGCAGAAGGAGAGCGTGTTCCGCCGCCACAAGCGCCTGGCCGTATTCGACATGGATAGCACCTTGATTGACAACGAGTGCATTGACGAAATCGCCAAGTTCATTGGGGTCGAGAAGCAGGTCTCTGTATGTTTTTATCGAGATTTTGCGCTTAAGTCAGTCACTAACATAGGCATAGGACATCACCGAACGCGCCATGAATGGCGAATTGGACTTCTCTGCATCGCTCAAGGAGCGTGTTGGTCTACTCAACGGTGTTCCCGCTGATGTCTTCGAGAAGCTCAAGTCTGTTTTGAAGATTGCCAAGGGTGCCCGTGAGCTCTGCCATGCGTTGAAGACTCTGGGTTACAAGATTGCCGTGCTGAGCGGCGGCTTCCAGCCTCTGGCAGAGTGGCTCGCTGAGCAGCTCGGCATTGACATTGCTGTGGCCAACCACGTAAGTAGAACTTTCTTTTGCAGGTTTGGACCTTTACTGACCTGTCATAGCTCGAAATCGACGAGGCCACCCAGACCCTCACCGGCAAGCTCGTGCCGTCATACCCCATCGTCGACGCCGCACACAAGCGCACTCTCCTCAAGTCCATCGCCGCCGAGCACAACATCCCGCTCTCACAGACCATGGCCGTCGGCGATGGCGCCAATGATCTCCTCATGCTTCACGCCGCAGGCCTCGGCGTCGCCTGGCGCGCCAAGTCCAAGGTCCAACTCGAAGCCCCAACCCGCATCAACGGCGAGAGCCTCGTAGACATCCTCTACCTCCTCGGCCTGGACAACGAGGACATCGCAGAGCTGACCTCCGGAAGCCAATGAAGCTTTTAATGGGTACGGATGAACTCATTCCAGTAGAACATTTGCTGTATGCGAGAAACCGTGCCCTTTCGTTCATTCCCTTGGACAAATTATACCCCCACCACCATCGGATTGAGCCCAAACCAGCAACCACAGAGCTGTAGTTGAGGCTGGACCTAAACTTCTTCTCATATCGTGTTATTCGAGATTTTTCTGTCCTTTATCTTTACTTTTACCGTGAGCGGAGAGTCCAGGTCAATGAAGGGTAGGAGTTGCATAGTTCCCAGCATGGAATTCGTGTATAGCGTGACAGCGGTCTCTATTTCTGCAATGATGGCGGTCATTTCGTCTCTTATAGAGTGCCAGTGTATGCCAAGGATGTAGGCTACCTTGGTGGCTACAGTGAGTCCCCTCGGGGAATCCCGTGGATAGAGTCAACTAGTGCGAGTCAAAGAGTTCGAGCAAGGCTCGGATAATGATTCTACAATCATAGGCCATAAGTCCTTTCGCACCCTGCATTTACATAGTCTACATGATTAGACTACCATTTTCAAACAACTACAACCCGAGGTACTCGAAAATGGGCAAAAAAAGGCCAAAAGAGAGGCCAATATAGGCGAAAACAACGCATGAAACGGTATACTGGTTTTGAGGCTTTCTTGTAGAGACTGTCCAATAATCAGTGGCACTGTATACACTTTATGACCCCCTGCTGTATGATATTGAGAAGTAAATGAAAGTGAAAACGCGACACCAAGTTGATTTCTAGCGCAGCATGATATTGGAATTAAGAACAGGCAAGAATAGGCCACGCATGACTTCAATGATACAATGTGTTCCTGTGAAATGTTGAAATGACAAAAAGGCCAGCAGACAAGAACAAGAAAAAGTACCTTATATGAAACCCCCAAACCGACAACCCAAAAGATGCAAGATAGCGCCAGCAGGTAAGATGATATGAGCACGAAGTGGAAGCAAAACAGGACGGGACAGCACGAGACACAGGTGACACAGGTGGGAGTGTGTAGGTTGTTTAGATAACAAAGACGGAAGTTTGTTGAAAAAAGATGAAAAAAAAAAGCACCCTAGTGGGTAGCATCGGCGGTAGCAGTGCTCTGATCGACAGTGCCCTCAGCAGCACCGGAACCAGAACGACGCTTCTTAAGAACATTCTCAATGAACGCCTCACCAGCCTTGTAACTGCTACGCACCAGGGGACCAGAAGCACAGTAAAGGAAACCCATCTCAAGAGCACGCTTGCGCCACATCTCAAAGCGGTCGGGGGTGACATACTCGTGCACAGCCATATGACGCTTTGTAGGACGCATATACTGACCAAAAGTCACAACATCAACATTAACAGCGCGAAGCTGGCGGAGAGCATCCCAGAGCTGCTCATCCGTCTCACCAAGACCAAGCATAAGCGAAGTCTTAGTAATGAGGTCCGGTCTAGCCTTCTTAGCAGCATCGAGCACGCGAATCGATTGCTGGAAAGTAGCGCGGCGATCGCGCACGAAAGGTGTCAGCTCCTCGACCGTCTCGACATTGTGCGCATACACATCCAGTCCCGAGCGCGCGACCAACGCCGCCATCTCCAGATCTCCGCGGTAATCGCCTGTCAGACACTCAACTAGCATGCTGGGCTTCTTCTGCTTGATCTTGATGACTGTTTCGGCGAAGTGGCGCGCACCGCCATCGACTAGGTCGTCTCGGTCGACGCTGGTCAGCACCACGTAGCCCAGACTCCAGCGGGAGATGGCTTCGGCGGTGTTCTCGGGTTCGTGCGGGTCGAGCGGGGAGGGGCGCGGGAGGTCTTCACGCTGCAGAAGCGGCATCCGCGCGTGCAGGTGTCGCCCATTAGCATGATTGTTGCTGTGGCGGAGGATTTGTCGCTGCCGCCCCAGCAGTCGGAGATGTTGGGGCAACGGGCTTCCTCGCAGACGGTGTGTAGGTTCAATCCACGCAGATCCTTCTTTAGGCGTTGATAGTTCTTTGAGTCTGGGATGGGGGTTTTGAGCCACTCCGGCAGGCGAGTCATTTCCTTTTTGCGGCCGGCTGGGCCGACCATTGCGGTCTTGAGGGCGTAGGCTTCAGCTGGGTCGAGGATCTCATCTTGGCCTCCAGATACGAAGTCTGCGAAGGAGGGTCCGGCGTTCAGTTTGTCTTGGAACTTTGTTGCTCGCCGCCGTGTGGTTCCCGGTGTGCTGGTGGCGGATGGGGAATCCGTTGTGGCATAGGTGCGGCGGGTGAAGGGGGCAATTGCTGTTGATGCGGGGGATACAGTGGTTCTGAATGACGACAGGTGTCGTAGGCTTCTTGTAGGGGCTGCCATGGTGTGTAGGTGTCTATGCTATCCAAGATCGCAGGTGGAAAGTTGAGGCACGCAATTCATGCAATTCTGCCCGGCGGTGACTACTTTCCCGCGGAATGACAAAGCATTTTGCCTGACCATTCCGAGTGACGCGGGCAACTATGGAGCTTTCATAGGAGATAGGAACTATAGCATAGATATGGCGATCGTGCTGGTTGAAACGCGACTGTGATTATTGTTTCTATGCTACTTAAAAAAACTAGTTATACAAATCTGTGTCCACAACGCAAAAAAATTACCGGAGCCAGTTCCAAAGAGCGAATCGCAATGCAAGGGTATGTAGTAGAGCAGAAGAGATCAACAAGATAGAAAAAGGAAAAGGTTAGCGTGAGCGAGGGTACGCTGTATCACCGGAAGGCCAAGGAGATTAGAATCAAGGATACGAGAAGGAGATGAAAGAGATGAAAGGAGAGATTGAAGGAAAGTTTGAGAGAAGGACTGATAGAGACAAGGAAAGATATATGCAAGGAGTGATCAATTCTATGCATTGGTTTCAAGAACCTGCGCAAGAACTTCGACGGCCGATTTGAGGGTAGGATCGGACCGTCCACAAATGGCGAAGAGAAGGTTATCAATGATTCGCTCGAGCTCACGTCGGAGGTCAGCACTGCGAGATCCAAGTACACGGTTATTCATCTTGCCAGGAGATCCAGATGGGATCTGGATCCCCAACGTGCTATAGGCTTTTGTTGGTACAGCATCAACAGCGTAGGGGTCGTTCCTGGTTGAAACAGAAGGTTTGCGGCGATGGATTGATGATAGAGAAAGAAGGTAGTTGCGAGCTAGGAGAGCTGCGCAGAGACAGTCGAGGAGGTTTTCAGTGACATCGGGGAAGATAGTACGGAAGGGCCTGAGAAGGGCCTTCTCGTCGTTTTTGCGAAGGAATACAATGACAGGTGAGGTGAGACGGAGCATGTGTCGAGGGAAGTCTTTCACGGAATGATCGAGCTCATCTAGGGTCCATTCGTGATCGTCCAAAGTCCAGTCGTGGTGCCATAATCGTTGTTTCTCGTCCTCTTTGTCGGACATATTAGATGATCCCACTGGTGAATGGAGTGACCTTTGGGATGATGCTTTTGGGCTCACACTGCCCGATCTGATCTCAGGATGTGGGAATGCTTCTCTTTCTTCGTGCGACGATTCGGGCCTTTCGCAGACGACAGTAGACGTAACGCTGTCCGAGGTGAGTGACCCTGGATCTGTATATGCGTCGTCGTCATCTTTGCTGTCGTCATAACTCTCTATTGAATAGCCAGAATCACGGGTGCCATATCCACTATCAGACATATCGAGTGGAGTGTCTGGACTAAAGGCAGACACCTCCTCTTGTCGTTGGTCTGGTGTTGTAGGTATGATCTGTGGCAGCAGGGTTGGTGGCGGGGGTAATGGTATGGAAGGTGATGATTGTCGAGCAATATCAACGAGTTTTGGCTTCGTTTTGCATGCGCTTGCAACAACGAACCGCTACAGGATGGTCAGCTTTCATTTTAGATGGGGGGATCGACGATAAGAACCTACCACAGGCTCTTCTAGAGCTTTGGCACCTGGAATGATATCCAGCTTTGGCATGGGTGGATCATTCTCGACAATTTGGACCTTTCGCCGATTGACAACCCGTGGAGGTGTATCTTTGTCATTTATTCTGTCAACCGGTACATTTTGCAACCATCGTTCGCAGTAAGAGAAGTTGCTCGGTACCCAGCTAGCTTCACTTGAAACAGTCGTAGTCCTGGGGCGTTGAGGACGCGGTGAGCTTCTTTGCGAAAGGCCCTTCTCACTGTAGACTGATTTTGGAGACGTGATAGACATCGAAGTCCTCCCCTGTTCTTTTGGTTCTTCTTTATCTTTGGACTCACATTGCCGTAGGAACTCCGAATGTGCTTCATGAACATTCATGACGTCTGTTCGGTGCTGTTCTTTCCAATCGGGAGGACGATAGGCTCGGTAGCTGATCTTCTCCTCGTCAGATAGAACACTCAGTGCTGGGTCCTCGTCCTGTGTATTCTCGGCGTCGGTCTCGGTCTCAGTCTCCTCCTTCGAATTGTCTGATTCATCTGATGACTTGCAGTCAAAGTATGAAGACTCCGGCCCCGCGCTTGCGGGCCGTGATTCTGATATTGGTGGACTTGGTAGAAGACCGAACGCTGCCATACTTGCGCAAGTCAGGTTTTGATCCGAGCGCCATGTTCGCAGACTGTGGCCGGCCGGCGGCTTTGATGTCTTGTTGGGCTTTTCGGGAAAACAGGGTGCACTATCAACCGACGCTGGTGATGTTGGGAGCATTAATTGAAAAGGTTCTTTCATCCTTCGAACCGATCGGAATGGCGACATGCAGGCTTGGCCTCGTTCCGCTGGCCGCCGTCGTAATGAGGTTGAATATTCATGAGATTCTATACGAGGCATGACTGGCGACGGAACAAATGATAGCGAAGGAATTTGTCTGCTGCGCCTCCGAGGCTGGTAGGTTGGAGACCATCGGCGGGGTGATGGAATGGGCTCGGCAATTGTGGTCATCGCATTGTGGCTCATACAAGACGAGTTCGAGCTCTGATTCTTTATATGAGTTTCGATGGGCGGTGGAAAGCATGCATTATTAGGCATGTTTCTAACACCACAGTCCATAGTGGACAATGGTGCACGCGGCTGGAAGAAGCAGTCGTGTTGGAAATGAAAAAAGCAAAATAGGTTGCACAAGAGTTACCCAGATGAGAATAAGATCCAGAGAGAGTAGAATATCAGCCAAAACAAACAGAATCTCCGACCCATGCAGGGGCTGGATATGTCCTTATACAGAGACAGTGGCGCTAGTCAGGTAGCTCAATGTGGATAGGGTCAAGTTCAAGTGAACATCCCTTGACAGGACTACAACCCTGCCATAAAGAACCCCGAAAATGTTCAGCACCATTCCCCCTTCAGGCTGTAAAGAGGGTCCGTCGTCTAGCACAACCCGAGCTTCAGTTGGACCAGGCACGGGCCAGGGTAATAATAGTGAGAATGTCGCGTCGTCCTTGCATACCAAAGAAAGATGAGAAACCAGCGAGGAACGGACAATCATTGGTTCCAGAGTTCGATCTGTGGTTCTGCAGGAGCCCGTCAACGTGGAAAGGCCCTCATCCGTCACCAAATATCGTCATAGCTAGGTGTCCGGTAGGCTCTAGGAATGAGACAAATGGGATGCGGGAGGTGGCAAAGGAGCCGGGGCGAATCAAGTCCCTTGAGAAGGGCAGTAGGATCGGCCAGAGGGTGTACCAAAGTGGGTCTTCATTGGATGTTGTGTCTCGTTGCAACGGCAATCCATCCCTTCGTCTCGTTGGGGTCTATCCCTTGCAGTCACCTAGCTCATACCAATGTTATTGTCCATATAGAGCTTGGGTATAAATGCTTGAACCAGGCTAGCATTCGTCAGGCTTTCATTCTGGGTGGCGAGAATAAGCTGACAGACCGAATCACTTTGATTGATACAGAGTAGAGGCAAGATGATAGCTCAACTGCTGATATGACTTCTAGGGCTCTACCGCTGACTAAGGATGATAGGTCCAGCTTTCGGCTCTTGCGAGGACGGCCCATTAGCAGATGAAACATTGGCTACATTAGCGTTATTAGCGCTCAATTTGATATCGGAGAAATCTTAGAAGGTTGCATTAGCAGAACCCAAAGTGTCTACCGTAGATACATCACACCTGTACTCCGTATAGATCGTGGTCAAACAGTGCAAACATCCCGTTATCGATTAGAAAAAAAAGCTCGGCTGGAATGAAACTTGAAACTCCCCTACAGCCTCATTCTACAATTTAGAATTCCTCATGCTTTCCGAATCATTTGTGGCGTCGGTGCTGTCATCCGCCAAATCTCCGACAGCCTCGCTTAGAGATGTAGGGATCTGCGTCCACGAATTGCAGCCTTCGTCCATACTGCGATCGACTTTCAAGAAGAGCTCGACCGCGACCAACTGTCTGGCTGTCAGTCCCTCGCATATTTTCACGGCCCAAGCTGACAAAGCTGTGGTGCACGTGTACAGCCGCGAAAAGGGTAACCAAGAGGCCATTGTTCCATTTCCGGAGCGTATTCGCAGCATTGCTGTTGCGGGGGGCAAGTATGGTGATGTCTTGGTACTGGGCACCGAGGGTGGCCGATTGATCCTATGGGAGGTATGTGATCCGATTGATTCACTCCGCCATGCATCATGCATTTGACAGCTTCTTCTAGACATGCACAGGTCGTCAAGTGGCCTCGACAGCTTCCCATCTGCAACCAGTGACCTCACTCGTTGTCGACCCTACGTCCAACTTTATTCTCTCCGGATCGGCTGATGCCAGTGTACATGTCTGGTCCTTGCCTAGCATTCTGTCATTCACAAAGCCCGCTCTTAGCGCCAGTCGTCAACCCACGAACTCGCCTATCCGAACCTTCTCCAACCACCGCGCAGCTATCACTTCCCTTGCTGTAGGACATAGCAATGGCCGGCACAACATTGTGGTTTCAACTGCAAAGGACAACACCGCAATTGCATGGGACTACCAGACTGGCCGTGCGATGAGAACCTTCCTCCTGCCTCTCTCCGCGACATCTGTGGCTCTGGACCCCGTTGACCGCGCATTTTATGTTGGATATGAAGACGGCAGCGTGCAATCAGTAGAATTTTACCGTGGGCAGTCTGTGCAGCATCCTCTTCATGATCCATCTGTGCAATCCACACCCGTGCAGGTATCCGCAGAAGACAGATGGCTTCCTCCTTCAGCCGAGTCCGGCTCGGTTAAGACACTCTCCCTTACATATGACGGCACCACACTACTCTCCGGTCACGATAGCGGCAAGGTGCTATCATGGAACATCGCGCGGCACAAGTATGCATCGTCGGTTGCCGACTACACACACCCGATCACAAACCTTGTTATGCTTCCCCCTGGTGGCATCCCCCACCCTTCATCAGACTTGAAGCGAACCGCGCATACCATCGTCAAGCCGCGCCATGACAATGGACTCTCGGCCCCGACGCATGCCCCTGGAGCCGTGCCAGCAGAGTACATGTTCCACACCCACATTATCGCACCCACTGAATCCCGATCTCGCAAACAAACCCAATTCTCCCAGGCGCTCACCCACGCCTTCTTCCCTGATTCCATGATTGAAGACGGTCTCGCCGAGCTGGCAGCATTCCGCCAGCCCGGTGGCGCAGAGGTCATCCGCGTCTCCTCAAGCACTCCAGTCGCCAGAGAAAGCGCCGAGGACGCCGCAACTCGCGATTCGCAAGTCACCGAACTGGAAAGCGAGGTGTCCATGCTCAAGAAGAAGGTTGCAGTGAATGAGACAGCTCGCCATAGTGCAGACGATGAGGTCGTCAAGTTACGCTCGGATCTTGCTAAACTGCAAGATTACATCAACGAGCTCCATGAGAAGCAGGAGGCTGCCCAGCAAGACAAGGTCGTGCGCCAAGCAAGGAAGCAGGAGCACGCGACTAAGAGACGGGAAGCATGGCTCGCTGCAGAGAAGAAGGGTCGCAATGGTGATGCGGCTATGAAAAAGATGGAGATCGACGATGGCGCTTTGACCAGTGACTCGGATGATCAGATTGATGAATAAAAATTCGGCCTTGGTATTTTGGCATGATTTGCAGGATCGGCGCTGGTGTTTAGTAAATATATCATCTTGGCTTCAGGCAAGTAACAAAGATGCTACGTTCATGTCATGAATGAGTGCAATTCAATCACACAACTTTTTTCTGTACCTCGGACAATAAACATTCAGTCTGGTAGTTGATCAAATATGCGGTCACGAGCCCATCGATGTATATGGATCACTACATCTACATCAACACATATATAACTACTTAGGAGCCCTTCATACTTCCCTACAAATCTACACAGTCAAAGCAAGATAAAATCAATGCCATTGTGCATCAACTATAAACCCATCCCCACCACCTCCACACTCCACGATCCGGGGTAAACAACTCAATAAGTAGCATGACTAGCCCCCTGCTCCAAAACCTCACCCTCATTAACCTCGTGCATAATCTTAACCCCAGAACTCGTCCCAATCCGATGCGCACCCGCCTTCAACATCCTCACAACATCATCAGCAGTCCTCAACCCCCCACTAGCCTTAATCATACAAGGCCGTCCACACATATCAGCCGCCTTGCGCATAAGCGCCACGTGCTGAACAGTAGCACCCCCATGCCACCCAGTACTAGTCTTAATGAAATCCGCCCCAGCCATACAAGCCACAATCGCCGCATCAATCAACTGCTCCTCATCCAACAGCGACGCTTCAAGAATAGCTTTCAACACAATCGGCGAGGGCGCCGCCTTGCGCACGGCCAGGATGTCGTCGTAGACTTCCGTGTACCGGCCTTCTTTCAGTAGTTGGTAGCGGATCACCATGTCCAGTTCGCGAGCGCCGTAGGTTACGGCTTCTTTTGCTTCGCGGACTTTCTCGGCTGTTTCGTGCGTTCCTTCTGGGAAGGCTACCACACATGCTACTACTGTGTTTGAGTCTTTAAGGTGTGCCGCTGCGCGTGCGACGTGCTCGAGTCGTACGCAGACGGAGGCGAAGTCTTGGTCTAGGGCTTCTTGGCAGAGGGTGTCGATTTGGGAGGCGTCGATTGGCGTTGTGAGGAGGGTGTGGTCTATTGTCCGGTTGATTGAAAAGGGTATTGATGGTTGGGAGAGATTTCGTTCTGGGCGGTGTTTCTTCATGTTTGATATCTTTTCCGCCCATTCGGCGTCTGTTGCTGGTATGGCGCTCATTTTGGGTGGTGTCAATGTCAATGGAGTTCACGGGTGTCTATGTTGGAGTGTAACCCACGCAGTAAGTGGGATTTAGTTCACTTTCCCCCTCTTCTAGAAGAGGGGATGTCACGTGTGTACTAAACATCTCATGATGACGCCCCGTGATATCTTGACACGATGAGAGGCGGTGTGGTGAGTGTTTGATGCTCTGTTTACTATACTAAGTAGGTGGTCAATGGACACAACTTCCCGTTACTCATGTATATTTATGGAGTACTCGAGGCAAGGATATGATTCCCCTTTAATCTCCAATGCATTGCAGCAAGCATTGCATATGATAAATGAATCTCCATTTAAGATAACGGTTGTCTAGACCACAATCAACATGAGGCAGCCCTTCCCTCGCACATACATCCCTTCTCATACCCTTCCTAGCATTGATTTTATGCAGCAGTATTGTTGCAAGCCCGTCGATCTATCGACAGCTTCCACACTCTGGTCCGCGAACATCATCCACACGTCCCACACGCCTCGGACCTGATCCCGGACCACCGCCGCCACCACCTCCTCCACCTCCACCTCCTCCAGGTCCATACGAGGAGCTACCTCCCCAGCGGGAACGGGTAGTATATCTGTTGCTTGGACGGTTGATGTTGAATGCAGATTCCTCAGCGGCTTTGTAGGAGTCGAGCTGGATATGGATGGGTTTCATGTCAGCCTAGCCCAATTGCGCGAGAAAGATAGAAGGGAGAAATGAAGCGGAAATAAGCGGGAAATCAAGCGTTGCACAATAGGAACACATACCGCGAGCAGACTAGTGAAGTACAGGCCGAAGAAGAAGTAAATGCTCTCCACGAAGCGAGTGAGCCGCACAGAGATTGGGGGGCTGTGTGTGCACCAGTCAGCGGGTTCTGGTCTGTATTTGTGGAGGAAGGGAAATAGTTACGTCTCGAGGACCTCCCCGTTTGAGAAATAGACGGGCTTTGCGGGTCTGTTCGACATTTTTGAAGGGTGAAGGTGGTTGTCAGAATTGAAGATGCGAATGAGGTGGAGTGATCAGCAAGGCCGGGCCGGGCTCCACTATATATATTGACAGTCGGCCCCTACTCTTTCACGCAGTACGCCAAACCTCTTTTACTACCAGAACATATACTTTACTTTCAAGAATCATGTTTATTTCATTGGGGGTATCTGAATGCTTATCTATTTACATATGCAGCAGCTCCATCGCTGGGAAGTCATAATATCGTGAGTGAAATCACTGCTTCTCTTCTTCCCCTGAGACTGCAACCGCGTCCACTTCGCTGCGCAGCTCATCCAGTCCATGGAATCCTTCCTCAATTACCCATTTTTGGCCTTGAGGATTATGCAATACGTGACAACTGGCTCCAACCACCAGCAAACCGGGTGGTCGCGATCCTGCCTCTTCAAATGCCAAGCAGACATGCTCGAGGGTCGAGCGAATGACGCGCTGGTCTGGGCATGATGCGCGCTCAACAATCGCACAGGGTGTCTCCTTAGGCCAGAGAATGCGCGATTGAGAACCAGCATCATCCGGGAAGGTGGTGAGAGACTCTACGAGAGCAGAGAGTCGGTGGAGAGCCATCAGGAACACCACTGTCTGGGTAGGTACGTAGGTAGGGGGGTTTGGAGCTGCACCCTTTCTGCCAGTTCCCGTGCATACGAGGACCTGGTCGGAGACGCCGCGGTGGGTAGCGGGGATATCAGCGAAGAGAGATGCGCTCATGGCACTGGTGATACCAGGCAACACGACAGGTGAATATCCCTCTTTCCTGAAGAACTCGAACTCTTCTGCTCCACGGCCGTACAGATAAGGGTCTCCTTGCTTCAAGCGAAGGACCTGGCGTCCCTTTTGCAAAGCTGCAAGACCCATCTGCAGGAACTCCTCTTGGGCTTGGTCTGCGTTGCCGGGGAACTTGCGTGCAATGTGCACTTCTGTTCGACGGGGGATCAGATCCAGCACCGGTGCGGGGACGAGCTTGTCTGCGAGGATGATATCGGCCTTGTGGATTGCGTGATACGTGGCGCGCGTGAGCAAGTCTGGATGACCGGGACCCGAGCCAGCGAGAACGATTTTTCCTTTCCTTGAAGGAGTTTCGATGCCATTTGTGTCTTGCACATTCTCCTTTCCAGTCGAATAGGCCTCCAGGATGGCATCCATGTCGGCATCGGTGATAGAGACGAGCTTTCGCAGAGGCCAGTATTCACAGATCTGTGACAACCACCGCATTCTCCTCGTTTTCGCTGCTGCGGCGTCTCCTTCTGTAACCAGAGTGTTGAAAGTGTGGTTTTGACCTGTTGTATCATCGTCTTCTCCCTCATATGTGGCACCACCTGACCCGGCCGCGTTGTCTTCTTCCCACAGCCGCCTGCGCACGGCACCTATTCTGTCAATTGCCGTGCCGAGGTTCTGTGGTAGGAAAGCAGCAATCTCCCTGCGCAGGCGGGATGCAAGCTTGCAGCCACGACCTGAGGTTGTGATTCCAATATGGAGGGGTCCATCCGAGTAGGTGGAGAGTAGGGTGAATGAGCAGAGTTCGGGAGCATCTGACACATTGACAGGGATTCTTAGACGCCGGCAGAGCTTCGAGATGTGGGAGCCTATAAACCAATGAGTATGGGCTGGTTGAGGGTTATACAAGGAGAACATACTCAGCGGGTTATTTCCACCTAAGGTGACAAAGACCAAGTCCACAACGTGGTCGACCTCTTCTCTCCCCAAGGTGGTCAAGTCACTATCTTGGAACTCACGACGCACCCATTGAGCAGAGCCCTTGGAAATTTGCTCAGATAGAGTGTAATGCATGTCCACAGTCTCCGGCGCAATAATGATCGGTTGCGCGCCGACTTCAAGGGCTTTCGCACATCTCGCAGCAGCAAGAGGATTAGAACCCACGATTAAGTGCACTTGCAAGTCGGTATTCCACGCCGCCATCAATGGCGCGGGAGAACCTGTGCTGCATGATGCGTCCTTCATGGTGAAGTATGGTGGGACGAAGCGCGATGCCCCTCCAAATAATTTTTGATAGATAGACGCTTTCGAATTTGCAGTCAAAGGCACACTCCGGATTTAGTTTCGAGTGTGCAAGACTCCCTGGGGACCTTTGGTCTATATAGAATGATCAGAATCACCTTGACTTGCCACACTTCCGCGGAGAAAGAATGAGTAAGAGGCCTGTTGCGATTGGTGATAACGATAAGGACCCTCGATATTGCAAATTCGTTTGGATAAAATGCGATCAAACGAAAGTGTATACAAGTCAAGAATTGTCTCCAGACACACAAATATCATTCCCGGAATGTCTATCAGGTGGCTCAGGTCTATATCCTCTTTTTTTCTATACATCTTCGTGGCTCAATGCGGTTAAAGGCAATTGCGTGCTTGCTTAGGTAATGGACCCAGGGTTTGCCCAGTTGATCGTCTTCACTTCTGCATTGGGCTATTCAGGTGTTTAGCCTGGAGTTTAGTCTCTAAGATTATAGGACGGAGGTTAGAGGTGTCTATCTTCCGTGGATAATAGACGCCTAAGCACATACGACTGGGTGGCATATATGTGCGTATACATCTATCTATATAGCTAAGTGATAATTTACTACCTAACTCCCCTAGAAACAATCATACTTATCATGTTCATATTCTAATTAGCTCCAATTCAACTCAGTTATTAAGGTGATAAGTCAAAAGTGTACTCCGTGTCTATAGAATCTTCGAAAGTGATGTTGGGTCACGTGCACCGGAGCTTCCAGCTCGTAAGGGCGCAACATCGGAGCTACAGCATCACCTCCATCACGTCTGCCATTCCACGAATCTCACTCCGCTCTGCGCACCGAACGAGAACAACATAAATTTCTACCGCTTTTGACTTTGACCTCTTTCGAATCGACCACTAAATCCTCAAAATCGTAATCATGTCCGGCGGCCTCTTGAAGCCCGAGAAGGACTTCACCAAGGATGCCGACAAGCTCATCCCAGAGGCGGAAGGTCTTGCTAAGGTGATTCTGAAAAATGCCATCGTAAAGTCCGATGCTAACGTGTCATTAGACCGATGTCCAGGGAGCGATCGATAAGCTGTTGGGTCTGGAGAAGCAATCGAGACAGGTATGACGCCGAACTCCATCACCTTCACCGCTGCAACACAGGCTAACCGAGACTCTCTTATCCAGGCATCTGATCTTGCCACCACATCGCGACTCCTGATTGCCATTGTTACCATCAGCAAGAATGCCGGCGACTGGAACCTTCTCAACGACCAAGTGCTCCTCCTATCCAAGAAACATGCCCAACTCAAGCAGGCCACAACGAAGATGGTGCAGACGGTGATGGGATTCTTGGAGGAGACACCGAGCATGGAGGTCAAGATGTCTGTGATTGAGACTCTGCGGACAGTGACCGAGGGAAAGGTAGGCTGATGATCCTTTGCGACTGACGGGATTTTTGCTAATGGCCGTCGAAGATCTTCGTTGAAGTAGAGCGAGCCCGCGTCACACGCATCCTTTCGAATATCAAAAAGACCCAAGGAGACCTCAACTCGGCAGCAGACATCCTGTGTGAGCTGCAAGTGGAGACATTTGGATCGATGACGAGACGGGAAAAGACAGAATTCATCTTGGAGCAGGTCTCTTTGTGCATTGAGCGTGGAGACTGGACCCAGGCCCAGATTCTCAGCCGCAAGATCAACAAGCGCTACTTCAACCGCAAGCCCAAGAAGTCCGCCGAGGAAATTGAGAAGCTCAAGAAGGAGGCTGAGGAGAAGGAGAAGACCCGTGGGCCCGATGAGCCTCCTATGGAGGTGGATGACGATGTGACAGATCTCAAGCTTCGTTACTTCGAACAGCAGATCACCTTGGCCAACCATGATTACAACTACCTCGAAGTTTGCAAGAACTATCGGGAAGTTTTGGACACAGAGGCTGTCGAAAACAACCCAGAGCACCTGCGTGCCGTACGTGAACCCACATCTATATTTTTTTTTTTGACATGCACTAACCTGAATATAGTCACTCGCCCGCATTGTCTACTACGTTGTCCTCTCTCCCTACGATAATGAACAGTCCGATCTCCTGCACCGCATCAAGCAAGACTCGCGACTGTCGCAAGTCCCCGAGGAAGCCCGCCTGGTGAAGCTCTTTACCATCCCCGAGCTGATGCGCTGGCCCATGGTTGCCGAGCAGTTTGGCCCTCACCTGTGCAACACCGACGTCTTCGACGCCGAGGCCAAGCAGACCACCGAGAACCAAGCTCACCGGAGGTGGCAAGATCTACGGAAACGGGTCATTGAACACAATGTCCGTGTGGTTGCCAAGTACTACACTCGTATCCAGATGGGCCGCCTGACCCAGCTTTTGGACCTGACTGAGGAAGAGACCGAGAAGTACATCAGCGACCTGGTCACGTCGAAGACCATCTACGCCAAGATCGACCGTCCCGCGCGGTTGGTTAACTTCGCCAAGCCCCGTGATGCTGATGATGTTCTGAACGAGTGGAGCAGCGACATGAAGAGCCTGCTGGGTCTGCTTGAGCGCATTGATCATTTGATCACCAAGGAGGAGATGATGGCCCGTATCCAGCCTACTCGCAGTGACATGGGCAAGGCTCATTGATTGGAAGTGTATCAGATTTGAAGAATGCCACCGCGTGTAATATAATTCGCCGGTAGACGTGAGATATGAAGCCATACATTGACCTTTACCATTTTCCACAGCACGTATATCGTAGCAGTAATAAGACAGTAACAGTCGTCAACTCGTTGACTCGTCAATTGAGGAATCTGGACATCTATACAAATCTAGTCTAATCTAGTATAAATCCCAACCTTCAAAACGGCATATCCATATCATTGACATCCACCTCCTCAACCTTCCCCATCTTAGAATCCTCCTGCCCAACATACTCCCGAATAAACTTAACAGCAGCATCCAAATAAGGCCGCTGACTAGGCAAAAAGTGACCACCAGGATGCCAAACAACCAAACCCTCCTTCTCCGGCTCCCCAACACAAGCCTCAATCAAAGCCCGACTCCTCCCTTCCTCAACAACAGCATCCAGACTCCCAAGCACATGCAAAACCGGCGTCCTAATAGCGGGATCCTCAAAGAACCCACGATATCTCGCCCCAGGCGCCCTGAAACCCGAATAACAAACCGCAAACTTAAGCGGCGGATGCTGAAACCCAGCTCCAGCCCCAAACGACTCAGGGAACGGCATACCCGCCACACCCCCTTCGCCAGTAATCTTCTCAAAATGCTCAAAGCTCGCCTTCCTTCCGGGCTCCAGCAACGCCGCAACCATCGCCGCCAGCGCGGCGCCCTGCGAGAACCCAATCACGCCGTCAAAGGGTCCTTCTTCGGATAGTGTGCGCGCTACTGTGGCGAGCCCTTCCTCAATGCCTGTGTATAAGGGCGGATTGGCGGTGTTGGAGCGGCGCCACCAGCCGTAAGCTTCGATTGAGGAAGTTTCGGTGCTTGTTTCTGAGGGCTCGTAGCCAGGGATGTCGGATGGGAGGAGGCGGAGGGGGCTGTCGGGTAGCTTGTGCTGACATCATGCAGGGGAAAAGCCTTTTGGATGTGTTTTGTTAAAGCGCGGCTTTTGGCGTGGAAGAGGGGGCCTGACTGCGTGTAGCCGTGCAGCATAAGCAGTTTTAGGGGTTGGCGTTGGGTGCTGGGGTTGGGTGCCATTGTTGATAGGGGGTGGTGGATGGAGGGAGTTTTAAGTGGGAGGGTTCTTGGGGAGTGGGAGTGAAGAACCTTGGGTAAGAGGGCTCTTTTATACATTGGGGAGAGATCGGAGAAGGAGTGACTCTTTTTCTATTTTGATAAGAGATAAGCAGGCGGAGTCCGTGAGAGGAAATACTGCCCGAATCAACAAACATTCAAACATCCAAACATCCAAACATCCACTTGTTCATTACTTCACTACCTGCCTTCTTAACACTTGAAATCCCTATCTTGCCCGTCATGTCTGAGCCACTCACAGGTAACAAGAACATCGAGACCCTCGACGCCCAGATGAAGGACTGCCTCAGGTATATTTCCCCTCCCACTGCCCCCACCCCAGACATACGTACCTCCCAATACAAACCACCAACCCCACCATACAAAACCCTGATAATCCTAGCCAAAGACTGATACCATAAACACCCTCTAACAATCACCTAGCACCTTCGAAGCCCACCCCCAATACCCCGGCCATCCAACAATCTTCTTCCTCTACGACTTCATCCGGAACACCCACAACCAACTGAAGGGAGTTGACCCCGCAAAGTTCTACGCCGGCGACAAGGCATCCCGAGACGCTGTGCAGGAGGTCATCGGCCGAAATGGTTTCGCTGCAATGCTTACCGGCGATACTACCGGCAAGCTGGCTATGTTGACTGGCGGGGATCCGGCGAACCCTGCTGATTTTGGTGAGGATATTAAGGCCAAGACAAAGATTATGGCCGGGTTTGACTAGTGCTTTTTCTTATTTCAATACTTCTTGTGCTTTTTTTTTGGGTAAGCATTTTGGGTTGGTCTTCCGTTTTGGGGTGGATGTACATACAATACCCTACACTACCCGTGTCTATTATCCGATCTGTTTGAAACTACCTGAGGGTGTTTCTTCTCTTTTGACTGTGTTATGTATAAGTTATACAACGGAATGTAGATGTGCGTGCACGGACTTTAGTTTATATTCCGTGGGTACAAGCTCTCTGGAAACAGGGACTTTGGCCCTGCCGATGGACAATGCAGCTTACATGTAGCTCACCTGTCAAAAGTACTGAATAGGAGCAGTTTGCTACAACAAGTGTCATTATTCCAGGCTATTCCATCTGCAAATGTACCCTGATGTAATTCTCACCATCAGAAAAGCAGACATGATGTCATGGATAGTTGGTTCCCGAAATGGGAATGTTAGACCTGACGTTTGCTGCAGCGGAAGGTAACACACGATCGGAGGTTGTGTCTCCACAGGATCGATTGTGGTCGCCAAGTCTAGATGGTGAAGGGCGGAGGGTGGCCATAAACTCATACAACTATTACATTGAGCGGAGAAGATAGACCTACATGTAAGACATGACTAAAGTTAACGTTAGCTTACTTGCAAGCAGCGATGATTCTAGACCTCAAATAGGCCTGTGTATCATCGAGGATATCTGTACAGGTAAACTACATAAGAGCGGTTCGAGGTCTACAAACTCGAAGCTACAGGCCATATACTAAGGTGCAACTCTTAAATTGAGTTTAGAACCTTTTTGTACAAGTCGCAGATACATTTAAAACACAAGAAACCAGAAAATCAAAACATCAAATATAGCACAAAGTCAAGCAGAAGAGCCTGGTGCCTTTTTGTGCCAGATATCCGGAACTCCCTGAGCAGAATGCTGTTGCTTTTTTTTTTTTTTTTTGGGTCGAATGCTTTTTGCTGTTGTCGCTGGGAGGGCAGGTCATTCCATCTTCTATCCGTCATCAATGCATAGAAACACAAGAATCCAACGCTGAGATATTAGAATCATCACCGTGAAAAGGCAAAAAGAAAAGAGCAAGGAAACAGTAGGATGAGCAATGGGTCCCAGAGGCCACATTCAAATTTGACTTTCTCAAGGATGCAGGAAGATGTAGATACGAAGGACCATATCACATCATCTGCATCTCCCAAACCAACCCAGTCGAAGAAATTGTAAAGAGAATATTCCATCCATTTTTTTCGTAGGGGCAAGGGTGATATTGAAAAAGGGTAGTTTGGTATGTGACATTTTGAAGCCCGGGACCGGAAGACGGGTTAAAAGAAGTAGGAACTCTCCAAAGCCGGATCAAAAAAAAGAAGAGGTAAGAAGAGGGCAACCCCGGGATTGGTATTTCATCCTAATTTCTCCATGCTAATTCTCTTGACGTTTCAACCGGAACATAACAAGAAAAAAAATTTTCATTCGTTTCTCGTTTACTTGCGGCGGAAAGAGCAGCCCTCGGTCAGACGGGCCTTGCCACCGGTGGGCTGGCAGAGGACGGTCGAGCAACCGGCACAGATGACGACGGTCTGGGCGTGCGAGAAGACGGTGGTGATGGTGAAGCAACCGGGGCACTTGACGTCCATGAAGAAGGAGCGGGGCTGGGGCACAAGGGTCTGTTGGGCGAGTCGAAGAATCAGCCATTTGTTCCGATCATTTTCCATGTTCACATCCGATATCCGATGTCCTGTTGTTTTCCTTCGTCCATTCTGCTCGGAGAGCTTCGATGTCCCAGGTTTCCAGTGCAGGTTTCCATCTCGGTCGGTTTTTCATCTTTCCTCCACATATCGCCTTCGGAGATCGGTTGTTTCATACCTTGAGCTTGTGCTTACGGCCCTCAGCCTGGGGCGTGGGGTTGAGGAGGTCGACCGCGAGAACCTGAGGACAGCAATGTTAGTGGAGATGAAATTTTCGATGATAGTCGCCCCCCCATGTGGATGGAGCTGTTCTCGGAGGTCGAAATCAGGGCGAAAAAAGGGGGACTCACCATCTTGACGAGTGAAAGTCGATCAGCGAGATAGTTGATTAATGGCGCTGATGGCGATGGCCTTGTGTGTAGCGGATGAGGTGGTCTTCCAAGAGAAGTTTGAAGGGATTTGGACCGGGCGTCCCGTTTGGGGGTGGTAGGGTTTGTGCCCGTTTGTGCCCTCGCTTGGTGTCCTCTTTCAGGAAGGCGGCAGGCTTCCCGCCAATCAACGGTGGGGGACATGAGGTAAGCTATCAGGTAAGCGCTGATGTAATCAGGACAGTCGCTGGTTCCCCATGTGGGGACTTCCAGTTTGGGTCTAGTAGTGATTCCGCGACTGGTATGCAGTCACTCGACTCTTCTATAACTCTCTGCAAGTCTCTACAGCTCTCTACGACTCTCTGCATCTGTACAACTGTACAACTCTCTGTCTTTGCAACTGTATTTGCAACGCTCTTTGCAACGCTCTTTACAACCATCTTTGCAGCTCTATCTACAGCTCTCTACAGCTCTAATGACAAAACTCTACAGCTCTTTCTATAAACATCACTTTTCTCACCGGTATGCAGTCGCTCGGCTCTTCTACAACTTTCTGCTGCCTGCGACTTCATCGTCAAGGCTTTTTCCTTGTCTCAGAATCTTCTCCAATCATTTGTTATTTGACCCAGCCGTCCGCATAAATTGTGGGAAAATAGCTCAAGACTTGAAAGCCTCAGACCTGCTATGTCATCCAGTCTAGCGACCTTGGTTGGACTCCAAGGCAACTCTGGATACGGCCCTTCAGAACTACCAACCAGGCAATTCGGAGGACACGACAGTCAACATTTTTTATAAAACGCTTCCCTTTTGATGGTCGAAACAACCTTGTGGAAGATGTTTCTCAGTGCCGAGACGACGGTGCTATCCGACAGCTAGCTGATAGCCTGGGTAGTGGGATACTACGCTTGATGCTACCAAGCATACACACCTTCGACCTCTAGACAGATATACCCGGAATCAGCATAAGCTGCGCCAGAATTGCCTAAGCAGGGGCGACCACAAATGCGTTATTACAAAGTGCTTGGATTCTGACTCTCCCCATACCCCTGAAATAATCCACAGAACATTACAGGCCGTTCAAATCCTTCCTTTTTCCCTTGGAGTCCCCAGAATTGGGCTATTTTTCGATACTTCCCGAGCCTACGTTGGCGTCTCAACATAATGACAGGGGACGTGAACACAGTCGAGGACTGCTAATGATGTACAGGTAGATTGGTCAAGAATTTAGGCCTTTTCACTTCGTGTTCGAGGCAACTCCAACCCCCAACCGGTATCGACTCAAACCTTCCCGTCCTTCACTGAAATCCTTAATGTTCACCTACCGCACGACAACATCGTCACGATGAATAGTGACTATAAGCAATTCGGCCCTCCGAACCCAACATACCTTGCAGTCCATACTGCAATCGGGAACATTCTGCATCTCACCGGCGGCGGTGAAACCATTGAAAAGCTGATGCGCGACATGGGCGATGATAGTGCCTTACTAGCCCACGATGGGATCACTGTGCTCTTCTGTCGGTTAGCAAACTTTCGCGTTTACCACTAGTCGAAATGCAAAATGACGAAGATCCTCTCGTCAAGCCTAGAGCCATAGCCCCCAAAGCCACTATGCCCGGCAATGAGAATACGAATTCCAGATCGTTTACTTCAGACTATCCTTATGAGTGAAGATTATGACAAGAATGACTGAACGTATTATGATGTTACGAAACCTGTATCTCTTAGTTTGGCAGCAATGAAGCACAGTGCAATATTTTCCTGAATTGGCCTGCATTCGGTATCACTCTAGGTAGTCGCGGTCACTCCATTGATCGCTGGTTCCCCGTGAGGATATCCTCATCTGGGACTAGTGCGTATTCCGCGACTGGTATACGCTGGACACTTCTACTGTACAACTCTTTTTACAACACTCTACAGAGTATAAACATATTACTTCTCTCATATTCTATCGCTAAATCGCCACTCGAACCCCGAAACAAAAATTATGTACTGAAAACGTCATTAGCCAGGCATCGTTATCCATGCTTTTCCTCGAGTACTGTTGATACTCGCTTCCACCCCCATAAAGCTATTGATAGTGGGGAGTGAGGTTGAACTAGTTCTGCCCACGTATCTATCACAACACACCAGACTGCACCACACCATCCCCCTACTTAGTCTTCTTCGCCGTACCGTTCTTGTGCTCGGTCTCCTCAGTGAACGGGTACTTGATGGTAAGGCACCAGATATCAATGTAATCACATATCGTAGTGATGACATCGAACTAAAGGAAAGAAGCTCAGCAATAGGTCGCGCATATTCAAGGGAAGGAAACATACCACAAAGCTGCCATAAACACCAACAGCTAGACCCAGACAAGCGAAAACAAAAGCCACTTGTCCCACACCATAGCCAAGCACAGGAGTCTCCCACAACCCAACCAGCGCACCAGCACTATCAAGAACTCCCAGAGCAAGCGGATACAACAACACATTCTGATAAGGGAACCCCGACTGAACGAGATGCCCGACGATCATCCGACCGACAGAGTAAGCATTGACCAGACTAACAAACAGTCCAAAGGGAATGGTATAGTTCTCCAGAATAGCGGGCTGCAGATACAGGTATGCTGGCACAAGCGTCCAGATAACAGCCACGGGCAGCAGACCATACAGCGGGGCAAAGGGGTCCTGGCCGCGCTCGCGACGCACCTGCATTACATGCATGATGCTCGAGCTGGTGGCGAAGAAGAGTACGAAGGCGCCGTAAACTAGGTACCACTGCGTGAAGGGCATTTCGTATAGTGTCGTCGAGAGGAAGCTTGGCTTTGAGATGCCGAATGTTTCCAGCATGGGCTGGTGCCAGAAACTGCCGCCGCCTACGTAGGCTGTGAAGGCGTACACGGTGCAGATCGTCAGGAGGCCTTCGACAGGGCCGGAGATAACGCCTAGGGTTAGGATTTGCGTGTAGAATTCATCCCAGGTTTGGACGTAGAAGGTCATGGTTGCTGTGTTTGTCAGAGAGGATTTACTTGACTGGTATATATCGGACGAGTGGCTTACATCCGAATAATGTGATAAATGTCATCCAGCCCTGGCCGAGGTTCATTACCGATGCGAAGATCAGCACGCCGAGTCCGGTGTTGCATGCGTCGACACCTAGAAATCAAATAGTCAGCCACCCACGACCATTCACAGGATATGGATATGGATATAGATATAGATCCAGCAAAACTTACTGTGATCAAAAAGCTCTCCAAGAGGTCCGCTCTGTCTCGTCCTCCGTCTAAACCCCAATCCGAATCAGTAAAGGGTCCCTCAACAAGCAAGATAATAACATACGCCTGCATGCCATCTACGGCATCGAAGGTCTGGTATAAGAACAAGCCCAGCGCGCAACTGACATAAACCCACGTCGGACAATCCGTGTCGAGATTCGGGTTGTACCACATGACAGTGATGAAATTAAGGACGACGAACATGAATCCAGTGAGGGTGATCTACCACAGAGAAAAGAGATTAGGATCCATGATTCTGATAGTTGGTGCATTGGCTTGGGTTGGACCGGAGATGTGTGTCGCATGGGCAAGACTTACGGCATTGGGTCTTTAATGCGCGAAGCAAAGAGCGGAAATAGGTCAGTCATATGGTGCTTGTATAATTTGATCGGGAAGAGAAGAGAAAAGAAAAGAAAAGAGAAAAGAGAAGGTATTTCGAGCAATGTGCCTGGTCCTTTTCGAGGTACCCAGACCCAGCACCAAGTCCAAGCTCGAGGCCAATTCTCCCAGAAAACGAAACAAATCATTAGGCTAAGAGAGGGAAATACTCACGCCATCTCCATGGGGAAGCATCCGATGACACATTTGTTATAGAACGGCTTGAGGATGTACCGACTAACAGGCGAGTGGTCGACACCAGCGTACTTGTAGTTGCGGAGGTTTGGGAGGTACTTTTGCCGGATGTACACCATTCTCCTGTGATGCGCGTACTAGCTACGCGCTGTTTATTGGGTGTTTGGTTGAGGCGCTCGAGGCATATATTGGGAAGATTGGCGCGTCTTGATGGATCAGGCGCGGTGGTTGCGGGTTGCGGTTGTAGTAGGCGCGCGATTTGCGATGGGATCGGGGATGGGGAAGTTCGACCTCGACTGCTGGTTAATAGGCCACGGTAGGTGTGCTCAGGTGGCGATGGATTGGAGATGTAGACAAAGGCAAAGGGGAGGAAAACAAAGCGGAAAAAAAAGTTGGCGGAAAACTGGGTCTCCGGGGAGATTTGGACTACAGAGATGTTGAAGATCTTAAGGCCACTTGGTCTTGGCTTCGACTCTGTTCTTCTCTTCTTTTCTTTTTTGCTTCTTCTCTTCTTCTTCTGTTTTTTCTTGTTTTGATCTCCTTGGTGTCTTTGGTGTCTGGTTCTCCTTACGAGGTCCAGAGTTCCAGTGAACTTATATTGGCAAGAGTCAATACTGCCTCATGAAAGAGGGGCCTTGTACACGTTACTCGGCAGACACGTGCCCTCAACATTACTTCTGCTATCCAAGCGTTGCCAATGAGATGCCTCATACTGTGCCGAGAGTGCTAAGATCGTCGAGTATACGGGTGGGGTTACCCGACAGCCGGGGGCACGCGTACTCTGTTCCTGAATATTATAGGCTAAAGACCTGAAGACCAAGTTTCCAATGTATGCTTCGTATTCAGTGCTAAGGTACACAATACATAAGATAATGTAGATGATCTCCCCTTGATAAGTATATGGGGCGAGATCTGCCTGACAATCTGCTTCAAGATCCTGAGATCGAATCCCTAGGGAACTTAAGGTCGGGGCGAAAGCGTCAATAGACACTGTTAATTTAGCCGACAGGACTCCAAGGCATCGGAACAAGAATCCGACTCTGCATGGTCTGGATAAGAGGTACTGTTTTGTGTACAGTCTCGGCCCATCCTTCCACACCCCACGACTGCTCACGGCGGATCTTGCGCTCCTCCAAGTTGGCGAATTGCCAAAGGTGGTGGACTGTGTTCAAGTCGCCAATCTGCACAAACCACGCACCGACGCCTTCCATCACCTCGCGACGGGCGGTCAGACCACGACGCCAATGTGTCTCCCACTCCAGCAGGTTGCCCGGGTGCAGGGTGTACGATCGTAGCTCGAACAAACCACCAAGACGGCGGGGTGGGGTTGTAGGCCAGAACGAGAACTCTTGCATAAGGGAGGTCTTCTTGCTCTTGATCAGACTTTTGAGCTTGCGATCGAAATCACGGAACTCGGGGTGTTCCGAGATGTTGTGAAGGGAGGCATGGTAGCCTTCGTAGCGTTGGTATTCCCAGATATGGACTATCCCGCAAAAAGCAAGGTCAGCCAACAAACACCAATTCAGTTGCTTGATCGGAACTTACTAAAGGTATCATTGTCACCGACTTGCGTCCGCCAGCTGCCGACCAAATTGACACGGTTCTCTTCGGTGCCAGCCATGCGTGGATACCACTGGCCCACAAGATCCACATATTCGTCGACCTTATCCGGCTTGACGTCGTGCATGACAATAGAGTGAACATATTTACCGCGGGCCAGCACCTGCGAAAAGGAGCGTTCCACGTCCTCGTCGAAATGCCGGCCTTCCTCGGTACCGTAGATGAGCGATGACAGAGGACCACGTTTCGCTTCAAAATGATGTTCTTCTCCTAAATAGCGGTGCATCGAGAGTGAGCCCATTGCCTTATGATCCAGGGTTTGTGCAGCATCGAAAGAAGATCGAGTTCGATTATTGCTGCTCGCATTGCTCACTTGTGGAGCAGTGGGAGCGGACTCACGGGAAGGGGTAAAGGAGGAGACAGAAGCATTGACGGACTGACTCTCTACCTGTTCTTTTCTCAAGCGAGCCTGTTCCAGGTTCTCGCGGAATTCTTTCTGTCGGCGGAGGAACTCTTCTGTCGAGTCGGCTGTGACATCTCTGATCGAGGGTGATCGGTAGGCAACGGCTGACGTGCTGAAGGGTCGCAACAGCGAGGTTGCTGTGCGGGCTACGCGTGGAGCCAACATGACGAAATACAAATGACGACTCACAAGACAAGCGATGTGGATGTCGACAAGGGGAGGGTTGAAAGTATCAAGGATACAGGAAGATTGAGAGGAAGGAGTAGTGAAGAGAAAGAGTAGTGAAGTGAAGAGGGGAGAGTTGGTAAGGGCAAGGGTAAGGGAGTCAAGAGGAAGGGGGCAATAATCCCGGACAAGTATGCAAATGTACCAGTAATAACTGCCGACAAAGGAGGATAATCCGCTTTTCTCTGTGAATTGATTTGACCTCGAAGTTGAGCAGCTCCAGATTGTGCGGGGAAAGGAGCTTCCCCCAGTCGATCGGGTACTTGGGACGGGCTGTGCTAGTACCTTTTGCCCCAATTACTGCCTGTCGCTCACCAAATTGTGGGTAATGATGACATGGCTGATGTGTACTTGGTACTTGGTACTTGGTTATATAGCTCTTACTAGCTATGATTGGGTCTACTCTAATCCATGACACCTTTGAGACATTGCTCTTGTGATCAATGAATAGCCTGATATTTGCAGTATACGAGTGAATAGCCGTGTGTATCCTCTGTTAGGATACATGGTGAAACGGAGTCTCCACGCACACCACTCCGCGTATAGGCGCTTCAGGTGTAACATACACCACTAGCCAAGTCGAGAACGGCAGTTAGTTCCGGCTAGGGCAAACATTAGGCTAACTACCAAGTTGTAATTACACCCCAGCTATTATAGCTGACTTGTTAGGCTGACCTAGCTGAAGATGATGACGTAGTTCCGGACAACGGCGATCCGGCGATTGGGCAATCAGACACCGCCCGAGTCTCGGCAGATCTTGACTCTTCACCAAGCTTCACTTCTGTAAAGCATCATGGCCGAATCAGTGAACCCTCCATTGTCCTACGAGGCATCTGCGACAACCACTCACCCTCATGTCGCTACTTCCCTCCCATCCGAGGTGATCTCATGCCTCAAGAACTCCCGCTTCGTAAGTGGCACCACCAACAAGAAGATCAAGAAGAACAAACTAACCATGCCCAGCTTCATCTCGCAACATGCGATGACAAAACCCCCATATCTCACTCATGTCCTACACCTATCTTCCCTCGACACCCTACGACCCGCACCCCACCATCATCATGACCACGAACCCCGCATCGCGCAAAACAAACCACCTGCTGTCCAACCCGCGAGTCTCCCTGCTGGTCCACGACTGGGTGTCACATCGGCCCCCGACCCGCGCTACGACCGGTGACCGCGAGGGATCGCCTCCTCCCGCCGCGACCCGGTCGTCTCTGGCCAGCCTGCTGCTCAACTTGAACACGAGTGCACTGTCGAGTATCTCCACTACTATCTGTGGTGAGGCGCGGTTCCTTGAGGCTGGGTCTGATGAGGAGTCTTGGTGTAAGAATCGTCACTTGGAGAATAATACTTTTGAGGAGGAGGAGATCAATCTTTTGGTCAGCAGCAGCGAGATCCTAATGCTAGACGGCCTAGTGTCTCTATTGATACTGATGTGCGGGTTGTTACGGTTCGTGTGACTGAGGGCCGTATTGCTGACTGGAAGGGTGGTGTTCGTGACTGGGTTTTGCTTCCAACTGAGGGCCAGGATGCTGGACTGGTCAATGGGGTTTCCTCATAGTGATTTCGTCATCCACCGGTATCTGATCGACGGCGTGGATTTCACTGGATTTTGTTCTTCGGGCATTTCATGTTGCGAGCTGTTTTATCCCAGAAATTTTTCAACGATTGAATAAGTTATCTAGTTTGGCACGGCCACGAAAATAGCTAGGGTATGGCTTGATCGGATATGTAAAGAAAATACGAATGAAGAACTGCAAGTGAAGAGACCCAACATTAACGAGTTAAATCCAAAATGAATGTTAATTGAATGTTAAGTGTGTACTCGTAGAGAGTAGAGAGACAATCCCAGGTCGACTATGACGGCTATCAAACCTTATCTGACGGAGCCAAAGCTTGCAGCTTCTCCGCAAACCTCCTACTCCTCGGGAAACGCAACCTCCATGCGCTGACACAACTCCCCAACTTAAACCTCAACTTAACCTTCAATTGCAAACCGAAAGCGGAACAAAAGCCAATACAAAACCAAAAACCACAACAAAAATGCGCCTCGCCCACCTCCACCTCCCAAACACAACACCCTTCGCCCGAGTCTCCCACCTCCAACAGACCCTAACAACAAGACTCCTAACGCACAAAAAACTAGCCTCTCCAGGCTCCCTCTCCTCCCAGGCCCCCCTCGATACTACGGACACCCTAGCAAAAAGCCTCCCACCACCCCCAGACCCAACAATAATAACCTTCACCCCAAACCCAGTCTACACAACCGGCCGGCGCGACCTACCCCCCTCAAATACAAGCCCACCCAACAATACAAACAATACACCGCTATCCCTCCCCCCAGCCCTCGAACCAATCCGCTCAATCCTCACCCCGGGGAAAGATGGCACACCCGCACGCGCAGAGTACCACCCAACCCTCCGCGGCGGACAGACTACATATCATGGACCTGGGCAGATGGTCGCATATACGATACTCGATTTGAAGAGGTTGGGTCTGACGCCTAGGTGTCATATTCGCGTTTTGGAGAACAGTGTTATTGATTTGCTTGGTGGGTTTGGGGTTAAAGGGTTTACGACTGAGGATCCGGGGGTTTGGGTTAGGGATACTGCCAATGGGAATGGGGATGCGAAGAAGATTACTGCTGTCGGGGTTCATCTCAGGAGGAACATTAGTAGCTTTGGGATTGGGCTGAATGTTACGCAGGAGCCTATGTGGTTCTTTAGGCAGATTGTTGCTTGTGGATTGGAAGGAAAGGAGGCTACTAGTTTGCAGGGTGTTGGTGTTGGGGATGGGGTGTCTGTCGATGATATTGCGGATGCCTTTGTTATGAAGTTTGTTGAGCGGGTTAATGCTGATTTTGCTTGTGGGGAGAAGGCTTTGGGGGAGAGGATTGACGAGGTCTATCGGGTTCGTGAGGAGGATTTACTTTAGGTTTATTCTGGGCTGGGTTTGGCATGGTATGTGCTGTATGATTACTTTGGATGAGGATAGAAATGATAGAAGGGATGCGTATAGTTCCAGCTATGGAAATATCCTGGTGGCTTTTTTGATGTGCTATTGGTACATCGGTCTGCTGCTTCATGGTTTCATACTCCGCAGACATGGTAATGCCGTGTTGCTGCACAAATTATGTGACTGCGTGGTCCAAAATCATAATTGTATGCATGTCAGAGCCGACGGGAACCTGCATGTCAAGTTGGATTGCTTCAGTGAAGAAGTTGCCGTGTTGCGAACTGTATCACTAGGATATCGATGTACTGTAGAAGTATAGACCAGAAAAGATGACTGCCGTTGAGATACTGCCAGTAGGAAACGAGACTAGGTATGAAGTACCTTCTCACGTTGATTGGCAGCATCGGCACCTGACTTGTATCGCGGTATAGCAAAGGCGGTATGAAGATGGTCAGGGACAAGGGAGCTGTAGAAAAGTAAACAACGATTAAGAAATGCCCAAAAATATACAAATCCAACAAAATTATATTTGAATAATGCTCAGAAAAGACGAGAAACCAACCTCGCTGAAATGCTGTAAAAACCGCATAAGCCTCGAAGAACTATGCAGAGCACCCAAGCTCCATACCACACAGTATATGGAGGGGTGTAGAAGGAAAAGTAAAAATCAATCGCGCGCGTAAGTGAAAGGAAGACTTGAAGCAAGCTCATAACACCAATGCATGGGGGAATCGATAAAAGACGAAAAGTGGGTGAAAAGGGGTTGCGAAGAATATCCAGGTAGTCGTAGATACCAGGCAAGGTGGACAGAAGAATAGAAGAGAAGATGAGGACGGGTTGTTTATGCAAGTCGGGCAGGTTGGCGTCGAATCTCCGTTTAAAGGATAACACATTGCTGGCTAGAGGTTGATTGCCCGGTAGGCTTGACCTCCATGGCGACCTTGGCTGCTTCGTAAAAGCTTTCTCGGATGCCCCTATTTTGGACGGCGGAGCATTCTATAGGAGTTAGCTTGAGTTCCGCGCGTGTTTCACACTGCTAGAGGAGGTGGAAATGGAATGGACTCACCGAGGTATTTCACGGCACCAATTTCCTTTGCCTTAGCTAGGCCCTGATCAAAGGTGATGGCATCGGTATCATTCTGGTCGTCGTCCTTGCGCAGATCACACTTGAGGGCTGTCAGAACCACACGCACGCCGGGGCAATTATCGTTTATTTCGGCGATCCACTTGGAGGATACGTTCTCGAACGAGTCAGGGCTGTCGACCTGTATTCAATCCCATTGTTAGTTTCTCTCTTGTGCAATCGCAGGAACATATTCGCTTACACTGAAGCACAGCATCAGGACATGGGTGTCCTCATAGGAAAGCGCGCGCAGACGGTCGAACTCCTCCTGACCCGCAGTATCCCAGAGAGACAGCTCCACATGCGTTCCATCGACGAAGATATCTAGAGCGCACATAAGTATCGAGCTTAATAACGGTGAATGGAGGGATTCGGAGTAATACCGTGCACGTAGTTCTCTATATTCGCAACGATTAGTTACCTGACACCAAATGGAGTTTGGGGGATGCGCGCATACCAAAGACAGTGGGTTCACTGCGAACAGAAGAGAGGATATTAATAACCTAAATTAAAAGAGCTGGACTAAGAAACACGGCTCTTACTAGACAGTTGGGAAGAATCTAATACGGGGGTTAGCTATGTCATGCCATCAATGCGGGTGAGGGGAAATGCGCACCCTCGAGTAAAGACGTTCAGCGCCGACGTCTTGCCGCAGGCTCCATCGCCTCTATTTACCTGTTAGTTCAATTGTGTGTGGCTTGCAACTTGCGACTTGCGACAAGAAATGGGGGTAACGGACAGCAGCACCATCTTGCGCTGAACGAGTTTCTGACGGCCACACAGCTGCATCTTGGATAGTGGAGGTAAAAGGAAAGGAGACGGGTAAGGGAGAGTCGTGAAGTTGAGTAAGTTGAGTAAGTTGAGCAAGTTGAGTTGAGTAAGTCGAGTCGGGAGCAGATTCCATCGATGACGCCCAGGGATCGGCGAGGGTTCCAAGCCCCCTTCTGGTCCACTTCGTTCTCTGTGTGTACGTAGTTATAGGCTGTGTTAGTACTCCGTATACTGGTATAGGCGATACGAGAATCTGACTCTTGGCTTCCCTTCACTTTGAATCGACTGTCGCATAATAGCCCGATATTTAAGCGCAATCAATATGAGGCATGTTAAGATTGTCAACATACCTAGCCCCTGAGATTGCGATAATTCGGAGAATTCCTCTGTTCTTTATCCTGTATTGGTCCTGTTACTTGGTCTCTTATGCTTAACTTAGTATCTCACTTGTGTTGGCTAAAATAGCCTATAATTTAGACACCTACAATAGCTTCATCTAAGTAAACAATAATCAAGCAACCCAACGGTCAAACAAATGCTGACAATAGATATCTTTGAAATCAATAGAGACACAAAAGACAAACAATAGTAACGGATAACAGAGGACAATAAGCAGTGCAAGTGATTGTTGACTCTCCTAGATAAAAGGCGGAAGCTCGCACCTGGCAGCTTTATCCAAGCTTCTCCAACACCCCACCACTTCGACCCATCCACTCTACTATTCTACCTTCCCTACCTTCTCAGTTGCGATCGCCCAATATGTCGGACGACGATGATTTTATGCAGGACTCTGGTGACGAAGAGTATCTGCCCCTTCTCCCTTCTCCGCTCCGCCTGACCGCGCTAACCGTCGCAGCTATGACTTTGAATATGAAGACGCAGACGATGATGACACCGGCGATATCGGGATCGAGAATAAATATTACAATGCCAAGCAGACCAAGGTCGACAACCCGGAAGAGGCGATCGACGAGTTTCTAGGCATTGCGCCCATGGAACAGGACAAAAGCGAATGGTACTTAGCTTGGCTCATGGCACTGACCGCGGTGACCAGCGCTGACTGAACATAGGGGATTTAAAGGCTTGAAGCAGTCGATCAAGTTGGAATTCAAACTCGGGCGATACAGCGATGTGAGTCTGCCTGGAGAGGTCTGTTGTCCACCTACTGACCGTCCGTAGGCCGTCGAACACTACCGCGAACTCCTCACATATGTCAAGTCCGCTGTGACACGAAATTATTCCGAAAAGTCCATCAATAACATGCTCGACTATATTGAGAAGGGGTCCGACGACGCAGAGGCGTACCAGTGTATGGAGGAATTCTACTCTCTGACCCTCCAATCATTCCAAAACACAAACAACGAGCGCCTATGGCTGAAGACCAACATCAAACTGGCCCGCTTATGGCTGGAGCGCAAGCAATACACTCAGCTGAGCAAGAAGATGCGAGAACTCCATCGGGCATGTCAACATGAGGACGGAACGGACGACACCAGCAAGGGAACATACCTCCTCGAGCTCTACGCCCTGGAGATCCAGATGTTTGCCGAAACAAAGAATAATAAGCGCCTCAAGGCCCTGTATCAACGGGCCCTCCGAGTACGGTCAGCAGTGCCACACCCCAAGATCATGGGAATCATCCGTGAATGCGGAGGCAAGATGCACATGAGCGAAGAGAACTGGAAGGAAGCCCAGAGTGATTTCTTCGAATCCTTCCGCAATTACGACGAAGCAGGATCCATGCAACGAATCCAAGTGCTCAAATATCTGGTCTTGACCACCATGCTGATGAAATCAGACATCAACCCCTTCGATTCCCAAGAGACCAAGCCCTACAAAAATGACCCGCGTATCTCGGCCATGACAGACCTGGTCGATGCATTCCAGCGGGACGACATCCATGCATACGAAGCGGTGTTGAGCAAACATCCCGACGTGCTTGCAGATCCCTTTATCGCCGAGAACATCGATGAAGTCAGCCGCAATATGCGCACCAAGGCCGTTCTCAAATTGATTGCTCCCTACACCCGCTTCTCGCTGCAATTCATCTCTAAACATATCAAAATCTCGGTCTCGGAGGTCCTGGACATCCTGAGTTTCCTGATCCTCGACAAAAAACTCAATGCCAAGATTGACCAGGATAGTGGGACGGTCGTGGTGGAGAGCGCGAGTGACGTGGAGCGACTGCGCGCTGTGGGAGAGTGGAGCTCGGCGCTACGCACTCTCTGGCAAACAGCATTGAACGGTGAGGGATTGCGCGCCGACGATACTGCAACCGGGGGGATGTTTGCTGGGTTTGGAGATGAGGGGATGCGATCGATCGGGCGTCGCAAGGATAGGGCCAAGCAGGCGCTTACGTCCAGAATGGCCTAAGATCAGCCTTGGAATCTTCCACACGTGTGTACCTGCGGTTGAGCCGCGAGAGTACTATTCCCATCCATTCCCATCCTACGAACAATGATTCTACAGACCCGCTATTTAGAGTTGCTCTGACATAAGACGCTAAATTCCGAATCCATGGACTGTCCGTCTTTTCTATACTTTATACAGGGCGGTGTTTAGTCTCACGTAAGGTTGGATACTTAACTCATCTGTTAAACGCCAACCCCAACCTTGGGAAAGCCTAGGCCTTAGCAAACAAAGAAACCCATGTGAACTGGCTTATCTCGATTCAGCTCAGGTACATCGGAGTCTTCTGCCGGCGCATGCCGTGTGGACGCACCGACAACACAGCTGAACATCCTTCTATTGGTTTCTTTCTAACCCGACCTGTCTTTTTGGGAGGCCTGGATGCACAGATCTCGATTTCCTTGAAATGCCGACATGTTCTGTGATACACTCAGCTCATCACAATCACGAAAAGTTAAGAATATCCGAGCACCTGTCGGGTGATAGATGATGTCTACCTACTACCTCGTAGCACTACGTATGCTCCAAAATAGTTATAGCGACCGTGTGTGTGGATATGTGAACATATCAATATTCAGTATTGAATATTCAATATTCAAACCCCGCTTTAGATCAAAGAATCCGATTCGCAATCGGGGGATAAAAAGTAGGGAAAAAGAGATATGGAATTGGTAAACCGACCGAGGGGTTTGGCGTTTACGCGATGTTTGCTTCCCTTTTCCCTTTTATTTCCCTCTGCCCCTCTCCCTTCCTTTCTCTCTCCTCCTTTACTCCCCTTAACTCGGAGATTGATTCCGGATATCCCTGTGTGAGATGCCCTTTTCGGCTTCCTGCTTTTATGGAGAACCTCCCCCCTCTGACATCATCCCTATAATATGATTGTGCTGTTTCTTGAAATCCCCGTACACACCATATTTTCCCCTTCATCCCCCGATTGGCGTACCTACACACTCATTATTCGATCGTCATGCTGAGACTCTTGACAGAAGTCGAATCCGCTGTGCCGGGCCACATAGTGTTGCACAAAGACGTATCTCCAAATGTCAAGAGTATGTCCTGGCCCTTATAATGTACGAAGACCCCCCATCTAACCAACCCCAAGACATAAACTTGACTTCAACTCGTATGCGATGTCCATATCAAAACCCTGGAATCATCACTTCGGTTCTCACCCGTTCCCGGCCAAGCAGAACCTGAATCTACATCTCTACCGGGACGCCCTTTCCTCTTCTCTTCTTTCTCCAGTAGCTCTCTCTCTGCCTCTACCTAGCTACTCTCATCCTCATCCACCTACCATGTCCAACATGAATGCCCTCTCCGCAGATGAGATGGAGCGTTTCCAAAAACTCTCTAATACCTACGAGCCGGATGTACAGGTATGTCTATCAATCTACTAATTTCCCCACCAACGTCTGGCTTTACCGCTGACACTGACACTGACAGGGACCACTTGTCTCACGCAAGGAGCCTACTCAGAGTGTTGCGTTGGAATATGCTAATGCAGACCATGCGCTCTCTGCAAAGACTAATGTAAGCTTTCGTGGCTTGTTTCCCCCTCCCCTGTGTCACCCACATGGAGAATGTCTCGCGTCTAACGTGTGCTGTCTAGGCGCTGGCCATCACCCACCCGGAGTATCGTATCATGAAAGGTGATGGCAACTGTGGCTGGAGAGGTATGTCCCTTCCTGTGCAACCGGGAGATGGTTTGTCTTGTTTCGCATGCTAATCCCTGCAGCGGTGGCTTTTGGTTATTTCGAAACGCTGTTTGCGTTGCGTGACCCCATGCGCATCCAGCGTGAGATTACTCGCTTCAAGTCGCTCGAGATGCTCTTGAAGCAGGTTGGGCATTCGGAACACCTTTATGAGATCTTTACCGATGCTACTGAGGACCTCTTTACCCAGACTATTAATGCTATTCAGGGTGGTGCCGGGGATGAATCTTTCCTTGTTGATGCTTTCAATAATGAGTTTGCGTCCAGTGCTGTTATTACTCATTTCAGAGTAGGTGATTGCCTTTTATGTTTTTGGATGATACTAACTGCTGTCTAGCTTTTGACGAGCTCTTGGATGAGACTTAATCCACATCGATACCAGGCTTTCTTGTCTCTGCCGCTGGAGCAGTATTGCGCCTCGCAAATAGACCCGTTGAAGACTGAAATTGATGAAGTTGGTCTTCAGGCACTGGTCGACGGGGTCATTGAAGGTGCCGGCTTTGGCGTGGAGATTCTGTACCTCGACCGAAGTGAAGGCGATGCTGTCACACCTCACCAGCTATCCCCTCACAACCCCAGCGGTGCAACAATCCGTCTCCTCTACCGACCAGGCCACTACGACCTTCTCTACCCAGCCGACCCAAATGTGAACATGGAACCGATAGTCAACTACCAATACGCAATGACATCCGACTACTCCAACTGGAACGAAGGCCCCCTCGGATTCGACGTCGACTCGTCTCTAATGGCCATCCCAAACCTCATGGCCGATCCATCCTTCGCAATGGGCACCCCCATGTCGCCCATGCCATCAGTCTCACCAACCCCAACCAGTCCATTCCGAATGTCCCCCCAACAAGAAATGTACCAGTCGCCCATGCAGACTCATGCGCCAATCCCGTCTATCCCTGTTTCTTCACCTCCGCCACCAATACCGCCCCCTTCTGCTGCGCCGCCCCCAATGACTGCATTGCCTAGTAGATCGTCTGACGGCCCGCAGATCAGACTCAACCCCTTGGTTATGAAACCTAATTTGAGTCGCTCGCTGCCTGTCACAACCCCCTTCAAAAAGTGGGTTCTCTCCACCCCCCTCTCCCCCCTCCCCCCAAAAACACCATTTGGGATACACATTGTATGACATATGACATATGAGCGTGGTTACTGACGTGTCTATAGTTCGCCTTACAATCAAGCCCATTTCCAGAATACCGACTTTGAACCTATTCATTGGGAACCTCATGATCGACGATAAACATGCCACGCGTACACGAGATGGATTTCTTTTTGCTTTTTTTCGCCTTGAAAATTCTGGGCTTAGTGGACTTGCGGGATTTGGTTGTTTCACCATCCAAGTCCAGTCCCCGAAGCCGGTTTGGATGAGCTTTTACAGTTGCCTGGTCCTCCCCTTATGAGTTCATTTTCTCTTCTTTCCTCTTCCCCCTTTTCCTATGACTGTTCTCTTAGCGTGGTGCAGTGCGTTGCATGGTACGAGCGTTTCACCCAGATTGTTTCTTTTCTTCTTCCCTTCTTTCTTCCTTCGTTTCAGCCCCGGGGTCTTTCGTCTTTCAGCTTGATTTTTCATTTCATTTCTCTTTCTATTCTTCTTCATATTCTTCTTTCTATTAGTCTAGCAGCGAAACCTAAAGAAAGTCACGTTTATGATACTCACTACCCAAACCCATTAGCAGTCCCAGTATGACTCGTATATCCCATTCCTGGTATCTATAAACCTCATCAATATCCAAAACGCCAGTTCTCAAGTAATATCGTACAAACCCATCCATCTATACACCTCCATTCCACAGTTCACAGGCCACGGTCCACAATGATCTAAACCAAAACCTCCTCATCCCCAGCCTCCATAATAACCTCAATCATCCTCTCAATCCCCAAATCCCTTGCATGCCCACTCAAATACCCCGCAAGCACAAGTCTCCCCAACGCATCACCCACCCAATTCTGACTATTCCAATCCTCTTCCCCATCAGCCCCCGCATCACCATTTGATCGGATAGGTGTTTTGGATATTAAATCTCTAATTCTGCTGATGGGATCTAGGCGAGTTAGATCGAGATCAGGATTGTGATCGAGATCCCGATTGGGGCTTGCAGATGGTGTTGTACACGCGCCTGATTCGTTCAACGTATCTACGCGTATGACGCGCGCTATATCTGTTCGATAGTGTTAGTATCGGAGAATCAAGACTAACTTTATGCATAGAGATGCGTATGCATATGCATAGGTGTTTGTGCTTGTGTAGGTATGTGTGTAGGTATATGCTGCGTAACACAAGAAGGCAGTGCACTGCACAACGACAAAATAAAACCGGAAGGGCGTTATATTGGATTGGCGGATAGAAATGGCGGATTGGCAGATTGCAGATTGAAGGAGGAGCCTCACCTGTTGAAGAAAGGGGAGGTTGCCAATTGAGTCGTTCGACCAAGGTGAAAAAACCGGTTGATCCGACGATTTCTACCACGGAGGATGTAAGCTGTGAGGGAGTTTCTGTGTCGTGCGTCTCGGCATTTGCATTTGCTTCGGTATTTGCATTCGTGTCGCCATTTTCTGCGGGTTCACCGTACTCCAAGTACAGGGCTGCGTGTCGATATCGTGCGTAATCTAGTGGCGAGGCGACGTAGATTATTATTGATAGCGTTATCATGCTGTTTGGTTTTCGGTTTTTGGTTTTTGGGCATTGCTTAAAGAATTGGAGATTGGGGGTGGAGTTGGGGAAACTTGATGATCGGTTGACTTGAGGGTCTGATACCTCGGGATGACGTCGGTCGTAGTTTGGTGTAACCACCCTATACTTCGACTTCGATTTCTACGTACTTATGTTATATTCATTTGATTATATTCATTTGATTATTATTTGATATCCCATTATTTGATTGATCATTTCCTAAATGTCTTAAATATCGTATTCGGGAGTGCTTTGATCATTTGCCAGAGGACATACGCCGTATTGATCGTCGCCGGACTACTGTAATGCACTAGTCGGGGTGTTATATCGGCTTGAACGATGATGGCGTTGACGAGTGGCGCAGGGTAATTCTCACGGAGATACTCAACAACGAGGTCATGCCCATTCGTAATACCGCCTGCGATCAGATCAGATCAGCACCAACCACATTGAAAGAGACGTCATAAATGAGTGGACAGAAGTGAAAGAGTAGAGAAGAGAAGATGGACATACCGCTAGTCCACAAGTTCCCATCCCTAGCAAGCCTAACCCCATCATCCCACAAACTCGCCTCAGGAAACAATTTCCTCATCTCAGGAACCAATAACCTCGGTGCAGTAACATACCTCCCCTTTGTAATGCCCGAATACCCAATAATAAAAGTACCCGTACAGATCCCCAAAATTGACGCCCCCGTCGCATAATGCCCTCGCACAAAATCAAGATATTCCTCCGCCGGCGGCATGGCTTTCAGCGATGGACCGGGTACAATCACGACGTCCAGTTTCCCCGGGGAGACAGCCTCGTCGGTCGGCGCGTCCGTTAACTGTATTGACATCTGCGCTGTTGCTGGTGTCATGTTGCTTGCGCCGCCTTGGCCTATGTAGTGGATTTGACAGGGCCGGCCCATATCGATTAGGGCTTGTGTGAGCGAGGAGGAGTTTAGGTATTCTGGTGTGGCCATGTAGAGGAGATCTACGGCCGCCAGGTCGAGGAGTTGGACGCTTCCTACGAGGATGACTCCTATACGGAGGATCTGGGACATTGTCAAGATGAGAGGGACGGTTTGAGCTCGAGACTCAGGTGGATTGGTTTAGAGGAACTGGTGCATGGCTGGACTGTGGTCGGTTCATATACCACTATATCGGCAGTGGTGCCTCCGCAGGTATATTTCTCTCTCCTTTGGAAGGAACTGCTATCCTACCAGCTGACACTTTGCCGTGGTATCGGGTCTGTCACAGACAGGTGAAAATGCAACTAATCCATGGGATTGAGGCAACGTTCCCCAGCCAAATGTGCGCATAATAGCGCAGGCGGAGGGACATGGGTGGCACATGTGCAGGGTGCACGAGTCGATAATGACCCGCAGTCGAGCGGTGACCTGGTTAGTTTTTTCGTGTCCTGTCCTCAGGACGGGTTCGCTCATGGGATGCTCATTTCTTTGTCATTGCCAACCATGGAAGCCAAACCTGCTCAGGACAAGGTCCTGTCTAGGTAGTAATAGGGATATGAATACTGTATAGATATGCAGTCAGGAAGTATCATCGGACAATCCCCGATCTCCAGAGTTCCACTCTACCCCAACCCCCCACCCGTGTGCACATGCACAGTACATACACATTGTACAATACGCGGTCGAGGTCTCAGGGACAGACTCGCACAGATATAAGAAAAGGGTTGAGGCGCTCATAAGGACGTAGTGAGGTCTGTATCACCTGCAAATGTCAGTGATGTCCTGCCTGATCCCCCAGGCTCCCTTCGGGCCACTTTTCCCCGCATTATCAAGCCGAGTCGGCCCACTGCGACAGTCGAAGTATAAGTCGGAGATCTTCCCCGGATTCGGGGTCGGAGTGGTGCGCTCCGTTTCTCCTCTCTCTTGATCTATACCGTCCTGTCTCCTGTATATGGCGGAGTACTGTGTTCCTATATCAGGAGTCACCTTGTCTGGCGGAGTACTGTGTTCCTACATCAGGAGACGCCTTGTCCGGCGTGTGTTCATGGTGGAGTCTATATAAAGTCCGACGCAGACTGTGTGTTTCTTCGTTCTCAGAGTGCCCCAAACGTCAACATCTAGCCTATCATGGCTTCCATGAATGGTCAGCCCAAGGGCTTTGCACTTGTTCTACAGAATCCCTATCTCTGCGGTGTTGCATCGGTAAGATCCAGTCCAAACATGGAGATCAGAGTCACTGACATAAACAAAACAGTTCTCAACCCTAGGAGGCTTGCTATTCGGCTATGACCAAGGCGTCATCAGCGGTGTCATCACAATGGAGTCCTTCGGGGCTCGATATCCCCGCGTTTTCACAGATAGCGGATACAAGGGTTGGTTTGTATCGACGCTGTTACTTGCAGCCTGGTTTGGATCCTTGATCAATGGTCCAATCGCCGATCGAATAGGCCGGAAATTATCGATCAATGTGGCGGTCGTGGTCTTTACTATTGGATCGATCATCCAGTGTGCTGCGATGACTATCCCGATGCTCTTTGCTGGTCGGGCTATTGCTGGTTTGGCAGTTGGTCAGCTTACCATGGTTGTTCCGCTGTATATCTCTGAGGTTTCTATTCCGGAGATTCGTGGAGGACTTGTGGTCGTGCAGCAATGTAGGTTGACTCGAGCTTAGCATAGTACGCATTCACTAACTGCTTTTAGTATCTGTTACCCTTGGAATCCTGATTAGCTATTGGATTGATTATGGAACCAACTATATTGGTGGTACCCGCTGCGCTCCTGGTATTCCTTATACGGGTGGAACGACAGCCAAGCCTGCCTTTGACCCTTACCATGATGTCCCCATGACTGGCTGCAGTGGACAATCAGAAGCATCATGGCGTATCCCTCTTGCCATACAGATTCTTCCGGCAGTTATTTTGGGTATTGGAATGCTCTTCTTCCCGGACTCGCCGCGTTGGCTGTTAATGAAAGAGCGTGATGATGAATCGCTGAATGCACTCTCTAAACTGCGTCGACAGTCGAGGGATAGCCCTTTACTTATGAACGAGTACCTTGAGATCAAGGCCTCGATCATGCTGGAGAACACCTTTGCCAGGGAACATTTCCCCAATTTGTCTGGGTACAAGTTACATATTGCTCAGGTTTGTATCACAAACATCCTTTCGTGACTTAAGAGACACTGACCTCTTCCAAAGTACATGTCTTTCGTGACAACCTGGGCTCGTTTCAAACGACTGGCTATTGGCTGCATTGTCATGTTCTTCCAGCAGTTTATGGGATGCAATGGTAAGTCCCATCTTGTTGGCTCGCTATCCCATCTATCTTATCTAACTCTATAGCCATTATCTACTACGCGCCCACAATCTTCGCCCAGCTGGGCCTAGACGGCAATACAAGCTCCCTTCTTGCTACTGGCGTATACGGCATCGTCAACTGTCTCAGTACACTCCCAGCACTATTCTTCATCGACAAAGTTGGTCGCCGGGTTCTCCTCATGGCAGGTGCCACGGGAACATGTATCTCGCTGGTCATTGTCGGTGGTATCTTGGGTGGCTATGGGTCACGACTGGTAGATAATAAGTCGGCTGGGTGGGCTGGTATTGCCTTTATCTATATCTACGATATCAACTTCTCCTATTCATTCGGTAAGATCAGCTCATTCTGGTATGATTTGTTCTTCGGGACTGGCTAACAACTGTTTCTATTATAGCCCCCATCGGTTGGGTTCTGCCATCTGAGATCTTCAATCTATCGATTAGATCCAAGGCGATCTCTATTACAACCTCGGCGACATGGATGTGCAATTTGTAAGTTGATGCTCTTCCAGCCAGCTGGTTTCATTCTGATTCTTCTACTTGCAGCATCATTGGCCTTGTCACGCCTGACATGCTGGAATCCATTACTTGGGGCACATACATCTTCTTCGCAGCCTTTTGTTTGCTTGCGCTACTTTTCACTTACTTCTGTATTCCTGAGACACGAGGAAAGGTAATTCCATCCTTCTTCCACATTTTGGTTATGTCTTTCTCTCTCTTGCGTGATAATGTACTAAATAATCCTCACAGACACTCGAAGACATGGATCTCATCTTTGGTGACACAGCCGCCCACGAAGAAAAGAAGCGCATCAAGAATATCGAAGCCGAATTACGCGGAACGCCTATCGTGGAGGACGACGACTTGGTGAAACCAGTCGGTCAGCATGCAGAGATTGTCGACGTGTAACTTACTGGGAAATACTCAATACAAAAAAACCGCGGTTGTGTATCGACCACGTTCAAAATCATAAATTTGAAGTATTTGCTAATGCTATACCAATGACTATTTCCATCGCTGTTCATTCATAACAGGTTATCATTTCCCACGTACCCATCCTACAATGCAAGATACGCACCAAAAGAAGACATCAACATAAGAGGATCAAACAAATAAACGAAAAGGAAATTTGTGCAATCATTCCGTTGGCGGGAAATTCACCCATTCTGAAAAGTCCATACCGCCGGGACTATGCATCTGCATCTGCTGTTCAACGGGGAACAAACTCCCACCAAAACCAGGGTCGCTAAACAACTGTCCGGGGAACGGCATGAAATTCTGCTGTTGCTGCTGGGGCATCATTTGGTAAGGGGGCTTCTGGTCCTCGAGCTGCTGTGCTCCCTCTGGGGGTATACCCGGAGCCGAGAGTGCTGACGGGCCGAGGAGTCGGTTGATTACTTCGTAGCAGCGGGTTGCGAAGCGGTTTGTGCCGAGGGAGGGGTGGGTTAGGAGGGCCTTTGTTGTTTCGATGTCTTGGACCCAGGATGCGGCTTCTGGATTTGAGGGGTCTGTCATTAGGAGGACGACCGGGATTAGGCCGGCTTGGAAGAGGAAGTAGCTGGTTTGGATGTTAGACGGGTCTGGGGTAGTTATCAGCGTGGGTGGGGGGCATACAGCATGTACCATGCTCCTAGTCTGGTGCAGATGTAATTTTCCATGTATTCTGAGATGGAGGAGATGGTTAACCGGGCATTCTGGAGACAGCGCATTCGGCATTCTGTCTCGCAGGGATCTTCGCCTCCTATTTCTGGGGTGCCTGGGCTACTGCTGGTGTGTGGGGCCCAGCGTCTGGCGGCCCAGCGGAGGAGAATTGGTCTGTATATCAGAATGGTGAGGTTCCAGTTTCTCCATAACAGGCGGTTGCGAACTAGTGCGAGGGAGTCGGGGTCTGGGTTGGCGGGCTGCACGGAGAGAGGCAGCTGCGGGTGTTGGAGGTAGGATGGAAGACCATTATACCACTCTTCAATTGGCTTTTGCAGACTGAGAGTATCTTCGGGCGTAAGGCTAGGGCTCGAGATGAGACGCTGGTAGACGCTATTGGTGAGGAGGTGGAAGCGGGATTGAGCGATCAACCCGGAGTAGATAGTTGGACCGGAGGATTCAGCGGGGAGAGTGGTTGTTGTAGGAGTCAAGGCCTCGTCGTGAATATTGAGAACCTGCTTTGCATCCATCACGCTGTCCTCTGGGAGAAGAATAGGTCGCCCAAAGGTTTTGGCGGCACCACTGTCAAAGATGAATACTCCCCACCACAGTCTTCTTCGAATCTCTCTTTGCAGCAAACTAATCTTCCAGCCAGGGAACTCCTTGTGGAGACCCAGACTCATGGCCATTCGAACAGCCAAACCGAGATAGTTCCATCCGGTGTTGGGCTTGTTCCGTTTCTGGGCATAGTTGCTCAGTAACAATAGTCCCTGTACCAATGTTAGGTTACCAGTCTCGAAGACGGATGCCTGCTGAAGGTATCCTCTGGCTTCTTGGTAGAATGTGATATCGAGGTCTGAGCTGTCATCGCCAATACTCCAAGCTCCAAGAGCCAAGATGGTGTTGAGGAGGATGTGCCAAGCCGTCCCATGTGGACGCAACGATGGCTCATTGAATTGCGCCCTGAATGTGGGCTCGTGAACGAATGGATAGCTAGTGTGATAGTTGAGGAAATATGCGTCGATGAACGCTTGTTCGATAAGCCCAGACGGCGCACTTTCGAGCAGCTGTGCTTTGAGGGGCACACCCCCTGATCTTGCCGAGTGAACAGGTATATTGAGATCAAATCCATGATCAAAGAGTGCTCGCAGTGGTACAACACTTGAAGAAGCACCAAAATAGCCAGCTCCTTCAGGCTTGATAGACAATGCAGCCATGCCGTCAGTCAAATCACCAAGGGTGATTTCCTTCTCGGCCCAGTCAAAGCCATCGGCTTGCTGGGGGAGGGCTTCCGGTGCAGGTTCAGCCCGTTCTGGTTCATGCTTAGCCGGGGTTGAGTGCCTTGAAGAGGACTTGGATGAGGGAGCCCTCGGGGGCTCCGGGTTCTGAAGAAGAGATCGAAGGGTAGCATCCAAATCTCCACCTGGAAACAACCTTCCTAATGCTGTTTCAAATGAGTGGAGGCGATCTTCAACATAGGTCAAATGTCTGACGTTGTTAGTATACTTTTCTTATGCACAATCTCGCAATACTTACTGCCGAGTCAGAGGGCTTCTGCTGACTTTAGGGCTGTATATGCATTCTTTATTCAACTGTCTGCACTGCAGACAGACTGGACGCTCTTTGGAGCACTATAAAAGCCAAGTTAGAAGGCCGTGGCCTAGATGGGCTTGCTGAAAAAGCCACTTACTCTTGACTTGCGCAAGCGGCATTCATCGCACTATTTCAACGGTCAGACAAAGTCTTTCTCTGTTTGCATGACGACTAGGTCAATACATACTGCAAATGAATGGGAATCACGAGTGCTTGCCATCTTTATCGAGGCAGATTGGACTTCTCGTATTATGTACCCAATGCGCTCTGGTTATGACATAAAACGGCAGTCATCTGCATAGGTGGTTAGCGAAATCATGTATTTGATATGTTGGTGAATGCAAGTGCCGCGAACACCTTAGGATCGCCACGGGTATCGATGTATAGCACAAGGTTACTGTAGGACATGCATGCACGAGAGTCTCAAGTAGTCTCGAAAACTGGGGACAGACTCACGATCGGCGCTAAAGTAATCATTGATCTACCTTAGCCTCTTGCAATGCGATGGATAAGATGCATCCATCGAGGGGATGGTGGGGAAGAGGTCAGGTGATGGGTAAAAAACTCTCATGTGTGCCTCAGGCAGATATTCTTAGACTTTTGATCGGCTGTACTTTCTAGCGGTTTGAACTTGATTGAAATGGCTTGAATGCTTTAAATTTTGCTTCAGAGCCCGATGGAAATCCTGAATATCCCTCTGGTGGGGGCGTTGCAAAGATGACTGGGGTTAAGTATAACGGAGCCGATGTATATATTTTGCAGACAAATGACCTCTTGTACTCCATTTCAGCCCGGAGATTTCAAGATTACGCGTGCTAGACAGCTACAATAGTGTGTCTCATTCTTTCCCATCCAAATTCAACATAATTTTAAAAAGAAGCTAGCAAAATCCGATTGATTCCACTCAATATCATCTCGATATAAGTCTTGGCATGGCGGGATAGATGAGGGACCAATCACGAGCCGCAGACATTTTTTCTCATCACCTCCACGACTCGACCAGCACAGCCAAACAAGAACTTGATAGTCTGGAACAGGTGGATAATCATATTTGAAGCTTGTCATTGCCAAGCCACGAAACCACAAAAAAGCAGCAGCAACATTGCATTAAGGCGCAGACATGCCTTCTCAACCCCCACTACCGCCCCTCCTTGCACCATATGTATCAACACTGCCCGAATCATCCTTGACACTAGCCTCTTCTATCCTCGGTGCAACCTCAAATTGGCTGGTGCTGAGGTTCCTGCATGCTGCGCTAAGCTCGCCAAACCCCAATGCGGCATTCGGCGCAGATGAGCTGCAAACTGGGATCAAGAAGAAAGTGGTGTTAGTGAGCTTTTTGCGGAGTTATGATTTCTGGAAGACGGAGGCAAAGCGATTGGTAAGTTCTGTTAAGTTCTGCAAGTCAATAGCACTCGAAATGATATGTTATTGAACATTGATTCGGCTTTCTTGATCTATCACCAATACATCGATCAATATTCCGGCGATGCCTATACTGATGAACTCGACAGGGCCTTGATCTTGCACGTCTGGTAGACAAGCAACAATTTGCATTCATAGATGGTCTATCTGAGCTATTCTACGCACCAGACGCAGCCACATCTAATACCTCCCCGGCTGGTCTTGGGAGCAGTCCACGCACAGTTCTTCCACTTCGCTCTCCACCCGCAGCCGTGCCCGGAAAGACACTACCACCAACAGCGGCGCCACCAAGAGGGAATGCAAATGTGACACGAGCCCAGGCAGAGCCGGGCATCGCCAAAAAACTCCATTTCACTGGTCGTGGCCTCGCAGCCCTCGATCTAATGGAAAAGGATATCATTGCAGTTATTGAACATCAAAAGTCGTCAATGGAGGATGGTGATGAGCTAGTTCTCATTCTAGACCAGCCTGACCTATTGCTTGCTGCAACGGGACCAAGTTTGGGTATTGGAGCAACAGAGATGGCAGAGTTGGTCACAGGGCTACAGCAGGTAAGATTACATATCCATCGAGGCATTGCCAGAGAGCCAAGTGTTACAAGTTACATAACTGATACTCGACAGCATGCATACGCTACAGTTCTAACGCTGGCTACGGATGCCCCGCTGATACACAATGCATCTGTATCAGCAGTGCAGTTGGCTACGCCAATTGAGATGGAACATGCGGCGTTCGCTATTGGGCTGGCGCATCGGGCTAGGTCGGTGATGCAACTCCGCACTCTGGAGACCGGGGCCGCGAAAGATGTGAGTGGGGTGCTCAGGATCAGTCGAGGTGGCGGATGGAGCGCCGGTGAAGAAGATAGTCTGGAGGAGAAGGAAGTCCTCTACTTCATTCAAAGGGATGGCGGCGTCAGCGTATTTGGCCGTGGGGAATCATGATCCGAAGCTGTATACTATTGGGTTAGGTAGACTTTCAAAAAGTACGAAAAAGCCATTGAACGTCAACAAGCTCTCTTCGTAGTCAACACCTCATACTGATAGAACAGATCATGAAACGTTAGGGAAGAGTCTTCACATTGTATCTGTCACGACATGGGAATAATCGCCGGTCATAAAGGAAGAAAAAGGAAATTCATGCACGCTTTCCCATGTTTTTTTTTAATCCAGCTCCTCTCCGTAGAGAAGAGCCCTCCAACGAAACTTTTCCCACCGTCTCGCAAGTTTTACTTTGTCTTCCTTTGTGTGGCAAAGAGAAACAGACGAGATCGACAGTTGCACACACCAACTCCAGGGGAAAGCGTTAAGATTCCGGAACTGCCATTTGCATTTCGAGTAATGCTAGCCCGTAATGCTAATTCATGTCATGCCAGGATTCCTCCCCTCATTCCTATTCCAGCCTCTCCGAAAACGAAAACGCGACGCCGAGCGGACGAAAAAGGGAATCTAGTTGGTCTCGGGGCCACGGGCACCCTTGGGAGTACCAGTCTGGAAGCCGTTCTGGAAGCGGCGGTGGACGTCGCGGAGGGAGCGCATGCGGCCGGAGCCGGTGGTCTTGCGGCGCTTAGCCTTCTCACCCCAGTTGACTGTTGATCGAAAATCCATGTAAGCCAGCGTTCTCTCATTTCGATATCCAAAGTCCACATGATGGCCATTTCATATCACCAGCATCTTCGGGAGGGGTATTTGCGTACACTTGCGGGTCTTGGCGGCAGGGTAGCCACAGTTGGCACAGGTCGACTTCTGGATGTGGAAAGACCGCTTGCCTATAATCGAAGAAATATCACCGGTTAGCCCTCTGTCTTGTGCCTACTGGGTGAATGTCTTCGCCGTGATCGCCAATTCTGTATTTCGATAAAGAATTTTGCGACTTCCGGTCGGATGGGAGGGATCGTGAAAAATTGGTGTAATACTCACCACAACGACGGCAGAGAGTGTGCGTCTTGTTGTGGCGCTTTCCGAAGCTCGAGGTACCCTTCGCTGCAGTGGTTGTTAGTTTCAACAGATTCGAGGTTGCGGAGGATCGCGGTGCGATATTTCGACATGGGACGTACTCATTTTGAATTATGGAACTGTGGAACAGACACGACGTTAGTAAATTGACGGGTACAGTGGACGCAGAGGAAAGGAACGGCATGCAAACGTACCTGGCGATTCCGTTGAAGGGGCTGGTTGTCGGTGTCGTCGTCGCTAGGCGTATCAGAACTTCCCGAGATCTGGTGATGTGTCGCTAAGCGAGTGCGGTCCATAGGGCTTGTACCCTGTCCCGTGACCTGGAAGCAGACTAACCCAAAGTAGAAATCTCATCGCATGGCCCGTGCATGACCATGGTCACGTGACAACTACCATTCGTTCCAGGCTTGTATAAGAGGGTTTGCTCGGATGTTCGTTCGGATGTTCGTTATATTGTTCGAGATCACAATTCACTACTTGACAACCATAAATTATATAATAACATTATGAATTTGTTTACAGTTTTAACAGCATATAACAGGGTATTTTAGTACATCCGAACGCCTATGCAAATGTATGAAGAATGAAGACATCAGAAATCATCTTTCCCGATGAATTTGGCCATCGGGTCGTCAGCAGCCTGCCGACTTCGCTTGTAAGACTCAAGCTCTTCCTCTGTGATCCCTGACTGGAGCTCCTCCAAAGTCCGCTTCTTTGCATTGGAGTTTGGTTCCTTCTCCTCATCCGGGTTCCTTTGGCTAGACTCTTGGGGAAGACCCGCATCATCAGCGCGCTTCTCATTTTCGACATTTGCCTCGAGCATCCGCAGCATGTTGCCCTCTTCCTCGAAGGCCTTTTTTCCGTCCTCACCGGTGCAGTAACTGTTCTTGACAGTGGAATAGCAGCAGGCGTATCCCCATTGGAACCGGTACCACCAGCTACCGAAGACCGAAGCATGGTTGTTGACCATGATGTCCTCAGGATACTTGGATTTGGTCGCTTTCTTGGGTGCGCCCTTGATGGCACCGCTCTCGTCATATTCAACGAAGCGCTCGTTTTCAACAACCATAGTATCGCGCAGTGCACTCGGCTGCGAGTGCTCTCCACCGCCATATTTATCCAGTAGAGCTTTGCGATGGGCTTGACGCTTCGCCTCACTCTCCTCTTTCTCTTTCTTTCTGAGAACTTCTCCGGAGGTTGGATTGGCCTGGATGTGAAGTTGTGGATGACCCTTCTCCTGGGATTCCCAGGCATACTGCTGGGCTTTTTCGAACTCCGCAGCATCGCCTGAAGCTCGGACGAAGTTTTCCTCGGCGACAAGTGCCGATGCCTGGTCATCCTGCGCGCCCATGTCTACCATTCGGCGTGTCTTGGGGTCGTATTTGGCGGAATCGAGATCCAAATTAAGCAGGTATTTCGCGGTGTCTTCTCGGATACGTAGATTACGGGTTGCGGTGCTCTGCTGTCGGCCCATGTCGGACTCTTCGGCGTACCGGATATCTTCTTCGAGGTCGTCATCGCCATCTTCGCCATTCTGGAGCTTCTTGAGAGCCTGGTTGTCCTTTGCCATTCGTTTCAGTGCTTCCATCTCTTCGTATTCTTCGACAACTTGGCGATACTCGCTGGCATCATAGCCATTCCAACGGTCTCTTTTTGCGTCCCATCCCATGTCGACCTTCTGAATAATCTCATCGGCTTGTATATCCTTGCCGGTCCATTTAGCGCCATGCTTCCGGGGTCGACTGAGGCACTCTTTGGTCTTGTGCGTCATCGCGCCGCAGTTTTCACATGCGCCTTTGCGGTATTTCGTGGCCGCCGGGCCTGCACGCTTGCCTCGGTCATACCATTTAGACTGATCGGCACTTGTCTTTTGGAGACGTTGATGCTCGAGGTAGTCATTGTCTGTTTCATCGTCGACGTAGAATGGCTTCTTCGAGATGAAAGAGGGAATGTATTCGTTGCGCTCTTTCGACGCCACATCCGCGGGCTTTCGCGACATGGTGTTGGTAGTTCGAAGGAAGATAGACTTGAATGTAAAAGTGAGAAAGCGGAGTGCAAATAGACCAGCCACTTGCAGCTGTCCCCAGAATAATGCGAAAGTGAGGTTGTGATACGAAGCTTGGCGACTGGAGAATTGATAGCGCACGTGATCAGGCGTATCTCGCGTTCTAGGTTTGGTTCGACATACCTCAGGTTGTCGCGTTTCTCAGCTAAATACCCAATATCCTTCACGCAATAACAAGCAGGCACCCTACGCAATGTCGCTGTGGCTTTTGATCGCCACACACCACAGCGATGGAGCCGTTTCAGGTGCGCCTCAACTGTATCGATCATTATCAAGCGACCGCGTCGGAATTAGATCCTCCGCTGCCTTTTCGCGATGGCGAGACTGAGAAAAACTTTAAGCCTAAAGTGCCCGTGATTCGAGTATTTGGCGCCACCGAGACCGGCCAGCGAGTCTGTGTTCATGTCCACGGCGCATTTCCATACCTCTATATTGAATACAATGGGCCATTGGCGCCAGAAGAAGGTTCGTACTGTATAGCCACACCTGCTTTGATCGCTTAACTCACAAAGGCTGTAGTGAATTCCGCAATCCGAAGTCTTCATCTCTCGATCGACCATGCTCTGGCTATCAGCTTCCGTCGGAATGCATACGACAGGATGACCGCTTTTGTGGCTCATATCACCCTGGTGAAAGGTGTTCCATTCTATGGGTATCACGTGGGATGGCGGTTCTTCTTCAAGATCTACCTTCTGAATCCTTTCCATATGAATCGCCTTACGGACCTTCTGCACCAGGGAGCTGTGATGAAACGACCCCTCCAACCGTACGAGGCGCACATGCAATACATTCCGCAATGGATGTGCGATTACAACCTGTATGGATGCGCAATCATGAATTGCAGCAACGTCAAGTTCCGATCACCGATACCTGAGTATCTCGAACTCAGCAACCTCGACCATCGCTGGCACGACCGTTCAATTCGACCCGAGAGCATCGTTCAGGACCCTGCGCTTCAGAAACAAAGCAATTGTGCACTCGAGGTCGATGTCTGTGTACAAGATATCCTGAATCGGTTGGATATCAAAGAACGACCGCTACATCACGACTTCACCGAGCTTTTGAAACCGGTTGCATTCAACGAGCGACTGGTTCCGAGCATGGCTGGTCTATGGCAGGATGAAACTCGCAGACGCAAGAAGAAGATGGGCATAACTGACCCCGGAAGTACTCCGTTTGGACCTGAAGAGTTGATTTCAATGTCGGCAGACCCAAGAAATCAATCAAGGGGTGGCTGGATACACGAGGAAGAGTTCCGGGAGATGGCCTCGCAACTTGCTGCCAACGAGAAACGCAAAGACGGCAATAAAGAGACTTCATTTGAAACATTTTTGGATATTGATGAACAGGCGAAAAACGTTAAGACAGCTTTGGACAGTGTCGAAGACTTTTACCCTAAAAAATTTGGGGCATCTAATTTTGATAAAAGCCACTACCGGGGCCCAGCTGGACAGACTGCACCAGAGGTCTTGGTTGATGAAAGTCTCGCTTTGTCCTCTCAAGCCGATGGGCAGTATCGTTCAAGTAATGATATTGAGGGCGAGTCTTCGGGCGAAGATACAGAGCATGAGCATGACCTAAACGAGGGGCCTTTGGGCGATAGCTTCTACGATGGAGTTTTCGATGAATTTCCCCTTTCAGATGTTATGGCACCCACAGAGTCCGCTCAACCAGATGGCTCGAAAACAGCATTGAATGACAAACTCAAGGATGGGGTTTCGACGGAGGCAGACCAACCTTACGAAACGAGACCAAGAAACCATAGTCAAGGCGGAACCGTCGCATACAAAAGGCAACGCTTCGAGATCTCCGATTCCGACAAGCCCCCGACTAAAAGGCCCAAGCCTGTTCTCAACGGCGGATCGCCCGATGGCCGCGAGCCAAAGCAAGATGGGGATGAGAAGCAGCGAAGTGTTTCATTCGAGAGCAAGCCTAATGCGCCTACGGAAAGTCCATCGGAACCCAAGTCATCTTCCTCGCAAAGAACGGTCCGCCCAAAATCGTATAGTCATAATAGCCGGCTGAAATACCCGGTTGTTAAAGACCCAAATGATCCTTTGACCATTATGCGGTTCAGTCAGGACGATGGCCATTGTTCCCAGAAAGGCTCCCAGTCCTCCCAACAATTGCCGAGCTCGTTTCCTTCCGGATCTGCTACTGAAATCTCAAGCAAAGCCAGTGGAATCGCGAGTTCTTCAGATTTACATTCCTCTTCAACAGTATTGGGCCCAATCTCACTCAATCCACATCTTGCTGAGACTATGAGAAACATTCATAACTCATTTAACCTTTCTCCAAACACGCCCTTGAGTTGTTTCAGATTTGCAAGCCCGACTTCGAAAGAGGTTGCTTCAACATTAAACGATCACGGGCGTCCCTCCGTTGTATACCAGAAAGCGTATTACAGCGAGGAGGCAGATGTTCCTGAACGACCAAGAGAATACGGCGGCAGAGAGTTCCGGCTGGAGAGCAACACCATCCACTACCTGCCCGAATTTGAACCCACGGGAAATGCTCCTGCAATGTTCGGTGAACAGCTACCAATAACCCATGACCGGGATCAGCAAGCTGTAACTGATCAGCAACTCCGAGAAGAGTGCAATGCCAGAGTCTGGGAGTTTGCTCCTCTTCCGCCTAGCCGGTCAGAAGTCATCAGGTGGTTCGAGGAAATGGAAGCCTCTCAAGCATCCAAACCAGGAGAGCCAATTCAACCCAAGCCAATTGAAGAAAAATCAGACCTTCTCTCCCAGATAGAAGGCCCCACGCAAAAGAACCCGTATGGCTTCAAATACTCCCAGAAAGGAAAGTCCACCAGCGTGGAACACCAGACTCAATACATGAGCACAATGAGCCTAGAAGTGCATGTGAATACGCGCGGAGCGCTCTTGGCCAATCCAGAGGAAGATGAGATTACGTGCATGTTCTGGTGCATTCAATCTGAAGATGAAGATCTCGAGATCAATAGCCATCTTCCCGGCGTTCATGTTGGAATGGTTTATCATGGCGAGGGAGAAAGGCCGGAAGGCAAAGTATCAAAGGTGCTGAGAATTGATGCCGAGCACGAAACCACCGAACTTGATCTGATAAACCGACTGGTAGACATTGTTCGGTACCATGATCCGGACATCATCACGGGTTACGAAGTTCACAATGCCTCCTGGGGGTATATAATCGAACGTGCCCGCAAAAAGTACGACTTTGATATTTGCGAAGAGCTGTCCAGGACAAAGTCTCAATCCCATGGGAGATTTGGGAAGGAGGCAAATAGATGGGGATTCGACCATTCATCGTCCATTAATATCACTGGTCGGCATATTTTCAACATTTGGCGCGCTATGAAAGGCGAATTGAATCTGCTTCAGTATACAATGGAGAATGTCGTCTTCCATCTCTTGCATCGCCGTATTCCCCACTATTCTCCTCAAAACCTGACGCAGTGGTACCAGAGCGGGAAGCCTCGCAATCTACTCAAAGTCATGGATTACTTTATCTCACGCGTGCAGCTGAACCTGGAAATCCTCGAGGGCAACGAGTTGACACCACGAACGAGTGAGCAAGCGAGATTGCTGGGTATCGATTTTGCTTCAGTGATTTCTCGAGGCTCTCAATTCAAAGTTGAGTCTTTGATGTTCCGAATCGCGAAACCAGAGAACTTTCTGCTTGTTTCACCGAGTAAAAAGCAGGTCGGGCAGCAGAATGCGTTGGAATGCTTGCCATTGGTCATGGAACCACAAAGTGATTTCTACACCAGCCCACTGCTGGTGCTTGATTTCCAATCACTCTACCCGAGCGTCATGATCGCATATAATTACTGCTATTCGACGTTCCTTGGCAGAGCAGCGCATTGGCGTGGAAGGGATAAGATGGGCGTCTTGGATTACCAGCGACAACCTCGACTTTTGGAGTTGCTCAAAGACAAGATCAATATCGCACCAAATGGCATGATGTATGCGAAGCACGAAGCGCGCCAATCATTATTAGCCAAAATGCTCTCAGAGATCCTCGAGACTCGAGTGATGGTCAAGAGTGGCATGAAGGCCGACAAAGATGACAAGGTGTTGCAACGACTTTTGAACAACAGACAATTGGCCCTCAAGCTCATTGCCAACGTTACATATGGCTATACATCTGCTTCATTTTCTGGACGAATGCCCTGTTCAGAAATTGCAGACAGCATCGTCCAAACCGGGCGAGAAACACTGGAAAAGGCCATCGCATTCATCCACTCAATCGAACGCTGGGGTGCCGAGGTAGTCTACGGTGACACAGACAGTCTATTCATCTACCTCAAAGGCCGCACCCGAGACCAAGCCTTCGATATCGGCGAAGAAATCGCCCAAGCAGTAACTGACATGAACCCCCGACCAGTGAAACTCAAATTCGAAAAGGTCTACCACCCATGCGTACTCCTAGCCAAAAAGCGCTACGTGGGCTTCAAGTACGAACGCCGCACACAAACGGAACCCGAATTCGACGCCAAAGGCATCGAAACAGTCCGACGCGACGGCACACCCGCCGAACAAAAGATCGAAGAAAAAGCCCTAAAAACTCTCTTCCGCACAGCAGATCTCAGCCAAGTCAAATCCTACTTCCAGCGCCAATGCACCAAAATAATGCAAGGCCGCGTCTCTATCCAAGACTTCTGCTTCGCAAAAGAGGTCCGCCTAGGCACATATAGTGACCGGGGCCAACTCCCTGCCGGCGCAATGCTCAGCACAAAGCGTATGCTGGAAGATCCGCGCTCGGAGCCACAGACCGGCGAGCGAGTCCCCTACGTCGTTGTCACCGGTGCGCCGGGATCAAGACTCATCGACCGCTGCGTCGCGCCTCAGACTCTCTTGCATGATGCGCAGCTGGAGCTGGATGCGGAGTATTACATCACTAAGAACCTGATCCCGCCACTAGAGCGAATCTTCAATCTCGTGGGCGCGAATGTCCGCCAATGGTACGACGAGATGCCAAAAGTACAGCGAATCCGGCGAGTCGATGCATCAGCGCTTTCACGACCAAACCCGAACCCGAACGCTGCCGTTTTTGGAGCATCAATGCGGAAGACGCTTGAATCTTATATGCGGTCGTCGTCATGTGTCATCTGTCGAGCTCGATTGTCTGATACTACCGTTCCCGTCTGCGAGGATTGTCTGAAACAGCCGCATCTTGCGCTTTTGGATGTTGTTTCGCGGTTGCAGAGGGCCGAGAAGCGGGTTGTTGATTTGGAGGCTGTTTGCCGTTCTTGTATGGGCGTTACCCCTGCTGATGAGGTTAGCTGTGATAGTATGGATTGTCCGGTTTTTTATTCTCGGACGAGAGATGCTGCTAATTTGAGGCATTCTAAGGCTATTTTGGAGCCTATTGTTGAGTTGTTGGAGCAGAAGGGGGATGAGGGGTTGGATTGGTAGGGTTGGGCTTTTGGTGATGGTTGATACTTGGGGATTTATGGAGTTGGTTTTGTCTAATGGAGTTGGATATACCCTTGCACAGCAGAGACATGCCTGCCGGCGTATGGTTTGAGATAAGTGAGTTAGGTTGTCTACTCCGCAGCAAGTTGAAGAGAATTATGTTGTGTTCTACCTAATATCAGTGTTCCTCTTGAATTTGTGATCTCCTTCACCTAGACCACCATGCAACCTAGTCTGTTCCCCTCGATCTTGACATTCAACCATTTAGCCAAGCAGGCTGAGTAGCTCATCAAGCGGATTAGGCTTGAAGCTACCCTTCATCCCAGCATCTTCAATCATATCAATCTCGACGGGTTCCTTTATGCAAGCCCCCTCCTCACTTTCTTCATCCTTCATTGAGAACTCGTCTCGGCGCTCAACCAATTCACACCAAGAGCCCATTGAGCACAATGATCTCGTGCTTACACGAACGCGGTTCTCATTCCCATTCGCAAGCCGAAACTGCCTAAGACTGGCCATCGTAGCCTCATCAAAAGATGGCTCTGAATTGGAATCCTCAAAGCTGGCCATTCCTTCGCCAGGGAACTCCACCAATGGCTCCCAGGAGCCCGTTAGCCTTGGAAGTTGAGCGTCTGGAGCATTGTCAGCAGGTTCAATCGTTTCTGGACCGCTCTGGTAATTCATGGCTTCGGAGGCATTTTGGGCTTCCTTGTATGTGAACATTAGATTGCCTCCAAAGTTGACTGGAAGGCCACCAACAGCGCCTTCTTCTGGCTCTGCTCGCTCCCTGACTCTGCCCGTTGCAATCTTGCCGAGGACTTCAGGGAAAATCCAGGGGAAGCTGATGAGTGGAAGTTTGGTTGATGGCACGTCGAGATTTGAGAGGTCCTTTCTCAAAGTTTCTTCCTGTCGCTGAGCCTCGAATGCTGCATTCATCTCCTGATGCGTCACACGGTACATGGCGAGCACCAAGGCAGCAATGTTACCGTCACGGTTTCCGACTTTGTTGTAGCACTGATGGCGAAATTCCCCGCGGAGAATAGATGAGATTCGACCCATGTCTTCTTGCATCTTGTAGTCCTTGCCCGGGAAGCAATGGCGGAGAGTAAAGCCCGAGACGATCTCGAATTCAGTTTCAATCTCATATTGGGCCATGATCTGTCGCATGGCCATGTCATACTCCTCTTTGAGCTCTTTGGCATAGACCATGTATTCCTCGCTCGCTTCAAGCAGCAGGGAATTCAAGATCCGAGCATCGAAGGGTTTCTCAAGATTGGGAAGAAAGGCAGGGACCTGTACTGCGTCGTACAGCTGGCCCAGGACTCTCTTGGACTTGTAAATTCGCGACTGCGGAACGTGCCTCTTCTCCATAAAATGCGGCCACTTGTTGGGCCTCAAATCCTTGGTCATAACTGCAACAGTACCCGTCTTGTTAAAGTCAACAGCATCTGAATGAAGCTGAGCCAGACGAAGGCATTTTTTCTCCATGACGCCCTTTGGAAGCCAATCAGCCAATGCTAAATGGGCATGTGCAATTGTTGGAAGGCAGTCATTCTTCATATAAATGACAAAGAAGGAAGTGATCGCATCAACTGTCACGTCGTGAGGAAAGTCCGGGGCTATCCTACTGGTGTAGTTCATGGGCTGCGTAAACCATCGAGCTGGAATCAAATCTGGGTCCCAAATGACAAGGTAGTCGTCGCCATCGAGATCGCCTCCTGAGCACATGCTTGCAATATCTCGATCGCCAGTTTGGGAAGCACGACCACGTCCCGATATTCTTGCAACTCAGGTCGATTCACTGCTCGGACTACACGGATGTCGCCAGGATGGAGAGAGGGATTGCGAGCCAAGATACAAACACCCTCGATGACTTCGTACTCAGCATCTTTTGAGGCTTCCTCTTTTTCACAGCGGCAGATCTGCACAAAGATCTCAGGAAGAGCTGCCAGTCTCTCTTCATGTGGGGCATTGTCCTTGGGTATTTTGTCTTCAAAATGGCCCTTGAGAACACCTGTCTCATCCAGACAGCCGAGTAGGTTAGCTCCTTTCTCAACAGTGATTTTTGCCTTTTCCTTGAGGTATTTCAAATGCCAGGCTCGCCATAGCTCAAGAAGGGTGCACACGTATGGCTCGTCAGCTTGTCTGAAGCCATCTACAACCATCTGGGCGATTGTGAGGGTCATTTGATTTGGGTCAATCCACTTTTGTAGTAGGTCGGTTGCCCTCTGATCGTCCTTCATGGCATCATTGAAGCTGCTCAACATGTAGTCGAGCTTACTCAAAAAGGCCTTGTCTGGGATTCCCAGAGCAGAAAGGACGATAATGATTTGGCGGTTCAGAGTTGCAAAGGAAAATTGGGACCAGCGAATGATCTCCAATCCACTGTGCTCGGCGTTGAACTTGTATTGACTGGGGCGAATATGCACTTCCCGGGGGCGAGGATCAGGTGAAAGAACAAGCATTCCCTTGGAGCCCCCGAGACGAAACTGGAAAGCTGATGGAAGGTGTCGAGTTGGAGTCTTGATATTTAGTTCGGTTTTGGCCATTTGCGCAAGGAACTTCGATATTTTCCCAACGCCATCTGAGAATGTGTAACCGTTACGAACAATATCATCGCACAGAACAAGCTCAACGTTAGTGCTAGAAAAGGCGCGCGTAGTCGAGAAACACTGTCCCAGTCTTGCAGCATACTTGGCCACATTTCGAATGTGATTGAATTGACCCATCCAGGCCCGGATTGACGCCGCTGTGATGGGTCCCCCCTTGGCAAAGAAATAAGCGCCATGTTCTCGGAACTGAGAGTTGCCAAACGCTAAAAATTCATAGTGTCGGTCTCCAATGGTGATGCCATTTGACAATGTCCTCTTAACATTGGTGAAGACTTCGTCGTTGTTATCATTCATCGAAGAGTTGATGCGACCTTCCGTCTTCTCGTCCGTAAACCGTACACGAAGGAAATGATCAGCCATCTCAGAGTATTTGCGCACGATGCGATTGGAGGCGTCCACGGATGGGGTATTGTAGTAGATGGTAGATGGAGTGACTCGTGCTGTGCGCATGAAGCAACAATAATCCGGGATTTTGGTATCCGCTGTGCCTTTGGGGGCCTTCAGACCAAATATTTCCATCGAATTAAAGTATTTCTTCTTCTCTGTTGCAATGTGCTCTAGCAGTCTTTGAGCCTCGTCTGTTTTCATGTTGCTCAACTTCTCAACAAACTCACGAGTCATTGTGAACTCGGAGAGGTATCCATGAGACATGCAGACTTCAAGCTGGTACCGAACATGGATGTGAAGGTGGACATAGTTCTCATTCCCCATGTCCTCTAGCAGGAACAAGGACGCCTTGCTCGATTGAGGACCAACGTGATCAATCCAGTGCCACACTGGTAGTGGCCGGGTCTTTCTTTCGGTAAAATGGTTCCCGTCTTCAATGGAAAAGTTGTAGTCTTTCAGCATGGCTCGAGTGAGCTTTAGAGCTTCCCCGTATTGTTTGAGCTCAGATGCAAACGTAATCTTGAACACGTTCCATCGCCCTAGTTCAAAGAGAAGTGTTAAAGAAGTGATGAAAGTTTAACATTCAGGCATGTATCTACACGTACCCGTGTCAATGATATGTCCGGACTTCCTCAGGTTGTTGCTGGAGGTTTCGATGATATGTGGATTGCGACGCACAGCTGTCTGACGATACCAGACATCCTCCTCTCTCCAGTTCCTCAGCACGGTAAACGAAGAAGAAATATTTTTCAGCCTTCGGTGAAAAATAGGAGAGGAGTCCAGAATTATCAGAAAGGATGTCTGCCCTGTAGCCACGTCGTACTGCTCAAAGATTTGGGACAGTTGGAGGAAGGTAAACCTGACTCGATAGTCATGCAGAGACATGTCACCGGCCTTTGAGCGGATACCCACTTTGAAGTAGACATAAAGACATCTGCGCAGAACATCGACGACAAACCTGGGGCCCGACGATTGGTCAAAGCTGTGCATGGCATGAACAGTCGTGGCGTCAACGAGCACGCCAATGTCAACCTTAGTAGTCATAAGCTCCTAATATCAATATCAGTACTTAGTTAATTTCGGCTGTCCGTCCTATTTTCTCACTTACCTTCTGGGCTGGAATCTGAACCTGCGAGCGAACTGGGCTGGGAATAGTCTCGCCATCTGAGAAGTGATTCAAGCCGAGTCCGATTAGCACCACAGGACCATTGCGGAGCGGCACTTCGTAGCAGCCATCGGACCAGAAATCAAGTTCAGGGGGGGCTAACTCATGTCAGACTTGATCCACGCGGAATGACATATTGAAAGAATACCAACCTAAAGCGCACAAACCCTCTGGTGGTTGAGCGGCCATCGGAGGTCTCGTAGAGATCAATTCTCACGATGCTGCCCTCCTTTTTGAGTGCCTCGTAGATATCATGGGTTGACGCAGCTCTGGGCACATGTGAAAGATCGATACCTACTGACTCATGTTGCTTCCAGGAGGTATAGACCGAGACACGGGACTCACTGGGGTGACCCGGTTGAGGCATCCCAGCTTCTGCTGGTCTCGAGGAATTTAGGGATCTGGGGGGCTGCGGGCGCTGGGTGGTGAAGGGCATAACTTTTTGCTTTGGCGAAAGGGCAAGGTAAGCCAGGGTAAGAAAGAGTTGTAGAAATGAGAGGCTTTAGAAGTTGCAGGGGTGAGAAGGGAAGTAAGGCGAGGAAGAGAAGAAGACGGGAAAAGCCGAGAGATACAAAGAAAGCGAGGTTCTGAATAGACTAGACGGAGTAAGATATGTGCACATTCCTTTTTGCTCTAAGAATCGAAAAAGAAGACCTCTTGGGCAAGAAGGATTCTTCGCAGACCATCTAACTCGTCAATATGTATAGCTGTCGTAGTAAGCTTTTCGCGTAAATCAGAAAGTTCTTAGATCGGTTTTGTTTCGTTGCCAGTCACGAAATAGACAAGAGAAGGAGAATCTTGTGGCAAAGTACCGCCATTTTTTAAGAGACTTGCAACTAAAGACCTAGTACTTTGTCGTTTCAACGACCTTAGTAGTCGTCAGGGCCCACCCCCTTAACACGAACTATTCCAAACAGATATATTTGGAGTCTCCAAATTCTACTCTTTCAGGTAATAATTTCCCTCTTTTTCCAACTCCTTTTTGCCTGTTTTTCAGTGGAAAATTTGGAATGCTCCGAGGTTGAAAAGCCATGACTAGTCGTCGAACTATGGCACGACCTGGTCATTAGACCCCGTAAATGCAGTACTTGAGAAGAGCAAATCCTTCGAAAACTCAAGGTCCATATCCAAGTCAAAGTCCTGCAATCTGTGCCCTCCAATATTCTCCTCTGCCTGGCCTTCCTGGAACGAAGCATCAACTTCGCTGTGTTTGGATAGATTGCTCGCATGGGGTTTAGCCGGGCTAATGTTATTGGCAGTTGCTAATGGCTGCCGGGTACATTGGGGCAGTCCTTTGGTAGGAGATTGGACCCTTGCCCGAGGTACTGCAGATGGAGTACTCAGAGCCTGAGGTAGACGGTTTCCTCTTGGTCGTTTGGGTGTGGGTCCATTGAAGGATGCCAAAGACTCAAACGACTGTACTAGCTGTGTATCTTCGTCATCACTGACTGGCTGCTGGGTACTTGCAGCCTGGGCCGGGTTGATGCTGGACCTAGTCCGCCGGTGTTTGGGACTGGTGGATCCAGGTGCATTGGTCGAAAACCCCATCACTCCCATGAGCCGCCCGATATGCTGTTGTGCTTCGGAGAACTCGCGAGCCTTGGCGGCGCGCTCATCACGCAAAGCTTGTATCTAGGATCATATGGTTTAGTACATGAAGATTTTTACAGTTGGAAAAATAATTACCTTTTTCTCCAAATGCAGGATACGTTTGTCCTTGGACTGGGCATTCTTAGAAGCATCCAAAGTGGCAGCATGCATAGCGGCTTGCAACTGCCGGATCTCTTCTTCCTGCTTGGCCGTCTGAAAAATGGCTGCTTTAGTATTCCTTGTTCACTCATCTGATACAGGCGGGTATAAACATACCTCGGACGTGGCCCTCGAAGCCTCCGCTTCATGATCATGTTTGAGCTTTTCAACCTCACTGCTCATCTTTTTCTCGGATTCTTGCAGCACAAAAATAAGTCTTTCAACTTCGGTGTTTTGTTCGTCCACCTGCGATTAATTAGTACACGTCAACTTCCATAGAAAATCAAGGAACATACTGTGGTTTTCAGAGTCCCCACTTCCATTCGGAGATCATCTTCCTCAGCCAAAAGGCGCTTGACTTCATCCTCCTTCCGGACAGCCAGAAGCCTACTTTGTTCCAAAGCATCCCTCATAACAGCAAGCTCCTCTTTCAAATACCCAGACGTATCCAGGGAAGCATCTTTTTCCTTAGTTACTAGATCGAGAGTCTGGCGTGTTCGTTCATTCTCGGTTTGCAAGCGGCGCATTTCCTCCTGGAGATCTTCAATTTGATCATCTTTCTCAGTCAGAGCAGCCATCATTTCCAACTCCTTGGATCGAGACTGCTCCCTTTCGACACAAATTGCTTTCTCAGAGTGCCACTGCTGTCCTTGAAGCTCCTCCTTTACAGAAGCAAGAGACTTCGAAAGCTGCTCAGCTCGTGCGGATTCATTTTGCATTTGCTCCTCGAGGCGAGCATTCTCGTCATGAAGACCGGCAAAAGATTCTGAGAATTCGCTCAGACGGAGTTCCTGTTGTTCAATATGTTCTTTCAGCTGACGACTTTCCTCGGCAAATTGATCTCTTTGTTCCTCGGCAGCTCGGACAGGTCCTTCTACGTCGAAGCAGCGACGCTCCAGCTCGAAGCATGCATCTTCGATCTTTTGCATCATAGTCACCTGAGTGTTTCGAGAAGTCTCCATGAACGCTGATGTCATATCCTGGCGCCAATTGCGAGAAACACGAGGAGGTGAGAACCGGTTTCTGTCGAGCAGGGGCAGGGATTCAGGTAGCTCTTTTTTGCTCCCCCTGTGAAAACAGACAGCTTCCACTCGGCAATGATTTCTCCACATATCCAACAATGGGCTGCATGAGAGTATCACCTCCATTTTGCGCCGAAGAGACAGAATTGTAAAGCTTGAACAAGGATAAAAACAGCTTATTCTGCATTGTGCATTGCTGGGACAGGCACACACTTGACTCACTGCAGTTATCTTTGCTTGGTCTCCTTGGGAAGCTCTCAAGCATTTCCGCAAGACCCTGTTTGAAGGCCGCCAGTGAGCTGGAAATATTGGAAAGCATCACCTCGGGATCAACTTCCTGTACGCCAACCAGCACCAGGCTTGCCAGGCGCAGCGTGCTGACTGTTTTCTGATTACGGTTCTGACTGTCCTTTAGAGTGGAGCACGTGAAGTTCAAAAGGTCAGGAGCAGCCGACCCTCCGGAGACCTGTTGGTGTTGTGTCAGAATTTGCATAAGTATTAGGACTCTTGTACTTGCAGCTAACGATTTTGAGAGGCGTGAGATAAACTGCGGGGGCACACTCTCTAGAACTGCCTGGCTGTCTTTGGAAAAAAGGGTCTTCAAGCCAGAGTCTCGCACTTGTGGTGGCAGTGACCTTGCCGGAACGAGAGTAAGCAGAAAGATGATAACCTATAACGCGTGATTAGTAGTAATTTGCATCCCGAGCTGGTCGTGGCATACCATTGTCCGTGTTGCATTATCAAGCCCATCTCTCCCAGCCTTCTCACACAGCTTGGCAAGCTTGGAAGAATTACTAGCCATCCAAGCATGTTTCTGATCAAGCTGAGTTGCATCAGCGATGTAGATAGCCAGCTTGATACTTTCAGCAGCTTGCGATGGTGCCAAATTGCAGCTAGACGAGCAAGCCAGAATGACACGTAGTACAACCAAGTCCAGAGTTTTCAGACCACGTTTCGGGCCGAAGAAATGGTTGATGTTGAGAAGCCAAGATGGAGCTTCTGATCCGTGTTGATTTTGGGAGGGTGGTGGTCGTGCTAATGCAATCTGAGCAAAGGTTCCAAGGCACAAGAGATTGCCCATGTGGTCATCGAAATTGCGTAGGGTCTTGGTGAATTCCACTTGGAGATTGGACATGACCTCAGACGGAATGTCGTCGAGGACTTTTGGTGAACGTTGTAGCCCCTTCATTATTTTGTAGAGAGGCGAGATTGTGTCAATGCAGGGACTGTCTGACATCATGCCCACAAGCTTCGCGATGAAGGGGGCAATCCGTGCTGGTGGCACTACATCTGCTGGCAGGGGTGAAGATAGCAACGCAATGCATGCGGGGATGTACTAAAATTATTAGTTAAGATTCTTCAACCAAGGTCCTGGTTCACAGAGAGCTCACCTCATGCTCATTGGTTCCCAGGGCCTTCTGGAGAAACGCATCTAGGATCGTTTGGTGGCGGTCGAGCAGCGCATCTCGAAATGACGATGCAGATGCTATGATGGGTTAGCCTCGTATTGAATTATCATTTCGATCGAACCATACAAAATGCAGTAATTAGAGGCAAAGCGACGCGCGATCGCGATAAAGCTTCAACTAGAACATCGCCCAGCGCGCTAACCTGGCAAGGTTTGCAGAACGCCCAGGATTCGAGTGTTGACGACGAACACTGCTGAAAGATGCCATAAAGATCCTATAGTTATGTGTTATCATGACGCCCGACATCAAATGATATCAACTTGCCTGTAGTGACGGGACGTACGGCGCGGTGACGAGGCGTTCCACCTCGCGCACCACCAGAGCGAGCTGCTCTGCCATAATGTCAAAGTTGCATAGAAAGATAGATCAGTCCTTTCTGGCTCTGAGCTAAGTACGCAGCTCTCATCCGGCTTTGATGTTCTGATGTCGCGGTGTTGTAGGTTGAGAGGTTCTTTGCGGGCCTGTTGCCCCATCAACGGAATTTATGCTCTAAACCAATGACATTGCTAGTTTTCCCTTTTCACCTAATATACAAGTCCTTCTTAAAAGAATAAGTTATTGCTCCTTCGTGTAGTATTCAGAGTCTTTGTTCAGTATCAAACCCTTCTATATAAATGCAGAGTATGAAAAGGGTAGTGTTACGTCATTGTATAGCGTACATCTAACCCCCACCCCCACGCTCTTTCTCCGCACTTTTGCCCTAAGAAAAGAGCGGAATTATGCAAAGCGACTGAGGCTGCAGCTTCTCGGCCGAAGTCCGACGGCCGGAATCGCGGGATATTAGCCCGAGTACAAAAGCCGGTCACATCATGCAGGTCCGCAATGTCGACAGGTTAGATTGTTCCGGTCATTTCACCTCCTTACACCTGCCATGCGATAAAGTGTGCTGCTAAACCTCCAATTCTACTCTAATCTGCCTTTATATAAAGTACTGTCCCTTCGACATGCGACCAGTACTCAGGGCCTTGCGGGCGCTGCCCGCCCGAGCCCCTTGTCGGCCCTGGATCTCGCCTCACCAGAGCATTCTAGCTCGGGGTACTCGATTAAATAGTTCCAATGCAGGCGCAGAGAAGACGAAAGAGCAAAGTAGCTCCTCGAGCTCAGAGTCTTCAACAGGTGCTCCCCCATTGCCATTCTGGACGCCGACGAAGGCTCTCCTCGTCTCCGCGTTTGCTGCGGGGTTGGGATACGGATACGCTTCATACGGCCAGGAACTAGCACAGGCGTCTAAGAAGCCGCAGTATGGCTCAACTAAGGATTTCGCAAAGGTCAGTCCTTCAATTATACACTGTGAATGAAAGTGAAACTGACAAAAACACATAACCAGGCCATCAGCGAACTAAGAACTAAACTAGGCGATGACGCGGTCAGCACCGAAGAAGACGAACTCCAACTACACGGATACTCAGAATGGTCCAGTCTTAATGCAGAGCGGTTACCCGTCGCGATTGCCTACCCCAAGACCACCGAAGAAGTGTCTGAGATCGCCAAGATCTGCAACAAGTACCGTATGCCCATGATCCCCTACTCAGGCGGATCGAGTCTAGAAGCCAATTTCTCCGCGCCGCATGGTGGACTGACCATCGACTTCGCGTTTATGAATAAAGTCCTGGATATCCACCCGGACGACATGGACGTCGTGGTGCAGCCGTCGATCCAGTGGATGGATCTGAATGAGCAGATCAAGGAGACGGGCTTGTTCTTTCCCGTTGACCCGGGTCCTTCTGCTATGATTGGTGGTATGGTTGGTACGAATTGCAGTGGTACCAATGCTGTTCGGTATGGTACTATGAAGGACTGGGTGATCAATCTCACTGTTGTGTTGGCCGATGGGCGGATTATCAAGACGCGGAAACGTCCCCGCAAAACCTCTGCTGGGTATAACCTAACTGGGTTGTTTGTTGGGTCCGAGGGTACCCTGGGGATTGTGACTGAAGCTACTTTGAAGCTCGCTCCGATTCCTGAACAGACTCGTGTTGGTGTGGTTGCGTTCCCGACTATTCGGGATGCTGCTTCGACTGCTATGCAACTGATCCGGACGGGTGTGTCCGTCCAGTGTATGGAGATCATGGATGATGTTCAGATGGATGTTATCAACCGTGCTGGTGGAACCGGTCGTTCATGGAAGGTCTCGCCAACGCTTTTCTTCAAATTCTCTGGAACTACTGCAGGTGTGCAGGATAGTATTAACCTGACCACGAAGCTTGCGCAGAACAACAATGCTGAGTCGTTTGAATTTGCCCGCGATGACCGCGAGGCCCATGATTTGTGGTCAGCACGGAAACAGTCCCTGTGGAGTATGATGGCACTGCGGAAAGAGGGATCGGAGGTGTGGTCAACAGATGTGGCAGTGCCCATTTCTAGACTGCCTGATATCATCGGTATGGCTTCTTTCAGGCTATCTGGATCCATGTGCTAACAGTTGCAGAAATCTCCAAAAAGGAACTTGTCGATCTCGGACTTTTCGCCAGTATTCTTGGTCATATTGGTGACGGCAACTTCCACTCGAGCATTATGTATAACCGAAATGATCCTGCTGAGAGGGAGCGAGTCGAGAAGGTAGTATACGATATGGTTGACCGTGGGCTGGACATGGAGGGCTCGTGCACGGTATGCAATTACACTAACGGCGTTCGTTTTTGGAACTCGCTAATTTAGTACAGGGTGAACACGGTGTTGGACTGGGCAAGAAGGGATCACTAAAGAAGGAACTCGGGCTGGAGACGATCAATGTTATGCGCAGTGTCAAGCGGTCATTAGATCCAAACTGGCTCTTGAACCCTGGCAAGATTTTTGACCACTCTGATGATGTCCCTGGTCCGGGTCATTAAAGTGGTTTGGTACTACGCAAAATACATAGACTCGCATTAGACCTGAGCATAGATGTATAGCAACAACGTCATCGGTGCAAACAAACCAAACCTTGGGACGTTAAACTTTGACCTGAACACCTAGCAACTCCAGCCAATCAGAGCACAGTAAATTCTTGTCCGACCGGAGGAGGCTGACTAAGCGCGGGGCTGCGCAATTGGCCGAGAGCGATATCGCAATCACGGTCAATTGCCACTAGCATTCAACTCTATCAACAGCGAAGTGGTGAGTGCAATCCCATATTCCAATTGCTACCAGGCTGCTATGGTGTCTTGGGCTCATTGACAATGAGATCTGCGAGGAATTGGAGCTTGCAGAGCCTCCTACAGACCGCATGCGGGGCTCTGGAGACGCTTTGACTCATACAGGCGTCTGTGATATGTTGCCCAGTACAACATGCAGCCGGTGTTGTTGTGTTTTTCAGTCTATCAATTGATAGCCTTGGATCTTTCGAATTACCGGGGTTGCTAACAAATACAAGGTTGATCTTTCTGCATATAAAACTTCCAAGATGGCTCCTTCATTCCCTAAGAAGAAGTGCGGTATGTCCTCAACATCCAAGATCAGATATATATGTATCGTCCTGACAATATATAGGTGTTCTCGGTGCCACGGGCTCGGTGGGTCAGCGCTTCATCCTCCTGCTGGCAGACCACCCCTTCCTTGAGCTTCACGCAATCGGTGCTTCCGAGCGTTCAGCAAACAAGAAGTATAAGGATGCCGTGAACTGGAAGCAGACTCGTCCCATGTCCGAGGAGCTGAGCAACCTTGTTTTGCGTGAGTGCAAGGCCGAGCTGTTCTCGGACTGTGATCTTGTCTTCTCTGGACTGAACAGTGACATCGCTGGCGAGACCGGTATGTGGTATCATATCCCATAATACTAGATCATGTGCTGATGTATCAAATACAGAGATGGCCTTTATCAAGGCAGAGATACCTGTGTTCTCTAACGCAAAGAACTACCGCAAGGATCCTATGGTCCCTCTGGTTGTCCCCACTGTCAACCCCCAGCATTTGGACCTGATCCCTCACCAGCGCAAGCAGTACGGCCTTAAGAAGGGTTTCCTAGTCTGCAACTCTAACTGTGCCGTCATTGGCATTGTCATCCCCTTCGCAGCTCTCCAGGCCAAGTTCGGCCCCGTTGAGGAAGTCGAGGTCTTCACTGAGCAGGCCGTCTCAGGAGCCGGCTACCCCGGTGTTCCTACCATGGACATCCTGGACAACGTCATCCCTTACATCAGTGGTGAGGAGGACAAGCTGGAGAACGAGGCCCAGAAGATCCTGGGTTCATTGAACGCCAGTGCTACCGGTTTCGACGAGCAGTCTGGTCTCCGCATCGGTGCCACTTGCACCCGTGTTGGTGTCACTGACGGCCACATGGCCTTCGTTTCCCTCCGTTTCAAGAACCGTGAGACCCCCAGCGCAGAGCAGGTTGTTGAGGCCCTGCGGGATTACCAGTCCGAGGCCCAGAAGTTGGGTGCTCCATCCGCACCGCAGCCCGCTATCAAGGTTTTTGATGAGCCCGACCGCCCCCAGCCCAGACTTGACCGTGACATCTCCGGTGGCTATACCGTCAGCGTTGGCCGCGTCCGTGAGGGCGCCAAGGGTGGCCACTTTGATATCCGATTTGCGGCTCTCTCTCACAACACCGTTATCGGAGCTGCTGGTTCATCTATCCTCAACGCCGAGGTTGCTGTTATCAAGGGCTACATTTAAAGATGATACGAAAAGTGGAATTATCAGCGCATGTCAAATAGATACAACTTTGGTACAAACAAAAGTTCGATTGATCGCATCCCAAATAGGAAGGGGCCAACCAGATGACATAATCGCCGCTCGAATGTTGATGATATAATCAATTATTAATATAGCCCAATCGGGACTAGTTGGGGCTAGGGCTCAGCCCACAATCACTGACCGCTAAGCGAAACACGTATTATCAGCCAGCATTTCTCGGCCCTGACCTTCTTTTTCATCGCGACACTTCGACCACTTACCTACCGTCGACAAATCAGTCAAAATGGCTCGCGGACCGTAAGTCTAATGCCATCGCCCTCTCTCTTTTGTACCTGCACACTGGCTTCGTCGACCTCCCGGACGCGAATTCAGCCATTGTGCTGCTGCAACCGAGATTGAAAATTTTCATCTTGAACAACATCACTAACTGCAATGCCTTTACAGTAAGAAGCACCAGAAGCGCCTTAGTGCGCCCTCGCACTGGCTCCTGGACAAGATGTCCGGAACCTATGCGCCCAAGGCCTCCCCGGTCCCCACAAGCTCCGGGACTGCCTTCCCCTGATTGTCTTCATCCGTAACCGGTACAAATTCGAAACAACTCCGACACGCGAAGAACAACAACTGACATGGTTTTCGCAATAGTCTCAAGTACGCCCTGAACGGTCGCGAGGTCAAGGCCATCATGATGCAGCGTCTGGTCAAGGTCGACGGCAAGGTCCGCACCGACTCCACCTTCCCTGCTGGATTCATGGACGTCATCTCCCTCGAGAAGACCGGCGAGCACTTCCGTCTCATCTACGACACCAAGGGCCGTTTCACCGTCCATCGCATCCAGGCTGAGGAGGCCGAGTTCAAGCTCTGCAAGGTCAAGCGTGTTCAGCTCGGCAAGGGCGGGATCCCATTCTTGGTTACGCACGATGCGCGAACGTGAGTTCACTCTCCACAAGTTCCGTGTCATTCAGTCGTTGGACCAGGCTTTGGTTGATCGGCGGAGGACAACATGAGAACTAGTAAGATCCCATGTGATAAGAACAAGGTTTTGCTAACGCGTGTTTCTCTCCACAGCATCCGCTACCCCGACCCCGCCATCAAGGTCAACGACACTGTCAAGGTCGAGACTGCCACTGGCAAGATCCTTGACTACGTCAAGTTCGACACTGGTGCCGTCATCATGGCCACCGGTGGTCGTAACATGGGTCGTGTTGGTGTCGTCACTCACCGTGAGCGCCACGATGGTGGTTTCAACATCGTCCACGTCAAGGACGCTATTGACAACACCTTCGCTACCCGCGAGTCCAACGTCTTCGTCATCGGACAGGACAAGCCTTGGGTTTCCCTGCCCAAGGGCAAGGGTGTCAAGGTATGTTATCTCCACAAATCAATGCTCATATGAATCTTGCTAACTCTTTTCGCAGCTCTCCATTGCTGAGGAGCGTGACCGCCGCCGTGCCCACGCTATCTCCAACTAAATGTCTTCTGACATTGGGAATTTAGCGGCCGGACAAAAACAAGTAAAAAACAGTAGCTGGGAAGCAGGCGTCTTGTCTTGTTACGGGCTTGGATGCATCATTCCGTAGGTTCGAACCATAGCAAACAAAACTGGGATGGGATAACTCTCCCGTTTCCGAGTGATATGATACCATTTAACGTTACCTCTTTTCGAATGATTTAATGACCGTATTCTCTTGATTTTCTTGGATCTTCAACCTCCCTGTCTGTCTCGTTTATGTCTTTCAATTGGTTCTGCTGAGCATTGCTTGAGCCATTTCCCCAATGAAGATCTAAGGAATCGTAGCTGTAGCTTCGTTGCTGACCTTCACCTCGCTAGCATGGTGGCCACCTCGTAGTTCCAGTGTCCGTCTATAGCCACAGACAAACCTACCCGCTACAGTACATACAAAATCGGAAACTAATGCAAGCCCGGAACGCAACCCAGTCAATCCAATAAAAGAATCGAGATCTAAGATGCAAGTCTCTGCAGCTGAAAGTCCAGCTACTCTCACTATATTCATATCCTGCACCTTCCCCCCAACTATATATATCTGCCGACAGCGAAAACCGCCCGCCCCATACCCACTAACTCTAACCTCGGCATATCCGAAGCGGTAGCAACCTAAAGCTAAAGACAGCAGCACAGCAACAAAGCGGGCCCTTACGCAAAAAAGGATACATAGGGGCAAAGAATTTATTAATGATACAAGGCGATACGCGGTGCGGTGAACGGAGTTCTCAAACCCCGCGCAAGCCCCAAGCCCCATATATGGCGATCAAAGTATACAATCCAATTCCAGTCCCCTGATTCACCAGTTTGACCGCCAATGATAGCCAGTCTCGACCCCCCAAAAAGATATTGAGTTTATGCTTTCGAAGGGGACGATCTTCTTCAGAATTCAGTACAGTATGTACATATACCTCGTGATCAGCGCTCTTTTGTATGTACCGTACATGTAAACCGCTTCCCCCCGCCCCCAGCCTATTCTGCTTGGCTGTTATAAGTTAGTGTTCGATTACAGGACATATAAAACGATGACCTATCCAAGTGGCAATGATCATGCCGTTTCATTGCATGAATATACAGCCTGTGGACTAGAGAAAATGAAACTAGCTGATGCAATGCACCAGTAGAATGAAACATCCCAATGTGGAGTGCAGCAAAGGGGCAGATCGCCACTCGGCGTTCTCCGTGCTCATTCATTTATTCTAATATATTATAACTTACACAGAATATCGATGGCGTACGATCTGGATATAGCCAAGGAATAGGATCAGGATTGGGTGGAGGAGCACGCCAGAGACAGCCGTAGATAAACGCAAGAAACCGGAGTACAAGGTTCATCTCCGGTGCCAAAATCTATTCTGTGGAGATGTCCGCACTTCTCTCTACCCCTCCAGTTCCGTGGTCGCAGAGTGCGTTGCTTCGATCGCGGTGATCGGCGTATGAGCTCCGACAACGGGGTCATTTAGATGGCCGTCGGGTCACCGCTGGGAATTGGGCCGCTCTAATTAGTCTGATACCACTCAGCTGGTAGTCTTCGCTATCATAACCATGGGAAAGAGGAGGATCAAAATCATGAGGAGGGAGAGAGAGGAGCAGAGATAGAAGAGAGGATTGGATAACCCCCTAGGAACGGCTCCCATTTCTGAATTTTTTTTCTCCGATGGCCCGCCCTATCAAGGGTTAGGCAATACGGAGTATAGGAGCCACTCTGATAGATCCAAACTCAGTCCCTCCCCAATTCCCACGTTCGCAGCGTCTCCACCAGGAAAAGTTCTCCCGGACCCAAGCACCATGCTGCTGGAACGGGACGCAATCTGGAATTCTGATCACCGGATGCAACATGAGGATAAGCGGACATCCTTTGCAGAGAAGATACCGCAGTAGGGGGTAGTTAGCGGTTAGTAGTAAGGGGTGGTGGACCTCTTTAATGATAGGATAGGGGGAGGAAATATTACCTGTGGTCCTCTCTCTCCCTGCATATATTTTGGCTGGAATTGACAATGGTAAAAGGTTCACGGGACACTATTTCCGCCCAAAGCTGCCAAAAAAAAAAGGAAAAAGGATTATGTGGCAATGATCGCTGGGGTAACATTATAGTGCATTGAAATGCACGACAAATCCTCCGATCAGCTGCGTTTAGGGGGCGATCCGAGAGCCATAACGGAGGGCTGAGACGTGTGCGATAATGGGATTGTTCTGGGCCTAGAACATGAGGTTATTTACGTGTGGAAGTATGAGTGAAGTTGTCAAACTCAACCTTTGGTTCTCCCCACAAGCTCAGGAACGCGTGGATCTACGGAGCTATCCGCAACCCAGTTCCTCGGCCCTGGGTTCTGTGCAAGTTTGGGTTTGGCCACGTTTGAATTACATGTATGTAGTAGCGATCTGCCAGAGGTAATTTGGAATCAGGTATAGTTTTGAGGAAGATAGCGGTGTGAAGGCTGAAGAAAGGCAGCTTAACTTGTAGTATATCATCGCCACCGGCTATAAAGTTTGCCTTCAAAGAGACAAACTTCAGCGGTGTATCGACTTTCAACGAGAAACTTCGAGATCGCCCACAGATATCATCGTAACTTGCTTTAAACGTAGACCGCTCCCCAACCGATTGAACGATCATCCTCTCACTTGTCATATTGGCAACTGGACGGTCTGCAGTCCAACGGGTATGATTCGGCAGACCACAATAGAAGCCTAGAAGGTCGCCTTCCGATCATTTGCCCCTTTCGCCTGCTTCCCGACCATCGGGACTCCCAGTAGGCTGGAACTGGGCTATTCCCAAATCTAACGTGGGAAACCTAATGTTTTAAACCAATCACCCTCACCTTTTCGCACATTTTCGTGTTTCCTTCTCTGCTTTCACCGTGTCACATGAGCGACAGCCTAATGATTTGGCCTTGACTACAAGAGTCCAGAGACTGTTCAACTCAAGCTTTCTCCTTGGACATGTCCGTGATGGCTTCAGAACTGGGTCCGTCTTACCAGCCCGTCTTCCACTTGAGCTTGGAGATTCCCGCCTTCTTCATGCCCTACCGCTGGTGGGAAGATGAAGCGACTCCGGTGTTTTGGGCATTCGATATCCTGGAAATTAGCAGGGTAATTCGATTTGGACTCTTTCGTGACGAGAACTTCCCGCGAACCTCACTTCGCGCTCGCCGAGTTGATACTATTTACAACTTTTTATTTGCCATGTCCCAACCCCATGAACATCAACTTCTGGGAAGTCTCTCTCACATGCAGAGAGTGGAGGAAATATTGCGCCGGTCGAGTATTGCTCCTTTCGACCCGATTCCCTGGAATTGGCTTCCGCTGGAATCGAACCAGTCTCTCGATGCCCGGGCAATCGCTACGGCCATTGAGACCGAGAGTCATTTTCAATTCAGGCAGATTGGTTTTGAAGAGCTGGTACGCGCTTCTCTTGGGTATCGTGCCATCAACGTCGAGTGGTTTCTACAACAGCATACAGCTCTCTACATTATTCTCTTGGAACATCTGAAGGCCTACCCAGAGGACATCCCTCTATACACCGAGGTAGAGAAGGTGTGTGCCTGATCTCTCAATTGGCCTTTAGTACCATACGGATCATACGCTGACTATTCCAGCACCTTCGATCGCGTAGTCCATTCGCGCACCGAGCGGTGGTCCAGTCTCTACTGGCTGTGCGACCTGGAAACTGTAATATGGCACAGCCCAACGCTGGGTTCGACTTCATCGCAGGCCCGATCCAGCGTCTGTTCAAAGACGAAACCGGTAGACTAGCCGCCATGCTGAAAATGTTGAGCGTGCTAGCAATCCGATTCCGGCGACAATACATGCACGCTTCAACTATGGACTGGAAAACGCCTTTCGACACCTCAGTTCCCTTTCTAGAGGACTGTCTCATATCGACATCCGGGTCGGATCTGGCCCGCAGCTTAAAAGCCCTGAATGAGCACCAATTCGCCGAAGTTACCCGCCAAAACCTCGTAGCAGAGGATGCCGTGATAGGAAATCTGCTTTGGCATTGGCAAATGCTCAGTGTCTCCGTCTGGGAATGCTGCTCAGCACTTCCAGATCTAATTCCACACATCCAAGAATGTACCCAGGTAAGTGAGCAAAAGTACACCCCAAATGGTTCAAAGCCCTCTTCTAACCGTGTAACAATAGAACCTCCTTATAGCCCGTGATTATCATTCTCTCACGGCTATCGTCAATGGTCTCTACAACTACACCATCTCGACAATGCAAGCCGACGGACCCACCATCACCCTGGAAGCCCTGACGCCCCCGGACATCGCCCTCCTCCTGAACCCAGTGCAAAACTACGCCTCGTACCGCAACCACTACAACCAACACCCCGGTATCCCCTTCCTGGTTCCTCATCTCCGTGATTCCAAACAGAACGGCGAATCCGTCCTCCAGCCGGTCCTCCAGTACCTGCAACGAAGCCGGTGATTACAATTAAAAGGGGAGTCACCAGGTCCAAACAATTTGATTATGCTTCGCCTTTAAAGAAAGCAACAGGGGGTGTGTGCTTGGCTGCAGGTGGCTGCAGGTGGCGAGACCGGACCAAAGGCCAAGGGGTGGGCTGGAACGCGTTTCAAGACCTTTTGTTTGTCTCCCTGGCCTTTTTCAATGCATTGACGTATGTTTCCTTGGACAATCTTTGGCCAGGGCAGGTGCCCCAATCTACACTTGGTATGCTCCGATTTATGATCTGTATTTCTACTTTTTATATACCCATGCTAGCTAGCGTCCCGCAGTACCAGGAAGTCCGGCGTTGCATTATGCCAATACGCCTTTTTTTCCTTTGTGTGATTTTTTCTTTTTTCTGTTTTCCTTTTTGGTTAAGAGTCAATGTCCGGATTATATACAAGATTGCATAACAAAGCTCATTGGATCTCACGAAACCCGCAATCTGACCTGCCGTCTTGATCGTAGCGCCCAGGGCTTTGCTGTCGAGCTGAACCGGCGTATAGTACTTCATGGCAGTAACGCAGCTTACGCGGGCCCCCTTTTACTACCCTGATGTGTGGAAAGAAGCATTACAAATCAAATAACACCCATTGAATCCGAGCCACACCTGACCATAGTAGGACGCAAAGATAGACCGCTGTTATATGCAGCCCGATGCACCAGGAGGCAAAAACCAAGAGAGAGATTATTTTACCAAAAGAAAATCAAAGAAAAGCAAAGAGAAAGAGGCACCTCGAATCAGCCAACTAACACAACAGCACACACCCTACTCTCTTTTTGCAGCCGTCTTAGGCGCCTGTGCATACCCAAACACACCTAAGAGGTAAGCGATCCTATTAACAAAAAGGAAACCCGTAGCTCCAATATTACCCCACGTCAGAGCATTCCATGCCGCGACATCCGCAAACGCGTCCCAGCCCATACCCAAGAACGTGGCGTAGACATGACCTACATCGGCGATGGCAAGACCGATCAGGTAATTGCGCAGCACGCGAGGCTCTGTGGTGGTGTAGCAAACACCCACGCCGACGAGGAAGAGCAGCGAGTAGATATTGCCTAGTTGGTAGGCGAGGGCAACGCTGCTGGGGTGGAGGGTTGGTGGGGAGGCGACGTTGGGTGTTTGGCCGGCTATGAAGCCTTGGAGGTCGTATAGTGGGAAGACGCTGCCGAGGGCCCTGCATGGATCATGAGATGCGTTAGTTGTCGGTAATTGGGTGGGATGGTGCGTGTTGGTTCCACGTACAGTGAGATGGGCTCAAGGATGCCGAAGACGATGTGTGGCCATGTTGGGAAGATAGTGGGCATTGTTGGGGATCTGCGGCTTTGTTAGTGTTTTGTTTGTGGTTCTGAGGGTCTTCTCTTGGTCCTGGTTGGAATTTGCTTGGAGCGGTCTGCGAGTGAAGCTCGTGGTTGCTGCAATGTACCTAGGTACTTGGATGGATGCACTTACATTTCGGGCTACCGCCACTGATGCCAAATAGTAGATTCCAAGGGCGGTGGGATGTAAAGAAGATGGGAACCATCAAGAGAAAGTCAATTGAAGGAGTAATCGTCAGGGGATCTTCAGGTCGATGGGCGCTGACGTATGCGTCTTTACTGACACTCGACACCGCCCCCTGTTATCGCATCTTATCGGGACATCGAACAGGCCAGAACCTGCACTACTTGCAATTCCTTACAGTATGAGGATGATGTACTCGTGATTGGCATGCTGCAATGGAGTTATCTAGTGCACTACGGCCTCTCGATGAATCACTTCTCCGCGAACTCCCCCAACTCTCTCTCCGTATCGCCCCTCTACGAGAACCGGTTTCCTCGCGAACCCTAAGCGTCCCATCACCTCTCGAACCAAATGCCAGTGGAGCACGAGAGAATAATATATCCAAAGGGAACAAGAGCAATGGGACTGTCCCTGCAAACGCCAAATCAGGTCTACCAACGGTGACAGAATTCCTCAATGCTGCGCGGACCAAGAAGACCGAACTTTCCGCCGATTCACAGTCAAATGTCGAGCGATTGCCGAGACCGATCCTCCCCGCATTCGTGAACCTACGTGCTCTTGAAAAATTTCCATTTTCATCTTCTTTCGATGATGATGCGCTTCAAGGCCCCCGCAAGCGTAGGCGGTTAGATCTCCAGGCTGATTCGTTCAGCGAGCATCTACAGCTGCCCATCCCACAGGCCCAAAAAGAGCAACGGCCTCCTCCATTTGGGCCTTTTGCTATCTTGAATGGATTGAATGAGCCACCGCCTAATGCTGCTCTTCTTCCACCTATCGAGGCTGGGTCTAGTATCTCCCAGCTTTTGAACAAGCCCTCAGGACGTGATACTGCCATTGACCCAGGAGCGTCGGTCTCTGCTCAGGGTGTCGCGGCAGATGGACAGCCCGTGGAGAGACGGGATGCGAGACTGGAGGAGATCCTAAGCACCTCGCTCAACGACGACGAAGACAATGATCATAACGATAATGACAACAATACTGAAACTACTAATACTTTGGATACGAACGAAATTGATCCAGCAATCCGTGATGCAACCCTTCCTAAGAGCAAGGCCTTACATCTTGCACCTACAGAGAAAACACCCATCTCCCCCAAAACACGTGGTCGGTCTCGTAAGAACCTGAGGATGTGGACCGAGGAAGAGACGGCTGCTCTTCTTCGGGGTGTGGTCAAATGTGGGATTGGCAACTGGACTGCTATCCTGGCTCAGCCGGAACTGGAGTTTAATCAGAGGTCTGCTTCCAATTTGAAAGACAGGTATGTATGTGGTCTATGGACATCTGTTCTTAGGCTAATCATTCACCATCCTAAAGATTCCGAGTGTTATGTCCATGGGCGTACCGGTGAGTGATTCAAAGTCAACCACACAAGGCCAATGAAATCAAATGCTGACTCTTGCTTAGTGCGTCCGACCCCAATGAAGCTGCAAAACAAATATACGATACCCTCACCAATGCCTTACTTAAATCCAACGACGCTTCAGATGCAACACCTGGCCAAATCTACCTCCCTCACCCAAATCCTCTAACCCAAGGGTCTGAACCGACCTCCAGCGCCGGAAACCCAGCATGCAAACCACACAAGTCCTCAACCCCAAGCACCCTCTCACCCACACCCGATACAGACACTGGAAACAGCAGCAACGCTCAATCAAAACCACCCTCACCAGAGAAGAGCACCCCAGCACTCTCAAACAAATCCCGTTCAACTCTCGCATCTCTCGGCATCCCAGAACCGCACGTAACAAAATCCAAACGACGCTGTCGGCGCCCCTTCACCCCGGCTGAAGATGAAGCCCTACTGAAAGGCTACGCAGTCCACGGATTCCAGTGGACACTAATCCAGCAAGATGCAAGACTAAGCCTAAGCCACCGCAAAGCAACCGACCTCCGCGACAGATTCAGAACAAAATTCCCAGACGCTTATCGCGATGGCGGTTCCGTGAGCGGCAAGAAACTCACCAACCAAAGCCCGAGTCTGGGTCCGGTTTCAGGTCAGAACTCGCCGGCTGGAGGGTCAACGCCCCGACCACATGCTGCCAATACTCGCGAACAAACTCCAACGAAGGCTAATGCGGTAACGCCGAATCTCGCTCCGCGCCATTTGTCGTCTAGGAGTCGTCATGCTGCTACCCCTTCTCAGTCTAATATTGGTCCTATGGATTCTGCTTTCTTGCCTCCGCCTCCTCAGGGATTTTTGGAGCATTCCCTGAGTCTTCCGCCTGCTGGGGGTGGTGGGCTTTCGTTCTCTTTGGATGAGGGTTCTGGGGCGGGTACTTCTTCGGGTGTTGAGACGCCGTGGGAGGATAATACGCTTGCTCCTATGAATTGGGATGAATTGACTTGAAGGAAAACATGCTTTGATGCGTTGATATCGTGCGCATCCTTGTGATATTTTGTTTCTATATTTGTTCTGTATTCTGGGAGTTTGGTGGAGGATCTCTTCTTTCTTGCCTATCCTGCTCTTCTTTTTGTTCCTGGCCTTGTTTTATCCTTAACTTATATCCCACGGTACACCATGTTTTTCTACAACTTCTATCAATCAAAAGTCTTGTTTTTACTTTCCCGACGCATCTAATAGCCCACCATTGACGAGTCTAAGAGTTCGAAATTAAGAGGGTAGGGATGTACGTGGTGATATTCATAAGGAGACTGACTCGCTCTCAATATGCACAAGATCGAACAAGAAAGCTGGCGGAAGGAGACGATAAATAGAAAACTTGCGAAGCGAGACATAGCAGAAACCAGGAAAAGCGCCCCTCCAACCAGTGCAACGAAGAAGCGGCAAATTCAGATATCGAATGAGCATAACAAAACCAGGGAATGACCATCACATAGCATACAACTGCCCGTGCACATTTTCAATTGCAGGTGCCGAAGGAAGTCTGTCGTCGAACGACAGGGGCGAGAGCAAGAGGAAGGGGTAGATAAAGGAAACAAGAACAGGGAGGAAAGAAAGCACGCTTCTCATTAACCAGGAAAAAGAATATCAACGCTATCGTAATCTACCACGCATTGCGGTCCCAGTTGGGGTCTATAATATCGAATTAGCATGGTTCTAGCGCCACTAACGGCTCGAGCAGGCAGTTTAACACTCACCCTGGATAAAGCTAGCCAGAACCTTACTGCCCGTCTGCAGGAGAGGGTGCCCAGCAACAATCTGCAAAAAGCGCTGGAGACCCTCGCGGCGGTGCTCGATCACATCGTCGCTGAAACGGTTGGTGAAGACCTTGCCGGGCAGTGGGGGTATCGTGACTCGTGTACTTTCGCGCTCGAGGATATCGCGGAAGTACTCGAAGTCGGAGTACCGGCGGCGAACCACGGAATGTTTCAGTTTGAAAGCGGGGATGTTGGTTCTGCACACGATCTCGTACGAAGTGTACATATTGCGGGAGGTGCCATGGGTTTGGGGATTGCGGACCTATTTATTTTGGTCAGTCTTTTTGATCAGGGTGTGTACGTTGTTCGTGCAAAAGGAGTTGTATAGGGGATGGTTAGCGAAGAGATGTGGGCACATGACCTCAAGGAGATCGGGGCGGACGAGTGATTCGGGGATGTGGGATAGCGATTATTTACGGAGCGACTCACTTCGATCTCGAGGAAATTCTCGGGAGGCCCGTAGATCTCCTCGAAGGACTGCTGTCGGGACTCGGGGACGGACTGCATCGTGGTGGGGTTGGGTTGCGGAGGGGAAGTTAGGAAAACGCGGGCCGGTAGCTATTTGGATCGGGGCCAGATGGTCGGATGTTGCTTGATGTAAATTATGGGATTGCAGAGCTCAATGTGATTCTCTCGAACTCAGCACCATAGAGGAGAAAGCAGTTCAAGGGAACTTGGAGACGCATATCAGTGGGGTTCGGTAAATGATTGATCCGTTGACCTTATCTTCTATCTTGATGGTTGTTTTCTACAGCCCTATACTTCCCCTTCTGGTTTTCTGACTGTATAGACCAGCCTCAAAGATATTTGCTTTTTACAAAGGCAAACAATTAGCCAAAATTTATATTTCTTTACATCTGTTAAGAAAACCCGAAAAACAAAGCCTCTGTTGAGTCTAGCAGCAATTGTGAAATGGTCCCTAGGTCAGTGTCGCAACATTTGTATACAGAAGAATTCGAAAGGTTCCAATTTGGACATATCAGAGGTACTAGCACCGCCTTCCAGACTCTCACCGACATAGAGTTTACTACCATCACCAGCCCGGCAAAGCCGCAGTGCATGCATGTTATGCACATGCAAGATTGAAAACGCAGCTATTCACAAAGCCTGATTGATCCCACCTTCAGAAATTTAGGTCCTTTTTGCCCAAAAAAACATCTTCGGTGCGAGTTATTCTGAATGTCAACCCAGAAGACAATCTGAAGGCCTCTTCAAAACTGTAGTACGAAACATGATATTTAGGCTAGGTTGATACAAGTGGTACAACAGGGCCATAGATGGGTATACAGTGCCCCTCACGAAGTATTGGACAGACTTTATACAAAATCCACGAGCCTTGAATCGAGTATACTGTCTGATGCTTTTTTTTCTTGCTTTTCGCTATATGTTTGCCTACCTTTGAGTACTCGACGTCTCTCTTTCTCTCTTTGTTTCTTTCCTTTTTGCCTCTATCAATAATGTTATAGAGTGGTACTAAGCTTCTGTTTATCGCCTAATATCCAGCTGCTCTTTCTTACTTGTATATGTAGATGCCCTCCCCAATTGAACAATATATAGACATGTAATAAGCATTGAACGTATGTACTTCCTCGGAGTTAGTCGGAGATAAAACGGCAAACCGATAAACCGATGACATAACGCCCAAGCGGCGGTGACCTCGGAACCTCCATTATCGATAAGGCCCCCAAGGTCTCTCCATCCTCCACATCCACAATGAGCTCACGCGAGAGAGATTCTCCGAGCGAGTCAGAGGGTATTTGGCATCCTGCCCGTGAATGGCTCGAAGAAGATGAGCTGGACACCGACTTCCACCCCGCACTAGAAACGTCAGAGGATGACGAATGGGAAGACGACATGCCAAATGAGGACGAAGAACTGAACCTTGGAGATGCAGATGGTAATATTGATAACACTCTGGATTAAGGACACCTAATGGCTAATATTTGCAATTTGGTAGACCCCCCTCACATCAATATCGGAAACATACAGATCGAGCTTACAGCAGACGATGCTGGGGGCGGGGGACCGGGGGACCCAAATGGAGGACATACGAGAAGTATTTAATGCTAGAAAGCCATACAAACACACTGGAAGACTTGCTGATTATTTACAGTCCCAGCTTCACGACTATTCGAGTTACTTGCGTCCAGCGGTTTACAAGACATTCTCAGTTCTAATGGTTGGCCTGTCCCATTAGAGGATCAAGAGCAACTGGAGATGGAAATGGAAGAAGAGGAGGATAGCGATGAGGATTATGTGCCCATATTCCGAAACCGCCTTAGGGCGAGACGGCTCGGACAACCGGCGAAACTCCCCCAGTTCCCAATCCAGAGGGCGTGAAGCTGATGGGCCAGGGTGATTTCGGAACTAACCAATACTATGTGGATCGGCTTAAGAAGCGCAAGAGGGTGTTGGCAACAAGTTTGATATACCGGGAAATGGGTGTTGATAATCATGGGGTCCAAAAAAGAGCTGACCAATCTATATCCCAGGTAGGTCAAGTACAAACCAAGCGCAGAGGTAGCTGCAAATAACGCTAACAACTTTTGTCCAATAATCTAGGGCTTGATTCCAGGCTCGGCTGCAGACAGAATCATTCACTATGACACGCGAAGTTATTCAGGACAGTTCTCGGACGACGGTAATTTCTTTTTCTGCTGTGCACAAGACTTTAAGGTTCGAATGTACGATACGTCGAATCCATATGATTGGAAATACTACAAAACAGTCGACTATCCATTTGGCCAATGGACAATTACCGATGCGACGTTAAGCCCCGACAACCGATTCCTTGTCTACAGTTCTATACGAAGCCAAGCATATATGGCCACAACAGACCCCGAGGATAACTCGGATCCCAGTGTTCTGGACTTCTCAACATTACCGGGCCAAGGGAGGCGACGGGGCTTTGGTACTTCACACTTTGGGGTATGTTCTGCGCTGATGCATTCCCTTGGACTTCAATCTGACAAATTCTGGATAGATATGGTCTCTTCGATTCTCTGGAGATGGACGTGAGGTTGTCGCTGGTACGTCAGAAGACTCGGTCATCGTTTATGATTTGGAAACGAAACAGCCTGTTTTAAACCTGCGAGACCGACATCAACATCATGTCAACGCTGTTTGCTACGGTGATACCTCATCACCCCATATTCTGTATTCGGGATCTGATGACACCACCCTCCGAGTTTGGGATCGACGATCAATGGGCGATGGCCGCGAAGCCGGTGCCTTCATGGGCCACACAGAAGGATTGACTTATGTCGACAGCAAAGGCGATGGCCGATATGTTTTGTCCAACAGCAAAGACCAAACAATGAAGCTATGGGATCTGCGGAAGATGATGACATCCGCTGATATCGAGAACATCGATCCGGCGGAGTACACTACCGGATTCGACTACCGATTCGAGCCATACCCAAACGCTTACCGCACAAACGCCAAAAACGACTGCTCGGTCGTGACGTTCCAAGGCCACCGCGTGCTCAAGACCTTGATCCGCTGTCATTTCTCCCCACCTGGTAGCACAAATTCGCGCTATGTGTACAGTGGTAGCGAGGATGGCAAGGTTTATGTGTACAATATGGATGCTACACTTGCCGGAACGATTAATGTTGGCCAAGCGACTCTCAACTCACGACCACGTGAGCCAGATGCGTATGCCACAGCGTATGAAATGAGTGGGGAGATGCTCTGGCGGACTTGCGTTCGAGATGCGAGCTGGCATCCCGACGCGCCAGTTTTAGCAGGTAAAAATAAACTGGAAAACTCGATTGATAATACCCATCGCTAACCTCGATTGTGCAATAGCGACTTCTTGGAATGGCTGGGGCTTGTCGACTGGCACGTGTACCGTGCATTCCTGGAATGCCGGTGCTGCTGACGACGAAGGTGATCCTCCAGTGGGCAAAAGCTACGACGATAAGTTGCGATATATCCCCGAGTTTAATGATTACCGAGAAAACACTGCGTCGAGGCATTCCCGGCGTCCGTTGCGCAGCCGGCCTGTCCGCCGTTGGGAACTTCACGAGGAAGGTGAGGAAGATATATGGTGACATGGGATGGGGTGGGTGGCTGTGCTTTATCGTTTTGTCAGTACAGTAAAAGCAACTCGACCGTGCTTTTGGTACTGCTTAGTCTATTCTGTTGTTGCATGCTCCGTACATTTACATTGTCCATTTTCTCTCAGCATTCGGTCTCAGGAATAATGATTATGATGAATGCAATACATGTCGTTTTCAGTTGACAAATCCTGGCAATTGAGCTGTCTTAAGCTAACTAGGACCCATATATCGGATACTAGGGATTTCGATACCATTGAAAAGCGTCTGATTATGCTGTTAGACGTGCGTTTTGTTTCGGGTATCGCATTTATAAAAAATAACGCCCGAAGACAACACAGATTCAAAGTAGGAGAAGCGGGATAATTTCAAGGGTGTTAATTAAGTATCCAAACAAGGACCCCTATCGGTACAAAAGCGTAAACGGTGGTATCTCATGGATAGCGATCACACCGTCCTCCGATCGCATCTCCAAATAAAAAGCGCCAAGTGGCAAGGATGCCACGTAAATTCAAGAATATCACAAGAGGGAAGTAAATCGGACTGAGACGAGACTAAGAACATGTCATCGGCGTGGAAAGCTGTGGGGTGTTTGTTGTAATTTCGCGATGTGCTTTAAGTTTGTCATTTCGTGCGATCGATATTCTCCGTATTTCGGCTGTAATGTAGATAAGCCCGTTTGTAGGAACTCGATCTTATCATCGTTGTCGCCTCGCAGTGGCCATTGAGAACATCATCGCCGTGGTGGCTGTCCAATACCAGCCGCATCCCGAGCGTACTGCCGCAACCGGTCAGTAAATAGCCTATAATTTTGGGAAGCAAACTTACCCTCGTCGTCGCCCCTCTCATTCAAAGTTCTTTTCCGCCAACAACAATCGCCCACCCCGCCGACACACTCCGCCCACACATTGCGCCAACAATCGCCCGCTCCGAGGGAATCACCAATGAGATGCGGGCAGTCCCAGTCCTGTCGACACACCCTCCTGGGATATAGGCCCTCGGCCTCTTCGGTCCGGTTGCTCGCTTATGCGCCGCCAACCAGCACTTGGTTGACAGGAATGTGAACTATGACGATCATGTTAATACGCAATATTTGAAAGCCGCAAGCGCGACCTTTTAACCAACAATGGAGCACGAACTCAGCTTGACGAAGTACCCAATGGCTCCCTAATGGCCAATGTCAGTCATATTGCACGAAACGCGATCCAGGAATAGCCACAATGGCTCATACCATAACGAGGAAGCCCATGCCAACTGCCTGACTGATCTTGATGAATTCACGCTTATCGGCTGTCAAGAGTGTCAGCAAGTATCTTGCGGTGGACGGAGGATCGACATACGCTTGGTGCAGCGGCGGACAAATTGGGAACCCTCCCGGACAAAGTCCTTGGGGATATCAGCAAGTTCTTGGAAAGTCTCAGACATCTTGGACGAAAGTTGAAAGTTGCGGAGAGAGAAAGGAGAAGTGGCCAGAAGGAGAGAACAGGTGGTTTCCCCGGAACCAATTGCGGATTAAGTAATGTCCGGCGCGCAGTTAGCTCCAACCTCCAACCTCTCCTTGCAACTCTCAGATCGTCTTTTGAGGACGACACAGGCCGGCGTCTTCTAGATTCAGACGGAATTCCGCGGAACATTGACATTTTTTAACGTTCTCACTTCCCACCCTGTCATCCTCCTCCACCCTTCTCTACTTCCTTTCTTCCGCCACCCACCTCAACACTCTTTGCACCTCTCCCATCTTCCCTACACCTTTCCCAAGCGATTGACCACGGTTGAAAGCGATTGACCGCGATTGAAAGCGATTGACTGCGATTGCCCTTCACTTCGTGCCTTTCCATCCCTCTGCGCTTTTCTCACTGCTCGCTTTTATCCCGTGATTCGTCGCCTGCCTGTGGCAGCTTCACGTCTCTTTATCGTTTCATTTCATTTCTCCTGTATTCCGGACAGCACGGAACACATCTTTGTACGTGGCTTTCGCAGCTGCGCGCATTCTCTTGTCTCAGAAGCCTCCAATCGCTTCGAATGTACGTATTGACTGGCCTTCTTTCCGCATGTCGCTTCCTGTGTCTTCTCGAGGGCTTTCTGGCCACTGCCTTCCATCTGTTCTTTTTGCGAGACCGGAGCTGAATCCGCGCTTTTTCATATGGATTCATCGCCACCTGGGGGCCCTACTCTGACCGCGATGATCCTTCATGTTTTTCTTCTTTCCTTGCTAATTGGTGTCGTGTGTCTGCAGACGTGCATTTCCTTGATTTTCGAAGAACAGCCTGTATTATCGAACATCAGATAACAGGCAAATCGAATACTTTTCTCAAGATTCAATTCGCTTCGGTGATCGCTGATCTAGATCATCATGGCCACCGAAGATGATAACTTCGACATTGACATCTATGGAGATGGTAGCGGTTCCAACGAGCCTGCTGAGTTCAAGCATGAAGATTCCGATCTTGTGCTCGATGCCCCGGAGAATCTTCCTCAGGCTAACCTCCAGCAAAATCGGACCCAGAACGACGTCCAGGCTGACCACCCACCTGTTCAGACCCAGCCTGCCTCGGACAATGGCAACCAGGCAGGACCTCAGCAATCCCAGCACACTCTTCCCGCGCCTCCTCAGGGAACCAAGCGCAAGGACTATGACGGTCGCTCAACCGATCCTGCGGCTACGACTGCGCTTCTGATCTCGGACATGTCGTGGTGGACCACCGACGATGATATCCGGGGCTGGGTGAACCGAGCTGGTGCCGAGCAGGAGCTAAAGGATGTGACCTTCAGCGAACATAAGGTCAACGGCAAGAGCAAAGGGTAGCACCACCTAAAATCAGATGAAAACTACACAATTTCGAAGAATCGGACTAATCCTTTCGAATACAGACAAGCCTTTGTCGAGTTCACTACCCCGCAGGCAGCCACTGCAACAAAGCACAGCATTGACAGCGATGCTACACTCAAGCTTCCCGTGCAGTACACGAGCCCACACTCGAACCCATTCCGCACCCTGCCTAAGGATGCTCCCATGCGCAATGACCGCGGTCGGGGAGGCGGCTTCAATGCCGGGGGCGGTGGAAACTTCCACCACAATATGGGTAGCAACAACTACCGTGGCCGCGGCAATTACAACAATCGTGGTGTGGGTGGCATGAACAACAACTTCAGCAACCGTGGCGGTGGTTTCGGACATATGAATAACTTCGCTCCCAACATGATGGGCCCCGGCACTTTCCCAACTGGCCCCATGGGCATGCAAAACTATGGCTACAACAACCGCGGCAGTATGATGGGCAACCCTATGCGCGGCGGTCCCGGTGCTATGCGTGGTAGTCGCGGAGGAAACATGGGTGGCCCCGGTATGATGGGAATGCCTGGAATGAGCCCCATGGGTGGAATGCCCATGAACCCCATGGGAGGTATGAACCCCATGATGGGAAACATGGGAAACAATATGGGGATGCAGGGTGGTAAGTCACGGCTAATTTCCTCGAACGATTTTCAGATTCTAATCTTTTTCGTCTGATAGGCCAGGGCTTCCAGGGCCCCAACCCTAACTTCAACCAGGGGAGCAACTATTTCAACCCCAACCAGAGCAACCAGAACAGCGGCAACAACAACAACCAGGGCGGCAGCAGCAACCAGGGAGGTGCCTCCGAAGGCCCCTGGAACCCCCATGGCAACAAGCGCAGCCGTCAGGACTAGGCCGTCTGCTTGAGGGCGTTAATTCCCCGACATGCTACACGTGAGGTGTAATCGGGGTGGTGGTGTGATCTCATGACATTATTTTCTCTGCTGTTCTTCGCTTTTTTTTTTTTTGAAGCGGAGAGACGGGAATCAGGCGTACTGGCTCTGCAATGGGTTTTCGAGTCTCTTATCTCCCTCTTCGTTTGTATGGTGTATTAGGACCAATATCTAGGGAGCATTCTTTTTCTTTGTGCTTTATTTTCATCTGACTTTTTGTATGTGCTACCCGCTTTTAACTAAGCGGAAAGTACGAGCTATCTCAGCTTAACGATCTCTCTAGGGGTCCCTTAACGATACTTTTAACGAAGCGGTACATACTTCCGTTAAGGGTTTTTGTTAGTGTAATCTAGTGTGTGATAAATTCGGAGTATCTGTTCCGTATACGTTATTTAATTATTACATTTTGTATGTGCTATCCGCTTTTAACTAAGCGGAAAGTACGAGCTATCTCAGCTCGACGATCTCTTAGGGGTCCCTTAACGATACTTTCAACAAAGTGGTATATACTTCCGTTAAGGGTAACTTATTTGTTAGTGTAATCTAGGTGACGGTAAAACTGCCGCCCTGAGCGGCTCACGAGCGACCCTGAGCAGCTCACTGAGCAGCTCACTAAGCAGCCTGATCGCTCACCCTAAGGCTTAGGCTGATCGGCCTATTCAATCTCATCTTGCCTCTCTATCCTTTCAAATGCTCTGGTAATAACCGCACTGTTGCCTACTGGTTCCTAGGAGCGTGAGCTAGGAAATGGCGCGTTCTCGCGCTGCTATAGCAACTTCCTTCCAATCTTTGAACTTATAGTTGGGGTTGGTCGACTCAACTAGTTTTTAACTTGTGTGAGAGATTGAACATCCTATCATACCTACAATTTACTGTAACATCCGCTCTTTCCTTTACAATGTAGGCTCTATTCCTCGGTCTATATAACAAGCCCGAACATAAAATCCCTTATTCACCTGATTCTCTATATCCGGGAGCTGGCTTGTTCCTAGGACTATCGTACACTACTACAATCGGGCAATGGCTCTCGCGTGCCTTACTATTGGCCTCGAATATATTCACGCACCGTGCTACGTAAAGTGGAGAACTAAGTCATCGGCCTTGGCCGAAGAAGGTCGCTAAATGGCCTATATCATACTAGTGCTCCTAGGATCACGTCCTCTCTAGTCGATCCACCATAAGGTGGAACCGCTTTTGATTAGCCATAGTAAGGGGTCATGAAGTTGCACTGATAACGTATGTGGTCTCGTTTTTCATTTTGTGTTAACGATAGAGCCGAAAACTGCGACGATCCTCTTACATTATGCTTCATAATGTAATAGGCGTAAAGAAGCATTGAGGCCTGAAATATAAATAGTCCTAAGGATACCTTCTTCCTACATTTTCTTATATATCCTCTCAAATCTAGTCTCGCTATCTAGATATCCTTGCTTTCAGTATGGTCACACTAAATCATCAGAACTTCTAGTAGCCACTAAGAACGAAGTCCCCGTAAAGGTCCTCTTCGATTTGTTCCATAATCTGGCATGATAGTGGAATTTGGCGGATTACTTACATCCTGACCCTTGGCATACCGAGTGAGGATCTGATATTCATATTTATATTCCGCGATCATCATCATTTACTTATCAGAGGGTTCGCCATGAGCGCTAAAGAATTCCTCGCTGACGTCGAAGGCGGCGTGGTGCCGGTGGACTGCCACGAGAAAGTGCTGCGGATAGCATTCATCTATATGGGCGAGGGGCTGTGGCTCGACAGCGGCGTCTTTGATGTTGTCGAGAAGCTGCACGCGCGTGGATTGTCGTTCGGCGAGGGCGAGTTGAGGTTTAATCGGTAAGTTCCAGGGCTAAGATCCCCTGGGCAATAGCACTGTACGAGTACAAAGACTGATAGATCGCAGCACCCTGGATATATTCTACCTCGCCCAGCTCTCAGCGGCCATCTACCGCTCCACCGACCAGCTTGAGGGTGACTTCCCCTCCCCTGATGATTTCCAGTCCTTCTACACCACACACCACGCACTCCTCCACTCCTCCGCATGGCGCTCTTATTACTCTACTGCCTTCCTTACCCAGCGCACCACAGCGCGCTTCTACCGCCTGCCTGACCTCCAAGACCTACCTGACTCTGACTCCCCGCTGGGGCTGCCGCGCCAGCGACCCCCGCACACGCCACGAAGCTCCCACGCTGGGCCCACAGCGTCGCGCGCACACGCCGCAGGCAGCCCTCCCTCCCGTTCGCGACTCTCACTGGATTAGCCCTCAGCACGCTTGAGACGACCATCACGCGCCTGCGCACGGCCCACACCAGCGTGCCGCCCTACTCGGAGACGCAAGCGCGCTTCTGGCTTGAGTACATGGGGCTCGGTTCCCCTGGCCGATCTGGCTCAGCCAAGGCAGTTTCCCGGGAAGCGTGGGAGCCGAACATCTTCGGGATACTGGTCGCGCAGGGAGCGTATGATGTGTACGCGTGGGAAGCAAAGTACTCGGCGCAGCTGTGGGAGGCGAGTGCGGCGAGGATGGAGGTTGCTGAGCCGGACGTGGACGGCGTGTGGAAGAGTGAGGTGATGTGGTGTGGGTGGCCGGATGGTGGGGTGGGGTCGCAGGCATGGTGTACGGGTTGGGAAGGAGAGGTTGGGAGTGAGGAGGAGGTAGAGTTTTTGGCTGCTGTTGCAGTGGAGGAGACGGTGGGGGTGAAGGCGGAGGTGGGTGAGTTGGACTTTGCAGTACGCTCGCATATGTTGCTTGGGGTGATGCGGGCTACGGTTAAGCGGGGGCGGGAGAGGGATGTTTTTCTGGAGGAACTGGAGAGGGAGATGGTAAGGACAGGGAGGATTGAGGAGGGGAGGGCAGGGAGGTGGCTGAGGGAGGTCTTGGGGGTCGTGGAGCCATATGTGAGGATATGGGAGGGTGTGTGGCCTGCTACAGAGGTGGAGAGGGGGAGGTGCTACGGCGGATGTTGCTGGAGAATGGGCAGCTCTTTGCAAGGTGGAAGCTTTCGCCAGTTTTGAAGGAGTTCAGTTTTGCGCTGGGTCCGAGGGAGTAGGAGTGGCAGGCATGCGTCTATTCAGATATTCAGGTCAATGCTGACGACTGTGCTAGACTGAGGTTGTCTATTTTGGTATGTCTATGGCGCAGGTGGTGTGAGTAACTCAAGGGAATACACGTTTTTTGAACCCACTAAGAACCGCCAGAATCAACGTGTAAAAATAGCATAATCGTTACTAGTGAAGTGTCTGCAGGTGTGTGACCGAGATACCTACCCTAACTCTCAAACAACGCGCAGCCTTAATCTTCGAAACCGCAAATACTATCTCCACCGAACTATCCAAAGCAGGACAAGGCGAACCCTCTTTCGAGCATGGCCTGCCAACTCCGCTTCACAACAACGCACCCGACTCCGAAGCAAAGGAGCTAAAGCAACAGCTTCTTCAAATGGCAGAAGAACTTAGAGCGCTTCTCTCGGAACCGTCTACCCATCTTGCACCTTTAGGGGTACGCATTTTGTTTCGCGTCACATTTCCTTCGCTATGTATATACTTACTTGCTGATGTATGGTTTAGCGCCTTCCATACAGCGTGCACCCAATTGTTCGTCCTGGTATTGCAGAGTCTTTCCCGGAAATCGAAGCGGCGGTGTCGGAGTTAAGCCTTCAGAACAGCTTCAAACCCGGCGCGAGCCCATGATAGCTTGGCCTTTGTCGACGAGTCAAGGGAAAAATGGCAAGTTGTCCAGGCACGCTTGACTTCGTCCGCTGTTGCAAGTTTGTCGTATGGTTCATTCGAGATGTTTTGGTGCTCCTCAAAAACCTCAACCCTTCCAAAGTGGATGGTAAGTGGGCTGAGGTATAAAAGCGGTCATGGTCAACACTTCCAACCTCGGCCCTTGCGTGCAGTCAAATCGCTGGGTTCGGCAGGATTATCTCGGTGGCAGCTAAGTGGCAGGCAGCAGAGCTTTCATTTCCAAGATACTCCGGTTTGGGAAATGGAAAATACAGTATAATGGTCACTAGTATAGTCACGGTTCTAGCTTGAATCTTTCTGGAATATAATTTTTCAACGCGTAAAATGCACAGCTTAGATACCCAGCTACCTGGCAATGCCTGAAACAGGAGTGTGGGCTTCAAGAGTTTAACACGGGTATAACTTAACGTTATGATGTTCTGATTCGAGCTTTATTCCTAAGGTGTCAATGAGGCTCCGGCGATGCAGTTTGATTGGCAGCGTAATAAAATAGGAAACCTGGAATAACATGCAGTCTCCTACATGGTACAATTGAGCCTAGGTTTTAAAAATTCTAAGCCAAAACTATTTCTCACACTTAATATCGGCGAAAGGGCATTTCTAGCCAAGTGGACCTTAAGCCGTACCTTTGTTGAGGCTATGTATGCTTAATGCTCAACAATGACAATAGGATACATGGCTGAGTAATCCTCCCCTTCCTGCGAATACGTAGCCAGGCAGTGCAATCAAGGTGAGGCATATCAAGGTTATACTAGGCGCATGGGTCATGCAGTGGCAGTGTTGTCCCCATTGAGCCGCTTTTTGGATTCTTGGTCTAGAATCAAGGCTGGGCAGAGCAAACAGTGTGTAACGTAAATAACATTCATTGTGGGTCCAATCTTGTGTGTAGTTCATGAAATGTAATGTGTACAGTAAGCCTCCCATAAACGCATGACGACATGTATGATTTTGTTGGTTTTCTGGATCTCAATCGCGAGTATACACACTTGTACAGTCTTAATATCCCTAAGTCATTGACGTTAGTAAGACCTGCTTGGAAGGGAAGCAGGTAGGAGAGGGACTTGCCTGAACCCATACCAATGGTGTTGTTAGTAACAGACACGAAATAAGTACAGGGAGGGTTTAATGTTTAGTACAACGAGAAAATGCCAAAGAAGAATACAAGGAAAAGAGAACCATTCAAGGGATAAAAGGGATAGGGCATTGAAGCCATGGGTGAGTACAGCGATGATAGAATGATCATAATAACACCAAGAATAAATTAGTCCCCATGACGCCACATTCGAGCCGGCATAGCATAATTTCAGGCCATCCAGTCAAAGGCCGGAGAGAGCGAGAATGCTGAAAGGCGAGAAAAAAGTGGTGATGTTTATAGATCAGGTTCTAGCACAGTAAAATGCTGCGACAAGAACCAAACCCGTGACATGAAAGGCATAGGGTATAAGAAATAGAAAATCTGCGAGAAAGAATAAAGGGTGATAAAGAGATCGTGAGAAGGATGTATGAATCGCATAGCGCCACATTCTAGCCAACGTGACGAACTTCTCAGCTAGTGCCTCAAATAAGGACCAGTCGAAGGGTGGTGAGAGGCAAGAAAAAAGAGTCGTGATGTTCATAGAGCGATTGGTGGTGCAGCAAGACAAAGACGGGATCCGGATGACCAAGCGAAGACACTCATCCTGCTCAGGATTTACCAGGACATCTTGAACTTGTACATAAACTTGTACATGATGTAGAGGGAAACAAAGTCGAGTATGCAACCCGGATCGGAGTCAAACATATCTGCGCACATATTGGCATCTATGCCGCGGGCCCACTGAGATAGATTGGCAATGATCCAACCAATATCAACGCTGAAAGTCCAGTCTTGCACTTCTTCTCCACACTGTATCAGTGGCGCAGACTGAGAGCCAGAGACTGGTGTAGGAGAAATATCACAGGCCGAGTCGGTGTCAGAGCCAGCGTTGTAGCCCTCATCGGAAGCGGCTCTAGACTGAATAGACAATCTTCTCTTTGTCTTCTTTGATCTCATCTCAGCGACCTTTGAGCGAATTCGGAATAACCTTACAAAGACTTGAACTCCAGTGCGGAGAGAATGGCTAGCTTGCGGGCTATCTGGAGACATCTTGAATGTCATTTCGACACGCTCGAGGGGAGACAGTTTGGCACCGGCATGGGCTCGATACTGCACAGGTGGGGTTCTGACACAAGGGCAATTGCATTGCAATGAAGGCTCGGCAGACTTGCGAGCGGCTGGTGGCTCCCTGATCTTGGGTACGATATCTGACAATGAGGCAGAAAGAGGACCAGTTGGGGCTTCTGAGATGGCTCCTTCGTGTTGGACTTTGGGGAGGGGGCCAATGAATGAATCAAGCCCAATCTTTTGAAACAATTTAGAGTCACATTCGAAGACAGATGGCTCTTGCACTTTGCTGCTAAGATCTCTTAGCGGTGTGGGCTCGTGGACAATCATCGCCACCCTAATGAGAGGGTCTTGAAAGTGAGAATTGGAGTCAAAAAAGTCCCTCTCACTTGGAAAGGATTGCATCTGTGTTTGGTATTCATGATATTGCATTCCCGGGTTAAAAAGGTACTGCAGCATCTGTGTATCTTGGCCTTGTCCAAAGGATGAAACAGGGGTGGAGTCATAGTAATTTGGGTCCAACTCAATGAATGTAGGTGCTTGAGGTTGGGAACTGTGGCCAGGCACTTGCGAAGGGGCTTGAATCTGGATACCTCCTGCAGAATCTTCAGAGCACTTGTGACAGCCACGAATAGGATCCATGAGCTGGCAGCATTGCTTACACTTGGCGAGATCATGGTCACACCGTGTGCATTTTCTGAAGCTGGATGGCTTTTGATCCTTTGGTTGTTTCTCTTTGCTTGAGCGCTTACGCTTGGTAGATTGATCTGCTGCTTGCGATGATCCTGGGTCCTGGAGAGGCTCGTTGGATTGTCGGTTGACTCCCGCTGAGAAGGATCTCCTTGAATTGAATGGGGCAGCAAAATGGTCTCCGGTGACAAAGTTGCTTTCATCGCGGTGGTCTACACTCAGCTGGTCATCCCGGAGTGAGTATGATGGACGAGTGTTGTTTTGAAGCCACATGGGATTTCCAAAAGAGTGTGAGTTAGGATAGCGGTGATTTCCAGTTTGGTTATGTTGTCCCGCTAAGCTGCTGGGGCCAGCTGCAGAAGAGACACGGCCAGGGCCATTCGCGCTCCCACCGTTCCCGCTGATATCTGAATCCCGACGATTCGAATCAGCACTGATTGAAGGGCCGCCGGAGCCACGACGAATGGTACTGTGCCCCCGGAAATGCTTCCAGAAAGCACCCCAAGAGGACATCTTATCGAGGCAAACGGGGCAGTGCGAGGGGAAGGGGAAATGCACTCGAGTCAAAGGCACTTCAGCCGGACTCATATAGTGTCCGTGAGACAGATAGTGAGACCGTGCTCGGTCCCGTCGATGGGATTTTTTGTCGCACCCTGCTTGAGGGCAGCGGTACTCGCACTCGCGGATCCCATGTATATCGAGATGACGCTTGAATGATCCAAACGTATATCCTGACGTAGACTGACACAGTGGGCACTTGTGCGTTTCTTGTTTACCGGGCTCTCTGGACGCTGTAGTAGAAGGAGGAGGTGGTGGCATGCTTTTAGTGTTGAAAAAGCTCTTGATGATATCAAGGCTTTCAATCCCCTTGGAGAGTTGTTCAAGATTGCACGCGTTGTTGGACACCTGCCCCACCGTAGTTATCACCTGGTGCATGGCATGTTGAAGTGACTGCGGTACTATGGGCATGGAGTCAATGGACTCAGGCATTCCTAGCAAGGGTCGAGGAATAGGCGGCTGGGTAGCCAAAGAGGAATCTGAAGGCTGACCAAAGCTGGTCTCACGGCTGATAGGCAAATCATCCAGCTTTTGTGGGATACCCCCTTCCAGCGGAACATATTTCTCGGCGATGCCTTCCAGCAAACCATAATCTGGCTGTGGAGCAATGGGGCCACGATTAGGATGTATGTTAATCGAGTCTTGGGTCTCTTCAAAGCTCGTCAGGCTCGTTGTTTCCCCGGAGTTGAGGCATGACTCAGAAAAATACGGAACATGATCCTATCCAACGTCAGTCGTCTGTATATTCCCCCATTGTATCAGCACTCACTGGAGCATTGGGTCTGAAAAGTCCCTCGGAGGACGCCAAAGACCCCGGAGGTAGCGGCCACTGGCCAAGGGACGATGCTGGCCCCGCGGTCGTTCCAGACCTTCCCAAATGCTCGTACTCATCATCGCTGTAGAACGCACACATGTTGAACGTGTTATAACTTAGTAAAGAGACTAACAAGAGACCAAGCGTGTGATCTTCAGGCCTGAGGGCAAGAAGTATTCACGAGGGCGGACACCGAGATTAATAAATATTCAGAGAGGGCAGTCCCTCTAGGGGGCTCAGCACAAGTCCACGAATATTTTCCCGGGCAAACCCAGGAAGTGGGATACTTGCTGCTAGATCATCAAATGGTAAATCAGGCCTAAGTGAACGGGCACCGGGACTGGTTATTCAATATATGCAGGGTAAAAATACACTTCTACTGTAAAGTACTTACATGATTTCTGGAAATTATGGATCCCAGTTGCCTCGCGGACTAGGTGTAAGCGGGGCACCCAACAAGGACTTCTCAGGTCTCTATTGGCAAGCGAACGTATTAATCACTTTTTCAGCCAGTCAGTCTTGTCCTGTTTTCTGACTTGCTAAGAGGGAATCATATCGCTACCGCTACAGTAGTTGAGGTATGGAGGAGGTGGGCAGTGCTGGGTCGCTAAGAGTAAAGCTTGGCATTACGTGCCTCGTTTTGGTTTAGATCAGTAACCGTACAGTACGTGGGGAGAGCAATGGATGACTGACATGACGTGGAATACTATGTTTGAAGCGGCCGCGAAATGGAGCCCAAAAGCTACGGTAAAAGTATAAAAAAGCAAAAGAAAAAAAAAAAAAAAATCGATATATGAGAGTACCCACTGTGATCTTAGATCTAGTATCGTGTTGGTCAATAAATCTTCCGGGTTCTGCGATTAAGGTTTTAAAAGTACCGAGGATGTCAACGTTGTTCATGTATTGCTTCTCCAAATCAACGGAAGGTTGGAATATTGTATTATCAGTCAGACGCTTTAAGTATCCGGGACATTGGTATGACCTCGAAGCCTCCATATGACCGGGTCTCACATCAATCAACTACGTTGCTATGAACGATTCACGCAACAAACCGGGTGAGATGGCAACAGGGCGGCGAATTTTGATATTAGGTCAAGAACTCCTACCCAAATCCAAATAGAGTATCTGCGGTACCAGTCCAACGCACGGGCCTTAGTAAATACTTCCGGCGAGCAGGAGAGCAAGAGCCACAGGGGAGGTGCTTATCGGAACAAAGAAGAAACAAATGACATTCAAAAAAAAAAAAAAAAAAAAGTCGAATCATAAGGCACTCAAGAGCGTTGGAAAAAGTGAGGAGGGGAAAGTCTAGGGGGCGCAAAAGCGGAGAGTTGAACATTAAAAGCGATGGCACACATGCTTTGGAACTTCAGTTCCTAACATCCCGGAAAACGAAGCGAGTTCAGGGGATGATAAAGCTATTTGGCTAGGTCAAAGCAACTCAGGGATGTGAAAAAAAACTTCATCACCAGATTACTAGCTGGTAAGGCTCTGTCAGGGCTGCATGAGGGCTTCAGGATAAATGAGCCATGCTCTGTGTATGGAATCCGGTGGCTGATAAACAGACAGAAATTTTATTAAGTTCGGATTTTAGACCTTTTCATTCTAACAGGGAGTTCTTATCTCCAAGCCAATCACCCTGGTTGCACGCCGTACTTGTGTCCTATATTTTCCAGGATCTTGTGATTTCGGGAAACAAAGTAGTAATTCTCGCCACAGGACTTCATCAATCTGGCTTTGCCCGATCACTGGTCCTGATTGCTTAGGGCTTGGTTTGGCTGCTAGTAGACAGCCAAGACTGATTGCATCAGGGGATGCGTAGAACGAACGGCTAAGCTGGGGATTATGTGACGCACATTTGGATACCAGCCATTACGTGTTGATCCCAGTTAAAGTGAAAAGGAAAGGGTAAAAAAATGAAAAATAAACCTTAAATAAAAATTAAGTAACAGTCAAAAGAGAAGCCGAGTGGAGTCCACGGACTCAACTGTTTGGGACGGGGGCGGGTGAGCCGAATCTCAACCATGGGTCCGCGAACTCTGAAGTGCGAAACTCTGAATTGTCCAATTCCCCCGGAAGCGGCGAAGGGTAATTTTCGCCCTCGGCATCTGACGTAGCACGCTACCCGGAGACAAAGGGTGTAATGTACCTTCAATTGCCTTGTCTGGATTTGAGGTATAAATAAAAAGGAACAGAAGAAACTCTCGGAAAAGTACAGATCTTATTTCTCTACTATATATCCTGTATGTCCTGCCGTACCGAAGCTCCTTTCGTATATGGCCGTCCATGCAAAAAGACAAAAGAAATAATAAAATAAGCAAAGGAAAAGAAAAACGCCTAAATGACGATCAACCCAGGCAGGCCCCACCCTCCTCTACTACTAAGATCAGCCCCTGCACAGTAAGTACACGCTCCAGCTGTTCCAGACCAAGAGGTAAAACCAAGCCTATTCGCCACCAAGCTCCTCCCAGACCCATAATAAAGACATTCTAATAACTGTTCCATGATGCAATCTCAATGCACCCCCATGATGAAGGAAAACCTAACCACGTCCTTTGTATTGGAACGTGGAGGGTCTGGCAGCCGACCACGGGTCCGCTGCGGAAGGTGCCTTCGTGTACTGGTCGAGCATATAGGAGCTCTTCTTCTCCTGCTTGTTCTTGGTGAACGCCGATGACTTGGAGCCGTTGTCGCTGCCCGAGTTGCTTTTTCCGGGCTTGCTCGAGGCTTTGCCACCAGGAAAGTCAGACGACGACCTAAGAGAGGAGAAAAAGAGTTAAAGAAAGTTTGATAAGGCTAGGGAATGGGTGGATGTTGGGTAGAGTAATAAGTATGACAACTTGGTTAAGAGATGGTGGTTATCTGAGGCATGGGAATGGCGCGGATATTTGGGACGCTTATTGACGGTAGATGCTTTGACGCGGGTTTACCTTTTGCTCATTTTGGCAGTCGATCGGATTGAGGTGGCGGTGAACACGACCCCAAGCAGCAAGGGGGGAAATGGAATGGTCGAATGACGGACTTAGTAGCCAAGGAAGCTACCTAGGTGCTCAATGACAGATTCGCAGGTCGTGTTAGATCGATGATTGTGCAGGGGGATGCAGAACTAGTCAGGGTATGATCTTGAAGCTCGAAGGATGTGTGCAAAACAAAATCGGGGAACAGGATGGGGAAGATATAAGTAATGGGCATTTTCACGACTTGCTGCCTACGAAGCCCGGGTTAACATTGCAACACCCAGTTTGGGGCTTTGAGATTTGAAATAGAGGGCTTGGACGAGAGGCGACTTAGCGGGTAAAAGGCGCTAAGTGTAGATCATCACAAGGGTGGACAGCAGGTCCTGGTCCTGGTCCCGGACATGTTGTAAGTTGGTAATTATTGGAAATAATTTCGAGAAATCAGTGCGCTGTTGATCCAAGCACTATGGTGAAGAGCCAACAGTTCCTTTCCTATCAAGCATGTATGGAGAGATGCCATCATGGACGAGGAATTGGGACCACCGGGCGCCGTGTGCCCAATACGCCAGTAAACCCTTTCTTTTCCCTACCCTTTTGTTTTCGTGACAAAATACAGTCATGGGTCATCTGGTGAAGAACGGATAGCCGACTTTGGCAGCATAACCGACCAATCCCAGACAAATCGACCTAGGTTGAGTTCTTGGATGAACACAATGTAAATGTAGACGCAGTGGAGTTAACTAGATATGGCTTTTTGACAGTCCCAGTCCCCTGTCGATCTTGCCAAAGATCGGAGAGATTGCGTGCGTATACATGTATGCGCTGGCCGATCGGGTAATCCGGTTACATACTGTACAGGGTGATCCCTGAACGTTCGAACATAGACCATACTGATAATTGAACAAAGGTCGATAGCTATGGAAACTCACACCTGGATGTAAACTAAACCCTAAGACGACCCCTGGTAAGGTAAGCTATCCCCGCTGACCCTGGCTCAATGGTCATCACAGTTGATCGACCTCTGTGTGGCTGAGTTCTCCTCGTTTCCGCCAACGGCTGGCCCTGCATGATTCATGAAACTTTTTTTTTACACACCTTAACAGGTGTGTGTGCTGTGTATGATCACAGCTGAGCCCACCCCGGAGTTACCCAGTTTCACTTTTTTTCGCGAATTTACCGCGGTCTTCAAATCACATCACAGACTAAGCGCATGGGTGCCTAGGCAGATGGGCACCACGAGAGTCTAGAAGTAAGTGAATTTGCGGTGAAGGGGCATATATCCTAGCAAGATCGGTCACGCTCACGAAGGGTTGATAGGGCCCAACGATCTAGACACTGGGTTACTCCACTGTCTGGGCTACTCCACTGAGCTAGTACAGTGGGGATACATCTTACAATCATAGATCGTCATCGGAGTCTAGAGTTCGTGGAAGTCGTTTGTGAGCTAAGAGATTGCACTAAGAGTTTCAGGATTGAGATCGTGTCTGGACTCGGGTAGTTCCTTGCATGTAGCCGGCCACGTTAAGCTGTGCATGTAGCACACATTTCTGTATCAGCCACAGTCAAAAGCCACTCTCCACGCCACCACGTTAGAATGTCATATACGGTGATCAATAAGTCTAGGCCCTGTCAGAAAGAATTTCAATTGCAGGCGGGAGGCTGTCAATAATTTAATCACGCAAGATGGTATGGGGGAGAAAGGGAGGAATGGAGGGTTCGAGAAACATAGTTGCTTTTTCCCTGGCGAACTATGACATATCATAAAAGTGAGGCTGTGGCTGAAGGCCGAACTCATGAACCCAGAGTTTCAGGCTACTACCTCGGTCATAGAATCTTGGCGGCCCCCGGGCATACACAACCCCAGTCCTTTCGATTCGGGGGTCAGGCGTCCAGCCGAATCCTGAAGGGGCAGGGCGAAGTGTGGCGGTGAGAATACCACCTAGCCACGATCGACATTCTGACGTCTGACACAAGACCAGAGAAAATACAGTGGCCTGCACGATATGAGCCAAAACCCGAGTGAAATCAATAATGCCTCAGTCATGCGTACAATTGGAAACACAATGGGGTTGGATCATATTCTGGAATATTTCCTGGGTGGGTCGGCGGTCTCCCCTGGACTACCATTGGGGCTTCAATACGCCCGCCTTGCCCCAGCTGCTCGCCCGTTTCCACGCTAACGCATACAATCAGCCCAATCAACTGGATATCTTAGGCGAGAACAGTTCCTCTACCATGTCCCAAAAAGGGAAGAGGCGAAAATACTTACTGCAAATCGAGGGCTAGGTGCAGACATGAAACGTCGTCCACGCAACCCGGGGGTTCTGGAGAAGCCTCTGCTAACGCGGAATAAGGATATCTCGCCGCTCGGTAACAATACGGGTTGGTCAAAGACAGTCCAATCAGTACCCAAAGCAGGGATCTGACAGGAATACGAGGAAGTATATTTGCGGTTAGCGAAATAGTCAAAAGTCGGTGATGGTATGTGCTGGTTTCACTTGCATGAGTGATCAGGCAAGGAAAATACAAGGGAAAGTATAGGCAATCATAAGATTGGAGCTGTTGTCGCCTGATTTTAGGGGCATAGCAGCCTAAGTATGGCGATAGCGCCATAATGCCTGACTTGCACATGTATGACTGGCGTCGTCAGGTTTCATGGAATATTAAAGCTGCCTACGTAGTTCATTTCGGTTTGAAGCCGAAAGCTCTATCCTTGTCTACATGTAGATGTCGCGCTGTACAAGGAGGCAGTGCATGATACTGCGGTTGTTCACATATCACCTAGGCTCATCATAGGCTTCTGCAAGGCATCCTGCATGCAGTGCCCTGGCATGGAGGGTACAACTGTAGTAAATGTATAGCAGCATCTATGTCATACATATTTTTGTCTTTCATTTCTCTTTTTGCTCTGCCACGGTGTAAATGTCGCAAAGAATCGTAATGTATACAAGTAGAGTGGTGAGGGGTGAACAGGGAGTGTGGCCCTGAAATCACGAATCCCTAGAGAGCCAATTAACAACAGGGGCGGAGTAAAGACGCCAATCACTGAAAAATAAAGAGTAAACTCATATACGCCGTGGACATGCAATGCAGGTGACCGTTCCCCTTCTATACACAATATAAAAAACAGCCAATAATTTTTCATCCGAATCTCTCGAGGAGCGGTGAGGAGCGGTGAGGAGCGTGCGCGAGAAGCTAAGTATTGTACAGTAGCGCGAGAGTTGGGAAGCAATGCACTAAGAGTAGAGTCAAGTTGCCATGCGATTAGTTCGGGGGTGAGATTGTCGCAATAGATTATGATGTTGTGCCAAACATGCGCAGAATGAACTCGTACCTATCAAATGAGTCAGCATATTGTGTCCAAGTTGGATCAAAGTGTGGTAGCAACTCACATTCCAAACATGATCGCGGCCGAAGGCACAACACGCAGAAGGTGTGGTGTCAGGCCGCCGTACATGGCAACCATACCTTCTTCCTTCCAGACGGTCTTGAAGCACTGGACCAGGCCGGTATACTTCATTTCGACCCTACCATTGCCAACTGAGACGGTCGGAGCCTGACGGAGGCGAGTGCGAACGACCTCATGCGGGTAGGTAATGGCAGCGGCAACCAGCTTTGCCATACCAGCCGCGGTGATACGTCCACCCCACAGCTCCGCGGAATCCCATGTGGTGTATTCGTAGGCCGGGTCGGACTTTTTGAGAGAATCGCGGCGGGCGAGATACATCTTCATCTGCTCATACATAACCCACTGGAGAGAGGACTCTGTCACGCCTAGATACGAGGCGGACAGACCGCGGTAGAGGCCGCGAATACCCTCGTGGCGCACAGTCTGCTTGACGCAGTCGTAGCTGTTCCGGTACTGGCGACTCTTTCCATGCTCCGCATTGGACTTATCCAGTTGCAGGCGTGTCTTAACCAGCCAGATCGGGTTTGTTGCCGTACCTGTCGCGATGCCGGCAACTGCGGCTGCCGCCAGGTGGATTCCCATAGGAGTTTGTTCAACATTATGGTAGCCGAAGTAATTGCTCAAGATGCGCTTGCCATTTCCGTACATGTAGAAGTTGATAGCGCGTGCGGGCACGACACCGATCAGGTTCGGTCCCAGGCCTTTGAACAACGCGCGCCAGCCTTCGTGAACGTGTATTGAGCGGAGGATCTGGAAAGTTTCGCTGAAATGCATGCCAGCGGTCCGAGTCATAGAGATTAGAGCATTGGAGGTCGGCGCTGGAGGAGGGTGCGAGGACCGTAGGGCCTGGAGCTGCGACTGGTAGAAATCGGATTGCAGGCGCGTCTTCAGGACATCGAGGGGCGAAGTAAGGGTCGCAGAGGTCATTCCTCCAAGACTATAGCCTTCCGTTAGCATGGCTTCTTCATTTCAATGCCTCAATCCGGATCATCTCCGCGTCCAGAAACATACCCTCCGGCAACAAAGTGTGCGAGTGGCTTCGCCTCGGGCTTTTTATCGCGAGCCGCTGGCGTCCGGTTTGGGATAACATCGCCTAGTTCCCGTGATTGCGGAACAATATCTTTATTCATCTGTGACGCATTTCCCAGTTGCGCCGGCGCTGAGCTGGGAGTTGCGGTAGAGAAATTCATCGGGACCGGAGATAAGAACCGTCAAGGCAGATACACGCCTGAGTAGGGAACAGAATTAACAACTGATAAGCAAAGACGCAGATTAAATCATGATAAGTCGAAGAGTAGAATGGTCAAGTGTACATTGAAGTAGAAAGGTTGATAGGTTTTCTCCGGAATATTTTTTTCGCTGGGCGGTCTAGCTACTCTGCTCCCCTTAAAAGAGGCCGCATTTCTAAGGGGCAAACTATAGATCATTCACGGTTCAGCCGAGGATAGCTCATATTAAGTCTGCTCATTTTCAGTGTCATATCAATCATTCAAGTAATTGACTGCGAGTCAATTAAGTAACCGGTACATCCGGCCAGCAGTGCCGTACTGTACAGATATATACCCAAGACAAACAATGACATGTCGCTCAAATCAAAAGTGAATCGGAATAATGTCGATCCATTGAATTGTATACATGCGGAGTAGAATCCCTGGAATATCCATACATGCTTGGGGCCTTCGGCGAGCATCCCGGTCTTGAAGAGCACTACGAACACAGGGCTAGCCCATGACAGATAGATACGATCATCCAGGAAAAACAGATAGACATGAACTCGGAAATATTTTTGATTTTGTTTCATTCAGGGGAATCTATGCACAGGCGAGAGATGTGCCAGGGCATCTGAAACCCTTTGCTTCGTCTCATGCAGACCAAGTCCATTTCAGCCTTGGAGGCAAAAATTGAGTGAAAACCCAGTAAAAAACACCTAACAACCGCTCGCACCGACCCAATTCCATTGCGATCCCTTTAAATGTGGGTGTCGTAGGCGATGGGGACGACCGTCTCGGGGGTGTTGCCGCCCAGCTGGACGAAGTGGGCCTCACGGGGACCAACAGCCTGGCGCTTCAGGTGGACGTGGATACCCTTCTCCTTGGCCTCACGCTTCTTGAGGGCGTTCTCCTTGACACGCTTGATGAAGTCCTCACGGGAGCGGGAGTGCTGGACGTGCTCGATGCGGACGCTGATGCGCTTCTCGAGGTAGCGGTTGTCGACACGCTTGTAGAGGATGACACCGACCGAGGACTTGGTGACGTTGTAGACGACACCAGTCTTACCGTGGTAGACCTTGTGGGGCATACTGTTCAACGGTTAGATTCTGTCTTTGCTGTTTCGCATTGCCCGTGTATCATCGCGACTGGCGGTCCAGTGCGAATTCGTATGGGACTATCGGAATTGTACTGACCCCTTCTGGACGGCACCGTTAACCTTGATGTCGACAATGTCACCAACACTATATGAAAATTTCCGTCAGATCTCAAATTCTTGTTCGTTTTTGCGGGATTCGAGGTTTTCAAGCGTACCGGTAGGTCTTCAGGTAGGTGGAGAGACGGATCATACCGTGCTCCTTGAAGCCACGGCTGAAGGCATACTGTCGTTTCGTTAGCACTCAAGTCCTCCCAAGGCCGATTTCCTGGCCTGTGTCCAATCGATCCAAAAATTTCTCCAACGGGGTGGGAAAAAAGTCGCATGTCGCAAAAAACAGTCAAGACGTACCCGAGTGCCGGCGCGGAGACCGTAGGAGTGAGGCATGACGGCGGTGGTGTGGTGGTTGGTGGTTGATTGTCGACGGGGCCTTCAACCTTCGAAAACCGATGAAGCCGCTCGGGTAAACTTCAGTGTGATGGGTTATGTAATTAGGGCTAGACCCGCTCCCGTTAGCCCTATCACCAAACCCAATTAGGAAACTCGCTAATTCTCCAACTCACTTTGTGTCTTGGTCTCATCGTGTGGGAACTTCGATCTCCTCGACAACCTCCGCCAACCCGACAGCAGCCATGGCCCCGTGAGTATATTGTCGCCGTTTGAGTCAACACCATTCTAATCTCTGTGCAGTCGTGTCTCTTCCAAGACCTACAAGGTCCCCCGTCGCCGTAAGTGAACCTCTGACAGAAACCTCAATTCACGAAATTGAAGATTGAAGACTAACTTGTTCTGCAGCCTTCGAGTCCGCCCGCCTGTTAGTACTCTCCGGCCAATGATCAGAAGCGTGCTTCTGGTTATGTCGTATTCATCTCTCTAACCTATTTTCTAGTGACTCCGAGTTGAAGGTTGTCGGCGAGTACGGCCTGCGCAACAAGCGTGAGGTGTGGCGTGTCCAGCTCACCCTGTCCAAGATTCGTCGTGCTGCTCGGTATGTGAAGGATCAAAGTCTAGTCTGGTTCCGAGCGATCGGATCAGCGCAATTGAAGGACATGTGACTAACATCTTCCTCCATAGTGAGCTCCTCACCCTCGACGAGAAGGACCCCAAGCGTCTCTTCGAAGGAAATGCCCTCATTCGCCGTCTGGTCCGCATCGGTGTGCTCGATGAGTCCCGCATGAAGCTCGATTACGTCCTTGCCCTCAAGGTCGAGGACTTCCTCGAGCGCCGTCTCCAGACCTGCGTCTACAAGCTTGGCCTCGCCAAGTCCATCCACCACGCCCGTGTCCTCATCAAGCAGCGCCACATCCGCGTCGGCAAGCAGATCGTCAACGTTCCCTCGTTCATGGTCCGTCTTGACTCCCAGAAGCACATTGACTTCTCTCTCACCTCTCCCTTCGGTGGTGGCCGCCCCGGTCGTGTGCGCCGCAAGAAGGCCGCTGCCGCCGCTGGCGGTGACGGTGACGAGGAGGCCGAGGAGGATGAGGAGTAAATTATTCTCTCAATCTCAAAAAATGGAGTACGGTCGGGTTTCGATTGGGGCGCCTCAATACCTCGGAGGCTCAACATGACTGCATCATAGCGTCTCACGTTGTACGATCATCCAATGCAAATGAATCAAAAACAGCCAAAGGCTTCAATTTGGAACCCGAATTTTACTTTTCGAATTCCATGCACATCATAGTCTGGACTGTAATATCTCCGTAGCGTTATGTACAGTGTAGATCCTAAACGCCCCCATACCCACCTAGATAAGCCCAATTGATAATTGCGTCGTCGTGCACTAGTACTGCGGTCTAGGCTTGTCTTGCAGACTATGCCTCGGTCCCAACTAGTTCCTTCAAGGTCATTTCCGCTCCTCTGTACCACCGTCCCATCTCCTCTAGCCCATCGCTTTCACCTTGTTGCTTCTTCCGTTGTGCTTCACGGGCTTGCATTATAGCTTCCTCCTTCCGTCGCTCTAGGACGCTACTCTCTCTCTCCATGACCTCGGCCTCTCGAGTTTTTCGCGGGAGAGTGTTCTGCACAGCAGCGAGCTGACGGTTCAGCGATGCTAGCTCTGCCTCCCGTTCGGCTAACAGCGACAATGTAGCAGGGAGAGGAAGATTTTGAGACGAAGAGCTGCTGTTGGGGTCGGAGGGGTCCATGTTCGCGACCTGCTTTGCGCGGAGCCCGGCGATGGTAGACTCGAGATTCTCAATTGAAGCAGGTAATGTTGAGAGCTGTATCGTTTGAAGCTCCACATTCTTGTAGCCTGTGCAAGAGATCATTCAGTCAACATTCTCTTCACTTCAAGCGCTGACACTCACGGCTCGCCAAGTCACGGCCCATTGCTTCCATTTCCTCAATCATTATGCGCGCATCTTCTTTCCGTGCCTTAAGTTCAGCTTTCACATCTGCCAGTTGTGTCTCCAATTCCGTGTTCTCATTATGTCCGACAATCACCGGTGGATCGCCTACGATGGCGCGCAAGAACTTTTCTTTCGTTACTTGCTCGAGGTAAGAGAATCGCAGCTTAGAGAATAGTTCCTATGCGACAAGTTCAGTACTCATCTAGGGACATTCCGGTACCTGGGCTCGTCGCGCATACCTTATAATGTGAAAGATCAGCCTCTAGTGATGCAGGTGTCGGATCTTCAAAGACTGAAACATCCGACCTCCGCTTCGAAGGCGACGGGCCAGAGTGCCCACCATCCAAGGAAATCGGCTCACTGATGCGAACAATAGCAAGTCGCTTTTTCAGGTCACCCTCCTTATCCAGCTCCTGCAGTGCTGCAAGTGCTTCAGCTGAGGTATCAGTCATGGCGAGGGTGTGAGTTTCTTGTAAAAGTCGAGGAGTTCTGGTGGATCAGTGAGGGTACAATGTAAACAACGATAACCGATATCAAAGGCGGTGTGGCAATTTTGGAAGGCGCTTTCGAGGCAGCTCGTTGACTCGAGTCTTTAGTCCCAAAGGATTCCTCAGTTGTCCTTACAAGATTGCTTGCTCCAATTATGCTATGATCTGATTCCATCGATTTTGCTTCGACTTCTTTCCCTGCTCACGGTAAACTGTTCGGCACCTCGAAGCCCCGCGATCTGCGGCTCAACTACATCATGGACGACGATTACGTTGCGCAGGTCCTTGCCAAAGAGGCTCGGGAAAGCTCTTTGAAGTATTCGTCCCAAGGACTCAGTGCTCTCATGCCTTCCAAGTGTGTCCATTTTTTATGTCTGTGTTCTGCTCGAGTCTCCGGCTGACAAGCACTCCTTACAGGCCGGCCGGCAACGCCCCCAAGCCCAATACTCGCTTTCTACGACACCTTATTAAAGAAACGGATAATCATAATACAGCACTCAAGCGTAAGGAGGAGAGGGAGTCACGGGAGCGAATGCGCCAGCTGAAAGCTCAGAGCTCGACCGCTTCGTCTTCTACAGACCGTACAATCCGAAAATCAGACGATCGCAATGAAGCGCGAAGGTCAAGAGAAAGTCGACGAGATGACAAGAGGGATCACTATCACTCAAGTTGCAGAAGACATAGAAGTCGCTCTGCTTCGACGGAGCGAGACCGATCACGGCGGCATCGTCGCAGAAATGAAGATCACGATGGACCCGATGAGAGACGGGACCGCGACGAGCGAAGGCGTGGACACCGGCATTATGAATCCTCTAGAAGGGATCGACGGGATAGAGAAAAGGATTACACCAGGCGGCGTCGTGACCGGTCGTACTCGGAATCACGCAGCCGTTCGCCTCGTCGGGACCGAAGCAGTGACCGCCACCGCCGTCGGAGACAAGATCGTCATGACAGACCCTCTACTCGACGCCGTTCTCCCTCACAGGAAATACTCAAATCTCGCTCAAAGGGTGACGATGCACCATCGAATGGGACCCGCCGCTCCCATGGAGAAACGACTACGCGACACGACCGACCTTCACCTTCTACTACAGCTGCACGCCAAACCGATACTGGTAATGAATCCGATCCTCTGGAAGATCTTGTCGGACCCCTTCCTCCCAATAATAACGACGCAGTCATCCGCTCGCGGGGGCGAGGCGCTTACAAGAACTTGAGCAATATCGATGCCCACTTTGCACCGGGCTATGACCCGACCACCGATGTGCAATTGGATGATGACAATTCACACTCTGCAGGCCAGCAATCTTCTCGCCGTCCTGTTGCAGGGCTCATGACTGGAGACGACGATTGGGACATGGCCCTGGAGGCGCTGCGCGACCGGACGCGCTGGAAACAGAAAGGCGAAGAGAGGCTTCGCGCGGCTGGCATCGATGATGCAGCTATCGACCGATGGAAGAACAATGCGGCGTTTACAGGGTTGAACAGAGAAGGCAACCCCGAGGATGTTCAATGGTCGAAGAAAGGAGAAGGCCGAGAATGGGATCGTGGAAAGTTTGTCGATGACGAAGGCCATATCAACGTTCGAGCTGCCTGGTAGGTCATACTGCTGGGTGTTCATCTTCCGATACTGGTGTTTTAAGTCTGCTTGCTGCGTGATACCATGGTGCGTGTTATTGTTTTATTGCGGAAACAGCGTGGATATCTCTATGTGCATTTTTTATTGTAATTAGCATATATTATCAGATAATACCAGAACCTTAACAAAACTCACTTGCAATATAGAAAGGTAACATTGGAAGGATATGTAGTTGATATCACGACCCACGCCCGACATCGTTCCGCACGGTTTGTCAACGAGTGCGGAAACCCCCGCGATGCAGACAAATGGTGATATTGCAGCAATGACTGACGGCATTTTCGCCTTGAACGATTGGCCAATGCTTACAAACTGAGACTTAGTTTTGTAAGGCAAATTGTGCATCCACGTTGCACTGATTGATAACACAGCGCTCCTGCTGATCAACCCAAAATATACCTCCACTTGTATATCTCTAGTTACAGCCACTCCTTCGTTTACCAAGCCTCACCCCGTCTCTTATTTTCCCCAATCCGCGAAAACCCCCCAAAATGACAGACCAATTCGCTTTCTCATATCCCTCTCCATTGAAGGACTACGAAAACCTCGAGCCACTGCCTGAGTAAGTTGCGCCGATAAGGTCACTCCGGAGTTCACCGGAGTTTGGTTACTGATCCTCTATTACAGGGACAGAAGCGAAGATGGGAAGTCGTTCAAGAACCCTCAGCATGGTGTTCTAAGTAAAGCTTATGAAGAATTCCCGGATCCTCTTGACAAGAGTCGACGGGGTGGTTTCGATATTCATATCTATCATTTCCAGGTATGTTGCGTGGCACCACGGTCCATTTTTTTGGATAGCGAACGGGCCCCACAAAAATATACTAATGTATTATACAGAGCAATCCGGAACAAGCTGCGTATGCCAAAGCTCTCTGGGAACGAATTCGACGAGAATGTAAGTAGAATGCCTTCCCAGATCGAGACCTGTTTCGCCTGGTCCTCCAGCAAGCGGATTGACTTCAACCGCTCAGATCAATTGATCTCTTACTAAACAATCGATACAGTCCCCGAACTACGAATCTACACCTTCTTCGACCGACCTATCGGACCACACCCAGTAGCCATGTTCGAAGTGAACCTGTTCACCCCAGCGCAATTCGGCGCCTTTGTTCCCTGGCTGGTTATCAATCGGGGTCCGCTGAGTGCTCTCATCCATCCTAATACAGTGCACAGCGAGGAAGAACGTAATCACACTCAACGTGCTACTTGGCTCGGGGATCGGCTTCCGTTGGATTTGAGGCCTTTTAAACTTATGCAGGAGAAGGAGAAGAAGGAGGCGGAGGAGGCCGAGCGGGTTAAGAAGGGGAGCTTATAGGCTTGTTCTAGTATCGATGCGGTTTGGATTTTATCATTGAGGAAATGAGTTGCAAAGCTTAGATATCTGAGATTTTGTGCTGCCTTAGGTGTCATGCCCCGCAAGCCCCGCAATGTATGTGGAGAGTGTCAATTCCTACTTTTATACTACAGCTCACAGACTTTTTTCTTCGTGATTATAGACGCGACATGGCAGAATACATACTGTAGTAATCACCCTCAAGTTCGAGAGAGATTACTTTAACCCTGTTAAAATGCGGATGTGAAGGCCTGATGCAGGCACGCAATACTATTCGTCGATCTCACCATGTATACAGACGGACCGTGGAGACCGCAGACCCCAAGATGAGAAACATACGCACATATGCTCATCACACCTCATATGCAAGCCCAAAGTACTGCATGAGGCCAAAGTTTGTAATCCGATTCGACCCCGCCTCAGCCCTGTTGTCATGAGGGCTTCACAGGCAGGTGACTCCATCAGCCCAATAGACCCAAACAGCGAAGGAAAATGAAGATCCTCAAGCATACATATTATACAATACCCCCAATACAAAACAGCAAATCAAACCCTTCACTTTGCCCGCCTGATGCATTATGCCTGGGATCCAAGACCCACATTCCTTAGAGGTTGCATACCTCAGCCCGGAGGGTAAACTGGTCAACCCGGTAACCGAGTAGCTAAAGGGGTTTCTCGAAATCACACCCTATTGCTGCGAAATTACTACCCACCACATGTAATTACTGGCCTGGTGATTTTTTGCATGCACTTGAAGTAGTGGGTGGTGTTGCTGTGACCTGCTGGTTGGGACACTGGCATGATCCTCGTCGCGAAGATCATATTGACGAGAACACGAATGTTGCTCCACGAATCGCGCTGATTTTTTGAGGAGAGTGGGTATAATGAGCATTTTTATTGCTTGGAGTCATTCTATTGAGCTGATCCTCGCCCCCCTCATTGTATGTGCTTTGGTGTTGTTTACTGGTTGCACTCGTGATATGGCCATACTGAAGGGTATCTAGATAAAAGCACACCACAAGGACCCTCGAGAGTCCCTGAGACTTTGTTCGATTGTCTCTGATCTACTAGAGTTTTCGTCGAGCACGGGTGCCTGAGCATCATCGCACAAGATGCGTCGCCTTTTATCGTTAGCACTGATAGCCTTATCCTCCACACAGGCTGTTTACGCATCAATCAATGCGAGAGCCACGGCTAGTATCCCTCAATATGTCCTCGAATACGGTAATCCGCCCACTCAATAATACTTAAAAGCTAGAACACCTATATACTTACCCCAACTCCACAGCTCCACTGGTCTGGCTCCACAGTCAGGAAACATACATGCCAAGTGACATACAACAGCAACTCGATCACACGAAACCGACCGTTAACTGGACAGTTGTTGCAGGAGCCCAATCTCCTCTAGACCTCGATAATCTTGACTCACTTAACAGCTTGGGCAATACAAGTGTTTACTTGACTTCGTCCGAGGGCATCGATGCTAGCCCGGAGCCAGCTTGGTTCAGAGGTATCACCCCGGACTTGGAGGGGCGGATTGGTGACGGTACTGGGAGTGCTATTGTTGTTGTAGACCGTGGTAATGGGACTGTTGATGCATTTTATTTTTACTTCTATGCGTGAGCTCTTGACATGTTTTCCTCGCCTAGGTCATCGATTTTTACTGATCTAATTAGGTATAACAAAGGTGATAAAGTACTCGGCATGGAGTTTGGAGATCATATTGGAGACTGGTAAGGGTTCCCAGAGGCATCTGGAGATTTTTCAATTGACTACAAGCAGGGAACACAACATGATCCGCTTTGTCAACGGCACTCCCACAGCAATCTGGTATAGCCAACATGCCAGCGGCCAGGCATTCACCTACCACGCCGTCGAGAAAGAAGGCAAACGGCCATATTCCTACTCCGGGAATGGAACACATGCCAACTACGCCACAACAGGGTAATTAGCCCCAAGTCCTTTCCTCCAGCTCCCTCCCTGAAACCAGTAAGACTAACTGACACCCATTAGCCAACACGACCACACAATCCCAGGAATAAACTTCCCAACAGGCTTCCTACTAGACTACACAGACCGCGGCGTGCTCTGGGACCCAACACTTAACGCCTACACATACACCTACAACCCGATAACGGCAATCTTCACGGCTACGGCCGGTGACCCAGTCGCATGGCTAGATTTCAATGGAAAGTGGGGAGATGATCAGCCGCCGAATGAACCCTCCATCTTTGGTGAGGCGAAATATGTTGCTGGTCCCAATGGGCCGAAGTTCAAGAGCCTAGATCGGAAGATGGTGTGTCCGTCTAAACCGTGTATTGTTTTGCCTTTTAGGATTTGGTCTGGGAATACGACTTCGTGACGGTTGGATACTCTTATGAGTTGTGATGAGATTCTATGTATAGCCTTGCAGGTTTATGAGAAGTAGACTCAATTGAGATTGTTATATACACCGAAATTGTGATATCGGCATGTGGTATCTGTAACGAGGGGCAGATGAAAAAAGTAAAAAAAAGGGAGGAAAAAAAGCAAATGAAGCCGAGCTAGCGTGCCCTCATCTCGGTTGAACTCGCCCGAAGGCAGAAAAAAAGGCAATTCGACGCCAAAGAAAAAAGTCTCGACAAATTGCTCTGTGGTTCCTGCACGCCGGAAATCCGCCCCACAGATCCACTCCTGGTAAAAACACAATCTTCTCATTTTTCATGCACAGTACGTACTGAATATATACAGAGATCAGAGAATAGAGATCAGGGGTCGAGAAGATAATAAGATAGAAGAACGAGCTCCGGGTAGGAACCCAATAGTTCCTCGCGTACCAGAACGAATAGACCCGTGGATGAGAGAAGGAACGGGCCCCACGTCGCGTTCCGAGATGAACAATGATGTGCAGGACTCGCGTGGTTCATCCTTTCGGTTTCACCATTTTTGCCTAGAGCTTTGTGTGCGCTCGATATGGTTATTATTGGGCGTCTTTAGTTTGATTAGGTGCATTTGAGGCGATGTGATCGACAGGCGGGAAATAACGTTCATTTGCGAGTCTTTGATCGGATCTCTGGAGGGATCTTGTTTCACCTGTCAAAGGTGTTTGCGATTTTTGCCCAGTGCGTTCTTGCATGTAGGGGGGTTGTTCCGATCCTCGAGCTCATCTAAGCTTATGTGTGTAGCTTTCGAGATAGTTAGGTACGGCATTGCACAACCTACACATCCATGGATCGATTTTACAATTAAACTGAATCAGCCCTGCTCTAGCTACGCTTTGATATTAAAGAAGAGGCCGTGCTGCTAGGTGGTTATAGATGTCAGTGCAAACATGACAAACACGGTATCATTATCTCACCCCCTACAGTAATTTTTCATGTCTGGCTTTTTTCTTTCTTTTCCAATTCCCATGCAACCCTGGAGACCCTGGAGATTAGCATGGGCTTACAAACCAGTCCTTTTGGATGATAATCAGGCAAGTGGAGACCAAAACGGCCCCTGGCGTTGCGCACGAGCCAAGGCCAGGAGCCCACGAGCTGCTACGCCATGTGTCTATAGAGGTTATATACATATAACATTCCAGATGATGTTTTCGACCTGTTCCTCAAGCCTCAAGGCCTGTGTCATGAAAAGTCAATTGTCTAGAACACTTCCCGTGTGCTAGCCTCTTGTAGGACCAACCAGGCCTAACTAAGCTCTAAGTGGGACCGTCGCTTTTACCCCTGAATATTCTTAAGGATACGAAACCCCAACCTCGTAATATAATAGACCAGTAAGAGGCCATTGAGGCACCTTTTCTCTCTCTCCGCATCTCTCTCCTTTTTTACGCTGGACGCCGTAAACCAGGCACATTCAAGTCCCACTCCCAAGAGTCGGAAACTTTGTTTGAGTCTCAATTTCAATTCTCCCCTGTCTCCAGGCTTACCCACTGGTTGGGAAACTCTTTGAACCTTCTCTGCTGTCGCAAACCTTTTGAATCGAATCCCCATTGAACCTCGGACATACCCAGTTCCAGACTGCTCGATAGTTTGCAATCGCTCCAGATCGTTGTATAGCTAGCATTCAATTCGCAAAGTAAAGATTGGAGCTATTCCGCAGTAAGTGACGCTTTGGGGGATGCAATTCCCGGGAGGGGGAAGGAACCCGTGACCTAATATGTTTCAGCAGATGGCAACTGCCCCTCCCAATGACGGGCAAACTCTCGCCCAACGCCGTACCTCTCTCGGATTCCTGCGTCGTTCTAAATCTACCGAGCCCCTGGGCGAACGCAAATCGTCCAGTTCGCGGAAGAGAATGACCAAGACTCAGGCCATGGAGGATGAACTTCGTCGCCAGCGCGACTCCTACGCTCCCAAGTCGGCCCCCCGACTGCCAGACCTCTCTCCCGCTCCCGAGTTGGAAACCTTTGGAGGCGAGGAACGTGACAAGATGGCCGATCCGATGCCGCCTCGTCCCCAGTCCGGATTCGCCGCGTCGCCCTCTATGACATCCTCAATCACCAATGTGATCGATCCCTATGCGCGAACGGAGAGCATGACCCATCGTGGTCGCTACAGCTACGCCAGCAGTGCTGTCAGTACCGTCAACAGCCCGCGTCGTGTCCGCCGCCGCAAGGACCCCACCTCATACAAGTAAGTTAAGACGAGGAACAACCGTGACCAGGCGACTAATAGGACGTGTGTAGTGTGCTTGTTATCGGTGCTCGCAACTCTGGCAAGACCGAGTTCCTCAACTTCCTTCGCAAGGCTCTGACCATGCCCCCGCACAAGCACCCCTCACGTACCCCTGAGGAGGTGGATGAGCTCGAACACCAGACCTCGGCCTACGAAGGATTCACGTCGCAATACCTGGAGACGGAGTTCGATGGAGAACGCGTCGGACTTACACTGTGGGACTCGGTGGGTCTGGAGCGCAACATTGCAGATCTGCAGCTGCGCGCTGTAACTGGCTTCTTGGAAAGCAAGTTTGAGGAGACCCTTGCGGAGGAGATGAAGGTGATCCGCTCTCCCGGTGCCCGTGACACTCACATCCACTGCACATTCTTACTCTTGGACCCTGTGCGTCTCGATGAGAACATCGCTGCCGCCAAACGTGCGACCAATGGGACATCCAAGGCATCTGATTCGCCTGTGGTTGGAGTGCTTGACCAGAACCTTGATCTGCAGGTGTTGCGCACGGTGTTGGGCAAGACAACGGTTGTACCGGTCATCAGTAAGGCAGACACGATCACATCTGCCCACATGAACTACCTTCGCAAGGCGGTTTGGAACAGCTTGAAGCAGGCCAACATTGATCCCCTTGAGATCTTGACCCTGGAGGATCAGGAGGAATATACCTCGTCGGAAAGTGCGGATGAAGAGGAGGCCGAGACCAAGTCCCTCGATGCGACCGAAACCCCCGATGCGGCTGAAGCTAAAGAATTAGAGACCGAGGACAAGGTTCCCTCCTCGCCCGCCCCCAGCCACAGCACCCGCAAGTCCAGCGGCTCGCAGGCCGCCAACCTGCACGTTCCTTTCTCGATCTTGTCTCCCGACCCCCACTCGCTGGCGGCTGGAGACGAGCCCGTTGGCCGTCGCTTCCCCTGGGGATTTGCAGACCCCTACAACCCCGAGCACTGTGACTTTGTGCGCCTGAAGGACTCTGTCTTCTCTGACTGGCGCTCGGAGCTGCGGGAGGCTAGCCGCGTGATCTGGTATGAGCGCTGGAGAACCAACCGACTCAACCGCAATGGACAGCCGGTGCCCCAAAAGCAGAACTTTGGTCGCATGGGACCTGTTCATGGCCGTCGCATGCGCTGAGCGTCTCTTCTTTTCTGTAGTTTTTTACCGCACATACCCCCATTCTTCGCGGCCTTGTCCCTCACCAGGCTTTTTTTATGTCATACCTCTGCTGTGTGTAATCTCTTTACAAAATGTTTCGTGAGAAACTGTACCAGTTCTATTTCATTATTTTACACATCCATATCCTCCCATATCAGAGTAGAGAATTACCCCTCGGTTGGATTGGCGAGCCCCTGCGCTGCGGCTGAAGCGACGATCTCGAGGCCACTGTATCTAACCAATGAAAGGCGCTTACTGTTAGCTGCATGTTGAAGAATCACGGCTACAATAAGCTGAATACGAGCGCAATTTCTCCTCCGATTTCCCTTCTCTCCTTCTTTGTTACTCTCCAGGCTTCAACAAAGAGAATGGCCTGAAGGAATAGCGTCACACAGCCCGCCTCGCACAGAATCCAAGCTCCAGTCTTTGTGTGAAACCCCCCTCAAACCCCCATCATATACCTCAAACCTCCAGCTTAGGGATATAAACAAATATCCCAATCCGGCATTGAAACCATGTCACTGCAAGTAAACGACCCACGGGCGCGAACCCGTTCCAAATCTCGCGAACGCTCCCGCTCTCGCGACAGCCGCCAACCCTCCCCCTCGCCCTCGGCCTCCCGCATTCGCGACAGATCCCCCGCTGTCGAGATCGCCCCGACCCCATCTTCCTCTTCTAGAGGCAGAGACAGGGATCGAAGCAGAGGCAGGACATACAGCTCAGACGAAGAAGCTGAGATTGAAAGGCAGTATAAACTCATCAGTGAGCGTCGCCAGCGCGAGGGTAAGGGTGCCGAGGACTCGCGCAATGTCATTTCTCGTGCGCCTAGGAGTCCCGCTCGCTTTGATGTGAATCGCGTTGGTTCGGATGAGGATTCGAAGCGGAGGGAGAGAGAGCGCGAGCGTGATTCGGAGAAATCTAGACGTCGCACTGATGACCGCTATGAACATTCCGCTTCGGAAGATGATCTCCCTGCACCCCGCGATCGCGATCGCGAACGTGAATATACTTTGCGGTCGCATTCCAGGCGGCCCTCGTCACCGCCTCGCACTAGCACCAGCAGACGCCATGAGTCGGACGACGACTCCTCCATCGACGACGAGCTTGCCTACGGCGATGCACCAGGTAGCCACCCGAGCTATGCGCGCCCGGGCAGATTCAACTACGCGCAGCCATCGCAATTTTTACATGCCCAACCAGGTGCGCCGCGCCAGTCCGTTCCTCAACCTGGCCCCAGTTACCCTGGCGCGGGCATCGACTGGGCCGCCGTACCCGAATGTGAACGCCCGGGTTTCGTGCCGCCTTCGTCACAAGCTGATTCATCAACTGCTAGTATGCCCGGGGCTTTTCCTCCGGCTTCGACTTCGACATATGCGAATGGATCGGGCTCGACGCCTGCGCCTGTGCTTCCCATGCCGCATTATGTGAATCCCGCTGCGAGCATATACTCCACTTCGAGTGCTGGATATGCGCCGGCGCAGTATACTACTGCTGCAGCTGCTACTGGGGATGCGGCTTACCCGCCCACTTCGTCTGGGTATGCTAATCCCGGTCAGTACCAGTATGCGCAGGTTGATCCTCATGTGCGGTATAGTTCGAAGGCCGCACCTAAACCGAGTTATACTGCGTCGGCGCAGGAGCAGTTCTCCAGGACTGGGCAATCGCAGGCGCAAGCCACTCAGCATGGGTATCAGCCGCAGTCGCATGTAGAGCAGTCGTACCGGTATAGCAAGGAGCCGCAGTTTGTGGAAATCACTCCTGGTGGGAGGTCTGCGACTCGTCCTCATAGTGTCTCTGTTTCATCGGCAAATAATCTTGCTGTTGCTGGGGCGGGTGTTGCTCATGGAGCTCACCCTCCTGCTAGTCCATTGCTGGAGCCGTATCATGGTACTTACCAGTCCATTTCACCCATGCCGTCCCCGATTGTCGTGCCCTCCATTCGCGATGAAGACATTTCCGACCTCGAGCCTCTAGACGGCGGAAACTCAGCCTCGGATTCCGGTCGCCACAGAAGACATCGATCAAAGTCATCGGTCAGTGAAACAGATGCCCGCCAACGCAGTAGCAAAGAGAAGAAAGAAAAAGAGCGCGAAAAGGACCGCGACGATCGCAAAGACGATAAACGTCTCATCCGCCCAAAAGCCGGCCACGACCGCCACGACTCCAGCTCCTCAATCCCGGGCACCGAAAACATGGTCTTAATCTCCCCTACAAGCGGCCGCAAACGCGTCTCCTTCTACGACGCCGGTGCAGACGCCGCAGCAATGCAGTCAGCCCTAAACCACACCCGAAACATTGACAACAAACCAATAATTCAAATTCTCCCCCGCCTAACCAGCGACGAAATCCTCCTCCTCCGTCAAGAATACAAAACACGCGTCCGCATGCACGGAAAAGGAATCAACCTCGCCAAGCACCTCCGCCTCAAACTAGGAACCTCCTCCTTTGGAAAGGTCGCCTACGCCACAGCCCTCGGCCGCTGGGAATCAGAAGCCTACTGGGCAAACTGCTACTACCAAGCAGGGACATCGCGCCGCGAACTCCTAATCGAATCACTAATGGGCCGATCAAACTCCGCAATCCGCGAAATCAAATCCTGCTTCCGCGACTCCAGATACGAGAATAGCCTCGAGCGTTGTATGCGCTCTGAACTGCGCGCTGATAAATTCCGCGTTGCCATTCTGCTTGCGCTGGAGGGCCAGCGCCAGAGTGATCGCGAACCACTTGATTCGCGCTTGGTTAGGGATGATGTGCAGGATTTGCATCGTGCGCTTGTTAGCAGGGATGGTGGGGAGACGGCTATGATTCATATTATTGTCCTGCGGAGTGATGAGCATTTGCGTGAGGTGTTGCGCGTTTATGAGGCAAATTATCGACATAACTTTGCTAAGGCTATGATTGCTAAGTCGAGAAATCTTGTCGTATGTTACTTTCCTATTCTATTCTGGTTTTTTCTTGTTATATTCTGATTGATCCTCCCGCTAATCATTTTTTACTCTCTGTTTATAGGGAGAAACACTCGCCCACATCCTAAACGGCGCAATCAACCGACCAATGCGCGACGCCCTTCTCCTCCACCAAGCGCTCCGCGAATCGCGCACTGGCCGTGAACGCTCTGAATTACTCATTTCCCGACTTGTTCGTCTGCATTGGGAACCTAGACATCTGGAGCAGGTTAAGATTGAATACCGGCGCAGATATAGTGAGCGGCTCGAGGAAGCGATTGCTGAGGAGATTCTTGCTTTGAATGGCGGTCAGGATTGGGGAGAGTTTTGTATTGAGCTGGCGCGGAGTGTTTAACTGGGTCTCTGTGAGATATTGGAGATGGGGTGGATAGTTGTAATGAATTTGATGGAGGTTTTTGAGCCGTGTCGCACATCTTATGGAATACTTTCAGTATCTGAGTTGTTCTTATCATTCTTCGTCTGTACCTTTCAGTAGCTTGGAATAAAGTCCAAAGGTATACTGGTGATTAGATGGTCTATACATTCTATCGCTACAAGTGACAAAAAAGATTCAGATTCACTCTACGCTCTCCCGGACTTCCTCCTTCTGAGGACACTAAATCTTTCTCTCCGGAAAATAAGAGTCGCCAGCGTATTCGTCGCGAGATGAGCGAAGACCACCATAAGCACAAAGAAAAGAAGCACGATCGGGCCCAAGATGGAGAATACCGTGAACCCATAAGAAGCATTCTGGAATGCCAGATTATGAGCTAACCGATCCGTCCCAAGGCCCACCTGCATCGCAGTCAAGACGAGTGCAAAGTACACTGTCATCGCGGTAATGGGCGTCAAGTACGACTTGAACAACTCTCCATAAGTTTGGTACTTGGGCCGGTAACCGCGGAGGAGATTACCACGCTGGACGGCGTAGATTTTATTCAAACGGGACAGACGCAGTTCACCGAATTTGTAGCGCTTATTTATCCGGCTGGGATTTGTCGTGTCGTTATCCAGCAGATTCTGCACAAGCATCCGCCACTGGGACCAAGTCAGACGTGCTGGAAGGAGGTTGCTTGATTGGGCAATGGCAAAGTCACTGGGATGCTGGATCAAGGCGATGTAGGAGGCCAGGAAGCCCAAGGCAGATTTGGTGAGATGGCATCTGTCACAGGTGACCCCTGAATCTGACAGCTTGTTGTAGTGATTGTTGTTGGCTGGTGACTGCTGCTCCTGTTGACTGGAAGTCGAGCAATTGTCTTTGCACACTAAGTGCGCAGACCAGAATCGGGAGTCCAGTAGGTATTGGGGCAGTGGTTTGATGTGGATGCGTCGACCTGGGCCCCAGACTAGGTGCATGTCGGTCTTTTCGTCGACGATTATCTCGCGCGACACCGAGATCTGGTAGTTTAATGGTCGGGGCGGCATAGGCCGCCCTGCTAGCCATAGGAGCCCGTGGATGTTATTGAGGCGCTGGACTGAGAGGTCCAGATGTAAGAATTTGGAGATTTCTCTTAGTGGGGTGTGCAGGGACAGGTCATCGTCTCTGAAGGATGCTGGGAGGATATCCTCCAATTTAGCTAATCCATCGTGGTTTGTGGTCGGCCGGAATATCTCATCTGATATATAACCGTTCGGCATTAGATAAGTTGGAGATGATTTGTTGGTTGGAAGTGAAGTTGTGGTGGCTGGAGTGAGATGCACGTTTGGATAGGCGCTCTGGACGCCGCGCTACCACCGCACGAGGCAGATCATATTGAAGCCCGACGTAGAAATTAAAGGCATGCAGTTTCCAATCACTTTGACTTGGTAGTTTATCGTCCCTGTTTTTAATTTGCCGCATCGTCTATTTTCGCTCGTATTTGCCGCCCTGGTCCCTTGGTCCCCGTAAACGTCAATTTTATACCCTCCCAAACATATCACTCATCCAAGCCCCTCCACTTGAAGCGGCAAGTTCTGTATCGTAAAGCGCTGTTGGTGTTGCCCTTGTTGCATACCAGGCAATAAGCTGGCAGCTGAGGCTCAAAGGGTTTCGGCAGACACCACTTGCGTTTAGCTACTGGTTTGGACTTTCAATGATAACACCTATATTAGCGCGATTATCGTGCGGCGGTGCTAGAAAAGACTCTGTTCTTTATTGAGTGTTTGATGTGACTTAGAATAGCACTGCGCCCATCCACAGGGACCACAAAGATCTCTGAGATCCTTTGTTGGGCGAAGTAGGGTCGTGGATCGAGGGTCGCGGGAATTTGGGATATAAATGGATAGGACGCCCACTGTTACTTTAAATGTATCCACCATATTTCAAATACTATATTCATAATATCTATTCTTTTCCAATATGTTCGTCAACCGCAAGAAGGCCTTCATGAGCCGAATGTTTGACAACTCCGTCGAGATAAATCTACCAGGCCCGCCTAGCCGACGAAAGCATGCCTGTGAAATGCCTAGAAAGATGATGGTGACTTACGGGTGTACATGGATTTCCGTGGGCAACCTCACCAAGCTCGCGAAACGATATCGTCAAATGCATATATCCTTCGCGCAACCCGACACAGCCAATGACCTGAATCCGCAGGAGCTTCGCGATGTCTATGTTGTTGCCAGGCCAGACAGATGGTCGCACGCCTTCACTGACCCGGGCTCCCCTTGTTACTGGTCTCTTTACTGCGATGGTCATTACTATCACATCGAAAAGGGTGATAAATCGGTTCGCATTACTCTTGGAGATGACGACTACTCGGAGCAAAGTCAAAAGAAATTCATTCCAGGTGGCCCTCAAATACCCCCTTTTATTGCCTATCATTTTGGAAAGACGGATTACTCCCCGCAGCAGATTCATGGCGTTGCTGTATGGGTAATTGATCAAATGGTTCAAGATGATCTATCTGAGACGAACTATGGGCACTTCGTGTCCGGACTCGCAGTTCGCATTATATGCGCTCCGAGAAACAGCACAGTTCTCATGGGCAATATGATGCAGATCTGGGCGCAAGACCAGTTCCTCAGAGCTGCCGGGCCTGATTCTGTCGTTCCTAATGGGTTTTATACTGGAAGCCGCCTTGTCGGTCCTACCGAGAAGATCGATACTTTCTGTGCGAGAAAGTCACTCAGGCACAAGGTCGAGATAGATGCACGGCAGCTTGCTGTCTGTTGGTTTGATGGGTTGCAGGGATTTATTCCCTCGGATATCCCGGAGACCCATCGCTTCATTAGAGGTTGGAAGGTGGCAACGCAAAGCAATATCACGAAGACCGTGGAGTCTACTTTGGAGTTGGAGAAAAGAACTCTCCGACGGTCTTCGAACATCAACGAGCAGCCATGTATGGCGGTTATAATCGGTCTTCGTGACAGTTTGTGCAACGATAATCCCCAATTTACTTTGGAATGGCTATTTCTAACCGGATTCTGGCTAGGTGCGAAGATACCCAAAGACCTCGAGACTGTACACTGCTTCTCGAGCCTTTACTACATCCGCTCGAAGAGAAGCATGACTGAAGAAGGTAATATGTGACCTCTCAAGTTTCGTGCTTGACTTTTGCTGACATATCGCTTGAATCAGAGTTCTTGGAGCAGATGAAATTCATCTATGGTGATGATGCCACAGTAGCTGCCTTAAACGCAGGATTTCAGAATGAAGTGAAGCGGTATTTGCGAAAGCCGCAAGACGCCAATTCGTTTTCTGGGGAGACCCAGAGATCAACAGACAAAGCAAGGGAGATTCAAAGATGGGACACCCTGTGCCCTTATGAGAATGACCTAGACAGATGTGCAAAAGGATATGGGTATCAGATCCTCATAGACACGGCCTTGGTCTTTCCGAGCGCACCTGCCCCACACCGGAGGGTGAAGGGTGAGCAGTGAGCTAGGAGATGATGTTTTCTTGCGGTCGTGCTGTTATTACAATATTGCTTCGTTCTGTTACTACTGTATGAGTGAAAGTTCTTCCTTATTGGCTGAGTGATTGGTGCCCGGTGCTTCAACTATAAAAGCCACATTGATTTAAGAAAGGGATGAAATCCGGATAGAAACCAAAGCCCCGAGTCAGCTTGGAAATAGTCAAGCCTTTGCCAACTAAGTCTTGTCTAGATACAACGGTAACACTATCTAGCAATCTCCCTTTTGGGCTTAATGGCCGTCTCCGCATGCACTATAGAGGAGGGGTAAGAAAGTGGCACGCGATCCTCCTATACATAACATGAATTAAACGGCCAAAGCGTTGGGACCAATATATTCAATAAATCGAGTTAAATTGATATCTCTAATAGGAAATTCGCGATATTCATCGAAATTAGTATGAAGCTTATGTAGTCAATAGAAACATAATCGTAGGCTGAAAAATGGGACGGACATTATACTCCGAAGTAACAGAGGAGACACCAAACCAAGTATAAATCTTGGGTTCATTTCCGAACTACGTTCAACACAGATCTCAAAACTCAGACCGTCAAGGCTGAGAATAATTGCAACAGGATTGGACGGTGAAAAGACAACCCGACGTATCACGGCAAGCAAGGTTCAATAGGAGATGCGTCTTCGGATTCTGCATGTACTCGCTACGTGGCGCATGCAACCTCAACTCACCATGCATCAAGTACAGGATACTTGCATCAAAGTGGTACTGGTAGTCTCCGATCGGAAAGTCGCCCCAAAGCTGACGTGTAGAACCAACTCCCCTGCAAGGGGAACCCCTCTGATTTGAGACCTTGAAACCCTGGGCACACAACCCATTCTCTGCAGGTCCCGAAGATCGACCATATCCAGGTACTCTGAAGATCTGGATGTGCATACTAAAACTATTCACGATTTGGATGCCATGCTCACATTCTGCTGATCGTCATTTCCCCGCAGATTATTCTTGTACTCGAGCACTAAACGTCCAAGGCCTGATTTTGCTTCATGCATAAGCTCAAAGAGGCCTTGTGCACATGATGCTATCACGAAGGCCATGCACTTGGCACCTCCTTTGGCTATATTTGACCTATCGGCGACGACTTCAAGGCCCCCTTCCTGTTTTCTCCGCAACCATCATTTCTCACCTCCACTCACGCCTTTCTCCACACTTTTATTTGCGCCATGCCGTCTTGTGGTCAGTCATCTGCAAGGCTTTTGACCGAAATCAAGGAGTTAAGTTACCCCGATGCTCTCGTCCACTGGCGCCACTCCCTCGTCGATCCGCATAGACCGCCGCTTGTCTTCCATGCGACCTCGATATGCTGTTTCTCCTGTGGACTGCTAGACCGCGTTTTTGACTTGTTTAACTTCGGCTCCGAGCTAACCCAAGTCCCTATCTCCCGTCCTCGCGACCATTCTTCTCTCCCCCTGTCCTGACCCCTCACATCGGCTTTGGTTTCTTGTCTGTCCTATGGCCGAAATTACCGCATGGGTCTTGCTCACGGGCGCTGACGGAGGTCATCGGACTTGCATGCTCGGGGGTTTACATTAGACATGCACGTCTGCTGCTACATATCTTCACTACGCTAATCCTTTTCGATCTCCATCCGTAGAGAGCACATTCTGGCATGCGGGTCACGGAGAGACCCTTCCCCCTCTCTTGGTAGTTGAATGCTCGACTATAAAAATGCACTGGCATTCCTCTCCGGTAAACACAACGCCGATCCCTTCCAGCATTTGTTCTATCCGCCTCGAGTCCAAGCTTCTGAGAGCTAATTTCCTTTTACTGCAAATAAATAACAAGGGCCATGCTCCTGTAGTGACTTTTCGTGCGTTTGTCCAATACTTCTTCCCCCATACCCCGTCATAATGCAGCTGTGTCGCCTCGGTCTGCTGGTAGCCTCCTTTATTGCCTCCATTGGAGCACAATCGACTTTTAGCCCTGCTCGCCCTCCATCTATTCCCCTTGCCGTCAGGTCGCCCTACCTAAGCACCTGGCTTAATGCCGGTAGCGATGGTGGTAATGGCGGATATCTGGCCGGTCAGTGGCCTGTGTTCTGGCAGTACGTTGGGGATCAAACCTGTTCAAGTGTACTTATGTGCTAATAGTGGATGACTAGGAACCAAGTGACTGGGTGGTGTGGTCTCATCCGTGTCGACGGCAATGTTTACACTTGGATGGGATTGCCTGGCAGTAAAACTGTCAACCAAACAGCGTTCGAGTACACATCGACCAAGAGTATCTTCACCATGAACGTGGAAAACAAGTTGGAGATGAACATCACTTTCATGTCGCCAATCACCCCCAGCGATATTAAGCGCCAATCTCTGGTTTTCTCGTACCTCAATGTCGAAGTCTCCTCTCTCGATGGACAGGAGCATGACGTGCAAGTCTACGCTGATATCTCTGCTGGTGAGTAAATCAGTATCTTCTAATACGGAAAGTAACTGACGATTCAATAGAATGGGTCTCTGGTGACCGGTCTGCCATCGCAGAGTGGGAGTATGGTACCACCGACGGCGTGGCATACCATAAGGTCCACCGACAGACGCCGTTGGCCTTCTCTCAGGTCAATGAGCAAGGTGAATGGGGTAACTGGTACTGGGCGACCGACGCAACCAATGGCATGTCCTACCAATCTGGCGTAGATACAGCTGTGCGCGGCCAATTCTCACAAAACGGCAAGCTGGCCAACAGCGGTGACACCAATTTCCGAGCCGTCTCGTCCAGCTGGCCTGTCTTCGGATTCTCTTCTGATCTGGGCTCAGTCGGCTCGTCGCCCGCCAGCATGCTCTTCTCACTTGGTCTTACCCAAGATGAAGCTGTTCAGTTTGCAGGTTCTTCTGACTACGGTCCTTTGCCTTCCCTATGGAAGAGTTACTTTGATACTGAGTTGGCTGCGCTTTCATTCTTCCACCATGACTACAGCGCGTCTAGCTCAGTCGCAACTGCCTTTGATAACAGAGTGGCCACCGATTCTATTGCCACAGCTGGTCAGGACTATCTCACCATTACTTCGCTTTCGGCTCGGCAGGCTTTCGGAGCTACTCAGCTTTGTGGCACAAAGGATCATATGTATCTGTTCCTGAAGGAGATCTCGTCCGATGGTAACATGAACACCGTCGATGTTGTATTCCCTGCCTATCCCATCTTCCTGTACACCAACCCGGAGTTTCTCAAACTCGTTCTCGACCCTCTGTACGAGAACCAGGAAGCTGGAAACTACCCTAACGATTATGCCATGCACGACTTGGGCTCAAACTACCCTAATGCTACTGGCCACTCTGATGGTAGCGATGAGAAGATGCCCTTGGAAGAGTGTGGAAACATGCTCATCATGACCCTGGCATATGCTCAGAAATCTGGAAACAACGAGTACTTGAGCGCTCACTACGACCTGCTAAAGCAGTGGACCAGTTACTTGGTAGAGGATGCCCTTTACCCGGCAAACCAGATTTCGACTGATGACTTTGCCGGTTCATTGGCGTGAGTGGACTTCCCCCTTGCGTTATAGATCAAAACTGACCCGCATAATTAGAAATCAAACCAACCTGGCTCTCAAGGGCATGATCGGCATTCAGGCTATGTCTGTCATTGCTGAACGAACCGGCAACACTGAAGATGCTGCCAATTACTCGAGTATCGCTCATGACTATATCACCAAGTGGCAGGACCTTGCTATTGCCAAGGGCGCCACCCCACCTCACACGACTTTGTCCTACGGTGATACAAACAGCCACGGTTAGTACAAATCATGCTCTCTAGTTCATGCAAACATTCTCACGCAAACTGCAGGTCTCCTCTACAACCTATTCGCCGATGCTCAACTCGGCCTGGATCTGGTTCCGCAATCAGTTTACCAAATGCAGAGTGACTTCTACCCGACAGTTGCGAACAAGTACGGTGTGCCTCTTGACACTCGCCATACCTACACCAAAGGTAAGAACTGTAGTAATTCGTTACTCCATGCAATACAATACTGATATCATTGCAGGAGACTGGGAGTGCTTTACCGCAGCTATTACCTCGGGCAACACTCGGTCTATGTTCATCAAGGACTTGGCTACCTGGATCAACGAGACACCGACTAACCGAGCTCTGACCGACTTGTACGACACGGTTTCCGGAAAGTAAGTTGCTAGACCCTCGAGTCTCTATTGGAAGTATCACTAATCAGACCTAGCTATCCTCAAAACACCTTCGTTGCCCGCCCCGTTATGGGCGGTGCGTTCGCGCCTCTCCTAGTCCGCTAAGCGGACCTTCGCTTCTTGTCCATTGATTTAATCTGACAAGTTATCATTTGGGTTTCCTCCCAGTTTTCTTTATTCCAAAAAACGCTCGTTTGTGAGTTCTGGTCTGGGGTTGACCCTGCGCCAGAAGAATGGGAACATGTGCTGGATCCCCTCCGGTCGCTTTATAGTTTCTAGACTTGATGTCTTTTTGTTGTCTATACCCATCCATAGTCTGTTGTTGAAGGCTATGTGAGTTCTGCTGCATGTGAGCCAGTCAATAAATAACAAGCTGTCCGTTTTATTACATTTCAGTATGACACGATACAGGCTCCAGAAATAAGGATCTCCGGGAAAAACCTGATAAGGTCTAGTTCGTAAAGAAAGAAAGTAGATGGTGACACCAGTTTGGGAACGTACTATAAAGTTCCCGCCTCTATATGGGTGTGATCTGCCCCATGTTCAGCTTGCTCCTGGGTAAGTCGAAGAGTGCAAAACATGAAACATGCTCTATCTAATGAACACCATTACTTCCGTTAACTTCATTGCTTCCTTTGACATCCCTCGTAGCCTGCAAGAATTCAAAAACTCCAACATACAGTGATCCATCACGAACCGCTTCTTAAATGATGGATACTCAAGCTCCAATGGTCTTCTTGGGGCGGCCATCGATCTTGTTGTCCCCCTTGTCTCCAGCAATAGGGTGCTCAATCAAACCTCTATGCAGGGAACTCCCAATTTCTCGCGCACGAAAAGATAGATTGCCTTGGTGCCCTGTTCAAGATATTCAGAAGTGGTGGGCTTCCGAAAAAAGTGTCGCGGTGAACCAAGTACGAGTCCAGTATAAGGGCTTCAAAGGCCCTGGAGATCTCAGCAACATTCTTAATAGAGAATATAGCAGGTGTACGGTTGGCATGCGCCACAAGGGTTGTTGCCAGCTATTGGGATGCCTTGTGAGCGCGTTCGTCCGCAACGTACCACGCTTCCGCGAAAGTTTCCAGAACGAGTCGAAGAATTCGTGTTCAACGGCCGCAAGCCAGCCCTCGCTTGGCAAGAAACTCGCGATGAGTTGGCTGGCGGGATCTCTCAAGCTGGCGATGAAAGTCCGGTGGACCGTCCGCAAATCCAAGCCTTGACAGCCTGTATACAGGCAATTGGCGACAATCAAGGATAAGACCTCGACTGCAGCCATGGTCTGGCGCGCAGAGAGGAGACCTGGAGAATTGACGGCTTGGTTGTGCATCTCTGCGGATTGAACGTGGTTGATGACTGGATTTGCGAGGAAGCCGAGTTCAGACGTGTAGGCAGCAGTGTTGACGTTGATGCCCTTGAGGCTGAAGGAGAGGCCAGGGTCATCAGCCGCCAGATTGGGCGGGATATCATTGCTTTGGTCGTGGTTGATCATCTAGCTAGTCTGGCTGAAAAGCATCTTGCCGATGGACTGCAATGCCGGACGGATCTTCTCTGTGGCTGACGCGACTGAGGCGGCCTGGAAGTTGGCACCGCAATGAATGTCGTTGTCTAGAACATTGACAACGGGTTTGTCAGACATCGAGTTGAGCTCGGTATGGAGCTGCTTCTCAGCGCGGAGGAGGACTTCGAGCTGCGGCGAGATCCATTCGGGTGAGCTTCTCAATGCATAGCGCTCTTGGGTGAGCCCCGCCGAGACTCGGTCTTTAGTCTGCTCCAAACCATAGGACAGTTTTGATCCACAAAGGAATGTTAGGATGTTCTGTGCAGCCTCAATCAGTCCTTGGTGAGGGCGTGCTGCGGCAATGAATGGGTGTGCCGACTCGTCGTTCGCACAGGGCCTCAGATGATAAAGCACTCAACAGTAGATTTCATGCGGTAATTGTATTTCTAATGCATTAATCAGTAAAAATGTATTAATTTCTTGGCAATGCTAATGCCCCGAGAATCGGCTGTCATAGATCCGAGGGACTTCCATTTACTATGCAACCACCTACTTACATTAAACATCTACTAGAGACCAATTTCCTAGCAAGGTAGTAGTCCCAAATAGGAAACAAATGCTGATTTAAAAGCTCTACAACTTTGAAGGAATCCAGCTATTCTGCGTAAATCTCTTTTAGCAAAAGCAGAGAAAGGGAAAAATTCGAGTTGACGCATTTCCTGTTTGGGAAGATGCCCAATGCTTCCTAAGAATATTCACAGTACTTTCCGACGCTTCCTAAGCCAATTAGACTAGGCATCCTCACATTAGGATGCCGATAGAGCTATTCCTAACCCCTGATGTGTCGCCGGCGACGTAGGAATGCCTATAGGCAATGCCAGGCCGCAGTCTGCGCTCCCTAGGATGCCGTTGAAGCTATTCCCGACGCCTACGATGCAGGAATGCTCTCCGGCGACGTCGGGAGCTTCATTTTACTAGGGCTGCATAGTAAATAGAAGTACCTCGGATCCATGACCGCCGATTCTCGGGGCATTAGCATCGCAAGGAATTGATACATTTTTACCGATTAATGCATTAGAAATACAATTACCGCACGAGATCTAATCGGGTTTAGTTAGCGTAGGTAGAGTCCAAATGCTCAACATGGGGATCCTTTTAGTGATGCCCTTCTTTATATCTGTTTCCAACATATGATAAGGGTTGTTGTCTCTAAGCCTTTGAGCCCCACGCCGGGACTCCGCCGGATCTGCCTTGCCCGCCCGGCACTGAGCCCGTTTAGGTTCCAGCAACATGTAGTTAATGAGCGTACCGGGCTAGTAATTTTCACTCTCTCACCTGATGTTCACATCTCTCTTCTTATTCAGATTGAGTTCGAGAGTAAATTCAGCTCGTTAGCCGATCCGCAGATCATGTTAGATAGTCTGGACTCTTACCCTCGGTCTTGCATCGTATGACCTTGATAGGTAACCTTTTCTTCGCTACCCTCCTGCACAGTGGGAGCTATATGCGATTGGATAGTATTGCTGCTTTTAGTGTCCTTCTTACCTTTGGAATCTAGCGGACTTGTATAGTGTCTTGACTGCCCTGGAGTGAAGTACGGCCTGCCCTAACACAACCTTTGAAAAGTGTCTATCGAGGCAAGAAATTATCTTGTACAGATGGAATATACACTAAAAATACCGTATATTCGCGGTAAAATACGCCGGTTATCTCTTTGATCGAATATATAAGAAGGATCGGTTGCTGGATTTTGGTCCTATTTTGACCAGATAGTTGTTTATCTAAATATGGCCTCGACCCATGATGCGGAGAAGGGCCGCCTCTGCCTATGCCTGCCGATGACAGCCCCGGAGATCCAGACGGCGTGCCTGATCCCAACGTAGTGTTCTGGGATGACGACGCAGATCCTTCAAACCCTATGAACTGGAGCCCGACTTATCGTTGGTCACATATTGTGTTTGTTACACTTCTGGCCTTTGTCACGTATGTATCAATCCACACACTACCTTGGACAATACGGAGATCTCTGGCGGTAGGGGATAGATGTAATTGTTTATTCAGCCAGTGGGAAAGACCAGGGAGAACGAACAATAAAGTGACGAGATTGATAATGCCCTTTAGCGTGATGAGTGAACTGGCGCGCACGATGCTCCAAGAAAAGCGGTTCGAGGCATATTGAACAATAAGCTGTAGCGCTTGGTGACCGATGCTTGCAAGTAGAAATGCATCGATAGTGCTAAAAAGATTGGCACTCCAGGATGTCGTAGAGGGGGTTTGAATGTGGTTCCTAACAGATTGCTCGATCGTGAATTGCTTTTGATGCCCGAAATCTCGGCATTTCCCTGAAACAGCTAAGGCCAAGCATGAAATCCCGAAGATCGGTGTCCCATAAGTTCATACTCCGGAGCGGGAGCATCCCTGGAGGATGACGGCTTTGCTCCTTCTCCTCGGCCCATTGCACCGGCCGCTACGTGGATCACTGCGGCTTATTTTTGAAGTTTAGCTGAAGAACCCGTAGACAAGAGCCATGAACCATATGCGACTGTGCCTAAGTAGGATTTAGAACAAGTCACATTCGTCATCCCGTGGCTTGCTGTGATAGGATGCCTTGGTTGGACTTAGATGCTCAATTAAGAATACTCAGCTACAACGGAAAACAGGAAGTGAGGCTCAAACATCAGTTTTGCTTGGATAACACAAAAGCTTATGATTGTGAAGTCCATGTAGATTCAATCGATAATTGTTGCATGTTACCCACACTGTCCAGCATCTGCCTACCTACCCATTGTTTAAATCTAGCCAATATGGACCGGTATATTCTAGACACCAGGCTTCTTTCATTGCTTCCGCAGAGAAACAGAATTTCAAGCGTAAAGCTTTAACCTATATGGTTCGAATTTGGCACAGTAAAAAGCATAAGAGTGAAAGCATCATATGGACAGAAAATACCCTATGTTTTCCCCTTGTATTTCAATGCGCTGTTCTGGGCTACAGGGTTAAATAAGCCCGTGTGAACTTCTCTATGGTTTTCTGAGTTAATTGCCACTGGTCTACATAAACATCATAGTACTTCGTATCTAGGCAATATTTACTCGGAATTTTCGTTCCAATCATCAAAGGACCGAATCAGATCTAAAAATCGAAGTTAGTCAGATTGTCACCCATGGCAGTAATCAGAAAGGAAAAACCAACCGTAATACAGCATCATGCCTTCCAGATGCACATCCAACCGAATACGCTCATCCACTGTGTGAATGTTCAGCGCTCCTCCTGCCCGAGCTGGACTCCAGCGGTAAATATTCTTCGACAAAGGCCAATAGAAGCGTGTGTCTGTGTTTCCGGTCATAACATCACCGGTAACAACGACTTTAGGCTTGGTGTCGGACTTGGAAAGCGGGTTCGGGTGCGATTCAAAGACGCTACGTGCGACGCCAGAGAAACGCGCCCACACTTTCGAGGTGAGAGGGTCTGTGGGTGAAATTGGAGCTGGGATAAGGGGAACACTGAGAGGGGAGAGAGTGATAGTGCGGTCACTTGCATCTCCCTCTATGGGTTCCTCCACACCAGGGAATGCAATGCGCATCGTGAGGTTGTGCTCTTCGGCGATAGGAGTGATAAGTCGCACAGCGCGCTCGCGAAGCTCATCGGGTGTCTGGTGAAGTGCGACACGGTAGTTCACCACGGCCTGAATCTTCTCCGGTAGAGCATTTGTCTTAACACCTCCATGGATCAGATCTGTAGCCTGTGATGTTTGCATGGTATACCGGACCGCGGGACCGCGTGAGCTGGCAACGGCTTCTCCCAGAGCGGCGGGATCCTGTGCAGCCAACTTATCCGCAAGCCAAGTCTCAACGTGGTCGGGTGAGTAACGAGCCTGGCACTCGAGCATGCCGTGTGCCGGGTGGTCAGTATCCAACCAGGCAGGGAACAGCTCCTTCCGCTCGAGCTCATACAAGATCTGAGCCATGATACCAATACCAGTGTGCGCAGGCGGGATAGAGCTGTGGCCACCAGGAACAGCAATATCAAGGATCAGGTCGAGACTACCCTTCTCACCGACAGCGGGAAGGGCATACAAGACATCATCGTTAGCATCAGCTTCATTGCCCAGGCTCTGCAGACCCATGCCGCCCTCATCAAGAATGAAGTCGAACGCATCCTTGCCATACTTCTTTTCAAGTGCTGCTGAGATGGAACCAGCGCCTAGGAATCCGTGCGATTCCTCGTCGAAGCCGAAGGCAAACAAGACTGTGCGCTGGGGTTTCCAGTCTTGCGAAAGAAGGTCTTCGACTACGGACATCAGTCCAATCAGCACGTTCTTGCAGTCGCTTGCGCCGCGACCCCAGATCCATTCACCGTCGAAAACACCTGCAAATGGCGGGTGAGTCCAGTCTGAAGGATCGTCGATCGGGACAACATCTTGATGAGCCATGAAGAGGATGGGCTTGCGCGTTGTGTCAGCTCCTTTGAAGGTGAAGACTAAGCCGAGGCGGTTAATATGCTCAACCTCTGCGCGGTCGTGTCTATACAATGATCTTAGTACTTTCCCCATCTCTTTGCTTTACGGCTTCATGGGCCATTCAATGTTTAGGGTATGTTTCTTACACCAGAGGAAACATTTTCTCCAATAGCGATTGGAACTTTACCACAGGCTCGAATGCATCGTCATACGGGTCTTTCATATAGTCGCCCACGGTAGTTGGGACTTGCACCGCGCGCGAGAGACGATCGGCCTGGCGAGCGCGGAAAGCCTCGTCGGAGAGGAAAATTTCGGACGAGTGTAACCCATCATTCGGAGTTTCCACCTTGGGCGCTTGAGGGCATGTTTCCTGAGCAGAAGGTTTGGATAGAAGATTGTTGTAATAGCCGGAGAGCTCGGCGTCGGGGAAGAGAAGCTGTTGTGCGGGGATGTTGAGGGCCAGCGATGGCACAGAGACCAGCCCGAGAAGAGCAACAGGTTTCATTATGGAGTACTAATTATTCCCAGATAGAAAAGGCTGAGGGATCCGGAACGACTTTTCAACAAGGAATTGCTCATAGTTTATAGGCAGCACGTAAGGGCCTATCTTATCTTCCCCTCTCTTTGGGCTCGGCTGGCGGGCTTTGCCGAACGCGAATTGCCCTATCAGAGCCGCCTTTTTGCCGAGAGTTGGGGTTTATTGTAGTATTGCGGTCGCCTTGGATTGTAATAAAATCTTATTGCAAATATTACGGTTGAATATTAAGAGTAAGTAAGCAATATTGGCTGTCAAGCCATGGAAGATTAAACCTATCAAGGCCTTGGCATTAACTTAATAGGAATATCTGCAGAACCTGTCAGAACGTTAAAGATAAAATTTCATCTATAATCTCTTTCCGTGGCTAACATTGTCGGAGTTGCTTGAGGACCTCAGCTCAAGAGGAACTGCCGTTACCAAAACGGGGATCCTCAGGATTGTAAGGTGAAAAGAAAGCATAACTGTGATAGCTTGATCATTGTATATCGTGGTGATTATAATAGAAGGGCCTCGAGATTAGGAATGTTAGATAGACTTAAATATGTGATGAAAGTTACTTAGATGCCAGAAGCCAAACCAGCTTCCAATAAAGCCAAGATGAAGAATATAACAACAGGAAGCCTGGCGTGAGATAGACATTTCGAGGTATATATGCCGCTCCGAATACTCTACTTAATAAGGACAGATGATAAGCTGTGCGGGTTCCCTTGCCTCGCTTGTAGGTATTCATCTGGAAGTGCGACAGGGCTGTTGATCATCACTACCCTAACTCACTTGGGCGAATATACCGCAGGGAACCTCGACGCGATTGATGTGTCCAAAGCAAAGTGCAATCGAGCGATAGACTTGGCCCCTAGATGGTTGACCGCCTATCATTCGTTGGCTTCTAGTCTATAAGTTCATCTGGTGTGTAGTCTTCCGCTGCCCATCAGGTTGACTGTGTGATGCTGTTTTCTCTGGAGCTTGACTTTGGGTGTCCGTTTGGATGAAAAATTTGCTTTAAATCACGCAACTCTGTACATAGGGATCATCGGTAGGTCAGTACAAATCGCAACATCGTGGATAAATTGGGGGCGATCACAAGCCATGTGGTTTTCTCCACTGCTGGCAGCTCCGTAACTCGAGCGAAAATTAGGATCCCCATTTTTATTACAAAGCCCAACGATAAGCAAGAAATAGGAAAAGGGGGAGACACTGATTGACAGGGAATGTCTTGCCAAAAGGGAGAAAAGGGTCGAGTCAACCATGGGTCAGCCATCGAGTTACCACAGAGTTTAAAACCACCCCTGATGTCGAATGATCGTAGCTTCTACGCTTGTACAGGTTCCCCATGTGTGATTCCAACTTAGTACCGTAGGATACTTCAGAATGAACGGAATGGAGCAAGGGGTAATCAGCAGCAGTGTCAGATCTCTCTAGGCAACACCCACTTCAAAATCCCTCGATACTCAATCAAGTTAAGGCGGAAAACCAGAAACACGCGAACTCATCCTCGGTTTCAGTTATTTGGCTCCTTCGGCCCCATTCACCGTCATTGGCTTCTCGAAAAGGGAAGCAAGGCGCCACATCTGGGGATGCCGAGCGGGCGATCATCAGCTTGCGAACCAATGGGACTCCGACGGAAGTTCAATAGAGCATGTCGCTTAGTGTTTCAGGATGATCACTAGCTTCCCTCGCTCGATGACTAGAGGTTTGCGATGTCATCGGTCCCAGCCGTACTCCACAGAAAAATCATCGAAAATTTAGAGCCCGGGTGTTCCTGCAACTGAAACAAACCGGTCCTTTAAAGAAGCTTGTCGGTCCCTTTTTTCTCCTCACGCCTCTCACTCTACAACATTTCCCTCTCTAGTCGATCTTTTCTTTAATTGTCAAATACAACTATCGATCTTTCTTATCACAACAACACACTCTCTAATTGAACTCGCATACTTCCAACTACCACCCACAATGCATACCAGCTACATTGTCGCGGCCCTTGCTCTCGCTCTTCCCGTGTACTCGACCCCTTCGGGAAATGTGGGCTGCTACTCCGACGCTGGTTCTCTGAAGAACAAGGGACCCTATAGCTACCAATCCCCCGGATATTGCGAAGAGGTCTGTTTACGTGACGGTCACAAGGTCGCCGCCCTTACTCGTGGCAACATGTGCTACTGCGGCGACACCCTTCCTTCGCAGTCCGCCAAGGTCGATGACGACGAATGCGATCAGGCGTGCATTGGATGGCCCTCCGATAGCTGTAAGTCACTTGAGAAGTACATGCCGCATGAACAAACCCAAGGACAACAACTGACCAATTTTTTCCACCTATATAGGCGGCGGCAAAGATACCTTCACTGTCTACTGGATTACCGAAGACGACGCGGAAAACTATGCTCCAGAGAACAGCTCGACTACCGCTGCACCCACCGCTGCCACAGCTGCCACCGCCGCCGGTGGAATCATCGTCGCGCCAACCGCAAACTCCGCCCCAAGTGGCATCGTGACTGCGCCCTCATCTACGAACTCCAAGGGCGCCAGCGCAATCGCATCCAAGTCCGCCAATGCCGCCTCTACCGCGGCCACATCAGCCACCGCTTCAGCCTCGCCCACCAACAACGCCGCCGGCACCATCCAAGTCGGATCCTCGCTGATTGGCGCCGTTGTTGCCGGCATGGGTTTGCTTCTCTGAGATGCCCTGGTCTTGAATCTCCGGTGATTGAAACTGCAACGGTACTATCTTTTGTTTGTGTCCTTGTAATTCGTGTACATTGCATGTACAGATATACACCCCTCGCTGGTTGTCGACAAGCTCGTCATGATACCGGGGATAATATCCATCTTTTTTGACTCCCCCTGTGCTTAACCCGCTGGTCGGGTCGGGATGGATGCATTTACTGCCTCTCTTGGGATGGGCATTCTACACTCCTTTTTATATTGTGGGTTCAATACAACCACTTTAGATTAGCATTACTGCTACCGAATGGACTTCGATATCTTTTTCGGGAATTTCAGGACTTGCCAATAACCTTAAAGAGCTAGTTTAGATGTTCTTTTGCAGATTATCCCACATAAGCCCTTGGACACGTAACTGTCCAAGTTGATGCCGACAACTACTTTCTTTGACTTAGCTTTTGTCACTCGTTATATACTGCAATGAGATGTCGCCCGTAATATGAATATCATTACCTTATTGAACAGCGCGCGAAAGCTATCTGCTATAGTTGATGTTTGTGCTCCCTCTGTTCTAACAATCAACCATGAAAAGAAACCCTTAGAGGATCTTGCAAATGAGTAAACAGTAATTGGCATCTGAGAACGTTCTCATGGTTGTTCTCATAACCAGGGGGGCAGAGAGCAATCACTACCCTAAGAATTCCCCATGCTGGTCACCAACTGCGCTGAAAAGTTTGTGGATCAAGCGGACTTCGAAGCATACGTTCGCGGAGCAATCAAAAGCGCATCACGCCCTCAGGTGTTGGTGTTTACAAAAGTCAGCTCGTTGTGGGGCGGAAGGACAATTGATTTGATCGAGGACGGTCACTTAGGCGGGCAAGTCTCAAGATACATGTCCTCCCTAGCTGGGTCTTACTAAAGGTTGATATTATAGAAAATCTGGTGACGATCATGCCCTCGCCGATCCATGATGCTTGTCGATCTTGGTGGCATCGTACAGCTACAAGACTGCGAGGATCTAGGGATTATACCCTATATGAGGAATTACAAATGGACCTAAGCGTCAGCACAAGTGAGTCATGCCACGCTTCTCTCTACAGAGCTCTTACTAATTTCCCATAGCTCTTAAGTTCATATGGGGGACCATATGTATCTTCCCGGAAAGAGCCCGACTTCTTCCTTTGGACAAACGCAACTCGTCTTCCGTCATTTCATTTGACCTTGAAGTGAGAAGGGAAGTAAGGACATCATAGCATTAGTATCCACTCGTCGGCGAGGGCTTACACCAGCCAAATAACGATATACAAAAAAAGAAATTGACGAAGCGAAAGCAATGAAGAAAGAAAACAAGGATGCCGCACATTTGGACCTAGGGTATCTCGAAAACACAAAAACTACCGAAAAGCTCAAGGGGGAGAAAATTACTGGAAGTTCTACTTGGGGGCGTGCTCCAGCCCCGGAGGAAGCTCTCGTCCCTCTCTGTAGAGCAAATTGTTAGCAATGATCTTAGCACTGGGGCGAAAGGATGTCTTACCGGGTGAACTTGCGACGCAAATTGCGCGCACGGTCCTTCAGGTTCACCTGACTACGGGACTCGAGCTTCGGCCCGCCCGCAGTCGCAGGACACAAGTTGTCGTGCTTCTGAATTTTCGCGTATGAGGAGCCGAACTTAGCCATGAGTTGGAGCAAACGCTCGTCCTCCACCTCAGTCCACCGGTTATTGGCCTTGCGAGTGTAACCGCCAGAGTGCCGGTTAAGCTGGGCCTCCCAACGCGATGTACTGGCACTCTTTTCAGGGGTGGTATCGGCCTGGCTTTCATTTACTGGAGCTGCTACAGCAGAGGGTTGCTGGGATTGGCTGGTCTCATTCAAGCTTGATTGGAGCTGCTGAGCCGCGCTTTCGGACCTCGTGCTAGCCTCAGTACGCTGTTTCTTTGCCACAGGGAAGTTTTGCTGGGGTTTTTCGGCCCTGCGATCGACATCGCGGTCATCTTCTTCGAAAGCAGCATCATCAGAGAAGTCACTAGAGTAGGAGGTGCGTCGAGCTCGCTTCTTCTGGTTGGCGTCACTTGGCACTGAGTGTTGTCTCTCTGCGCTCTGGACATAAACGGAGCTGATTGGCGACACTTGGGCACGACTCTCCTGGGCATCAATGAACCGAGGACCTGCGGGCAGAGTGTTTCTAGCGGGTGGTCTTCCTGTGGCTATTCGCTGCGTGCTTTCATCGCCTGGCGAATCGAACCATCGGCCTGGGTTATGGCTGACCCGATTAATCCTCGCAGAGGCCGAGGGGCTGGTCGAGGCCATGATTCCACTTTCTTGTTCCCGGCTGAGATCCAGTTCCTCGTCGTTGTTATGCAACGTGGAGTCTTCCGCAAGGCTAGGATATGTGAGGTCCGGTAATTGCTGAATCTCGCGCTCGGGGAACTCTTGATTAAAAGTCGAGGGTCCGGGAAGGTCCCTGTGGTTCGTGGTTCCTGCATCCAGAAAACGATTTGGTGCCTGCGACTCAAGGACAGACAAATCTTGTTGACGGCTGTTATCCATGCGGTTCTTGAGAGCTGCCATGGAGGACGAGTTTCGATAATGGCTACCGAGAAATGTTAGCAGCTGGAAAGAACGAGATTTTGCTTCACATACCTCTTGGACTTCCGTCTTTCAGGTTCCATCCTAGTAGGTTGTGCCTGAGCGCGGGCAACTTGTTCGGAAGACTTTTGAGGTGTGGCCCGTGGCTGGGAAGCCTGGACCTCGGGTTCGTGGTCAACAACCGGAGCCGGTTCCACAGTGCGTACCCTTTGGAGCGACCGGGATTGCTGGATACGTGGTTCTAGGGCACGGCCTTTCTGGGGTGTAGACAACACCGAACCTTGACGCAGGTTGGCCGGGCCGACCGAGGCTGAAGCCAAGCGACGTGAAGACGCTCTTGTCGCCTGGTCATCTGAAAGACGCTTCAGGTCTTCCTTGATCTCCTTGTCACGCCCTTGGATCCAGCGTGCAAGCTCCCGCTCGAAGAAGCGCAGTTTGTACAACCTTTTCAAACTGTCGACACCATCATCGCAGATTTCATCGCGAAGGTCGCCGAATCTCTCATACACGGCTTGTTGAAACTTTTCGGGCAGAGTCTCAGGAAGATGCCCATCCTCATCCTGCAGGACATCAGGCAAGTTAAAGCCCCTGAAGGAGGTAGGTGTTTCTTGGTTGTCATTTTCACCAGGTATAAGGTCCATGCAGAATATCTGTCGCAAGATAGCGATTGGATCAAAGTCTCTGAACTCACGACGCCTTTCCAGCTCCATTATGAAGAATTGGGTTCGAATGCTTAGAGCGAGATCGAATGTCTCCTGCTTAAGCTCGGTTGCTCCGACTGCGCCAACGGTGGTTCCGTCCGCAAGGCGGTCCACGAAGCACGCAGGAAACTGAGCATCCAGCTCTTGGATGACTTGCGACTTGTCCTCGGTGCCGAGGCTTGGAAGAAACATGTTTAGGGCCAACAGAGCACAGTTGGTGAGATATAGGCTTGGAAGGGATCCCTCCAGCTGAGCGGGTGAAAGCCGTTGACGGAATTCGGAGATGTCTAGAAATGTCCTGCCTTGGCGGACAAGAGGCAAGTCGCTCAATTCGTCTTTCATGCCTTCAACGAAACGCCTGAGGCGTTTGCGATTCGGGTTGGTGTGATCAGCGAGTCTTTTAGCCTCCTCTGCAAGAATACTCGGCATCAAATCCTGGGGGATAATCAGTCCCAGGACATTTATCGCTTCTTGTTGGACATGAGGCAGCTGTCTTGCGATCTCATCGGCGACGTGAGCATTATTGGGCTCCAGATCATTGGGGCCCAAGGTTGTACCGGAGACATTAGTGTGACCTTCATGATTCTCCGGCGACTCAGGTACAACTTCCCGACGACTGGGTGTGGGATTCCTCGGGGAACTTGTCAAAGGCTCTTCTGGGAGGCGGCTCAGCCCTGAATTGAGTCAGAATAAATTCCGAAGTGGACAGTGCAGGTACAGAGGATTAAATAAGGCAGTAAGACATGAAAATGCGCCAACAATAACAAATGGCATGAGAAACCAATGAGTCTTCAACCCTTGAGTGAAGGAAGCCATACTTCATGAATGCCAAAAACAAGTGTGGTAGGATAGGATAAGCTCAGACTTGAAGGAAGCAACGAGGATCAAGTATCTTACAGTTGCGCCCAAAAGACACTCCAGTGCCCATGGCACTTTTGGAAGGTAGGACATTATCAACATCTCGGCTTTGGCTCCTCGTGATTCGACGTGGGTTTGGTGACGCGGTAGGAGCCATGGAAGGCGGTGTATCTTTCACGTGGAGAACCCTCGCGTCGCAGCGTTGTTTGCGATCAGATTATCTCTCCTCAACAAAGACTGGGTAGATCAAGAGTCAGACCGACGAAAGCGACCTCTTCTAGATAGCCTTTGCGTAGAATGAAGCGAATCTGATGGGATGTGGTGATGATAGGAGTGGGAAAGAAGAAATGATGAGGGTTTAGGGGTTGTTTGCCAAGAGAAAGAGGACTTGGCGCGTATCAATATTCTTCCGTAGGGTATCAGACCGCTTTGGGATGTCACCTGACAAAGTAAAGTCCGGAAAAGGTATAGTCTTAACCCTAACCCTCCAGACCCTAACCTTAACCCCAAACCCTACCTCTGAAGTCACTTCCCCGGATTTGCAAGAGCGGTCTCTGGCGGTACCGCCTCGGGCTCGGGTGCATTGTTTGGCGACTCGGCTGGCAGAACAGCAGATGACAAACTCCCCTCGCCTGAGGTACATGTATCTTCCTGTCCACTACAAAACACCCTAGATTTACTTCCCTTCTGGGAAGTAGACTCAAGTCATATTCTGCCTTTGGCAGCACCATTTCTCGCTCATAGGCCGAAAACACTGTACGTTACACCATGTTCAAGAGGTGTCAAAAGTTCTTTCTCGGCTACAAGGCAGGATGCAGTAGAACCTGGTATGACTCTTTTTTTGGAAGTAAGCACTTCGGAGACCTGACACGCTCACTGTAGTGGTGCATCCGAAGAGCCTTCATAATATTTGGTGACGTGCTGACCACAGCCTGTCTCTTTGATCAGGGATTGCAAGGAGGGTATATACTCAGACAACTATACTCCGACACACATTATATCTATTACTTGAAGGATTTGTCACATTGAAAACCTGGCCATTGAGTGGGCCAGACACAGAATTATATCATTAAAACAGAGATATATCACAAAGATGCAATCGACTTTTACAAGCAATCAACCGCCAAAAACTGTAAATGAGGACCCATAAACACATACAACCGCGGATATGCAGCGCTCTAAAAGATGGCTTCTATGAAGTAGATGACGCCAAAAACGAGGAATGCAACAGCACCGCCAAGAGTCACTGAAAATGTCATGATTAGCCTTGTTCTTAACCAAAATAAGAGGATAATATGGATACATACCAACACGCATGCTAACTCGGCCAGCGATGGCCCGACCACCAATTACAGCGGCGGCCGTGCAGATTCCATGACCGGCACTGGCTCCGATGGTCACCCACCAGTAGTCCTGTCCGGCTGCCATGGCGATCGTGGCGATCTGGCTGCGGTCACCCCATTCACCGAGGAAAGTCATAGCAAAGGTCTGCACCCACGCGGGGCTGAGAAGCAGCGAGAAGAGGTTGTTCAAGCCCGAAACGAGATCGTTGAATCGCTGACGGGGTTGAGGAGAAGAGCCACGGGAAGAGGAAGAGGAGACACTCTCTGGAGGAGAAGGCAGGCGGTTGCCAGAGCCGCGGGTCTTGGGGCGGCCAGCGCGACCGGCCTCGAGAGAGTGGAGAGTAACTGAAGAGCGACGGCGGTCCATACGCAGCTGCTGGTGCTCCTTCTCCTCCAGTTCCATCTCAACCTCGCGCATTTCTTCGCCGACACCCTCATCCGGAGACATTTCACGACCTTCCTTCAGCATCTTGACGCCAAAAATCAGGAATAGAATAGCAGCCATGAATTTGGTGAAGGTCTTCGGGATTAGAGTAGGGACAGCATGACCTAGAACAGCTGAGAGGACTGTCATGCCAATCAAGGCGCTGAACGCAGCTGTGAAGACCACCAGACGGGGGTGGCGCATTGCCATGAGGGCAGCAACAAGGAATGTCTTGTCACCGATCTCAGAGACGAGAATCATGGTGAAGGAGAAAACGAGGGAGTGCAGCGAGCTGCCTTGCTCGGGGATGTCAGAGCTTGAGTCGTGGTTCAATGAAGAAGAGCTGGAAGATGAGCCTGAACCGAGGGAGCCATGCTCAAGAGCGAGCGGATCATCGTTGACCATGGCCGGGGGCTTAGGGTGAGGGATATCGTGTGGCTTTTCCGGTAAATCGGCGGGTTTCTAGAGGCACATAAATTAGACGAGTTGTGGACGGGGTTTCGTCACTCAGCCAATTGAGGAGAAATCTTACCTCAAGCATCCCAAGAGTACCATCACCCTCTGCAGACCGACTTGCACTGCCAGTGATTGTACCATCGCTGTCAGACCCCAACTTCTTTGTCTCGCCGTGCGGCAATGGAGGCGCCTCCTTCGGGCTACCAGGCACCTTTTCGGATGTGTATTGGTTCCCCTTTCCTTTTTCCGACACACCACCTTCGGTGCCCCGAGTGCCTTCTTTCGGGCCCGCACGATACGGATCGTCCATGACGCCGCCGTTCGAATGCGGGATCACCTTCCCATCTTCAGTGCTGATGTGCTGCGACGAGGGGATCTTCGTGTCGTATTTTGTTGAGACTGGGTCAATATCCTCGCTTCCCTTGCCGCTCTTGCGATCCCGGTCTCCGCTGGTTTCCACCCATGGGCCAGCGTGCGGTCTGCCATCCTTGCCATCCACGGGGACGTCCAGCGCCCCCTTGGCAACATTGGATGCGACTGTGCCTGAATCAACGGAGGGAGAATTGACATCAGAAGCACCACGTGAGACCCGGGAATTTATTTTGTCATTATATGTGGCGTCTGTGAATGCGGCCGAGATGGCGGGAAGGAGGAAGAGAAGGAATGACGACGACGGGTTAATCTTCATTGTGTCGGCTTGTCCCGTGGAAGGAGTGAAACAGGGCCAAATTAAAGATGATTGAAAAGAGAATCGATAGCTCCTGAATGTCAGAAGAGGTAAGAGACAAAAAGCTGTTATCGAAAGTGGGTGAATTCTTTGATGCCACGACACCAAATCGGGTGCGGAGATTCGAGGCCAAGACCACGCTGGTCAGGCAAGTATGAATGAGCGACGTAGGGAGAGATAGAGATACCAAAATGAAATATGTCAAGCAGATCAAGGAAATCAAGGAGACAACACGAGCTCTTTCCTGTCTGGAAGGCAAAGGGGGTTCACGTGACCACCCGGAAACGGGCTGTAATCCCGTCGATCTGATTCATCGGACGCAATGGGGAGTTGGGCACTGCCATTCTGCTGTGGCTTGTTTCACGATTGGGAGACTGCAATGTGCCTGGTGTGTCGAAATCCTACTGCAAGATGTCACAACAGCTCGTTGCTTGAGTGCAACACAGGAACATTTACATCGCACTTTATCTTGAACTGTTACACAAAACAAGCTCCTTGTTACAAAAACATAGATCCTGTCCTTGTCAGTGTCCAATATAGTACAATGGCTATCTAATGCTGTGTAACACCCAAATCTTTTCAATTCGAATGAACTTTGCTCAGGTTCATAGCAATATCATTCCCGTCTTCCCCTGCAAGGTACGCGATCTCAACAACGCGTCGATCGGGGCCCTTCTCAATGCCGCGGAGAAACCTATATGTTTCAAAATGCCAGGAACGCCTCTGGGTGATGTTGATTGGACAGAAACGGGCTGAAGAATGTAACCGAATACATAAACCCACGAGAGTAGTAGTCTTCAGCCGCAATTGGAACTCGATATCGTAAAGAAGCAAACGATGCTACCTAGTGACATCCAATGCCAGCCATAATGTTTATTTTCAATGAAATGTTTTGACTACAGCAGCCCGTCAACCAAATCAAGTAAAAGATCCATAAATAAATACCCCAAAATAGTCCGTCGATCCTAGCCGATAATACCCTGGCCTAAGGCGTAAGTGGCGTCTTTTTTCATAGAGATGCGAACGGATTGCCCAGCATACAGCATCGTACAGGACAGTAGCTCAAGGGACAGATCTCAGTAGATGACAACATAGATAGCCCGAGTACGAAGGCAAAACATTGACATCCAACGGTATAGAGAGCCCCAAGTCTGACTCCTTCCCCCCGCAATGAGCGATCTGCACAATGACGGCAGCCAAACGCCCATCAAGTCAGCTGAGACCCCAAAAGACATCATCTGAACAGTCAGCGCCGAAACCCCATTGAACACATGTCACTTTATATCCTCGAATAAGCGCAGCAAAACTCTTTCAGCGAGCGCCATGTATGCTCCGAGATAGGGCGGCTTGGCATGCCACCAAGAATGGCCGCGTGCATTTGGCAATTTCGTAGTATTGAGTGCATATTAAGCTTCACCGCAGATTGACATGGACAGGGACCGGATGTCCATGTACGTACAACGTGGTTGAGTGCATATAATTCCGTTTCAAATTGCATTATCTTGCGCGTAGTGCGTGGCCCCAGCTCCACTTGCTCAAGAAGAGTGTTTACTGGACCCATGAGATGCGTATTAACGACATCGTGCTTGGGGAAGGTTGACACTGCCCGGAAACGGTGTGCTTATCGGGGTTTGATGGAGGACCCTGCGCTATGCTCCGGGAAATTCATCGGCACTATACATTTACCTATGCGAGAGGATATTTGATCTATAACCTCACAAAGCAAAGATACTCGAAGGCTACCTGGATTAACCTCAGCAAGTGTGCGACCGGCATGGTACTAAGCGGGTACCTTGAGACGACTCACCGCCCCCCGCTGCCACATGAGATCGTCAATCACATCATTTTCTTTATCTCACTCCGCGTGATATACAACTGCCACTATATATTACCTCCGGTTCTCACTTACTTTGATCTTTAAAAGCTATGCCTTCAAGTGGTTCTTATCCACCCCCTGGGCTGATTCGCAAGCGTTGATCCCTTTCTCCTTTATCATCCTTATCAGTCGAGCATTCATTTTTGGGCTGTTTCGCGAGGTCGTTCTTCCCGACGGCATTTTTGGGCTTGTAACCAGGTTCCAGGCGTTGACCGTGAGGGATTCCTTGTGTATCCTGTTGGCTACGGTGTCCAAGATAAATGTGAGTGCTCCCCGAGTCATAACCTCATCGTCGAGTCTTCATTTCCTGGTGCTTGCATTGGACCCAGAGACCCTCGCTAATATGTGTATAGCTCACTTGTTTCGCAAAGGGACTAGCCAGGGTAACTCAGCTCTAGTTCCTCTGCACAAAATGGTATCGCCTGCAGAAGGCCGCTTATCGACGGTGGAGGAGAACGTGGTGACGGACCCTGTTCAGCAGCAGCCTGCTACCTCACGTTGGAAGCGGTTATTTGGAGGAAAATCCACAGAAGATCCCGAGTCTGGCGGGGATCAGAACTATCGCGCAAAATCAACGCTGGGGATTCTCAGTGACAAACAGACCGACGAAGTCCCTGGTAAGTTGAGAGTTGATCTATATACAACACTATGAAAAGGAGACTGACCTGTGGTTGATTTAAGGAACGGTCCTTCTCCTATCATCGAATCGCAATGAACCTTTGGGCATGAGACATCAGCCGCACCGGACCTCAGCATCCTCTATTTCGTCTTACAATCGCTCACGATCTACCTCTCGATCCCGGTCCGCGGTGGCAAAGAAGAGAACACCCGATGGACAATTCGTACTTGATCCGCAGCCAGATGACTCTGTGAATGACCCTTTGAACTGGCCTGTATGGCAGAGAGATGCCGCGCTGCTCTCCCTCGGCTTCTACTGCTTGATGGGGGGCGGTATGACACCAATTTTGGCGGCTGGATTCAATGAGGTTGCAGATGAGTACAATGTTAGTACACAGCAAGTGGCCTTCACTACCGGGTTCTACATGTTGGGCCTGGGTCTGGGATCAGTCGTGATGTCACCCACTGCGATTCTCTATGGGAAACGACCTGTCTATCTCCTGGGAGCATCCCTGTTCGTCATCTCAGCAATCTGGTGTGCTGCCTCACCAAATTACCCCAGTCTCGTCGTCGCTCGCATTTTCCAAGGCTTCGCAGTAAGCCCCGTTGAGTGTCTTCCGTCTGCTACCATTGCCGAGATTTACTTCTTGCACGAGAGAGCCTACCGAGTTGGCATTTACACGCTACTACTACTGGGTGGAAAGAACCTTATCCCTCTAGTGAGTGCTGCCATCATTGGAGGTTTGACCTGGCGCTGGGTATTCTGGATCGTCGCGATTATCGTAGGCGCATGTCTGGTATTACTGTTCTTCTTTGTGCCCGAAACATTTTGGGACCGAACCCCTCGCCCTCGCCAGCATAAACAAAAACGTCCACGTCTCCCAGGCCGCAGTGTTTCTGACCTCGTCCATCACGGATTTCGTGGGAGACGCCCGCACGTTCCACTCCCGGAAGAACCTGCTGAGCCTATGGATCACTCAGAATTGAACTTGTCACCAAGAAGGTCCAAGCATGCGCATGTTGGGTTTGCAGATGATCAAATGGAAGGTGGAAGCCACGGAGTGGACATAGAAAAGACCGACTTCGGGACCGGTGCCGAAAATACCACCGCTGGTGATCAAATCATATCCGAAAACTCTACTCCGGCCACTGAGAAGGGTCACGATTCCTTGCAAGTGCCACCTCATGCTTTTGTGCCTGGGGCAAATCCGGATGACTTGGAAGCATCTCGTCCGGCCGCCTCGCCTGCAAGGTCCGAGTCACAAGAGCCCGCTGGGCAACCTTTAACCGCAACCCTACAATACACCAACCGACTCCGTGAGCGCCCAAAGATCCCATTCTCTCAGCTCCTCAGGGTATGGAATGGAAGAATCGCACAAGACAGTTGGTACCGAGTCGCTGCACGACCCTTCGTCCTGTTCGCTTATCCATCCGTGCTCTGGTCAACAGTGGTCTACGCACTATCCGTCGGCTGGTTGATCGTGATATCGGAGTCCATTGCACATCTCTACCAAGGCAAAACACACTACAACTTCACCGCACTTCAGACTGGCCTGGTCTACATCTCGCCCTTTGTCGGCGGTCTCTTGGGAACTGCAGTAGCCGGCAAGGTATCCGACATCATCACGCGATATCTCACCAAACGCAATGGGGGTATTTACGAGCCCGAGTTCCGTCTTGTGATGGCTATCCCCATCGCTTTGTCCACTGTCATTGGGTTGATGGCCTTTGGTTGGAGTGCCGAGATCAAGGACAACTGGATTGTGCCTACTATTTTCTTTGGTCTAATCTCTTTTGGCTGCTGCTTGGGCAGTACCACTGCCATTACCTTTTGCGTGGATAGCTATCGCCAATACGCCGGTGAAGCGCTTGTCACATTGAACTTTAGCAAGAGTATGCTACCCCTACCTGTGAATATCATGTTTTTTTATCCCAGCTAACTGTCTTATCACAGATATCCTCCATGGCCTAATCTTCTCCCTTTTCATCGTGGACTGGCTGGACGCCGAGGGGTCCCGTGATGTTTTCCTCGTCATCGGTGGTATCCAGCTATTCTTCATGCTCCTGACGATTCCAATGTACATCTATGGCAAACGAGCTCGCATGTGGACAGTGCGCAAGCAGCTCATGGAACGTTTCTGATCTAGATCATTGTTTTGTTTCTTTTGCGGAATATCTTCTAGTTGCATATAGTTTACTTACACATACACCATGAGATTCTTGACTGTGGCTGTTGTCGTCTCGGCCATTTTCGCATGTCTCTTCCGGCGATTTACGCAGCGGGGGCACTCGGAGGTTCATGGAATCATCGGGGTCTGTCTTACTTCTTTTCGGCGTTTGCATCTAATCTATCTTAACGATTAATCCATTACTGAATTCTCAGTATCATCCGTGGATCTGTTGCTTATACCTACCAGGGTGGTTTTGCACTTTCCTCTTAGAAATCCGCACAAATTGGACTCTGCGAATAAAGTTTCCGCTAGGATCAGATAAGAAGCCCCTCCTAACTCCGAGCGTGGTCTGACACTGACCGAGCTTGGGAGCGGATCTGGGACCCATGTGGTTTGAGCCTGTTTATAGAAAAAGAAAAAGAATCGATAACAAGCGGGACTTAAGAACCTAGCGAAGGCTCTGCAAGAAACCGAGCGATACATGGAGGATTCCACTGTGGATCTACAAACTGTCGTTAAGATTGCTGTTGGGGAACATCCCAGGCTATTTCCGCCGACGTTCCTCCGATTTGGAGCGCTAGAACCTAAAAAAACTCGATTGAGCTCTTTTTTAGGACAAACCCCCGATCCCAGTTCATCTTATCTGATTGAGACTCCGCTGTACCATTCCTCAAGACGTATGCTTCCCTGCACATTTTACGTATTTCCCGTCAGCCCAGAGTCTCGGACTTGTGTGCCATTCTCAGCTCACCATGCCGTTTCCTGCCAAGAAACTGCTGGCCCGCTGAACCTTTTTATCAATCTCCGATATCGATCGGCGTATAAGTAGTAGGGCGGTACTCGGGCATTTAGGTTGGTCCAGAATTTTATTTACCTTGTTGACACAGTGCACCACCTATCCTTGTGCTCCTTTTCTGGGATCATTCCAGATCAATCGGGATCATGCCTGTCGACGAGGCGGTTTCGAAGACAGTGGTGGGTGTGGTCTCTGAGCCTGTTGCTAAAGACAAATCCACCCCCTCGGAGGAATCATCTGACAATGACAATGACTCTGACGATGGGAGGAGTCCCCCACCACTACTTGCAAAGCTATGCGCTGTTATTTTGATATCGTGTATTAGCTTTGGCTCGCACTGGAGTTCTGGTGTCACGGGTGCTATGAAAAGCACGATCAAAAAGGTGTGAAAGCATTCGTCGATGCAATGTGGAAGGCCGGCTGATGATTTCTTTTCTTTTTCGCAGCAAATGCACATTGACAATGTTCAATTCTCACTTCTAGAAGCAAGCGAGAATTTCATGGCCACAGTGCTGCTTCTGGCCAGTGGTATAATTACCGACCGAGTCGGCGGAGCAGGTATGTTGATTAACAACAATCCCCAAACCCGCGAACATGCTGACCATCATTACTTGGATAGAAATGATCGTCTACGGAAACATCGTGTACACCATCGGGTCGATCCTCGTCGCTGCTGCCACGACCGTGCGCTCGTTCAACTTTATGATCGGAGGTCGGATCGTCCTTGCGCTAGGGGACATCGCCACACAAATCGCGCAGTACAAGATGTTTTCTTCCTGGTTTCCTCCTAGCAATGGATTTGCTTCCACACTCGGGTTTGAGCTTGCGATTGGCAAGATCGGTGGATTTGTCGGGAAATCAACAGCCAATATCATTGCAAAGGTATGGTGGTACCTGGGTCGACTGCCACAGAACAAAGCCTAATGAATGGACAGAACACCGGTAACTTCGCATGGGTCTTTTGGACATCGGTCTTCATGAACCTATTCACGAATTTTGCCAGTGCCGCGTTCTGGTTCTTCAACAAGTACTGTAATCGCAAGTACAAGGGCCGGTATGACGCAGCAACCAAGGAGCAACTCACAGAGAAGAACAAGAAGTTCGAATTCCGCAAGATGTTCGAGCTACCATGGATGTTCTGGTCTATCATGGCATTCTCTGTGTTCCAGACGAGTTCAGCCACGGTCTTTAGCCAGAATGCGACCGAGCTGGCTGAAAAGCGGTTCAATGTTGATGCCATCCAGGCGGGTTGGTATAGCTCTCTGTCGCAATATGCAGGTATGGTGTCACTAGAAGAATGGCTGCAAGGATTAGGTCCGGACTGACAATGGACAGGGTTCTTCCTTGTTCCATGTGTGGGTATTTTCATTGATGTGCTCGGAAACCGAGCATCTGTCTGTGAGTTTGTCAAGTCAGATCCAAAACAATCGCCGCTTAACTAATTTCGGAATTCCAGTGTTCACTTGTGGTCTTGGCATGCTGTTGAGTATGGTTCTCATCAACTTCGCGACATCCGAAGCAGGGACAGGAGCTTCGTTCGGCATCTATGCCATTGCCCTGTCCTTTGGACCCACTTCGGTCATTGATAGTATTCGCACCACGCTCTGGCACCAATCGGTTTTCGGGTCTGCATATGCATTGAAGGTCACCATGAACAACGCGTAAGATTGACCATGTCCCCCGCCATTGAGAACAAGAGCTGACCTTGATGACCATAACAGGATGAGCATCATTATTCGCATCATCACCGGAGCTCTGCAGGATGCAGATGATGATTCATACCGCCGTGTGGTGCAGGTATACCTCGTTCTTGCTGCTGGATCCTTGGTAGTTGGCTCCGCCATTCTGATCGGCTCTTTCATGACCGACAATCTGGCACCGCTTCAGTGGACTCGACAGAAGCGATTGAGTTCGGGAGCGGCAATTATTGATAGGATTCGAGAGCGCAGCTTAGTCACTGAGCGCCGTCGCACACGCAACATCTCCATAGTCAGCTTTGGAGCGCTGGGGCTGTTGGTACTCGGGGCGTGGGCGGCATATATTTGGGGTGCAATTACGGGCAACAACTCGTAGGGGGTTTTGAGGCTCCAAACATGTACTTGGACAATGACTGTTAAAAGCTTTGTGAGACATCAATCAATCCCAGGCTAATATCAATTGACAGCCATTGCTATCTTTAGCTGGTAGTGGAGTTGATCGCCCATAAGCCATTGCTTATCTGGGTACATAGGATCCTCACGCAGGTCAACCATTTATTGTTGCCACCGGCGTCATAGGCTTGGGCGGCGCTAGTTTCGGGGCATAAATGGCGCATGGCTGGCTTGAATGACGACATGGCTTGCTGCGGAATGCCACTAGATGCAGATTGTCCATGCTGGGATATCGATACTCCTTCGCAATAGGGGCAAGAAGATGGACACTGGAGCAAAGAGTTGACTCTGAAGTATTGATGGTAAATGCCGAGTTGACCCTGGTTCCACTTTTTTTCCTGCTCGGTGCCTGATCTCCGTGGCCAATAATGTGGCCTGTGGCTGAACCAATAGTGTTTGGCCTCAGGCAGCCACATGGGTCATCGTTGGTCCTCACAGCCACTCAAACCCTCTTTCTTCCACATTCGAAGATCCTCTCGCCACTGTGGACGCCCTCCTTCAAGCCCTCTCCGCTATGTGCTCCATATGCATGGCGCGGCATGGGTTTGCATTCTCTGCCAATATGTCGATCCCACAATGAAGAGCAATCCCTCGAGTGGGAGAGCTTATGAAGCGGTGGAGCTCCAGTAAATGACTCCAAATGTGCACCGAGCGTCCGATCTCACTAATTAAATCATATGGAGCATTTATCCCCTCATCCCCTCGCCAATGCCCGTCTCCACCTGACTGATTAGATTCCTGGCTGCGTGAGCAGCCGAATTTCTTGTCATTCCCTGGAACCAGTCTGCGTTTCACCTGACTCGCTACTTTTTTCTTTTGGTTGCATGCTTTTGATTGCATGTGGAGAGCAGCCTCTGGACCTGAAATCCCACTTTTCTCTCCATTTCGCCTCCGAGTGATCAAGCCACGCCGACCACTTCAACACTTGTCTCCCTTTTCCGTCACTCCTTTTCCGTTGCTGCCGCTACTGCAAACCGAACCTCACGAGCCTCGTCACCCCATTCCGGTCATCGCGATTCTGACCGTCCCCTCGAGTTTCTCAACCCGGAGTACGAGGATGCGCAACTGCATTCTTATTTCTCCCACGCTATCGGCAGACTATGGAGGACCCTAAGACCAAGCAACAGGTTCAGCACAATGCAGACCGCAGGGCGAGGGAACTTTACCGCTACTACCAGCCTGCTATACAAGCTGGCGTGGTCCCATCTTGGCTTCGCACGGGCGATGAGTACCCATTTTCTAGTCCTTCAGGAAACGTCGACACACCGCCAATCTCTGAAAGCTCGGCGCCTTCGGAAAGCAGCAGAGTACGCCCATCGACCGCAATCGGTCCCGAGGTCCTGACCTTGGGCACCTCGAACAGTACCTTGACCTCATTTGCCCAGCTAGCGGCTTTGCGCCTGGACGTCGAGCGAGTTTTCATTGCTGTGTTGGATCGCGACCGACAACATATCATTGCCGAAGCTACAAGAACTCTGAACCTGAATGACGCGTCAGTTCACGATGACAAAGACAATATCTGGCTAGGCGCGTCCGATACCCGCAGAACATGGAGTGTGTGCAAGGTAAGTTCTGCTCTCTCGACGAGCCGGCACAAACGGAGCCCCTGTCGAATTAGATCATATTGATCTCATCCCTCACTTCTCGATTTTGACGCTTGAAACGACAGGACACTGTTGCATTGCCGCCCAACCACCGCGAGACCGCAAACTATCAATTCTTAATTGTGAACGATATGAACGAGAATGATCGTTTCAAGCGACTTTCGTTTGTCGAGAACGATCCACACTATCGGTTCTATGCGGGAACTCCCTTGACGACCGAGAACAATATCAATTTAGGCTGCTTTTTTGTGTTGGACAGCAAACCTCGGGATGGATTGACACCCGTGGAGAAGGACACACTGAGATCGCTATCAATGCTTGCCATGGGCTATTTGAAGATTTGCAGACAAGCTTCAGAGGGCCGCCGGGCGGCACGCCTCTCCCGAGGACTGAGCTATTTTGTTGAGGGGAGTTCGAGCTTTGTGGACAGCGTGGACATGTCACGCGCCGACAGCACGGCTCCTCAATCAACAGGGTCTTATAAAAACAGTGTCTCGGGAGGCTCACGTGGAAATAGCGTGGAGGATGGATTCCAAGGGTCATCAAACAGCCCGCCGAATGAACGCTCCATCGATTCAAACCCCTCTAATCGAATCAATGTCTCACGCGGCTCCCGGGACAACAGCGCAGACGACGCATCGCAAGCGGCATCGAATAGTCCACCAAGCGATAGGTCCCTCAGCAATGATGCACAATCCTTCAGTTCCCAACGCTCCGAATCAAAACTGGACACAGTTACCTCCGGTACGGGCATGGGGAGCTCTCTGCCAGAATGGTTGACAAGCAGTGGCCAGAATCGCTTACCGCCAGATGATTCACAGGCGAATTCTTGGTGCTTCCGTAGGGCTGCAAATCTACTTCGCGAGAGTCTTGACTTGAGCGGTGAAAGTGGTGTCATTTTCCTCGAAGCAAATAACAGCCCCACCTTGGACATCAATAGCGGAAGTGATTGCTCTGATTCAGGTGGACCTGCTCCAGTGTTGTCAGCGTCCACGAACGACGAGCCCTTCGCTCCCCAGGCTGGCTCAATGGCGACATGCGCTGCGGCCAACCTGGACCGATCATTTCTACAATTATTGCTCCGTCGCTATCCCAGAGGAAAGCTCTGGTCTTTCCATCGCGATGGGCTTATCTCGACATCGGATGATGATGAACAACATCCCCAGGATAACAAAGGCCCCCTTACTCCTACCGATAGTGCCTCCAGCCAATCTCCATCTGATGCTCCACCACCACCACCTGAGCCTTCAAAGCTCACTCGGAAACGGCGAAAGGCCGCGGAGAACAGTATCTTGAACCAGTACTTCCCAAATGCCACGCAAATCATGTTTGTGCCATTGTGGAATGCCGTTGCCTCTCAATGGTTCGCTGGGTGCTTCTGCTGGAGTACTGTCGAGACCCAGGTGTTTACTAGCTCAGTCGAACTGAGCTCAGTGCTTGGATTCGCATCCTCTATCATGGCCGAGTATAGCCGAGTTGAATCTCTCATCGCCGATCGACAGAAAGGCGATTTCATCGGAAGCATCTCGTGAGTATTCCCCTACAGCCTTGTTTTTTGAATCCTGTAAAACTTTTCCGGAGTTTTCTCCGGGTATACCCATCAGACACCGCATACTGACATCTGTTTCAGGCATGAACTTCGTAGTCCGCTTCACGGAATTTTGGCTGCCGCTGAATTTTTGAACAGTACTCATCTAAACGAGTTCCAAGATTCATTGCTGGAGACGATCAATGCATGCGGTCGGACCCTACTGGATACAATGAACCAAGTGCTTGACTTCAGCAAAGTGGTATCCCTGGAACGGACATGGAAATCATTGAAACGCAGGAAAGAGAAACCACTCGATTTCAAAGGAACGGATAAGCTCGCATATCATCTCGACACATACGTGGCCACAGATCTCGCCATCCTGGCCGAGGAAGTAGTGGAAGGCATCTGTCTTGGCCATGTATATGGTCAAAGCTCAACTGCGTCAGCTGATCTGCCCGTATTGATGCCGCACCACCCAAAGTTGCAAAATGTACGGTCCAATGTGGAGGTTGTTATGGATGTGGCGTATGGGGATTGGATCTACCGCACTCAGCCCGGTGCTTTACGCCGCATTATCATGAATGTATTTGGTAATGCCATGAAGTATACGGAAGCTGGCCGTGTCACTTTACAATTAGAAGCGTCGAGTCAGTCTGAAGGACGGTCCCGCCGGCAAGGCCTCGAGGACTTGGTCACGTTGACCGTCACTGACACTGGCAAGGGTATATCGGAGGAGTTTTTGCGCGGCAAGCTCTATACCCCATTTGCCCAGGAGGATCCTTTGGCGGTGGGAACTGGTCTGGGGTTATCCATCGTCCGAAGTTTGGTCAAGGCCTTGAGTGGAACCATTCGCATTCGCAGCCGCCCTGGAGAGGGTACCACTGTACATGTATCGCTCCCTCTAGCCCGTCCTGTTGGCAAGGAGAGTCCGGCTATCGAACCATCTGGGCAACTTATTCAGCATAGAGAGACTCTGACCCAAACTCTTTTGCTTCGCGAAGGGTATCCAGGGAAACGGGCCTCGATCTGGGGAGTTGACCCAGCTGGGGTGACGGATCATTCCAATTGGTCTGAGATCGCTCGTTATCTTACAGAATGGTACGCCATAGAGCTTGTCTCGTGGTCATCTGAAAGCACCGTCGATATTGTCCTGATTGATGAGAACGACTTGCCACAATTCCGCGAGATCGCACCAGTGGTCACTCTACCCGCCCTTCTCATCCTGTGCCACAAGTCCGTGGATTATACCGGTGCGCTGTCCGAATGGTTGCCTCTTGCTTCTTCGGTGCACATCATCCGGCGTCCTTGCGGACCACACAAGTTAGCTCGAAGCGTGACAAAGTGTCTATCACAGAATCGATCGGCATCTGCGACACCTGCATCCGTAATGCAGCCAATCGATTTGCCTATTCGAACTTCATCACTGCCATCTGCAATGCCTTCTCCGACCAGTCCTCTCTCTTCTGCCTGTGCCAGAAGTGCCCCGGAATTGAATCTACCAGCAACCCACCCCGTGAATTTGCGTACATCACCACGAGCAGAGCCATCCGTGATTACCTCATTGCCCGAAGAGATTATTGAAAATCCCTTGCCTTCGCCATTGATGGATGACTCAACCAACTCTTCACACCTGGCGCGCGTACTGGTGGTGGACGACAACCTGATCAATCTCAATTTGATGATGACATTCTTGAAAAAGCGCAAGCTTACTGTGCTTGACGCTGCCGAGAATGGCAAGCTGGCTGTGGAGGCAGTCGAGCGCATGAAGACTGGATATGATATCATATTCATGGACATCTCCATGCCTGTCATGAATGGCTTTGAGGCTACCCGTGCTATTCGTTCATTGGAAAAGGACGAGGATGGCCGTAAGCCTGCCATCATCATCGCCTTAACAGGGCTCAGCAGCTCACGCGATGAGTCTGATGCCATGGCTTGTGGTGTCGATTTGTTCCTCACTAAACCTGTCTCGTTCAGGGAAGTTTCACGGCTTCTGGGTGAGTGGGAAAAGGATGGGATGGAGAAAGAACGGAGCTTGTCTTCTTGAACAATCGTTTCGTGCTGAGATAGCGTGCAACTTTTTTTTTTTTTTTGCCGTTCCTCGTTTTCTCCGGCCTTTCGGGATCCTAACCTCAATGGCTTCCTGCTTCTTGTGCGTCGCATGGCATAATGCTTTCGCCGTCTCTCTGCTCTCCTCGCGTTTTCCCTCTTCCCATCTCCTCTTTGCATCTTTGCACCCTCTACTCAGCACATTTTCTCTTTCTTCTATCGCCTATTCACCCATCCACAATCCCCAATCATCCATTACTCTTAGCCTCGTTTGCCATGCTTCATGGTTTCGAGCTCTTCTTTGTTTGATCAGGTGATCAGTATTGATTCTGTTATTTTAACATAATCGATACTATCATCTCAGACAATGAACGCAAAGATCTCTTGTCTATTTTTTCGTCCCTTTTCTCAGTTCTCTTCCTCTCACCCTCTTCATCCCACATACACGCTACAAAAACCCATCTTGTTTGAAATATTCACGATTTACGCAGTCCATTGTGACAAATCCGGACGAAGCTAGATACACGGGAAGCCACGGCCGGAGTTGATTTTGCTTACATTTGTTCCCCTTCTCCTGATTGTTTCGTTTCGCTTCTTGCATTCATTTCGCATTGCATGGCAGCATCGATTTAATCATCCAGGTGTTAACGCCCTCCTTTTTGGTTGTTTTAGCCGGGATACTTATGTACACATCCTTAACCGAAAGAAGGTGTCGTACTGCTCCACTGAGCCTGTGGAATATGTGCAGGAATTTGGCATGAGGGCAATACGACATGGAAAAAAAACTTCATGATCATACTTCATTACAATATAATATACGAAAAATGATATACATATACATCGGATTTTAGGCGGCGCGACCTGGCTTTCCCTTTCTGTTTTAGTGCTCTCACCCCTTGCCGCTTTTTGCTCACTGAGCAGCACGGGTAGCAGGCTTAGCAGTGAAGGCTTGGTGGTAGATGTCTCAGTTGGTCATAGATCCTCTCGGATGTACATAACATTAATCGTGTCTGCATAATTCTACAAGAACATAAAAGTGGCCGTAGCCATCGCCGCGACCAAAGCCACAAGGCTTTTTGCACTGGCCGACTCCTTCAATAGTGCACTCGCAGCTCCAGTGTGATTTGCAGAACCATTGACTGATGTTGGGGTAGCTCCCAACCCACCTGGTAGTCCCTGGTAGCTAAATGTCAGATTTTGGGGGATGGACTTGTTGTAACAGTCTCCATTCGCAAGATCCAAGTTGGTCAGGTCATCCGCGTGCAAAAAGAACATGTAATTTGACTGGTTGAGGTCCTTGAACCCAGAAGTGTCATATGGGAACTTATCGCCCGAATCGGTTCCAGAGGTGTTGCGGAGTAATATGCACTGGACTTGTCCAGGGAATTCGGTTGCCATTTTAGGGTAGTCGCGCATGACATCGCTGTTGCTGGTGTCTGCCACCAAAATAAACTTGCGTTCAGGGAAGGTTTCGAAGACCTTTTGGATTAAGAACTTGCGGATCGAGAGGGTGGCGGAGACGTCGCTGAAGTTAAGAGGGCGTGTGTCGAAGGAGCCGCCGGGGTAGTTGGCGTAAATGAACTCCATGTAGCTCCTCGTGACTTGCTCGGGAGTGGTAGTCTGAGGCGATTGTTAGTCTTGGGAACAAAAGCGGGTAAGCAAAAGGGACTTACAAGGTAGTGGAAATGCAGGTCTGGTAGGCTGGTAGACCAATTGCGGTAAATGTCAGGCATGTTCTCCCAAGCTGTGAATGGACGAGCGAAAGAATTGATCAATCCTTGCTCCGGCTCGTAGATCTTGGTGACACGCAGGATATCGTCAATGTCGGAGATAATGGTAATTCCAGTAGGAGGTACAAGATATGCAGTGCTATTTCCAATGGTTGCGTTCTTGACATGAACGTCAAGTCTCTGGATTGCCGAGGTCTCATTTCCTGCGGTGAGGCCCTTACTAGAGATTGGCACAAAGGTGTCGAAGTCACCTTCGACGGTTGTGTTATAGGGCAAAGTAACATCCTGGATGCCACCAGTCGTGTTAGATGACCCACCGCCACCTGGCTGTCCGCTTGATCCCTGGCCAGCTGCAGGCTGAAGGTGGATCGTGTTCACAGCAGCTTCTGGCTGCTGAACAACAAAGATCTCAGCTGTCAGGTTACGCGCCTGATCCGCCTGGGACTTTGGAAGGTCCGAGATACTCGTGTTGACCAGGAAGACATCGGCAAGCTTGTTCAAGGTTGAGACAGACGTGTTTGGCTGTTTGTAGACATTTCCATGGAACCGAACGTTCCAGCCCGAATTGGTCCAATTGGCGTAAGGATCAATGTTTAACACATTGGTTGGTAGTGCTGCCAAATCGTCGTCGTTCAAACCGAGGGAGCTCGCAACTGCGTCTCCAGTGGGGAAACCCTGGAAGAAATTGGGTACTCCCGACGCGACCCATGAGGGTAAGCCCGACCCAAGCCCCGAAAGCACATTATCGACATCGGATTCTACGTCGCTCAAGATGTTTCGGGCAACGACCGGAGAAGGATTATGCTGGACCGGGGAAGCTGTAATGACGGGATCGGCTGGAGCAGCATTGGCGAAAGCAGTTGGAGCGGGAGAAGCAGAGGCAAACGAGAGAAGAGAAGCCTGTACAAAGGCACGCGAAATGGTAGACCTCATTTTCTCGAGTGTTTACAACTCTTATCGAAAAAAGAAAGGAGAAATTTTCCCAATTTGACAAAATTTCACTATAAACAGAACCGACGTCATCGGAAGGGTTTCCAAGTTTCTCGTAAATTAAGGGACTTTGAATCTCTTACTCCTGCGTCATTCACGAATACATCTAGAGGTTGTAGCTTTCTAATTTTATACTTTATTAATGTTTACAGTAAATCTCCTTTGAACATATAAAATATGAAAAGAGAAAAAAAGGTACAATATCATTTAACATGGAAATACTATGTTGGGCTAGTAATAAAAATCAAAGCTAGGCCCCAGCCCTATATGATAACTATCCCCCACATTTCTTCTGATCCAGCGAGTCTAATTCATCAGGGTCTCTTTCGGAGTCTCCTTCACTCACAGTTTCCTCTTCTTCTGGTGTCTATATCTGAAACTTTTTGCACCTTGGTGGGAATTTAAGGATTTCCTTCTGGTTAGGGCACAAACTCTCCACAAGCTTGTTTTTGCTCGCGTGCACTAAGCCTAGTCTGAGTGCTCAATGAGTATGACCTGAGCGTGACCTGAGCATTACTTCTACGTTAATTACTAAGCACTCCTGAGCTTCTGAAGAGTAACTTAACTATCACTTGTTGCTTATGAAGCAAAAAAGTTGGTCACTGAGTAACCGCCCTGTGCTGAGAAATGCTCAGTGAGCATGACCCTGAGCGCCCTCGTAGAGCGGCGGCACCCTAATCGGGCAAGTCGCGGCCACGGCCTAAAATCTGGTATATACAGCCACATACTTATACTCTCACCACTATCACTGCCTCCATTGGAATAAGCACCTAGGGGTGTTTAATACCGCTCGAGAAGCCACAGGCGGCGTTCCTCTTCCGGCATGGACAACAAACGAGCCGATTCAGCCCGTTTAACGATAGTATAGTTCCTGACAAGCTCCGGTCCCAGCAGAGCCTTCAGAGATTCATCGCCGCCTAGCGCTTCAAGGCTCTCAGCGAGGGACTTAGGCAGCGGAGTCGTGACACCAAGTGCCGAGAGTTGATCGGCAGAAAGAGTAGACGGGTCAGCTGTAGGAAATTCGTCAGTCTAGATCCATGAAAGTAACGGCATACCAATGCGAGCGATATGACATACCAGTACACTCCCCCATAGTCAGCGGGGTATTCTCCTTCAATCCCAAATAACCACCAGCGAGAATAGCAGCGATAGCAAAATACGGATTCGCCAGCCCGTCAAGAGATTTAATTTCCCAGTGACCGGGCCCGATCTTTCGAACTGGCGTTTCGCGGTTCTGGAAGCCCCACGCGACCCATTCTGAGCCGGGCCAGATACCCGCGCGAATACGGTCGTAGCTTGCATCTTGGGAGAGAGTGAAAGCCATGATCGCCGGGTAGTGGGTGAGGACTCCGGCGAGGAAGTTCTCTTCACGGGTGGGAGGAGAGATGGACACGTGGGCGTGCGCAGCACTACCCTGGCCATTGGGGATAGGACGGGGATGAAGCGTTGCGCGGAGACCGTGACGCTCTGCGACGGCTGTGATGACTTGTCTAGCTGCGATGAGAGAGTCGACTGCGGCGAGAGGTGCGAGAGGGGGAAGGATGAATTCAAATTGGCCCGGTGCGGACTCGGCGTGGAATTGTTCGAGGGAGATACCAATGGATGCCAGGGTGCGGTGGATCTCTTCCAGGAGAGGGACAAGGCGTCGCGTGTCTGATGTCATTTGGGACCAGGAATGGTTGGTTGTTGCTGGTGTATAGGCTGTTTTGCCGGTTTGCCCTTTCGTTGGGGTGAGGAACACGACTTCGATTTCTAGACCACATTGAACGGTGATGTTGTTCTCTGCTTGGAGTTGGTTCACTATTGTTTGTAGGGTCCTTCGTGGGCAAACATCGAGTGACTCGTTCGCTTCTGACTCCCAGAAGGCCATGACTGTTGCGCTTGGTGCAGCAGGCTTTGTCATACTTCCATTGAGGCAGAGGCTGCTGAGATCGGGTTCGAGGTACAATTGACCCGCGGTGGATCCATCCAGGGTGACTGTATCATCTTGCAGTATGGAGACTGCTGCGACCGATATCCCAATTCGCCTTTGCTGTCTGGCGATCTGGGTGAAATCGTCAATTGGGAACATGCGTACTCTGACTGTGGCGGTGTAATCAATCCATTGCATCCAGACGTACTCGACCTCCGGATTTGCGTGAATAAATACATCCAGTGCATCGGATTTCGTTGGTGGTTTGGTTTGGTTTGTTGACAGCGTGCCCGAAGGAATGGCAGGTGTGTACTCTGGGGTCATTTTCAGTCCGTAAAGGCGATTGGAGTTATGGAAAAGAATGTCGGCAGCGACTTTGATGGCCTGCGGGGTATTATAGTCGCCCTTTTGGACATAGTCCACCAATACCTAAAAGGCAATGGAAATAAGTATTGAACAAAGAAAACAGTGTAAATCGCAACTTACTGTCTCGAGAGCCTGACGGAACTGACGATTGGCCAGCCAGAACGTCTCCGGATGGAAGTGCCCATCCGTACTCCAGAGCAAACGGCTGGCAGGGGTGAGCTCTAAACTCTGTCGCAAGATATTTTCCTGAGCGTCTCGGCTGACCATGGGAAATACCTCGCCAAGGTCTAGGTAGACATTGGGGTACACACAGGCCAGGTAACCTGCTTCCCGAGTGTAAGGATATGCCGAGTGCAACAGAACGATATCTGCCTTCGAATACTGGGCAATCAGCGGCTGCAAATATGCCGGGTTAGCTCGCACCAGGTTGATATCATCGTCACCCAGACCCGTGTGAAACTGCAAGGGTTTCACAACACCGGCCATTTTCTTGAACGAAATGGCTTTCAATGTTTGCTGGACCAGCCAGTCATTCAATGGCTTATCCTCTACTCGGAAGCCAGACCTTGTAGTCCCAGAATCAAGAGTGCGCACAAGTGAGCCTGCCAATGTAGTATCATCGGAGGAATAAGGATCCACGTCCAACCCTGTACGGTAACACACAACCGATTTGAAGCCAACAACATTGGGGTCTTCCATTGCCTCCGAAAGGGCATTCTGGAATCGCTGGCGGAAATTGTTCCAAACCGTTTCTCCAGCCTTGCGCTCGCTACTTGCCAGCTGAAGGATCAAATCCGCCGCTACTGCTTCAATGCGGACAATGCGCTTCGTAGTTGAGACAGTGAAGCTATCATGCCAGTCAAAATTTTCGACGTCTTCATCGTCGCCAAGAAGGTCATCTAATAGAAGTGCATGGGTTCCTTCCAAAGATCGGCGGATCAATCCGTCGTAGTCCTCTCGGACCCATCGGTCATGGGCTGACTGGACATCATCCCAGTTTTCACAGGGGCAGCCATACAACTCAGAAAGCTGGTTCGTGGCTCTCAGCAAGGGCAAAGTAGTGCGGGCGTTTTCCAAAGCCTGACCGTGGGCTTCGGATGTAATGGCTTCCAGTGGGTAGTTGTCATAGTCGGTGGCGGACTCCCGGTTCAGCAGGTTGTGTGCATGGTTGTCGATGATCGGATGATGCTGAATGAGATGACGAAGTGGACCAAGTCGGTCCATCATGGGAATATTCAATAAGTGGAAGATGTGACGAGCGGCGAAAAAATGATGTTACTCGATGAATCTTAAGGGTTTTCCGTTATCTCGAGCCTTGCTTATCGGAAAGCAAAGAATGCAGATAATTTGTACAGTTTATCAAGTGCACAAGGACATACTATGTAGGCTAATGTACTAGTAGGGCTGTGAATCTGTGAAGTGTCGTGAAGCGACAAGTAGAACTTGCTTTTTATGAAGGTCCGTGCGTCGACCATTCCCAATGCGGTTATCTCTACGAACTCATACTGCAGCGTTTTGTTTCCTCTTCTCTCTTCTACTAGGCAAAATAAAGACGTAGTGTCTCTGGAACTTCTGTGTCGGCTGCTTTCCGTTTGATATATTCTTTGTGAAATCGAGAGTGGACTTTTAGGGGAGAGGCTAGTGAATGGGCCACTTTAGAGCGGAAGGAGGAGGTAAATATTGTTGAAAAACTCAAATCACAAGCTTCAGAGTGATATCAATTTGGAATACCCTTAGTAATTTGGAACTAACGGTGCACAATGATTCAGTATTGTCCCTCAATTGTCAATGTTCCCGTCTTAGTCACTAAGTATTCATTGACTGCAACGTCCTTTCCACTCTCCTTGCCATATCCAGACTCCTTGATGCCACCGAAAGGTGACTCAGCTGCCGATTGGTTACCTATATAAATTTGTTAGCTCATAGTTTCGTTTCCTTTTTAGTCGAAGACACCAACCTGTATTCATTCCGATCATGCCTGCCTCCAGGTTCTCCAAGAGACGCCACATGCGGTCAATGTTCTTCGTGAAAGCATAACTAGCCAAACCCATACTGGTATCATTGGCCAGCTTGACCGCCTGGTCCTCAGTCTCGAATCGATACAGCGCAGCAATGGGCGCAAACGATTCCTCCTGCGAGATGAGCATCTCTTCCGTCATTCCAGAGAGAATAGTTGGCTCAAAGAAGTACCCCGGCTTAGCCACAGGTTTTCCACCCAAGAGGACGTCTGCGCCGAGACGCCGTGCATCTTCAATCTGGGCAGTGGCCTTGTCGATGCTACGGGGCGTGGTTAGAGGGCCCATAGTGGTGCCAGTCGCAGCACCGTGTCCAACAACCAGAGCAGCAGTGCGCTCCTTCAGAAGGGCGGCAAATTTATCATAAACACCCGCCTGGACATAGATCCTGTTGGCAGTAATACAAGCCTGACCAGCATGGCGCCACTTCAACGTCATCAACTGCTCAAGTGCCTGGTCGAGGTTGGCATCATCAAAGACGATAAAGGGACAGTTGCCACCAAGCTCAAGAGTCAGCTTCTTAAGACCCTGAGCGCAGTGAGAAGCCACAAGCTTTCCCACGCGCGTAGATCCAGTGAAAGTCACCTTCTTAACAAGCGGGTGCTTGCACAGCGCCTCACTCAAGGGTGGCGTGTTCTCCAAGTCCGTGGTCAGGACATTGAACACGCCAGCCGGAATGCCCGCGCGCTGCGCCAGCTCTGCCAACACGAGGGCAGAAATCGGCGTCTCGGGACTGGGCTTCACAATCATTGTGCAACCCGCAGCCATTGCAGCGCCGACCTTCCGTAGAACCATGGCAACGGGGAAGTTCCATGGGACCAATGCAGCAGCTACTCCGATGGGCTGTTTGATGGTAAATAGCCGTCGGTTGGGCGCTGCTGCTGTGGAGACACTGCCTTGGATACGCTCTGCCTCGCCTGCAAACCACCACAAGAAGCCGAGTGAGTAGTCCAGTTCTCCGTATGCTTCGGCTAACGGCTTTCCAGTTTCGTGTGTGACGATTTGAGCGAGATCGTCTCGCGCAGCTAGGGTCAGGTCGTGCCATTTCAACAACCACTTTGCTCGCTGGCGCGGGTTGACTTTGCGGAATTGCTCGAATGCTGTGTGTGCGGTTTCTACGGCTGCGGCGACATCTTCTGCTCCGTTATTGGGGCAGCTTGCCCACGGCTTGTCGGTACCGGGATCTATAAAGGGATAAAATACGTTAATTGTGGTCTTGTAGGACCGAACTTGATACGTGTTAGTTCTACCTACCAAGTACTTCGAAGCGCTTCCCACTCTTTGCCTCGGCCCATTTGTTACCAACGAAGGAGTCGAAATGCAACAGAGTAGAGTCTGCTAGCTAAAAGACACTATGTTAGCTACATATCAAGCTTGGAGTTGGGCGATGATGCTCGAAATGGACTTCGGACATCTCGCCGAACACCCCGCAAAAGGACGCGGGCAAGAAGCATACCTTGAATGGGAGCTCGTACTTCGTCGCCATAGCGTAATAGGTATACAATCAAAACTATCAGAATCAATATAGTCAAAATCAATGTAGACAATCAAGGTCAAAGGCGAATATACTGAAAAGTGAGGTTTATAAGAAAATGAGGGGAACACGGCAACCCCCACATCGGTTCTCGGCGCATCAAACGTACTTCTATCGCCGAGTAGGCTGTTTGCATAGATAACCATATTAGATAACCCCAAATCTAAAAAGTTTATATCATATATCATATACAAAGAAACTCTTCAAACCCAACTATCAACACTAGCAGGCCTCGATTCACGGGACCGGCCTCCTGCCTGCCCAGGCTCCATGACATATATCCGACCGAAATATCAGTGGTCTTCACAACCCCAGACACGCCATCGTCATCGATACTGATAAGCTAGGACTGTCGGCACCACGGTTCTACTTGCGCATCTCAAAAGACTTCGAGTCAGTGGTGGTGGCGGTGATAAGTTCACTCACTGTTTTTCTGGATACACCAATCCGATAATCGTTTCTTTCATGAACCTTTGGTGTCGCTGCCTCGCTCATCTCTCGTATTTACCCAAAGATCGGCGTGACCGTGTTGACATTCAGTTTCTCCACTGGGAAGGACACTTCCATAGACACATTCTGGGCTGGTGTCCGATCATACCTTGACCGGTTTCCTGCTCATGCCGACACAGGCACCTACACTTACCTCTTGGCGATGGCAACTGGACCGACCTCCTGTTATTCCTGAAGAACCCCTTCTTCGCCGTCAACCATACCCTGGATCAATTCAACGCTCTTATCAAGCCATGGCACGATGAGCTACAAGAACTGGGCATCTCATTCCAACCCAATTCAACCTACTACGACAACTTCCACGATGGCTGGATGGCGGGATTCCTCGAGACCGTCGCCTCCTCAGAAATGAGGACCGGTTCTCGTCTCTTCCCCCGTGCAGACTGGGGAATTTCCGCGGCACTGAACTCGACTTTGATGCCTTGCGTGCCACCGTTAGGGCAGGCTTCCCCTTGCTTGCATTCAACATGAAGGCCGAGCTGCAGGACGGCAATCTCCCATACTCAGCCAACCCCGCTTTCCGCGAGACCTTGATGCATGCCATCACGTCTACCAGCTGGAGAAACACTACTTCAAATGCCGCCATTGAATCCAAGATGGGTCATTTCACCAATGGCATTCTGGGCAAGTGGCGCTCTACTGGTCCAGACGCAGATGCATACATGTTCGAGACGGATATCCAGGAGCCTAACTTCCAGCAGGCATTCTGTGGCACAAACGACAGCTACAATCGCTTGTATGAGCTTAAGCAGCGGTACGATCCTACATTCTTGTTCTACATGCCGACTGGTGTTGGGAGCGAGAACTGGGTCGTGGAGACCAGTGATGGCCTTCCGGATCAGAATGGTCGGTAGTGCCGTGTTTAATTCTTTTAGGTATTCTTTTCTACATATAGACATGTACAGCCATCATCTATAGACTAAACTACCATTAATCTGTTGAGGTTATCCAACAGGTGAAGCTTTGGCATAACACCACCGTAGGCTCTAACCCGACATACTATATGCGCTTTTATTTACTTTTCTATCATATTGTTAGAATTCCTAGTAGACATGTATGCCTATGACATCAGATGTTTCATTTCCCAGCTCTCAGTCTTCCACGCTAAATGTTCGCTTGTAACTTCTCCGGATACTTAACCGGCCGCTGGTTGGACGACCCCTGCGATCGTCACTGCTATCGACTAACTACGCAACTCCCCCTCTCCGCAGGTTGTAACGCAACGTCTCCTCGCAGTGATGCGACTCTGGAAGATTATCAGGTTACATGGCGATTCTCCGCACTTCAATTGCTCCCAACATAAATATCCTGAAGTGTTTATGGCCTGATGCGGAGAAATTGACCGCTTTTCCTTAGAGAATTGCGAAGAACAATGAAGCTCAGTTGTCTAATTTTCTATACAGCTAGTGCACTCTGCTGGCTGGGAGGTATGTGATAATACCCTCTTCAATTTTCTCTTGGTTGACCTTTCCAATCTAGGCTATGCCCACCTCCTAACAGTTCCCACTACACCCTTCACCGAAACAGGGGGGAATTATGAGCTCTCCAAGCTCTCTGGTATTGTAGTAGATTCGCAATATTCGGACGCAGTGGACAATGATGGGCAGACTTTGATCCCACCGACCCTTCTGCAATTTGCGGAGACTTTTCAGGGAGACCTCAAGTCGGTCTTGGGATTGGATATAAAGGTTTCGCAAGGGACGAAGCGCGAGGTGAATACCATATTTATGACCTTGGCAAATCAAACTGGATTCCAGGATGTTGCAGGCCGATTTACCTCTGAGGCTTATGCCTTAACGGTCGATGATCGAGGCGTGGTCATCACCGGATCCAGTCCTCTCGGTGCATGGTGGGGGACACGATCGGTGATTCAAGCTGCTGTCATTGGAGATTTGAGTCTGGCAAAAGGATCTGGTGTGGATGCTCCTGGATGGGGTACTCGTGGCGCAATGGTGAGCTATATAACTCAAGGCTTTTTTTCAAATTCCACCGCTGATGCTTCCATCTAGCTCGATGCGGGGCGAAAGTACCATCCACCAGAGTTCCTAATTGAGATGTGCTCGTATCTCTCATTCTTCAAGCAGAACACATTCCACGTTCATGTCAGTGATAACCTCTACAACAATGTCGACCGCTATTCCGCAGAACGGTCAATGGAACTGTATGCAGCATTCCGGCTTTGGTCGGACGACGAGGCTGTAGCAGGTCTGAATCGCCGCGCCAATGAATCCTACACCCGCGAACAATTCGACCACGTTCAGACACAGTGCGCGAAGCGGGGTGTTACCATTATTCCCGAGATTGAAGCACCTGGCCATGCGCTCGTCATTGTTCAATGGAAGCCAGAGCTGGGACTCGATGACTTGAGTATGCTCAACATTAGCCACCCGGATACTATTCCGACTATGAAGACTATTTGGCGCACTTTCTTGCCTTGGTTTCACAGCAAGACTGTACACATCGGTGCCGATGAATACGATAGTAGTCTTGTCACGGACTATACGCACTTTGTAAATGAAATGAACACCTTTATCCAAGAGCAGTCATCGGGCCGTCAGCAGATGCGCATCTGGGGTACTTTCACACCAAAAGAGGGTGCCAATATATCCAAATCGGTGACTTATCAACACTGGGATGTGAGTGCCGACGAGCCATACTATGACTATATTCAGAATGGATATAACGTCCTCAACTCTGACGACTACATGTATCTCGTTGGCGGGTGGTCCGGCTCGTTCGCCCAAAAGCTGGAGCTGAGCAAAATCTTCCAAGGTCCATACGGTGCACCGTTCTCGCCAAGCATATTCGACAGCTCCAAAAAGGATGATAACCCTCCCAGAAATAGCCCGCGGGTGCTGGGTCACGCTGCTGCTCTGTGGAACGACTACGGTCCAAACTCCACAACTGTCCTGCAAACCTATTATTCCTGGCGTAACGCCCTCCCTGCACTTGCTGATAAGCAGTGGGGAGGCAATATCACTGAGGCAGATTATGCATCTGTCTTCGATCAGCTCCAGGCCGCAGTACCAGCCCAGAACTTGGACCGGCGAATCCCTAGCAAGTCCGATACGATGCTGCACTATACTTTTGACGGAAACTCGAACACCGTGACCGACCATTCGGGCAACGGGTACGATGGAAAGTTGCACGGCTGTAAGGTCTCCGACTCGACCCTCCATCTCGCAAGCGGATGCTATCTTGAGACACCACTGGGAAGCAAGGGGCGTGACTATACACTCTCGTTCAAGGTCAAACCCACCTCCCACACATCAGGAACATTATTCTATGGACCAGACTCAAGCTTTGTTAATGGCAATGGTACCATCTCCAATGCGACTCTGATCAGTGGCGGGAATCCATATTCGCTCAACTATACCCTCCCTTTAAACGCTTGGACGGACGTCAGTTTGATTGGACGAGGAAATACCACCTTGTTGACAGTCTCTGAATCTGGGAGTGGATCTCGGACTATGGAATTCCTGACAAAGATTGGGGTTAATGGTGAATACTTCGTGTGGGCTCCTATTGCTATCGAAGCGCCCTTGGCTCGGATTGGAGAGGGATTCACAGGGTCTATGAAGGAAATTGTGCTGAAGGGGGTGCATAGGGATATTTATTAGGTATACTGTATGTAGATTTGTAGTGTACACGACATTTCTTCCAATAGAATTGGTGCTACCTGTCAAGTGGTCGGACAGCCTCCACGCCTAGTTGCTCCTGTACCCTATATCACTATGAATAACTTGCATTTAATCAATATTTCTCAGGACTAATTGTATTTCTTCCCTTTCTTTGCTTCGCTGTATTTCTGTTAAGATTTAAGAATCCTCTTTGTTGATTTCTTCCCTGAAACCGCCTTGTTGATGCATATATATATTTCATTAGTGACCAAACGCAAGTAAGATAAAACGTTTATAAGACAGAATCAATTAACCAGAACGATACCACAAATGATATAATTACATTGGCTTGAATTACGACAATATTCGAAATCTAGATCAGGGACATTAGGTGGTTTAAGCTCAGGAGTGTGAACGATGCACAGTTTCCGGCTGAGCTACTGAGCTCACAATGTCAAAGCTAGTACATAATTTCCAAAAAGCGGCCCACATACATCAACCAGGCGCGGTAGTTCAGTGGTTTAGAACGTCCGATTGCAAATCGGAAGGTCGGGAGTTCGAGTCTCCCTCGCACCTCGTTTCTTTTTGTTTCTATATTTTTTTTTCCCCCTCACAAAGAACATTTTTCTTAATTTATAGGGGCAAAATTAGCCATTCGTTATTTTCTTCCTTACTAGTTTCTTTTTAGCAGAAGTTGCTTGCACCCCATCCTCATGTATTCACCTACACCTATAGTGTTGTTAATCTTGAACATCCATGGATGCTAGATACCTAAATTACTACTTAGTAGTTGTAACAGGAATCTCACGATTGATCCATTTCGCCGAAAAAAAATGTTTCGCTTCAAATTGAGTCTTCAACAACGCCATTCAAGTCATATTGCAAGCTACAGCATAACGTATTCTGTAAGCGAGTGGTGCACCCCAAAACACTATACTAAATGGGATAAATTACAACCTAGTATCTCAACAACGGTGGTCTATAGCGACGTTGCCTTCTAGCATAATACTTTTTAGGTGATATCTAGGCTCTTTAAGGAATTTAGAGATTTTGTGTAGCATAGTGAATAAGATATATATAATTCTGGCTTATAATAACGTAATTTTCGATACCGTAACAATGTAGGTTTTAGATTTCGTCAAAATTGATATAAAGTGTTGAAAAGCTCTATCAACAGCTATCGGCAAATAATCAAATAAAATAAAAACGTCGATGTTGAGATATCAGTGTAGAATATATCGGATTTAGTATGGTGTTTTTGGGTGCACCACTCGCTTACATGCACCACTCGCTTACAGAATACGTTATATCGGAATCCCTTGTGCAACCGACGAGCAGCCGCGATATCAACCCATTCATTGTCAGCAGAAACCTGCAGCCGCCGCAATTATTTCTCACCCACCGGCACATCCTCATCCTTGACCCGCTCCTGGCGCTTGTTAAGCATGCGCAGGGTGAAATACAAGGTGATACTAGCAACCGAAAGCACCGCTACGTAGTGAGCCGGAATAGAACACACTCATTCGAAAGGCGAGTTCTTTTTGAATGTACCACTTTGGAAGATAGAACAAGACACTTCCGAAGAAGGGACATACTATAGTTCGCCAATATGAGAGTAATGATGACCACACAGACTCGCATGGGAAGACATACCTGCGCGGGGACAAGACCCTAAGTACAGACAAAGAATCCGATATAAAGCGAGGGGTGCCTATGTAATTGAGGAGGAGGTTGTAGGGCACTTGCATCAGGATATAGACGACGAATAAAATGGAAAGACCGGTTTGATATTGCTGGTCGGTAACTTGGAGATCTTCCATAAGTCCTTGGAGCTTCGCTGCGGCATAATTGTTTCTGAGCACAGCAATACCATAAATGAGTATCAGATGAAAGCCATGAAATAGCCACTAACCGGTCAACGTAATACATGAGATAGACCAAGATACAGTAGCGACCGCTTTCGCCTTCCATGTCGGACAACACAGAGGAGCTTTTTCCAACCCTAATCCCATGCAGTGCTAAGCCGTATATAGTTGACCTCGTATCCAAAGATCCGTCACAAGGCGGAATGGTAAATACCAAACGAAAATAGACTCAATAAGATCCTATTATGCCTTACACGTGACTTGAGCACCCTACTCAGGGCTGAGTAGGGCCTTCATAAACTGAAAACTGGGAGACTGGATGCCTGAGGCATCTACACACGATAAGTGGAACTTAGCAATATCTTACAGTATCCTTTCTTCTTCTTCTCTTTCATTCTTCATCTTTGGAATTCTGAATTGAATGCACTCTCCCTTTGATGAATTGGCTCGTCACACGTTTTCCCTCAGCCCGTACCCAAAACCACGCTACTGTAATCCAACGTTGCTGATACGTAAATATTTGTTTACTCATATTCCTCAATACATTCGTTTCATTTCTAGAAAAGTTACGCCAGGTACTACCTAAGTAATAGTATTGATATCTCTAAGGAACCCATTATACCTGCATCTCTATGTCCCTCTACTGCCAATCAGAACTAATGAATAACCGCTGTCTCATTAATACTACCCCGCACTGAGCCGGACGTTAATGCATATTATCGACTTTGAGCGCGGAACCCGACTTCTTTCCTAGAAACAATCTCTTTTCTCGCACGATGGTAACGCCGCATAGAGCGCTCAACTGCCCGCATGGAGAATGCACTGTCCGCGGTCGTCTGGGCAGCTCATATTCTATCTTATCTCAAAGACAACCAAAACCACGAGGAGCTTCACGAGGCCGAAAACAACTTGGAATGCGGCAGCAATATAGATGAGTCGAGTGATTATGAGACAGACTATGAGACAGATAAGAACGTAATTATGTCAGGTCCTCGAAATTCTGTTCGCCAGAAATTCCTGGACTGCATTGCGCAGCTGCTGTCACCGTGTAAGGGATGGAATGGGGTCACCGCAACGGCAATACGCGAAGGAGAACACGGAGTCGAGGTGGATATTGCAAGAAACGATAGCTTTCCTTCTGATGAAGATAGCTTTGGCGATGAAACTATGGGCTACTGCAAGATGTTGGAGGTATATCTGGCTGGTAGTGCTGACAGTATGTAACAACTCTGAATTCCCGTTGCGGAGTTTTGAATATTTGATGACTGAACGTGACAGCTGAGACAGGAATAAACACAACTGCAACTTCGTTAACGGAATTTGAGCTCAAGGCGATAGACTATACGTCCCGTCGGATCGATCATTGGATTGAAACTCTCCAGAAATCCCTAGAAAATGTCCAAAGTTGTCCAGACTTCAACTCCCAACAATGGCTTGGGCAAAAGGATGCATTAGAAATTTGGACAACTATGACGAATCTCATCTTACGATTTGATGCCGATAACGAAACTGTCAAATCTAGGTCCCTAATAGTTCAACAAGCTTATAGATGTCTCGGCCTAACACAGATTCGACAGTTCTTTTCGAATAGATTTGGGACCCAGGCTGGCTCGAAGCTCTGGAGCAAGTTGAACTTTATCGCCAGGCCGTTGGTCGACTGCCGATTATTGAGATCAATAGTTGCGCGGGAGCCACAGTTGCAAAATTGCAAGATTTCATTAGTTTTGTTTAAATCGAAGACGACACCGGAAGCCAAAGACGTGGTTGGAATATTTGAGGCATGGGAACGACTAGGGTTGGGCTCCACTCCTGAACCTGTGATCCGAATACTTCATCGATTTAGCCAAAGGTTTGAAATGGCCTGTGCAGAGACATTTTCTCTGCATGCGGAGATGCAGCTAGTGATGCACTACGAGGAGAGATGCGCACCTCGGCATACCCTTGACTACTTTGGATGCAGTAAAAAGACTTGCTTGCTCTGTGAAACCTTTCTTCGCGCGTTGCCGAGTTCAATTGCCACACGTGGAAGGCATGGTGTTTGTTATCCTGCCTGGGCCGTACCAGACTCGAATTCAGGTGCCGTAAAGGTCGCCGTCAAACTGTTGGAGAAGAGCCTTTTATCTCGCATTCGAGGGATTCTCAACGATTTGATGCACCCTTGCCAGAAAAGCCTCGCTGCGAATGTCATGCAATCCGGCATGGTGTCGGATTTTTCGCACCTTACGCTCGAAGAATGGCAGCAGAGAGAACAGGATGTGCAGCTGTTCAAGAATGAACAGACAATCCAGCATAATGATTTGATGATTATGTGAGGTGATATTTTGCTTCGTTGGCGAATACCGAATAAATAACTGACGATGACACCCCAAAAAAGCGAAGGAATTATCCCAACTACAAAACTGAAACATTGCCCGCTTGACAGTTTCGAACCTAAAGATTGTTGCGTGATGTGTAACACAAGCCCGGGGATTCAATGTGCACAATGTCGAAGCACATACTATTGTTCCAGAGGCTGCGAGAAAAGTGATTTCCCTTCACATAACCTTCTCTGCGAACAGTTCGCTATTCAGCCCGATAGACCCTCTCCGGAACACAAGCGGGCCATATTCTTCCCAGTTGAGGGAGACAAGCCATGTTTGATATGGATCCCATGTAGACGCCAATACGATGAGGCGGACGGAATCGGATGGACACAAATTGATTCTTATCCCTACCTTGGAACCGACGATCCGTTCAAAGGGTCAATGCGCATTGAACATAACCCAGTACGGGGTCGAAACCTGGGCTCTGGGTTTGCAGGCTTTGCTCCGTATCAGGAAGGATTTTGTGTCTCTTTGATACATCGCGACGCCTATTTGAAGGACGGGTCAGCCATAAATCGAAGTATACTAGCTTCTGTGAGGGCATCTTGCACCTCCATTATCCCACATGAATATCGCGGCCCCATGGTTGCCCTGCGAGAAATTCGCCACGAAGCCTATGCCGATATAACACTAGCTGACTTCCGACACCTAATGGATTACTTAATAAGTTACCGAAACACGCATGTCAGGGAAAGTGTTCCGGATCTACTACACCGCACCCCAACAACCTTCCGCGGCGTGAAGATTTGCTGTCACGGCGAAGTAAAGTTTCATGGGTCAGAGCCCTTCGTTTCTGTCGACGTCACCCGAGCAAACCGGATTTCCCTGGGCAGTGGATCGATCTCACCGATATCTGTCTGCCTTGGTATGCCTATACGATTCTGGAAGGATACAGATACCGAGTTTCGCCATAACCCGCCAGGACGGGAGGGGGACACGACGGCAGACAGTAATCCTAATGTTGCGTTTATGATGATGGTAACTGATCCTTCCAAAGACGAGTGGGGCTGGGTGCCTATGTACTGGAATAGCAACATAGGGAATGTCTGGGCTGTTTGTGAAGACGGGCGGGATCTGGCTGTGAAAGATGTCGCAATGATGTGCCATTTCGCGAGGCGCAAATTACAGTGTATGTTTGAAGATTTGATGGAATCGGATTCGAGCTTAGTGAGTAGGCAGAGGGTATTAGATTTCATTACTCGGGATAATATGATTACTCATTGGGAGGAGACTTGTGGGCATTAGGAATTTGGCTCGCAGACCAAGGTTGGACGTTATTGCAAGATTATTATTCAAGATCAATGATAGACCAAATGCTAGTTGAAATATCACATGAAATGTAGTTTGCTTCAGGGATTAAATACCGTTAAACAATGGTAATCTATCGACCATCCAATGGGGGCACTAGCGTGGGTAACGGTAACTGCTCGCGCACACAAAGGGCTAGCTATCGCGCTTCTCCAGAAAATCACAGGCGTGGGGGAAACGCGGAGAAATCGAAAGCAACGCAATGTTGAATGAGCCTATTCGTGCGAAACTGAAGATCAGTTGGTAATCCCAGGCTATTTCAGGAGCCAAGTCTGGTCATGACTCGACAGAGTTACATTGATAGGCCTAGGCTGCTGCAGTCCCCCACGCTTTGTTTGAGTGCTTGTGTAAAATAAGAGTTGGCTATAGGTGATCACCATATCTACACATGGGGAGTGTTTCTCAAAGGAATTTGGAGCGTGAGACAAGGGATATTTCGAGAACAATCCTTAAGTTATCCTAGAATATAATTTTGAAAGGCGGAGTCACGAAAATGTAGTAGAGCAGTGGTGCTGCTTTGCAATATTTGAGTAGCTTGGCTTCTAATAAAAATCTTTTCAGAGGTGGTGTACTGCCTTCTAACTTAATGGCCTGAGCATAGGCATTGCAGTAATAGAACATTGCTGGTTTTGGTATAGACCTGAGAGTCACCTAAATATGAGACAGGGCTTGTCGCGATACTGATATTGGACATGAACTAACTCCACTGCTTTCAAAAAATGGGAGTGCTACGGCATTATTTATCAACTCTGAGCTCCACTTGCATAAAATATGCTCGTTGATTCAGTTTCGCTTATCCGTTCATTTTCAATATCCGAACCGCAGAGTGGCGTATACTAGTCTACCTCCTATATTCCGGGGTAATGAACAAAACATACCGCGCATACTTCTGGAAATGTGATAATATAGCTTAAAAAGTTATTCGTACACCTGGATTTCAACAGGAAATGGACTGGAGAATCCAGCCCCCGAAGAAATGCTTTTCCGAGTGCAAGTCGGAAAACCGGAAAAGCGCCGGTACGTGGGATGACCCCAGCCAGCGGCTATTGACCGCATATAAAGACGCGGGGAATGATGAACGCAACCACACAACTATGTCGACAGTTACTGTAACAGAGGGCGCTCAGCCCGAAGCCAAAGACATTGCATCTCGCCTGTTGAATGGTACACTTCACGCTCAGTGGCCCGACATCGAGGAATTCCACACCATCGACGGCCTATTGAAATCCCATGCAGCTCAACCGGATGATGCGAAGCGACCGCTGATATGCTATCCAATCCGGGGGGCTGCCGACTTTGAAGAACACACAGCCGGGGACATTGATCGCTATACTGATGTCGCTGTTCGCTATTACATGGAGCAGGGGCTTCCACCTGCGGTAAGAAATTCGCCAGCCTTTTGACAATTTGAGCTAATGACTTCCAGGACCCGAATCTCGAAAAGGCACCAGTCGTGGCCATGCTAGCTGGATCCAGTTTCGAGGTAATAGTGACACAATTCGCACTTAACCGCCTTGGCTACGCTGTGCTATTCTTATCCACAAGACTCACAGCCCCAGCTTATGCGCGGCTACTGGATATGGCAGACTGCAGCCAAATAATCATCAAAAAGCAGTACCAGCAGGTCACTAATGAAATTTGCGTGGATCGTCCCGCTTGCAGCAGCTTCTCTTTGCTACAGCGTGAGGACTGGTTCAATCGTCCTGCCAGTTCACCTCGCTTCAAGCGAGCGGGCGTGGATCTGTCACGAGAAGGCAAGAAGATTGCCTGGATCTTACATTCATCTGGAAGCACAGGCTTCCCCAAGCCCATCTTCCTGACCAACCTTCAAAACCTGGCCAATTTCCGCAAGAGCTTCGGGCTCCGTCTTTTCACTATCAGCCCGCTGTTCCACTCGCATGCCCTGATGGAGTTTGGACGGGCATTCTACACTCGCGCAACGGCATACCTTGGCAATCACTCTCTTCCAGTTACATATCAAAACCTGTTCGATGCATTACAGGTAGCCAAGCCACAGCAGATCAGTGCTGTGCCATATGTCATCAAGCTGCTAGCAGAGAAGCAAGAAGGTATCCAAGCACTGGCTCGCCCACAGCTAGTGTTGTATGGCGGATCTAGCTGTCCAGACGACCTCGGCGACCGACTCGTTGCTCAGGGTGTGAACTTGGTTGCCAACTATGGAGCGACAGAAACCGGACAGATCATGACTTCTTTCCGCCCTCCGGGAGACACTGAATGGCAGTATATGCGGCTGCACCGTCCGGTTGCTGATTACACTTTAATGGACGAGATTTCGCCTGGGGTTTTTGAGTGTGTTGCGTTGGATGGGCTGCCGAGCAAGGGACCTTCGAACTCGAAGCCCCCTTATAATGCAAAGAACCCCGAGAACAGCTTTAGAACAGCCGACTTATTCACAAGGCACCCGGACCCAGAGAAAAGCAACCGTTACAAATACCTCAGTCGACTGGACGATCGAATCACATTAGTCAATGGTGAGAAGGTTCTCCCTATTCCCATCGAAGGCCGCGTTAGAGAAGAACCGATCGTGAGTGAATGTGTTGTGTTTGGCTTCCAGCGAACTGTACCTGGTGCTCTGATCTTCCGCGCCGCTGGCAAAGCAACACACTTGAGCGATAACGAATTCTTGGAGGCCATCTGGCCTGCTGTCGAGGCGGCAAACGCTCGTGCCGAGACATTCTCTCGGATTCCCAAAGACTTGATTCTGATCAAGGGCGCTGATGTGCCGTACGCCAAGACCGACAAAGGAACTTGCATCCGGGCTCAAGTCTATCAGCAGTTTGAGGAGGATATCAAGCAGGTGTATGCCAAATTTGAAGGGAGTGGCCAAAAGAGAGGCACACTTGCCCTCGACATACCAGACTTGGAGAACTGGCTGCTGTCAAAATTCCGTGAAGACTTGGGTGTCCCGCTGTCTAGCTCCGAGGCTGACATTTTCTCGGCTGGCGTTGATAGCTTGCAGACAACACAGATCTGGCGGTATATCATGCGCGACCTCGATATTGGCGAGGTTGGAGAGCTGTCCCAAAACATTGTTTTTGAGAAAGGAACTGTCAGCACCCTTGCAAAACATCTTTATCAGATGCGTACTGGGCAAGAATTTGAGAAAGAAGACGAGCTGCATGTTATGCGCGAGCTGATCGAGAAATACTCCCACTTCACTCAACATTTCCCGACTACTACTCGACAGCCGGAGACAGAGGTGGTGATGGTCACCGGCGCAACAGGCAACCTGGGAGCCTTCATTGTCGCAGAATTACTGAAAAGATCAACTGTCTCCGAAGTATGGGCAATTGTGCGCGCGCCAGGTCAAGCAGCAGCAGGAGCCCGTCTGTACAAGTCCCTTGCGGATCGCAATATCATGCTCACAGATGCCGAGGCAGCCAAGCTCCACGCAGTGCCCAGTGACTTATCCCAGCCTAACATCGGTCTAGACGACCACGTTCTTCAACACCTACTGTCATCCTTGACATGCGTAATCCACAGTGCCTGGGCAGTGAATTTCAACCTCGGCGTGCGCTCCTTCGAGCAGCAGCATATTCGCGGAACATGGAATCTGATCAATCTCTGTTTACGCTCTCACCTGCCCACGCCAGCACGGTTCTTCTTCTGCTCGAGTGTCAGTGCCGGAAGCAACACCCCCAAGCCGGCATCTATCCCGGAGGCCATGATTGAGAACCTGGAGCATGCGCAGCGTATCGGTTACGGGAGATCGAAGCTGGTCACGGAACATATCACCCGCAATGCCATGCGCCACACTGGTATGCAGTCCCGGGTACTGAGAATCGGCCAGCTTGGCGGTGATACTGCCAGCGCACAATGGAACGAGACGGAGGCTATAGCACTCGTGTTTCGTAGTGCATTGACAACAGGCACGTTGCCCAAACTGGATGAGCGGCCGAGCTGGCTGCCCGTTGACCAATGCGGGCAGGCAATTACCGACATTGCGATGAATGTTGATTCTGCATCAACGGATGTTGACCTGGTGTATCATCTGGTCAATCCACAAACATTCAGCTGGACGGATGATTTGCTACCTGCGTTGAAGAAGGGCTGCGCCTTGCCGGACTTTGAAATTGTGCCACCGCAGGAATGGCTTCAAAGATTGGCAAGTAGCGAGCAGGATCCGGAGAAGAACCCGAGTATCAAGCTCATTGATTTCTGGCAATCCAAGTATGCGGCTTCTAGCCAGAGCCAGAATCAGGCGGACGGGAAGAGAGGTGCTGGGTTGACTTTTGAGTCTGGGCGCACGATCCAGGATTGTCCTTCTCTCGCGCTGGTTAAGGATTCAGTTACTGCGGGATTGGTACAGAGATATGTTGAGGCTTGGATGAAGCGGTGGACTGGTCAATAGGGTCATGTATCTAGTAGGTTGCATGTAAATAAGTCATCATTTGAATCGTTATATGGTTCCCGACTCCCATTGCAGCCCCACTGAGACCATCTCGACGACAGGGCCTTTGTGGCCCGGATCGTCCCAGTGACTTTTTTTGTACTGTCCAGTGTTTCATAAATGATGAGTTTGCTGTGGAAATTTTGCGTGGAGGCAGGTATTGTGTCCATGTGCAAGACATTGATACACGAACAGCTGTACAGATTAGGAAATGGTGCCCGGCTAAGTACTTTATAGGCAGAATATGTATACAGCTACAACATCAGAGGAGAAAACTAGAGCTGGTAGGGAGTTCAAGAACAATCGTAGGATAGTAATAGAATCGTGCAATTATTACTATATGCCAAGAGCAACCTGTGCTTCGTCATTTCATCGCTCTCACACTCAACATGGACATCGTCATCCAAATCAAACAAGTCAAGCTCGATTAAGCCCATTACGAGTGCTTAGTTGCGTCAACTTTTATAGACTGAGACTGAGACTTAACACCGTCCTGCATGGCCTTAAGGTGCTTGAACCCATAGGTATCCTCACCCAAGCTCCAGGCCATAACACCACCAAGCTTCTTCTCAGCGACGATGTCCTTGAACTTGCGGGCAATGAGGTCCGGGGTATCCCAGGTCCAGAAGAGGTGGTTCTCCTTGTCAAAGTAGTACTGACCACCGGCCTCCTCATCGGTCTGACCGTTCTTCTCGGCCTGGCGCCATGAGTCGGTGATCGAGATGCCCTTGCAGGTACCGTAATCGGAGAGACAGCCGGTCTGGCAGAAGTCATCGCCGGTACCGCTAAGTAAAATGTTAGTCTCTAATCGGCAACAATGGATAAAAGTGTGACGCTAAATACATACCAGTTACCGTAGGCGCTGCAGCACGATCCTTCAGGGCACTTGGCCTTCTCTCCGAATCCACACTTGCCGTTGCTGGAAGTCTTGAGATCCTTGGGGGGATCGGCAACATTGGTAGCCTCGAAGGTAAAAGCACCAGACTTACCGTTGTCGGTTCCGTCATTGTTCTCGAGCTTGACCATCTTGCAGCCGAGGGGGTTCTCTTCACAGTCGGACTCGGGGTCGGTGGTGAACCACTTGGCGTAGTACGCAAACCCAAGGTTCATCTTCTCGGGAGGAGCACCGATCTCAAGGTAGTTGTTAATGGTATCCAGAGATCCTTGGACCGAGCTGTGATGGCCAGTGACGTTGTCACGACGGTTAATGAGGTCGTAGCTCATGACATTGATATAGTCAACCGGCTCGAAGATCTTAGGTCCCTGCTCCTTGGTGAAGGCAATGAAATCCTGCTTACGGCCCGGGGTGGCGATGGAGAGGATCTTGTCGTCGCCAATGGCCTTGCGGATAGCAGCGAGGAACTTGGGGTAGGCTTCGATCTCGCCGACCTTCTTGGAGTTGGGGACGTCTTTGTAGTCCTGGCCGTTGCCACCGGGATATTCCCAGTCGATGTCTGGATTAATGTGTTAGACTTCTGCTTGCGTGATGAATAATATTTGTGATGTAGCTCACCAACACCGTCGAATCCATTGGAGTCGAGCATTGCAGCGACATTCTTCGCATATCGTTGGATTGAGGCGTCATCCTTGACACTTTCCGAGAAACCAGCGGTATCACCCCATCCTCCAATGGCAATACCGAGCTTGGTGTCTGGGCTGAAGCGCTTGCGGAAGCTTTCAGGAGACTCGAATGGCTCGAAAGATGGCGGCGAGTCAGAGTTGAAAATCTTCGAGGGAGCGAATGCCATAATAGCATAGTCAATGCCCTTAGTCTGATCCGAGCCTGGCAGATCGGTCACATGGTATCTTGCATAGGCGTTAGGTATACATCCTTGTGCAGTTTCAGAGATTCTTGTACTCACTGGTCAATGTACATGGCAAAGCGTGTGGCAGTCACAGATTGAGTGGCCAATAGGCCGAGTGCCAGGTGCTTCAACATGATGAGAGCAAGACACGCGATGGATGACTCGTCGAAAGTTAGATTAGGGAATTATGAAAAATAATAAACAAAAGAAGAAACACCCAATATGTCGAGGGTCAGAAGTCAGCTACAAGCCGCGAACAAAGCACCGAGGATCACAAGAAAGAGAAAGAAAAAGTAGAAAAAAAGAAACGCAGGAAAAATGGTCGAGTATATAGTCACTCCAGAATGCATGCGCATCAAAACATGCTCTCGCGAATGATCGGCGGCTACGGGGTTTGACGATCCCCATAGAAGGTGTTTCGGGTTGCCCATCGGTCCAGATTTCCTGTTTCTGCATGACTTCCACCACATCCCTTTGGCCGGAGAATGCCGCAGGGCTATTCTGCTTAAGAAAGCGTTGAGGTGAAGGGAGGTGATCAGGCGCTAAGAGAGGGGCTGTGGAATGTGACGCGAATAAAGCCTCATTACTATGAAGAGGGAAAGACGAAGGCGTCCCCAAACATTGTGTATTTCAATAGGTCGGCTAACTTCGCCAAGTAAGAGATCTGGACCGTGTAGGTTAGCGGGTGCGGCAATCGTTGAGACTCCAGAGGCGCCGACATGCCAGATCCGCGCATTCATACCGGGTCACATTCCTTTTTGCGTCATTGTATAGACCCAATCACCAGGGCAAGGCTCGGAAGGCTTTCTGGGGTACTTGGTCACGTTTAAATCCCGAATATCTGGGACAATGGCATGGGACACGAACATAGCATAGGTATATAAAGATTAAAGACCAATGAAGGCTATTCGGAACAGCAGGAAGCTTCGAGATTAAGATAGATCGATCTAGGGGTATAGGCAACAAGGACCGCATGACAATCTCCAGGTGTATGTTACAATTGCGCTAAATTTTCAATGATCAAACGTGGGGATCAGTTCCAATGCCGCCGAATGATAGGACGCGCAGGGTCCCAGGGACCGATCACAACGTTCTTGTACTTCTGCAAGCTGATAAGCCACCAGCTGCACCCGCCCATCACAAGTGCCGTCAGGATACTTCCCAGGACGGACCCAATAATGGCAGCTGCCCATCCACCGCTCAGTGTAATACCAACAGCGCCACCAGCGACAATCACGAGTGTTAGTGTCAGGACAACATGACCAGTCCATGATTTTTGTCGCAACTGGCGCCGGAAGATGGGGAACAGCCCAAATACCTCCATTGAGAAAAGCATGAGACTGAACACGTGCGTTGTGGAAGGCAACCGAGAGGCAAGTACGGTAGATGCCATCACGGCCGCATTTGTAGACAATGAAGCAGGGAACTTGGTGGTGGCGCCTGCGCCTTCCCCACTTCCATAGTCGAAAGAAAATATATTCATGATTATAAGCCAACAGCTCATGGCCCAGATGGAGTCACTGGCGGTGGATTTGGTAAGGGATTTCAAGATGGGACTTAATCCCAGAAGGGCGAAGTAAATGAGAAACGCCGATTTGACTGTGGTCATTCGCTGTCGATTGCGCGGAGACAACATTGACGCTCGGGGGATATCCTGGGATAAAGATCCATCTGTGCTATTAATGATAGCACTGGGAGGAACACATGGTATGGCGTTTTGAGCTGTCGTATATGCCACCCCATCAATGCTTTCATTTGTATCTGCACTGGAGTTAGTCAATTGCTCCTTGGATTGATTTCCAGACATCGTCAGCCCAAGTCCATGAATGGCGTTTGTTTTCGTTTCGTCGGGTTGCGTGTCATTCGCAGGTGGGTTGGCGGCGCTAGCCATTGAACTTGAACTGGAGTCGTCATCGCCTTCAGCGGTACGATCTGCACTTTGTACAGATTGCGCATGTTCGTTCCAGATCCAATTGTCCCATAGAATCCAACCCACGGCCGTGCCCACGCTTCCCCAGCAGACAATCGAGACAGGGCTCACTCTGTCTTGGACGATACCAACGAAGCAACAAACGAATATGGCCACTGAGCATACATGCTGCACGATCACGGTTGAATCTGCCACCAGAGGCCAGAAATCGTACGGCCGTACTCTGGGGTTGCGCTGCAGATGGTCGAGAAATGTTTCGGTATCGGTATAGTTATCCGGATCTATAGTGAACAGTCAGCATGATATCCCCATATAAATAGACACCCATCAATCCCACGTAGACATACATGATTGTTTAACCCAGAGCAACTTCTTCCAAGCACCCTTTCGCTTGCGGCGCCTCCCAGAACCACCCAACTTCTTGCGCAATGCCGCAGCAGAACTGAGATGGGCCGCATTATCGCCATTCAAGGAGCGCAGATTATCGTCATAATTTGCAGGCGCTGACCGGACGCGCGAGAGGGACGGAGCAAAGTAAGCATCCTCCGGTGCCAATCGATTGGGGTCGGGGAGGGACCGTTCGGGTTCAGGAGACTTGGATCCCGGTGCGCGGTTGGGGTGGGTTTCAACGGGAATTGGGGGAGGGAAAGGATCAAGCGAGGGAGGAGACGTCATCGAGCACAAGCAGAACTAGCATCGAAGCATGGCGTGAGGATAAAAGCTTTGATCTTGAGAAGGTAACAGCTGGAACGCGCAGTCCCCACGTGGAGGCTGATTCAGCGGTTATCTATGATTTCACGTGATGCTATCAACCCTCTATACTTCGATGTTACAAGATCAACACTGCATACATGTATGTTTGTAGATCATCAAAGACACAGGAATGGTAGAGAAATCCAAAGATCCGATACTATGCTACATCAGCATCCATGGAGCTTAACATATATGTACCTCAGTTTGTCAAATCCAGGTGAACCAAGTATATATACATCCACTCCGAGTCCCAGTAATATTCCCCACAGAGTCCTTATTCACCTAGAGTAGCACAGTCCCAAAAAGAGAAACAATCATAGAATAATCCCTCGTCACCACAAACTCGATCATCTCACTCTAGGTGGGGTCATGGAGCCAAACTGAACACTTCACCGCATCCTGCCAAATCACCCAATAGTGGCATCACGAAGATCATTTTCAGCTGCACTGGGTCAATCCCTGAAACAAAGTGGCTCCTTCAACGCGAAGTGAGTCCCAACTTATACTCACAGTAGTTCGGTGGCGCCGAGAATTGGATTGAAATGTTCACTCGTGTCCACCGTGGGCACCCGATAGACGTAAGCCCCAATCCTCACCCACATCAGCCCACTATGCTGGATTCGACACGGATGTTGTTTCTGGGGATTTTTCTGGGATTTCTATGAAGCTTTGTATTGATGATTTGCTTTGTTGTGGAGAGATGGTTGCTAAGGGGTATATGGCCAAGACTAGTAATGCTGTTGTGGAGCTTGCGCTTTGTCTCTCCGGGAGGGTTTGATGTAGTATAGGGTATTGTGTCCTTAGGCTTGGGAGCGGTGGGCTTGTCGGGATGCTGAAGTGATGGTACATAATGGAATATGAATATAAGCATCTGTGTTCTGATCATGCCTAGCCTCTGTGAGACTGTTAATATCACGACGGAACCAAAGGGATGCATGTTCGAGCAACAAAAGGATGAAATTCAACACTCTAGATGTAACCAACTCTATACACATAGGTTGGAAAATGGGGTATATCAACATTTTCTTTTTAAACAATGGAGACATATGACTCTGACAGGGTTAGGATCCCGAAATGCAGTGGAAAGGATGCACAAGGAGGTGGAGATAAAACCAATGAGAGAACCCATAGTCGCAGTTTCAGCTCAATTGAGACAGCTACTGCGAGCGGGCCATTTTAACAAAAATGACAGGAGAGTTTTCAACTGCCCCAAAGGGTATCGAGTTTCGATGCGGAGGAGAAAGGGTAGTTACAGCAGGGTCGAGTGTTATGATTCACTCGAAGACCTGGTATGTTGCTGATTGAGGACATTATTGTTTGTAACGAGGTTTCGGACCGCCTGCGGTGCAACCACGTCGTCGACACTGTTTCTGCGGCCCCAATTCTGAGGTTGCCGGCGGATGAAAGCTCCAACAGCTCCGAGGTAGCCTTCGTGGCGCAGGAAGTATGCTTGCTTTTCGCCCTTGGACCAGAAACGGATGGCGTATGAGAGGGTGTTCATAGTTTGACGGTGGCCGCGGATGAAGGAACCACCGAAGTAGATGTGTTTGACTTGGTGCTTCTCCGACTGCAGATAGGCAATTTGGCCAATATTATTACTAATCGAGGTTAGCTTGAGCTAGGGGAAAGTGAGAATAGTGACATACCTAATGGCATAGAGTAGGCTCCGGCTCATGTCTTCTGGGTTGAATTTCACTCCACCGTTGCTCTGGTCCCCGTCGGGACCTCCGTGGATCAATCCCTCACCGTCTTCCGCACCTCGCTCGGCGGCATTCTTCAACCGGAACACCTTACCGAACGTGCTGGCAATGGCTGTGCTCTTGAGACCAATCTTGCTGTAGTCCATGCCATAGATATCTCCTACGAGCATATCCACCCCACTGTTATCCCCTCTGTCGGCCATTGCCAACATGTCATCAAAGGTCCGCGAGCCGGTCAACAAAGACATGAGACCCCAGAAAGTTCCACCACCCAAGTGAGTTCCTCCCACACGTTCATGTTGTTTCGGGCCGGACACCTTGATCATTGACACTCCAGACCCTATGTTGACCAGGAGGTAGGGGTATACATCGGGTCGGGCCTCGGCATATTGCATCGGTTCGGTGTCGGCATCACTGTAAGTAAAGACCTCGTTCGGAATTTCGGTGATGAAAAAATCGAGACCTGTGTGATTGTGAGCATTGCGCGGAATCAGACGGACATGACAGGAACGCACCAATGATCAAGCATTCCATCTCCTCTTCGCGGAGAATGTTCACGTCCAGCGCCTCCTTCAGCTTGTCGTAAAATTTGAAAGCTCCCCCACCGGTGGCTACCACACACAGTCCGTCCCGCGTGGACCCATTGCGCTTCTCGTGTTCCTCTTTCAGCTGCCGAATGAAGTTGATGCAGATGTCTATGCGGTGAGTCTCGAAATTGATGAAGTTAAGCCGTCCACCATTATCGGCCGTGTCTAACTCGCGAGTGAAATAGACCAGCTTGGCCAGTGATCCGCCAATCTACCCATTGTCAGTGAGGTCGCGTGGGAATATTCCCTGAAATTGCGGGGGAACCGGTCGCAATGCGGGGCACAGTTCTCGACTCACATCGACGGCGACATGGCTCACGACGCCAGTGTGGTGAGGAAGTCGAATATCCTTGTTTTCATAATGTATGCCCTCGGCCTCGGGGCTCTTGGAACGGGGCTCGTCGTCGATGATGAAGGCGCCCGTGACGTTGATCTTGACGGCGCCCGGGTTGATGATGGCCTCCTCCAAGCGGGCTGGGCGCTTGCGACGCAAACTGGGGTCTACCTCCGGGATATCGGAGGGAGCCATGATGTTTGAGGATGTTGAAGTCGGGGATGTTCGAGATGGTGAGGTAGCCGTGCCCACAGTTACGGCGTATTTCTCCTTCTACCCGGGGGCTCCGCTTCCGAGGTTCACTTCCCTTCTACTTCTACTTCTACTTCTGCTTCTACTTTGCGGTATTTTTTCTTAATTGGCCTCTTTTTGGATATTAGTTGAGTTTTTTGGGCACTGCATTGAATAGTATGATAACTTCTGGTCCATTATTGCACAAACGTTGCCTGATCTCTCCCTTTCAACTCCCTAGTATCCTGCATTCTACATTCTACATTCGCCTTACTCATGGCTCATTCTCTAGCTATACAGCAGATATCGGCGCAGGTCGCACTATCCTATAATATTTACCATGGCGCAACCAATTGGTACAAAAGGGTTCATAAGTGTGTATCCAGTGCCACTGATACAGTGTTGGACAGCCTCTACACAAAACCCAGCGAAGCGAGTATACCGGTTCATGCATTGTTCTCGGCCTACTTTGGCCACTCTTTTCCACCTCTTTCCCTTCATTTCGAGTGCCTCAGGTTAATCATATAGATTATACATATACAAGTGGGGATGTAAAAAAGTCATGGTATGACTGTAGTGGATTGAGAGAAGCCCAGGGTAGCTTCCTAGTGTCGACGTTTGGGCGAATTTGTAATTGCTCATAAGTGGTCAATTGCCCCCCGTACGCATCTTGATCTCAGACACATACCACCAATTTTTATAACAATTATGATTCTCCGTAAGTATAATCGTTATGCTCAGCGCTTTGGTGATAGAGTTGTAGGTTTTCCTAAGAGGATCAGTGCTAATGGGACTCGATAAGATTGTATATACATACACGCAGGGACTTACCTTATGGGAAGCGCATCTTCTATTTCGTTGATGAAATCGAGAATCTTCTCCCACCAGGATATTTGCACGTTTGTGAAGACTAACAATGTAGGGCTTGATGCCTGCTCTATTGCTTGCAGAATGTGTATGTGCTAAGACTGACCGTTAAATTGATTGGCAGATGTGATGATCATGGTGACAGGTCACATAACGTTAACGCCGATCTAAAGTCTACATCTTCATGAGATGCTATAACAGATTACACCGGACATACTAATCGTGCTTAAGAGATGTTTAAGGTCTTAGGATGGATTGGTCTTATCTGTCGGCCTTGTGCAGAACTACAAACGGACTTATGCAATAGAACCAACTAGAGTTTTCCTCTCCTCTAAGGCTAGCAATATTTTGTTATTTTGTATACATACCATTTGTACATATCACAGCTTTTTCTGTTATATAGAATATCCTTAACCTATTACTGCATATGTTATCTCGTGGAATCTAGGATTGATCTCATGTCTAGCTCTGGTTACATGTGATATACTATTTTGAAAGGAATTGAATGGCTACATGCTTGAATGTTTTTATTTCCGAGCGGGACTCAGATTGATATTATTCTGGTATGATGTTACGCGAGGTTACGCAATATAAAGGGCAGCTGGGGAAATCAGTCAGTTCGCGTGTGGCGGCGCACCCTTCCAAGTGATGCAAAGGCGAGGATCGTGCCTTCCCTTCTATGATGTCGTTGTGTTGCCCTCTATTGCCTATAAGAAGGTCTTCCCTCGTCGATTCCCCCTTTTTGTCCCTTTTCCTCGTCGCGATTCCGATACTTCTGAACGCCTCTGCTTTGCTCTTCTACGGCTGATTCCTTATCGCATCCATCATGGATTCGATTGACCATCAGATTAACTCTCTCGCCCTGGGCAACGGCCTCCAGGAGGACGTACCCCCCGTGGCTGCTACTAATCTACTCAAGCTTTCGGGTGTTGATGACCCCGAGGAGGCTGGCCGCCTAGGCTGGACCAACCCGGTCCCCTTTGATTACGGCAACCCTGACAAGAACTCTCGTGACTGGGCAGGCATTGCTGACCGCTACGAGTGGGATCCCGAATTCGGCGAAGTTGGTCCTCCCAACGAGGAGCTCGAGCAGCAGCTGTTCCGCGGCAACCTCATCCAACGCGTGGGAGACCGTCTCGACGAGTAAATGCTCTGACCCGCAGAATCGTTACATTGGCTCGAGAACTGACGGTTTCCTTTCTACTTCCCAGCCTCAACGCCTACACCGTCAGGGTTGACAGTGATGCCACTATCCAGCCAGTCACCAAGGTAAGGACCCAAAACAGGGCACCTGATCCATATTTTGACAGTCTATAGTGGGAGGATGCCGGCCTGCACCCGGTGATGCTCGAGAATATTAGCCTCTGCCAGTACACTGCCCCAACTGCGGTGCAGTCTTACGCTGTTCCCGCGATTCTCGCAGGACATGATCTAATCTCCGTTGCTCAAACTGGTACGTACTGTTCTCCATGGCTTGTTGAACTACAATACTAACTGATTTAGGATCGGGCAAAACCGCGGCTTTTCTGATTCCAATCCTTTCCAAATTGATGGGAAAGGCACGCAAGCTCGCCGCACCCCGTCCCAACACTTCCGAGGGCTTCAACTCTGCGACAGATGCAGTTCGAGCCGAGCCTCTGGTCCTGATCGTGTGTCCCACCCGCGAGCTCGCTACCCAAATCTTCGACGAGTGCCGCCGACTGTGTTACCGTTCCATGTTGCGCCCATGTGTTGTTTATGGTGGTGCTCCTTCTGGGCTTCAGCGGGAAGAGCTTCAGAAAGGATGCGATATCCTCATTGCAACCCCCGGTCGACTTCTGGACTTTATGTCGCAGACCCACGTGCTCTCTCTTCGTCGAGTTAGGTATGCCACCCTGTTGATTCATCCTAGAGACGATTATTGTCGAATCTTGCAAACTAATGATGAGTAGATACACTGTTATCGATGAGGCCGATGAGCTGCTCCAGGCAGACTGGGAGGATGAATTTCGACGTATCATGTCTGGTGGAGGTAAGCGTTTCCTTGTCCTTGGTTCCACCAGTCTTTTCCTTTGCTGGGACTTTTATGTAAACGCTCTGACTTGAACAAGATGTGAACGAGGATGCGGATCATCATTACATGATGTTTTCGGCCACATTCGACAAGGAATTCAGACAGCTCGCCAAAGAATATCTCAGTGATAATTATGTGCGCCTTCGAGTCGGCCGCGCTGGCAGTTCTCACAGCAATGTGACCCAGCATGTATGCTTATATCCAGACTCGAAAACATGTTCATGTTGGTGCTTACACTCTTAGGTTATCTACGCTGATTCGGACAAGAAGATGCGGGCCATCTATGACCTTATTGTCAGCATGCCGCCTGTGCGCACTCTGGTTTTCGTCAACAGCAAGGAACAGGTGGACTTTGTTGACGACTTCCTCTACAACTCTGGAATTCCGTCCACTTCTATCCACAGTGGTAGAACTCAACGTGAGCGTGAGGATGCTATGCAAGTCTTGTTTCTGTTCGCCTTCACCTGCGCTTATTAATGAGTCAAACAGTCGTGCTTTCCGCACCGCGAAATGCCCTGTCATGGTTGCAACTGGAGTCTCAGCCCGTGGACTTGATGTCATTAACGTGCTTCATGTCATCAACTACGACCTGCCCAGTGCCATGCACGGAGGTATCACTGAGTACATCCACAGAATCGGTATGTATTTTTATACAGAGTTTGGTTTTTGGTCACTTTTTGAGCTTCTGGCTAATACCACATCTCGTATTCACAGGACGCACTGCTCGAATTGGCAACGAGGGTCTCGCCACTTCATTCTACAATGATCGGAACGAGGAACTTGCTACCGAGCTCGTCAAGATCCTCATCGAGTGCAAGCAGCAGGTGCCTGATTTTCTCGAAGGCTATCGTCCTGAGGGTGACGTGCTGGAATTCGATGACGACTCGGACAACGAAGCTTCCGGGCAGAAAGAGAACGAAACCTCTTCTCAGGTTGCTGATGAAGAGCCTGTCGCTGCCGAAGCCGATGGTGATGAGCCTGCCGCCGAGGCCTCCACTCAGTCTAACTGGAAAGCTGCCGAGAGCGATGACATCTGGAACTAAGGTTCTTCGATTGAACACTTCAAATTTGAGCGACAAAGGAAGCAGGGAGAACAACACAAGAAAAAATGAAAAAGGAAAACAAAAGGATGAAAACCAAGAGAGAACCGCGCATGCAAACCGAGACAGAGAGGCGTATGGATATCTTTCGATTTTGCTGGGGGATTTTACAGTGATTTTAGTTTAGTTTACTGAATTAAGGCCTGACTCCATCGTTTGTTTTCCTGTAGATCTGAGGTCCTTGCCTTATGTGTAGACCATCGCTCTTTACATTTCCTGCACAACTCAACCTCTTCTCCTTCAAGCACGCTCACTCTTTTACAACTCTAGGTCTTCATCATGCATAGCTTATTCATAGGCTCTAGCATCGCTCTTTCTCTTGTTCTCACCACTACAGCCCTCTATCATAGACCGGTCGACCACGGTCACTGGAATGAACTCCTAGACACCCTAAATACATCACACAAGCAGAAGACAGGGCTTCCCTTTGTTATCGATACCTTCCAGAATCCAACCCACAATGATCTGGGATTTTGGCACGGCTCTGGCGAGAATCTCTCAGTGCAACATGGACCGGGGTTCATCCGTCTGTTCCCAAAAGACCCAGACCAGAACTTCCACACGCAATTCGATTCCAACACTTGCTACAGCCTGATGCCATGGTACAATGATCTCCTTCATGTCGTCTTCGAAGGCACAGATAAATTCAGCGTCTCATTAAACCAACACAATGACGAATGCAATCCACGACGCAGTCCCTTCCCCAGCATCGCAGATTCAGTCCAAGCAGAGCGATACGTGGTACGCACAGACTCTGAGGAGTCGCGCGATGATAATTGGGACTATGAAGATGATGACTACGATGAAGATGATGATATGGATATGGTTACCCCGAGAGACACGCATGGCAAGCTTGGGAGACATTGTCAGAACGGTCGACGACCCAAGCATGCCAAAGGTAGTGCCAGAATTCCAGTAGGCCGTCGTGACCTCTATATTCCCCTCACTCACTTCGAGATCGATTTCAATCGGGTTGTCTCTGTTTCTTTCCATGGCTTCTATACCGAAGAACCCATGACGCTACATCGCGTTGAGATCGTTTCTGCTGTCCCAGTGCCATCGCCAGAGAATGGTCATTTTCGTTTGCCTGGCAAGCTGCCAAGTGGGAGGTTGGTGCTTCGTTGTTCGCGTCCGAACTCGTTTGCTTTTGGCATCGATGATGGGCAGCCTCAGTTCTCTCAGAGGGTCATGCGTATCCTTGACGAGGAGGATGTGCGAGTGACTTTTTTTGTTGTTGGGGTTGGACTCAGAGATCGGTCGTCGAATTTCACTGCGTTCTATAAGGAGATGTTGAAGAAGGGTCATCAGATTGCGCTCCATTCGAACACTCATCCGAAGTCAGCTTGCCGCAACGAAGTCCTTGCGTCGAGGTGCTGACACAATCAAATAGGATGGAATCACTTCCCACCGTTGGTCAAATTGATGACGAGATTATCCAAACGATACAGGTATTCAAAGACCAACTGGGTATTGAGTGTATGTAGTCCTCTTATACTTCTTTCCGATGACAATGCTGCTAACACAGTTGCTCTCTACAGCTTCATACTTCCGACCACCGTTCGGCACAGTAGCAGCACGCCTACGCCAGCAACTCTCTCGACACATTGCAAACCCCTACATCGTGAATTGGAGCGTGGACGTCGAGGATTGGCTATGGGCCAATACATCCTCACCAGAGAAACAACTGGATGCATTCTACCGCGGTGTGGCAAATGGTGGAAACCTCGCTGTGATGCACTACCTTAACCCGACTACAATTGGGTATCTCCCACAGTTCATTCGGCATGTGAAGAGCGCTGGGTATCACATTATGCGCATTGATCAGTGTTTGGAGGATGCGTCCGCTCCGCCACTGTGAGTCTGACTTGTGGTTTTTTGTACAGATTCGAAGCAGGGCTTTCATTCGTTATATATCCTTAGTGTATAACCTCCCTTCCTAGTTGGTGCCTTGACACCATCCGCGCAATGATAACTCGTTCGTTCCTTTGTGATCATTTTCTACCACTTGTGCTTCAGAGAGCCCAGAGTAGAGCGTAATGATTGTGATTAACCAAGAGAAATTGGTAGAAAGGTTGGTTTGAATGAATCCGATCTTGTGTTCAGCGATCAATATATAAAGATAATCCCAGCAAAACACCAACGCCAAACAGAAATGTCTATCCATGACCATCCAGAGAATTGACAATAAAATGGTAGTACACGACCAAAGACCAACAACCAGAGGCAAGAGATTCAACCTCTCAACCTCACCGAGCCCGAAATGCCCATGCCCAAACCCATACCCACCTAGGCAGTCAGGTATACATATGCAATCCAATGTATATCAGCGGTATAACCAAACCGAACGAACAAAGCTCAATAAAGCTCTCTTCCATGCAAAAATAACCCAACCCAACCAAAAAGCCATCCAATAAAGATCCCCTAAGCAATATCCCCAAGGAATACAAATACAAAACCCGATCTCACATATCCATATCCATATCCATATTAATCCCCAAACTCGGGTTTCCGACAATACCCTGTCTTCTCCATAAGATCCCTTATCCGAGGAACAATCCAACCTGAAGTCGAATCCCCCGACACAGCCACAGAATTACCCAGCCGCGGCCTAGACGCCGTGAAACACTTCTGATCGCGGAAGGAGAATTGCATGCATGTTTTCGACACCTCGCAGACTTCCCGGCAGTCTTCGAAGGTTTTCGCAAAGGGTTGGTCTTCGTTTGCGGCGTTATCCCAGTTCAGGCGCACGGGTTGTGTGGCGATTTCTTGGTAGAGGTATTCGCGGAATAGGTCGCTGTGGAGGAGGAGGCGTTTGTTTTTCTGGATTGGTGGGTTGGCATTAGTGGGATTGTTTTAGAGGGGTGGTTGGGATGGGGTGCTTACATCGCGCCAGCGCTTTTGTTCGAATTTCCAGAGGTTCTCAATGTCAACTGGGGAGAGGTGGTGGAAGGCGACGGCGATGAAACACCACGGACGACGGACGAAGTCGATTGTGAATTCGTCCAATTCGCCTAGGTTGGAATTTTGCAGGATCGGCCAGGTAAAGTGCAGGTTGACGCCTGCGTCGGCGAGGACCTTACCCAGCACGCAATCGCCTGCCCAGTGCTGGTCTGTATAGCTGTTCAGCTCGACCTCGCGGGTACTATACTCATCCGAGGCGCGCTGTAGAGCCGGATTCGAAAGGACGAAGCCCGAGCCACCGTGTGCGAAGATGACGTCTGCGATTTGTGTTTCTGTGCCGAGGTAGTGTGGCTTGCGGGGATCGAAGCGGGCTAGCCAGGCGAGGATTGTTGGCCATGAGACGTAGGTGTCTGCTTCGATGAAGACGAACCATTTAGCGTCTGGCTTGTGGCGCAATGATTCCTGGGCCATTGGGAGGAATTTCCATTTGTCCAGTTTCCAGCCTGGGTTGTTGGGTTTCCCGATTGCCGAGTTGGCTTCGTCTGCGAAGTCCTGCTGTTCTAAACCCTTGCGGCCTTGTTTCACGATGCGATTATAGAATTCAAAGTCCGGGTTTGCTTTGGCGGCGCTGTCCATGTTTCGGAGAACATCGTGGATTTTGACACCTTGGATTTCTTCTTCGAAGTCGGAGTATATCACATAGTGGGGGATGCAGCGTAGGGTGGTTCCGAAGTGGATGGGGACCTTCTCTTGCGATTCTGTTACTCCGGTCTTCATTACCACTAGTACATCCTCAATGCCTGGTAATGGCGGACAGAATGGAGCTGGTTCGCCATTCTCATCGAGGTCTGGGGTGATGTCTGTGGTTGTGAAGTGAGGGCGCCATTGGCGATCGCGACTGGAGGAGCAGGTGTACAGGAGGAAGAGGGCGATGGCGGCTGCTACGGCAATTACGCGGCGACTGAACCGGCGACGGGGGACCATCCTGTGTTGAGTGACAGTCAGGCCTCATCCTCGAGGAACTCGAGGAACTGGGGAAATGTTGGCGCTAAGATGATCGACGTCTGTGCTGACACATCGGGACGCGTCGCCCCTCAAGTTTGGCATAGTTAACCCTTGACTTTCCTTGCGCATCACTTCCCCCTTGATGCTGGAGTGTTTCCCGTGTCTTCAGGGGTAGCTGTAGCTGTTCACGCTAAACTAGCTGGGATCCACAGGGATCAGCATGACATGCCACGTTCAAGTTGACAAAGATGTCATTACATTGGATGTATACGAAGTACGAAGTACAACAAACTCATATAATATGGACAGCAGCATAACACGAACACCCAAGCTTGACAATCACCAAGTCCCCGACAAAGCCATCTTAGGAACATAAAGATCATCCAACGACTTCACATCCGCCCCAGTCAACACCCCACCCTCAAACAAGGCCACAGCCTGCACAGCCTCATCAAGCCTCTTCGAACTTGACAACCCAACGATTGGATTAACCCCCTTAACCAAACACCACACAATTCCAATCTGCGCCATACTACACCCCTTCTCCTGCGCCAACTCCTCAACCCGGTTGATAATAGCGATATCCGCCTCCGTCGTCCCACCCATCAACCACTCAGCCGTGAAATCCGTTCCCTGCCGCACAGTCGGCTGTTCCTGCGTCTCCTTGTAAGGGCGCGTAAGAAGACCCCGCGACAGAGGCGACCAAGGGATAATCCCAATTCCCGCATCGCGGCAGTAGGGGTGCATTTCGCGCTCTTCTTCGCGGTGGAGGAGGGAGTAATAATCCTGCATACTAATGAATTTGTGCCAGCCATTCTTTGAGGCGATGTTGTTTAATGCTTGGAATTCCCAGGCGTGCATCTGTCTCGAGAAGAGTGCAGGTGTCAGTCCGGGGAACGCCAACAGAAAGGAAACTAGAAGAAAACAGAGAATAGTAGGTGATTCCACTAACCGAACTAGCACCAAGATACCGCACCTTCCCACTCTCAACAACATCATTCAGAGCCTTCATGATCTCCTCACGGGGCGTGTCCCGGTCAAGCCGATGGATCTGCAACACATCCATATACGTACCGAGTCTCTCGACGCTGGCATCTACCGCACCGAAGATATGCTTGCGAGAAAGACCGATACGGTTAACCATTATCCCGTCATTGGCGATCATCACGGACATCTTTTCGATATCCGATAGCCCGTCCATGTCGCCTGGGTTCGGGAGTCCGGCGTAGCATTTGGATAGGATTACCACGCGTTCGCGCGGGATGTTGTATTCCTTTAGGGCTTTGCCGACTATGCGTTCTGACTCGCCGAAGGAGTAGACATCTGCCTGGGGGGGTTGTTAGTATAGTGGGATGAGTGGGTGGGTGGATTGGTTTGGGTCTGTACTGTGTCCCATGTATTGATTCCTTTATCATAGGCTTCTTTGAGAACTGGGAGGGCTTTTTCTTCGGGGATGTGCCAGCCCTCTGAGTTTCCGAAGGACATTGCGCCTAGGACTATCTTGGAGATTTTCAGGCCTGATTTTCCGAGGCTTCATTTTGGGATTGGTTAGTAGGGAGGATTGGTGGTTTGTAGATTGGATCTCTTACTTGTTGTATCTCATAGCGCCTTTGTAGGCAGGTTTGAATGCGGAACGGTCCATTTTTGGTGTTTGTCTTGTCTGAAGGAATTGCAAGTTTGATGTTGTCTGGTATGTCTGTGGAACTGTGGTTATCAGCCTGCTTTAAATACCTTCGTGGACTCTATTGTAAATTTGGTGTTGAACCCAGCCATTCCATGTCATTCGTATGGATCAAGTCAGCCATATACTCCTGCTCGGAGATATCTGTGATTGACAGCCGCCGATTGGCGGATCTAGCAAAGGCTCAACTCAGCCATTCATTGTGGGTCTAGACGGTAGCTATGATTGTGCATACCGTCAGGAGTCGAGTCGATGGCTGATGGCATACAATTCTAGCTGCAATAGTCTTGCTGGAAAGGGGCAAAATACTTGTAGACTGATAAATGAATGATTGTCTAACTTGGGGGACCGAAAGGATTTACATATTAACTTAACCTAGATGCTTACACCATGAAAACGGACGTAACTCTTTTCACTGTTTCAACCAAAGTATACATCCCTCACTGCGTAGATTGAGCCTTCTTCTCAACCATCTTATCATGCAACTTGACCAACTCTGGAATAATAAGAGTCTCAATCTCAATCCCATCCCGACTCCCATCAGGAACCTGCTCCCCCTCAGTCTGCTCAACAGGCACAGTGTTCCCCTTCTTAGCCTCCGCCAACCCAACCTGATCCTCAACCCCTGAAATACTCTTACTACGCCTTGACTTTGGAACCCGCAGCCAGCGCTCATACGGCGGATCAGGCGTGATAAAGACAACCTCCCACTTCCGCGTGGAGAGCAAGTTACCAATAACAAGATGATGCGAATACCGCTGCAAGGCAGTACGCGCTTTGTAGACAAGCAGGGAGGGGTCCGTCTCTAGTTTAAACGAGACAATCATGCTTCCCTCCGGCGCCCAGCCGTCCACGAGGCGGTGTAGGAACTTGGGTACGGGATCGAGATTCACGACGAGTTTCTTGCGGCTCGAGGGTTCTTCTTCGTTTTCGCCGGTGTAGATGTCGTTTGAGTTGACGGCGTTGTTGTCTTGGAAGTTGGCGGGTATTTCCATAGATTGAATCTTGTGTTCGGCCATTCGGCTGCGCGGGATGAAGAAGTCGCTGACTGCGGCGGCGAGGTAGAAGAGGGCATTGGCACCCAGGGGTCGCATGAGCTGTGCTAGGGAGCGCAGCTCAAACATGTATTCGGAGACGGTTGTGAAGGGGAGAAGGAGGAGACGGTTATTTTGTTTTGCGTAGCGGTATTTGCGGAGCACGCTGCGCATCTCGTCTTGATACTCGTCGCGCACCTTGATCGGTCCGTTGTCGCTGCCTGAATTGGAGGATTCTGAGGACGGTGGCGCTTCGTCCATGAAGTCCAGGAAACAGTTTGTTGAGTGGCTGTAGTGCCGGGAGTATGGGAGGAGACTGTATTGGCGGTGCAGGAAGATCACGGCGTATCCCTGCTCTAGGAAGTACTCGGCAGATGTGGCACCGCGCGTTCCGGCGGAGAAGTTGTCGATGAATCGGACGGTTTGTGCTTCTAGGGGGACTGTTGTGCCTCCGGAGGTAACGAGAGCTACTCGTCTGTGCTCTTCCACGTGCAGGTTGATGAATGCGCGCGCCAGCGCTTCGTGTTTGGGGAGTGCTTTTGGTGGGGGGTATTCATTGAAATAGACTGATTCAGCTTCGGCTGGCGACATTTCGCCGACTGATGGAGCCCCCATTGTGAGGTGTGAGCTGTGTAGCTTGATTGCTAGCTATGCGCGGGGTATGAGTGATCGTGAAAAACAAGCAGCTTTGTGTCGATGATAAGGTGCCGAGGAATGCCAATTTGGTGGGGTATTTATGAATTGCGGTCAGATCGCATTGGCTTTGACCGGTTACACTCGCAAGAGATCTGGTCAATTTAATGCGGGCTTGAGTGCTTCAAGTACCCCACCATCAATCCGGGCGTTGAGACCGAACTGCCTGATCCGGCGTTAGCGCTCCCGTTTGACCGATGATAGATAAATGTTGAACTGTCGGGATGCAACTCTGCTTAATTATGCCAAATTATGCCGAGGACACCGAGGATCGCTGTCACCGAGGCTGTCGGAGCTACTTGATGCCGGGTCACGTGCGGGATGACGCTTACGGAATTGCTACATCATACTACAGCGCTGGGGTGGAATATCCATGAGATTGACCCTATGTATCACTGCAGATAGCGACTGCGAAGTGCCTGGCTGATTGTGCTCATCCGGCTTGCCATCCCTCCATGCTGCATGTTACTCAGAAGAGCTTCCTCCAGGGCAGATTGGGTAACGCTTGCATCTATGGCAGGGTCGATCAGTAGGAACCCAAGGTCCTCGGGGTCAGGGTACGCACCGTCAAGATCACTAAAGCTGCTTCCCATGCTGGGGGTACCATCACTAGTCTCGCGCCCGGATGCGGTAGACTTGCGGGAGTTCTGACGGGATTCGGGGAGTCGCTGGGTGTTCAGGGATGGTGCAGTGGGGTCCATCCGTCTGCTGTCTCTGGGGGATAGACTGACCGGAGCTCCGGAACTTATGGAGCTAGTGGATGAATCTGTTGCAGGAATTATAGGACCGGGGCGCTCTGTGCCGCGTCGTCGTTGCGCTGCTCGTTCGGCACCTAAGCGAAGAGTAGCGCTGAGTTCTTGTGCGGGTCGTTCGCGTTGGGTTTGTTCGTTTTCCCGAACAAGAGGGAGGAATGCCGGAGTGTCGTCTTCGTCATCTTCATCATCCCGGAGACCGGAGCGCTGCGTAGAGAATTTGCCAAATCGTTTGAACCGGGGCATGCGTCTGCTGGTCTCTTCATCGGAGTCAGATTCCTCCGAGGGGCTAGAAGATAGATCTTCTTCCTCCAGCGGGGGTGATCGGAGCACAGATGCGGGAGGCTGTTCCCGTCGGGCGACCGAAGGATGACGGCCTAGGGAATCCCAGTGAGAGTCTTTCTCCTCAGCTGTGGGTGTGTCAGTGCGAGTAGGGTCTTGCGGCCCGCGTTGCTGTGTTCCAGCCATAGTCGGGGTACTAGTGCGCCGATCATCAAGAGCTGTAGTCAAGGTTAGGCTATTGGGTCCATCTGATAGAACTCGATTCATACATCGTCGCGGGATATCCTTCTGCTGAGACCCCTGTCTCGTCGCTCCTCGAGGTCCTGCTCATAGTTAGCTCCATCTTCTTCGAAAGGACCATAACCAGTAATAAATACCTGTCACCGGCACATCCTTCTGCACCTGCCCACCCAAAGCCGTACTCCCAGAGACAGACCCAGGAGCCGGAGAAGGCGAATTCGACTGCGTAGTACCAACTTTGCGTATCTGAGCCCGGACCTGAGACAACTGTCGATCATAGAGCCAGGCAGCTTGCTGAAGTAAAAATTGCAAGGTAACCTCAAAGTTCTCTGCACTAGACAAAAGGGGTCAGTAACCGGCTGCAAGCCGCGGCGTAAGGATATTTACAGCGCTTTCCCTGTCGTGTTGTCAGCCATGTATCAAACATAGATGTTGGTTGATGAAGTAACATACAATCTATGTCTCCTTTCGATGGGCGCGAAAGGATATCCCAAAGCGCTTGGTCTTTGTATGCATCCCATTCCACCTGTTGTCGTCAGTAGAGGTCAAAGAGGGCCAGAGAGCCCCTGGGAGAACTTACTGGTGGTGGGTCGACAAAATCGCCTCTTGGGAAGGGCAAGCGGATGAACACTGTGAATTTCGTATCGCTGGGGTCGGCTTTGATGGCCATCTTGTAGGTTGCGGTGTACGGAGATAACAAGCAGGGGGGTTTAAGGGTTGGCGGTCTCGTTTAACTTGATACGTTATTTATGTTCAATAGGTGAGGGACTTGGAGATAAATATTATAATAATATCGCCAGAGTCTTGGGGTTTAAACGGTACAGAGTAGATGTGATGTTGGGAGGAGGCGTCACGGCGGGCCGTCTTTATTGGCGGAGATGGTGCGTGGCATATATTGAGACTTTGCGTGGAGATTTAATGCTGGCGGGGGTTGACGTCAAAGTCTGCGTGGAAACAGATAAATACACATGTGTATGACGTATATCGACGCACATCATATATAGGATATTGGGAATTTAGTGATAAATAAGTAGTGGGTCGAATGCTGATACATATTATCTTGTATCTGGATTCTCATACTTCGCATTGCGGAAGAGCTGTATTTGGCCTGACTTTAAACTACAACTTTCTAAGAAAAATAATGCCCGGGGGCCGTTTTACGGTCAGAGCCACATTGCTTCAAGAACCGCTTTTGTAGGACAGGCTTATCGATTTTAATTTTGTAAAAGGCGACAAATGATCATTCATTGGCAAGGATCCTCTTCACCTCTTCGTCTAAATCCTCATTCGGAAGTGACAAAATCTGATTGCTAAGGCCGACCCTAGCTTGATGGTTGCCACCTGCCCCATCCTTAAATACATGACCGTAGATCAGATCAGCATAGCCTAACACGTCCCCATGTTTGAGTTTTTCCTTGCCAGCAGCAACCTTCGCCTCCGTATCCTGGAACTGGATATCCCAGGAAGTTTGCGGGAATGAAGTAACCCGCTGGACGCTCCCTAGGAGGTCAATCTGGGAGATACAGAAGGACGAGATATAGACCAGTTTGTTGACAAACATATTCCTTTGCTTAGGGGGCAGTTGAAGCAAACTGGCGACGGCACGTCCTATAGTCGGCAACGTTGTCATATTGACTTTCGTGACTCCCTGGTCTAGTAGAACAGCCTTTTTGCGACTAGTGTCAATGCCAAGTACCCCACGCGGAAGCGACTGGGACGGTTAGTACAAAATTGCTGCTAAGTCCAAGGGCCGCTGAAAACTCACCCAGTCAAGGATTAGGCCGTTAATAACGCCTGTCCACATGAACTGCGATTGTGTCTTGGCGACTTGCTCATTTAAATATTCTTGGACGGCTACCTTGGGCGGAATGATAGGAACTTCGGCAGCATACTCAGAGTTACCACTGTCTGTTCCAAATTCACTCGGAATAATCCATTTTACACCAGCCGAAATAGCAGCATCAATGATTGGAATTTGAGTAGCCGGAATAAGGGTGCCGACACACAACACAAGCGCATCTATGCCTATCAAGCCATCCTGGAGAAAGGTTTGATCTTCGTAGTCTCCTCGAAGGACTCGAGCACCTTCAGGGAAAACAGCTGCCGAGGATGACCGTGAGAAGACCGTCACATCTTTACCTGAGGCTATCAAAGCCTTGAGCACTGCAGAGCCAATCGAACCACTAGCCTATATGCTTTTAGCGCATGTTATTTTGAGTTAGATAAAGACTCAACCTACCCCAACGATAGCAACACGGTTCATGGTGAATGTGACTTTCTTTTTATTGCACGGAAATAAAAAGGCGTCGGAAGGGGCTTTATAGGCCTGAAGTCTTAAGTGATTATTGATAGTCAAAACATGTCAAAATGAGCAAACACATGCTGATTTAGCCTATCTGACCAATGAAAATATCATATTGGTGGGGCCGATCGGGGATCGGCGCGGGGTGTGGGTAAAGTGTTTGATGCAAATGTTGCAGATGGTAAAATTGGAGCTATCTTTTGCACCCCGATAGCGAGGATTGGCTACGGCTCAGCCATAGGTGACGTCGGACAGGCTCGGGACATAGATTCGGCAAAGATGCCATTGTCTTCCGGAAATCTGGTCGCTGCCGCACCTCATTGATTGGTTGCAAGTCTATCTGGTTGTTGCCGATTTTTCTAATCAAGGCCCTCCTGTCGTCCCATCGCGTGCGTGATGGAGACGGGGATTGAATCCTTTATGTAAATATATAAACGTGTCTAAACAGTCGCAAGTTCCAACGGATGTTTTTGATCGTCTGCTCGCTACATTCTGCTGCCTAGGCTATTTAAGAACGGGTAAATGACTGGCTTTGTACCATATCACTAATGCGATATAATTTTGACAGTGGTAGTCTCGGTGCCATATTGCGCAGAAATGCAAGCACTTTTCAGATGGTGGTGCTGAGAAGGAAGGAGATCAGTATAAGGGGTAGCCGAGGTAGGAGTTTCGTGTAAGATACGGTATTATACGTTAAGCAGTCGAGTGTTTTCGAATTCTACTGTAGGGCGTTCTTAACCAGCTCCGGAGCCTCGACTACCGTCTCATCTTCGACAACCTCCCAAACATGTCTATTATATCCTATTGGCGAGATAAATGCCTGGCAGTCATTTTACGATTTATCATCGGGCTCGTAACTCCCGTGCATGCTACACCGGATGAAGTTTGCCATATCAAGTCCCGAGATGCTGGCCGATCGATCAAGGCTCATGTGTATCGCTCTTCCAGCATCGGACCATCGCCTGTCCTCCTCAACTTTCACGGCAGTGGGTTCATACTACCACATCATGGCACCGACGATGAGTTCTGCCGGCAAGTCAGTCGCGAGACCAAATATACAGTCCTCGATTGCCCATATCGTCTCGCGCCGGAACATCCCTTCCCCGCCGCTCTAAACGACGTCGAAGATGCCATCAAATATGTGCTGGCACGCCCCGATGAATTCGACCTCACCCAAGTGTCCATCTCAGGCTTCAGCGCTGGAGGTAACCTCGCGCTAGCCGCCGCTGCCAACCTCTTCCCGGCCGACACTTTCCGCTCCCTATTGGCGTACTATCCCGTGACCGACCTGAGCAAAGATGGCTCCGCAAAGTCCGCTCCAGTCGACCAGGGTCGGGCGATTCCCGTTTCGGTCGGGCGCCTGTTCAACCGCTGCTATATCCCTTCTACCTTTGATAGACGGGACCCGCGCATCTCACCGCTCTTCGCACAGGCAGAACAGTTCCCACGTCGCCTCCTCATGATTACTGCAGATGGTGACTCTCTTGCGCATGAGGCAGAGGAGTTGGCTCAGAAGGTTGAGGAGTTGCCTGAACGGCATGTGGTCAGCCAACGCACGGCGGGCTGTACTCATGCGTGGGACAAGCGCACGAGGGCGGGAACCCCACAACACGAAGCTAAAGATCGGGCCTACAAGCTGGCAGTTGATATGCTGAATATGAATAGCTGAAGTATCTTATGATCATATGTTCCTGGCCTGACCCGAACATCTTCCGTCGCCTTCCGCTGGGACCGAGGCTGTTACGTCAAGCCCTAAGCCCTAATTTCCTGACTCGTACATTTGTATAGAGGGGTGATAAGAGTTAAGTTTAGCATTTAACCCGTGGACTTTACTTTTGTGCATGCCTATAGGTAGCTACCTAGCTAGTTAAAGTTACTAGTTAAGAAGTTTATGCTCGACAGTACCCTGTTTATACAAAATAGTCATGTAGAGGATTGCGTCAGGGCGTGGGTCTTTGATATTAAAAAACCCGTATCATCTTCCCCTTTCCTGTTATTTCGCTTTGACCTTTACCTCCACCTTCCTGTCCTTACAGAGCTTCACCCCTCCTAACTTTACCAGGCGGATGCCGTCATTGAACCCCTCTCGTCCACCGTACTGCTAGTGCCGTGGGCGAGTCCACTCCTTTTAACGGTACCGCGCACCAGCTTATGCGCCCGCTGGCTCGGCGCCCCATACCCCTGTACATATGGCCATGGAGTCTAACGGGCCTATTTTCGACGAGGCCCAGTACCGCCGGGATGTACTCAACCTCTCGTCACCAGAAGCCGAACAAGAGCGGGCGCAACAGCTGGCTGACGAAGCCCGACAACTGGGTGTGAAGATGCCAGAAATGGAAGCTACTGCGCCGCTGTCTGCCTCGATCGCATCGGGTTTACTCGAGCTTTCTTCGCCCCTTCTCTCGTCAGGCTCGTCGACCGATCGCATTTCCGTCTACGATGGCTCCGTTACCCCGTCTCATGAACCCGGTTCTCCGTCGACGTCTGCGCTTGATCAGGTTGTTTCGTCACTGTCGGAGATTACAATTGCTTCTGACCATATCAACCCTGGCAGTACGCGCTCGCTGGCGTCGCTCTCTACCCGTCCCACCTCGTTTTGTTCGAGCGAGGGGAGGACGGGACTTGCGCTGCATGGATACAATAATGATCCCTTTGAGGGCAAATCGCATCGTCATTCCATGCTGAGTATCGCTTCGGCCGATAAGAAGGAGAAGCGACGCAGCAGTTTGAAATCTGCCATTGGACGGATTCATTTTCGCAAGAAGCGCACTTCCCCGCCAATCGTCATGTCTCCTGACTCGCGCATTACCCTCTCCAAGAGCGACAAAGGCGTGGATCATGTCTACCTCGAGCCTACGCCTGGATCTAACAATCCTGATGATGGGGATATTCCCCCGGCTATTCCTCGTCCTCCCAAGAGGACCACCGAAGCCCCCCTTCCCAGGCTGAGAATTCCTCTGTTCAACAAGGAAGCCTTGCAGCGAAGCTTGGATGATCCCGAGCTTAGTGAGTTGCACCAGCGACATGAAATGGAAAAGAATCGTCACCTTGCTTTCCAGGAGACCGCCCTGAACATTCTCCGGCGCCGACACCAGGATGCTGTGTCTGAACAGCAGTCTGAGAACCAGCGTCGGGAGGACGAGAAACGTGAAAAGAACATTGACGACACAATCCGACTTGAAGAGCGACAACTTGCAGTCGAAATCGAACAGCAACGCGAGTTCGATCGTGCCAAGATGAACTCGGCCACCCGCATCAAGCATATGGAGGGCTATTTCCGCAACGCCAGCCCACCGCCCTCTCCCTCCATAACAGCGACAACAGCCGAACGGTCATCCGGGTCGTTCTCAGACTCCGCTTCCCCTCCACCAACCCGCCAATTCACTCGGCAGCACATGGAGCAACTAGAACAGCAATACCACGACCACGAGTCCATGGACCAGCTCCACGATGCTCGCATCAAAGTCCTCCGTGACCGCCAAGAAGTCAAGCTACAAGAAACTGTGGCGCGCCTAGAAAAGGAACTAAATGAGATGTGCAAACAACACAAGCAGGATATCACCACTCTCCAGCAAGAGCAACAAGCCGAGGAAACATCCCTCACCCAAGCCCTGGACTCGAAGAAGACTTCACTGCGTGACAGATGGCAGTTAGAAGAAGCTATCCTTCGCCGAACCCTCGAAGTGCGACATGGCCAATTATACGGCCCCCTGCCACCTGTCTCATTCACAAACACCACTCCCGACACCGATACCCCCGTTACCATTACCGTCCCCGAGTCCTCGCCTCTAGGAGCATCGAGCACCTCGGACACAATCCATCCCGCTCGGGATGGCGTGGCACCCTAATTTGGATCTTGGACCTTGGAGCCCACGATGACACGACATCTATCGCCTATACCCTTTATAATACTCTTCTTCTGGTCTTTTTATCTAATGCCTGGCCCAGGCACGGTATCCTAGACTTGCTGTATTTCTCTGCCCTTGTTATGCCCCTACCCTTCTTGTAATGATATCGGAATTCTGACTTTGGACATACAATTTGAGCACTACATATGGATGGCGGCGCTTGTCTTCTTGTTGCATAGCTCTAGGTGGAATCATTGAATAGATATATCAATTGCATTTGCGTTCTCAGTCTACTTCTTTGGACTGTACTCGGTAGTAACTTGCTAAACAGTATTGGGGTATCTCACGCTAAAACACTTATCACATATCACATAACAATAACCACCTGGTACCGGCGACATTCCAACATCAAAGTCCAAAGGGAAATCAAGACGGTGACCCAGCCGCAGACCCAGCCCTCAACCGATCAAGAATACCTTCAATCCTCCCTCCACCCCCTGTCATTAAATCCTCTGTCCGCTTATCACGCCCAGCATCCCCAATAACAACAGCCCTCTCCACAATCCCACCATTAGACAACTTAAACCGTCCCACACGCCCATCCTCCCACTCAACACGCACATACCGCGCCTCAATCGGAACAGCCGCTAACCCCACAATGCCCGTACTCGGATCAGGCGATACCTCCTCGGTTGATATGGGCCGTCCCTCTGAATCGACCAGCCCAACCCATTCGCGTAGAAGGTCAATAGCGTCGACGCGCATATGCCACGCGACCAGTTCCCGGCGTAATTCGCGCACGAATCCACCTAGGTCTTGTTTGCGCGTAGAGGGAAGTTTCTTGCTTGTCTTTGCTGGCGCGGTGTCCTCGGAGGATGTATCCCCATCTCCTCCTTCCTCATGACGGCGAGCCCGCGGCAGATAAACATCCTCAAGCTTCGCAACGGAGATAAACGAGGGCACGGTATGCCGATGGACCCCCAACCTCCTGCCACTCTCCTTTCCAGCATCATGCCTTCTCTCCGAACGAAGGAGGACATAATAAGGCTTCGCGAACCGTCCATTCCGCGTGCAGACATCAATGCGCACACCGAGGAGGTTCTTATTTTGTGGGTGTATTGTAGGGGATGGGTCTTTGAATGGGAAGGTAGTTGCGCCGAAGGCTATGCGGTGGTGGTTCGAGGTGTTGTGTTTGCCTGCGGCGTGGACTAGTGGCGAGAGGTGTTCGAGGTTGGTTGTGGATTCGGTTTGAGGAGTGCGGAGGAGGGATTGGATTTGGGTTGTTGTTAATAGGCTGGATGTCAGGAGGCGTTTGCGCTTTTGGAGGGTTTGGACTGGACTCTTGTTAGCTTGGGAAGAGCTTGGGTTTGGTTTGTTGGATAGGGGTGGTTACTTTCGGCGCGGATTGAGGTTATTGAGGTGTCTAGTTCTTCTTCTTGGGAGTCCGGGGTTGCGCGTTTGCTGGGTTTTGTTGTGTTCATTTTGGTTGTGATTTGGCCAAGACTGGCTTCTTGCGCCTGAGGTGGTGATGAGAGGAAGCTTGGGACTCGGATGTTTGTTTGGGCACGTGACAGTCAACACTTGACGCGACCGTGCAGAAGCTTGGCCTTGGGAGTCGAACAAACAAGAGCAATTTATAGTGATCGGCGATATTACCAGGGTCACTTGTTTGATTAATAATGGGTAACTACCCTTTATCTATCTAGTCCCTTTGGTCGACGTGTTACTTTAGATACAGTTATTATTTGACTAGATAGTTCATAAGCTATAAGTTAACTATACACTTGGGCATGTAAATATAAATGAGTTTGTGTAACAATAGGGACATAAGTTAACCTTGGAAGTTAACTTATATAAGAACTGCACTGACTATCTGACGGACGACCCTGCACTGCCCCGGATTTGCAGAATCCACTTGACAGCCAAGAGGCCAGTTTGCAAACTTCGAAGGTTCAACTCCCCATTCCTTTCCACGCTCATGCATTCACTCTTTTATTAATCCAACCTGGGCTCCTTGGGTATCTCATCCCACTCCCTTCATTTACTTGCTTCAATTCAACTCTGTCCCCACACGCGGACCCTCAACCCAACACTATACTTCAATGACACGCAAGAACGCGAGCCTCTCCAAACGTCGCTCCAAACCCAGCCTAAAACTAGCGACTGGATCGAACGGCCATGCGAATGGCAAGATGAACAACAATATAGAAATGCGCAGGCGGGACACGCCCTCCTCCGAGTCATCCGCCGATCGAACCGCAGCCCTCATGTCACGACACAGCTTCTCCCTCGATAACGAGCCTGCCGTCATCCCACAGACGCCTGTCATGGCAAATACAACCTTCCACAACCTGCCCGCGAGCGATCGCCGGAATTTCCTCCTACTGTGTCTGCTGTATTTCCTGCAGGGAGTGCCCATGGGCCTGGCCACAGGCTCTGTGCCATTCCTGCTCAAGCCGTACCTTTCATACGGCCAAATTGGCGTGTTCTCGCTCGCCTCATACCCCTATTCTCTCAAACTGTTTTGGAGTCCGATTGTCGACGCAGTTTGGAGTACGCGCTTTGGGCGCCGCAAGAGTTGGATTACACCGGTGCAAGTCATTGCCGGTCTCGCGATGATCTACTTGGGTGGGCACATTGAAGATATGATGGTCCAGGCCGGAGCTAATGGTGGCGCGGGTGTCTGGAAGTTCACATACTGGTGGTTCATGCTGGTGTTGTTCTGCGCGACTCAGGACATCGCCGTGGACGGGTGGGCTATCACGCTCATGTCCCCACCCAACATCTCCTACGCTTCAACCGCCCAGACAGTCGGATTGACTGCGGGCCATTTCCTGTCTTACACTGTCTTCTTGGCCTTCAACTCGAAGGACTTCGCCAATCGGTGGTTCCGGACCATCCCCGGAGAAGGCGGCCTGCTCTCCCTCGGCACCTACCTCAGCTTCTGGGGCTGGTCATACCTGATTGTGACATTGGGTCTGGCCCTACTTAAGAAGGAAGACCACACCAAGGAGCGTGATAGCATCATGGATGTGTACAAGAGCATGTGGAGTGTTCTGAAGCTGAAGAACATTCAGACTATCATTCTCATTCACTTGATCGCCAAAATCGGCTTCCAGGCCAACGACGGTGTGACTAGCTTGAAACTCCTGGATAAGGGCTTCGGGCAGGATAACATGGCCTTGGTGGTGCTGATCGACTTTCCCTTCGAGATCATGCTGGGATACTACGCCGGCCAGTGGTCGACCAATTACGGTGCCATGCGTCTCTGGGGCTGGGCCTTTGTTGGCCGACTGGCAGCCGCCGTGTTGGCCCAGTTGACTGTCATGATCTACCCCAGTGCTCCGGAAGTGCCCATGTGGTACATGCTGACAGTGATCGGCGAGCACGTCCTATCAACCTTCATGAACACAGTCATGTTCGTCGCCATCTCGGCCTTCCACGCTCGCATTGCAGACCCAGCCATTGGCGGGACATACATGACTCTCCTTGCAACGTAAGTCTACACCAAACCCGTTCTATTTCTCCCACGTATAGTAACTAACGTCAATTATAGTGTCAGCAACCTGGGTGGAACATTCCCACGCATCTTCGTCCTCAAACTAGTCGACTTCTTCACAGAAGCAACCTGTCTCCCACCAACCACTGCCCCAGCAGCAGAAACTCTAAAAGGCGCCCTCGTAACAACCGCCTTCTCCTGCGCCCTCGAGCCAGAGAAGAACCGCTGTATCGCTGGTGGCGGTACCTGCCAGGTCGACCGCGACGGCTACTATATGACCAACATGATCTGCGTTCTCATTGGCGTGGTGACATTTGTAATGTTCATCAAACCTGCCGCACAGAAGTTGCAAGCTCTTCCTCTGCGCGCGTGGCGCCTGACCCCTGGCGTTGGCCGGGAGTAAGCGTATATTCCATTTCTTTCTCTCATGTCATGATTCTGGGTGTATGGCGACTATATAATCCTCTTTGTATACACTCGTCTCCTGTGATGTTCTATAGATTGAATAAATGATTTAGACATGTTACTGGTTTCTACTGGTGTCTGCCGGGTTTCTTATGTCTCACTTTTCGTTGCTTCTAGGTTTTCTCAAAATACTATTGGTGTCTCATCTCTTGGTCTGGTTTTGATGATTTTGATACATGTATACTCATCAAATTTGAGTCATCGTCTATCTGATTGCTACTATATTAGGCTGCAGTTTCCCACTTGTGATACTTCTCATTTCTACCATCATCACATCCTCTTCATCACCGACCCTCGATCAAACCTTCTTCTTCTCTTCGAACCTTATTTCTACTCATCTTTCCCTGTTTCTTTTCTCTCATCTCAAACCAAAGGGAACCCTCAACAAATTTGAACAGATTCTTCAAGACTCGACCGAAAAAGAATTTGAGAATTCCGCAGATGCGGTCAGAGACGCCGGGAATTTGAGATAGTACAAGCTATCTCTATGGGGAACTGTTGCATTGACTGCAAGGCCCATTTTGAACTGTACGTACCCCTGCTTGTTTTCTCCTATCGTTACTTGGCAGGGTGATAAGCAGCGTCTCGGATTCGCACTTCGGCAGACATCTACCTGTTGAAACGACACGACCAGACTCATCGTGCGAATCTCCAGCGCAACGGGCTTGACTCCCAGACCCAGGCAAGCAAGGAATGTGAGAATTATTCATATTTTATTCTTAACCTAGCGTTTCTGGCTTACTGATGTTAGTTTCCCCACAGGATGCCATTTACCGCACTCATTGTTGCCTTGAAGTCACCAAACGAAAGCTATCCTGGCAGTTAGCTCAATTCTACACGAGCAAATACATACGAGCCATGCTTTGTCTCGCATCCGAACGGGTGAATTGAACCCACGCTTATATCTGCCTCCCACATCTGGTGTGTTCTCTCAGCTCTTGAAGCTTTACTCGCCAATCTTCGATTTCTGGCTGGCTGCAATTCTGTATGTAGACCGCCAGACAGCTGGATTTACCTGCTTGTGGTCAGGAAATCCGTCAAACTTCTACAGCGGCTAGTCAAGCTGACATCGAACGGCCCGCGAAAAAGACAGGCCAAGCATTGTCTTTGCTGCATGAGCATGTCACGCACAATTACCACCTTATTCCTCAGCTGGGAAGTATGTCATGGACCTGGGAATGTCTGAAGGAATTGCTCACGCGTCGAGCATCACCCTTGGAACGGAACCATCGACCCTTATGTCTTCCCTGTTGAAATCGGCACGTAGAAAAGAACGACTCGCAATCACAATCCTTCACATTGTGAACCTCCGGATGCATGGGTTTACCTCAGGTTGCTTTTGGTTTTCGATTATTGAAACGAGCAAGTGAGCATCAATTTTTCGATTCCACGAGCCATTTCTTGTCCCCAGCTGGTCACACGGTTAAGTTGGCATACAGCCTCAAATTTGATTGAAATGGTCTAATGCAAACACCGGATTTCTTTCCATTGGTTCAACTATGATCAGGCAATACTTGCTCAAGATCAAACTACTAGGTGTAGAAGCGTAAGGGGGAGGTGATGCTCGAAAATACGAATCATTACGTCGATAAGCTTCGTCAATCAAAAAGACGCGTCAAAGAAAGCTTTCAAAGCCCACTCATAACCTGCTAGCTAATTAATTATTGGGGCTACTAGTAATTGGAAGAACAGTGCGCAACGCCCTGGGCGAAACGCTATCCGCATTGCCATTCTCATCCAAGTTGAAGACAAACTCGTCGATTCCCACGTTGCCGTATATCTGCGAATCAACAGTCACCCAGGTAATGCAGGATGAGGTGAATGGCCCAATTCCAGCCGGCAGCGCTAGCGGGATTACAGCCCGGAAGGAAATCTGTCCTGGACTCTCGAGTCCAGTCGGATAAAGGCGGATGCTGAGCTGCGAGGGATCGGAGATGCCGTTCAGGGCCATGTAGCCTGGGAACATGTCAGTTCCGTTGTTAAACCAGCTCGTGACAACTAGAGCAGGTCCGTCGTCTGTGGTGATGGTGATCGAGGAGTTGCCAGTGCTCAGAGCGTATCTTCCTGCAAAACGCTCGTACGCTTGGTTCTTGGCAGCTTGTTCAAGTGCGGGGAGCAGGCGTGCAGAAACAAGATCCGAGGCGAGGGCAATAGACACGTGGGTGTTGTTACCAGCCCCGAGGATTATAAAGCCAGCGCCGTGATCTGGGTCCAGAGCTAGCGCAGATGAGTATGTGCCGATGTCTCCTGACTTAGTATAGAGATCAATCGGGCGCTCGTCGCCGAATGACAGGATCTCCCATGGCGCGCCAACAGCGTAACCCAGGGATGATGTGTGAGTAAGCGGTTTCATCCACCGTCTTGTGATTGACCGGGGAAGAAGAGTGCTGTTGAGAATGGCGCGACCAAAGATTGACATGTCCTTTGCGGATGAGTAGATTCCACCAGCACTAGAACTATGTAAATCTTCTATCTAGGATCGGTGGGTGAGGTGAAGCTACTTACGGTGCCTCTTCGCCAATATTGAAATCCCACCAGTATTCGCCCTGCGGAATAGGGATAACACCGAGCGATGTGCTGGGCGTGTTATAGAATGTGTGAGTCAGATTCAGTGGCTCGATAAGATCCTTCTTTAATTTTTTCTCGAAGTCTTTGCCAGCTATCGCCTCTAGGACATAGCCAAGGATCTGAAAGCCAGCATTGGAGTAGATTGGTGTCGAGGATGTAGGGACAATAGGATGGGCCTGAAGTAACCCATTGAAGAACTCTTTTGTCAGAAAATCTGTCAGCGAGAATCGAACAACTGCAAAATACGCTTATTAACTTACGCGTTCTGCTGCAGGGATTCGGCACACCGCAGGGCGGAATCTGCGCCGGGGGCAGGGCAGGAAATCCTAATGACTCAAGCAAAGGAGCTTGCCCGGTGAGGTCAAGGATACCATCTAGAAATTGGTAGTTGGATTGTTTCGCGCGCGCGTAGGAAGTCCAAGGGACACCCAGCAAGAACTAAAGCACTACTCACAGTCTCTTGGTATACCAGCCAAGTAACTCGCCAGCTCTCCAACAGTCACTTCGTTCCACTTGGTAAAGTTGATCCCGTCACGTCTTTTGGTGGAATTTCGTTGAAGATCAACAACGGCCGCCTGAATTTCAGGAATGTACTTAGCAACCGGGTCTTGCAAGATATTGAAACCGTCTTCAATCAGAAGCAGAAGCATAGTGAAAATCTTGGAGGCGCTGCCAATGCGGAAAACCGTGTTCTCGTCAACCTCGCTCACGCCAATGGTGGTATTGATAGCCTCGGCTGTGTGGGACAAAGTAAGCAATGAACGGGAACCGCTTGTGTCAAATATTTGTAAAGACAGGGAACCTCCAGAAAAGTTTCCAGCCTTGATAGCATCTTGAATAGTCGTGGTAATGTTCTGCAACGCCGATTGGACCGTAGGATCGTTGGGGAGATGAGTTGGAGCAGGCCAGCTAGGCCCAAGGAGGGGACAGAGGTGAACAGCGTTTGTGAGGGCAGCGCAAAGCGCCAGCAACAGCGGGCAAAGTGTCATGGTGAGAGAAGCTATGTTGGTCAGGTCACATTTGTCTGTTATTCACAGTAATGTGAATGAGATGATTGTCAAGCTCAATGGTGAGCAGACGTCATATTTATGGGGCGCGCCAATATGACAAGTGCATTAGCAGTTAGAATGCTAAATCAAACTTGATGCATGCGGAAGTCCACCTTAGCAATACTATCTACCTAGCTGGATTGTGCACGGACTGAAAATAGGAAGCATACCAGCGCAGGCAGCCCCTATCAAGGGAGGCAAGCTTATACATTCTACTGTACCTAGAACCTTCATTTCATCCACCGTCTTGTCCCATAACAATTTAGTGGCTCACCAGTCAGGCCTAACTAGTCTCCGACGGTCTTTGCATGTCTCACTAACCAATTAACAGATCAGGGCCAGCTCTTTCTCAGCCGTTTCTTGTTCTGTGCAAGCCGTGGGCCAGTCAATCTCGACTAAGGCTGAGCAGGTTTCGCTACTTTCTGCTAATAAACATCAAGAGACGAGAAGTCACTCGATAATGAAACAGCGAAGGTGCACGCCGCGCCGCCATCCTCCCAAACCAAAGCTTCGCTTCTAGTCAGTTAATGGCCTGTCATCGACGACTAGGATGGGAGTTTACTGGAGAGAACAAGGCTCTAGAAGACAAGGTCCTTCTTTGGCTAGAGACCCCGAATTATCGGGATCTGATTTAGAAGAAGAGTGACCTTAGGCTTAGGAACATGATGTGTGAGCTAGTGTATTACGGTGCTTATTTATCATAAGTACCCAGTCCTTCCCGAAGCATGTCGCCGCGCCTATAGGCTAATTATGGATATAATAGGATCAATCTATACGTGATCAGCCCCAAAAGGAACTCTAGGAGCGAGACACTTGCTCAGTTATCAGTGAACTACCAGACAAGCCCGCCTAGGTGCTTCCTACTGTAACACCGTTCGCATGGCTTAGGGTTTAGGGTATGATAAGACTCCTCTAGCAGAATTGAAGTCGCACGGATTCGAAAGGAAACTAAACGAATTCATGTCCGCCCTTGCGTGCAACCAATGCCTTGCGCAAGCGAAGAGGAATGCCTAAAATGCACAATTGTCGACTTTTTGGTCAGTCGTCCAGTCAATCAACATGGATCGCAAACGACAGACCCTACCCGTCTTGCCGGTATCCACCAAAAACTTGGATCAACTTGTTTGGGAAATCAGGGTGTTGATGGGGTGATGTGGCTTCCTACCTTCTGCCCCAACCCTGGACAACTGGGTCAGGCCTGTTCTGGGCGTGGTTTATGCCCGGAAAGGAGGGCAGGTACCGACAATGCCATCTCGACTTTGATGCTGTGGAAAAGTTCGCGCTGGTCGGGTCCCTCACAGGCCAGGACCACACTTTCTAATGAGCAATCAAGCTGACTTCTGTGTCATGGCATGGACGGCACCTACACAGGGAGTTGTCGTTATATTATAGGTCAGTGCATCAAATTGATGTTGAAGATCGCGCGACAGAAAATTGTTATTTTGAGGCCTTTCATTGATCTATAGATTAATATACCAGCGCCTGTCTGGCGAGGCAGCAAATTGTCGGACCTTTCAAGGGAACACGCTGGATGCTTTTAAATACTCACATGTCGTTACTTCGCGACTCCCCCATGTGCCCGCCATCGCTCAGTATATTCTCAAACGGGTAGTGCTAGGTTTTCTGGCAGGTTGGTCCAACAATGTTCTTCAAATTTTTGGTACTTTTCGCAACACCAACAGTGAATTACACCACGGACGGGACCTGCTCACAATCTTGTAAACCTGTATTACAGAGTGCATGAAATAGAATCCATCTCCTTCTTAGCCTCCGTATAAACATATATTTCTCTTTCCCTCATAGATGGGTACTTGTGTGCATCCGGTTACCTTGCCGAGACTTTCCTATCTGAGTTGCCTGCAGCTTTCATGGGATTACTTAGGATCTGGCTATCTGGCTCACTTAGACATTCACAAATGACTTCAAAATTCACGGACTATGCTCTCCTCGTTACTTAAGATTGACCACACAGCAAAGCCAAGAATAACAGGCCTTTTGGAGATTGCCTAGAAAACTACTTCTACTCTCCTTACTCTCAACCAGATCCTTGATTGAGGGATTAGCATCGTGAGCAAGAGACATCGGGATACATGGCCGCTGAACCCCAAGCTCTACGATAAAAGTGCCTCTAGTTCTAGACTGGATTCTAGATCAATACGTCAAGCCATAAATGCTGATTTCGAATGCTACGGCTACCCTGGAGGTCACTTGGCCATATTGGAAATCATATTGAAAACCACATTGAAAGCCACATTGAAAGCCATATTGAAAGCCATCAGGCCATAGCGATGAAAATGGAATGAAGAACCGAAGCCAACACTCAATACGATCAAGTACAGTATATGAATGAAGCCTCTGGTGCCCTGACCGAACCCGTGTGACAACGCAAAATACCAAAAACTCGTGTCTGCACTGCAAGCTGCACGTAAGACCCTCCCCTGAACCCAACAGGCGCCTATTCGCCATGTTCCTGAATCAGCGAGACACCACTCTGACATCTACCCAATAAGAGGACAAATAGACCAGAAAACTTCTTCACATTCCCTCCCCCGAGATTGGCAACCGGACGAGCCGCACCGAGCAAACCCTGAGAGTTTTGACACGATCGCGTTCGCCCAATGACGGGCTAAGTATAGCTTTTTCCCCGATGCCAAGAGAGTATCCAAGAGACTGCTTTTTGCTTTTTTCAGCTGTCTTTTCAGCTGGAAAAGAAGCCTATGGAGGTTTGATTGGGGACTCCGCTTTGCAGCAGGTTTGGACTAAAATAGTCTGACCAGGATCGGAGCTATAAGAAGAATCCATTCCCGTCTTTCGATCTGCGCTTTTTATTCGAGCCTGTATCCGCACGCCAGTCTCAGTCCCTAATTCTACTCTAATTTTTAATCGGACTAACCACCCATCACGGCCGTTTCTACATCTTACATGATGATGTTCCTCACTCTATACCTGGCATTCGCTAGTGTCTTTTCCTGCACAGTCGCCGCCCTACCCAGCCTTCAAACCCGAGCAATCCTCGCCTACAGAAGCGTACGAGCAAACCCTTTTCTTTTTGCCACCCGGAAACACCCCCAGCCCTAGTCAAACCGCTAATGTTTCATAGTGGGACCTCCGCTTCCTAAGCGTAGCACCCCCAACCTGCGACCCCAGCCAATCTAACTTGGGTTATTCGATTTTTCACCGCTACGGCGCGAGCCCCCGCTCATGTGAGGCGCTAGATACGAATTCGTTCAACGCGACCAATCTCAAGAGCATCTCATGGAAAAGCCCTGAGCCTTCCGATCAGCAGGATATTTGTATGTTTAGCACTGCTGATTGCTCCGGCGGCAGTAATGCTTTCCTTGGGACTATTACCTCTGGTTGGGATGTGTGCTATCTGTACAATGGTTTCTTGGGATGGAGCGTTGTTGAACATGGGGATGCTTGTGTTTGAGGGGTTGGATTGAAGAAAACGGTGTCTGCTATAGATCTATGGATTTGGTAATTGAGGTAATCATCTATGTCTATGTCCCCTTGGTAAATAGTTTATGTAACTGTTCCTCGTCCTACTCGCAGCTGATGTTTGGTCGAGGCGGAATATGAATCGTACAGTATTGCCTGGCACCCAAAGTTGCGTTCTTCGCCCCTACTCTCTAGTTAGTAAATGTGAGCGAGCACTACCTATAGAGGTAAGCTACCAACATAATTCAACACTCCACACTGGAATATCGCATAGATCAGCAAATTTTTATACCTAGAAAATATCATAACAATGAATCAAATTAATGAAGTATTCAAACGCTGCGTTAACTATTGCAAGCAGACAAAGAGGGAGAGAGAGCGGGGATCAGAGGGTGCTTTGCTATATTACCCAATGCCCAAGAGATTCAAAGTAATAGGATTGTCCGATTGACGGCTAACTTATGCCGTAAGAATAAGTGTGCCCTTGGGAGGCAGTATACATATCCTTGGATGATTACCTGGTGTCTTTTGCATTGCTAGGTAGCTATAAAATTTTGAGATTTTAGTCTTCGAGTCTGACCATGGCTCTATGAGGGCGGTGCCGTTATTTGTCATATGCTCAAGCACGGGAAAGGTAGCTAGGTGACAAGAACAAATAACAAGAAATGCAAGCCGGTTTTAAGCCTGGCTACGAGGTTGGCCACCCAGACTATAATTCGTGCTGCCAATGCCCTCTCTTTGTCATTTATGCTCTGCCGTAACGGATTGTAAGTTGCTCAAATGCAAGCGGCTTGCTGACAAGGAATATTTGAGATTTATATAGAAAGCTGGCTATCGCGTGAGGGACACTCGCCTTGTGCTCTCATGCCCGACATGCCGACTCATGCTAGAGCTCTACTTGCAGAGAGCACTTGCTTACGTACTGCAGATAAATGGACCTGCGAAGTATGAAAATCCGCTAGCTCTCCTTGCATAGCAAACCTTGCAAAATATCAGCGAAAGCAATTGCAGCTCCACCTTGGTATATAATAGGCTCGGTGGGAGGTGCTAACCTCCATATTCTAGCCCCTCGAAGCTCTGACTTGAAACTCAATTAGAGAGGCATGCCCATGCTTGGATCGTGCTGTTATCGAAGCGGACTCGACAGGCTCGGCTTTGGGTTTTCGAGAAATTGCCGTACTGTGTCTGGCAACCGTGGGATGACATACCGAGGTTAATGGACTTGTGATGGTGAGTTTTGGAACCTGCGCTTCTAAGCTGACCTTATAACAACCCTCTTCCACACTAAATTGAGATTTCGCAAGATTAATGAATATTATCCAGCTACTACAATCACTCATCTCCCTTGCTAAATGAACCGTCTGAAAAATGGCTACTCCGAACCGCAATATTCGCGTTACTATGTTCGCTTACAAGAATGACGCAATGTCGGAAGAACAGTTCGACGAGCATTGGTCTGCAATACATGCGCCAATCGTGGCACGTTTCTTAGCTAATGCTGGAGTCATTAGATATACACAAGTATCTAACGTGTTTTTATCCTTTTAGCTTCGCTCACTAACAAACCGAACAGTATCACACCCTTCTTCGATGCGCAAACTGGTTCATGGACAATACGAGCGGGCAGGTTCTGCTCATCCCCCTTTTCCCGATAACGATGGCCTAGTTGAAATAGTCGTGCCGGATATGGAAACTTATATGAGCTTGTCTAAAAGTAACTCCTTATCCAGTCTTTATGTCTTTAGAGGAACATCTGGTGAGGTATTAATCACCAAGCATCTACAGGGCCCTACTACAAGAAAACTGTGGCACCAGACGAAGCTAAATTTTTCGATTGGGCAAAGACGCGTGTTGCCTTCGGCTGGGAGGAGACGTATGTGGAAAATGGTCAAAGCTTAGTGTTGAATGAAAGAGTAGCAAAGCTATAATTAGCATTGAGTACAGCTAGGCAACATTTTCGCTAACCTGGTGAGTTGATCGAATCTGCAGTAATCTGTTCGTTTTTGCTCCAGTGGTGGATTCCCGCTCAACCTAGGCTCTGGAATTGTTTGCCCAAAGCGACCCTTAATCGAATTGTCCATGTTTTTGCTAGCAAGCAGTCAAGCTGGAGAATCCCGGATAGATTGCATTCTTTGCTTTTCTAAGGAACAAAGGAACGGAAGAATGTTGACACAAAATAGTGATAATAGAAAGTGTGTAGAAGAGAAGATCTAACTGGTGCGAATCTACTATATCAGAGGGTAAAGAATACAACACTCACAGCTTTGCCATTGGTGAGGCTTGAAAGTTGCTAGTCTATCTGATTTCTGCGAAGATGGTAGTCCCACCTCACATAGGACCAACAGAATGCTCAATGTGGCCTTTCCGCCAACCTGATTCCTTGTCCTAGGGGGTGCGCTATGAATAATGGTCTCTTTGGTTGCATCGCCACGGGATTTGGGGAAGATATCAATGAAGCGATCTTGTGATATATGCCTACTCGAGTATATCCTGTAAGTTGAGTCCCATAAGATCGCTTCAAAATAACAAAACAGTCAGCATCAAGAGGCTGCAAAAGACGGAAGTATAAAAATGCGTAGGCATAGAGATAGGTATCATGTTGTTTGGGGCGCAAATTTGATCAAATTAGGATGTGAGATGGCTATTGTATCCATTCAGGACCAAGAGACGATATTTTCCTTTGGTCTGACTTTCTGTACGTGGAATGAAGTGTTTCTGGTGCCAATTAACGCCTACTTCATCACTTGCCCATCCATTTGGACTATGATTAATATCCCAATGTTTTCGAAGGCCATCAAACCATCGTAACATGAGGTTCGTCCCCTTGAAGCTATATATGGCGGAAGAGCTTGTCCAGAGGCACCAATTGATTCAACCACAATTCCCACTCACGATTTTCGGTTTGTAATCCGTTCTCGAAGAGCATGTGCTGAAGGCTATTGTGATTCAGCCCCGACTCCCTTTTAATATCGTGGGATACCCACTCAACCTAGTCCACTCCAAGCCTCAAAAATTGGAGGCCCCGTCCACCAAGATACTCCGCCGGTACTTCCGCGATACGGTCAGTGACTGCTCAGCAAGATTTGCAGTAGAGGGCTTGCCCAGTGATGTTAAAGTATTACTTACTCTGGATTGTTTGACGACTCTGTTTCAGCAAACACAAAAATTTTATTTATAAATTTCCACAAACATAATTAACAATCGAATCGATTTATCACTTTAACTTATATTTTGTGCTTTGCCACCGATACTGTAATCTAAGCGCGGATCCTGGCGTAAGGCACGACCTTCAGGGACAGTGGGTATCGCACCGGACATAATCAAATTTGGGGGTTCGTGATATTCCACGACCGGGGAGGGTAATGGAAAACAGTCAGGCGTGGATTGGACTCTCTGGGTAGCAGGTAAATTGAAATAATCAGTAGGAGAGTCGCCAGAGTTCTCCTCATTGATATGTTGATGAGGCGTGCTGCCACTTGAGAATCCCATGTACTTTCGCAGTAAAGGGAAAAACACGGTAATCAGAGCCTTGAATGAAGGAATACAGGCTATGAAAACGGCAGTGCAGACCTCTACAGCTGACCAATTTAATGCATTTACAAGATCCCCTGTTGAAAAGCAGTTAGAAAAGGCTATAAAATATAAAGGACAGTATCAACAAACACGTGTAGTCAACTTGGAAGCGCTTCAAGTAAGTGGCTCGGATGATGCTGGTAGCACAAACCCTAGAATGTGTAATGTCAGTCCCAGGCACAAAATTGAGATACAGCTCGAACTTGTAGCAGGGAAGACTTACAATAACCCAAGTCCAAAAAATAAGACAACGCCCACCTTTGCTCCACGCTTCATCTGAAGTTTCAGTAATTTTGGAATTGGCAGCGTAAAGATAGCAATATTTGTTGCTAGCCTCGTGGCGAAATGAATAATGTAGAAGACGTAAAGATCCAAACACCTCCCTTGTACTAAACCAGTGGCGTCCACAAGCTTCCGAATTGGCGAGCATTGAAAAATAAATACGAGCAGTTCTTCAATAAACTGCAATACCACAATGGTTATAAGAAGCCAGTAAGCCCAGCCGACATGGGTTACTGCAAACAATCGTTTATATAGTAAGCAGAATGAAACCTGGATTGCAGTCATCGCAATGAGATAGGAAATAGCAGTCACGACAATAAGCTATCCTGTTTGTAAGCACTAATGAAAGTTTCAAAGGTATTAACGGTCTCACACCTTCAAAAACATAGACATTGCAGGTATGTCTGCTTCAACTGCTTCGATGTGTTTGCCATATCCATATCTAGTCACTGCTAGTGTGTCAGAGCTTGCGAGTGGATGACGTGTGAGACGGGAGACGATACTCCACATAGAAGTAAAGCATAACACGAAGGCAAAAATCTATACGCACAATCAGCAAGCCCAAAGAGGTCACCTATAAAGATGACATACCCAACTTATAACGCAAAGGACTTAAAAAATAATCGTTTCTTCAGCGTTGAAATTTAGGTCTCTTTTTGATAATGGGTCACGTACCACCATCAATGCCAAGATTTCGAGGATGGCCCAGCATTAGAAGCTTGACAAAAACTCCAGTCGAGGCCAGCACTAGCATGATCGTGTTGCAGATTATAATGCTTGGCACCTTAGTTTCTTCCATTTGGCCTTCATGCAAGCCAGCAGCTTGCAGTAAGTGTAGGTAGGCTAAGAGGTGTTTTTGTGGCGTAGTTGCATATCAAATGGGACCATCGGACCATCGCAATCTTCCTGTGTCTGTTGAGAAAGAGAAACATACTATCTCGTGTAGAACAGGTCGGCTATGGCATGACAAGAGAAAAGACAGGGATGGATTTATATGCCACAGCCTCAGGAAAGGAATAAGATCACATATATGTAATGTCTCTTTTTTTGGGGCAACCATGGAACATGGGAATCATACGAGGCGGGCTGTTCATCTGGGGGGTACTAGCGAATGGGTCGCTTCCTTCCGCTTAGTCATCGCGACGGGCGTTGGCAAGCGAGGTTGTATTGAGTTCAACCCAGTCCGAGTTTAAAGTCTCATCATCAGCGGCGTAGTTATCCCCTCAGGTAGTTTAAGTTTAGCTAACTTTTTAGAGATAAATGCCTTCCCAATCCAAATTTTTGTTATCTTTTATCTTTTGGTTTCTTGCGGTCTCATCAAATCTTAATGTGTCAACTGCTATTTAGTATCTAGACGTTGTAATTCAGAGGAATGATTGATTGTTATTTCAGAGGGAATAAGTAAGGTTATATATACAGCACGAACTCAACTTGGATCTTTTGTATAAATACCGCAGGAATTATTTCCGGTGGTGTGCGGCTTTGTTCCTGGTCTGCAGTCAATATGTCTACCTGCACAACTCATCTACTATAACCGATATAGCACGGTCAAAATCGAGAAGGTGGAGGAGGGGCGGTCTATTATACTCAACAAAGCAGCCTTTCTTCTAGCAGCGCCTTACGGTGGGTATCACACATCGACTCGAATCTAATGATCATGACTGATACCTACACTCCCGACGAAATTAAGGCATGATACTAGATGTTATTTACATTTGATACCTTACTGTTCTACTGTGGAGCATGTTAACCTATAACAGCCAAAATTCTAACTACACATTGGAAGGCACAGCCATAAAATAGTTTCCTGTCTCTCCTAGGCGTCGACTTATTTCCGGCTACCTTTCCTCGGTCGCGACTCTACTATGCCACGGGCGAGCTCAGAACTCTATAGCCTGGCTGCCCTTGTTACCGAGAGAATTTCCGATACGTGGTGCACTAATTAACCGCAGCAGTTTTATGGATTTGAACCCGACGGGCCACACTACCGTCGTTCTCTCGTGACACCACAGTTAGCGATATTGTGCATCAAATTTAACATGGAGACAAGATGTAGCTCTATCGAGGACTACGCTCGCTCCATGCTGCAGTATACCCAGCAGCAGATAGCGTCTATCGTGAATATTTGCGAAGATAACGGAGCCAATTGCAAACGGGTGGCACAAAATAAATGGGGAAGACAAGTGCAAGGATTCGTGGGGACAAAAAGAGCGACTGCAGGAAAATTGGTAGAGAATGCAAAAGTGCTCCGTAATCCACGCGAGGTAGTCTCGCAGGAAAATAAAATTCGAAGAGCGCCACACTAGGGAAAAAGTCGCTCTTGGATGAGATAAGATATATCCCATCCCGTACGTAGGACTGTAGAGACCTTTCTATTGGATATTATTACAGATGGATAGAAAACCCGCTATCCATGGAGTTATAGCTCATGATATGTTCAAACATACAATGTGGTGTTTATTCCTGGTAAAGTGCCTTTGAGTCAAGCGCGAAGGCCCATATGTTTTATCTATATTAAGTTAATGCCACCTCAATTTACAACACTCTCTATTGTGGTGCAACGAGACTTTGTTCTCAGTAAACCCATTGACTACACCTTGTTGAAGACCAGTCAAGAAAAGCTGGTTTCCCCTTGGGTAATCTTATCTACTGGACGCGAAGCTTCCAATTGGGAGATATCAGATTCGTTGGGAACTACTGTGCTTTTTGAATACCAGCCATCTAGGAGAAGCATCGGCATACGCCGTAACGCACTTTTCATACCGGCTCCTTGTTTGCTGCGGGAACTACGTGCATTGCAAGGATTCCCAACTTTTGCTGCTAATCATAGGTTTGTCTTCCCCGATTTTCTTCCGCTGTCTAGTTTAAACGCCGTTAATAAACTGAGGACTTTCGCATAAACTAACATAGTTGTTACCTAGGCTGGCAAAGCTCGTTTCATGCTCGTCCCCATACTAGCATAGAAACCGCGCCACCCCTCCTTTGCCAGACTGTACTAGCGGTCAATATGCCACTTACATTTACTAGATCCAAACATCTAGCTTTTGAGTAGCCCAGTCAGCAGCCCAGATTCATACGTTATCTAATGCGCGAGAAACCAAGACTGAGTCATAATCCAAACAAGAAAATGCTCCAAAAGACGCCCTCCGTAAGTGACCCCAGAGTGATATTCATATTACCTTTATTCGTATTCATGAACCCTGAAAGGCGCTAGCTTCTTGACCATCTGGGATCAAAGGGTATGTATGGTATTGCCGATTCGGCATCTTTAGGAAACTTTTCTCAGTGCTGAATCTCAATTGGGAAAACAGGGTTTAAGGTACCACTGGAATGCAGTCTTCGTCGCAGAGACAATAGCAAGATGGATCCAATCGAACAAGTCAGTTTGCTCTTGATCATATAATTCCCAGCCTTATGATCTTTGAGCCTCCACTTAGCGACTATAAGGATTGCATAGTCCCATGGCATTATATTCTGTCATTCTTGCCATAGTGGCCAAAGGGCGTCAGGTTTGAGCACCCGTGCCGGATCTACTCTGTCGTCGGTTTTTATCATTTAGCTTTGTCGCCCGGGAAGCTCCGCCTCTGCATTTGCTACTGTATCTGCTACTGTAACTGCTGATTTCGCATCATAAGAATATTTGAAATTATTCATAATTCTGAGTGCTCTTAAGTAGGATTCATTAGAAATGAGCTGGTGATGATCACAGGAGTAGAACTGATATTTTCTTCCGGGTAGCTGATTCGTTTCTATAGCAGCTATGAACCAATTCAGTTCCAACGAGAGTAGGCTTTTGCGTGTCTTTGAGATATTTTTTTGGAGTTGTTGCCGTAGAGGTTATTTTCTTTTGCATTGTAGTCCCAGGAAAGTCAAGAAAAAAAACATGATTCTCTGCAAAGTGGCAGAGATGTATCTTTCAAATTCTTAGAAGCTCACTAGCAGCCCAGCAGTATCGTTCAGATTACGCAAAATATGTCTGAAATATGCGAATAGGTGGAAAGAAAGAAGAACACAAAGGAAGTATACAACCGTAGGGCGGATGTGTGGGGAACGCCCCGCCGATGTGTTATCAATTTTTCTTCAGGTTCACCAGCTCACCAAGACAACAGCTACACGGTCAACGCTCAACAGTAATGAGCCAAACACACACAGACTCAAGCTCCGCCCGATCCGCATCTCCTTCCCCAGCAACAACAATGTCCTCAACACATACCGACAACGCGGCCGACAACTCACTGGATGACATTTTCGGCTCCTCCCCACCACGCAACGAAAGAGAACTCCACGCGCCACAACGCGCAGCAACCACAACTACAGCTTCAGCATCAGCCCCTGGATCTACAACCGAGCCATCCGACCTCCCCTCTCTACGCCGCCAACACGTCACTGCCGGATACCGTGATGGCGTATCGATGGCGAAGGGCCAATACGTCCAAGACGGCTTCGATGCAGGCTTTCCCGTCGGCGCGCAGATGGGTATGAGGGCTGGTACAATTCTTGGAATTATGGAAGGATTGCTACGTGGTTTCGAGGAGCGGAGTGGACCGGGTGTTGTGAAGAAGCCGGTGGTGCGGGGTGATACTGCTACTTCTGGTGGTTCGACATCTACGCAAGAAGGGAAAGAGAATATGGATGAAGTGGCAGAATTGCACCGCCAGAAAAGGGAGCAGGTCCGCTCGCTTTACCAGGCTGCGTTGAAGGAGCTGGATGTGCAGGCTGTTTTCGCTGGTGCCGGGGATGAAGGGGCTGCTGCGCCGGAGATGCCGGCGGAGGTTGTTCCCGAAAGTAAGAGTAAGGAAGGGGAGTCCGCAGAGGCGCAGCTAGCGAGGAAGGGGGATGTGGTTATTTCGAAGTGGGAGGGGAGGGTTGCAGTTCCCCGGTGGGAGGAGAATATGGAAGCCTTGGAGATGAAGGAGAAGGAGAAAGAGAAGGAGAAAGAGAAGGAGAACAAGGGCGAGAGCGCGGACTCGGCATCGGCCTCGGCCTCCGGTGCAGGCTTCAGTGCAGCGCAGGCTGTGGAGCAGAGTTGAAGCTGTTCCTAGACATGCGCCGAGCAAAACACGGCCTGGGTCAATGTTTTTGTCATGGATACGACGACAGGCCCGTATTTTGGTTGAAGATCAACACAATAAAGGCCCAGGGCGAAGAGACGAAAAGTTTGTTCTTTGGTTTGCACTCAGGACTTTCTGCACGACGGGTCAACTGTCTCTCTGTCTCTCGGGCCTTCCGCCGCCGTCCCGCGCTGCACGATTCCCCCTAGGCAATGCAAGTCCCAAACACCTGGGTTGGATACCGCTGTCCTGCAAGGATGCGGACGGGGCGGGGCGGAAGCCCGGTCCGGGCTGTATGCCCTGAGTTGTCTGGGACTAAACAGTTTTGCTTCTCTGAGACATTGACACTAGGAGTCGATGATGTTTCTGCAGACTCCTGTAGGAACGGGTGTTGCCAGGGGTATGCAGGAGGATCGAGATCTGATTTTTTGCGAGTGCTGAGACATTTATTCAGACTCCAGAGAAAAGACCAGGAAGCAATGGGCCACATCACGATGTGATTTTGCAAATAGAACCACAGCTAGAAGGCAACCAGCAAGAAGAAGAAATTTATTGACAAACACGAGGCAAATTCGACTCATCATATGTCATTTTTGCTAACGTAGGCCTAGGCATCACCGAAAGAACAAAAGAAATCGAACCAAAAGTACCAATCCCCACCAAACGCCCGATCGAGAGCCTTGCAGCTTCACAAGCTCCGATCTATCTGAAACCCGAGCTGCGTCTCGGGGGAGGAAATAGTGCATCCGGTGGATCGGGACACCTTACTTTGTGATGTAGAGTCCCGACAAAGGGGATGGAGATTTGTTTGGCCGGGGAAATCGAGACCCCTGTCTAGCGTTACCTGTCAAAATAGCATTGGGAAGATCCTTGTTCTTTTGCTCGAGTCGACAGGGGCGGTTTATAAATTGTGATATCAAAATGCTCTTCAAGTCAGGCAGGAACCCGTTTGGTAGGATGGAAATACAGCTGTACTTTGCATACATTCCTACCCACCAAATCCACCATCAGAATAAAATAAGTCTGTGGGTGTTTTCAGCCGAGGGAGCTCAGAAGTACGCGGATGGACGTTGAGGGGCCGAAGCAAGGGATGGCGGATGGTGCGTTCCATCCCCACACAACGGTTTACCTGTACATTCAGAGAGCAGAGGGCTGAATGCTGCTCAGCTGAGAGCCATTCAATGGTGGGGTCTAGATAGAAGAGATAACTTAATAAAGATCAACAGCTCGGAGTGACCGGTTTCCAACCATCAAACCCATCGTACAATACCCCCAAACCCTAACAACCCTGGACATGCCGATCCAACAACAAAACCCCAGCTCCACGAGCGGATCCAAGTCCGCGTCCCCCGGTGCATTAAGTTGGATTCAGCACTGTACATGTGCTTCGTAATCGTGGATCATGGTGTGGGATCTGGGCCTTCGTGGTGGGGTGGACTACTGGAGAGCAGCGGATCGAAAAGTGACAGGTAAGGATGGGCTAGTGGGCAATTCTGCTGGGAGACCCAGTATCCGGGATCACACCCTTGTCGCGTACATTAAGTAGTTCCGAGACAGCTGCAGATTGGGGTGATCATTGTGGGTCTGGTGGGTTTGGAGGATCATCTAGTGAAGTGAGGACGTAGTTAGTTGCTACTAGGTGGGCGCTGGCTACTAGCGGAGCTCGGTGCATCCCAGAGAAAGGACGGTTAGAGAATATTTTGCATCCTGTATGAAGGGTTGTTGGAATTGAATTCCCCCCTGCTGGATAACATAGGTGGCACGGCTATTGGGGACCTACTGTACGTTTTAGACAAACTACACATAGCTGTTGTCCGTCATGGAGTTAACTTTAGTATTAATATTCACTGAGGCTGCGGTAGGATTGAAGGATACCTGAGGAGGTCGTCTGTATCAATCCATCCAACATTCCGGAGAAGATACCCGTCCCCTTGACAACGTAGTAACGAAAGATCATTCATGTTCGAGGTGATGTGTGATTTATGCATTTTTGTCTATCCAGTAGTAGTGCAAGTAGTGAACCAATTTTTGTGTTTGAAATACGAAAATCCAAGCCAAATGCAATTTTGGGCTCATAGAACCAAAGACCACAGTCCATACCGAGCGCCATGTTCCTCTATGATAGGAATTATAGTTCACATAGATTTCAAGAAAAAGGAAATGATTGTCTTGAAGAGAGAGGACATAAATCAAATCAAACAAACAGACGTAGATGAAGACATCGTGATGAAAGCAAGAGGGAAAAAACTGTGGTAGTACAACACAGCAAGCTGTCAAGCAAATAAAAATGCACAGGGGATGAGACGATAAGGAAAATTAAAGATAGTGAGCCCGAGGGTATCGAGTCATGAGTCAATAGTCACGGTCATTGACCAGGTATATCATGTTCGTTTCGTAGCGCGGATTGGCGCATGCAGAGAACGTCTTGAGGCGCGTCGGAGTCCAGCCACAGTCGGGTCTGGAGATTCATTAATTTCATTGTGCGCGGGGTGCAGAACACTCGAACCAAGCGAGTGTTCCGACGGCATAAGCGAGTGAAAGTGTTCATGATCGTTGGAACACGTGGAGCGTGAGACAGTAAGAAATCGTGGGAGTGATCGTTGAGAAAAGCTGGAATAATGTGGCAATGGGATGGGTCCGTTATTGTTGAATCCAGAAGCAGGAAGGCCGATTTTGAAAGCATTATATGACAGAGACATTTGTCTTTTTCGTGGTCTTGTGGCAGTTCAAAGAGCGGAGGGAGTCCATGAATCGCTGCAAGAGTGGACGGGACTGGGCACCGTCATTGATCGCGGGTTGAGGGTGCTGCTCAAAGCAGAATGATGTCAACTTCTCCTTGTCGTCCTTGCCGAGGGAAGAGATGGAGCACTCTGGTGTATCAGAGCGCTGACGGCGACGGAACTGAGCTTGGAAAGCAGCGGCAGCGGAACGATCTACGTCCGAGCTGTTGATGCTGCTGTCCTTACGGGGGCGGGACTTGGCGAGAGAGGTTGTAGAGGGAGCAACTAAGCGCAGAGTTGCCAGTCCAGATGGACGAAGGCCATCACGGCTCGTGCTAGGTCGGTCCATGCTAGCAGTGCGGAAAGTGTCTGTAACGTGTTCCCCGAGGATATCATCTGGCATGCAGGGGAACTGTTCCATTGCCTGGTCATCAAGCATGGCCTGGTGAAGACGAGGCTGCGACTTGGCACCACGGAGCTTCGCACGGCTGCGGACCTTGCGAAGAGTGTCAATTGGCCTGCGGGAGATTGACTTCCGGCCAACAGACTCGCTGTCTGAGTCTGACTCCCAGACGGACTGCTCGCAGTAAGGGTCCATGGTCGAAGTCGATGGCCGCTCCATGGATGTTGCTGTCCATTGGCGGGAGATAGGTGGAGAGCTTGCTACCGGGCTGGGAACAGGACTGGGGCAGTCATTGGCGGGAATAAAGAGAGGGTGGTCGAAGTGTGTCATGTGAGGCTCCATGGTGACGGGGTTGATCAAGCATGGAGGTGAGATCATGGAAGGATCCAGAGGAGGCCGTGTTCCAGGACTAGATTGCTTACGGCCGGAGCTGTGGGAGCTGGTCCCCCGAGACAAGTTGGGGAGGGTGGGAGGCTGCTTTCTCCGACGAGACCGGGCTGACATAGACCCAGTCATATCCTCATATGCCATGGTGATAGTGGCAGTGGAGTCGTTTGATGGCTCGCAAGGAGTGGTAGGACGAGTATCCGCCGGGGTCAAAGGAGCCACCGGCGGGGGAGGAGGGGGGGAAGAGAATATTTCGGAGGAGTAGAGGCAGGGAGGTAGAAACGACGCCGGGACTCAGGGTGAGCCTCTTGCGCGTGCTTGTAGAGCTGCTCTGTCGCCTGGAGGACGACGTCAGGGCAGCCGGGAGAAGAGTATGTAGAGGAGAAGGAGCTGCTAGGAGTGAGGTCTGGGGTTGTGCTGTCTGTCTGCACGGAGCTGAACGAATCCTGGCTGCTGTGCAGAGGACTCCGCTCGGTGGAGGGAGTGTATCGGTGGAATCGCAGGCTGTTCTCCAATTCGACCTGTGCGAGGGTAGAGCGGTCGGGGCCGTAGTGTAATGAGTCGTGGAAGTCCTTTCCGGGGGTCAATGACAATGTATAGTAGTGGCTGTTGTCTTCAAAACTATCATTGCGCATCTCCGAGTTGTAATCCCAAGATGGCGCGTCGGCCAGTGATTGTTCGAGGTAAAATGGGTCGAGGTTTGATTCCTCCAACACCTTAGGACCGGATCTGGGGTAGTAGGTAGAAATCCGCTTTCGTGGTGATGGTGATGGCAGACAAATGGTCGTCTCTGATATGTTACTATGCAACACGTCCAACTCGCCTGGACAGTATAGATCTCCGTGAGCCATGGGTGATCGACAAGAACAAGGTGAAAGACGAGTAAAGGATCTCTAGGACCCAGACACAATGAACAGTGAAGAGTGGAGAGAAGAATGAAGAAGGGTGTGACAGGGAGGGATACGTTTATAGACCAAAAATAACCTCCAAGGCCTAGCACAATGGCTCGGTGGCTAGACATGCCAATGCATGTAAACAAAAGACCCGCACAGACGATCATGACCTATCCGACCTGCATCCCCTTCCCTAGGGGTTGCAGCAAGGACCTCCATTGGATCCCCCCAGCAAGGGCGCGGAACTCGATCCGTAGGGCTTTGGTGAGGAAAAGCCCGAAGCATACGCTGTAGACTCTTGTCTGTGTACTGTGTACTGTGCTGCTCGTGTTGCCCATGCGCTCCAGGGGAAAAGTGACACAGTACGACTGTGATTAGACTCGTCGTGTTGCCTTCAGGTTCATCATTTTGATCAACCAATCCCAAGCTGAGTGGGAGACAAAAGTCCAGCCAGAAAAAAGAACAAACTCGCGGTTACTAGCATCTTCATGCGCTGCACTGCTGCAGTGCAGTGCTGACAGAAGTCCGAGGCTGGGAGTGAGAAATGTGAGATATCAGCCACTGCAGTTCGGGGGTCCCGGAGCCACTAACGCCGATCGCGATCTGTAAGTCTTCTCTGTCACTTGGGACTTTTGCAACCTTTCCAACGCCATCGACGTCGGTGCATTCCTGGCTCATTCCTAGCAACCAACGTTAAATTCGAGCCTCAATGTTTCATTCAAATTGTCCCCTACGTCACGGCTTAGTGGCTGTCTTCTTTATGTTACTCAGTCAAATGCCTCTGATTTATTCTAGTTATAGTTATATAGAAGTGACTTCCCTAGATTTAACTAGAAACTGTATTCCCAGGGTCAGATCCCCCAGAACCTTCATATCCCAGGGTTGGACAACCCCGTCAAGGAGCATATTGACGCTTGACAAATCACAAATTTTGTTTCTTTAATTTTCTGATCGGACCATTCGGATTTCCCTGACTCTGTCGAACTGTAAGAGTGTCATGTCTGAACATTTGTGGATAACACTCCCATCTATACACCAGAGCTGTAAACCCATCCCATCCCAAGTCGGCATCTCCAGCTAATTTAAACAAAACACCCGAGACATGAGCTCAGTCAAAACAATAAACCCCACATTCCATTGAAAAGTTTGACTTGCATGCATCCCGCTATACAGACGGCCATCGCAGTGCAGCTATTCATGTATAAATATCGGCAGCTCCCAGTAGTACCCCTGATCGACATCACAGGAACACTTTATCGGTTCATGCACTGTTCGCGATCTCATTGCGATTAACTCGCCGGGGACGCAGTCTCTGCAGAACACCCTCGCCTCCCATCCTCGTCACATTCCTCCGCCATTGTAACTGCAGACTATGTAGATTGGAAGACCAAAATTGTCATCGCGAACTAGCATCGGGTTACATGCATGTTTCCGTCTATCGAGTACCACCCTCACAGGGACCCCAAGGATCTCCAGGGTCTCCAGAACTCCAAGGAGAGTGAACAGGAGTCAAGGCCAGCAATCGAGGACCATCACCTCCCTCGCACTCCCTCCCTACGCCCCAGGCCTCATCCCCCGTGAAATAGAGTACAATAGAACAGAGACCCCTCCAACGATCCCTTCCAAAAGGAACCTACCCATCTTCCCCCGGAAGTCTTCTCCCCAATGTTTCGCACGGGACCTCCTTGATTGGCCAACATCCAACCCAAGGCCTGGACAACAGTGAAACACTTCAGAACCAAAACACCAAGCTCCGGATCTGAGATCATGCTGTGCCCTGCAAGGCATGCTTGAAACCTACCTCAATACTGGGTCTTCGAGACTCTGCCGGGTTTCGCTTCGTGCATCCGTAGCGCCGCGGCTTGGAGCTTCTCCCGTCCCTGTCTAATTTTCCGATACTGGGACCCTTGCAGGGTCTTCCGGCTTCAGTCTGGCCTCTTCCTTTTACTGTTCCCAGGGGCTTGTTATGCGTTTGCATGATGTGGGTGCAAATTGCCAATGTAGCTGTCTGTTCGTGGTTGTTTGTTTTGGTGGTTGTCGGGTTGGGTGTCTCGGTGAAATGAGGTTGTATCGGGGACTTGTCTCCTCGCTTTGGCATTTGGAATTGGCATTGCTCAGCTTTACTGAGCTTTAGTCTGTGTTGTAGGGAGCTTCGAGTTACCTACGTCACTCTCATATTAGCTGTCGCACTAAGGCGCTCGGGGTCAGGAGTGAATTTCAGCACTGTCATGTGATCAGCTCTAACGAGTAGTCAATTGGCGAGTGATTCCAATGGTGTGATTGGCTGCGAGTCACTTAAAGACATCTAACTTATGGAGCAGCGTACCTAGACTACGTAGTGTAAGTTACCTATAATAACAACATTTCAATAAAGAGCTTGCTATGTATCTAGTGCTTGGAAAGGCTATCTGTGACAGCTGGCCACATTTGCGTCTGGTTCTATCCTACCTATTGCCCTCTAGCGCCGTGCTCTGTTTGGCATTGAGTGGAAGATGTCGCCTAGTTAGACTTTAAGTGGAAAGCTTACTGATGTTCGTTGAAATAATAAATGTCTATGAAAGCCCCATAGACGCATGAAACAGTAGGTGAGGTACATGGATTTATTGTGTTGGGTGAAGTGGAAAGCTGCTTTGCAATATATATCTCCGTCTACCCTTGTGATTCATATATGCAACTGACTCACAATAATTAATTATACAATTTAAAAATCAAACGGTAGCATAGACTACAGCTTAGACATTCACTTAATTCCTTAGTTACTAGTGTCTTGAATACCACCCCTTTGCCGCAATAGATACATTGGCTAAACGATCTTACTAGGCATTCGAGTCTGCCCGTACCCCTATTTATAAAATATATCGAGAATCTGTAGGCGAGAAGATTGATCGTCTTCCGGTTTAAATCAGGCTTGTGCAGTTGACATGAAGGCATGTTTCTCGAGAGTATATCATGTCGTAGACGTGCTTGATTTGAGCCAGTACCGATCTATGAATTTAAGGACCGGTAACGCGTAAAGCTTCAATCTAGCCCAATAAGTATAAAGATAGTTTAGCACCTCCGTGCCTTTAATTCTAATAGACGTTCATATCCGTCGTGGAACTATGGTTGGCTGGCGAAGAGGAATGTCAAATTGACGCGTCGTGGTTAGCGCGTTGTATGGGAACGTTTTGTGGGGACTAACTATGGATTCTAACCACCTTCTTAAAGTACACTTGCTTCCCTGCTTTATGGGCCGTGTATTCGGAAGGTGATGTGACATGCAGAGGCGAGTCCTAGTTCTCTGTCTGTCAATCCTCAAGGAATGCACTTCTCCGGAATAATCCCCTCCGCGACCGACAGACTTCCGAATGGGCGCAATCCTATCCCGCAAACAACCATGTACAATAACAAGCCACGAAGCTCATTCTTTACCCTTCCTCTTCAACAACCCAGCCAGAGCATCCCTTCGATCATTAACGCCCGCTAACTTTCCTCTCTGCACCTTCCCGCTCACGTCCCTCCACAAAGCAAATTCCCCCATTTAAAGCTCTGTAAGATGCCAATCGTGCTGTTCAAATTTATAAACGTAACTCGCAGTGAGCGTTCCCAATGCTTCCATCGAACGCACTACATATGCAGGAGGCGCCTTGTTGGGCCACTGGGAACCTTGATGCTCGTCACCGCAGCATCTGGAATTTTTTTTTTTTTTTAAATAGTAATAAAGGTCGGCCAGGAACTGCTTTGTCATCGAGATTCGGACCCAGGGAGCCGACGTCATTGCGGGGGAGTCGAGATGAACACTTAGTTACTTGCACGTACTTAATAATCCCATTCGAAGCATTCACTGAAAGGTTAACTAGGTTGAAGTTTATATAGCAATTCTGAACACTCAGGCTGAACATCGATCTGTCCACCCCTGATAAGCTGTGGGGAGAGCAGTTCGTTCCACGAAATGCCCAACGAGCCGGCGCGAAGTGAACCACTGGTTCCAATGGGGCCAGACCCAATATTATCGATGTTGCTGTGTCTCCCTGGGAGTATTCAGGTCAAGTTCCGGCTATAAACTGCGCGTTTTCTAATCAAAAATTAGCCTGGTGACAGTCCTAAGTGCCCGAACTATGAAAATGACCTGTGATTCCGCACTGCCAACGCATCACTATATAATTAGGCCTTGAAGTGCTAGTCTCATAGCCCAACCATGGCTGGACTATGGAGATCGCATAATTTCGCCTCACTGGTGTCCTGCTCCAATGGTGGACTCTGAGGCTGTGGTTCTTTTCTCTTTCTCCTCGTCACTTTCTTCCTTACATATAATCTACAATGCTATGGATGAGCTACTGTGAATAATTGCTACTACATACCCCTGCATTGACCTATCACCACCGATCGTCTGTGCGGCCGGCTCTCGTCAATATCGCCAATATCGCCAATTTTCGACATTACGGAGGTGCTTCCTTAAAAGTACAGCTCTATATTCCAATTTGGACTCGTATACACATGATCTTAGATTGATTGAGGTTGCCGAGTTGAGACCTGACAGCTGAAACATCGCAGGCCAAGAAGTTGGCATTAGGGCACGAAGGAGTCTTGACATTCCCGTCACATTCCTCATCTTCCCAATTCAGGCCTCTTAGCTCTCTTTCTCTATTTTCCACCTTTCCATCCTTTCTCTTTCAACCAGACTAGACAGTGTTGGCGCTTCATGCGCCCCGAGACACGTTTGCGCTGCAGCTTGAGCTGCGGCGACCCCAGCCATCCCAATTAACCAGCCACCTCCCACTCTCCTTTCTCTTCCCCAAACTCCTCTCAGATCATATCGGTTTCTCTCTCAATTGCATTATTTCGTGGATCGAGATTCGAAGTGTGCAGCCTTTGGGGCTGTAATCCTCTCACGAACCCTGAGTGATCGACATTTCCGATCGCGATCCTTTTGAGAGCTATCCAGCTCAGTAACGAACCACCCTCGCATTGCCTCCCAATCCACAATTCAACCGACCCTTCTTAGAGGTGTCTCGACGCACCCCAAGGGCGTCTGACGAAGTCCACGACGTTTACGACCCTACACTTACGACCTTTGCGCGGCAACGCCAGCCAGCTGCCCAACGACCATCCTCGGCTGAGGCAGACCCCCAATTCCGACCCCCTAGCGCTTCCCACTCCCAGCGCACCTTACGTCGCGTTCGCCGACAGCCAGAGACCCGACAGAACCTCCACCGTCGAGCTGTATCCTTAGACGTCCCTTCGCACCCTCGCCCTCCGCCGGCGCATACAAGACAAAGCTCTGTGCAACAGCCTCCAGCCAGTGGAATCGCAGCGCTACGTCCGGCACTTTCCGAAGCACATACTGATGACAACGGGTCGACCGTAGACGATCCCTACCAGCTCCTCGACACATCCTATTGGCCGCAGCGCAACACCGGTGTCTCATCGCGCACTGCGTCTGCAATCCTCTTTGCCCTCGAGGACGCCATCCGTGGTCCACTCCAACTTTCAACTGACTGGGACGAAGTGAATGCGTCTATGTCAGACATGGTAGGCGTAGCTGGTCCTGCTGGGCCTATGGGCAATGCCCGTTCTCAGAATGGTGGAGCCCGTGTACCCCAGAATCCTGTGTCCGGGTCATCGCAGCCCCCGAGTGGGATGCGCACACCGACGGATATTATGAGACAGCGAAGGGATCGGGAGGCTCGCCGTAAGGCCGAGCAGGATGCCCGAGACAGGGAACAGGAGGAACTGGAACGACAGCAGCTGGACCATGAGCAAGCTCAAATCCAGGCTGAGGCTCAAGCTCAGGCCCAGGCTCAGCAGTACTCTGCTGCTATTTCCGGTGATAATGCCTCCCAGTCTCGAACACGAATCCCCCGCGCAAATAGGGGTGCGGAAGGGCAGCCTGATACTGTACCCGTTACTGGGCCTCCGGCAGGTTACCAACCCGCACCTCCGACAACTGGTGCAGGGCCAATAGCCGGTCAATCTCGGCCAGTACAAGCATCTAGTCAACAGCCCCTGGGTGCGTCTGCGCCCCAGCATAGTCGGTCGCAGAGCGCTGCAGCTGCTGGAGCTCAGACTGGACCGAGCGGATTCTCCAAGCCTGCCCAGCCTGCACCTGCAGCGTCCTCTGCTACTGCGCAATCTCTCCAACAGCCGCGACGCGTTGGTTTCCCGCATGCATTTGAGCGATGGGAGACACTTTCCTCGCACTGGGAGGGTCTCACCAGCTACTGGATGCGCAAGCTGGAACAACACAACGAGGACTTAGAGCGTGATCCTCTCAGCCAACAACTGGCTCGACAGATTACCGACTTGTCTGCCGCTGGCGCCAACCTGTTCCATGCAGTAGTCGAATTGCAACGTCTACGAGCCTCCTCGGAACGCAAGTTCCAGCGCTGGTTCTTCGACACCCGCGCCGAACAGGAACGAGCCAAGGAAGTGCAAGCAGATCTGGACCGCCAGCTTAAAGCCGAACGACAAGGCCGAGCTGATGCCTTTGCCGCTGCTCAAACCGCCGAAAAGGACAAAGTCCGTGCAGAAGAGCTCCTCAAAGAGATGCGGCGCGAACTCCAAATCTCTAAAGAAGAAGCCCGCCGCGCCTGGGAGGAACTCGGCCGTCGCGAACAAGAAGAGCGAGACCGAACCAACTCCCTCCGCAACGGCGAACCAACTCTAGTCGGCGGTGTCCAAGTAGTGCCCATGATCTCCGGCGTCCCAAGCCGCCACAACACAACCAACCGGCCCCAAACCCGCGAAGGACCGTACCCCGGCGGCCCAACAGCCACAACCATGGGCACAGACGCCTACGGCAAACCAACGGGACCCAGCACAAGCGGACGATACTACGAAGACGGCACACCAATGTCACCAACAGGCTCCGACCCCTTCATCGAACCCAAAAGACAGACCCGCCCGCCTCCTCGAAAGCCCCCTACCCAGGCCAACTCTACGCGCACCAAAACACCTCAGTGCCCTACGCTGCACCGGCAGCCTCCGAACCGGACGACCACTCTTACGTAGGAAGCAGCGACGCCGGCGACGAGGAATACGCGCATTATGCGCACGATCCCCAGGGCCGCGGCCTCTCCTACCCACCCCCTCTCTCAGAGGGGAGTGAGGAATACGATAATACCGCCGAAGATGACCGCCACTACATACCCGACGACGCCTATACCTCAGCTGCATCCTCTGCGCCATTGCAGGCTCCCTACCCGCCTGTCTCGGCTGCGGATTATAGTGGCGCTGGATGGGGTCCCGGGACCGGGTGGGAGTCTATGACTCCGCGTCATCGGCACCCGACCCGTCTCAGTGATGTCCTTGAAGAGGATGAGCCTAGTCGGACTAGTCCTAGTCGTGCTAGTCAGCGGAGTCGCAGCCAGGCTAGTCGAAGCATTCTTTAGGGGATGCTTTCCAGTGTCGGATTGCATCTTGATTCGGGTGTGCATAAAATTTGTGCATTGAAAATTGCGGTGGTCTCGTCGAATGATGAGATGAGGGTACTGCTGCTTTTCTCTGCTCTTTGAATGTTCTCTTTGCGTCGGCTGTTTGCCATCAGTTTGTTTTTTGACCTTTTTTTCCCCTTGTGTGATTGTATATTGGCGTTTCATTCCCCCTCTCCCCTGTTGTTTTCGTGTTTCTTATGTCTTCGGTGTTGTCTATTTTCGTTTCAATGGTGATAATACCTAATTGCCTTACCTACCTGGTATTCTGTACATCTCTCTGTATACAGTACACGAATGAGACAGTAGACAACTTAGGACCAAGGTATACCTGAATTGAGATGATATCTTTGTGAGATCTCAGCATCAAGGAGACAAACAAGATATATCAACCGACGCCCGAACTCCGTATTCCCACTATAAAACACATCTCAGTCCACCAAGTCGTCTCTGCCAACGCAGTCAAAATCCTCAAATTCACCCTCGCTATCCCCCTCCAAATCTTCCCACCCCTTAACTTGTTCAAAACAATCAGCTCTAGCCCTCTCAGCCCAAACCCTCAAGCACTCCGGTCCTTTAAGACACCAAAGCAGAACCTCTCTCACAGCAAGCGCGTCCCACAAACAACTCTCGCTCCCTCCATCAATCCCCATCTCACCCCAACCGAGCATCTCCTCCGTCAAAACCTCCAACTCCCAAATCTTCCCCAAAGACCGGTTAGTAAAGAGTGGCCCAAATACCGCCTCGCTGGTCACAATCGCTACATCCACAATCCGCGTCGTAAACATGTTTAAGGTGTTAAGATCCTTATTTAGACCATGTCCTATGAGAATGGTATTCTCATCGACGTATTGGTCTAAGACATTCCGCGCACGCCGCGTTCCATCTTCCGTCACGTCCAAATTCTCATTTTGTATCGGTTCTTGTGGTGGTATACTGTCGTACAGAATTTCAGCGGTTAGGAAATCGATGACCGTCATGAATTCGATAGTGTCGATGTCATTTGTTTTCGTTATTTTGGTGGCCAGGACTAGGGCTTTTCGTGTCTTGGATGGTGTGTGTGGTGGGCTGGGGTAGGCGTGTGCTGTATGCGGCATGCCGGAGTACAGACATTTGGCGTTGTTTGTTGTAATGTCTTTGTTTGGGATGGTATATCCTTGTGCTTTTAGACGGGGGGTTGGGTGGCATCTTGCCAGTAGGTACTTGAAGAGTAGGTCTTGCTCTAGGGGGTCTAGAATTGTTGATTTTTGGTGTACCTGACTCGATCCCTTGATGGGAGGTACTATATGGTTTTGGGTTAGTTGTGGATGATGTAGGAGAGATAAGTGGCTTACGTTGCCCTGTGTTACTTGCTGATGTTGCTGGGGTTGGCTTCACCGGCTGAGGATCTTGCTTGTGGACTTGTAGCTGCGGTGCTTGGGATTTTGCTGTTTGTAATTTGTGTCTGGGGGGAATTGCTGGTGTTGAGTTTGCCTTCGCTTTCTGTTTACTGTGATCTTTGTCCTTTAGATGCTGAGCCACGCTGTCTGCACTCATGAATTTCTTGTTGCATTTAGTGCAAGGGAACATTGCTGGTGTAGGCCGTGGTGTTGGGGCTGCAGACTGAGGTAGTGCCTGTCATGATGTTAGTTGATTCAATGCACATCGTTACTAGATTCATTTACCTTTGCCTTCTTTGTGTTATGATCCTTGTCCTTCATATGTTGAGCTAAGCTCTCCGCGCTGTTGAACCTCTCCTCGCACTTAATACAAGAATGAGCATGTCGAGCAATTTGATGGTCCCCAAGAGCTTCTTTCGATTTGAATGACTTCTTGTTGCACATCGAACACGGGTATTTCTGTGCTGAGGTAGCTTTGGTGGGCGCGGTGTTTAGGGCCATTGTGATAAGTTGATTGGGACACAACCTTGGAAGGTCTGTGATTGTGCATTCAAAAGGTGTTTAAAATGCTTTATATCTGGTAGAAAGAGGGGTTAAAAGTGTAAATAGGCATCTATCTAGGCATCACAGTCTGGTACGCATGCATAGGTGGTGTGGCAAAGATCCATTGGCGGAGACGCATCTATCTCCTGCGCCGCATATCCTGTGGCCCCCAACGACAACGCCTCACGACCTATCAACCCTGGCAGGGATGATATCATCACTTGGTTGTATCACAGCGCTTATTATTGTCAACTGAGCTAATCTGAAGAAAACGTAGTCATATTGGGTGCATGTCTGACGTAGGATGAACATGAACTGGTGTCCCTGGCATTTTGCCGTCTGAGACCGCTATTCTACTGAAGGACGCGGTTCCACCACTACACTATGTAGGTATCTTTCCTCAAGACGCCCTCAAAATGGACCAAAAAGTCCGATAGCTTACGCAGAGTGGTACGATGCCCACTTGCTGCGCCCCTCGATGGCTTTTACAAAACTTTCGGCAATCTTACGCCACGTTTGTTCGCTGGGATGTAGTTCATCGTACCACATGAAGGCGTCTGGATTGTTGTTGTCCACGCGAACACAGTCAGTCCCATTTAGCGTACAATGGTTCATGTACCCTGTCACATTGTAAGGTTCGGTGCCGTTGAAATAGGCAGAGGGGTTATGATATATATCATTCATCTAGTAGCGCGATATCAGGGTTAGCACATTTCTTCACACTAGGTTGAGTAAACCCACCAGCCCCTCAAGGTCCACAAGGGCAAAGTTTGCTCCTGGGAACCGTCGTCGAAGCTCCACTTCCAGCGGCATCCGGACCTTGTATATTGAATTAACAAGGACCACCTGTTCCAGCATTCGCTGTGAGGAAGCTGTAATGTTGGTGTATTTGTCCGGCCAATACTGGCTTGCTTCAAGACCTCCAGCATCTGGCATTGCGTATTGTGGAGCAATATACATAGCTCCAAGTGTATTAAGAAGGAAGTAACGAGCGCCATGTTTGAAAAGACGATCAATCTGCTCAAAAACACAGTCTATGTAACTTGGAATGGTGGTGCCAGGGTTCTGGGAGTCAGTCAGAAAGCCGCCGGCTCCAATATCATTTCCACCGATCATGATAGCAAAGATGGTAGATTCTGAAGAGATATCCATGAACTTGGTTCCATCGGAAAGCGTATATTGGCAATCCGCAATGAAGGCGGGAACCTCGTATGTGGCGATGTCCGGAAACAGATTCCCAGTTGCCTCATATATACGCGGCGTAAGACTATTAGCACATACTGCTCCAGCGACAGCGTAGTTATGCACTCTCGCTCCTGTATATTGTCCGACATAGGATGGCCATGGACGCCCTCCATCCGGAGCAATCGACTCCTATGAGAACTGTCAGACATTGCAAACCCTTCTGTTCCTTGACGTGAAAGTTCAAACCTCGCTGTTAGTCCAACCAACCGGAGGAAGGGTTCCGTTGTGGGCAGTAATGTAGTTTAGTCGTCCGGCATCAGACCAGCTATCACCAAACACAACCAAGTCGGCGAAGCTTTGAATGTTCCATGCATATGAAGAACTAATAAGAAAAAAGCATTGGATGGCATAGGATAACATCATTCTGCTATATTCTGAGTGGAATGATAAGAAAGCTTTGGCCTGATTCCTGAATTTGAATGTGACGAGACTCAGAATTTATACCGCCTGAAATACCGTTGACTGAATCTAGAGATGGGGGTTGCGGTGGATCATATTCCCCATCCAGGTGAATATCCCGTTCCGCGGAGATATACTTTGAAGGACATGAAGATGGATTGGAACTTACGACAAATCAGTGTACGTTTTGGGTACTTCCAAAGTTTAAGTAGATTCTCCAGTGGAGCTGGGAACAAAAGGGTTAGGTGCCGAGAAGCGTTTTCCTGCAATTTGGAACAAAGGTAGTCCTACCTTCCGCAATACCCGCACAACCGCAGTTCGGGGGTCAATCTTCAATCCAGTAGCTCCATCGTGATACGGAGACAGCAATTTATGTGGGCCTGTGTACTACTATAGAATCTAAGGAATGAACTGGCACAACGAAAAGTGTTCTCAAGACTGATGTACTTACTACTAATAAGGTATAACCAGTCTTTGATCATATCGCTTCCTGGACCAGGCAACTCTTTGGTGCCCCGTCATTTTGAGGTAAAATCAGGACGCTTATTGCGGTAATTGTGCCTCCCGAGGTGGATCTTCAGTCGTTCATTCCGCTGTATTTCTTGTGGCCCATCTCTCATGTGGACTATTCTCCATTACACATGATATTGACATGCAAACCACTCCAACGAACCGCAAACACTCTAGGGTTCTTGTGAGCCTTGCCGGGATCGCGAGAGAAAATGCAACGGACAAAGCCCATGCAACATCCGCAGCGACTGGGGCTACGAATGCCACTACAGATGCCAGCCAACCTCGGTATCCCAGCCGCCTTCTCTCGCGCTGAACGCCATAGCGTTGGGCGCTGCACCCGCGAAATCAAAAACCACGCCGGAGGAAAACAAACGACATCTTGGTGAGAAAGAACATCTTACGGTGCCTAGAGCCGAATTCTCGGGCGGCATCATTTGTAAGAAAGTAGGAAACATTGGTGTTAAAGTCGACGCCACAGATGCACCTAAGATGCACCTTTTTTGATGGAATATTGAATCTCGACAATTAGCATCTAATCTAAGTGCTACGCCTGCCCTGTCTATCTTCGAAATCACCTTTCCGGAAGAGATCAAAAATCTTGCCAATGTCTATTTTAACAAGGTCGCTCCATGTTATGGATTGGTCAACCGTCAAGTTATTTTCCAACGTCTCGAAGAGCGGTCGCAGTCAACATTGAAAGCAATGACCGATACCACAGTGCTTTTGCCGGGGTCGCTGCGCTCGGCTCGTTGTTTTCGCGGAATGACGTGACGGTTACTGAAATGCATCTCGTGCAATCTGCTCGATCCAAACTTGACCAACATTCATAGGTTGAGAGCTCAGTTGTTGGAATCCCGAGCTTAGAGGGAATCGAATTCGAGCAACTCTCCCCACAGGGACGCAACTCATTAACGGAAGGGTCCCATTTCGTCCCTCCAATTCCGTCAATGTGATTCTGCCAATAACGCATGCAGTTAAAGGCCTTAGAAGCTCATTATCTCAATAAAAAGCCAAAAAGGTTGAACATACTCCATATCACCGCACATTTTACAATCCATTCCCACGTTATCGTTAGTATCCCTTTTTTTTGTGTTTGTCTTCGTGGCCCACCCTCAACTCCGACCAGAGAACATGATGCCCGATGTTCCTTTGGTTGCATTCAATTTGTCCTGAGCCTGGTTGTCCTCTCCATAGGGGGGTATATTGCGAATAGTGTTTTCGGAGTCCAGACTTTGTTTGTAGTTTGACGATAAAGCGAGCCGCTTTCCATACTACAGCATGATGTACTATGGAGATATGGGTCTGGCTGCCTACGGATCCCTAGGGGTTACCATGGTTACGTTTACGTTGCGGCGCAGCGGCACAGCGACATAGCCTTGGTTTTCGAACGGTCTTTGAGTGGGAGATCGAATTTCCTTGCGTGGGAGAAATAGACTAGTTCGAGGTCTGCAGGTGGACATTGCGTGGCGTAAGATGGCCTCCAGGAAGTTCGGAATACTGCTCTTAAGGTCAATTATTCGGTTTAAGAGGAATTGTATATATATTCAATATGAACCTCTACTTGGACCCCGTTGGTAACGTACGCCTCTCTATTGGACTCCCCCAGCAGAAGCTTCACATAAATATACTTCTGATAGAACAAGCTAAATCAGTAACGACAGGTATTGCAATGAGTGGGGAATCTAGTAAAACAGGAACTAATCGGTAGAATTGACAGATTGATATTAAGAGAGGAGCAAGCAGGATATTACAGAGGATTTCGCAAACAGTTTATCCCTTGAGCACGTTCGGTTTGTTTCTCGGTCCGTACCCGAAACACCCGTCCAATTTACCGAAACAACGCCAGTCCTATTTAGGGGAAGCGGTAATATACCACTTAAAGCTAATTTTAATTTATAGCTTAGCTAAAATAGGCAGAGCATTGTTTTTATTACGGGCCCAGAAACGAACTGTGTTCTCAAGGGGTAAACTTTTCGAAACCGTCTGTATGTTAAATACCCATCTGTAGAGTTGGTTCAGGGTTGATAAGTGGAAAGAACCAATTTTACCATGTCTCGGAGGACATGTGGGCACTGGAGAGTGAGTTGAAAGTGTGTCGAACGGTGAGATGGCGGTATTTTACCACTAATGATAGGAATGTTCTCTGGATACCAGCGTCGTACTCCTGAGATCTGAGAGCACGTCAATAGCGAGATCTAGCTATATTACAACGCCCATCGTCGCATCTCAATGGAACACCTCAACACTAACACTTATCCGTCGATCCGACAGTGCGCCCCAGAGCCTCAAAATTACATACAAAAGACAAAGGAAAGTAGGGTAAAAAGGAAACCAATACGTGACAGCTGTAAGTAACTGCTCCGCTATCCTCGACGTCCTCCGCACCTTTCCTCAAGGTTGTCGTAGACAGCATGGTGGCCCAGCCCTAATCGAATCAATATCGTCTTACGTCCCTTCGCACTATAACTATTAGAGTGAAAAAGCCAGTATCGCCTAGTTATATAGTAGGCGATTGAGATTAGACGGAACTAACTAATTATGGGATGATTGATAGATTGATTTAAGAGAAGAAAATAATCACTGCGTTCGAGGACAGGTTGAAGTGTCCTCAGCAAACTAAGCGAGACTCGGTGTTGCAATACCAGAGTTCGTCAGAAATCCAAAAATACACAAAAACGCATAACAAAGCGGTTATCAACGAACTAACCGCTTGCTTCGGCAGGTTAAGTGCCCACTTCTTCTGAGACATAGTATCCCATCACCACGAGCACAAATTCACCGATCTCCCAGTACAAATAGTACAAAATTGGCCTTGAACCAATCCAATTGGAATGGCCCTCAAGGATCTGGTGCAGCTCACCCTATCGCCGAAACGAAGAGTTTCTATTCGGGCCGCAGCACTGTAAACCGCTCGTAAGCGTTTCCTAGGGTATGTGCAGTCTTGCTTGTTCAGGGTTCGAGCTACGCCGGCAGCTCTAACTCGTTAGTGACCGTTTTCAGTATCAGCTCTTATAGTATGACACACCTCCCAAATTCAAAGGGCGGCCTTGCCTAAATTGTTGTTGAAGTTGGCATCATTAATTGGGCAGTTGGCTTCTCCCCAGTCGACAGTGTTGAGAGTGGAACGCATGGCGCTATTCATGAAGTCCCAGCCAATTATGGGCTGATATTTGCCCTCATTACCAGTCGTATGGACGCTGTGGGTGCCAACAACGGCTGTGTCCTGGTAATATTTAATCTTAGGGTGTTTCGTCCCTGGCATAACATCCTTTAGTGCCCCAGATTCCTTCTCTGGGAATTTGCCGTGCGCAGAAGTTGAAATGCCAAGGACTGTAGGGTTTGCCACTGCTGGATTATTAACCCAGACAACGATGCATTCCCAGTCATGTCGATGACCAGTTAGTCCTAAAGAACCGCCTCCTTGGTCCTTAGGCATGTACCTATTTAATCAGTAAAGGCTATGTAGAAGAATTGGCCACGTGGATAACATACCACGCATACATGATACCGTAGGCTCCATTATGCCAGCCGCCACGCTCATATACCTGAGCCTTCGTCAGGTCTCGGCAGCCACCAGAGGGACTACCACTTGGATTTTCGCCGCCACTAATTTGCATGGTTAGATTGTAAAGGCTAACCGAAAATTGTTTGCCATGTAGAAGAGTAATTAGACATACCTCCAATTACCTTTGTCATCTATGGCAGGATAAGGTTGGCATCCACTGTCAATATACAAGCTTGGTTGAAATGTCTTGACGGTCTTGGCAGTGGCAGAGTTGTCCAAGTTTTGCGCCAGGGCATTAATGGAATCATGGTGAACCTCGGCGCCACGCCGCTCTAGCTTGGAATAGCCAGGCTCAGCCACAGGCGTAGCAAGGGTCGTGCTTGCACAAAGGGCAGTTAAGAAGAAGAAGGTCTCAGAAACACGCATTGTAAGGTGCAGTGAAGAGAACCCGGGGAGTATTTGCTTAGAATGAGGATTTGTCTGAAAGATTCGCGAGAGACAAATGAAATGAAGAAAGTGTAGATAACCGTAGTTAACACTGTGAAAAAATCAGGAGAATAGAGAGAAAGACATAGTCTTATATACCCATTCTGCACAGTACTCCTCTCCGTCCATTCCCGGAATCCTCTACTCGTACCATGACCACTTCAAGTGCATAAATGCTCCCACGTGCGGCATATTCCCCATGGAATTCGACATGTCTCAGAACAGGCTTTTGGCATGTACACTGGTTAGGAGAAGATGTAGACCGTGGGAGAGATACTGGCAACGGTTTAATATGAAGAGGAGAGACATTATCCGCATACCACGGACTCTAGAGTGGATAAATATCTCAGCCTGGAAAGCCAATCAAAAATGAGCGGCTATCGAGACATCGCATCGACAAAGGTAGGGTTCTAGGACTAAATGCGTGTTAATCAACGCCGCTGAGGATACACTTTTTAGCGCTGTACTCTCCAGTTTTCTTGTTCTCGGGTGGATCATTGATAATGTATGAGTTCAGCGACGAGGTTGTGTTCCGTATCCTGAAAGAAAGAACAGTATTTGAGTTTCTCGTCAGCGTACGCAAAACTCAAAAGGCTGTGTTTGGTAGTTATTCGAAAATATCCTAAACCGGACTTGCGCCGACCAATCAGCAGATTCGGAGATTACGAGACCTGGGGGTGGGACTGCGTGCATTATCAGATTGCGGCTAGGGGCAGCGCGGCGACAACGGCGAAATCAATTTGCTGTCGTAGTCGACCGTACGCTGGAAAAATTCCAGCCAATTGCAATTTTCCGTTCAAACGATTCCCCTTGCGAGCATGGAATGTATGGTCGGGAATTGGCATCGCAGTTTGCACTTTACTGGCCCTTTCATTAATTACCGAAATCCGCGGGCAGGATCTGTATGGAGTAAACAAGATCTCAATCGGTGAGACACACCGAAGATTTCCCGAGCTATGTCTGATTAATCACTGACTTATTGACGTTAAAAGGTTGTTAAAACAAGGCCTCACCAAAACCCGCCCAAACCCAAATCCGGCCACGAAAACGCAACCCAAAGAAGTGCCGTGTCCAGGTCCCGACTAGTGGGCCTTTATCTGTCGGAAAATACCAAAAATATTGTAGAAGATGCAGAGACGGTGATTGAAGATATCAAGGATTTTGTTTTATTGATCCTTACCCTTTTTGCTTGAAATAGTTGAGATATATTGTTGAACATGTAGGTAGAATTTCAAACTGCCGTAGCCCATACACAACGCGGAAAACGGCGTGGGTGGGCTAGTAAGCCACGATTAGCAAGAAAGGAAGAGGGGTATCAAGTCGGAGTCCCCGGATTTGTCTCTCAAACCGTAAATCCGAGACAGAAATCCTGGTGAGATACCCACCGTCACCTGAGCTTTCTCATATTCATTCCGCTGTGTAAACGCAGAATAGGCGTTCGGGTGTTCCTGGAAGCCTTTCCCGAGGCAGGTTAAGGTTACAGGCGTTGCACTAATCTAACAAATCGGCAGGCCGGAAGCCACGCCTTTCGGTCCAGGCCCATGGGCCGTCCCGTTTCAGCTGCTTGTTGGGGAGGATATGCGAGGTTAAGGGATCTTAGAATTTCGGTACATACTAGTGCCGAGGGAACCAAATGAACGAGTTGGTTGAAGAACTATCCGGGAGATCGCTGTTGAACGCGTCTCATACCTTCAGGAGCTAGTTATAGTAGAAGTTACAGCGTGGGTATTCCCAATTGATTTACCATACAAAATCATTTGGAGGAGCGGGTAGTCGCGCAATCAGCCAGTTCTAATTGATAAAATACTGTACCACCTCTCAGGATGAGACGTAGTTACGGAGTGGCGGGACCACTTAGCTCCCTCGTACAATCGTCTTGAAGTTACGGTAGTCCACTCTCCCGGCGAAGGAAATGTTTACTAAGCGGCGTCGCTGTAGTTTTAACTTATTTAGCCCGAACGAAGGTGCTTCGGGAGTTACAGTCCGATTAGCTCAACATCGGCCAGTTACGCAAAATATAAGTAGCCTGCACAGTCTGCACATTTTTAGTAGTTCCGGCTATTAGAATCTCATCAGGAAATCTTCTTTTTAATCAATTAATCAACACCTGTCTCTTTCGACAAACCTTCCGTCTTTCCGGTTCAAAATATGCAGACTTCTGTATCTGTGGCGATCATCTGCCTCCTCCTCTCCCTGGAGGCTAAGGCGAGGGCGTTCCGTCCCGAAGCGGGTAGTCTTCTTTCGAATGGGCTGGTATGTAATCCGCGTAATTCGACGGATAGTGTTTTAGGGAGCTGACATTTTTCGCAAAGGCTTTGCCTATTGAATATGACCTGTTGGAATCCCAAACAAAGAGTGGCGTACCTGCCGGCTCGTCATTCTGGTCATCTTCTTTCATCCACGGATCCGACAACCATGACTACATGATCGTGTCTCATGTGCTTGCTGGCTTGCCAGTCTCACCTTCGATGTATCGAGGATCTATACTCGATATTACGAATTCATCCCGCTACGGTCGCTTTGAGATCTTCTCCAATATTTCCGAGGTATACTCGGACACTGGAAACTTGAACACGAGCTATCCAGATTACGGCTTCAGTTCTGTTGGTTCAGATGAAGCTCCAGCAATGCGAACGTGGAGCGCCGTTTCCGGAGCCGAGTTTGATCTCACCTTCGAACTGTCCTCGCCTGCCTTGTTGAATGGTGGCCTCGGCTCTTTCAAGGCGGGCAATACCACGGCATATGAGTGGGGTGTGCCAGCGGGAAAGACAAAGGGGTGGTTCCGCGTGGACGGATCGAAGGTCAGTGTGGATGCTGAGCGCACTCTGACCTGGTATGACAGACAATGGAATGGAGCACCTGCGTCGTGGACTTGGTTTGAGCTGCACATCGAGAGTGGAAATCATGGAGCTTCTGCGACCCCATATTCGATTTGGGTTTGGGGGGAAGATACACCAGGGGGCTCAGCAGGGCTTGCTACTCTAAGAGACGCAGCAGGTATACAAAGAGTTGTGCCCGTGGTATCCATGGTGACCTCTAGTAGAACCTTCACTTCACCAGTAACGGGCATTGTTTACAACCTTGACTGGACCTTGAAGCTAGCCGACGGGACCGAATTCTGCGCGTCCAGTGTGAGAGAAGACCAGGAACTCTATGGGGAGGGTGGGTTATTCCCGACATACGAAGGTTTCGCCACAGTCAGCGGTGTATACAATGACGGCCAGAAGGTCAAGGGATACGGCCTTGTTGAGATTAACTCACCAGGTCCGGCTTCTTGATAGAGGTTCCTGTGTTTATTCAGTTGAGACACAGGCTGCGGCATATCATACGACTTGGATATCCAATAAATATTCGCTTCTGTAAAATCTCGCTAGTTTATCCTATTATAGACTATTATGCTGACATACTCTTGTTTTATTTTTAATAAACATATCCATGCCTTCAGGCCGAAGCCTTTTTTGGCGTTCCCCTTCATACTTCTTCAGCAAGTCCGGCAAAGACATGATTGTAAATTAATAAGACGACAAAGTGAGGGTTGTGACGAATAAGTTTAGGCTGAGTGTTGCAGTGGATGTTGCATACTTAGGGAATTTGAATCTAAATTATGGTAGTCGGCCTTTATACTCATGTATTCGGCGTGAAAGCGCAGAAATTCTCTAAGTAAGTCCTAGGATAATCTTCTCCTAACCTAGAAGGCACAAAGGCCTCAGAAGTTACCTTTGAAGCAGCCTCTGGTCAAGAAAAGTCGTGATTTATCGGGTCATTGGCCAATTTGGACGCGCATTGTTCTATGGACATCGAGTGAACCGAACTAGTACGGAAGTTGTACGGAGTATATGATTTAACAATAAGTCACCAATCCAGGTCTTAATCATGGCCTAGCGATGTGGATTTACGATATAGCACACCTGCGTGCTGGGAGGGCCTGGCAGACGAGAACGAAAACACAGAGTGCATAGTTTCTCTCCCGTAGTGGTTAGGTAAAGAAAGGGCAATAACCACTGTTATGTTAGTGTAAGCTCGCACTAGTCCACAAATGAAGGCAGCAACGCGATCCGCAGCCGCGCAGTAGTGCCATCGATCAAAAGCGGTGCAATTTGAGGGACTGGACGGAAGCCGTGTATTCACAGTAATAGCTGAGTGTTCTTCGCAGTTGGCTCGGAAGAGGCTCATATATGAATAAGTATGAATAAGGGACTTATTCGTATCCGTATTATCCATTTTCGTAAATAATCATGAATATTCAGGAATAATATTATTCCTTTCGAAACCATATCTATTCGTGCATGGGATTTTCTGAGTTCACCTTGGAATTCTTTGCACAATATTAACGTGGATTTGCTGGGCCTTTGGATCGGAACGGAAGACGAACAAGCCGCTCAGGAGTACGCAGCAGAAGGTACGAGGTCTGTTCACAAGCAAACTTGGAAGAGCACTTTTGCGCTGACTCAGCGGAAAAGGGAATCTAGGTTCCCGCACGATACCTTAGTTTAAACCTTCGTACTAGATCGTAGGAATTCTGGGGACGCTAGTACTAAAGGAGCTCGATCTATTAGTAAGATCCAAGCTCGCTCTAATAGTATTGCCCTTCTGTGACGGAGTCTCCAGGGAGTATGCACAGATCTCTCGCAATCATGTATTGATCTCTCGCAACCAAGGAGGTTCGACAATGTACAGGTGTCGACACGTCAGCGTTGACTCACCACAACGCTACCCTTCATATTAAATAGCCTCTTCCAGAAGGACCCAGAACTTCTCCCAGAATCAGTCTATGTATTCCTCCCATACCACATGTTCCTCAGGCATCCTCAACCTACCTAATTGACAGGCTCAATCATACAAACCCTAGAACCATTCTTATTTTACAACCGAATATCAGCGTAGATGGGAATATACTAGGGTACAATCCTATTGAAACACTTTTATCGTAGGTAAGGCTATGGTTATAGTGGAAAGTCATTTTTTAGGGTAAATTTAATTGTGGTCATTGTGTTATCATTAACCGCGAACGGATCGGACCATAAGATCGTTAAAGATTAGCATTGTAAACGATATAACGCACCGCTTCGCCTTTAACGAATAAGACAGTTTAAGCGAAGGGTACAAGTGCATTTCCGTAGTATTAGAGTATATAGCGTAAAATAAATTTTGTTAACGCTAGCGAAACAGTTTTCGTTCCACTTTAAGGTATCAATATAGAAACCTGGCGGGAAATTAATTAAGGAACCACACCGTTTCTATAGGATCAATATCACTATTAGTAAGAGCTATTAGTTCTTCTGGCTTGCTCCTTACGGAGGACTTAGAGACCAGCCAAAAATTAGAGCCGGCGAGTGTCGCTCAAATTAGTGAACTTTAAACAGAAGCACGATTCCTAACCAGCCTCAGATTTTGGCTGTCGAACTCACAATTATCCTTCAATATTTGCCACTTCTAACAACTGACAAGTTGATGGCAGCTAAAGCATGTAAACGACAAGAAAGGCCGAGAGGCCCCTATAAATATCTCCTGCTATCCCCAGTCCTTTCGCTCGACTAGCGCAACGGTTCTCTTCCCGCAGGACGTTTTCAATTGGACGCTGTGTAACTGCCAGCTCATCTGCCCTGTTATGTATTTTCTAGCGAAGCTTTCATATGCTATGTAGCCGTGGGTTTTAGTGTTGTTTCCTATCGGTCACTGTAGCGCCAGATAGAAAATTGCCCACCAGGATGTTTCCTAGTAGTCAACAATCTAGTCAGTTTTTGTTTTCTTTTCAGTGTTTTTCGACTTGTGGAGATCTCCATTCTACCACATATTACATATGCTAATCTCGACATTAGACCAGATCATTGCCCGGTCAAGGTTAATGTGGGTGAAGGTTAAATACATAGGCTGAATGAAACATTGCTTTCGCTGGCTAATTGCACACATCTAAACCTCCTAGCGCAGCGAGCACACACTGTGGACAGGCTGTAACTACCTTTCTTCCAAAGGCCATGGACCAAGGTTCTACCGACAAGAATATCGGATAACTACAAAAACGAGGGGTCTTTCTGGCCCACCATGGTTGGGGAACAATGGTGACGATTTCCGATGGCCGAGTGCATGCACCCGTCCCCATTTCGATACTTTGAGTTACCAACTTGCTGTCATGCAAGGCCCTGGTAAACTATGCATTTCAAGTGTCTCTATAATGGATATTAATGCACAAACATGTCTCAAAGAAGTATTAGCCACTAAGACTCTAACTGCAGGAAAACTGTTCAAAGTTAACCTTGACTCCTTCTGTTTCAGAAACAGCGAAAACCCCAATGACAGGGCCAACAAAATCCGGATCCGTCATGTCCATAGTGTCAACAAGAGCAAGTCTAATCCAAACTTTATGAGGTCCAGATTCTAAAGCATACATCAAGTGAAACTCCTGCTCCGTATACTCCATCCGTAGCGAAATACTATCAGGGGTCTTTTCCAGAGCTTGGCAGCTTGTCCTAACAATTTCCTGAGCACTGTTCTTTTCTTCAAAGGCAACTGATGAATCCGATGCGTCGAAGAAGATGCGAATATATCTATGCTCATCCTTATAGTAAGCTAGACCGCACTTTAGTCGTGCCGATGACCAAGTGTCAGAGATACCGGCAACCGTTACGCTGCTTTGTCCTTCTAGCAATCTTTGTCTCTTTCCGACGAATGTGGGAGATGCTTCAGGATCCGAGAGGTCGGTAGATGACGCGGTGAGGGTGATATTCGAGTTCGACTCATTGAACGAATATTTGCCTAAGGAGACATCGCGGATATAAACGTAGTCGATAAGTGGTCCAGCAGAGAGTGACGGAGTCTCATTTCTATTAGAAAGAGCTCTAGGGACAAGCTTGACTGGCTCGAGTGACGGCCATTCACCGTGCCATTTGGCGGACGTCAGGAAGGTTTCTCTGCTCATAGCGTATCTTCCCCGCTTGTCCTTGCGGACAGCTAGGCAGACAGCCCACCACTGGCCGTCATTATCCTCGAAAAGATCGCCGTGGCCGGTATGCTGAATGTACTCGTCGGTGCCGTTTGCCGTTAGGATTGGGTTATTAGGACACGATTCATAAGGCCCCCAAATGCTTCTAGAACGAGCCATGGTAATCATATGGGTCAGGTGTGTGCCACCTTCAGCAATAAGAAGGTAATACCATCCATTACGCTTGTAAATGTGTGGTCCTTCGGGGTAAACACCTCCAGTGCCTGTCCAAATCGTTCTTTCGTCTAGTAATCGCTTGCCAGTTTCAATGTCAATCTCAAAACAGTTAATTCGCGTCCAGGGACCCGGAGTGGCAGAACCGGTAATGTATATCTTGCCATCGTCAAAAAAGAGATCTGGATCGATACCTACAAAGTCGAAGTATACGGGATCACTCCAGATATCAGACCAAATGTCTGTCGTCGACACGAGAAAGTTCTGCTTGCCTACTTGACCCGTATTCTTGTTGTATAGGGCGTTGGTGCAGACAACGTAAAACTTCCCGGCATGATAACGGATGGTCGGGGCATAGAGGCCGGCGGTGGCTGGCAGGATTTTGCCTCCTGTTGATGGGCTCGGGGCGCTTAGTCTCGTTGCCGACTTGGAGAGGCTGAGTTGATCTCGTCTATTGATGGCATGTCCTAACCTCGGTTCATTAGTACGGAGTAAGGGGGAATAGTTTAGCCGCCCACCAATTTGCCGCCATGATACGAGGTCCTTGGAAGCGTAGATGGGCAGGCCTGGGAACAAGTGAAAAGTCGAGTTGACGAGAAAGTACCAGCCGGCAACTCCGACTATTGATGGATCGGGTGCAAAGCCTGGTATGATGGGGTTAATCGCACGTGGCGTGGGCATTGTGATGGTAATGTCTTAGCGTGGGTTCCAAGGCTGTCAATCTGAGACGAGGGAATATGATGGGCTGGAGTTGGATGAGTTATATATCTCGGCTGTGTGAGCATGGTGAAACTTGTGGATTGTATACCATGCTCTGCTACCGGATAATTAGACGGGAAAAGACGAATTAGTCTGGGAACACCGAGAGCAAGGGTTGCATTAGTGGTTGTCCGCAAGCTGAAGGAAGACAAGAGAGCCCCAAGGCCCTAAAATGATGCTATCTTGTTAATTTCTATTTACCCCACTTCAGCTGATTGGACCTATAAAGGAGCTAAATGTCGGAAAACTGTCGGGAAACTTGTGTGGCTTACATTAGCGAACTCGCAGACTCCTGTGGCGTTTAGGTTTATCTCGTGGACCCCCTGCTCTGCAAAACTCTCCTGCACTTCAACGACGTCTCCATCAGCAAGATTACACATAACAGGTCGAATAACAAATAGGCGACCATGTGGCTTCAGCATGGCCAAACCTAGTCTTCATGGAAGGGAAAAAGTCAGATGAACTACCACATAACCCTGGGAAATAGCTATAGACCGAGGTTAGTGTAATAGCCATGCAGGGCGAATTCTGTGCTCGAGGGCAGCAGAGAGTCTCCTTCGCGGCCTTCCTTCTTCCAATTACCCTAGGCTTAGGTGTTGGGCTAAGCTAATTCTCTATTATCGCGGGGAGCTTCCTGTATGTTGAGACCGTGGTTTCCATCCGAATGTTGAGGGTTGTGAAGAACCAACAATCGTACGAAGTCAAGTCACAAGACTCTAAAGTGGCTGACCCCTCTTCGTTGCTGCCGGGCTACTCCAAATTTCACATTCTTCTTCTGTTCAGGGAAGTTTTCGACCTTCGGTCCATTTTTAGCCGAGACATACGGAAAGAGACACGTTGCAAACAATGTGATCACTGTGGCGATTGTCCGAGCGTGGAGAGTAAAGCGACAGACTGGTCTGGAATTAACTTCGCAACTTCGTCCCATGAGGCAACCGTCCAAGCCCCACCACTTCCTGCAACCTAAAACCCCGTACCCCGGATCGACAACTCAGGCTAATGTCAACCGATCTCCAATTCGCTCAGCAACGGTCTATGCTAGCGTCTGAGGGGGATCGTTGCCCGACTACAAAAGGAGACGACCAAACATCCAGTTTCAAAGCGCTAATCATCAGTCAAGCTGCGGTCTCCCACTTCACCATGACCAGCAATATCGACAACAAGACCGCGACCGAGAAGGTCGCCACTGAGCATCAAGATCGTATCGAGACTCCAATCAAGCCTAGCGAGATCGTTACGGATGCCGTGGCCAAAGGTCAAGTCACCTCTGGTTATGAGACCTTGAGCTGGTGGCAAACCGTTAGAAAGTTCAAGCTCGTGAGTTTTATTTGCTTCATGGCTGCCTTTAGTGCTGCTACCGATGGATACCAAGTGGCGTAAGGAACCTCCTTTCGTTAAAGGCCACAGTGAAGTACAAGACGCTAACGGGCTATAGTATGAGTGCGAGTATCATCGCCAATAAAGGCTTCGTTAAAGAATTCGCAACCAAGATCAACCCCGACGGCAAACAATATCTTGCTTCGAATATTATCAGTTCTTGGGGTGCCTGCATGAACGTCGGGCAGATCCTCGGCCAGACCGGTGTGACTTTTGTCAATGCCAGATTCGGTCGAAAGATAGGCATGTATTGGCTCTGGCTCTTCCTCTTCGCCAGTGTGCTTGCCGAAACTCTCGCTAGGAATTGGAGTGTCTGGCTGGTTGCCAAGATGCTGGCCGGCTATGGTGTGGGTTGTCTCCAAGCAACCGTCCTTGGATATATCAGCGAGGTAGCTCCTGTTCGAATCCGAGGTGGTCTCTTAATGTGCTACAGCTTCTGGTGGACTCTTGGATCTTTCCTCACCCACGTGGTTCTGCAGAGAATGAACAAGACTCACCCGTACAACTGGCTGACTCCGATTTACACTCAATGGGGTCAGATTGGATTGATGATCCTAATTTATGTCTTCCTTCCCGAATCGCCGGCTTGGTTGGCAACTGTAGGCCAAGAAGAAAAAGCGAAGAAGGTTCTGAAGTGGCTGCATCGCGGCGTCGAAGACTACGACGTGGATCACCAATATCACCTCCTCGAACTCGCCATTGAGCACGAGCGCAGTGTTGCAACAGAACAGCGAAAGGAAAGCTGGCTTGCTATTTTCCGTGGTACTGACGGCCGCCGGACTCTGACAGCCTTGTGGACCATTACTGCCCAGCAGTTCACTGGTCTGGCGCTCTTTAGCACCTTTGGAACCTACTTCTTCCAGCAGGCTGGTTTGCCCGATCCATTTTCGATCAAGGCTATCACGACCTCGCTCCAGATTGTAACCGTCATTGCAGCTGTGTTCCTCGTCGATAGGCTAGGTCGACGACTCATGGCCTGCATCGCCACTACGCTCATGTGGCTGACCTGTCTCGTGGTCGGTATCCTTGGCACCTTCCATGAGACGAAAACTGTCACCTATATTTTTGTCCTCTTTGCATCGTTGTGGAGTAAGTTATATCAGTAATAGGCTGCCGTAGTAATGGATCAACCGACTAAATTTCCTTTCTTAGACGTCGGTATTGCCGCCAACGGTGCCGCTGGTTGGGGCTTCATCGGCGAGATATCCTCGCAGCGTCTCCGCCCTTACACATCGGGGTTCGCTGCGTCAGCTAACTCCCTCGGAGGATTGATTATGTCTGTCCTCATGCCATACATGGTAAATGCTAATGAATGGAACTGGGGATTGAAAACCGGCTTTTTCTACGCCGGTGTGGGCGCCCCATTTGTCGCTGGGATGTGGTTCCTTATCCCCGAAGTTGCTGGGTAACTTATTCTACTTCGTTTTCAGCAGCATGATTTGGCTAACATACTGTAGTCGATCCGCCGCCGAGTTGGATGAGCTTTTCGAACGAAAGATCAAGCCGTGGCGATTCCATAAGACCGAGACTGCGACTGAGCGTTTGGTCAAGGCTGAGCGGGAGCAGTGATCTGTAATGGGGTGCGGTTGAGACTTTTTGCACAAGCAGATGCGTCGACGGACTTTCCTTGTACAGGGCTTTGGAATGCGGAGGAAGTAACGGAGCTCTTGACGAATTTTGTACCACGGAATGATGCAGACATCAGATAGTCAACACGAAGATTTGGATATTTTGTGCATTGGTTACACAAATACTGTCTGCTCTTTCAGAAATGGCAAATCTTACAGTGTGACAATAAGTTTTACGCGTACATAGTCACAAGTCTTAGTGTGTTCTCGCAGAACTCGGATATCATCTTGGTCCAATACCCCTGATCTTTTCCATTCCCTGACAAGCCGTTTTTCAGACATTAGCCAAGTCCATATGTTCAGCCTAAATTATGAAGTTGGATGAAACCCAACGCCTCTCGGTGTGATTGGGAACTTTTATTCAAAGTGGATTATGTGCTGCGTGGCATTTGGCATGAAAGTTTCAAGTTGTAGCTCTGACCAGTCCATCAACGCGCCAGACCTGGCTGCGTACATATGAGAGCTCACCCTGAACTCATCAAACTAAGTGCCAGCGAGACAGCATATAAGACAAGGGCGATTGTATTTAAGACTTGATAATCAACTAAAACATGTACCAAAGTAACTAGCCGATTGAACGAATGTCATATGATACTACGGACTTGCTTTGGGCGTTGTGGTACGTCGTAGAGAGCCATTTGATTTGATGGACCATTTCGGCACGTAGCACCTGAATGTCGTCAACAGTGATTTGATCGCCTCTATCTTAGCCTCATTTGATCAGCTTAGTGAACAGCTAGTTTTCCGCCCAATTCCGCAATGCCACACTAAGACAATTGAGCGCATTGGATTGCGCATGGCTTGGCATGTGCGGACTCCACCGCGGATGATTTATCCCCATGGATGCTCCACGGAACAGCTGAGGGGTCAGGTATAAATCATGTGGCATGCCTCGATAGGCAAGTGAATCTGTCATCCTAAAGAATTGCCTTCTATATCCTCGTCCTATTTGAATTTGATGCATCATGATCTCCACAGCTAAGACTCCGCACTTGCACAAGGTGGGCAATACGTGGGAGCTTTTGGTGGATGGCAAGCCTTATCTCATCCTTGGAGCCGAGCTCCACAACTCGTCAATGAGTTCGGCTCATTACATGGACACCGTTTGGCAGAATCTGACCGACATGGGCATCAATACCGTGCTAGGTTCAGTCACTTGGGAAGACATTGAACCCGAGGAAGGGCGTTTAGCTTTCACGAGCTGGATGCGGTTATCGCAGGGGCAGTGAAACACAATCTCCGCCTTATTATCCTCTGGTTCGGATCATTCAAGAATGGTATATTAATTGCTCTTACTGAAACAATGTGTACTAATTTCATGAAGGTAGATCAAGTTACGCCCCGTCATGGGTTAAGACAAACCCTAAACGATTCCCACGGATGTATATTAAGGATGAAGAGGGCAAAATCCATAACTTTGGCGTTCTCTCAATTTTCAACGAGGAATGTTACAAGGCAGACGGAAAGGCATTTACCAAGCTCCTTCAGCATCTCCGTGACAACGACAAAAACCGCACTGTTATCATGGTCCAAGTTGAGAACGAAGTTGGCCTCCAGCTCGACTCACGAGATCGCAGTGCTGCGGCAAATAAGCTATTCGACTTGCCAGTCCCAGCTGAGCTTGTTAGCTTCCTTCAGCAGGATTGGGATAGCCTTCACATCGATACGAGGAAGAAATTGGCTAACTTTAATATAATTCCGGACGGTTCCAAGGACAAGACAAGAAACTGGGAGGAGCAATTTGGTCAAAGCATCTGGACTGACGAGTTGTTTATGGCATATTACTATGCCCGATATGTCGAGCACGTCGCTTCTACGGGTCGAAAGCAGTACAATATCCCGCTATTCACTAATGCCTGGCTGCCTCGACCCGGTGTAGCCGGCGTTGCCTCTGGCGGCGGCAAGCCAGGCGAATATCCCTCGGGCGGTCCTGTGAGCACGGTTCTCGATGTCTGGCAGAAATTCGCACCAAGTATGGATTTCTTTTCGCCTGATATCTATCATGCTCCTTACTCTGAGGTCTGTGGGATCTACAGTCATCGAGGTCAACCCCTGTTTATCCCTGAACAACGAAGGGATGAAGTTGGCGCCAGGAGCATTTGGATTTCGATTGGAACCTACAAAGCCCTTGGTACCAGCCCATTCGGAATTGACACGCAAAAGGCTAATGTGTCACCCTTTACGGATATGTATAAGCTTCTGGGCTCAGTTGCGAACCATATTCTCAAGGCGCGGAGAGAGAACAGGACCATTGTTGGCTTTGCATTTGAAGATCCCCCAACTGAGGGCTATCCCGACCCGACTCCGCCCATAATAGTATGCTTGCAAAATTACGTGCTCACAATAGGTAGAGCATTCGTGTTTGGCAAACAATCTGCGGGTTATGGAATGGTGATGGAGCTGGAGCCTTCAAAGTTCCTTTTGATTGGCAAGGGTTTCCAGGTGGAATGGAAACATAAGTCTGCAGATCTCCCCTACACGGAGATCTTGAGGTTCGAGGAGAAAAGCGTTGATAAGGAGACTGGGGAACTGAGGACAGAAAGAACCTTGAATGGCGATGAGTCGAACAGCGGGCAACGAGCGAACATGCCCAGCGATGACCCTGACTATGGAGAGGAAATCGTTCCCGTGCATATTCTGGCTCGTACTGCTGTTGCTGAACTGGAGCTATTTTCTCTGGGGAACGAAGAGATCTAGGTTATTTGCGACCTATGTATCAATGGCCGAAACCTGGAGCAGGCAGTCCGAATTGCATAACTGTGAACATGAGTACAAGGCTCAGGGGAAGGACTCGACAATCACCCGTTAGACACTATATACTTGATTTCAAGTTGGGAAATTACCTGCGTTTCTAGTTGACTTACATTGTCCTGTCTGGTATACGTGATGGAATAACATCGTTCTTTAAATGCCCTAAAATCGGCGTGTTTCTTTTGTCTTTTATCTTATTCTCAAAACAGCTTGTACTCATATGTTAGTGTCAATTCAGATTATGATAGTGAAACATAGGAGTATAACCACGTAATATTTGTGATGGTGTTTGTGCTGCCCAGATCGCTTGGGATTTACATTATAATGTTGTAGCATTAATCAGCTTTGTATGTTTACAACATACTATCACTCAAATCATGATAACTTAGTAGGGTATTTCGTTTCTAAGAAATCCATAAATGATCCAGAGGCTCTAATCCGCGTCCGCTGCTGGAGCTATTCTCGGGCCGCTCTGAGATTGGTTGCTGGAATCCGAGGATAAATCGCAGCATCCAACGATCTAGGCGATATGCAGCCTCATGATATTTCATGCAAGCGTTATGGAAGGCCCTCAGTCTCCCGCTGGTCGCAGATAAAACTGGCCAGTACTTGTGCAGAGTGGTAATAATCATGAAATTCCGCTCCAGGCGACTTTTGGCCAATGAGATCTCTTCTGGGTGCTCGCTAGAAAGCAACGTTTGAATCTGTATCGTTGACGACACGACGATTAAATGGCCAACTGTCAAAGAAAAATGGCTTATCGCTGGTTTTTGGATAGCGTGCCAGGTAAGATCGCACAGGCTGGCTGCATGACATTTGCATCGGTCTAGGAACTCGATTGAAGCCCCTTGAGAAAGTGAATCTTGGGGCAAGCCTTGGTTCCAACCCAAGGATATGTAAAATAGGAGTTGCCCCGCGTTATTATAATTCAGATGCAAGTTGATAAATGTTGATCCGAGGCCGAAGTTCACCCATTGTGCCTCATTTTCCTCGCTGTACTGCATTTCAAGTGGCAGGTTGGCTAGCCACGCATCCAACTTACCAGCAAGTCGTCTAATATTTAACTCAAGTAGGCCTTGGCCCATATCATCTGTGGCAATACTAGTGTTAAGAGCATGAATCTCGTAGAGAATCATGTTCAATCCTATAAATTGAGCCAGTATTGGGCGTGGAGTCCTGCCTACAGACAAGTCTTGCGAGGCTTCCGATTCGGCGTTCTGGGCGAGCTGATTGGGGTCAAGAGTCATAAATTCGATCTCGCACATTGGCAAAGCAGCATGTTTGGTAGCTGGGATGGCCCTGGGTAGAGACAGGGAGGTGCTATTCCAGGTGTCGGTCGTTATCAAGGACCACCAAACTATCGAGGCCAAATATTAGTAACAGCAATTTTGGTAGTCCGGTAACGAGGCAGTATAGGCGAGAAAACAACCTCGGCGATTGAGCTCCTGCTCCACTTGCGTCTTAGCAGGGCGATTAGGAAGATCCAGCAGTAACGCAATCCGGCATGCAATACCATAATAGATGCACTCCGTCATGGCTTCGCCGTCAGCCATAACATTGGCTGCCAAAAGTATGCAAGCTTGGATTGTCACCAAAGAAACCTCGTGGAGATCAAGTAGCTTCTCTGCCTCCCGTACATACGGACGGCCACGGTCCCAAGGATGGATAGCTGCAAGACTGGGATGGGTGGAAAACCGAGCGGAAAGCCCGATAACAGCAAAGAAGAGAATCTTTGGAAGAGACCCGTCTTCCAAAGACGCCAAAAAGGATGTCTTGTGGAAGAGACTGGGAATACCCATGAGATTGTGGGTAAAGAATAAATCGCCCAGTTCCAGGCATAGAGCTCTCTCAGGTAACGCCGCTGAGGAAGATTGACCACTTCGATCCACTAGAGGCGCATAACCCCGCAGAGACGTCTCGTGGGCCTCGATGGGCTCCACAAATGTACAATCCAGCCTGTGCTGTAGGCAATAGCCGCAGCTCGTTCCGCGCCGGGCTCGGTCACATTTCTTTCGCCGAGCGCTAAATACCCGCGAGATCCTATGTCAGCGACGGTATATCGAGATACGGAGGAATGCGAAACGCGCGGCGTACCGGCAAGTATTGCAAGCTGAAAGTGGTCTCATGTCAGTTCTGGGTCGATGGTCAGTAGGTGTTGTCGGAAAACGGCCGGATAATCAGTAATACACCAGAAGAGGGGTTCAAAGTATCTATGCCTTGGTGTTAGGGTTCTGCCGTCTCCTTCCGGTTGCATCCGTTATAAATAGGGAAAGCCCCTCCATCCCATCTTGAGCATGGCGTTAGGTGTTGCAGCTACCAAGATACCCATCAACGCAGTGGGGGTTGGGTTACCAAAAGGGCAACGTATATTTCCCACGATTCGCACGTTAGGGCTCACGTAGAGCTTCTCAAAGGTATCCCGAGGGGTGGGAAGGAGAACAATCTCCGCAGCGCGAGTGGGTGCATGCATGTCGATGCCGGCTTCTAGGTGGTTTTTCGTGGGTTTACCGGACATATTGTTCTGTTAAGATTGTAAAACGATATAGAAATATAATAAGTCTCAGCCGATTTCTTTTTTTCCATTCTCAGTTCGTCCCCGGTCTTGTTATATGGAAAATGCGGGGAACACTATGTGTATCACAGCATTGAATCTATCTCGTTCCCGGATCGTACCCCTCACTCCTCCGTAAACATCTCCTTGGAGCGAGGATGGCATCTACGGTCTCGATGGGTACCATAAAACTCAAATATATGCTTAGGGTAGCAATGGAATCAAAGAACACAGAGCAATCTACAATAACGCTGAGGCTGGGCCCCACCGCATGCTCCAGTCAAGTATTATTGCTGTTCAATACTCCGGTTATAATCTAACTATAAAAGATTATAATCCAATTATCGAAGATAAGCTTGTTATCTTTTAAATAAATTCAATTTCGGATCGCAGGGAACTCACTCTTGCCTGTACCATACTTGGAAATGCCACTTCTATTGGAAGAATGGCGTTTAGGAGTCTTTCCGCAATACCCGCCTATCCGAGGAAATCTCACATATCCTCCACCCGTGCGAAGCCTAACCAATGTCTCTTCGATTAATTGCATTCTATACTTGACAGGTTGTCGAAAGGTTTGCATTATAATTAATATCATATCACTAAACTAGAGCAAGTAAGAGGCTCACCAGCGACCCCTGTCACGAAAGATAACGCTCATTCTGGAAAGTCCGTTCAGCGCCTCAGACATTCCAACATGGACAGCAACTCAAACGCGGACGATGTATTCGCAGCCCTCGAGAAAGCCTTCTCTGAGGCCGTGAGGGACGGTGTCCTACCCGGCGCTGTACTTACCGCCACAAATGGGAATGGGAGCTTTCATTTTACTAAAGCATTTGGGAACAATGGAGTCAATAGTACCGGAGATCCGCTCACGACGAAGTCCATTATGGCAATTGCATCTATGACAAAGCTTTTGACGTCCATCGCCGCCCTTCAATTGGTCGAGCGTCAACTTGTTCATCTTGACCAGGACATCTCACCTCTGGTTCCTACTTTGGCTGCCCAAGAGGTTTTGACTGGTTGGGATACAACAGGGCGATATATTACGCAGAAAAGGAAAAATGTCATCACTCTTCGTTATCTCCTTACCCACAGCAGTGGCGCTGGTTATGACATGAGTAATCCAGCCCTGGCAAGGGTTACAATGTCTCATGGTCGAGAGATAAATGTTGGCGCTACGGTCAACGAGAGATTCGGCTACCCTCTGTTATTCGAACCGGGTACCAGCTGGGAGTACGGGACGGGTATCGATTGGGTTGGTCAATTGGTGGAACATCTCACCGGACAAGACTTGGAGAGCTATATGCAGGAGCATATCTGGGGCCCTCTGGCGATCCAGAGAATCACTTTCTGGCCATCTCGACGTATCGATATGAACACCGAACGTATGCGAATGACAGTACGTGACGAAACTTCGGGACGTGTTGTTCCTCTGCAGAGGCCTTTCTTAGCCGAAGGGGTTAGCGAGTGCTTTGGTGGTCAGGGGGCATATGCCGCGATGGAGGATTTCATGAAGGTTCTTCGTTCAATCCTCGCAGATGATGGGAAGCTCCTGACCAAGGATACAACAGCCACAATGTTCCAGTCTCAGCTCGGTGATGCCAGTAGGGAGTCACTTCGCAAACATATCAAGTCTTGTGGTCTCAATGCGGCTTTTATTGGCATATCAGATAACAGTCATGCATATGACTGGGGATTGGGTGGAATGCTGGCCATGGATGATGAGTTGTCTGGCCGGAAGAAGGGTACATTGTTCTGGAGCGGAAAGCCAAATTTGTTCTGGGTGAGTAGGAAGTAAAATGACATAATATCCAACGGAACGCTGATACGATGATTAGTTCATTGACCGAGACTCGGATCTTTGTGGCGTTTTTGGTACCCAGGTCCTTCCACCTGGGGATAAACTTGTGGCAGAGATGATACAGCTATTCGAGAAATGTCTATATAGAGTTGCCCAGGCAGAGGGTCAATAGTTCGTCGGTGCTACTGGGTTATGAATGCACCGTCCCGACCTATAACTATGTGAGAGTCGGGAAGCACACCGCGTTCCTATTGGCCTATATACCCCAATATATAGCGGATTACGTCGGGACGCTAAACCCGAAGGGGAGACGGAGAATCCTAACACTATACATAAGAATAAGACCATTACTTGGTACGTACTACCCCCGCGCACGCAACTCACCGTGACCAGTTAGCAACGCGTAACATGACAAAGGAAGATATACCTACGATAGTAACTTCGCTAGTCTTGACATATCTTCTTACCGCCTGAATACATGACTCTTTATATATGCAAGGAAATTGCAATTACATACAGACAAATAAAAAGTGCTCACCAGAAGCAGAGGTACTGTATTCACTAGGAAACTCATTTTGACCTAGTCATCATTTTTAATCTAAACTATATTACGGATTCGCAAAGAGTCCACAGGGAACCCGTTCTGGTGGTAAGTCAACCGGTGAAATTGATCTCGAATCTCGCTGTAGCTGTGCTACGCCTCCTCTACAGACAGACCTGCATGACGGAAGTGTCCCTCTGCGCTTTTCTCTCTTGCACCGACGACGTCAACATACCATTCGAAGAAGGCATCAAATCCTTGGTTAGGATATTCTTCGTAGGACTGCCAATTTCGCCGAATGAAGGCTTTCAACTCAGCAAAGAACTCCTCAATAGGATTCAAGTCTAGAGAATATGGAGGCAAATACGCCAGCTTTACCCTGGCTTCTGAATATATCTGTTCTATTCTGTCGGAGTGATGAAAGGATGCATTATCTATAACTAACATAGACTTCGGTTCGAGCCATTTCCCACAATACTGTAGAAGCTGCTTAGTAAAATCTTTAAAGACGGATGCATCGGTTAAGCCTTGAAACACTCGAGACAGAACAATACCATCTTAGGAATAGGCTCGTAGTATCTAATATCGCCGATCACGATGGAATTAGACATTTAAACTAGCGCCATACCTAGTGGGGCCCAACCCGGTTTCCTGAAGCCTATCCTTTTATTATATCCGGACTTATCTATATAGACAAGGTAGTAGGACTAAAAGTCTGAGATATAGTGGAGGTATCCGTCACGAAGGTCTAAGTTGCGCTCTCGGGCCTTGACATAGGCAGTCTTTTTTAACCAGCCTTTAGACGTGAGGGCGCGGCTAATGCTTGATTTCGTTGCTTAAAGAGCGAATTCGTCCCACAGAAAAATCGCCATCTCGTCGAGGTATAAGGTCGGTTTTCCGAGTAGGTGATCGCACAAAGGATGCAAATCAGTCCTCTGCCTCATCTCCGGTTTCATTGCCTAAACTGGATTCGTGCTCGACTACTGCGTCTGACTCATCCTCGACTGCTGCGTCCGATTCATCCTCGACTACTCAGTCTGGTTCTTCTGTTAGCTCATGCTCCTAGTGATACGAATGAGACATAGCACGCGAACGTGATAGAATATCTCGGGTGATCTAAGTACTGTCATGGTTTCGAAGTTTGCATTTTACTATCGACTTTGTTGAGCTATTTTCAATGTGAGGGTTTGTTTTGGGTATTTAAGCCACGAAATTGGAATTCATGTAATGCGTGTCCACGAGATTTTAGATAAGCTCACAAGTAGATCGTCCTTTGATGAGAGGAGAAGCTCTAATGGTCGGCTTTATATAGTTACGCTGCATGAACGATGAAATATGTTTCACACTAAATTTGTACTGCGGGCTTTTATGGGTTTCATGGGTTTTGGCATACATGTAGAGCCAATACTCTCTCTCGCTTCGAGGACCAGCTCAAGTTCTGTACTGGAGCATGATCAGGCGTACGGACACGAGTTCTTGCTTCAACCGGATAGAAGCGCCTGCATAGCTATTACGATACTAGTTAGGCTCTAACAGATTAATAGAACTTTGATTGATTGATTGATTGAAGATTGATTGGGTGCGCTTCGAAAACTGGCCCTCGGTAGATCCGACAGTAAAACCAATAACACCTAGGAAAGGGGTGGTTGGGAGTCTACTGTAGCTGGTTATGAAAGTGTTTCACTTACCGCATGCCGGTCTACTGCATGCGTTTCCTGTCTTCTTAGATTCAAGGTCGGATCCCCGACCTAGTTCATCAGTGCCAGCATGGATGACCATCGTACGCTGCAGTATCGGATATAGTCAGCCAAAGTCCTAGTTATTTAATCATTAGGAACGTACTCCTACGACGCTTTCAGGTCCAATTAATTTCATCATCTTATCTTGCGTAATTCCCGTTGAATTTCCATCTGCATCAGTACGGAAGTTTCCGTGATCCCCGACGTGTCTCTCGTGGTCAGATGGCGCACCGTGTGTCCGTCCATAGGGATTGACTAGGCTTTATCGCTAGGACCGATAAAAAGGCTTCAAATTGACTGGTATGAAGCATACAGTGAGGACCAGCTGAGGTGCATCCGTCGGTGTTGTCGCCAAATTCATGGATGTGGAAACCTCGCTCTCTATTAGGATCATTTCCACGAATGTTCCAAGTGATTGTTGTCGGTGCTATCTCATCATATTGCTCGAAGGTAATAGTACCTGAAATAGCAGAATCGCTTCATACTGTTGCCTTTATTCTATAGGGTGAGCATAAGTCTTGTTCTTGGGTGAATTAGAACCAGGTTACCCACTTGCTTTGACCATGTTGAATTTGGATATCCTGCGCTTGACAATGTAGGGTGTTGGTATTTGGACTATATAAGCCTTTATATTTCATAATTACAAATGATAAATGCCTCCGTACGCCACTCGCGGAGTGTGCGGATGGTGCGGAAATCGTCTTCTCCGATTTCCCCAACCGGCGCACTGACCAGAGTTCACAAGGACGGTTTCTTTTCTCCATTTACCTGTTTTGCTTGTAAACACAGATGTTCCGAGGCCTTGCATGCGTCATGGGTTTTCGGTGGCCTATTCAACATGAGCACGGATCATATGTATTCCAAGGTTCCAAAGTAGTTCCCCAGGATCGATTCTGTTTTTCCTGCATATATTTGAGACGGCTTTTCCTGTCTTGGTCGGCTGCCACTTACCTTGATTGGCTTCTCTCCTTTCTAGAGCCCGATGACAGGTTGAATTCAAGCGACTATCGCATATCAACGGAACGCGGTTCAAAATGTTGGAGTACCACAGCTTCCACCATATCTATCCGTAGACAACGGCGCTATTGATAGTCTCAGCGCCTATGCGAGATGTCTCCTAACCAGCATTGGCCACCGTAGCATCAGCAGCAGGTGGTATAGGCTTCATTCCTGGCGGGGACAATGTGTCAGGATTGGAAAACAAGCTCAGTGAGGCCGCACGCCTTGCCACGGAGCACGAAGCTCGCCGGGGCTTTCCAGATGAAAACTCCTTACTATTTCATAACTCCTCATCACTTCCAGTTGGGATTGGGGTCATCAATTGGAGAGCAGATTTCAACGTCGCCCTTCCACTCATCGTCAAATACTGCCCCTGCACCGTATGGCTGTTTACACCTTCTGAAAGTGCTTCCGATCAGATCCCATGGGTGCAGCAAATCCGTGAGCAAACTGACAGTAATGTCACAATCTGGATTTAGGTTGGGAACATCGAAGATGCCTGTGCTGCTGTGGCCGAGCTGCAACCCGATATTCTTGTGCTGCAAGGTAGCGACGGAGGAGGCCATAGGCTTGCCCGATCTGCAAGTGTGCTTTCCCGCGTGCCGGAAATCATCGATAGAGTTCAGACCGATTTTTTCGACGGTTCATCGAACACTTTTATCCCGAAGATCGTTGCAGCTGGTGGTTTGGTGGATGATCGTGGAGCCGACGCTGTGTTCGTGGAGCCGCCGCAGTGTTCACCCTTGGGGCTGAAGCCATAGTTATGGGAACACGTTTTCTCGCCTCTCTCAAAGCAGATATCCCGAAGGAGTACCAACAGGCCATTATTGAGGCTAGAGATGGCGGGGCTAATACTGTTCGCTCGCATGTCTTCGACTCAGCACGCAGAGCCTCACAATGGCCGAGGCTTCGGGGAGTCATCAACCGAACTTACACAGAATTTATAGCCGGTAACACCACGGAGTTCGACAATTATCAACGATACAATGAGGCTTTGAGAAAGAGGGAGAAATACGGATCTAATGGTCGCATCGATACGTTTTGCGGAACCAGTGTGGGCCTCGTTGGTGAGGTACTGCGAGCTGGTGAAATTGTTCGAAAAATAGCAAGAGACACGGAAAGGATTTTGCGAGCAGATCGTTGGTCCAACTCTAAGTTGAACTTGGCTTGCTCATCTGCAGGTTTCAGAGAAAGATTGCTCCAAACCATTTCCTAAAGCATTATGGCCGATGTGGAGCTATTTCGAAAAATGTGCTGTACTTAATCATTGTACTAAATTAGTTCTATGTAAATTTGCGAAATCTGGTCATGTCAAATAATAGACTGATAAAATGGTCAGAAAAATTAGACTTGCTTCGGTCTTGACTTATGGCATAAGTCGCATATCAGAGATACAGTAGTTGGGCGGCGATCTCCAGCAAATCCTGGGTCTTGCATGCATCCAGGCGCGATCGGCTGCTGTTCCTTTATAATACCATAAATGAAGGTCTTCGGGTTTACATAAAGAAGAAATAGGCAGAACGGAGGATAGGTCTAAAGCGAAAATACAAATTTAGGGTTACGAAGGTCAAAATTGGTCCAACGAGCAAAATCGCGTGTGCACTCCGCCATGAGGCGGTTATCCCGGAAAAGATCTATTGTCATGACAAGGACACCACTGAGGTCATAGCCTGGAGAAAGCATAAGCTGATAGTCCGGTCCCGATTCGGCGGCTTGGCAGCCTGGCAAGGCCATCCCATAGCCTCGCAGATAACCTGGGAACCTGCCTATCCTTTCGTAGAATTGCAAGGTTCACTCAAAAATCTGAATGACTGCGTCAGCGGCAAAATACAATCCTCATGTGATGGCTGGGAGCAGACATAAATCAACTTACAATTTTCAGTGCTTCCTTTGCCCATACTCTGGTTACTGCTGCATCCAGGCTGCAATGCAGCCAGGATGCCATCAATGTACGATGCGCCACTCCATCTCTGGTGAACGAGCGTCTCCACATTTAGGTCCTTCTCACGGGACTGAATTAACTTCACGTAAGCCAGCATGCCGTCACGCTTGAAGGCACGGGAGAGCTCGGTTGTAATTAACGCATTAGAATGCACACCTGCTAGTGAGACAATCTGCAAGATAAATCTGGTTCGGTCAGTAGTGTTAAGGGGCACAAAATGGACAAAGATTCACATACCCATGTTTGGCCAATGCCCACACAAAGGACTTGAGACTCTCTTCGTCAAACCCTTCTCCGATCCAGTTAAATGACGGACTGAGATTGTAGACAAGCTTCTTGTCGGAATGAGTCCTTCTGATATCCCTGGCAAGCTGTGCTGCCTTCTCCAGATCTGGCGTGCTTGTCTCAATCCACAAGAGATCTGCATACGGAGCAAATACCTTTGCTCGCTTCGTCGCTGCAGGGAAACCGGCCCGATAGTGATAGTAGCCTTCGCGAGTGCGAGGGACCTCACAAGACCATATGACCGGTGACCTAGTGTACTTGGCGGAAATAACACGGCGCTGAGAAATAGAAAGATCCGGATTTGCCTTCACTTCGCTACAGTAGGTATCCCGTATAGATTGCGGCGTGTTTTCAACCAACATTTGTGCGTCGACGGCTAAGGACTATCAGTTAAAACCCCGGGTCGTAGAATGGCTTTCTTACCTTCATCAAAACTGACTAACGGATGGTCCTTAAGCCATTTGAGCTCAAAATCGTTAATTTCGTTCACTCCGGCTCCTCTGGCCTCCATCTCCATGAGTGATTCTGCAAGGGGTGTTGTCTCTTTGGTAACACCAAGGATAAACTCGTGGTCTCGCGTATCGATCGTGCTGCTGATAAGTCTTCCATTCTCAGAATCGGTTCGCGCACAGAGTAAATTCTCGGTACCCATCAAATCCCACTGGAAACGAGCAGCAACGAGTCGTTGAATGTGTTCACTCATAGGCACAATCACCTTCCCGGCCAAGTGACCACATCGCTTCCCACCGTGCAGTTGATCTTCGAAATGCACAGCTGCTGCACCACTCTCTGCGAACAATTTAGCCAATTTCATCACACTGGTAACGCCACCATGTCTATTGAAACAATTCAGCACTCCCATTTCACATAGAGGATTCCCAGCCCTTACCCGGTGTCGCCATCCGCAAAAATGGGCTGGAGAAAGTCAACGTAAGGTATCTCCTCACGCTGTTCCACAGTCAACTTTCTTCTCTCATCCCAATGTTTCCTATCATGCAGTTGTTGTGCTTTGAATATGCGTTGAACCTGATTCGGAACGGTATTGTAGGGGTAATCCCCAAAGTCCGGAGAAACTTCGTTCGAGGTTGTAAGCAGAGAGGAGCATGCCCAACCGGAAATATAGACAGCTTCTTGATTTGAAGCTTGTTGGGTCATCTGCACGGGGTCAACCACGCCCACTGGCAAAAGTTTATCCGTTAGCGATCTCTTTCAGTCCATAACCCCCCCCCCCAAACCATAAGACTTACTGGTGTGAACAGGGCAAGCCTCCTCTTGTCGCTTGTTGAGCAAATTAAACAGCTTTCGCGCCATGACGGAACTTGGGTACGACTGTCTCAATGAGCCTCGCTTGGTTACAACATCGGCAGCAGAATAAGGTCGCATAATCCCTTGAAAACGGGGACTCGCCCACCACCGCTCGACTTCGCTAATCTGCTCTTCATGGAACACATCCTCGGCTCGCCCCGCCTTACGGATAGTTGAAAGAAGCTGATAGTTATCACTGTATGTAGTTGTTGAATGGAAATGCTTAATGTATTTTGGTGGCCATGACATCGTGGGATTCTGTCGACGATGCCTGGAAACGCCGAGATATAGAACACTCCGAGTGACCGCAACCGGGGCTGTTCGCAGCATTGTTGAATATCTCGAACGAATTCCACGACTGGAGGGAACAATATCAGAGAAACGAAAAGGACATTAAATCTTTCGGTTTCATGAGTGCAAGAAATGAGGATGGCCCTTTACTCCGCAAGCTCCGCAACCTTCGTTTCTCCCCATCCGCAATTCCCGCTACCCGTGAACGCCTCGCCCCCCCACCCTTTACTCACAACATGTTTAAAAACAAGTTCTGCTTCCTGTTTATCTCCCTAGAACGATCTTTCCATTGTTGACTGACCGAGTGTATACTGCGATACGCACAAGGTTTGACCTTACCACTTCGGTGGACCTTGCTGCTAAGACCGCTGACGGTCATGATAGAAACATATCGCACTAGTGAGCTACGAGGGACAACCACGTGGTAGTATTGATGGTACGAGTATCTGGAATAATTTATTACAGGCAGCCTTACAAAATACTGTCTTTCGATATGATTTGATCTTGAAATTAGGCTAAGCCAGGTATAGGTGTGTATGTTTCATTATAAGGTCGGAGAAAGAATGTCTGTGGTGAAACTGATTTCGATTCATCCTGTAACCCGAAATTTCTTTGCATAACCTAACTGTCACTACCTAATCACTTTTCACTTTTCTCATAAAAGCGAGGACCAAAGTAATATCCATGGATCCTAAGGCGCATACTCCAACTCGGTGTAAATAATCCAGTTATACGCTTTGTCGGAGTAGTCATGGATACCAATATGGTCATCCCAGTCGTGGAAGTCCAACAACATAGCAATACCCTGGTACTCTTTGTCCTCGTTTGACAGACACAATTGAACTTTGTGATCGTTCTCGATCTTCCCTGTCAATTTGGGATGACCAGGTGTCTCAAGGTGAAAGAGACCCGCGTCCTCGATATTGCCGCCGTAGAGAAATCGTTGGGCTGTATGGGTTGGAGATCATCCGTGGCTGAAGGCCAGCATTTGAAGTAGGTGTTGTATAATCGATATAGCTTGTTATACTCGAGACGCGATCGGCATAGGAAACTGAACGAGTGGCTACGATAACCCAGATTGAAATGCTCGGGGTCCTTAACCGATAAACCAGCGCCGCGGTGGACAGAGTACTCTTCTCATTCTTAATACATATCACGGTATGGCGTCATTTTGCTGCCTTTCGCCTCGGATCTTGCCCTTGGCAAGCTCTGCTTCGCCGTCTACCTCACCCGGGGCTTCATTCTCGCTTTCGAAGATCTGACCTCCACAGGCTTCCCTCAACTCACGATCCAGGGCTTTTGTCAATGCCTCTAGTAACCACTCAACCTCACTCTTATGCCCCAACAATGGACACTCCTTGTCGATCCAACTCCAGTCATTAACCGCCTGTGCCTGTTTCTTGTTGATTTCATCGCCAGAGATATCAGGACGATTATTGCCGGCGATTAGTCCGAGATAATACTCCCATTCTAGGTAGTCGAACTGCCGAGATGGAGAATTGGAAGCATATTCGATCATCTTGCGTACTTCCCGGAAAAGGTGGTAGTGATAATGGTAGATATTCTCAGCAACTATGTCGCCCCGCTGATGAGCGTGTTTTTCTTTCTCTTGCTCTTCTGCTTCGAGGTGGCTGCTGACATGGTTGGGCGCAGCTGAGTTATTGGGGTTTCCAGTAGCTGTACTGGTCTGCTCTTTGGACGATCCTGTCTTTTCGCCTGTCGTCTCTTCAAGCCACCATCCGAACAAAGAGGTATTAAACAGTTCTTTGATCTTATCGACGAAAGAATGATCACCAGGCAAAATAGTAATCTCGCCAATGAACAGCGTCATATCACGAATAAACCGAATAAGAGTATCTCCAATATTCGAAATAAGAATGGTAATAGTCGGAACAGCAAGCAAAGACCAGAAAACGAAGAAAGACATCCCCAAACTGCTTATCGGATAGATATCACCATACCCAATAGTAAGAAGAGTCGTGTACGCAAAGTACAACGCCTCGAAATATGTCCACTGCCGCGCCGACTCAGAGCGCCAGAAGACCACGGCACCAATAAGCCACATAGCCATCCAAAGCGTAAGAGAAATCAAAAGCGATAGCCACTTATGCTGAGCAGTTGCCAATTCTCGCACTTGATTCATAGCAATGAACTCCCTCTTCCGCTGTTCGCGCTCACTCCGGCCCTCCGCCTCGGCACTCTCCTTCCCCAGCGCAGGTACAACCCTATGCAAACGAGACCGCTCCGAAAAGGCCTTCTTGATGAGGAATTTGTGCGTGCGGGCCGTGAGCATATCACCAAACTTCTGTCTCCCCGTTTCCAACATAAGAGTCCGAATCGAAGAAATGATCAATCCCAAAATGATAATACCCCCAACAGCATAGGGAAACAATAGTCCACGACCAAGGTGGGTAGCCGGCGCGAAATTGCCAACACCAATAGTAAGCAAAGTATAATCCGCGAAATAAACCGCATCTAGAAACCGCCATCCCTCAACATGGGCATAGACAGCTGAACCGCCGAGCAGGTAGATGCAAAAGATGATCGTCTGCAGCATGAGCGTCCGCTGGCTAGTCGTTAACTTGAATTCACGACTATAGTGGCCCTTCCAGGCACCGTACCCGGTGACCAGCATCAACGACGAGATAATGAAGTATATCGCCGCCGCAAAAGTACCGTAGAAATAGGCCTGTGAGTAGATACGGCCGTCGTTCTCTGGTTTGTACATGAGTACGCCGAAGGGGATGAGGATTGCTATCAATAATGCTGATGAGATGTACCAGCCGATTATAATTATTGGTTGCGCGATCTCGAAGCGGATGCGTCGGGCCATGTTTAGGGATAGAGCGAGGTTTGCTGCTAGGGCGAAGACTAGGGATACTGCGTTGACGGCGATGACCCTATTTGTGTTCGAGGTTAATATGGGGCATCTGTAGTAAATGGGAATCGTTTGGTCTTCGTACCATTTTGGATCTGGGACGTTTAGTCCGCCGGTGCTTGTGAGGTCCATTCGCCATGGTTGGGACAGGGAGCATACGTTGAACGCGCTGGCCATTGGGCCGAATGTGCCCTGTTGAAGTTGTTAACATTCTGATTATTGCAAGCGATAGTGTGGAAGAAACACATGGCAGGAGTTGACATACAGCTGTGAGAGGATATGTTGTACTTGCAAACCACCACCGAGCAGTTTGAGGGTACTTCGCATCTCGAGTTGTTGCATCTTGATCCGTTTGGTCCTTTTGACTGCTGGAGGTGTGATCAAGAGCCACTGCCTCATCGGCAATAGCGTCGTCAAAGCCAGGGTCATTCATCGTAGCTTCCGTCGATCCGAGTAAGTCTCATCCAAGCCCTGGCTAATCTATCACGATCATGCAGGGAGTATGGAGCAAGGATCAAAAGCCCCGAGTGAAGAGAGGTGACGAAACATTGTCCACTGGAAGAAGGCCAGGGACAGGGGTCCATATAATCAACCGATGTCAGTGGCACAATATTCAACCAAGCTTTTAAAGACCAAGTGACAGCGTCGTCATGATCTGCAGTGCTTGGTCCTCGGTATATCTACGTCATGTCACGTGTACAGACTTTTAACTGTCGCCGATGGAATACGAGAACGAGATAAGTATGTGGATTTGCGTTGTGTACAATTCAAAACATCCAGTGGAAGAGAAAATAAGGTAGAAGGGAAGCTCAAACCAAAAGCAGCATCAAGTACTTTGGGCCTGGGAAAAGGTCCAGAATCCTCAATATCGTTTCTGTACATCGCACCCACCTACTGCTATACATTGAACAGGCAGAGCACGGCTCAGCATTCAAAGGTTGTCCGTACCATGTATCTGACTTTGCAGATGGGACAAGATGAAACGCCGAAAAGTATGCCCAGAGAGATCGTTTATCAGGGAAGAGAAAAGAAAGAGCAGAGTCCGGAACTCCATCCCCAGCCAAGACCACATCGCCGTGGTATGGATGTGTATTGGGGAGATAAATCGTGATCAAATTTAGCCAAAGAAGTGAAAAGGGTATCGCAGAGCGTCGAATGAGCCGGTCAATCGTTTCAAGTGTGATATGATACCACAGAACCAAGAGAGTCGTTAAACTGGAGAATGGTCAGCTTAATCCCAAAGACAATCAGTCTATAGAGTACTTACTGTGAGGAGCCCCAGGCATCAAAGATGAGGGAACCGGGGCATCGTTTTGAGGCGATGGTCGACGAGCGAAACGCGGATCCACGTCTTCGTAGTAATTTGTACCAGTGTAACTACCTGGCTGAGGCGATCCGTTTGGCCGCGGTGACAGTGTCTGACGGTCATTGGAATTCCAGCCCGAACGAGGAGGGACGTAGGACTCAGGTCGGCTGTACATGCTCGTCGGACTTTCAAGAGGAGCATGCCGGCCGTCAACCGAAAGTGCATGAGGACCGCCGCTGATCAATTGGCTGGGCTCAGGCGCATCGTAGCGTCGGGATTGAGGCTGCATTTCAATGGCTTGACCCACCGTCTCTGGTGACACGGCCATACCAATTGGACCGGGAGAGGGCTGGCGCATCGGACCCGGTGATGATTCATAGACGTACGGATCATTCTGGGGAGGCGATACAGGCCGGCCATATGCATCGAAGTTAGTAGGGGCGGCGGCATAGCCAGCGGGTGGACCCCGGGGTGGCATCATGCCTCCGCGACCTCCGCGGGGAGGCGAAGGTCCCATGTAACCACCTCGTTGGCCAGGAGAAGGTCCGCGAGGTCCCATATAGGGTCCCCCGCGTCCATAGCCGCCCCTGGGAGGATATCCACCGCGTCCGCGTCCATTGAAGCCAGGCGGCGCACCTCCCCGTTGAGAGCCCATGCTGCTATTCGAATACTGAGGACGGATTCGGGGGTCGGAGGGATTTCGTGTCATCGGACCGCCACCATAAGGACCTTGGGGTGGCATGTTGCCTAGTTCATCTTGCGCGCCGTAGGGGGTTCCGCGACGGTCTGGAGGTGGCGGCACGTCGTTCATAGGGGTCTGCGAATTGAGAGGGGTCCGGTCATCGTCGCTGTCACGGCGCTCAGTGTTGAAGGTCGCGAAGGTCGGACCTGCCTCGAAGGAAGGGGACCCAGTTACAAAGGCTTCCTTGGTTTCGGAAGCGGCGGGAGCAGGCACCGGAGGTGCAGTAGCATTCTGTCGATTGTAATAGTTCTCTCCGCTCATTTCAGCATTCTCTGCGATCCGGCGCTTCCTTGCTTTGCGGCTCACAAGGGTCCGGCGCATGGCACAGGTGACCACCCCACAAGAGACCAGGATGATAGTCGCCGCCAGGACGATCCAACCACCCCATCCTAGATGCGGTACGAAGAGCAAGATATCCACCAGGAATGCCAGCAGAGTTACGAGCAGTGTTGGTAAAAGCAGAATAAGGAGCGCCAACAGGAAGCGCGGCGAGTGGGAGGGCCCATGAAAGTGGGCCGCGGCCGCCAGGCAGAGACAAACGAGGGTCAGGAATGCGGCGACTGGGTGAATGATGAGGATCGAGGAGAGGGATTTGCGGGTACTGGACGGGAGATTGAAATCATCGCCGGTGCTATTAATATCATCTGCGCGAAACTTAGCCACAGCCAACAGGCAGAAACGAAAGGGAGCGACGAACTGCTGGTGTATCCGACATGAATATTGGTGCAGGCATTGCCTTTACAATATCCAAAGACACCGTAATCGACGTCCTTGAAGGTCGCCAAGGGAATTCCCTTGATAATGGGGGTTGACAGGCATGAGAGCAGTAGCAGCGCAAATGCGATCAGCAATAGGATGGTGAGGGGTGTCGCGGGCTTGAGCAACATGGCGAGGGGAGGCGACAACGCGCGCCCTTAGAGTACGCCCTTAAGAGAACCTTGATCTTCCTCAGGCCAAAGGGAAGGATAATGAAACGAGTGGTAATTTCCAGAATAGCCAACGCGGGGACTCGAACTGGACTCTAACCGCATTGGCGCAGCAGCCGAGAGCAGAGGGAGAAGCTTTTCGCAGCAAAAGAAGTGAAAGTAGCGAATGAGGGGAAAAGCCAAGGAATATAGGGAATATAGGGAATAAAGAAAAGGAATGACAAGAATGACAAGGGTTGATAAATGAAGGCGAAGCCGTGGATGAGGACGGGCGCCTCAGGCCGTGGTCAGATGATCCCCTCTTTCTCTCTAACTTATCTACACTACTCCTGTTCAACCTGTTCAACCTCTCTTTGATATCCTTATCCACGACTTCCATGGCTTTGGAGTTAACTGTGGCTGAGGCTAAACGCAGCACAGATCCCGTCTCCAAAAACTGGGGTGTTCTCTCCCAGCCGATGCGGGCTCTCATTCGCTCTATGCGGCTGAGGCGTCGCTTCGGGGCAGGACTGCCCGTGTCGCCAAGTCCGGGCGCGCGGCGGAGTATTCCCCAAGCTTCTTTGAGCCTTGAGAACCTTGCCATTGGCTCTAACCAAGATAATCCGGCAAGTCTAATTGCAAGCGAAGACTTTTCGTGTCGGTTCCGTCCACCGTTGTTCCGTGGGACACATCGCCACCAGCGAGCGAACTTTTGAAGCTTATTCCGTCAAAGATGGCGAAACTTGCGAAATAGAGGCAGTTGGTTTCAGGTACCCCAAGTCTTGCTGGTGAAACAAGATCCGCATCTCTGAGGTTTGCGTGTACCAGAAATTATCTAGATCCATCGCAATCCTTGCAACTTCGCAATTTGCCATCTCGATATGTCCACACGGCACAGCAATCTAAGTAGCTCGCATATCTGGCCCCAAACGCTTGGACCCGCAGTCTGGACTTGAGAGCCGTTAAGGTCCACTTGATCAAGGTGAAACAGATCCACCTTGAGATCGGACTTGATAACTATCAGCCGAGATAAAGATCGTCTTGTGCGCTTCAGGGTTCTTGTCACTTGGACAGACAGCAGTATCTGGAATATGAATTTATTCGGTCAAGGCAAATTAAGCTTATTTCGTGACATGGACCACGTCACTCCCCCATCCGGGGAGTGCTCAGGTGGCATTGACCACTTATACCCCGGTCACACCACTACAACAGACTGAGTATAGCTCCGAATAGGGAGACACAAGCCACCAGCAGCGATAGTTACATGCTACGAGGTTGTGATCATTTCTTGAACCAATTTTTTTTTTTTTTTTTTTTTTTTTTTTGGACCTGACTAGGCGAGTTAACAAGTTAGAAAGTATCTGCATTCCAAATCTCAAACGTTTTCCTATCTAAGAGGCAACCGACCCCAAAAATGTGCTTCAGCAATAATTTCTGGGTAGTTTTCCTGCTGCAGTTGGTTAGCAATAACTTTTCGGGATACAAATAGACTCTTTAGAAGGTCATACAGTGTCTGCGTAACCCACTTGATCACGTCACGTCTAATGACCATTCATTTATATCTAAAGACAGCTAGCATCCGAAAGGCCATAATGTTTTGCACTTTTAGCCAGTCTCATAATCCTAATCCCGATCACAGTTTACCAAGCCATGTGAGTCCAGTACGTCAATATCAAGGCCCACGGAAGCAGACTGATCCAAAAGGACAAGTTAGACTAGTCGTACCACCAGCCTCCCTGTTACTGTTAAATATCACCTATCAAAAGATGCGCTGCCTGTGGAGGTTCTTCAGATGGTCCAAGCGGCAGAAACCCGAGGACGAAGAAGGTCAACTGCCACTACAGATCCGAGACAGAATGATACGGCTTCAGGTAAATCTTATAGAGAGGAACTTGAGGGAGGAATTTTGAACAATAGGCCACAGGGCGATGAGAGTGAACCACTTGTTCAGGAGTGCTGTGTTAGAACCGGGATTGGGGGTGCTGGAAATATTCGCAAGTCCTGCTTCCTTTTCCTATTGATAGGTTAGATGTACTTCACTGTCCGTCACTGACTTCGACTTGTGCGGGCAGGGTCATTATGCGGAATGGGCGAGCAATACATACTGATGTATGCTGAGCGTTGTTGCGAACCGGTTTAAAGTTGGATTGAAACAAATGGTCTGAAGAATAAAATGACGAATAGACATATGAATCTACCGGAGGGTTGGAGAGTACCTTGCAATAATTGATGAAGTTGGCATACGACTACGTATTGACCTGCACGAATTTCTTCGTGGCAATGGTGGTGTGATAGATTGGCTGAGTGGCAGCAGTTCCAGATGGTATGAGGTGTTACAGCTCAAACAATAGCCACCCTAGGGAGATTCCAGGACGTGTAGATATATATGCCCTGTCTAGTTGACATTCAAATTCGACAGCGATCGCAATAATTTACTTATCTTAATATGTTCCACGTCAACTCGTACCTTGAGATAGCAATTCGTAGCAGACGAGCCGTTTGGCCGACATAGAAATGAAACATGAGGCCCCATCCGAGAGCGACTAACACGAACGATTAAAACAAAGTCTAAGAAATATTGATCAGCAGCCTGGTGTTTCATATGCTGCCCTGGATACAGTCTTATGTTTTGGGGTTGTGCCCGAAGCCTTAGGGCCCAGCCACCTACGCCAGCAAGGGAGAGAAACCAATTGTATCACGCTGCATCATCATGCTGGGAGCTTGAGTAATTGTGCGAAACTGCCCTGCTTAGTTATTGCTAATAGCAACAAACTAGTCTAGTAATTGTTGGCAATTATCGATTTGAGGTTCCAGAGTGGAACCTGATTTTCACTCGGTCTAGATGTTACATGGCAACTGGGAAGAGCGACAGGAAGCAGCAACACGATAACTAAGCTCCAGAATTATCATGCGATCAAAAAATACTCAATTAGAAAAGTGATCGAGATGTCGGGTAGATCACAATGTACTTAGGTAGAGCCAAGCTTCTTGTGATGGGCTGGGGTTCGGCCCGATAGACAACCCAATACACCCAACCAATTTCAATAGACTTGAATTTTGATTTGATATTTGAATCTGATTCATCGAATTAATAGTGCCTGAGTAGACGACCCCCATGTCTCATTTATCCCTATTGGTCTGTTGCTTGACCGCAGCTCTGTGTGTGGCTGGGGAGGCTGGGAGACGTCAACCCAGCACAGTGACAGACAAAAGCCCACTGGGCAGCGATTGCTGGTCCTGAAAATCCCTTTGCATCTCCAGGTCGAGGAATGCTTCTGGATTAATATCGCGCGTGGTCTCACTGTCCACATTCCACAGCCATGTCGACCCCGGCGAGAAACTTCAGCCTGCGCAACGTTAATAGTAGGTGCATAAAACCCTCCCGCCCCGCTGTCTTTCCAATGCTCCAAGGCCTCATTCAATGTCGATTGACTTTTATATAGCCAGCAAGCCCCAGCTTCACCGAATGGACTCTCAGCAATCTATTGCTGCATCAGACGACTACTATTCATTCTCAGACCGAGCTTCCTCGAGTCCAGATAGTCGAGTTACAGTGAGACGATTCCAGACTCCAGACTCTCAACCATCTTCTCGAGGTCACTCTCCAACCATGCCGGCACATCCCTTGCCCATGGGGGAGTCCAGTCAACCTGCCCAAGAAGATCACGACTCACCGCGTCCACCAACATCAAGCACTGTCCGCTTCGGAGAGGACGGGGTCGCTCGGATTAGTGCCAAATCTGATGGCACAGGATCCGATGAGACTGCTCGTCGTGTGCCCAGTGACTACGCAGGACCAGCCCCCACCCCAGGCTTGGATGACTCCCCGTACGTCCGGTTTGCAATCGATCAGCTCACCCAGGACAGGGCTCGGGGAGTTTCAAGACAGGACTCCTTATCTACCACGACTACAGGAGATGAGTATACAAATAATCAACTGGTATGGGACGAGGGATTGGGTTACTTTACCCGCACAAGAACGCCTTTGAGGACACCAATTCGACATGAAACGCCTCCAGTGAGGCCATCTTATACGTCTCCTTCGCCGCAAGCTTTACCACAACGACCTGTCTCAGTAGACCCCGAGTCTTTTGTTGCCGTTGAGCCCCCAGAGCAAGGTTTACTGTATCCGCCCTTGAACTACTTGCCTGTGGTGCTGCGGCCGTGGGCTATGGCACTGACGATATTTTGTTGTCTGCTTATGATTGCGGGAGTTCTCTTCTGCAATATTTGGTCTCATCGTCACCAGGGAATTTGGGATTACCAGGGCCAAGGAGGTGGGCATTATTTTGTGCTGCAGTTCCTACCACAAATCCTCGCCGCGCCGATCATCATCTGGTCCTTTGTCATTCAAGCTGCAGTATATCGCACAGCACCTTTCGCCATGATGGCCGCTGAACGACAAAAAGGCTTGGTTATTCAAGCATTGCCTATCCTGTCGAAAAGCTTTGTATTCCCGGATTTCTCCCATTTCAAACACGGTGAACACTTGTTCGGTTTCTCCTTGTTCACAGTTTGGCTGCACAACTTCTTCGCAATCCCTCTTCTCAGCTGTCTCTTCCAGGCAAAGTACTACATTATTGATGGAGAAGGTGTCTGGAGATGGGCCTCGGTTGAGTCTGTTGGCTGGACATTGGTCGCATTATACGGCGTTCTCACAATTGGCTTGGTGTTACTGCTACTGCGCTTCCTTCGCAGCTGGTCTGGTTTGATGTGGGATCCGGTCAGCCTGGCGGATCTGATCTCGCTCATCCAGCGATCGAATATTCTCCATGACTTTGAGCGATCTGAAACTCTTCCCACAGTGCGAGACTCGCTTGACCCTCGTGTTCTTCGATTGGGCTACTGGAGATTGTCGAGCAAGCCTGAGGTCTTCTACGGCATCGGCGAGGTGGACGCCCCAGTTCGCACTCCTTCACTTCATCAGACCGGCAAAAGCAGAGAGAAGCAGCCACACGGTCTTGCCAAAGTGTGCGTCGATCTCGAACACCAAGGCGACTCCAACGATTCATCTGATAACTCCCTTTACTCGCCATTCGCCCGCTACCGCTGGACCCCGTGGTTCCTACGCAAAATCTCAGTATTTATCTGGGCTGCAATCGTCTTCGCCTTGTTTATTGCCTTTGTCGCCGTCAGTTTCATCAACGACGCGATCAAGGGTGGATTCCCACCCAAACTCCCGACCCTCCCATCAACAAGTGCATTCTCCTCCTCCAACTTCCTCTACAGCTTCATTCCCGCCTTAATCGGCAACATCCTCTTCCTCGCCTGGCAACCAATTGACGTCTACTTCCGCGCCCTCCAACCCTTCGTCGGGCTCTCCTCTCCAAGCGGCGCATCCGCCGAACAAAGCATCCTCCTCGCCTATCCATCCTGCTACCCAATCCAAGTCACAATCCTCGCCCTCCTAAACCGCCACTTCAAAGTCGCCTGGATATCCCTAATGTGTCTGATATCCCTGGCAATCCCCATCCTCGCCGGTGGCGTCTTCATCGCTCTCTGGTACCCCTCTCACGACGACATCCGAATCTCAGCCTTAATGCCAGCATTCTACGCCCTAATTGCCTTCTGCGCTTTATACGCCATTTCCTTCCTGGTAATCTGGCCCGGCCGCCGCCGCTACCTGCCACACGATATCACCACCCTGGCTGATATGATGAGTTATCTCTACCAATCGCCGCTTTTATCGGACAAGATCCTCCGCGAGCCGAGGAGCAAGACTGATCTTGTTACCCGTCTTATTGTTGCGCCGCCTTCAGATCGCCAGTTGCCATTTTACGGCTTTGGGATCTATGTTGGTCGTGACGGTAAGGAGCATCTCGGTATTGATCGCTTCCACCGTCCTGGTAGGAGTGATATGCTTATTACTACCGGGACTATGAAATGATTTTTCGTTTACTTTGATCTTTAGCGTGTTTGTCTTGTAATGTTATTATGATTTGTATCTTTGATTATGAGCCCATATTGATGTTTGTTTGCGAGCGCTATATTGCGACTATGTGACAACTTGTGATGCCATGTTTCGGTATATTTATGAATGTTTTGGGTTTGCTTTGCTTTTTTCTAGAATAACACTTGCATTTTGGGCGCTTTTGCATTTTTTTTATGTATCACTACCATCTGATATCTCAGATGAGCGTTGTGTTGCATACTCATATTAGATAGAATATTCCGAACCATAGCATAGAGTCAAATCGAATCTTATCCCAATCTACCTTATTTTTTGAACTTGTTCTTCTCTATCACATAAACAAATCGTTAAATCATACGTCAGGGGACATAAGTGTGAATGCAGTGTCGCTGATGAAGATTTGAACAGACACGAACCTCGAAGCGAGTATACCGTTTCAGGCAATGTTTTCGCCCTACTTTGGCCTCTCTTTTCTCGCCTCTCTCTTTTGCCGATTTTGAGAGCCTCCGGTTCATCATGGAGAGTGCATAAATGTGGGGGAGTGAAAGGCCTCATGGTCTATGACTGTACAACCGGCACCTATCAATCTATCTATCTAGCCAATTATAGCCCGAAACCAAAGTAGTCAATCATTTCTGGAAGTAAATAACCCTCACCCGATCTATCTGCCCAGTCAACCAATCAATCTGTTCAGAAGGCAACCCCAAAGCCCCAGCCTGGAGATTCCTCAAACAAGGCAAAACAAACCAAGCACCCATAAGCGGAGCAACCTTTTTATGCGTCTGAGAAACCGGCCTCGTCTCCGCGAACGGATACTCAACAAGACCCGCTTTCATGCGGACAGATTCAACTTGGCTTCCAAGGAAGAACGGTACGCTTGCACAGATCTCATCCGCGAGGCGGTGCGCAGTAGAGATAGCCATCATTTTTTTAGGCCCTGTGGATCTTGAGATGGTGTCATGCGGAGACAGCCGAGGATGATGCTCTGGACTAAAATGCGGCAGTCGCGGTATGTGTTCCAAGTTGAAGCAATCCACATATCGGTGTAGCAGTCGACGCGGTTTTGGTAGATCCCAGCGTTGCGGACAGATTTGGGGATTATGCTTGCTGCGACTGGTGTCCAGTGTGGTGGGACTAGGTGAGCCCACGCTGCGAGATTCGTGTCGATTTCGATCGCTTTAGTTAATAGAGATGTGACGGTTGCTCTTTTCGGTGGTTTGTAAATTATTTCCTCCCATGAGAGGCGAAGGTTGACGATCTCTGATGCCGCTGAGGCTAGGAGTGGCCGAGGACCTGAAGAAGGTGCTGGCTGGAATAATGGCCAGACTTTTGGGGTTGGTACTGTGGGACTAGTCAAGCCTCGACTAGTTTTGATCTTCATTTTGGGTTAACAGAGAGCCTTCAGGTGTGTGAATTCAACATACAATTTGAGCTTGCACTGCGTTGTCAATTGCCCTTGATGCCACTGTTTGTAATCGTTTTGATTTTCGGTTGTTGATGAGGGCAACAGCTCCTCGGAGGTGAGCCTTCACGGGATTCTCCCAGTCTTTCATGGCAACGAACTCCTTGGAGATTGTCAGTTCAAAGGATTATCCGCAGCCAAAGAAAATCTCGTTGACCCACCTCATATGTCGAGAGTAGGAGAATAGAAAGTAGAATGGAATCCAGATCACTATTCTCATCTTGCAAAGACTCCCGGATCTTCGGCAATGCTTGAGTGAAGTACTGCTCTGATGCTCGAAGCAAGGAACCTTGGCCGGTCCAGGCTGCAACGGAGAAGAAAGCAACTGCCAACGAGCTAACATAGAGATGAGATTGCGGTTTTGCGTTCGAGAAAGCCCCAGGCAGGATCTCCATGAATCCATTCCGAATATGAGGATCTTTCGGAAGATAGAGGTAAGAATTAAAGAAAAGCGGTACCACAGTATCCTCCATTGGCTGGTATAGATCAGCAGGACCCAAGAGTGGAGGCCAAGATGTCATGATCATTGGCGCTTTTTCATGTAGATCCACAGGGCCTAATACGAATTGCCCCTTTGCGTGTACTACTTGATTCGGCAGCTCTATAGTCTGCGAGCGAGAGCGCGAGCCGGCGCTCGTTGCAGGGGAACGGGTTGCTCTTGTTTGTTTTTTGAATGAATTCGTGTGATATCTCAGCATCAAATCAAATGGGTCTGGATAGCCAGGACATTCCCGTTTCGTTTTTGTACATGCCCTGCAGTGAGGACGTGTTTCATCGCACTTGAGCTTGTGAGATGACAATACTAAGTGAGAATCGGAGGGCGAGGTACCTTGATACGCCTCTGCCGGCAATTTCGGCATCCTGTGCTAGGCTTTCCGCCGTATACCATGGCGATCTATATGATATCTTGGGATCAATGGAATGTCTGCATGAGCTGTGAGATGCTCTTGGCGCGGATGTATCATCTGGCCTGCATCGAGGTATTTGAGCTTCATACGATACTAGGGCGAAATTTGCCCCAAGCCAAGTTGACAACTATTGCAACATCGTCAATTTATACAAAAGTTAAATATAGCTCGTCAGATTGTGAGGCAGAAGCCAAGTCCGAGACGAAATGATCACGTGATGGAGATATCCTCATCTCCGCCTCGGATTTAACACTCTCCAACAGTCCGATAGTCCCGCGCAGATTCAGTCGTCTCGAGCTCTCCAGGGGATCAATTACCCAAGTACAGTGCACCATTGCCCTCATTTCCAGCTCCAAGATAGCCATCCTCTCATTCCTTGAGCTGTCCGACACACCTCAATTACAAAGCAAAGCAAACCTCATTCACATCCACATCCACGCCAAAAGACAATGGTATCATTCTTTGGCTGGGGCTCAAGCCCAAAATCCTCAGAGAGCCAACAAAAGCCCGAAGAAAAGCCAACCCCCGAACAACCCCAGAGCCCAGAAGAAAATCCCACAACGCTCCCAATGCAATTACCCCGACCCCCAGCGTCAGAAAACACAAACCTGAAACTCCTCTTCGGAGGAATGACCTTCTTCGCGCTCTCAGTGCTCGTAACAAGACGGGCCTTCAACAAAAAACGCATCGCGTGCATCCCACCATTCTACACAAGCTCGATCTACCACCAGCCCCACTCAAACTCCGCAATGGATGCCTTCGAGGCTTTGAATCTGGCTACGCTAAACGTGCTGTCTTTTGGTATGATGGCTGGTGGTGCTGCTGGGTATGCGTTGAATATCAATGGGCTGGATGATATGCGGAGGTTTGTTCGGGCTGGTTTGCAAGGTGGGAGTGATACGCCTGTTAAGAGTGATGAGGAGTTGGAGGCTGAGGTTACGGAGTGGGTTAGCAAGGTTCTCGGTGATCGGTTCGAGAAGCAGCTTGAGAAGGAGAAGGCAAAGAGATTAGTGCAGTTTGAGCAGGGGAATAAAGAGAACTGAACTGAGGTTCTTTGCGTCGTTTGTTTTGTTGATACTACTCTACTCATGATCTCGATACCTTGTACATTATTATGCATTTACCGAGCATAGCTTTTACTTTACTACCGTGGGAATATTGCTGCGAGCGTCACTGCTCCTGGAAGTCATTTGGATATCAATTCTAATCGTACATTCAGTCGGCGGGAAGCCCCCATCCTCGGCATCATCATTGATTTATCTGCTCGTAGCGCTGGCGGGCGTTATTCTTGGTCTTCTCCAGGAACTCATCGTAACGGCCCCGGGTGTTTCGACCGGCTTCTTCGGTTGCGTCGCCTAGCTTTCCTCCATGGGCACCCAGTCCCACACCCTGGGCGTAAACCTCGGTGGCAATTGGCGCTGTCAGACCGGTGCCTTGGGCACCAAGGCCAGAACCTTCCGACCATCCCATTTTGCTGAGTAGAGAGGCACCCTTCGAAGTCGACTGCACGGGGGCTTCATCCTCCTTTGGTGCGGCTGGGGTTGGGCGGCCAACGGTGGTGGATGGTCCGAATGCCTTACGGCGTTCCTTTGCACGGTCTCGGTATTCATTCGTAGGCTGCTGTACATCATTGGCAGATTGCTGAATAATGCCATGCTTGATAAGCTTGCTCATGCCGCGTTCTACACATTCTGGCTTCAGCAAATTCTCTTTGTGGAGGGGACTGAGTCGTTCATGCCGGCGGACATGGGCAAGGTCTTTGAACTGGCACAGGCACAGGTAGCAACAGTAACGGTTGGGGTCTGCGTAGGACTGGGGTGGCGGAGCGGCTTCATCAGTTGCCGGGCCAGCCTGTTCTGGAGCAGTATCAACAGGGTTTCCGTCGTCATCCTTGGGGATCCCGTGGAGCTCGGCATGGCGGTTGCTCCAGAATTGCAGCTGGGATGGCATTGCGAGCTTTTTCGCGTTGGCGCTGGCCGCTGCATCCGCCTTTCTTTTCTTGGACTTCTCTGAATCTTTGATGCCCTTTTCATGTTGATACGAAGCGGACTTGTCCCCCTTCTGCTGCTCGTTGACATCATCTTCCTCTCGTGATAGTGTGAGCTCATTGACAAAGCCTTCATCATCCCAATACATAAGCTTCAACGCCGGGTTGTTCAATGGGCTGAATGAATAGCGAGCAGTGCTGGCCGTGGGGGTCATGACTGGAATAAACACTCCGGCGTGTATGTAGCTGACCATAACAGGCTTTGACGAGATGGTGAATTTTTCGAAAGATTTCAAGCGCGTCATCGCAGCTTGGGCATCCTGTATTAAAGGGTTAGAAGAGATGAAAGGTGTGAATGGGGCGGACGAACCAGTATTCCTGCAAATTCGGCGAATCCATAGCGCCAGCTTTCATTGGATTTGCGATCACGTACAAGCAATACACGGCGGATGGAGCCTTCGCGTGCTCCAAGATTGCTATCACCAGTTGTTGAGGCTACCTTTGCGCCTTTCTTCTGAATGCCGGAGGAGTTGTCGTTGTTTCCAGATGGACGATACAGTTTGGCCACGCCTTTCGCAAGCAGTTCCTCGGTGACAGAGGGTTCCAGCCCGCGGAATAGAAGAAATTGAGACGGCTGACTCTCAGGTGCAGCATCATTATCACCGTTGTTAACTACCTTGGGAGCAGGAATCCCCGGGATGCCAGTTGAGGCCATCTCTGCTCGCATTGTCAGTAACCAAGCGACGGATTGAAGGGGAAGAAAGGGAAACGCACCGGGTCGCGGGGCGTTGCACTTAAAACACTTCAGGCGCGTGGCATAGTTGACGATAGCACACTGGGGGGTTAGCTTAGCGCCTTCCACGTTTGGCGCACCAGAAATCACATACCATACGACACATCCAATCACCTTCTCCCTTTGCCCGATTTCGGTCTTCCCTCTCGCGGCTGTACGCGATGCGTACTTTGGTACTGCCGTCGTTGGGGCCGGCACTTGGTCCATAGAGGTAAATCCCGCGGTGGTTTCGTTCAACGAATGCTCGCGATTCGTCTATCGTGGGGAACCGCAAGAAGCCTAGCTGCTTCGACAATTCTATCGAGTGGGATACCACGTTAGACATGGTGCAACCAACATCGGTCTACCGATTTCACTTACTCGTCTGGCGATCACGAATGACTCGAATGTCCTCGAGGCCATCAACATGATAGGCAGTTCTGAGTTCAGCTGCGATCTATCCACCGAGCGTGTCACTGTCAGCACCTTGCTGATGCAGGTGGTCATCGGAGACCCGTTGTTCCAGCTCTTGGCGGCGAAACTCACATCGTTCTCGGTCATGTCCACTGGGAAGTTTTCCAGCATTACTTCACGACTTTCTTCACCAAAGTATCCGTGACCACGGCGGGGGCTGCGACTGCGACTGTAGTTCCTGCCCTCATACCCCGGTGATCGATATCCCTCATGGTCACGGTCTCGATATCCATGCCTACCTCGACGAGGTGGAGATCGCGAGGTTCGGCGAGCGCGGTCATCTCGATCATAACTGCGGTGGCTGTCGCGGTCTCTGGAGTACTCGCGCCTGCGGTCTGCTGCCGGTCTGCGGGGAGGGGAGCCGGAATGGCCTTTATTGCCCAATTCCAACCAAATTCATATTAGCCACGGTCTGATATCCTTGGAAATATTCTTTCCTGCGGGGCATGTGTCTGGATCAAACACCATTACCGTGCGGGGAGGAGCTTGTACCGCTAGGTGAACGCGAACGCGAACGATCATCATACATTCGGCCATCCCGGTCGGCACGGGGAGGATTGGGCCTGCGGCTCTGGCCGGAATGATGTCTCTGATCAGAGTATGGAGGCGCCATGGCGGAGCACCATCTGGAGAATGAAAGAATGAAAGCTAAGAGTGATGCGGAGGCGAGGTGCGCCTTGGAGGCTTCGATAAGCCGATAACGTCAAATCTTCACCGCCCGACCTTCTGTTTGCTACGCATCTCAAACGGGTACAGCGAGGACAAAGGGGAAGCCTGCAGATCTATTATCCTGCTCTGCCAGTTCTTGACTATTCTTTTGAGCTGTCCTTGAGCTGTGGCTGATCTTTATGAACTGCATGACATGACCTGGAAGTACACTTTCAACATCCACTAGATCTACGAGTTATTCAGACTCGTCTGTTGGTTTCGGCTTTCTGCTTCCTGTGTCTGTATACATGCTTGTGAAGACATACTTGTATAGATGTGCCTAGGAAAGTCTCCTACACCATAGCCACTATCGGTGTGGAGAATCTCCACCAAATCCCTGAGTTTCTGATTCAACACCTGCAGACCCCTGTTGGCCCATCAGAACATATCAATCGCCCGATTATTCCCCGCTGCCCCGCGGTCTACGTGGGCCAAGCTACAGGTGTCCTCAGAACATATATGAGCGTCCTCGTTAGACATCGTTTTATCTGCAAACTTATCTCATATCTCCCTCTACATTCCCATTCCCATTCCCATTCCCATCCTCACTCGTAATTCCCACCATGGCACCTGGAAACTCCACCAACCGTGCCTGGTGGAAAGAAAGCTCAGTGTACCAAATCTGGCCCGCATCTTTCAAGGACTCAAACAATGATGGCATCGGTGACATTCCTGGTATCATTTCCAAGCTAGATTACATCAAAAATCTGGCCATAGATATCGTCTGGCTATGTCCATCCTACAAGTCACCCCAGGTTGACATGGGATACGACATTTCCGACTACTACGACATCGCTGATGAATACGGCACTGTTGGAGATGTCGAGAAATTGATTCAAGGGTGTCACCAGCGGGGTATGAAACTGCTCATGGATCTGGTAGTCAACCATACCAGCGATCAGCATGAATGGTTCAAGAAATCCCGTAGTTCCAAAGACAATGAGTATCGGAACTGGTATGTCTGGAAGCCGGCCAAGTATGATGAGCAGGGGAATCGTCAGCCGCCCAATAACTGGGTGTCGCATTTCCAGGGTATGTATCAATTATTCTTGTCATAATCCTCGAAATGTACACCTAATACGTGATACGAACTAGGGAGCGCCTGGCAGTGGGATGAACATACCCAGGAATACTATCTCCATCTATATGCAGTTGAGCAGCCCGATCTCAATTGGGAACACCCACCAGTGCGCAAAGCAGTGCATGATATCATGCGGTTCTGGCTGGATAAGGGCTGCGACGGGTTCCGAATGGACGTGATCAACTTCATTAGCAAGGAACAGAGCTTCCCCGATGCTCCTGTCAAGGATCCACGCACACCCTGGCAGTGGGGGGACAAGTGGTATGCCAATGGCCCACGTCTGCATGAGTACCTGCAGGGCCTAGGTAAAATCCTCAAGGAGTATGATGCATTCAGTGTTGGCGAGATGCCATTCGTCACAGACGAGAAAGAAGTACTCCGGGCAGTCCAATTCGACCGCAATGAGATCAACATGATCTTCAACTTTGAACATGTCGACATCGACCACGGCAAATACGACAAGTTCGAGCCTGGGAGCTGGAAACTTACCGATCTTAAGGATTTCTTTGAACGCTGGCAGACTTTCATGTATGACAATGACGGCTGGAATGCGCTCTATTGGGAGAACCATGACCAGCCACGATCTATCGATCGCTACACCAACGCGGCGGAAGAGTATCGACTAGTCGCATCCAAGATGCTCGCTACTGCCCTGGCATTGCAGGCCGGTACACCATTTGTATACCAAGGACAGGAGATTGGTACGAGAAACGTGCCGAAAGAATGGGGCATTGAAGAGTACAAAGATATTGACTGTCTAAACCATTGGAACAGGTATGTCCCCTCTACCGGCCACCAAATGAGAAGTCACTTCTCTAACACTTTTACAGACTACCCAAATCCGACCCAAAGGTCCTAGAAATCGCACTGCAGGAATACCAAAAGAAATCTCGTGACAACGGCCGAACCCCAGTCCAATGGTCCGCCGCCGAGAATGCAGGTTTCACCGGACCCGGCGTGAAGCCCTGGATGTCCGTGAACACAGACTACCCACGTGTCAACGCCGAAGCCCAAGTCAAGGATCCCAACTCGACATACCACTACTGGGCCACTGTGCTGAAATTGCGCAAGGCGTATCTCGATGTCTTTGTCTATGGCGACTTCACCCTTTTGGATAAACCGAGCCAGGAGTTCTTTGCGTATACACGCCAGTATAACGACCAGAAGGTTTTGGTTCTGTGTCATTGGACTGAGAAGACGTTGGAGTGGGATGCGGCTGGCAACGGGATCACTGGTGTGAAGAACGTTTTGCTTGATACTTATGAGAGTGCAGACGCTGTTTCTCAGCGCTTCTCTGGTGGTAAATGGTCGCTTCGACCGTATGAAGCTGTTGTCTTGCTTCTTTGAAGCTGTCATCTTACCTCTTTGAGGCTGGGCGGTTGATAGATAGATCACCAATTGGACTGAGCGACATTTCCATTTCATATAATCAATTGGAAGCAATTGAAACAAGATAATTAGCAGAGTTGCAAATATAGGTAAGTTAGCAAGTATAGAATCCACCCCAATAGCTCTCGGCATTCTCCGCACACCGGGACCCTCTTATCCATCCCCACAGCGATAACAACCCACCGTCCCTCTCTCTCCCTCCAACAAACACACACTCTCTGTCTTTTTCTCAATGCCAATGACAACAAAATGACAACCCAAGAAGCCAACCCCCCCCAGCACACCTGGACCCAAATACCTACCCAAGAACCTACACGGACACCACAAAAAACATCCACCTAACCCTAACCTACGCGCCCCTAGACGCAACAACCCAACTATCCCAAACCTCCTCCCCAGCAGCCGGCGCAAACATCCTCTTCCTCGGAACAACACGCGACACCTTCGAAGGCCGCTCCGTCAGCCAACTGAGCTACACGGCCTACCCACCGCTAACGCTGAAGACGCTAGCAGGGATTGCGGAGGCGGCTGTTGAAACGCATAAGCTGGTGGGCGTGAGTATTGCGCATCGGTTGGGGACTGTTCCTATTGGCGAAGCTTCCATTGCTATTGCTGTTAGTTCGGGACATCGGGGTGCAGCGTGGAGGGCTGGCGAGGAAGTTCTCGAGGCTTGTAAGGAGAAGGCGGAGATTTGGAAGAGGGAGGAGTTTGTTGATGGGGGGATGGAGTGGAGGGCTAATGCTGAGAGAGATGGGGAGGGGAGGCTTTTGAAGGGGGAGGGGATTTAGGGTTTGGTTGGTTTTGGTCCTGGGTGGCTATTATAAGTGTGATGTGCTGATGTGATGTCCTTGGGTTACAGTTTGTGCATGTATTAAGGCGACCACGTTCGGGTCGTATTCGGTGTTATAACGGACCTTTCCGTCCGTGGCCGACAAAAAGGAAATCAATCGCAGCTTCGGGAGTAGGGTATTCAGATATTCAAATGGCTATATTGTACATAGATACACGATACACTTTGCAAAAGCGCTTACTCAGTCTTGAGCGGCTTGCCCTCGCGCTTCCAATCATTGATATGGTCAAGGATTACCTTGGAGGCAGACTCGGGGGTATCCTGGCGACCAATACACTCGACGAAGTCATTGTCGGGGTCTGTATATTTGTCAGCATATCGAGGCTTTACCAAAAAGCCATCTCATTGACTCACCCATCAGGTAGAAGTAGATACTGTGATCCACCAAGTAATCCTCGCCAGGCTTGACATCCTTAGGCGTGCTGAAGTACACACGGTACTGTTTGCACACGTTCTTGACCTGCTCGTAGGTACCGGTCAAGCCGATGATGCCGGGGTGGAACTCCTTCAGGTACTCGCGCAGCACCTCAGGTGTATCACGGACAGGATCGCAGGTAATAAAGACGGGCATGAAGAGTTTGTCATCCTTGGTAGAAGCCTTAACCTTCTCGATGATCTCGGCCATCTTATCCAGCTCATCGGGGCAAATATCGGGGCAGTGAGTGAAGCCGAAGTAGACCTAACAAAAAAATGGCGTGTAAGCAAACACATATTCCAAGCGGGTGATGACCGGATCCATCGATGGAATTGACTCACGAAGCTATATTTTCCCTTCAAATCCTCTTCCGTAAACTCCTTCCCATCAAGATCCTTCAACACAAACGGACCGCCAACCTTCGGCCGCCCAACACCCTTACTCATCTCTGCCATCCGCTTCCGCTCCAGACGAGCCTTCTCAACCCGGAAGTAGAGCATCATACCAGCACCGGTAAGGACGAAGAGTAGCGCAGCCTTCCACGAGAACGGACCGGTGGTGTGACGCTGACGCATCTGGCCCATTGTCTTGCCCTTAGCTCGGAACGCAGATGTGGAGAACTTGTTCTGGGCAGAGATCATGCTGCGCATGCTCTGTTGGCATCGTGGTCGCTGTTGGGTGTAGGCGCGGCATTGGGGTGCGTTGTTTCGGAGGAGAGGGAGGATGCGTGGTGAGGGGGCGGCTTCAATGGCAATATTGCGGGTTGCCCGGCTGAAAAGCCCTGCCATTCTCATTGGGGAGGGCATTCTGTTTGTTCGGGGTGTGGTTGGTAAGAGGGTCGGTGGTCCGCGGGCTGGTGGAATTCGAGAATCTCCAGATCGACACCTGATTGGGACTAGCGCTGCTGCCTCAGGCAGTAGACCCACCTCAAATTATATCCGTCGCGATGTTTACATCGGGTCATGTGTAGAGTGTGTAGCAGATATTTATGTCCTGTAAAAAGTAATTTGACCACGGACGGATTTGAACCCTGACGTGAAGCTGAATAAGGTGGTGTTATCATGGTAAACTAGAGTTAGTACCTCAACCCGGGATCCCTGTGGCGTAGTCAGGGAGAGAACCCCATCTCCTTGACGCTGTCATTCGTGTGCCCTCCCATTCCCCTTACTTCTCGTCATCTCCCTCCTGGGGGACACCAAGGGCCGTGGCAGGGGTGAAGTCATGGTCCGAAGGGATCTAGAGGGGTGGGGTAAGTAGTGAAAGACTTACCGATAACCATCCCTAGAGGTCAATTTTTTTAGGCATCTGCTCCATAATTGTCTTTTTTCCTGTCTTTAAACCAAGTCATGCTCTAGTCTTTCTCGTCTTGGATGCGTGTCTTTTGCTCGACCTCTGCTGTTGTCGCGGTTCTGGTCTACACACTGGAACTTGAAGCTCTCTTTCCTCTACACAGCTCTTCCCTAATATTAATTTACCAGTAAAAGCTGGGTATAATAATTCGCAATACTTATGCAGTTACTAAAGGCATCTAATAAACTTGCAAACCCGACAACCCAACCGACCACCGTCCCTCCCGACAAGAAAATAATCAACAAAGTTATTCAAATCTCAGCAGCTTCCTCAAGCCATTTCTGTGCCATCTCATCAAAGTCAGGACTATACAACCACTCCAAATCAAACGGCCTACTCTCAATCTCCGACGGACCCAACCCAGGATCTCTAGGCATACGACGAGCATCAATCTGAGCATTAAGCTCCAAAATCCGATCAACCCGCTCTTGACGACCCCACTGCCAGATCTTCAATCCACGCTCAAGTTCCTGGGACTTACACCGCGCCAAGATAACAGCGAAGGTATAAACGTCCTCAAAGGCCTGATTAATACCCTGGCCAGCAGTAGGCGGGATAGCATGCGCAGCATCACCGAGAATAACAACACGAGAGTATTTTGAAGTCCAAGTATCCAATTTGGGAACAACATAGAACGGCCACAGATTGATCCTATCGAGCGGGATGTTTGAGACAGCATCTTGCACAACTTGCGGAAAATCCTCCGCGCCTTGTCGGAGGAAGTCGACACACCACTGCTTATCATCAAGCAAGGCATTCCAGCCCTCACGATCAAGCTCAGGTGCGCGTTTCGGTTTTCCAATGAAAGCTTCAGAGCCATCACGGAGTTGCAGTGCAATAACAAAAGCTCCATGTTTAGGATTCATGATCGTGACAGGGAGATCGAATCCCTCGGGGAGATTCAACTGTGCAGTCGGCACAGCCGCATTCACGCCGACGGCATTAGTGAACATCGGCTCAAGGTCTGGGTAGAGATACTTCCGGACTCGGGAATGGATACCATCCGCGCCAACGAGACAAGCCGCGGTGGCGGTGGTGCCGTCTTCGAATTCCCAAGATACATCTGTCTCAGTCTCGGTGAGGATTTGGATGAATTTCTTTCCGTAGTGGATTTCGATTCCGAGGTCCTTCGTTGCGGCGAGGAGTGCGTCGATTAGTTCGTGGCGGTAGATGCGGAGTGCGTCGTAACCGTATTTCTCTTGGCTTCCGAACTCGTAGGAGTCTAGTGGGACTGTGGTGCGGAAGTGGAGGTCTTTGAAGTTGAAACCGCGGGTTTTAATGTCTTTGTATATTCCTACTGAGTCAAGGATTCGGAGGGCGTTTGGTGAGAGCATTAGTGCGCCACCGATGTCTAGGGACGCAGATCGGGATTCGTAGATTGTACATGGGATGTTTTGTTTGTGGAGGGATAGTGCTAGGGTGAGGCCTGAGAGGCCAGCGCCTATTATAGCGACGTGGTTTGAGGTCATTTTATCAGATGAATGATTGCAGGAGCTGTGTTGATGATTGTTTTGCTTCTGTACCTTGGCCGATATCTCCCTCTACCATGGATCTGGGGGCTTCTGGTCTTTATGTGTTCCTCTTTTCCGTGCATGTCCTTGATGCTCTCGTAAGCTGATATGAAAGTGGGAAGCCTTAGCTTGGCAAGTATATGGATCTGGTTCTTCGGATCCGACGGAGATAACATCGTCCGTCCGGTGCAATACATCTATGTCGTTCTAACATGCTCCATCAAAAAGCGTCGTGAGCACTAAAATAGAAAGGGTATGGTTTTGACAGCCAGAATTATTCGGTACATATGGTATTTTATACTATTCTATTTTTAACATACGAAAGGTATTATGTATTTTGGCTGTCAGATCCGCTCAATCTTGTAGAAGCCTGAAGTAATTCAACCGACTCGAAATATATATCGTGAGCTTGTCTCCGAAAGTCATAAACAACAACAGAATCAGGAATTCAAAGACTCCCTTTTGCAACATCAAGAAAATTCATATTTTTTCAACTGCATCGAAAACAATTACCAATAGTTAGGATATTGTCATTATTTCACATCAAACATTCCCACATTCAACCCAAACGAGCTATAAAATTTTTAAACAGCATCAGGGAAAGGGTGAGGGTTCTTAAGAACACTAGGCGCCGAAGAACGAGCCGTGGTACCAATAAGATGATCAAAGGCAGGCGAGTGCTCCACGCGAGGGCTCATATCCTCCAAATCCCACAAGTAACCAAGAGTCTTCAGGACGGAGGTAGCACTGTACGAAGAGGACTCTCCAGTAACGGGATCGGTACCATAGTTCTCAACATAGCCGCGGGGAGCATAGGGGGAGACCAGCCAAGTGGGCATACGGCCACCGAGACGATCGAAGTTGAGAGTGTAGTCCTTGCCGTCCTTGGCGGTCTCAGTGTAGGTCTTGTCGTCCGGGCGGACCGCAAGAGGGGGAGCGACGTGGTCGAAGAAACCACCTGTCTCGTCGAAGGTGATGAGAAGGAGGGTCTTCTCCCACTGGGGGCCGGTGCGGATGGCATCGTAGACCTGCTTTAGGAGGACTTGGCCGAAGGAGACGTTGCCTGAGGGGTGCATGGAGTTGGTGTTCAGGCCGCAGCATGAGGGGTTGATGTAGGATAGTTGGGGCAGCAGGCCAAGGTAGGCATCTTGGTAGAAGTTCTCGAGGGGCACGACGTTGCTCTTGGCGTTCTTTGCGGTCCAGTTGAAGAACATGGCGTCGGACAGGAAGTCACCGTTGGTGCCGTCGTAGTTGCGCCACGAGATACCTTTCTCGGAGGCAACTTGAAAGATGCTGCTGGTGTCGATACCAGACACATCAAAGCTCTCATCGTTGGAGCCGTGGCCGTCAGGAGTACCTGCGATGGCACAGAGACGGTTGGGGTTAGTAGGCTTTTTGACTGTCAGATTCGTGTATAGATTGCCAGCCATGGAGAGTACTTACACCCGGGACACAGGAGTGCCAGTAGTTGAAAGTCGTGAATTCATCAACCAAGTCAACGAGAGTGGGGATCTCATCCTCGGAGTAGTATCCCATAACCTCATCGGCGGCCCGCTGGGCAGTGATACTGGGATAGGCCGACATCTGGCGGTTGACAAAGCCCTCCAGGTTGGCAGTCAAAGAGCCATTGGCAATAGCCTCGTTATCGGGGTGGTAAGTACCATACAACTCGAAGTTGACACCAGTAACCGAGTGATCAGGATCATGAAGCACGGAGTCGTAGTCCTTGTACTGGCTGTACCACTTCTTGCTGTTGGTATCATTAACATTCTGGGGGTTCCAGAAAGGACCATTGTTGACGACATTGTCGAGGCCATCCTTCTTCACACCACCCAGGATGTTGTCGAATCCGCGGTTCTCCAGCAAGATCCAGACAACATTCTCAATCTTGTCCTTCATGTTGGCAATGGACTCCTTTGAACCGGACTTGTACCCAAAGGGCTCCTGGGAGCCCTTGGACACGGCAGCGCCCAGGGCGCTACCGGAAAGACCGAGCAGAGAGATGATGGTGTTGGTCTTCATCGTGCCAAGAATTGAAGTGGACAATAGTGCTTGACTGAGGTGCGTGTGATAATCACATTCCTGGATGGGACAAGGCTTTTATATCCCTGCCTTGACACAACATGCATGGAAAAGAAAAGCTTACCACCTTGGGGAAGTACATCTTTTCTCCTCATTTACGGCAAATGAGAAATGAGCATTCTGACCACATGTTCCCGCGGTCAGCTTTCACGGGTTGATATTTTAAATTGCCCAAGGCCGGACGATTGCCTAGCGTGAAGACCGGCAAGGCATGGCATAGCCTTGTGGAGTCTGACAGATGGGATTATGCCGTTGCTTCCTGATATGCAAACGATTTTGTCAATTGCTACGCAGAGATTGGCAAGGAAGAGAACCGTGCCTGCCGAAGTATAAGCGTGAGTGGGTCCTGATGAGCTTAGCCCCACAGGTACACCAATCAGAGTTGTTGACTGGCGCTATAATTTCTGCCAAGTCGCCAATCACGACGGATCCTTGGCGCATGCCTTGCACTAAGAGATGCTTCGATATGCAGGGAAGCCCGGAACAAAGACCGATGCATATCATCGCCTAAATAGGAGGCAAGATCTGACACGTGCAGGAAGAATAGGCAATAGAATTACAACGCTCGTGCATATGAACAGGAGTGGAGAGATCTGAGTTTCAAAAAACATCTAACATCCAAGCCCCCGGGCAGAGAAGTAACCGTTTAGCCTTGACACAATAGAAGGGCCCTCGAAAATCCCTGCAATGTAATGATCAGGTCGCAACAAATAAACGACATCCTTTGTCAGCCCGGACTTGGCATACTGCTCATCCCATTGGAAACCAAATGTTTTAATATTCATCCGCTGGGCCCATTCGTCAACAAGAGGCTGGGTCTCTCCGTACACATGAATTTGCCAGCCAATATCCCGCAGCATGGAGTAGTTATCCCCCGGGTCCATTCTAACCCACGGAAGGCGATCGCCAGGCTGCACAACCCCAGCTGCACCTTCTTGACTCAGACTGCTACCCCGATAGCTGCAAATGAGCTGCGATCCTCCTCGGAAGATCTGAGTCCGGGCATGTTCAAATTTCACCGCCAACGGGACAAGATAGGGAATCAACCAATTCCGAAGAATGTGCGGGAATATCCCCTTCGATGTCAACGTAGTGAAACCCGCGTCGGTGGATGTAACAATCTTCAAAGCAAAGGCGCGGCGTTCGGACTCGTAGGATTCCAGGAGCTGATGTTTGGCTTCGTCTTCCAAGTCCATTTTCAAGACAGTTGCAAGCTTCCATGCCAGATTAATCGCATCCATAATACCAGTATTCATTCCCTGCCCACCAACCGGACTGTGTATGTGAGCGGCATCACCAACAAGGAAGGCCCGATTACTCCGGAACTTATCAGCGACGCGGTGATGGCTGCGGTAGGTAGAGAACCAGTTAACCTTATCGATCTCCATATCCATAGCCTCCTTGATCTGAGGTCGAACATCATCAAAAGTAATTTTGTGCTCTTCTTCGGTTGATTCATGGTGGTGAGTGTCATTGTTATCCGGGATCGTAATCCCAACAAGTCGAACATGCCCTTCTTTGTTGTACGGCACAATCAAATTGAAAGTATCATTCGAAATCATCAAATTGCCTTCTCCATTGGCGAGAGCTTCGTCCCTGCTTTCGATATCGGCGATATAGAAAAGTGGTTTATACGTTTCACCTTCATACTTCGCACCAATAGCGTGACGAACAGCCGAATGTGCCCCATCACAACCGACAATAAACGACGCATCACAAGTCTCCGAGAACCCATCAACCTCCCGGAAAAGAGTCGCAGTAATGTTCGACCCATGATCCACGAAACCCTGCAATTTCATCCGTCGCTCAACACGGATCCCGAGATCATTGAGGCGTTTCTCTAGCATGCGCTCGTGTTCATCTTGTGGAACCGTCAACATGAACGGGTATGGAGTCAACTCGACGCCGAATTCACCAAGCGGGATGCGTGCTTTGTGTTGTTTGTGGACCCAAAGGTTTGTGGCCGGGAGTTTGTACCCTATTTCTAATAGGGCGTCGGCTAGGTCGAGTTGGCGGTACATCTCTATGATGCGGGCGTGGACGACGAGTGCTCGTGAGTTCTTTGCGGGGCTTTCTGCTTGGTCGATGATGCGGATTTTGATTCCTTGTTTGTGGAGCCAGAGGGCGAGGACGAGGCCTGTTGGGCCTGCGCCGGTGATTAGGACTTCTGTTTGAGGTTTCATCTTTGGATGGTGCACGTTGTGGGGTGATAGGAATGGTCTTCTAGATCGCGGTCTGAAGACTATTAGACTTTGATGGATGATTGAATTGGAGATTTTGGATTAGCATAAATGGCAGACTGAGAGCTCTTTAAATAACATTTCCAAGACTCCATTATCACCTGTTCTATGAGCAACAAAAAACCAAGAAGTGTCTCAGTTGGCACTCGGCCTTTTAGTCGCCGACCCCGAGCATTATCAGCCCCACGCGACCGGGGCGTCACCACCCGATCGGGATGTTCCAAGGTTGGCAGTATACCGGATTCTGGCAGAAATTTGGGTACCTGAATAAGAGTAGAGAATTGTAATTTGTGTTGTTCGAACTTGAAGGGGTAGGATTAATTTGAGATAGAATGGTTCTGAAGACGACCGTGTCAGGTCAACTCTCGTACCACGATAGACAAAATCTCCGACGATCTGATCTAATATGCAAATCCTGGCAATTATATTGCATCATCTGTCAGACTGGCCGGAAATTGATTGAGTAGAGTATCCCATTCATTCCAATCAATCGGGCTGTCGCCAAGCAAGTACTCGAAACCGTCAGCCTCCGGGTTAAACCGTGCCGTCCTAAAGTCGTGTTCGGGTTGGTCTTGTGACGGCCCATTCTCCACAGTCACGATATCCTCTACAGGTTGTGACTCATGAGTGCCTTTCGCGTTGGCTAGCAATGTGGCAACGATTGTTGGACAAGGCGTTGGAGTACGATGATGTTGGTTACACTCTTCAACGTATGCCCGCCAAGCCCTTACAATCAAATGTTGGATCGCCCTATGAAGAGGTGTTTGGATGCCCTTGCTCTCGCGAAGATTGCGTGAGTATACGTTTCCTATCAAGTGCCAGACTTTGCTTTTCTCGTCTGGGTCGCGTCGATGTCGCATGTCGGAGAGCATCAGGATAATAGCATCCCATGGCACGTGGTTCACCATGTGCCAGGAGTACTTTTGTACAGCGGAGCAGGTTTGAGCGTAGTCGGCATGTTCTGTCATCTTCAGAGCGTGCTCAAATATGATGTCTTTCTCTGATTGGGGGATGCGAGAGGGATCGGAGTATTGACGAGGATGATGTGCCATTAGTCGGGTGTAGTGTATAGCCGAGCTTGCCATCATGGAAGTTGCGATATGGAGAGGAATGGATTTATCACAATGGTGGAAAAAATTATTCTCCATGTGTGCTTCGAGCTCATCAATTGCTTTGTCCTTCTCACTGAGGGTCATTGACGACGAAGTGAGGAAAGCCCATGGACCAGTATTTGATCCTTCAGCTTCTTTCGACCAACGATGAAGCCATTTTCCAAATGCACTTCGAGCGAGGCAGAATATCATTTCTGTAGGCCCTTCCTTTTCATAGGCTGGCTCTGTCATGCGTGGATCAAGATCGCTATCGTTTGCGTTCATTGGCGGTTGTACATCGATTGCTCCTGGTAGGGGCGTTGAAGCTACACCACAGAATTGTGCAGATGTAGCGTCTATGATCATGAGCTGGAACCAGATGCGGCGACGTATCTCAGTGTCGAATACTGAAATGCCGTGACTAGATCCATCGCGATGGATGCCGATGCGCTGTGCAATCCGCGTTGCGATACCGCATAGAGTCCAGATGGTATGCGGGTCAGAAAACGAACGCATGCACAGCTATCAAGAGGTTAGGGCAAGTTTCAATAAAGAAAGAAAGGGTGGCATACTAGATACAGCATAAAAGCTTGAAGAACCATGGAGCTCGAAGTTCGAAGGAGCGATGCGTTTTTGAAGGCGAGTTGAGCTCCTCGCCTGCACTTTGAAAGGAGGGCCTTTTTGCTTTCTCCAAATGACTTTTCAACATCTGCTGCTTGCAAAGAAACCAATGCGATGCAGTAAATGGAGAACATCAGTGCCTCGAGCTCCCTGCTTATTTTGGGGAGATCACTCATTGCCTCCAGAATCTGTTGCTGCACTGTTGGGGCATGTATGATCTTAGTGAGTGGGTTCACATTTTCGAGAAATGCCTGCCACAGCTTGAAGATGTGCAAGGGATTCGGATGCAATCCTGTAAGGCTTTCCCTGGTCGCCGAAGTCGACAGTAATACGACCTCGTCGTCAGCATCCTGATCAAAGTCATCGGCGGCACTATCCGATACATCACCCAATACGTCTGCTGCATCTGGGAGCTAGAAGAATGGTCAGAACTGATATCAGTGGAAGCCTTAGAAGTCCACTTACCTCATTACTAACACTCGTCCAGAGATTACTACACGTATTTCATAGGTTAGATGAGCGTCGAACCCGATGAGAATACCAACTCACGTGTCAAGATAGACAGAATTGCCATCTTTCATGATCATCCTCCCAGATCCACTTTTCTTTGTGGAAGCCTGGCCCATTCTCCCTCGGTTCGGAGTGACAGAGCCACTGCCGTCAGGATCATCGCGTCTAAGAGATTTCCCGCGTCCCTGAGATACGCTCCCAGTCTCCCTCTTGCGACGACGAGGAGGGGGTGGAGCCCGGTAGATGCATTCCACATCCGCTTTTGCGCAATTTGAACATGGGTCTTGCCGGTCACATTTGACCTTTCGGTTGTGGCAGACCACACATGAATTTGATGTGGGTTGTTTTGATGACGAATCTGCGCTCTGATTCAAGGGGTCGGGGCCAGCCATCTCTTCAGGGCCCTTGAAGCAATACCGCTAAGACATGTAACATTGAAAATATTTGATGGATGAAACACTCTTACTCCCGATTCTTGATGGTATGTGATGCCGTGGTAGCCGTACAGCCCTGGAGGACTCCAAAATCCTTCGACGTCGCGACGCGGAACCTTCCGCGTCGAGACAAGTTGCTGCCTCAAATATTAGGCGTCTTATCCACCATGTTATCCACCTTAGACATCATCCCAATTTCGCTTGTTACAAATTCGATTTATCTGCTCGTTATTTTTCAAGGTTTCTACCTGGCGAGATCTGTAACTATATTTCAGTTTTTGTGTCTGGGCATCACTCAATTTGATCTCATGACTACGCCTCCATACCTGGGCATTGAGAATACGAGCACACCCCAACTGGTTTTTCCCCATACATTGTGCCTTTTATATAAGATATTAAAGATATCCCAAGAAATATCTCAGATGATTCCTTGGGTGCGTCAGCCATGCCACATTTTCTCGATCGAGTTCGAACAGTCCTCCGGAGAAGCAAACGTAGCTCGATCTCCGTGGGACCAAAGGAGTCAATATGGGAAAGACTTCCATCTGACGTCTTTGTCGCGATCGCAGCCACCTGCAATCTAAAGGACATTGGCTCCTTGTCTCTTACCTGTCGTTTACTGCACGATCGAGTTGCTAAGTTGGAATTTGCTATAGCTTGGGCATACATTCAACTTCGCAAGCAAAAGGGCCATCACGATCAGTACGTCTATGGTGGTTTGTCACCTGGAGATGACGTCCACTTTATCTCTGAGCTGTTTCCTCCACCACCGCCAGAATACAGCACTGGTATGGATCATGATAACGCGGGATATTCTCTTGGCTATCTTGGTGATTTGCATCGTTGCTGGAAAACGTGTCTTCGACTGTCTTACCATTTGGCCGACCACGTGGTCGAGCATCACCTAGAGACTGATCCATTAGCTCAGCCTTTGTGGTCGTCGTCCAAGACAGAGAAGGAAGTTGTCTACAGCAAAGCTGTGGCATCGCTCCAAGCCAAGCTTTTGCATCCGATGTATGGACCCACTGTACGATCCTTGGCATACTTGCACTGATTCAAAATGTTTCTTTAGAGCATACGCTATATTCTTCCTTGAGTCCTCTGCCTCGTCTCCTGATGACTCCGATTCCCCTGATCATCTCCACCATCTCCACCACCATCATCCTCACAGCCTGGCCTTATCGGTTCAGAGGCAACGGTCAATTCTCCGGAAGGCGCCTTTCACAGATACTCAGATATTCCTGTCGACCCATCACTGCATGCAACTCCTATTTTCGACTATGCAGCGCTTGATGAGTCCGGAAATTCCTCATTCAACATCAGAAAGCTGGGTCAGTTTACTTCTGACTACATCCACCATGGAGCGAATCGTCCAGTTCTTTGTATCAATAGCGAGAGACGACCAAAGAAAACAAAAAGGTCCGCATGAATCTGCATGGTCGCACAGGAAGGAGTTTCTGCTGTCGATGCGGCGAGATTTGAACGAGTATATGGCATCTGAGAGCCATTATGGTGAACGAACGCTCGAGCCGAAGTTGAACCATATCTGGTTCCATGCAGCACAAAATGAGATGTATCAACGAGGGGCCATTCCTCATACCGTTGAAGAAACGGAAGTGCATGTTCTGCATGGTTCTGTTGTGAAATTGGAATGTACTTACTGTTATGATGCTTATGATGAGGAATAACTGAAAGCCATCTATGAGATCAAGGTAACATATTCCAAAATATATCAATTCAATTATGTCAATAATTGCTTAAATCTTAAATAAATACAAAGAGTTTGAGGATCCCCGATCGAAGTGCTTGCTATGGCCGTTCGTTCATTAACCTGCTTATGGGCCCTGGATCTCACCTCGTCAACCAGCCACAACACTTTGTTATCATCATTCTGGTATCTCGTTTTTCTCTTTTGATTGCGGATATAATCCATAACTATGTGTGAAGCAGTAAGTATTAAAATGCCATACTGTATAGGCGTCTAAAATGCGCTAGCCGCTTCTGTTCGGTCCCCGGCATTTCGGCATCCGAATAGGCGACATCCGAAAGATAGGTGCCTGTGAATCTCAACCTGCCACCTTTGCGCGAGTAGTTAGTTGTCATTCCAAGAATCCGAAATCCCGAGGCGAAAACCTAACATGTCTGCAGTTAGTCCTTTAGACCCCTTTGGGCGTTGAGATGGCGGGAGCTATACTGGGACACCTGGCTAACCATTAACTAGTGCGATCTATGTCATACCCGAAAGGTAACAAACTCGGACAATGTGATATAACATACGCTCACCTAGAACACACGTCAAGGTCAAATGCGATCGCCTAGATCCTTGCATGAACTGCGTCGACGCAGGCGCAGAATGTCTCCGTCAACGCCAAGCACGAGTGCATAGACCACGAGTCTCTCGGTATGTTGACTGTCTTGTTTGTCCACGGAGTAGACTGCTGACACAATCAGGATCGAGGCATTGTCTGAGAGACTAGCAAAGCTCGAAGAGTTAAGTGGTAAAGACCTACCAAACTTCCCAGCAAGCAACCATGCTGCTAGCAGCGCATCTTCATCACCTCGAACCAATCCTATGGGTGTCACCGAGGTTACTTCCAACAGATCTTCAGAACCAGCAAATGGTGGAAAGAAACGACATGTACCATATGGTTCGCAAGAGATAGCTCAATTCGCACCACCAGCAAACAAACGCCGCAAATCACAAAGTGTTTTACAGCAAAAGACTCACCATGAGATACATTCTCCTGGGTCAACACACCATGCTAGCGAAGCTAGAGAGTACATTGAGCATGAGCTACAATGCAATCCAGCTCTATCAAAAGACCGGCGCACCGCACTCGAATCAGCGCAGAAATTCGTCGGCCAGCTGTCAAACCCGACACTGCATTGGGAAGAGACAGGGGCTATGGATGATATGACCATTGAAGAAAATATAGAAGAGCCAATTCTCACCCCGGAGTTGCTCTACATGATGCTACCAGGTCAGCCTACAGTAGAATACGAATGAGCAGTACTGACATTCTTGTAGGGCCTGACAAGAAGACGAACTCTCAGGGAACAGTTTCCTGGCCTGATCACATCTCCGATAAAGCCCTGGAGCGTATGGGGCTTGCTATCATTGAAGGAAGTGAATGCGAGCAAGTACTCCAACATTATCGAATCAATGTCTGGATCAAGGCTATGGGTGTAATATCGAAATTGGCCCCTTTGATCGCGAGTGAGGCCTTGAAAGTTCATTTTCGAAAATTGAAGAAGAGGTATGAAGCAGCTGCATTGGAAATGCTGAATCAAATTCCCCTGGCAGCTGCCCTAGTCTTCTCTTACTTCAATCGTTGATGTCTGCAGTATGTTCCCTAACTTCCCTTACTCTTACTGACATAGAGCTAACCATCACAGACACGCTTGATGCAGTATCTAGGAAATATGTCACGCTGTTGGATGTTCACGGCATTGGCTTCACGGGTCATCGTCTCTCTCAACTACCACAACATCACTGATCCCAATCCTCGAAACGAGATTGAAGAAAGCGTTCATGCTTGTGTGTACACATGCTACTATTTTGACAAAACTCTCAGCTTGCTGCTACTCCGGCCGCCGTCATTGCCAGATCTCAAAGTTAAGGCAACGGAGTTGATCCATATTGATCCGGATCTACCGACATTCGCTATGATCACGGGAATAGTTGAATATGCAGAGTTGAAAAACGCTTTACTGGGTGTACTTCTTGATACCAAGGCGATAGAGGACAGCGAAAAGGCCAATATACTGTCTGACCTGGTAGCCCGGGCACATACAATCCACTCCAATATGCAAATGGTAAGTCACCAAAACCTTCTTTGGAGCAATAACTAACTGCTTTCAGTTTCGCCGTCTCCAAGAACAAGAATTCTCACAATCATGGGGTAACCTGCGTCGTGAATGGCTATCAATGGACTTCAATTACTATTCAGTGTTGACAACAATCATCCAAGCACGCTCCTCGGTTTTGAAATCCCGCCTAGTGTGCGAGAACTGTTTATATACAGCCCGAGAATCCCTGACTACCCTCAGAGCGCTACAGGAAGCATTTTCGAGTCAGGTTAACACTATTGACTCTTATCCATATTTTCTTACCTGGTGCGTACATTATAACGAAAATTCAAACAGCTCTAAAAGCTAATGCGCCTTTACAGGACAATGTTACTATTCCCTCTAGCGCCCTTCTTCGTCCTATTCTGCAACGTGATCGCAACATCAAACGAGAAAGACTTCACAATGATCAAGACCATCACCGATGACCTACACCAATTCGCCGAGGCGAATGCTTCCATTGGGAAGTTATACAAGCTCTTCGCCAAGTTCCTTGATTTGTGTGCGCCGCTTATCAAAAGAAATCTTGAACGAGCTCGCCCCGGGCAACCAGCTGTTACGGAGAATGTAGCTGGCATGTCCGAAAACCAGTTCGAGACTCAAGATGATGCATTTGGCCGCGCTGCTGCTGAGGCTATGGTCGATCTTCAGTCTGCCAATGTCACTGGGGTGCCACCTAATGCTCCGAGGTCTGAAGGGTGGGATGATAGTCTTGTTTGGGAATTGTTTAATAACCAGCCCTCGTTGGGATGGGCGGAGTCGGAGCTGTGGGATGTGATGGCGCAGTTTGATGGATAAGGTAAGAAATGTGCGAGAGATTCTTGAGAATTAGAGCGGATTCAGAGAAGTGGTTCATGGCATTTATCTCATGGATGGATTGGATTTGATTAGTACATGAGGTATATTTACTCGTGTAACCCTTTGGGACACAGTCCCAAGTAGAGGAGAAAAAAAGAAAAAAAGAGGCAATGAGTGTGACGGTCTAGACATCCCAGAGTCTAGCCAGAAATGACAATGCTCAGCGAGTGCGGACATGCAAAAGGCCCATGATCTGTCGAAAACACACGGGCCAAGTATTATAATACAATATGAAGAAGGGGGATCGGTCTCATGTCTATCATGAAATCAGGACCCAGAGGAGGAAGAAAATCTAGAGTGGCAGTCAGAAAATATCCAGGGAAATGTGAAGATGAAACATGGGTGAACGTACCATCAAAATACCAAACATCTTAGCAATGAGCCAGCGATTGCCGGAAACACGCGTCCAATACTTCATTAGTTCACGCTGGGCGCCTTGGACATTATCCACAACGTCTTCAGTGTTGGCATCGATACGCTGAATCATTTCTGATTGTTCGCTGACCATCTGCGCCAATTGGCCAAAGATTCCACCCAGTTCACTAATGGTTCGCTCGATAGCCTCGATGGCTTCGCCTCGTGCTTGAACATATGTGTTGCTTGATTCTCCCTCTTCCATGATCATCAACTGTTGATCGGATTGGAATGATGGGCGTCCTAGAGGGGAGGGATTTTGTGGCTCCAGGGTCAAAATATCGGAAGAGTTGCCCTGATATCCCGGTTGGGGTGTTCGTCGCCCCGATGTATTGTACAGAGGAGAATCCGAGCGCTGCGCATCTAGGGCAGTTTGTGATTTGGAGGATACCGAAGACACAAAGTTCTCGGTTCGTGTTCGGGATGCTTGGATGTTCTTTGTGCGGACCTCGAGTACCTCCTTGAAGCTGGCGCCTACATCGGCCAGCTTTCCCTGTAGCATGACGACGACCTGGAATAATTGTCAGCAACCGCCTGTACGCGTCTTTGGCCTCACTTACGTTGTCGTTGTGCTCTCCTTCCTGATCCGTCTTCGACCGGTTGGACTTGGGGTGTTGCGCGTGGGTGAGTGCCTGAAGCGAGGCAATATTTTGGTTCAGGGCAGCCAGGTCTTGCTTAATCACATAGGTCAATTCGGAGATCTCGACTGGGCGGTCGTCGAAGAGCGTTTTCCGTTTCGCCACTAAACCCCACCATTAGCATGTCACTGTGAAATAATTTCGCGACGATACTCACATTCAGCCAGTCGCTGCAGCTTTGCCATTGTTCCCGTGATGCCTCTGCCAATATCTCGGGCTCTCCGTGCGAACTCCGACCTCGCTACCTTGGCATCCTGTGCGCCAGGGGGTGAGGGATCGGCCTGTCGCCTTTGCGCGTCTGTTAGCAAGGCCTGGCGCTGTGAGCCGACTTTCGAGGTGCCCATGCGCTTCTGGGCCTGGCCCAGGATGGCGCTGAACTCGCTGGTGCGATCTTGTATCGATGGACCGGCCATTTTGCGAGGCGGAAGCAATGTGTGAAAGGTTGGGTTGGAAGAGAAGACAACTGTCGTGCTCAAGTAGTAGCTGCTTCCAAGTACAAAAACCGATCAATGCGTATTTCAAAGGAGGGGCCGGATTCGGTCTCGAAGGTGAAGTTGAACTGATCTATCTGCAATCGATAAGGGGCGAATCTTGGAAGACGAAGACGTGTTCAGTTTCAGGTAGCTCTAAAGTGAGCTGAAGGAGAGACAAGAAAGCAAAGGGCAAATGGTCTCCAAAGCAAATGAGATGAAGAGTGAATCTATGTGAATTGCCCGGTTGGTCCACGTACCCAAATCGGAAACGTCAACGTCACGTGCCCCCGCACCGCCACAGCTCCAAAGATCTTGAATACACCTGGTGTTCAGGGGACTAAATAGCTTCTCTTTAATTTATACTTACTGTTTTTGTCCTTATAGTTGCGCTATTGTCCCTATTCTCTCTTTTTGTGCATACACGTCATCTCTGTACAATCTTGTTTCAAGTCCAACTCTCCACCTAACGCTGATCGTCGCCGCCTTGCCCAACGCCGGCCAGATCGCCACCTTTGTCCTCCCTTACACTCGCTGGTGTTGTCGGACAGACCTCAGGTACTCGAACATAGTCCTGTTCCTGTCGTTATCCAACTCCGAAGCCCTTTGTGTGTGCTTGCGCCGACTTTCTAGGAACCACCAGGCAGCAGCCGATGCTGGTAATCGAGCTCGCCCCCATTCTTTGACCTACGACTCTCCTTATGGCCGACCCTACTCAATCGCATGGGCTTGGAGCTCAACGGTAAGCTCAGTCTCCAGTCCCCAGTCGTACAAAAATACTGAGACATACTTTAGCCCTTCCCCGCCAAACAACGTCCGCAGTCCCCTATCTCCAGGCAGCGGCAGCAGCGCGGGTACCCCGATCTCATTCCAACCGAATGTCAATCGGTCGAAGACGAAACGATGGGTCGAGGCTAGACAATACTCCTATGACGGAGGTGACTGGGGCTCCGACGACGACGAGGAAGAAGAGGAGGAGGCGCCGCCGCCGGTACCTCGGCCTCCTTATGCCACCCACAATACCGGTAGTTCGTCCGAGTTGAGCTCGAGGCGTCTGTCTGGTCACATTGGAGCTGATGATTCGACTGCAATTGATGGCAGGGGCAGAAATCCTAGCGTAGATCAAAAGACCCTGCCTTTCGTCAGGCCGGCTGATCTTTATAAACGGATGCGCGAGGAGAAAGCAGCTCAGGGTGCGGCTCTCAGTCCACAGGTGTCGTCGCCCATGGCTGATGACAGTCGCAAGCTCGACGGATCTGCGCTGTCGCAAACACAGGCGGCCAACCCCCCCATGGGTTTGCCAGAAGTGAAACGTATGTCTGGCTTTGGTACCGATTTCCTGGGAGGCGCAGACTCCGGTTTGCCCAAGGACGCAAGCTCCGAGTCCCAGTCCCAGGAACCTTCATTGCAGCACAATAACTCATCTGGATTCCGATCGGTGGTTCACCAGGCGTTTGATGTCCCAGAAACCCCTCAGTCCAGCGGCAGTGTCGAGCGGTCCAACAGCGACGGCACTTCCGTGATCAGCCCAATCATGGGTGGTCGTAACATCGACGAAGACAGAACACCAACTATTCCCGAGGAGCCTCATGAAACCGAGAAGGAAGCTACGCCCGACGGCCCTGTGTTCAAACCCGGTCACCGCCGAGACCTGAGCCTTCCTGATCGGGACAACAGTCCTTCCCGCACACCCCAAGTCGAGCACACCCCGACGGGACACACAGCTTTATCTTCTATTCATCAACAACTCCAGACTATTTCTCCAGAGTCAACCACCTCCGGATCCTTCCCCCAAGATCCAGCAATGCAGCCTTACACAAACGATGGGCAGGACTTGCCTGCCCCTCTCAAATTCGGCAGTGCATCAGGCCCTGACAGCTATCGTGGCGACATCCCGACTATTGTGGGAGCCGGAACTTCGCCAGAGGACGGAGACAACGATCGCTTGAGGGAAGAAATCATTCGCTCCTTGAGCCGGGAGAACACCCCATCCGAGGACCCTGACACAAGCAACCAACCCCAGTCGCAACCACCCAAAGATTCCATTCCCCATCAGTTTGAGAAATACTGGGATGGCCAAACCGGACCGAGCCAGGAGGATGATCCCAAGGCTTTGGTGTCAGGAACTCTTCCAGACAGGACGGAACCGCATCCTTTGGCGTCCAGAGACCCATATGCAGACGGTCCTGGTTTAGCTAATTCTTCGTCAACAATTGTCGATCAACCTAGAAAGAAGTTGGGAAGACGCTTCTCCTGGGAATCTTCGGATACGGAAGAACCTGAACCTCAAATTCCCGGCAGCTATTCCTCCCCTCCTCCTCTGGGTACATCGCTCGCTACCCAGGAGCCTGAACCTATTGCTGAGGATGCGCCTCCTGCATCGGAAGCGGCGCCACACGACTACTTGTCATCTGACAATGAAGGTTCAGATGCTAAACGTACCGTTGAAAAGCCTCGGCTTTCAATCATCCCTCCTGTTCCCGAAAACATATCACCACCAGAGCAAGTTATGGGACCGGATCCTACCCCACCCCAACCTCAAGTTTTGTCGAATGTTGGGGGCTCTTCTCTGGATGAGTCTAAGCTTCTGGGCTTCCGCGATATTCTCGGTATCACATCTGTGGACCAGCGTATCAAGTCTTTCGAGCACACTCGGGACCAATTTTCAACCCTTGACTCTGGTTTGCATCACTGGCTACAGTTTATGGTCCATGAACACCCCGAACATGCCGATGTTGTCCAGCAGAGCCAGAGTTTGTCCGATGTGCCACGCGCCTCGCCTTCCAGAAGCAGGTTCCCAAAACTGACCTCCCTCGGAAATCTCGGGTCGACCTTGAATCTAAATGACGGCACACCAACTAGCGCCACCCATATCAGACGCCCATCAGGTCATATTGGCACTGTGATGAACAAGCAGAACGTCGGAGAACGGGGCAAGGAATTTCTTCACACTGCTGGAGCGTTTAGTGGTAAAGCAAGCGGAGCTGCCAAGGGCCTGTTTGCCAAGGGCAGAAGCAAATTCCGACCCAGTGGAGGTTCTGACAAGGTAGATTCCTGATTCTTTTTCTTTTGAGGCTATTCGTTGGGGGTTCGCACGGTAGTGCCCGTCGCTTTAATGTCTCCCTTAATTCTGCACTGTTTCTTCCCCCGGATACCACGATGTAATTTCGAGCACTTTGCATTGAGCTCTAGAATGCGACACGATTGATGCATCTGACCTTCCAATTCAATACCCCCAATATGTTCCCGTTCTGATGTTGGTAATGCTGTAGGGTCAATCAACACCGAGTGCTCCTCGCCGCAGCTTTCAGTTCTCCTTACCATCAGGGTCTGGTGAAACTGGTAAACCTCGCCGCAATTCTGCTTCGTTTGGGAGCCTGCCTATCTTCAAGTTCGGAAAAGCCGGGACTGGCTCTGAGTCTGCGACAAGAGTTGCCGATTCCTCTCTAGATGCTTCACGGAATGAAGATAACACCCGAAAACATGCCCGAGTGGCCGATTCGGGGGATTACTCTTTGTCACACGGCGTTGACACGGCTGTGCAACCTCAGTCCTCTTCCAACGGAGTCCTTCCTCAGAATGATCCGTATCGAAAGTCTGACTACGCTGGCCAGTTAGAGCAGGAAATGATAGCTGCCCTTGGTCTTTCGCCCACGGATTCTCGTCAAGAGCCAAGTACTTCCACGGCATTGGATTCAAGCCAGACTAACGGTGAGCACAAGAGGTCTACGCATGAACTCTCACAGCCAAAGGAATCTACGCCTGTCCAGAAGCCCGTTGCTCAAAAGCCAACAAAGGAAACCACGTCAAAGAGTTTACCGATGGTTCCCCATGACCCTTTTGTCGTCCCTCTTCCGGGTTCAAATGGCTCGGAGGATCTGCCTAGCCAGGGCGTTCCACAGATCATTGCTCCAACAATTCGTCCGGTGTATGACGAAAGCATCAAGGCTCCATCCCCTCCCCCAAAGGACAACGGCCTTGCACCTGATGGCGTATCCCAACGCCAGCCGTCAGTCTCGACACTCGGACCCGAAGAGCAACCCGGTCAACGTTCATCTCAAGATGATCTCGATGGGGAACCTCCATCCCCCATGGACCAGCCCGAGAACGAGACAGATGGTGTTGAAAACAAGGTCGTCTCTCCGGAAAGAGCCCATGAGAACGTTCCTGGCAGCTCTCCTCCGTCTGCCGAGGACAATACCCATGGCTTTGGACCATTTTATTCGTCGGAAAATCCAAGCTCTGCTCACATTCTCGAATCCAAGAGGAAGTCCATCAGCGGCCTTCCGCCTTCTAATCCAGGAGTGCAAAGCCCCTTGAGAAACGAAGTCAGGTACTCGCCGGGAACCCGAAGCAGTATGCTCAGCTTTGGAAGTTTTGGCAGACAAAGCGGTAATGGCAAAGGAACCCGCCCTTCTACACCCGCCAACGGTCTATCGCAAGCTTCAGAATCGGGATCTCCGGTGCAAAACGGGGAGTCTACCTTCGGAAAGTTGAAAAGCTTCGGGAGGCGACGACGCGCCTCGGTGGGAGATCTCTTGTCTGGAATTCAACTTCAAGGGATCCAGGGTCCACCTGGAGGCCAGCGGAAACGGGCGCTTAGCAGGATTAGTGTATGTTCTGTTTATATCTAGTTTTGAATTCCTTTTCTAACTGGAGCAGGGCCTCTTCAACCGTCAAGACAGTGAGAATTCCGAGAGGAAGTCGTCCGATCTTACTAGGACCGTCTCACAACCGTTGGGCAAGGATCTACCTTCGTTCTCACCGGTAAACAGAAACGCAAACAAAATTTCTTCCACTGCGGACGACAAACCACCAGTACTTAAAGATCCGTTCGTCGCAAAACCTCTACCGACTGAGCCCCCCGAATCAATGATCCCTCCACCCTCACCCCCAAGCGACGCGAAGCCTCTACCTCCTGATACTCACCAGCGTGCTAGTATCTCCCTTCCGCCTAGTGTTTCAACCAACACCTTGGGCTCTGGTCGGTTCTACTCACAGTTTCAATCTGGCGCTATGAACGAGCATACCAGGACACTGAGTCCGCCTCTCCCAGGTCAGTCCCGCTCACCGTCTCCCATCTCAATCAATGAGGGTAGATCCATGAAGCCACTGTCACCGCTCGAGGAATTGCAAGACTACCAGGCCCAAAACTTGGAAAGGCAAGGGCAGGAAAAGCGTGAAGCACGAGATCCCGGTGAAAGTCAAGAAGCGCCACTTGGTACACTGTGTGAAAATAAGGAGCAGGAAGAGCAGGAGGAAGAAGAAGAAGGCGGACACGAGCTTCCTACAGAGACAACTCAGGCTGAGAAAGGACATCCCTCACTCGAGCAGCCACAAAATGTGCAAATCGAAAAGCCAGAGCAGCAGCACGGTCTTAATCCACAACTCAGTGTCCGATCTCGGAAACCAGTCGGAAATGACTCGACCGCCTCGACGCCTGGACACTTTGCACCGCGCAACATTGCCGTCTCAAACGCGTCTGTGGTTTCATCCATTCACCCTCATCGCAGCGAAGGCGAAGCTCGGGTAGTGAATGACTCGCCTCAGCCTGTGGAACTTGCCGTTACTGCTGATGACTCCAGTGAAGAAATTGTTATGTCTCCTACGACTTACCCGGGGCAGGAGTGGACACCAATGCATTTGTAATTGATGTTTGATTATTGAGCGTTTGATGTGATACCCATCTACTACAATGCCCCCTTCGTCTTGTTTATATCGAGTTTACTTTTCTCGGCATGGCATTTTTTGTACAGTTCAATGATAGAAATCATGTATATCGAGGGTTTTATGTAGAGTTGTGTGTTTTTTTATAACGTTAGCGTCATATGATTTTTATAAAACCACCTCATTTTTTGGAGTGCTAATCTCCAATTTCTAATCGACATTTTTCGACAAATTTTGTATGGTCACGAAAGACTACATCAACTTTTTCGATTCTTTTGACAAATATTTCTCCTCGTAACATTTGCCCCCCGAAAGATCCAGAGTCACAACATCGGCATCAACGCTGGCAAAAGCAACGTCCAGCTCCATGCATAGGTCGTCAGCAGTGATGGCAACGACCTCGTCATCCATGTTCTTCAGGTAGTACCCTCCATTCTCGGCGTAGAGAACTGTTTCCGGGTGGACCCTAACCAGAGCGTTGAGGGATTGTCTATCGTGGACGACAGAGTAACGTCGCTTCGCCCGGGGGGTGGGTTGGTCTGGTACCGGGTAAGGCCTTCAACCATAGTGGTCAAGAAACACAGGAAGTATACAAGGGAGGTGAAGATGGATTGCATGGAGGGGCACTTTTAGGGGTCTCTATAGGCTACTTAATCATCTATCTCTTCGCCGGAGGGGCCATGTATACTTCCATAATTTTGTAGTATAGATCTCCTATGGACGTACCTTGTAACGGGTCAAAGAGAACAATTGAAGCAGAGGTTCCTATCGATTATCAAAGCTTTCAGCTATAGCGGTCAGTCGATAAACATGGCAAAGTAGAGAAGCCCATGCAAGAAGGCTTGCCTCTGATGTCTCCAATAGAATGTTGAGGGAAACTGCTGTGAGATACAGAATCAATGACAGGGAGAGGAGATTCTTCTTATATTTATCCAATCAAGGGAGAGAATATCAGGCTGTGTTACGGTAGGGCAGAGCAAAAGCTGAAATTAGGACCCTAGAGTATATCGAGAGAATATGCATATCTGTGAGCGGATCTGTCTGGCTGCTTCTCAAAGGCCTGATGTGCCGACTAGCATTCATCGCTTGTGGTTGATTGCTGGGCCTTGTACTGAGAGTGGGTATTGGAATTCTTGGATATGGCCGCCTGCTATTGTCGCTACGTCTGTTTGACTCCTTCCTTTAGGAATGCTTCCTGGGACGACACCCAGGTCTATGTAGCTAAATGCTGTTTTGTAGCAGCATTCGGTCTCTGATGGCCAGAGTGCGGGTAATTCGACCACTCGACTCAACTAATATAGGTATACAATGCCGTCTCATGGAATGATAGGGAGAGTGTTACTATGTGGGAAATGTGGGAGATTTCTCTATGATAGAGGTTGGCTGGTGTCCATACACCCACCCACCTCTCGACTCACTAGTCTATACAAGCAAGATCAAAGGCAGTCTAATCTACCCTTCGAAGACGTTCTGGTTAAGCTCAATCCCCATATCCGAAGCCATATTTTGCATCTGAGCCTCAATATCATCCTCCATCCCACCACCCAGATGCAAAAACTGGCGCACCTTGGTGAAGTAGAAGAAAATATCAGTAGTCAACAGCACAATCCGGAATATGAGGTGCCGGCCAATGTTGCGGATCTTCTCAGCCAGCGGCAGATCTGGCGATTCGATGAGTGCGCGCGAAGCCCAGATGCCTGTGATTTTGACGCGGTTCACGGGCGAGCCTAGAAATTGGTTGTTCGCTTGGACGATGCGCAGGTTGCGGCCGATGAAAATGAGCTCTTTTGGCCACTTAGTCTCATCGCCCAGGATTTCACGGACTGCCTTGCGCATTGCTTGTTGCATCTCGTAGTGTCGCTCGGCGCGTTCGGACTTGCTTAGTCCGGAGATACCGCGCTGTGTCGACATGTCTCCGCCGCGGTAGGGGCGCATCAATGTCGCTGATGCAAAGATGTCTGCATTGTTCACGCCCCAGCTATTGGCAACCTCGCCCAGCGTACGGTTATCAAAGGTCAACAGGGCCTTCCAGAATCGGGCATATTGGTGACGGAATCCGGGGTCCATGTGGATGTACAGGCCGTGGTCGATCAGGACGAGCTCCGGCTTTCCAGATGGCTTACGGCGGATGAAGATGTTGCCAGGGTGTGGATCACAGTGAACCCATCCCCATAGGAACATCTGGGCAGAGAACAAGTCTACCATGGTAGTCATCACATCTTTTAATGACAATCCCAGTCCGCCGCGGTTCTTGTAACCCCTCCAGTAATCGCGCTCAGGTTTGACCTTGGCAGCCCGCGGGTCCTTCTCTTCGGGCGTACCCTTGCGGTCCAAGGGTGTCCCGCGGCAGCCTGGACTTCCTTCGCGCCAACCACCGCGCCAGGGGCGCGTGATGGCATCTTTGTCCCAGAGCCGTACGCCTTCCACCCATTCGGCAGTCATGACACGCCTTGAGCTCAGCTCACGGTACACCCGAGGGATGTACACGCGATCGCGCAGGCGGGGTTCACCGGCAACTAACTTGGCCATGTTTTCCGAGTTGTCTGCCTCATTGACGAAGTCCGTTTCAAGCGAGAGCCTCTCGCTCACATAGGGAACCAGAGTATAGAAAGGAATATCGAACCATTTGCTGTATACCCATGCCACAACCCTAGAAATCCAGAGTCAGTAAATACTCATCCCGCCACTGAAGATTTGGTAACTTACTTGAAAGCCCAGAGATCCCAGGCTACTTGCTGCACAATCTCCCGCTTCTGGATCTTGATTGCAACTTCTCGGCCATCCTGCAAGCGAGCCCAATGGACCTGAGCAACACTCGCACTAGCTCGGGCTCTGCGCTCCATTACACCTTTGCCGGCCTCGCCCGTAAACGAGACCCCAAAGACCTCCTCGGGCGATTTACCAAAGTCCTCACGAATGACCTTCTCGACATCCTTCCAATCATTCTGAGGCGCATCATCAAACATGCGCGAGAACATTTGCTGAAACTCAGGCGGCAGAATCGCAGATTGCATAGCGATAGCCTGGCCCATCTTCAAGTAGAGACCGCCATTATGCCGCAGCAGGTCTGATAACCGCTCAGCGGTTCGAGCGTGCACGGCAGCAATAGAACTGGCGAGTGGAGGGTGCGGACGAAAGTTGATTTTGTAGTCGAGGGCAACAAGGAGACCGAGGGAGAAGGTGCGGGCAGTGCGGGTCAGCGACGATGCGTAGAACTGCGAGTCAATGCCGTAGATCACGCCCGTTGCCAGTGAGACGTAGACAATCCGGCGCAGCCATTTGCGGGTTCGTGTGTAGGTCTTCGCTGCGGTTGGTTTGCCTAGGGAGCTTGGAGAGGGTGGTACGAAGGGTTGAAATTGGCCTGGGTGGGCGTATCGTCGGGGTTGGGGGCGCCAGATGGAGGGACGCAGGGCAGGCCGCAAAGTGCGGAGAAGTGTCGCGGGCGCCATAGAGAAATTAGGTCGTTTCTGTATCACTGCATAGTGTTGTATTATTAAACAGGGCCTGGAAGAGACCTTCGGGGAATATCAAGAGAGGGAGTAAGATCCGGAGGTCGAAGTTCGGTCTGTCGTCATCCGCGGTGACGCCGCGGAGTCGGAGTTAGGCAATTCGGGGATTATTACGGAGTAGTTTGCTATGCTTTCTTCTTCTTTTTAATACGGGACAGATGATATTATTGTGGGATTATGTATACATATAGGTGTCTATAGATTATCCAATTTTCAATTCGCCATCACAGCTCATCATGGTCAAATGGCCCCAACTGGTCGCAAACGGCAGCATATTCTCTCATATTGTTCGGGATAGTCTCTTCCCACAGCTGATCACTCTCCAAAAACTTCAGTTGCTCCTTGCACGAGGCATCCGAGGCCATTGGGATTAGCACAGGCAAATGCTTGATCGAAGCCTTGAGGAAATTGCGCTTGAAGCAGTTGCCAAAGCCAGCCAGAATCTCCGGGTCGGAGCAAATATGTAGACCTCCATGTAGCATCGGACTGCAGTTCTGCTTGATAGTGACAGCCACGTCGTCGCCCATCTTCAGCAGAGCATCTTCTTTGTGGGGGACATTCATGCGCTGCATGAGGCTGCGCACGGCGGGGACGAATGTGTTGTTTCGTGTCCAGAGATCCCAGTGCGGAACTGTCGGTTTGCATCCTTGGTCACAGATTTCACTCTGGAACTTGTTGAAGAGGTGAGTCGGTCGGCCGACAAGCGCGGAGACGACTTTGAAGCATGATGCGCCGATCGCGGAGACGGGGGAGATGAGGAGGACGAGGAGCAAGAGGAAGCGATCGAGGGAGAGGCGCATTGTGCGAGAGCAAAGAGTGAAGACAAAAAGAGAAAAGAGAAAAGAGGAAAAAGTTGCGATAGGAGCGAAGATCATTAGGGGCCGAGATGTGATCCCCCGCAATAGTGGAGATATATAAGTTGCTTATTTCAGCTGTCTACGGACTTGTATTTGCACTCTGGTCGCAGTTATCCGCTCCCATATTTATCATGGATTTCTTAAACCCAGTCCGCCATGATCCTTTCAGGTATTCGCCCCATGTCGTGTTACTCAGACCTCGGCGGTAAAGCGAACAGAGACCAAGCTGACCCATGTGATCGCATATGGACAGTGATGACAGCGAGGATATTCCCACAGTGAACCTCGAAGAGGTAGACTCACTCGAGGCCATTGTCATCATTGACAATGAGCTAGATCCGCTCTCACCCCCGGCGCCAGACACGGTGCAGCTCACTGGAAACCTGGGAACTATCGCGCTGAGCTCCCGGCATACATTGACTGATCGTGGAGAGGCATGCAAGGAACTAAGACTGGGAGATGTTTGCTGCGCAGCCCATGGCCTGTCAATCCTTGTGGTAAGCTATCTAACTCTGAAGTGAATATGGACCCGCGCTAAGCATTTGATAGACAGCCACGAAAGGCGATAAGAGCCATACTATTCTTTTCGATGCTGGTCCTGAGGAGGATGCATGGGAACGGAATGTGAAACGGCTCCGACCAAATCTCTCTTCGGTGGAAGTAGTCCAACTATCTCACTGGCATCGAGACCACTCCGGTTTGTGGCCATGATAAAACAGCACATATAGTTGCATGTTCACTTATCTGACTGTCAACCAGGGGGACTTCTGCGAGCGATCCACATGATAAACAAAGCCAGACAAGCAGAGAACCGCTCCGACGAACTCGTTGTGGACTTGCATCCAGATCGACCGGTATACAGAGGTATTGCTTTGCCGGAACATATCATATCTCTCGAAGCAGACCCGACCTTCGAGGAACTAGAAGCCGCAGGTTCCTTCGTTGACAAGAGAAGTGAGCCACACACTGTGCTAGATGACTTCTTTCTCGTCTCCGGGGAGATCCCGCGAGTCACGCCGTACGAGACCGGTCTGCGAAATGCAGTACGATATGATCCCGATGAGAACGATTGGTTCTCTGATGAAAGCATTACCGACGAACGGTCTCTCATCTGCAATCTGAAGGGTGCGTGGATATCTATCCCGGATCCTGAATATCAAGTACTAAAACCCTCTAGGCAAAGGCCTGGTCGTGTTCACAGGGTGCAGCCACGCAGGTGTAGTAAACACATCAAAACACGCCGTGCAACTCACCGGTGGAACAGTCCCTCTCCATGCCGTAGTTGGTGGATTCCATCTCGCCATGAGCGAGCCAGATCACATCGAGAGCACAGTAACCGACTTGAAAAAACTCGATCCGGCTGTCCTCATGCCAGGCCACTGTTCAGGCTGGCGAGCCAAGTTCGCCATTGAGAAACACATGCCTGGCTCGATGGTGCCGTGCACTGTAGGGTCGAGAATCGCATTCTGATTCCTGTCATTTTGATACATCTGATACGACGTTTGTTGACCTGTTCCTTGCAGTATCGTGTCTCCACGTGGTTGCAGGATGCAGGGTCTTGATTCGAGACAGCGTGGCATGGGTTGCTCGGTGCAACACCTCTAATGAAGGTTGATCAAGGGGCTATTTCGTCATTGGTCCTCAGCATAGCTTGTTCTGTGCATTCCGATTATCTTGGACATCACAAGCTCTCCTTGCTGCTTTTCTGCGAGATCGGGAGAATGCGGGATAGCTACTGGTGACTGGGTCTAGATCAATGGTAATGATTATTATACTGGTGATGTTCGATGACTGGAGATTGAGAGTAGGCGTAGACATCAGTCTTAGCAAGCTGGGGTTCAGTGATGCTCCTGGCCTGGTAAAGAGTGACTCTAGAGTCAGTAGCACGTTCGATGTACATATATATCCAGGTTATAAGCATACAGGTATATCTAGGAGATACACGAGTTGAAATAATGGTCTCTTTATATATATCCTGAGAATTTATATGTTTGCTAAATCATTAGCCTGCGATATATATCTGACAACACAACATATATTGATATCAATCACCGGTCCCAGATAGCAACAACCCATGATATGAAGAAAGCTCAACAAATATTGATATCAGCTATAGATAAGTTCAAGCAGAAGTGACAGTTTTATATCGCAAATATCTACACCTGTCGACCAGGTCTACAAACCTTGATACAAACTAGAACAGGCACATCAACTCACATTTCCAACCTATGCCTACGTCCTACTATAGGATAACCACACTGCAAACCTCATACCAACAAAATACAGTGTAACCAGCACCAACAAGCACGCTGAGCTCAGCCGGACGAAACCTGCAACCCACAGCGCGCTGTTCTACAAAGCCAAGATCCCATGGAAGTACAATATCTACCGAACAACCAAGAAACCCAAGACTCTCCAGCAACATACCGCCATCTTGGCCGGAGGAAATAAATCCCTCGCTGACACTGTAAGCACGGACACAAGCATGCGACCGATAGCCACGTCCAACCACGCTGCCGCTTCCAATCCGAACACGTACGTCCCGAATGTAACTCCGATCCCGTCTCTACAGGACGGAGTACAACGTACCAAGTACATGAGAGAGGAAGCATGCACACTGCCCCCGCCAAGACGCGAACATTACAATAACCAGCCCTTGCGCCAGTCTTCCCTCTCCTCTCCACCCCCACGAAGATCAGATCCCACATCGAAATGCAGCCTGATATCACCGGCTGTACTCCGTATTGAACTCTGAATGGCAATAAAAAAGGGGGTTGGGTTTAGGCAATGCTCGCCAAGACGATAATGCGGGAGGAAGGGATGCACAGCGCGTCTTGGCGGGGTTGCTTGGAACTCGGTGGACAGGTACGAGAGAGAGAAGTAGATCGGCCGATCAAGGGAGTCGATAGGAGGGGTAGTTGCAATTGGCATTGGCATTGGCATTGGCATTGTTTTACCCCGTGTTGATTCTATATAATACAGTAGTGTCTAACCTTGTACATTGCCAAGAGGACTTTGAATAGTGTCTGTTTTGTTTTTAGGGAGACGCTGGGCGCCAAGAATGATTTGCCCGGAGAGGACAGGGATGAGAATGATCTGATTTGCACGCTTGAGTTTGGGATCTGGTCGGGGGGGATCTTCTCTCCCTTTCTCCTATGACCATGTGATGTATTCATTCCCTAATTCTTGATTCTTGATGGGGTAAAACATATCGGAGCATGCATGTCATCGAACCCCAACTAACTAGAAACTATTGACAGTTCGGGACCCACGATGAGGACATGTACAGTAACATCGGGAAGTCGATCCTCTTCCCCCTTCCTTTTGACACAAAATAAGTCTCATAATTGGACAATGCCGTGTATCCAATTTGCTTAGCCAAGGAAACCCAAAATCTCAATGCAGACTGTTGACACTAGAGCATTATTGCCCGCCCCCTCTTACATGTATTGATTCGAATCTTGGCCTGCCAGTTTATCGTCGATCATGCAATCATCGCCCTCGGTGTGGCAGGGGGAATACATCATCCGTCCATTCACAGTCCCGATTGCTATCTATAGATCCCTCCGTCTCTGCACGCCAGGCAGCATGGCCGATCACCACCCGCGTCCCCCGAACCGAACTCCCCACGAATTCATCCCTGCCATTGCTTGGCAGGCATGTACATGGGGCGAGTGATACTATCATGTCTCAATGAACCCGGTATACGGTATGTGTAAATCTAGAATCGAACCCTATTCCAGTCTGTATGCACCCAGCCCCAGGGTTTGTATCAGGCACCGGCAATAATTGGCAATCGACACTAGGATCAGACGCATTTCACCGGTGGCTATGCAGTCGATGTGCTTCTCAATACACAGATCGTCTGATGATTATCTCGTAGCCTGCCAGGCAGAATTATCCAACAATAGAAACAGTGCTTCAATTCAGCGTATCAATCAAGTCGTCACTATCGCATGATGGTATTCAGTATGGGGTATAGCCGATCACCATTGCCCGAGTGGCAGTGACATTGGCAGTATCAGGACTGTCGCAGCCCGAGTCTGAATACGGAGCACCGTATGACGTCTAATTACATATACATTGTAAATCTCTGGAGCAAAGCACTGCATGTATCAGGTATGATTGTAAGACCATGAGACCAGCCTGCCCCTGTTACCGATAGACACAGCCAAGAGTACATGTAATACCAGCATTTCTACTGCCACGTCGCGATACGGAGCGTGTGCATTGCACCTCTGTCGACGGCCATGGCGTACTGGTCGGGTTACTTACCCATCACGTCAAGCGGCTACTGTACCTGTATCCTATGCTTAACGTTCATCTTAATCACCTCGGCTAAACTAGTGCTATAGCTCCATCGCTACTGTAGCGCGAAGCAGGGGGAACTGAGTATAGTAGATAGGTATAGTCCAGCACGGCGGTAGCAACTACTCAGGGAAACATAGCGCGCATATCGCATCGCGCACATACATCCCCAGACGGTATATTGCTCCATTCTTGCGTCACAGAATGGGGGCGCACCAAACCAAACCAAACTCCAAGCAAACAACATAGAATGACAACATAGTGTGTCGCGCGCTACCTATGTCATTCTCCATATACCAAATAGAGAAACGATGCCCCCTGGATCCTGCACCGGGTACACCGTACTGTTTACATGTATCACCGGGGGATGTTAAAGGCACGAACCGCCCCAAGACCGGTTTGCAGTTGGCGCCAATCACCCCATTTAATAGTGATGTGCAAAATATGGAGACAACAACAAGCGCAGACAAATCCCCTTGCGACATTCGCGGATACGAGAGGGTCTTTGTGCAATGGGATGTGGGGTTTTGCTTGCTTCTCCTGTCGATCACGGCCCGAAGGGGGAGTTCTCAACATGTGGCCTTTTATGGTAACTTAATGTTTGGGGCTGTTTGGGGTGAGGTTTCGCGTCGACGTGTTTTTGGGTCATTGTTTTGGGTTTGTCGTGCTGTTCTTTGCCTTTTTTGTGAGGTATGTTGTCATTTGGAAGAGGCTTAGCTTGGTGAAGTCATACTGTACAGTATTTTGATGTGCACATGAGCCATGTCTATTTCTAGCTATCACAGTAGATTCTAGGTGATGAATTGGTTAGTAGAGAATAGAGAGTAAACAGAACAGACAGCACTTGTGACTACTCAATTCCACATAAATACTGTAGTTACTCCCTAGAATCTCCGAGAGGTCAAACACCGACCGTTAAAGAGACACCAGATTAGCAGGCCAATCTCACGTCAAAAGCCGAGATTAGAATCGGTCTGGCCAAGTCACACTCGTTTTCGCTTCGCAAAGCGACCTGTGCGCATCGGGGATGTGTCCTAAAAATCCTCTCAAGTTGAACGTTCGATCGGCACAGGGTTGGTATGCAGCAAAGGAAAGAGACAATTAAGCAGATATCAGGGTAACCGGCACAAGTCAGCTAACTACAGTATGAGCACAATAATCGATATTGTGTCGAGCTGAATAGGGCTGATAAGGCGAACAAATTAAACAACTTTGTGTGGATAAAAACCCCAATAAACGAATTGGACAATTTACCCGGCCTCCCAAGCCATCGGCGAAATAGGGCCAAGCACGAAAAAAAATATTTCACACAATGTGGCGCCAATTAGCGATTATCTACATGTACAGTGCACCCTGAAAAGACACAATTCTGGTTCTAATATGTGAAACCGTCGCAGGCGTGCCGAGTCCCGTGTGCCGCGTAGCCCGAGAAGAAGGACGGGTTTAAGACGGGATTCCGACCGACACTGGCCGAGTGTACTAACAATTAAAGCAGGGCAAAGACGGCCAAGACCGAGGCAGATTGAGTCGGACAGGTCCTCCAATAATGTGGTCAGAGGGAATCCTCAATTCTCGGAATGACTCGTACCGGAACGGTGAAAGGGCGAAAGCACAGACATTGGACTCTGATGACGATTATTGTTCTCATTTATGTAGAGCTACATTAGCTACATTCTAGACAATGACAGGAAAAGAAAGCGTGGGTATGTATACCGTACCATGAGCTATGGCCATCGCGCCCCTCTTACCGAAAACACGCCTGGAATGTGGACAGTAGTGAATGTAGAGGGACTATCGTATACGTACAGGGAAGCTCAACTGTAGCTACGGGCATATTGTAGAGAGAGGCATTTTCCATCCTAAGCTAACCACGTTCATCTCGGGACCGGGGCCCCGTTTCAGACCGTATTTGCCTTTTTGTTCTGCAGCGGGAGCTGCATGGCATCTTTCCTGAATAGGCCGAGGGTGAGGCCTTTCGCCTTGGCCTCTACATGGGCAAAACTCAGTACTTCGTACTCCGTACGCCTATTTCACCCGCCTTTGTTTTCTCCATGGGCAATAATCCTGGGGGTGAACAAAGCTGGGCTTGGCGAACGGCGCGTTGGGAATAGTCTATACTAGTAACGTTAAGATATGTATTTGGTACGGGTACTTTGGAGATA